CACGAACAATTGTACCTTTACCGAGTACTCGCAAACAAATGTGACAATACTTTGAATTACGCATTATCAGTTCATCATTTGGTGTCATATTTACGTTGGGGAAAGTATTGTCTTTGAAGTATTGATCAAGAAATGGTTGCAAATTTAACAATTCTCTAAGGAAAACAAGAGCCACATCATTTCCACGATAAAATTTTGAATGGATCACTTCTTGTCTCCAGTTAACCACAATCAAACCAAAACTACATGGTTCATTAAGTTTAATTTCACCAGTAACATTAGCTGTTGGAATTGACAGAGTTTCAAAGTCACCGTAAATCATAAAAGGATGCTTTGACTCTTTGTTGTATTTATTACGACAGATGTGAAGATATTCACCACTTGGCATTGATACACGTTGTGGGTCGACTTTTTTACAAAACTCAAGATGATCACTTAGTTTTTGTCTTTCTCGAAAATGATAGAGACATCTTGGACAGCAGTAAGCGTGATTTTTACCTCGCACAAAAGATTCAAGACGAGTGATTGTATGAAAATGTTCATTGTACAAAAATAAGTTTACATGTTTAGAACATTCATCTTTGACTACTTTGAGTGGAATCACAATTTTATCCTCTTCATCAAATGTATAAACATTCACTGAGATGTTATTTCTCTTCTCAAATCGAGAAATTTGGTGTAATTCGACTATGCCACGAACCATAGAAAAATCATACCTATCAATAAGGTCACTATATCTCGATGTTCGTTCAGCATGATCCAGCGGATGAAGACCAGCTAATACACTATACATGAAACAATCAGTTATACATTTAACAGTTCGTATGGACTTTGTCTTCTTCATCAACTCTGTTGGAAGAGGATGTTGCATGCAACCACCTTTAATTGGTCTGAACTTTAAGATGAAGTTCAATTGTATCAATTTTATCAGACGCCATCCACTTCCTCTTTGAGAATATTCATCTATTTGAGACTCTAATCCATGGAGAGAATCAGTAACTAAATTGATAATATCATCGGCCTGCATCAAAGTTGTTAACCTTGTCCAGATGTAGTCCATTTTTTGTACAATTCCTTCATTACCATTATCTTTCTCAAAGGTCATATGTAAACAGAAATGGAATTTTATCAACTTTTTAACCAATAGTTCATGAGATAATACCCTTATTATTTCATTAAACATTACATTGATTAAGGTACTGACATCATAAACTGAAGAGAGAACACATCTGTACACAGCAAATGTATTTTCAATCGCGGTCGCCATTAGTTCGAATTTGTTTGATGGTAAGAGTAAAGACACTGTCTTCCTCTTTTTAACTGGTATATCTTGTTGCACTGATACACGTTTGACAGAAGGTCGGTCTTGAATGATCTTGGGTTGATAATCATCTTCTTCTTCTGCTGGTGACGGTAATGATGATGGTAATGGTGATGGTGATGATGATGGTGATGGTGATGGTGATGGTGATGGTGATGGTGATGGTGATGGTGATGGTGATGGTGATACAAGATCAATAAAATCCGGTATCTTTTCAATAATTGTAGTTAATTTATTAGTACCAGCAAACTTGATAACTGAAGTGGGTAGTCCGGTAACAGGTAAGATTGATTGTTCATTCTCTACTTGTGTATCCCGTAATAAATCATCAATATCCTCCAATGATATTTGTTGTAATGTTGATTGTTGACCCAGCTCTTCACAAAATTGACTGAATAGAGCATCAACTTCTTGAGAAAATGACGGAGACGACTGTGGCACTGGTTGATTGTTGATCACTTCTTGGGGAATCATCTCAGACAGTTGAGCGAATAAGTGATCAATGTTTGACGATAATTGATCGTTCAAAGATGGTACTGTTGATGAAGTTAACTGTGGTAACTGTTTCGGTGAATCGGTTGTGGCGAACACATCACTCATCCTACAAACACTGTAGGAACACTGACATTGATGAGATAAATAATCACCTAAAGTGAAAGACCTGAGGTCACAACAAGGACAAGTAAAACCCTGTAAAGAAAAATAATAAGTTAACCGAAATAAAAGATGATAACAATAGGTTGGTTTCATTTCTCTTCATTTCTCTTTAATTTTTTATACTCTTCCCTCGATTTATGAAAATACATGTTTGAATTATTTTCATGTTTCCTAGAAAGAGTAAGATAATAATTGGCCCTTTCCATATATACTAGGAACATATCTGGACATTTTCCAGCTTGTTCAATATAATAAAGACCCAACTCGTGGTTAGTCATAGCTGCTCGCTGAGTATATGCAGCTCTCTTCTCCAGATAAGCCATCTTAGCTCGAAGGTTACCTTCACTGATAGCTTTCTGACGTCTTTTCCTTTTATTCTCCTTCTTCTTCTGGTTCTTGGTGAGTCGATTTGATGATTCCTGGAGAGAGAGAAACAAGAGAAATGAAGAGAAACGATACCCTAGTTGATAAGGACTTACCATTGTAATAATTAACAGATGTGATGTAACAGGAGAAAGGTAAATGTTTATCGTATTGTGGTAACAATAGACTTACTTTGATTGATAAGAAATGGAGAGAAAAATCTTTTACTTATATACAACTATTGATATACAAGATTTACAGTATACTTTTAGAACTGAATTTTTGGTGTAAAGATTGAATTTATCATGATGAAAACAACATCAGATAGGTTCAGTATAGTTTGAAATACAATTATTTATGTTCAGAATTGGATTGTGGTAACTCAGTCATGATACATGGAAATTTAGGAAAATCTCAATTCTGATTGGTTGTTGAGATCAAAGGATACCGCTAACGATTTTCTCACGTCAATTTAACATGTAAAACGTTCAATTATTACATCATTTCCAGGAAAAAAATTCGCTCCCATAGACTTAACATTGGCCGTAACATTGAAGGATTTGCGCCCGGAAGGGGGTGGGGCTTAGAGGTCAACCAATATTTTTTTCTAATGTTTCTCGATGAGCTCTATCGATTGACATTAGTCTCATGTCTCTAGCACTTATACTTCCTGAGATAATTTTTTTGTCACGTGACAAAAGTTACTAAGACCTCTAGCCTTTAAGCCTTTGACCTGACAAAGATGAAAATAGGCGCATTTGGCACTTTTTTTTCCTCCTCTATCCAATGATACCAACCATGATGCTCTAGCACCAATAGAAAAAAAGGGGGAAAAAGGGGGGAAAAATTGTGAAAAAAAACTTTTTTGCCTTTGACCTTACAAACTTGGTTTATAGTTCATAGGCTTTGGTTGTTTGCGGGATTTGTTCCTGATTTTTTTCAGAATTTTAACACCCACCCCCTTTGGATTATCATGAAAAATCATTTTCCCCCATAGGGACCCATGTTAAAAAATTTAACCCCAATTAGCACCCAGATAGAGTAATTAACATGTCATTTCCTTAAAGGGTTACATCAGATTAATCCCATTGGTCAATTAGATTATCATCATCTTAATCTTCAAACGGTTTTTAGATCAGTTTAGATTAACCCATAATCTTATCAGTTTTAATCTATTTGTTTAATTGATCACTTCATTTTAATTTGTTCCCTCTAAATAAAATCATGAGTCTTTTGTACGACTTAATTGAAACCCGCCTCATCATTAGTGAAACCATAACCGACCCTGAACGGAGAAGTTTTGTGACCAACTTCCTCGAAAGGGTTTCACGGGTAATCGATGATGTCGAGGAAATGGAAATTGAGTTGGGTGTTCCTTCACCACCACCACCACCATCAGTATCATCTCCACCACCACCGCCACCATCACCAGTTCCTTCTACATCATCATCATCATCCCTTGGTGATCTCTCAATCTTTACAGATTCATCTGTAAATAAACAGATAGAAACAATTAGTGATGCTCTGATGAGCATGAATTCTCTTCTTACCATCCTTGTTCAGGATAATAAATCCATAAATGAAAAACTTAACATGTTGGACTTAAGAGTCCGTGATAATGTTAACATCTCCGAAGTGTGTGTGGAGGAATGCCAGGACATAACCCGCCGGCAACGAGCTCAACATTTGGCCCTGGTCGAATTTCTTAACACCATACGTGAGGATATGGTAAATCGGGCTCAATTCGCCTACGAAAACAACCGATCGGAATTTTCATCTTTAAAAGAATTGGTCATTACCTTCGATCGGTGCAACGATTACCTCCTGAAAGAGTTGAACCGATTGGCCGGTCACCCAAATATTTAGTCTTTGGTTTAGCAATTTGCTGAATTACGTTTTTTTTTATCATTCCTTTAATTGCTCAATAAAACAAAAAGTTTGTAATTTAAGTGCAAAATTACATCATCAAAAAATAAGATTAAATAAATGTAAACGTTTGCAAAAATTACTCATACCAATAACAAAATTAATTAACGAGAAAAAAAGTTGCAAAAAGAAAGAGAAATAAAATTCACTTTAATTGAGTTAAAATCAGAAAAAAATTTCACCCAAATCGGGTTAAAATTGTTACCACCGGAAGTGGGTGATGCACCCGGAAAGTACTTCCACCCACTGGCAGAAGTTCCCACCGGAAGTACTGGTTGCAACCACTTTGGTCAGTTTCTCCCACTTCCGGGAGAAAATCCAGTTTCCGGGTGCATCATCCGATTTCTTTACTACTACCAAAAGTTATCTCTCAACTATTTGAATTGATTTAAAATTTTACAATTGATTCATCAAAATGAACACAATAAAAACTTCAAGATGATTAAAATTACCAGCACAGTTGATTGAGCTCTTTCTCTCGTTTAATTGCTGCTTTATTCAATTTTAGCAATCAAATTAACTCTTAAGACTAAACCCTTTCAGAATATATCCCACCCAAGTAATTTATTGAATAAGACAAAAAAAGTGATACCAGCTGACCAAATATCTCAACTGTTCTCCAACTGTATTACTCATTAAACTGTAAACACGCTGTGTACTTACACGGTAAAAAGTAAATTGTAATAGTGCCTCTCTCTCCTGGACTTCGGATCACGAACGAAGAGGCCACCGATCACTAAATTCTGTAGTTTATTATGTCTCATCCATGTTACAGGAGTTGTAAAACAACTGAGTGCGCTCTTGTCACACCCTCTAGGAGGTTATTCTACTACCTCATTTGTACAATTATTTATGATTTCTTTACAGGTTTCAATTATTTTTACATATTCTATCAAATTGGTGACCGCATCAAGGTTTTCGTTTTTCTCTGTTACACTGAAATTGTTCTGTATCCTTATATCAAGTATTCCATTAATATTCTCAGTCCAATTGCATTCAATCGGGAAGTGATTCCAATCCGGTTTTTTTCCAGCATTGTTTTATTTGAGGTCGGTTGGTTACATTTAGATTATCTGAAGCCGATTGGATTCCTGAACCTGTGAGATATAAATTAGTTTTATTAGTAAGTATCATCAGGATGTTCACGATTCAAATTAAGCTTTGAGCTTAACATTTCTTGTTCAAAAAAAAAAAATTACAAGATTATTTTAATTTTTCTTCTTCCGGTTCAGAAGGGAAAAAAGTTTTTCTTAAAATACTCGTTTTTTAGTCTCGTTTTTAAAATATCGTTTTTCTAATATCGTTTACACTTGCACGGGCACGGACACGAACACTGATTAAAATTTATAGTGAAAAAGAAACTAATTATCGCAGTAAATATGAAAATTTAAACTTCTTATAAAAAGCAGGTATCACCGGTCCCTGTAGCTTTTGTCTATTTTCACTACTTTTTCTGTGTAAAGGGCTTTACTAAGGCTATTTCACAGGAATCTCTTAATGAGAGTCTCATTATGGTGATGCCATTAACTGAATGTTGACTGTAAATTGTTTCCAATTGTAATCAGTTAATCTGGTCCATATTAGAATCTTAGTTAATTGTTTCCTATCAGAATGAACGATCTATCACAAAGGCGTCTCTCGTAAGTAATTAAATCAACCTCACAATCAATTAATTGTGTCCCTTTCTTTTCCCAACCCTACCAAGCATCTTAACCTTTCAAGTCTCTTTCTCTTTTTTTCTTTCTTGTCTTTTTCATTTTCTCTATTCTTTTTTTTAATTGTCCAATGGTTACATTGACTAATTAACTGATTATATTCTTCTCCATATTCTATTATGTATCCGGATTAAAGGACTGCTGGAGATTCTCTTTATATTGTGTTAGGTGTGCCTAAAACCGCAACACCAGAAGAAATCAAAAAAGCTTATAGAAAGGTTAGTTTGTTTTTTTTTCTCTTTTCTATTTTGTATTTTCTGTCCAAGAGAATTTAAGTCGATCAATAATTTGTAATTACCTATAATTAAACGAAATTGTTTCTGTTTTTATTTCGAAACCCGTCTGGTGACTATCTTGTCTCGGATTAATACCCACTCATTTTCTTCCTCCATTGGATCTCGTTTTGGTGACATCGATGACAATTATTCTTGCAAATGAATATTCCTCTCTCTCTCTCCCGATTTCTTTTCCGATTTTAATCATCAACCTTATCATTGGTATATTTTGGTATTCAATTCACTGTCATTGGATTCAAATTTCCTTTGCAATATTGATAGTTTAAGAAAAACAAACGCCTTCGTATGATGCGTTTGCTGATTGTTCATATTGCTCAGAATTATTATGATGAAAAGGATTATAAAAATTGTTTAATTCACCTTAATCGAGTGCTGCCCTTCTTTCGGGTAGAAAAGTGGAAATTAATTCTAAATGCAACATTAACCACTGCCTTGCATGCTGCATATTTGTCAATTAATCCAATTGAATTTGTCCAACTTGGTTTCGAATCAATTTCAGCGTGGATTCCCAATGAAGCTTCTTGGAAATTGTTGATCCAACAATCAGTTCTAAATGTTTTATCTCACGAACCACCTTGTTTACTCTTCCCTGATTTGGAAGCAGAAGAGAATGAATCAATTACTAGTTCATGGAGAACTATGTTGTCTTCGTCACCTTTCACCGATTCACCAATTAACATGGAGATGAATACAATCGCTTCATTCATTGAGATTAAACCAGTTTTTAGCCAAAAGGTTTTCCAATGGCAACAACCTGTTGATTTAAAGGTTTACCTACTTCTCAATTCACCAATGCCTTTTGTCTTTGATAAATTGAGTTTAGCCTTTAATGAACCTTATTACAATCAATTTTGTGAAGAAATTAGTCCATCTCTCAACTTAGAACCCATGGTGATGAAATGTTTAAACTTTAATTTGATTGTTCGAAAAGAAGATTGTGGTAAATTGTTGAAAATTACAAAAATCTCACTTTACTTTGGTAGTCAATCAACTAAAGTGACTTTCGATTGGACTTTTGAAGATTCAACAAGTGATTCTCAAATGAAATGTTTCAATAGTCACAATTCCTGCCTTCCATCCCCATCCTCACTAATTACCACAATTAATTATCCAATCAAATTTTACCACATAGAACCAATGTTAACTACATTCTTGGAACCACGTAAACCAAATGTTAATTTGAAACTAATCAACTCATCACCAGCACTTCTCAATGAAATGTATCCAATAGAAATCGTGATCGCCAATCAAGATGATTACAGTATTAAAGACATTTTCCTGATGATTGTCAAAGTGGAAGACGTAACAATATCAATGACCACCAACCAGCCTGCGGGTGTTTGTACCTCTTTCATTTTTGATGGTTCACCTTTACCTCTTGGTGTTAATCAATCATTAACTTCATCAATAGTCGAACCTGGATCGAGTTTGGTGAAAACGGTTTATCTGCCAATCAATGATCTTAATCCTCAACGTTTTATATTTACTGTTTATTTTACAAGTACCAACTCTTCATCACCAACAATCATTAATAACGATGATAACAATATATGTTATCAACTTAAAGAAATGATTTCCATTCAAGTTATTAATCCATTCAATGTATCATTTACAACTTGTACTCCTCTCAATACTCCGTCACGAGTGATCCGTCTCATGGAACCGTTTGTTTTAAAAGTGGACATCAGCTGTTTATCTCCATTTACTCTTGAATTAATTGATTGTAATGTTGAATTACATCAGAATATTTTTCACACTCTTCCTTACACTCCAACAAATTCAAACAAATTACTTCGTTGTGGTGACAAAACTGATTGTCACTTTGCTCTTTACTCTGAAAGTCAAATTACTCAAGACACTGGATTAGGTGTATTGGTTATACGATGGAGGAAAAGTTCATCATCATCAAATGAAAATAAACAATTGACAAGTGACAAATTGACTAATCAACAAGAACAGGAAACTTCTTCTAGTGGATTTGATCAAATTAATACAATTAAATTTAATCTACCCTCAGTTATGGTTCAAAATAGTTTCCTCTATGTTGAAACTAAATTACCCAAATTTGGTGTTACCCGGGAAAGTTTATTGTTAACTTATAATTTAGCTAATCGAACGGACAATTTTCTCCCAATCTCATTAAGTTTGGAGAAAAGTGATAATTTCATGTTCGCTGGTAATTCTTCAGTTAAATTATCAATTCCAGCTAAATCACAATTACCACAATTATTTGTTTTATATCCTCTTGTCTGTGGTCATGTGGCATTACCAAAATTAAAGATTATAATTTACCCTGAAACTGATGATCCAATTGATATGGAAGATGTTCTGGAAGATATTGTTCCCTCTTACCTTATGGTTATGGTTAGTTAATTGTAGATAACTTTCCAACTTATTAATTGATTAATTCAATTTTCTTTTTTCTCATTTTTCAGCCTCAAAGGAAAATCAATACTCCAGTTTGATTCAATTTATCAGCCATAAGGAAACATTCTAATCATAAACAATTTATTACAACAGCATAAATTCCAACTGTTCATTCAAAATGGAACCAACTTATCAATATAAGAATGAATTAAATCTAATAGATTACAATCAAGTCAGAATTTGTAACAATCAAATTTTTATTTGTCTTTTACTAGCCAATGCTAGTCGCGGCCTAGGGTCTCGCCGCGGTTATTCTATTTTTTGCAGGTACTTTATTTAACTTTTAATTGTGACAATAAGCCAGGATACTGGAATGCGGCTCTATCACATGGCATTTCTCTGGCACGCGATAAAGGAGCCGATATTTTAATATGTTCGTGCCAAGAAATTAACCCAACAAACTTCCAACAAGAATTTTCGGTGAATTCTATCCTGCCAGAAATACGTCGGGTGCGGCGAGGGGCTAATGAAAATTGGATCCACAAAGCTGGAAATTATTGTGCTCTCAGCCTCAAAGGTCCTATCGAGGTTGAAAAATTTAGAACTAACAGCAAGGCTTTTATAGCGAGGATTTTGGTGTTACCCAATGGCCAAAGACTTGGAGTAGTTGGCTGCTATTTCCCTCCCTGTATCTCCTCTGACGCAACTACCCTATTGGTGCATCTAGGTGTAATTTTAGGATTAATGAAAAAAGGCGAACACGATTGTGTAGGGAAAACCATCGAAAATTGTGAACAAGTAGTCGCTCTAGGTGACTTGAATTTCAATAATCCAACAGCTGAATGCTACAATTCACCTACCTCCAGAAACCGACTCCAAGAAGCATTTTTAAAGATAATGTTTGACCATGACCTTAAATCGGCCATCGATCCTGAGTTGCCCACCACTATAAGAGGTACCTCGATTGATTATATTATTTTGAGCAAATCTTTAAAAGTAGTGGAAACATCAAAACTTCATGACTCCCCCGCCCACTTAAATTCAGGGTATCATTTAATTATGTACGCGGTAACTGAAATACCATACTAAGTTCTAGTTCTTGTTCTAGTTCTGCTTCATCTGACTAATCAAAAGAATAAATGATAGTTTGTTTGTGTCAAAGTTTGTTTATATTTATTCGGGGTACATGGGATACATGGGGTACATGGGATACATGGGGTACATGGGGTACATGGGATACATGGGGTACATGGGGTACATGGGGAATTTAGATAGTAAAGTGCTCAATTTGTAGGTGAGGAATTGAGGTTCTGGTTTTTGGTCTGGTTGATTCACTGTAATGTATAAGAAAGCTTTGGTCAGAAACTGCTTTGTTGTTGTTGTGATTGTGATTAATTGTTGATTCTTTAGGGGATCGAGTACTTGGCTCCGATTTAGTGGAGCGAATTGATCCTCGATCATGTCGCATAAAAGGTTTTTCCTCAATGATTTCGAAAGCCTTGGCGACCATGTCGTGAAAATGGCCTTTTTGTCGATATAATATGTTGGGCCATTTATCTGGCTTGCCTAGGTAGCACCCACATAAGGGGTACCCATATTTTTCCACGAGCTTGATGCCTTTCTTCATGTCCTTTACGAAGAGAGGAAACTCGACTGGTAGAGGGTAATCGGGATTGTCAATCCTTTTTGAATTATAAGCTTTTATCCACTGTAAATAAATGAAAATAGTGGTCAGATATCGTCAACAAAAAGAACAGAAGAACATAATGAGAAAATTTACTTACAATTGAGAGTGGATCATCTTTACATTTGTCGCAAATGTCAAAATATTTCGAGTTGAAAGTCATAATGAAAAAGTTTACGAAAATTGGATTTATGATTTACAAATGAATTTGTAAACAAAGGTGAAAATGACACTTGAGGCTCTATCATTGACGATAGCAAACCCCAAGCAGAGACTCAACAGACTAAGAACCGCGAAATCTGAAAGGAGCTTTTTATTTAACATGATGACATGGGGATGAACCATGGGATAATTCAATCATGTTTACTAATCTAATCCTTAACTTTGAATAAGTTAATTGTTGATTGTGATTAACTAATTGTGGAGTTAGAAAAGTTTTAAAGAATCATAATCGAGGTAGTGATCAACAATTATACTCTAAGATAATAATGATGAGGAAATGAACAGATTCAGTCTCATGATGACATGGGGATGAACCATGGGATAATTCAATCATGTTTCTTAATCTAATCCTAAATTTATTCAAAGTTAATTAATGATTGTGATTAACTAATTGTGGAGTTAGAAAAGTTTCATGTTCCTTTGGAAAGTTTATCATCAACAATTAGCCTCTAAGATAATAATGATGAGGAAATGAACAGATTCAGTCTCATGATGACATGGGGATGAACCATGGGATAATTCAATCATGTTTACTAATCTAATCCTTAACTTTATCAAAGTAAATTGTTACAATTTTCAGATTTCGCGCTTGTAGTTTTCTGATGCGTAGCTAGGGGTTTGTTATTGTTATTGTTATTACTCTTTAGACACATGCTTATTCACTCAGTTCATTTTAGTGTTTACTTCAATCGTTTTAAACTTTTACCCAATTATTTCATCATTGTTTCAATCAGTTAATCTTTTTACTCTTTATTTCTTGAATTATTTCATCATGAATGCATTAAGCACGCAACGAATTTTAGAAAATTTTTGGGAAAGTGATTCTAGCAGCTTCAATGAATCTGCGGATTCAACAACTAACAAGGTAAGTGTTTTATACTCTCTTTTTCCGTTTCCAATTCTTTTTCAAATTCTGATTCTGAATCTAATCTTATTTCCTATCATTTGGCTTTTTTTCTTTTTTTCTTTTTAGGTTTATGAGCCAATTAATTTCAGTATTAACAAGACCACTTCAAATGAAGTCGATGAAGCTGATGTGTCTCTGTCTGATCAAACTGCTCACGAGGACGCTAATGATTCGACAACTGAAGAGGTAAAGAAAATTTCCCCATGTTTTCAATCTTTTTCCTTTCCAAATTCTAATCACAATTATTTGGCTTTTTTTCTTTTTAGGTTCTTGAGTCAATTAATGAGATCGTTTCAAATGTAGTCCAGCAAACTGGATCAATTATCGATGAAGCCGACGTATCGCTTTCTGATCAAACTACGCTAATTGCTGACGCTCAAACTTCCAAGAATGATTCGACAACTGAAGAGGTAAAGAAAATCCCCGAAGTTCCCCATGTTTCCAATTCCAATTCTTTTTTCTTTCCAAATTCTAATCACTAACATCAAATTAGAATAAAATGAGCGCCATCTACTATGTAGATCTCGAACTAAAGTGAGAACCTATAATTTCATTCGCTTGTTTTGAAATATCAACTGTTCAATTTTGGTAAACATTTCAAGTGATTCTGTTCAAATTGTGATAACACTTTTGTTTTTTCAACGAAATCTTAGTTAATTAAATTGTTCTTTTTATTTTCTAACTGTGTTTTCAATTAGTTTTTGTTTTCTTGTTTCTGGTCGACAATTAGCATCAATTCAAACTTGTGAAACTTGAAACTTCCTCAATGATGTTTGGATTTGATTAAAGGCCCATTTGGCCTATTTACAGTTAATTTTTTTTTCTTTTTGTTAAATTGGAGAAAATCTTTTGGAGCTTTTCATTTCTCTTTTTTTTTATTTACCGTTTGTTAGCTTTTTTCCAATTTTATTTATCTAAGTGTAATTAATGTATGTCTATTTATTTAAGTAACAAACAAATAGGAAGTCTCTACAATCTAATTATAATTAGATAACCATTATGAGAGGTTATCATTATGAGAGGATTAACTGTATTAAGTTCACTTTTTCAAGGTCCAAATCAATCTAAACATTTACGAATGGATAATTCCGTGGTGACCATCGGTGAATCAATGTTCGGTATCAAAAATCATGGTAATACCTGTTTCATGAATGCAATATTACAATGTTTATCTCATACCGATTTGTTGGCTGAATATTTTGTTATGAACCATTATAAGATTGATTTGGTTAAAAACAAGCAGATTAATTTGTGTAAATATGGTTCTCATGGTGAAGTGACCTGCCAATGTGCCCTACTCTTTAAATCACTTTGGACAAACAATTATTCCCCCGAAATATCAAATAAGTTTAAACATCTCGTCTCGAAATACTGTAAACAATACGAAGGAAGTGACCAACATGATGCCCAAGAATTTCTATTCTTTTTATTAGACATTTTCCATGAGGATCTTAACATTGCAACCAAAAGAAAATCAAAAAAATTAAAGGTAAATATATTCTTTCCCCACTCTTCAACTAATCACTTTCATCTCGAATGTGAATAAACCATATAAACATTTTTCCAATCATTACAATTAATCAGAATCTAATCTTGTGATCCTCATTTTTTTTATGGTTCTTCATCTTTCTTTTCCCCTTAATCATCTTATTGTTTATTGGTTTACTCACGTTGATGATAATGATGATGACTAACTACAAATTATCCGAGATATTTATCAATTATTCTGTTTTCTTTTTTTTTCCTTGTTTTATATTTTCTTTTTTCCATTTTTTTTCTCCTTCTTTATTACTCAGCAAATTCAGAAAAATTGGAATAAATCTGATGAGCTAATTGCTGCCGAAACTTTGGCCTACCATAAGAGATGTGATTCCAGTTTCATTCATGATCTATTTCAAGCTCAATTACGTTCATCGTTAGTCTGCCGATCATGTAACAATTACAGCAATACCTTTGACCCTTACATGTGCCTTTCAATTCCGGTTCCTATCAAACGCACACAAACTGTCATAATTAACGTATCTTATTTAGATAATATAACAAAAATTGTAAGTATTCAGTGAATATAATCAAATCTACTCAACCATTTTAAATATCAACTTTCCTAACAACTAACAATATTACAGTACAATAACATTAACCATCAACGATTTAATTTTGATGAAAGAAAATCAAATTGTTGATTAATAACAAAAGGATTTGGTTGTGGTTATATTTTCATTGCAATTTAAATTTACTATTATTTTTTTTACCTTTTTCTCAATATTAATAATATTATCCAAGGTCAATGATTAATTATATATATTTTTTTCACCTTTTGTTATTGTTAATGTTATTGTGTTTTTTATTTCTCATTGTTATTTTATTTCACTGTGATTATACATAAGTAATTATTAGCCATCATCATTGTTATATTAATTTCATCTCATTGTAATATTATATTTTCAAAGGTGCGTATGGTTGTTACTATTGAAGCTCAAGCAACTCTACGGGAATTGCGAGATAAAATATCACGATTGGTTAAGATTCCCGAACGTCAGATGGTCCTTCTAGTTGTAGAAAATGGTTCTGAATTGAAAGAATTGATCAAGGATAAACTCACCATGCATGAGATACTTGATGATATTGATAATGTTGAAGTTGAAGCTATTGAAACTCCTTTAACACCCACATGGGGAGCCGAAAATTATTCAACGCTTGTCAATGGTTCATCAACATCAACACCTAGTTCGTTGATAATAAATAATTCATCAACGACGACAACTTCATCTTCCTCTTCATCATTATCATCATCTTCATCGCCTCATCCTCCATCACAACAACCACCATCTTCCCAACCCTTGACCCTTTTATGGATTAACCGGGTTGGAATTGGAAGTGAGAATAAAGTTTTTGGCCCTTTCTTCAGTATTTCTCTACCAAGAGAATCATCTTTCAAGGAGATTCAGCATAATCTTATGAAAAAAATGTCACCAATATTAAGGAAAACTTGTGATCTCGCAATAGTCAAAGATTCAACTTTGTTCCGCTTAAAAGTAATCGACGGATTACCAGGTACGATAACAATCGATTAATTCAATTCTTCCTGTTTCTACTTAACTGTTCCAATTAACTTGCTTAATGTTTTCTTTTCTTTTTAATTTTAATTAACTTCTTTTCCAGGGAAATGTTACCTTCCTGAAGATGTTGACCATCCACTTTACATGCCAACAGTGGACAAAGCTTTGTCCAACTGTGAACAAACTGATTACCGAGGACCAATTCATCTTAAGCTTATAATTGAATGGGATCTTGACCTAAGACAAACCTTATTGGTTGATGATGACGATCTTTTAACAGTAATTGACGATCCAAACATTGAGTTTATCAAAGTTCACAATGAGATGGCCAATACAGCAACTTTGAAAGATTGTCTTGACATGTATTTTCGTGAAGAGCGTCTAGGCGCTGATAATGCTTGGATGTGTCCAGCATGTAAACGCCGTCAACAATGTATCAAAAAACTTTCCCTTTGGTCAACACCCGATATATTCATAATTCATCTGAAACGTTTCCGTCAAGCCTCAAATTCATTGAGAACTAAATTAACAACTTTGGTTACTTTTCCATTTTCCGGTTTAGATATGAACCCTTATCTAAGTAACCGTAACAATTACAATAATCATCTAAACAATAACAAACACGGAGTTGACACTGTTGACTTTGTTAACAACAACAATCAAATTAACAGTCAAATTATACGTAATTCATCAGGACGTCTACCATCACCGTGGCGTCGGCCTTCACGTGATAATTACAACAATCAAATTAACAATTCAAATTCAATACGCAATTCAACAGTTTATTTACCATCTCCATGGCGTCGACCCTCACGAAGTACTTTAACCAATAACAATACAATTGTATCTGGTTTTCCAAAACATGAAGATAATATTTACAATCTTTACGCAGTTTGTAATCATCATGGTAACATGTCTGCAGGTCATTATGACGCATACTGTCGCAACGTTGTCGACGGTAAATGGTACTCATTTGACGATCAAATTGTTACTCCAATTCTCGAGCGATCCGTAGTTACATCAGATGCTTACATCTTATTTTACCAAAGATCAACTCTTTCACCTCAAGTTTCATCTTGTTCCTCCTCTTCATCATCCACCAATGGTTCATCATCAACAACCTCTTCAAATAGTTCATCAACAATCAGCAGCTCAGCATCTTCATCAAACAGACCAATTGATCATTGGACTTATCATCTTGCACCACAGATAAAAACATCAACAATTTCAACTTCCATCTCTAATAGATCATCTCCTAGTTCAGCAAAAGTTCAGATAATTTATCTTCATCAAGCAGTCACCATGGGTCAGGTTAGTAAAAAAAGATGTCAAAGTGATTCTCAATGCTGAAAAATTCATTTTTTGTCCTAATTGTTTTCAGATTCATCTCATAAAAGAGATCACAATGGAAAAACCAACCACAGCAATCAACTGTCTCGTGGAGCTCGCGCCTATTCAACATTACCTTCAAGGAAACCATCTGATTCAGCTAAAAGTTCATTAAAAGATTCTCGACCAATCTCACCTCCGATCAAAAGATCTCAAAATATTTATAGTAGTATGAGCCTAAGTAAGAGTAGAAGTAACCATTTAATTGATAAAATAAAATCAACTCATTCACCTCAAGAATCACATCAACAGCAGCTATCAAGACCAAAGAGTCTATCATCCAATCTTCATCGTCATCCCGGTACAATTAATAACTCGAATGGACCTTTGTCATCACCCTCTCATCATACCAAAGGAATTGATGGTAAATATAAGGCTAATTCGCCTGATTGTTTACCTAATAATTACTCAATTGATGAGAATCAACTTCAACAACCTTCTCCTCCCTCTTTGCAAGAAAGCAATAGGTATTGGACGGTCACCTCGGTTTAGAGACGATCTCTTTTCATGTTTCGTTGGAATATTGAGTTGAACTTATGGCCTCGAATATTTTGGACAAACAATATTCCCATATTGACATTCCCAAAATAACCTGAGGAGGATTACGATGAGCAGACAATCAACTATTTCGAACCAAATCATTTCAACTCTGGTCAATCAACTTGTGGCAATTAACAAAATTTAACCAACTTGTTTTTATTTATATTTCTGATGTGCAATAATATTGCACAATTTAAACCCGTTAACTAAAACACTTTACCCACCAAAACCCAAACCACACCAAAGAACTAACCAGGTAACGCTCTTCGGGTAGTTATCGTTGATTCTATTGTTAATTTAATAACAATTAGCATTTCCCGATACTTGCTTTTTATCAGTTGGATTTAACTTGAAGTTAATCCAATTCATTAACCCTTTGCTCTCTCTCAACCTCACTTTATATCCTCATCATCACTTTGATCCTTTTGTTGTTATTAATCAATTCTTATAATTGGTTTCCCGTTTTGCCAAAAATAAGCTCTCATTTAATTATCACCTAACATTCAACTAATTAGCCGAAGCTATTTAGTTTCCTTAATTGTTGTGCTGATCATATAAAAAGAAAACCGGAGATTATGGTGATTAACGTTGATAACCGTTAAATCAAGAAACAATGGATCAACTTTAAATGATGAAGAATTGATTGTTCATGATTTATCTTATTTTGTTTTATTTTCTGTTGTAAAAAAATACACAAAAGCAAAAGGGAAATGATATAATACACATGGATCATCAAGTGATAACAAGCTGTTAATATTAATTACAAACCAACAACAATTAAGCCATGAAGTTTCAGTGGATTAACAACTTTATCCGCACTATTGTTTTATTGTTAATCACAATTAACGATTCAACACTTTGGAGATATTTATTTTTGATAAGTCGCCTTCGCCTTTCATTAACAAATTATTAACTCAAATGATCAATTAGAAGGACCCAAATGATTAACCAGCGATAAAGATTTAATTTTTATGGACCATGTTAATGTTACGATAATCTTATGATAGATTATGGATCAACAATATTTACGAAAAAATATATTAATTAATTTGATTATCTTGACTGGACAACAATTGATGACATGAAGAGGAAACAGCAACAATTAATCATTTTACTAATCAAACATTTACTTTTGATGGAAACTTAATCATTACATTTAATTGTTCCTGTTGATTAACCTTTAACTCCCCATGTGAATATCTCATTCAAGTTACCAAACAACTCATATCTAATTAGGATATTTTAATTAACAACTTTAATCACTTTATTTTATTGGTCAGTTGAAATGATAAATAATTAGTTAATCATAAACTGTATTAACCTGTACTTACAAAATTAACATGTTCAAACTCAAACAAAATTAACCCTCTAACAAACTGTTATCCATTCAAATCAATTTGATTAATTGTTACACGTTCACCTAATTGTTTTCCTCTGTCACAATTAATTGTCACTAATTCCTCTTGTTAATTATGTTAACTCATTCATATATTGTTTCTGTCTTTCTTCATGTATCATTTTCACATGTTCTATTTTCGTTCTCTAATTGTGATTAACTGATTGTTCCTACATATTATTTACCAAATTGAAAATTATCCTGGTTAATGTATAATTTGATTCTTAATCATCTGTTAAACAATTAGCTAATTGTTGTCATCCCATTTCACAAACTATCAAAATCTAACTGTTTCTATTTTCTGATTCTACCTTGATTATTGTTAAACTATTAATAATTGTAACAAATCTTGATGTTAATAATCAAATTAATTAATGTTAAGACTGTGACAATCAAGCCAAAGGGTTTTAATTGTCAACTATAAAAAAATTGAGATTAATAACATAAAGATTTGATTCGCCGATTGTATAATTAATTGTTAAAATCACCAAAAATCTATTCGATGTTCAATCAATTTAAATGACCATTTAATTTTCCAGAAACATTTCCAAAAATTAATTAATTGTTCAAAATACACATTCAAGATTAATAAGATTTTCACAAAATTTTCTCCAAACAAAAACAATCAATCATTTCAATTGCAATCACAATTAATCTTGATAGTCCATCACGATGAACAGTTAATTGTTTCAACTAATGATTGATTGTATCGCTGATTATCAATTGGTAATCCATTGAAATCAACACAAAAACATTGACCATCCAAACATTGGATTGGATTGTAATTACCAAGATGATCACAATTATAATTAGTCCAATTTTTATCGTTCACTTTTCTCAGCATATCTTTATCACGAATACAATCTGTGCAAGGAAACAATTTAATTAGACAATTAACGAGGAAATAGCGATTTAATTACTTACTACATTTAATTTTCTCAATATCTGGTGAATCTCTTGAAATTGTTACTTGGCTTCCAAACTTTTCACCTTTTTTGTTTACGCAGAAACAACTGATCACAATTAAGAAGAAAATTAATTGTTGTTGATTAAGAGCTCTAAATTGTTACCTTGTTTTATCACATTGTTTAGCTTTGAAGGTTCCATCTAAATCACAATCAGGTAATTCGTAACCAACAACATAATCAAATGTTTTCTTGAGATTTGTAAGTTGATTAGTTTTTCTGGTTAATTCAGACCAACAAGGGAAATCTGATGTTTTTTGATTATCTGAAACAATTAAGCAGCAATTAACAGCGTTTAATATTTGATTTACTTTGTTTTGATTACACTTACAACAGGGTAACTTTTTAATATTATTAATTGTCACTGGAACTCCTTTAATTGCTCGTCCATGATTAGATGTTGAATCGATACAATAACCATGGGTATTAGTTAATTGTAAACTTAAATAGTTACCATTTGATTGACATTGTGGTGAACCAGAGGGTATTTTTAATTGTCCCTGATTGTTTAACATTGAACTGATTGAATTAAGATCACGGGAACAAGCTTAGCACAATTAAATTAGATTAATATCATATTAAATTATATCTTTTCCTCTGTGATAATTACCACAATTAACTGATGATTTTTGGGTCTCTAAAAAATCACCGAAAATTTTGTTTCCATTTCCATCAACACAGAAACACCTAAATTGTTGACAGTTAATTGTTAAAATTTTATACCAATTTGATTGTTAATCTTTTAATACCTTGAATTGAAACATTGGAAATTGAAATAATCACCAAAATAATCACAATTAGTGATATAATTTAAATTGTTTCCATTGGTGTTTATTTCCAATGCTTTTATCCGTTTGGTCAAACAATCACTTTTACCTGTAACAATTTAGACTAAATTTATTTCTCATTATTTTCACCAATCAAAATTATTTAAATTGTGATAATTAACTTGTCCTTACCTTGGACACATTTAGCTAATGGTTGATTGTCAGAGCAAACTAATTGTTCACCACAAATAATTGCTGGGATATTTTGATAAGACGTTTTAACACAATTCTCGTCTAAATCTGTTGATTAGTTTTAATTGTTAATTTTTTGGATAAAAATTGAAATTAAGGTTAATTAAACTCACCACCAATCTTGACACAGAGATTACAACAGCCACAGGTCGTTGAATTAGTCAAAAGTAAATAGCCTTCAGGGCAATCGGTTATTTCTTGTGGACATTTATTAATTGTACAATAATTAGATGAGCAAACATCAACTCCAGTAACAAGACTGACCGATAAAACCAACAATAGACATGAAAAACTGTTCATTAAATATGAAAATTTAATTGTTGACATTATTAGAAACATTCAATTCAATTTGTTGTCTTAATTGTTGGAGAAACAATCAAATCATTTTGTTTTATTACAAGAACCATAACAATTTATCTAATCAGTTATCAAAATATATCATAAACTTTTATTTGTTCAAGAAAATGATTTAAGATGGAAAATATTTATTGGAATGATGAAACTACGAAAATAATTAACTAATTTAATTGAAAATTCTGAAACAATTAAAGTGAAAGAAAAAATCTAAAATCAAACCAAAGATAATAACTAATCATTTTCATTTGGAATACAATTAATTAGTCTAAATATCAACAAACTAAATATTCTTCATTCATTTCTAATCAAACCATCAATTTAAATGAACAAATTATTCAATCAATGAATCAAGTTGCTTTTCTCAACAATTAATAAGTTAATCAACTTTTTGGAAAAAGAAAAAGAATTCAAATTTACAGCGCAAAGTTGGATTCCTCCGCTAGATGGCGTTCGTGTTGCAGCGGAAAAGGAAGTTGATTTTTTTTGAAGAATTGAAATTTCTTGTTGGTTTTGGTTTGTGTTATTGGATTTGTTTTATCAATTTATTTAATTGTAATTAATTAAATTTTGTTACAATCATGAAATTAAACGCTAAGGTTAAGTCTATCGGTGTTAAGGATGTCAATCAATCTGTTTTGGTAATTGAAGTTGCCAAATTTCTTAAAAAGTAAGTTGATTTTGTTATGGTTTCTCTTGGTGTTTTTTTGTCTATTTTGTGGCCGGTGTGTTGTTGGCTTGATCATTTAATTGGTTTTGATTTATTTTGTTTGATTATTTTAATTAATTGAATGTTTTCTATGTTTTGTCCTGTAGGTCTGGCAAATTACCAATTCCAACTAAATTAGACATCGATATCGTTAAAACTGGTCTATTCAAGGAACTCGCTCCATTTGATCCTGATTGGTATTACGTTAGATGTGCAGCCATTGCTAGACATCTTTATCTTCGATCACCATCAGGTGTTGGTTCCCTTAGACGTGTATTTGGAGGTAGATACCGACGAGGTGTTCGACCATCACACTTTTGCAAGGCTAGTGGAACAGTTCTTAGAAAAGCTTTACAAAGTTTGGAAGCATTAAAATGGGTTGAAAAGGATCCAGTCTCTGGAGGACGTAAATTGACATCACAAGGTGTCCGAGATTTGGACAGACTTTCAGCTCAACTTAAGGCAACAACCAGAAGTGAAGTGATCCTGTAAACAATAGCAACATTTACGAGACTTTCAATTCGTATTACATAAAAAACAAATAAATTAAAAGTCCTTATACAAAAAAATGGTTTAATCCTGATAATCATTTAACACTTCACTCGAGAAACAATCTTTCAATAGAATAACTTTTCCTCTATCATGTTGATAAAACTGTATTCTAATCAAACTTTCGGTAAACTAATCGTTCATTCGGCCAAATTTCGCTCATTTAGCCAAATAGCAAATCATTAATTTGCTCAAAATTTGGTAACAATTACAATATATTAATCCAAAGACCTTGTTAAAGTTACAATCAAAAACGAAGGCGTGATAATTAATATCTTTCAGGCCTAAAGACCACAAAGAAGATTTCAACCTAATGGTAAATCACTTTCAAGGAATAAATCAAATAAAAGTGTTGATTGATTAATCAAATTCAAAAGCAAAGAGAAACAAAAAATGAACAATCAAATTAAATTGCGAATCAACATGAAAATTAACATTCGTACATTAAAAGCTTAACAGTTAACCAGAATTCAAACCTTAGCAAAAACGAAAAGTTTTTCATCTCACTCACTCACTTTCTCTTTCTCTCTCTCTTTCTCTCTTCTATTCTTCTCATTTATCATCTTTATCATCTTGATTATCTTGATCATCATCTTGATTACCTGTTTATTAAATTGTAGCCCACCTAATATACTTGGAATTGAGTTTCCGTGGCGCCCAACTAGTTTAGTTAACAACCTTACCTTGATTAGTGAACATTCAACCAACAACAATTACAATTGATTCCCAAACATCAGCATTAAATTTCATCATTTAAACAAACAATTTACTAAAAATTAAGTGAACAACAATTTAAATCATTAATTCATTTGGATAAAGACAAAAAGGATTAACAAACAACAACAAGTAATTAGAGTTACAATTATTTTCCAATTTTCAAACTTTTACTTTCACTTTTTTCTTTCGATTATTGTTTCTAATTGATACGAATATTAATTTAATTAGTAATTAATTTTAATTTCTTTCTCTCAGTGAAATTTTATCTCAGAAATTCATCAATTGAAAGACCAACTGTTGATTTTAAAATGAGTGACGATATAATTACGGATACAAAGAATTACCTATCAAGTGGTAAGTTAACAACAATTTAAATCAATAGCAATTAGTAAATTGATCAATTTATATGTGTGATTAGTGCAACAATTTACCCCTAACAATATAAACATATTGACTAATGATGATTTGCTAAATTAATTCTTGAATTGATTAACTATTAATATCGAAAAAAAGTTTTTTTCTTCTTCTGTTAAAGTTAATTGTTGTTTACTGTTGATAATCAGAGATTTTTTTCTTCATATTCTTATTCATTCAATTTAGTTGATTGTTACCTTAATCAACTGCACACTCACATAAACACATTAAAATACATTTGCAATCATCTAATCACGATGATTATTTTAATCATCATGATGATTGTCAATTTTTTAGACTCCACAATCAGGGCAACTCAACAATCATTGACATTGATAATGACTAACTAATCAGTAAAACTATTAATCGAGGTGAGAATCAACAAATCACCATCAACTAAATTATTAACGATATACCAGTTTTTTTTTTGCTCAACTCATCATTATTATAACAATTTAGTTAACGGTAATCAGAGAGTAGTTGGTTGATTAGTTAACTAACGAAGGTAAAAAAAGGAAATCAATTGATTGAAAAATCGTCTCGATCTCAACGTTACTATTTTTAATTGTTGTGTGTCAGTATTATTATTATTAACCCTTTGTTAGTTAAATATGATCTGTAATTCTTGTGGTTTATCAGCGTCAGAATCAACTAAACATCAACAATTAACTTCAACAGTAAAATTAACATCTAATGTTATTATTAATGATGAGGTTGATGGTGTTATCTTGCCGAGGACAATTAAAAGGTGTCCGGTTAAATCATGTTTGAAGAAACGGACATCGTTGTTACCTCCGCCTTCACCTTCACCACCGCCACCAACAATTAATCAATCATCTTCCTCATCAACATCAACCTCATCTTCATCATTATCATCACCCGAATCAATATTAGCCCATTGCGATGAAACTTTGACTAAATTGCGTCTCTCATTTACAGATGGCCTGATTGACGATTATATTGTCGGTGATCGTGTTTGGGTTGACGGAAACAAGCCAGGCTACATTCAGTTCATTGGTGAGGTTCATTTTGCCGACGGTGATTGGGCTGGGGTGGTCCTCGATGAGCCGATTGGTAAAAATGCTGGTTCAGTGAGTGGAAGGCGCTATTTTTACTGTGAACCCAAACGTGGACTTTTCTGCCGTCTCCAGCGGCTTTCACGTTACCCTTATTCGTTTGGTAAGTCCACTCCCGACTCTGGTATTTCCGCTGATGGTGAAGTGATTGCTCGTGGTCTCCGTCGTTCTCTTAAAACTGGTGGAACCTCATCTCGTGGCGGTTCACCAAGTCGTTCATATACCAGTAACTCGGAGCGAAGTCGATCTTTATCCCGATCAGTTTCCAGGTCACCTGAATCATCTCGATGGTTATCCTACTCGGAGACACATCATGATCCCAATTGTCCATCTTCCCGATCATCTTCTCGTAGAGCTGGATCACCGATGCGCCATCGATCAGTCAGTCCATTAGCTCGATATGCTTGGTCCAATACTGATGACCTTAGTAACCTGATCGCCGCTGATGATTATGCCACCGAAAACAGATCAACTAAAGTTTACTCTTACACACTTCCCCGTAAGCCAACGTCAACTTTAACCACCGTCTCCACGGTGACAACAACAGTTGACGGCCAATACAAACCAGGTCCACTTCGTCCTGGGGATAAGGTGTTCGTCAATTCATCCAAAGGTCTTCTAACGGGTCGCCTTCGGTTCATAGGGTCAACCAATTTCGCCGCCGGTCAATGGGCTGGAGTTGAACTCGATGAGCCTCATGGTAAAAACGATGGACAAGTTGCTGGAAAAAGGTAAATCAATTGACTCTTATTTAGATCATAATTTATTTTTATTCTAATAGTTTAACAATTAATTTTCTATCCAATTAACATTTACAATCAACTCTCTCTCCCTCTCATTAATCACTAATTACGCCATTAATTGTACGATTAAAATTTTATCGATAATTGGAAATTTTCATTTATAATCAATTCTTGTTACAATTTGAAAGACATATTTTCACAATTAATTTAATAACATAATTTTGTTGTTTAATTGTTAACTTTTAATCAAAAGGAAAGACATTTAATCAACTGACTAAATTGTTGATCACAACAAAGACTAGTTATCCTTGATTAAATATATTGTTTTTTTAGTTTGGTGTTATTTGATTGTCTTTCAACAATTAAAAATTTTCTCGCTGACAAAATTAAATTTTCATAATTCCCATTGGGAAGATGATTAAAAAAATTATTTAGTATGTTTCAAGGTCAACTGATTGTTAATCACTATCAGCGTTAATTTAATTGTTAGAAGAGTTTATTTCCACAGTTAATTAATATTAATTATCACATAATAACAATCTGGAAACAAAAACCTCAATCTGGAAAAAAGTTATTATTTTCACAAATTTTGATTCTAAACTTTAATTGTTAATCTGTTAATTGTTGATTCTTAATCACAGATACTTTCATTGTCGATCCCGATATGGCCTATTTGCCCCGAGCTACAAAGTGGTCAAGGCGGATCCCAATCGGATGACCACAGTGACCAGAACCGTTCGTAATGGACCAAGATTTTAATTGGGAAATAATGATTAACATCAACATCTGATTTATCTGCGACAATTTAATTGTTGTAATCGTCTTCAAATTTGATTGTTGTCCTTTCATAGTTAATTATTTTGTTCTGTGTTCAAGTCAATCTATTTGTCTCTCTTTTTGATTACTGATTCATTTACCTTTTTTTACCCTTTAATTCATTGAAATTTAATTTTCTTCTTTTGCTTCTGACTGTTAACAATTAACTCTAATTAGTTGAAACAATTTAATTGTCTTTTTCTTTTCCGTTTATCATCTCATACAACAACAATTAAACCAACAATCAAATCAATCAAATAATTTTCTTGTAATTTCATTAAACATGTTGATTAAAATGCTTTTGTTTCATTAGAAAGTTGATAATCAAGTCCTTAGATCGTTTACAATTTAAATTGTTATCACAATTTAATACTCTAATCAGTGGGTTGTCTTATAGTAGTTAATCAACAACACCCACAGTAACAATCTGATCAATTACAATTAGCATTAGATTGATAATCAACTAAATCTTTGTAATCTCAATTGTTTGTTTATTAGATAACAATTAACATTTCCAAGTAAATTGTTGGGGTTTTTGCCCATCGACCAAAATGCTAATCATTGATAATCAACAATTTAAAATTAACTCACGAGTCTTAAATCACAAAGTGATCAGAATTTTCTAGATAATTATTGGAATTCACTCCAACTATTAATCATTTGGTTTCTTGAAATTAAATTAAATCGCGTAGGTTTTAGGACAAGGTTAAGTCTAGAAGATTTTTTCGTAAACAACAATTAAGCTAATGTAATAATCAACGAATGCATTTAAAGGGTAACTAACTAATTCACTTAGCTGATGATAACTGAATTAACTAAGTGGGCTGTTGTTGTTGTTGTGGAAATTAATTTTACGATGATCAAGTTGATTGTTGGAAAAGGTCATAGTCAAGATATGAAAGTACAATCAACAATTGAGGTTCATCTTGTTAAATTGTTGATCCAATTTGATTAACGACGGTGGCGATGATTAAACTTTCTCTAACGATTATGTTGATTAATTGATTCCATTATTGATTGAGTTAATTTTCAGCGATTCTCAATCATATCAAATTATGGTAACATTTAATTTCCACCTTGAATTTTAATTGTTGGTTAACTTTTGATTCTCAGGGTTAAATTGTTGTTGTTAGACACAAGGATGATTGTGATGACAATAACGATGAACCAAATAAAATAATAAACAATCAACTGATCACAATTAAATGTCACATTGATGATGATCAGATTGATTTGATTTGGTTGTAAATTCTTGTTTATTATTAATTTGGTAATTTGTTGTTACTATTATTTAAATTGTGGAGGAAGTGGCAATGAAGGCTTCATGATGATAGTGAAATTAGTGATCATGATTATGATGTTTGATTGATCAAAATTAACTCACGCAATTAAGTTAAATTGTGGTAAAATAAATTGTTAGTTCTTGAACTTATATTTTACCAAAAAAAATCGTAAATTTTTCACGTTTAGTTGATTGTTGATACTATTATTAATTGTTGGTATCTTAAGCAAGATGGTGACTTGATAATCATCAAGGACAATTAAAAAATGAATTAGAAACAAACAAAATCAAAACTAACCATTGATTAAGAAAATTATTTAAACATAATTGTGATTAGATTTTATTCTCATCCTTCAAGTTGATCATTAAACAATTGTCCTTGTCAATTAACTGTTTCTCAACAATTGAGTATTTTTCAATTACCATAAAAAATTCAGCTAATAAATTGTCTACATAAATTGGTAACAATCAAGTCAACAATTAAATCAAAACCGGGAACTTGAAGTGAATCTTGACTAGGAGAAACTTTTCTCAATCTTTATCATCTCGATTTAATCCAATAATAGTTGATTACCTTTGATTTAATTTGACTTTTTTCTGGGAAAAAATCAACAATCAACCGAAAAATTGATCAACTAATTGGAAAATTAATCAACACGACAAACTAAGATGACCATCATAAAAGATAATCAAATGTAATTAGAGATTGTAACCAAATAATAAACCTGCTAAATTCATCAAGATTTAAATTACAACCAATTAGAAGAAGAATTAAAATTGATAATCAGAAAGACTTTGAGCACAATTTAAACTCCAAGCTGATTGTTGAGTGAAAATGACAGTTCTAATTACGATATTATTATTACCTTCATTTTCAATTGATTTGTTTACATTCAATCCAAGGAAAAACAAGTAAAATAGTAAGTAAAGTAATTAAATTCACATTTAGCTAATTGTAATGATCAATCAAGTTGAAGGAAACGAAAACAATTTCAACAAATTGTATCAATCAACTCATCAGAATTTAAATATTAAAATAACCTCTTAAGTTCATGTGAGCGTCAGTGGTATAACGGTTAGCATAGTTGCCTTCCAAGCAATTGATCCGGGTTCGACTCCCGGCTGACGCAAATTTTTGACCTTTTTTTCGACATTTGACTTTGTTAATTGTTGTCAATTCGTCGAATCTCAATTTCATCTAATTATTGTTACATTCACTTACAATTAACATGATTGAGACTCTTATTAACAGTTGTATTCTGATGAATTGAAATTCTGTTTTGTTAATCAATTATAAAGGAAATTTAATCGTTCAGTTAAATTGTAAAAATTTTATTGTTAAAATTTTTCATATTAAAATAAAATTAGTTAATTGGTTGATTGTCATTGTTAACAAACATTGACATTCATGGTTTTTCAGTTAAATTAATTGCAGTGGATTTTCCCCCTTTTAAGATGATACTTAATTAATGTTCTTAACGTTCATTGTTTTGATTATCTTAAATTGTTTACTCGTTAAAATTGATTAAGAGTATTTGTTTTGTTGTCAAGTTTAATTTCCCTTTGATTTTGTTTGATTTTTGATTCGCTGATTGTTTTAACTTTAAATGGTGGTTTAAGTATGAGTAACAATTGTTACAATTTATAAAAAAATGGCAAATGATGATTTAGAGAGATGATTAAATGTTTAATTGTCTCCGTTGTGTCATCTTAATTGTTTGGCTAGAATCGGAAATGAGCATTGAGCATATCTTCATAAGTATTTTTGTCCAGTGGCTTGTAAACCATTGATTTAGTGTCTAAATAGTAGATTGGATCTTTAATTAGGTTTATATTGTAACCTTCACGTTTCAGGTCAAATTTTGATATTTTACTGGTTCCCGTGAATTGAAGTTCCTTAATGAGACGGACGAAATGTGGTAACGCGTAATTTGGCAAAGATGATCTGAGGAAATTTATCAGTTTGACTAGATCAAGAGACGCTGAGGAATCAACAATGGCCGCCATTCCCACTTTACCCTCTTCACCGGGTATTTCAACACCGAAAACAGCGGCATCAGAATTGTCACAAAAACGGGCAATCATCGCTTCGATTTCATTTGTGGCCACATTTTCACCTCTCCATCGATATGTATCACCGATTCTGTCCTTGAAATAAATGTAACCATATTTATCAACGGTCACCAGATCACCGGAGACAAAATACTGATCCCCGCGAGTCAGAACATCGGCCAATATTTTCTTTCGAGTCGCTTCCCTGTCAACATAACCATCGAACCCGTAAAGATGATCGTTCTGCTTGATCTTAGCGATAATCATACCAACATCGCCTGGACCAACGTTTTGACAAAGTCCATCTTCGCCTCGAATCGGCTCACCAGTTTCAACGTTCACTTTAATTATTGTCAATGGATAGAAAATTCTTACAAGAAATTTTGGCACAATCTAAATAATTATAAGATAAAAGAGGAAATAATTAGTAATGCAAATTGTTCAAACTCAAATCGTAAAGCTCATTTTAATTACCACTAATTAATTATTTTACTTCTCTCAAGCATGACAATTTAACTATACCGAGAAAAGGTTATTTAAACTTGGAACACTAAATTATTCAATAACATATTCTAATAACAATAGTTGATTAATTTCCGCGTTAATTGTTCGGTTTAGTTAAATTCATTCCATGTTATTATTGTGTCAACAATTAGAGGTTAAAGTTTGAAATAAGTGAACTCACCATGGACAGAAATCCGATCGCACCAACTTTTCCGGTAAAGTTAACTAATGAAAGAAAATGAATTAATTATTAATAATAAGCTCTTTTTATGGTAAAAATCAACAATTAACTCACTTAGTGATGAACTTCCCTCGGTGGATCCATAAAACTCAACGACACGTTTGACATTGAATCGATTAACAAAATCAGGCCAAATTGCTCCTCGAAGACCAGTTGATATAACCAAGCGAACCTTTCGTTGACCATCAGTAGATTTCGGTGGTTGAGCAAGTAGAAAACGACAAAGTTCACCAATGTACACAGCGACCTACGAAAAAAAGGAAGATTCAAATAGGTCATTTTATTGGTGTTTTAGTTTCACGCGAGTGTTTGAAACTTACGGTGCATTTGTTACGATTAAATTCATCCCAATATTTAGAAACTGAGAATTTGTGTCTCATAACTGAAGTACATCGAGTTACGATTGGAACTGTGGCACCGAAAACACCGATCATATGGTAAAGCGGAAGAGGAACATAGAGAATATCTTTCGATCGGACTCCAGCGGCAAACGAAATGCCAACAGCCGCATAAAAGACACGAAGATGTTTAATGATCGCCGCTTTTGGAAGTCCAGTTGTACCAGAAGTATAAGCATAGAAACAAGGATCTAATGATCAGCGAAAAACAGAAAAAAATCAATCGTTGTCATTAATACATTACAATAGAAACCAAGACATTGTGTTAACAAGAATAAGAGAAAATCACCAATAAAATCAATAGAAAGAAGTGTGTTAAGGTCATCAACACATTAATTGTTCTAATTTGTGATTAAAGTAACAACAATCATCCCATTGTTCATTTGATTCAGTGAATTAACAGGAAAGAGCACAACAAATGGATACGAAGAGGTGACAAATTATTCTTTCATAACAATCAAAGATACGAAGACTAACAAACTCTGTCACAATCGATCGCGACAATAATCATGTAGAAAAGTGATTAGTTAAATTTGATGATAATCTTACCTTTAATTGAGCTTTTATGGGAAGATAAAAGCTTATGAGGAACAGCCTCAGCAATAAGAGGCTCAATTTGAATTGGTTTGATTCCATTTCCAATTTGATTACCAAAAACGTAAAATCTTTTACTTGAAACTTTTTCAATCAATGAAAGTGTTCCTTTGATAGCTATTTAATTGAGAGAGAGAGAGAGGAGAAATTAAAAAATCTAAATCAATCAATTTGTAAATAAAGGAAGAGAAAATCGTTTTTCCATTGGAAAACAATCGTAAAATCAAAGGAAGACTTCGAGGTTCAGGGTCAACAAGAAGTAGATGGAAATCTATTCACGAATTACAATCGAAATACTGTGAAGAAAAAAATCTTAATCAATAATTTAAATCTCGTTCTAATTAAACTATTGTCATAGAATTTGAAATGAAAGAAACACTTCCAAGAGAAAAACAAAAACAAAGAACAGCTGATTAAGGGCGCCAAGTTTGTTCTTTGTTGACAGTTGACCGATTAATTAATTATTTCGACTTTGGTTCTTTTTGATTAGAATTAGATAATTACCTTCACTTAAATTACCGTCGTAAATGATGGCTTTTATGTTCAATATGTTGATCGAATGAGCCAACGAGTGTGACCTTAAATTGGGATTGACCAGAGCGGTGATCACTCCGATCTTGGAGAGACCGATCCAAATGCCGGCATATTCTGGCCTGGATTCCATGACCAGAGCGATTTCATCTCCTGGCTTATAACCTTGGGAGTGGAAAAAATTGGCTACTTGATTAGTGTACGAATTAAATTGTCCAAAGGTCCAAGAACGATCTCCGTCAATGAAAATTGTTTTCTCTGGACATTGGGCAGCAACTTTTTCCAAATACGACCCAACTGTTTGATTAGTTATTGACAACCAAAGTAATTTAGCCTTAATTATAACTAAAACTGCACAGCCCCTAATTACAATCAATCAGAAAAGAAGACAATTAAAAAAAAATCTTGAATCAACTTAACAAGTTTAAAAGGTTTGAAAACAAAGTGTAAAGCAAAAAATTGAATGAAAAACAATTCAACTTTAATTGTTGTTGATTTGATTACAATAAATTACACCAATTGTTAACCTTGTACAGATTAATCATTTAACAATTAATATTCAACGATGAAATAAGGATCAACAATTAACCCAACTACTTTTGATTGGGTTGAGTCAAATTTGATAAGTTAAACATATTACCCACAATTAGTTGATTGTTATGAGACAGTTTTGTTTTTTTCAATCTCTTGACAATTATAATTATTGTTGTTGGGGAAAAATCAATAAATTGTTTCCAATCAATTAATTGGAAAGTAAAGTTGTCGCTTTGACAATTGTGGTACTGATTCAATATTCAATTTGAACTAAATTGTGATCATTTTGATTTCTCTTTGTGAACAATTGGTTAACAATCAATTCGTAAATAATTATAATTGATTATCATGTTGATCTATTTACTAATAAATTTCACCCTAAAACTAATTTGTAATCAACTCAACCATTAACTAATCAACAACAATAAACACCAACAATTTATTTTTTAAGCTTCCTCATTTATCGTTATTGATCATTTAGTTAATTAAATCGGGAAATTAATTGATTGTCAAACTTTATGGTGATTGTGCTTAATTGTAATTTAGTTTGTTGCTCAATTTGTTTAAGGAGTTGATTATAATTTCTATTTGTTAATTGTTGATAATAATCATGTAAACAATGATAAACTATTAAAATCGTTGTATTTCAATCTTAATTGTGACTAAATTAACAATTGATTATCAAGTTTAATTGTTTCTGCTCAAAGTATTAATCAAATTATTCTGATGAAAAATCGGTTTGCATCCAAAGTCAATTAATTGTTGATTTGGTCATTTGAAATCTGTTTTTCTTTAATACTAATTAACTAATTGTGACTGGTGATGATGTTAATTGCGTTAATATCTTTGAAAGGTTGATCAGATTAACTTGATAATCAAAACAATAGGGATTTTAATTGTTTCAATTAGTGATTTTTTCCTCTTATAAACAAACTTTTGTATCTTTAGTGGCCAAATTAAATTAAATCTTAATTGTTAATTTACAATTAACATTATAAGGGAAACTTTTTACTTTTAATTGTTTGATGTTTAATTGTGCCTGATTATATGAAGATGGTATAAAGTTCATCAATTAATTGTTCTTGTTTACTTTTAATAAGAAATTAAATCAGTTAATCAGTTGAAGGAAATCAATTACTACTTATACAATTAGTTAATCATCATCTTAACAATTACATAATCAACATTACCTGTTGATTACAATCAATTAGATACAACAATCAACTAATTCATATGAATATATCCTAACAATTTAACAATAATCAGCTTGATTTTAATTTCCTCTTAATTGCTGTAATCAAAATAACGATTTCCTTTCCGATTTTTTTTCACCAGAATTTAATTTGGTTTTTTTTTCTTGTTAATTGTTTGATCAATGACTTTGATTATCAACGGTAATCAAATGACTGATTGTAAACACAACAAACTAAATTGAATGTTAATCACGGTCAAGGAATCAATAGATTAAAATAGTTAATTAATTGTAAAGAAAGTTAAAGTTAAAATTAAATGGTTAATTATGAAATTTTTTTTTCTCAAATGACATAACATGTTAATTGTCAATGGTTGAAGATGAAGGTTATAAGATAATTAAATTAGTCAAGATATTGATGATTAATAATTAAATTTGATAATTTAAATATTTCCCTTAATTGTAAACAAATTAAATCAACAACAACATTTAAAATAATTTATTCATTTACTTTTTTAAACAACAAAGTTAAACCTTACGGGTTAACATGTTGATTTAGATTGTAAATTAAATTTAATTGTTCATGATTAAGATCAAAATTTGCTTCTTTTTTCATTGATTAGACTTAGTGATTAACATTAACCTTGACTCGATTTTGATTAACTAAGATAATCAAGAAAAGTTCGTAATCATTTCAACTTTTCGAGTAGAGAAAAAGTTTTCCCTTTTTTCATCAAATCGTATATATAATTTATTGTTATTTTTTTCCTTCTCACTTATAATAACTTATTAATTCATTAATATAATTTATTATTATATTATAACATGATTAATATGATTATATTTAAGTGTTTAGGTCAATTTCACTATTAGGAACCACAAATTTCCTTCTCATGAATTGATTACTCTTTTAATTGTAATTATAATTTTCCCTATTAATTGAACTTGTTGTTTTCCTTTAAGAAAAAAAGTTTGTTCCAAATTTAATTGTAACAATTGTTTCACCATTGATTAAAAAAAAAGTCAAACAATTTACACAGGTTGATGATATTCTATCAGTAGAAATCAATTTAAATGTATTCCTGTTATTAATTGTGAGGTAATTACTTCACAATTAAAGTTGTTATTCCGATGGTGGGAAAGTTGATTTTTAGACACTAATTGTTACGTTAATTTAGTAACAATCAAACTATAGACTATCAAGAGGAGAGAATACACTTGAAAAGAAAAATTAAATTGTTCTCTTACCATAAATCTCTGATAATAACATGATATAGAAAGTGGAAAATTTGATGAACAAAACTGATTGAATCCATTGTCCTTGTCATTTTAAGGTAAAACTATGGATAATTAGATGTCTCCTGATTTCGTTGTCACTTTTAAGTGTCTCTTAATTGTCTCTCAGTCTATTATAAATCTACATGGAAACAATTAATGGTCAGAGAGAAAAATTAACTTCAAAATAATGGGGAAAATTGATCAACTGATTGGATTTACACCTGAGAGAAATTCACAATTTTAAAGAGAATAAAAATTTCACACTAAAGTAACTCCATGGAATAGAGATTCACGAAATAAATACTGATAGAATTGGAGAGATGAAAAGATATACACTCAGGTAGAAGGAGTGAGATGGAAATTGGTAGATTGAGAGAGAGAGAAGGAGGGAGAGTTGATTTAGAAATTACAAGTTTCCAACCAACATCGAAGGTAAATGTTATTAACTAAACACAATTAAGTTTTTTTCGCTTCTTATCTACCTGTTATTTCATTCACTCTCCTCCCCTAATTTCATTCTCTCTCTCTCACTCTCTTCCTTTCAACACAATTCGTTACTACAATTATCTGTCATCTTCTTCATTAGAAATATACTAGAGGAAATATTGATAATTTCCAATAAGTGACAATTGGTTAAGGAAATTCTTTCTTCTGGTGTAAATAAACTTTTCCTTTTGGCAGAATTTCCATTGAAACCGAAGTTTACCTTTCCAGCTTTTCCTTGGAATCCTTAGCCAATTCTCATCATTCATCTTTATTTTCTTTTTTAATGATATCTCTTATCCTGAAGGTTCCATTCCATTCATATCGGTGAATTTCGATTGAGCATCCATTTGTCAAGTCGTTGTTAACATTATGTGATTAATAGAAAAACAGTATGAATGAAACTCTACCAAGATTCCAGAGATGATATAACAAGATAGAGGAAATACAACTTGTATTTTCATTTTTCTATCCTGTAGATTGTCCTGCAAAGAAATTAGTAAGAGAACAATTAAACAGTGATAATTACGAAAGAAAAAACAACAGCATAATTAACAAACTATTAAAAGAAAACAACCTTGACAATTGAACAAAAAGAAACTAGAGATTTTTATGGAAGAGAATCTATTTGGTTTCTTTTACTAAATTTATTCTATTTTTCTTTCTTCCCCTTCTTCCTACAACAATCAAGTGATTCAAATTGCTGATAAATTAGCAAAGATTCCAATCAATTGTCAAAAAGAAAACAAAGAGAAAATTAAATTGTTAGAGAAAAACATCATTTCAACAAGAAAAAAAGGTAAACAAAAAGAGAATTTCGATTCCGAATCGATTTGTATCAATTTTTCTTACCTAAAAATCGATTACCAAAAGAGACACGTGATTTTGGATCAAATTAATTAATTAATTTTCGTAAAACAGAAAAACAGAGAGAGAAAATTAAATTATTTCTCATGTTCGAAATGCAAATTTGACAGATGAAAATCACTGAAATTAAAGAGAAAAATTGATCGAATTGGTCGATGAGTCGAAAAAAATTGAAAATCGGTAATAACAATTAGAAGAAGAAAAAAAACAACACAAAAGAAGCGAAAGAGAAAAAGAAAGAGCCAGAAGAGTCGAAGAGGGAAATTTGAGAGAAACTCGAACAACCTTGAAGAGAGAAAGAGAAAAGAAAGAGAAAAGAAAAAATTCTACGCATCTTCCTTGTTCTCCCCCAGATGGCAGCACATCGGAGAATCTCAAGCGTCCATCTTGGAATTGAAGTTAAACATTAACTCAAGAAGTAAATGAATGAATTTTTTTGTTTAACTTTTAGGTTTTGATTAATTATAAGCCGTTCACTGCTTTTTTTAACATAACAATCCCTCGGCCATTAATTTGAATTGTTTATTATCTTTGAATTTTGTGACTAGATTATGGGTCGAGGCCGACCAGTGCCAAGGAGAGGTCGACCTCCCAAGGATGCCGAATCTGCTAAGAGATTGGCACAATTGAGAAAACCTAAATATCTTTACTCGGGACAAAAACAGCAACAAGGAAAATCTACCACCAGTAGTTCATCTCACAATACACCTCGGTCAAGATCTAAAAAAAAGCAACCATGGGAAGGTGAATCTGATGAAGATGATTACACATCTACTTCTTTCTCTAGAATCTCTCGGAGTGCTTACTTTGAAGATGCTGATGATGAGGAGGATAAATCACTTCTTTCTTTTGGTGATGATGGGAAAACTGGTCAATGGGACGAAGAAGATGATATGGAAGAAGATGGTGATGAAGATGATATCTCTGGATCACCTTCTGCTCCTTTAACTGCTTTCGATTCAAAATTAAAAATGGGTCGTTTTCTTAGAGCTCGATCTCCACCAAGATATGAGGAAGACAAGCTCGCTGATATGCCCCCTTTAAAGCTACCTGAATCATCAGCTGATCTTCTTTTACCGCCTCATCTTTCATCCAAATATTTGATGAAAATTTTAAGTGTTTATGAAGTTCTCAGTCAATTTAAATTTCAATTGAGACTTTCTGCTTTTCGTTTAGAAAATTTCATTTCCAGTTTGCTTCTAAATGAAAGTAATTCTCTTCTTTCAGAGATTCATATATGTCTATTGAAAACTTTAATTCGAGAAGATGAAGCCAATTCAACTCTTTTTGGTTCTCAGGATGTTAAAGACTCTATAGGAATTTATTTATACAATTGTGACCCTTTAACATGGCCTACAACCTTACGAATGTACATTATTGCTCGTCGTAGAGAGGAGACACCCGATACAAAGGCTATAATTAATCTTCTTATTCAAAACAAACAGTATGAAGAGTATCCAATTAATGTTCCATTTCAACACAAGGTGAAAGTGCTTTCCTTTTTGTGTGACACTTTTCTTGAGACAAATGTTGCTCGAGATGAGATTTTAAATGGTGAAGATGGTGTCCGTCATGATGACCATTGTCGTCGATGCCATAAGCTGGGTGATCTTTTATGTTGTGATCGATGTGCATCTGTTTGGCATCTTGGTTGTTTAGAGCCTCCCATGACGGATGTGCCTGAAGACGAATGGGTCTGCTCTATTTGTAAACAAATGGCCAAAGAAACTGGTTGTGCCAATGAAGATGGTACCATAGCCTCTTTTGGGGATGATGAAGGTCTCTTTTTGAGACGTTATATACTTGGTTGGGATAGGCATGGAAATAAATATTGGTGGCTGTGCCGTCGATTGATCATTGAGTTCAACAATGAGCAACAAGAAGCAGATGAAAATGGAGATAAAGAGGACAAGTGCATCTACATTTCAACAAAGGCAAAATTCTTGGAACTAATGAAATCCCTGGACAGAGAAGAATATGAGAAAGACCTTTACACTGTTCTCAATGAAATTAAAGATGAAATTTTTAAAGCCATGGAGAGAACTGATAGAATGACCAAAGAAGCTTTTAAGGCAACTGGAATTGTCAGAGCAATGAAAACATGGATTGAATTTGAAAGTGAAGTTGCCGAACCTGTGGTTAAAGAGGAGCCCGTGGAAAAGATTGAAGAAAAACCAGCAAATGTTAACAGTGAAGGAATCATGACTCGTCTCAAGACAGGGTCATTGAAAGAAAAAGGTTCAGGATCTGATAATGGTAAAGACGATGAAAAGGAAATGCTTATGGTTTTCGATGAAGCTTTGGATCCAAATTTTTTATACCGAATGTCTCGTAGAGATGCGATTGCTAGAGGTCTTTTCTTTAAACTTGGCATGGAAACCAAAAATTATACCAACATATTTTCTATGAATATGCTCGCATTAAATAAGCATCAACTTGCCGATGAACGTGACAAAAAACGCCATTTATCTCATAAATTTAGTCTCACTCCACTTTCTGAGCTTAAGTGGCAAGGTCTAGTTTATGGACCTCTCAAAACGACCATAGTCCAAACTCTTCGTCAAACTTTGGTTCAATTTGAAAATCAACTTGCAGCCCCTTTCATGCATCCTAATTGGTCTTTACACCGACAAAATTGGCTCAAAGCTGTATCAATGTGTAACCAACCTAAAGACTTTACCTTGGCTCTTTCAATCCTGGAAGCATCTATGAAACCTGTATTATTCAATCCAGTTTGGAATGAGGCCTTGGGTCACACCATTTTAGATCGTAACACCAACTTTGAGAGAGAAGAACGAAAGAAAGATGAGAAACGAGAAAGGCGGGAATTCATGGAAGAGCAAGAGATGATTATCAGAACAACTGGTGGGGTCAAATATTCAATTATGCCCCATCGAGGTCTTGTATTGGAAAAAGCTGGTAACATTTGGTTCGGTTTTGGTACCCAAAGTGGATCCATAGGCTTTGGTACCACTGGTGGTGTTGGTGAAGGAGGTGGTCGCGGTGTTCAAGCGCTTTGGAAACAACGTGGTGAAGAGTATCGAGTTAGCGGTAGTGGAGGCTGGATGTTTGTCTCTATTGCTAGATCTCGTTTTCCTCTACCATCAATTGATGTTGAACGTGTCGATGAATTGGAAATACCCGAAGAATATTCTGGTGAACTAATTAGCATTGCTTTTATCGATGTTGGAGTAGATCTCAGAAAAGAAAGAGAGGATCGCCTTTACTATCGAAAGTATCGACCATATAAAAATAAACGTAAAGGTACAAAGTGCATCGAAAGTTTCTTGGACCGTCGTCTACAATTAGAAGAAGCTATTCTTCAACAGAAATTGAAAGCAGAAGAAGATGACAGATTAAAACCTGAGGACGTTGACGAAGATGATTATGATACCAAATGTTACTCTCCACTTTGTCGGACCACTGGTATTGCTGCTTTTGACTCCTTGTGTTATTGTATCAGCTGTAGAAACAGACAAAAAGCTAAGAGAATCAAATTGGAACAAGAGAAAAAGGATAGAGAAGAAAGAGAGAAACGCTACAAAATAGCAAAACAAGAGCAAGAAAAAGGTGATATGCAAGACGTTATTGCCGATTGCAAAGATAGAGTGTATCTAAATCGAGTAGAGAAAAAAGTAGTTAAAGAAGGTGAAAAAGAAGAGATAAAGTTTACTATCTTTAAGACTAGTGGTAAACGAATCTTAGGTAAAGGACAATTACCTCCTTGTAATAGATTCACTACTTTGAAAGGAAAGAAAAAATCGATCTTCGTTTTGCCTAAACATGAACTTCGTCGACTTTCCCGTAACGCCAACCTACGTGAAGTGTCTGGTTTCAACTATACCGGTAAATTCAATAAATACCTTTGGCCCTATGGTATTTCACCTCGTCCAATTTTCCGATATTGCTGGTTATGGCGAAACACTTTACCTCAAGGATATCATAATCTGAATTTAGTGGCTTCACAATTACGAACCATTTGGTCTTGTATCCGTTGGGATGATATGCAAGTTAAACCACCACCTTCTGGTAACAATACAATCACCAATGAAAATGAAGTAATCACCACTGAACTTTTGAAACGACGAGATTTGGCTCCATTCGGAATTCGTTCTGAGTATCTTGTGAGGAAAATCATTGTTCCTTTGGTAAATGATGATCCGGCAGATGAGAAAGATACACCTTATGGACCAGGAAGAGCTGAAGAAAGTTATAATCGAGCTGGTCGACGTATTAGAGAAGGTCTGAGAGAAAGAAAAAAGAAAGTTGATGAAGAAGAAGAACGTCGCCGTCGAGGACCTTCGGTTACCGAAAGTTGGGTTGGTGAAGAAGAACTCGAACTTTGGGAAATTAAAATGTTCGGCGAACGATTAGAGAGACAACAACAAATGAAGGAGATCGAGAAGCGTAAACAACTCGAAGAGAGTCTTAAGAAACAAAAAGAAGAAGCTCAAGTCAAACGATTTAAAACTTTAGGAGGTACACCAACATCGGGTAAAGTTACTTCGTTAATTAGTGGTCCTAAACGAACTATTTTCAACAGTCGAACTCCCGTTACTCCAACAGTAACTTCAACTATTACTACAACAACCCCATCAACACCACAATTGATTACTCAAGCTCAGCAGTTTGCAGTGATTAGAACGGACAGTGGTCAAACATTCAAGGTTCCTGCAAGTGCATTGCAAGGTAAACAAGTGGGACAAAAAATTATCATCAAACAAGGTGGCAATTCGGCTACATCAACAACCGCTACCATTATATCAACTGGTACACCACCGACAGTCACAACTGCACCTACACCGACAATCATTGCAACTCCAAGACCAGCTGTTACCCCAGGGTCCACTATTACTCTGTCCAGTATTGGAGGTCTTCGACCTACTCGAATTGTTGGCTCAACACCGACTGTTCGACCTCTTATATTAGCAGGTACCCCAACAACTGACGCGACAACCACCACACCAGGTACAGTGACTCCCCTCAACAATGGACAACAAAGGATCCAGATTATTAAGCCTGTTGTCGGTGCTTCCCCCCAGACCGTGAAAACAGTGACCAATACTGGTGTTACCATTAACGCAGCCAATGCCTCAGGTGCCATTACTACACCGAACGCTGCAGGTGCTTCGCCCCAACAAATAATACAAATTCCAATTCGATTCGCTGATAATAGGGTTCAGATCATTCAAATTCCTTTGTCAATGTTTTCTTCGAGTCAACCGATTCAAATCTCAATCCCATCTTCAGTAACGCAACAAACAACACAAACGGTCACCGTAACCACAACACCACAACCAACTACAACCGCTGCTGCAACATCAGCTCAAACACCAACAACCTCTCAAGCAATCAAAATAATCAGCAGTACATCTAATTTAACATCAAATCCATCAACAGCAGCCTCATCAACCAATACAATCGCACCAAACACTACTCGTATCATCACTTTGAAAACCAACCCTCAACCAACTACTCCAATCGCTGGAACATCTATCCCTACATCATCTTTATTCACCTCTCCATCTACGATCAATGTCACTGAACCAGTAAAACCGGGAAGTATTCAATTGAAATTGAATCAAACATCATCATTATCATCTTCATCTGGGACCATTACCCCTGCTGGTACCACAGCAACTTCAATAAAACTCACTCCTTCTCAGACATTAACAACTCTGACACCAAGTGCAGCACCACTGGTTTCGAGTTCATCCACAGTTACCACCGCAAGTACAACAACAACGATTTTATCTTCACCGGCTAAATCTACAAGTTTAGTTCGCCCATTGTTCCAGTCACCGGTGGGTACACGAATTTTGGTCCAACAACAACCTAACAACACTGCAACAACCATCCACAAAGTAACTGCACCTTCATTAAAACTCATCACACCGCTGTCAGACTCTGGCGATAAACCAACAGCCGATGCAGTTAATAAACCATTTGTACTAACCCAAGAAATTCAAGATCGAATCGTAAGACAAGCTTTACTCAACACAAACCCTTCAACATCACCAGAAGTTCAACAAAAGCTTCTCGCTTGGCAAAAGAAGCAACAACAACCTGGTCAAGTAGTAGTCACTCCCGCCATCATCGATTCCACTGGAACTGGTCGAACATTGACCCCAGGAGGAACTAGTCGATCTAAAGGAACGAAACGAGCTCGAAACTCTTCAACCACAACAACCATAACACCAGCCACAGTTCCAGCTGCTTCGTTGACCGGTGATGATCTTTGCCTTCTAGATTGTCAACAAGTACTTAATGGTATCCTTGATAAGATTGATAAAGATGAAAAGATGGAATTGCGGCGTAAAAAAGCAAAAGAAAACCAATTCCAATCAAAATGGAAGTCTCTATTAACAAAGAAAAGAGATTCTTTAAATGACGCTGCCGAAGCGCTTAAACGAGATATCGCTCGTAAAAAGAGCTTAATGAAAGATAAACTTTGCAAAGAAATTCAAGCTGAGATAACCAAAGAAAGTCCGGTCAAGAAGAAAGAGACAACACCAAACAAGCAATCAAATGGAGCAGCAAACAAAAGCATCACAAGTAACAGTAGTTTGAGTAATAATACGAGCAGTAGTAATGAAGGTTCTCAAAAGAGGAGGAAAGTTTCCGATTCAAGTTCGGATGTATCCCGGCCTCCTCTCAAAATACGCATAAAAATTACCCCTCGCACCCCTAAAGGAAGCACAAGGGACTCAAACACCACCAATACTACAACAACAAGTAATAAGAACAAAAAACTTTACTGTATCTGTAAAACACCGTACGACCCGACGCGATTTATGGTTGGATGTGATAGTTGTCATAATTGGTTCCATTCGGATTGCCTTAGATTGGATGAAGAGGCGGTTCAGAAAAAGAAAAGTTGGATTTGTAATGATTGTCATGAAAGTGATGAAGAAGATGATGAAAGTATGTCAGAATCATCTGAAGATGAATGAACAGAGAGAGAGAAAAAATCTTTTAATTATACCCTTTGATTGTCTGTTGATTACAAATTAACAAGATTAATTGTAAATTGACCCAAACATTATTAGCACACCTTAAACACCCTTGATGATTCAATAATTGATGATAATTTTCTAATTGTGATTCTTTAATCAAATTAGAATAATAAAACTTTAACTTCCACCAGCGATTGATTATCAAATTGATTATGTTAACATTTTTTATCATTTTATCACAAATGATTGATAATCAAACTTTCGGCATTAAATCAACTGAATTCAGTCAATTATGATTATCATACTGTAAAAAGAAACTGTTAAAGCTCATAATCAAAACGAGTGACATTTAAAATTAAAAATTTTTTCGTGAGAGAAAAAAAATTCATTGATTGAGATCAGAAAATCAATAAAAATAAAAACTGAAAATGAGAAAAATGAAAAACGATAAACTAATCACATGGAATTTAAAATTTACATGGAATCGAATTAAAAGAAACTGACAAGCAATCAATTAGATTAATTAGTGAGTCTGATGGATTATTGGAGATTTGAAAAAAGTGGTTAAATTAGTTGAGAAAACAGGGTAACCCAAAAGCAAAATGATCGAAAAGGTAAACAAATGCTACGTAGCATTTGTTTACTTTTCTTTGTGTTGGTTACTTGTTACTCTGTGTCCAGAGGCTGAGCCCAATTGTGGTAAATTAAACAGTAAACAATCAATTAGAATTGACGATTTTAAGTACAAATTAACTTTTCTCTCTCAACTGGGTGGTTTCTTCTTGCATCAGGTGAGTGTTTCCATTATCTCCTTTGTTCGAGCATCATCACCATCACCCTGTAGATGAACAAAATGAATGGTGATTGGATTAAAAGAGGAAAACAACAGGATTTTCATTTAGTCAAAAGCTAAACTGTTTTCATTTTATTTTCTCTTTCTTTTCTCTTAAAATCTTCCTGGTGATGATTAAATCTGGTTTACGTTTAGTTTATCATTCACAGGGTTACAGTTCACTTATTGGTTCATTCCTGATCAATCAATTACCATCACAATTAATATCATCATCGTTTCTTTGTAAAACCTTTTCATCAACAATAAATTCATCAAACAACAACAACAACATGGAGATGCCTGATGAAACTAAACTTCATTATTATGAGACTCATTCGGACATTGTTTGGGCTGATTGTGAGATGTCCGGTCTTGATATTGATAAAGATCAACTTCTCGAAGTGGCCGTGATCATCACCGATTCAAATTTAAATGAGATCGCCACCCTTGGCCCTTTGGTGATCAAAACAGATCCTCATGTCTTATCCAATATGGATGAATGGTGTACCCGTAATCACACAAAGACAGGACTCTATCAGGCTTGCCTTGAATCACAATTAACTGTTGATCAGGTTGATCAGCAATTATATGATCTATTAGCTTCAAGGAATATGAAATTAGCTGTTCTCGCTGGTAATTCAATTGCTTTTGATAAATTGTTTCTCTCCAAATTTTGTCCCAAATTTTCATCTCTCCTTCATTACCGAACCATTGATGTTTCTAGTTTTAAAGAGGTTATCAAGTAAGTTTTGTTTTCTTTTGTACAATTTGATTCCATCGAGAATCTAATTCATTTATTGACAATCAGCTAATTTGTCTCTCATTTAATTTCAATTGTTTTCGCAGGCGTTGGTACCCAAATGAAGTCAATCTTAAAAAAAGGAATCTACACCGAGCTTTAGATGACATTAGGGACTGTATAACTGAACTACGTTACTATCGGAAAAAGTTTTTCAGACAACCATTTAATGACAATCATAAGAATGACATGTCTAGTCCTAATTGGTATAGAATTAAGGAAACACAAGAATAATCACAACAATTAACTGATGATGGAATTCAACACACTGCCAATCCTTTTGTTTTGTTTTTCTTTCGGAGAGAAAAAAAAAGATATTTGCTCAACAAATAATCTTCTTCTTGGTATCTTACCTCATTTCGATTTCACTTTCACTTTCTCTTTCTCTCTTTCTATCCTTTTTCTTATTCTTTTGGTCAGTTTACCGGCCAGTGTAGTGACCAGTTATCCAGAAAGAAAGAAACAAACCTTATGTTTTCTAGAGTTAAAAATCAATTTTGCACAAAAATTAACACAAAATCTACACCATTGGATTAGATGAATATCCTTTCATATCATAACACTTGAAATATATAATCACCATCTCCGAATTATTGAAATAATAATAAAATAGAACAATTTCCAAAAGATAAAACAATGCTGTAGATGTACATCATTTTATTGTTGCCGAGAATCTTATTATCAATGAAAATGTCTGATCCAAAACCGATCGAATTGTTTAAATTTGATTCTCTTTGGCAAGATCGGGATTTAAGGTTCAATTTAATGACAATGAAATTAAGTCTTCGAGAAGGGAAAATAATTCATATGATTGGATCATATTAGATTGATCATTTCAAAGAAAGTCGACAAAAGAAAATAATCAAATATTAATCAACGATTTCGTAATGGTAATGATCATTAGTCTTTTAATTGACCTTTATCTTGAAAATTGATTAAATAAACGAGAGTTAAACATAAATGATACTTGATTTTCATCCAAAATAAAGTTAAACTGTAACAATTTAAAGAAGACAAATTATTTTGATATGAAATTTCATTCGAAAATAAAACGCCAACGATACTTTTCACAAAGAAAACTGAATAAAATGAAGCCAACAATTAGTATTTAATGATTGGAATGATTTAGATCAATATCTCAATTCGTTCAATAATTAATTACAAACAATTTACTAAATTCAATCCATCTCAAGGGATAAATATTCCCTCACTATTTTTCCATTTTATCAATTTTTTCTCATCTTGAAATTTTGGAAAACAAACAATAAACTCTAATTATTGTAATGACTTAATTGTCTATCATCTTGTTTAAGGTTTCTAATCATAAATCCACAAGTAAACTGTCAATCCAATTCAGAAGGTTGATTAACATTCACAACAATCAAAAAGATCCTTCAAATGCGAAAGTTTTTGTCTTTTACTTTTGTTGTTAAATATTTGAGTAGATTTCTAATATTTTCCTTTTCCTTCATAATTCATTATTTCAAAAAATGTTCTAAATTATAACAATCTTATTGTTTCGCTAATAGCCTTCAATTAATTAAGGAAAAGTTGAGTGATAATCGAGTCGAAAATTTAAAAAATCGGTTTGGAAAATTGTAAATTTGGATACAGTCCCTTTTCTTTCTGAGCGACGTGGAAAAAACGTGTTTATCAAAATCTGATCTATTATTTTGACCTGAAATTAACAGTAATTATATTTCCTTGTGAATTTATATATATTCGTGATCTGATGCTGACGGGGAATCGAATAAGCTATAATATGTATACTCAAATGGCCGAACTGATGAGGAAATTGTATGTGAGCCGGTTGTATGCAAGCCAACTGGGTAAGTAAAAGAAAACCGTTAAATAATAAGACTTTGATCTATTCCGCAACGGAAAAAATTAATAACGAATAATAATAAAATAAACGGAAATCTCCTTGGAGATTTAGAAACAAATGAGTAGTATAAAACTACTGAAGAAAAAATTCTAATGCTTAGTCTAAAAATTTAAGTTACAATAATCACTTCTAATCTTGTTTTTCTAAAATTTTTCTTTTTCTATACAATCTCCTTCAACATGGAAAAATACATATCATTATTATTAAACATCGATGCTTCAGAGTTAACCTCCTATATGAAAGATGTTTCAATCAACGAAGCCACAGAAATAAAAAGAGTTTACCAATTATTAATTGATGAACCAGGACTAAGAAGAAAAAATGGAATCACCGGGAAAAAATTGAAACAACTACAATCCCTTCAAGAATCCTTTGAACAACCACCGGACTATCGTGATGCTATACAACAAGTAACCTCTCAAGTTAATAAAGCCATGGAAATTGATGAAGATTATGAAGATGAAGAAGTCATGTGTGAAGACGACAATGAACAAGTTTCAAGTGAATCTTCAAGCCGAGCAGCTGGATCAATAATAATAAATAATAATAAAAGGAAAATAGCTGATGCCTTACAAGAATTGAAACGTAAACGACTAACCAATTCTGTTCCGAAAAATTGGATGAAATGGACACCGATTAAAACCACACCAATGGCAACACTCTCTCATAAAATCATCAAACCAAATGAAATTTATCAAAAAATTTCATCGGAGATTGATAATGGTAATATTCCAGTATATAAAGAGATTTCCTTTTTTGAAAATCAAGATCATGTTAAGATTAAATCTCAAGCGCTCGACAAGCTACTGGAAATTACGCTTATTATTGAAAGATTGATTCCTGAGATTGAAATTAAAAACTTCTTACCAAAACCTCCGAGAGTTCGTCTTAATGGTTCTAAAAATCTACCTGATACACCTTCATCACTATTATTGAAAATATTCAAGTTCAATCAATATATGAATGAAACAAATACAACAATAATAACACCCAAAAGTAACACACCAAAGAAAGATCTATTATTAAAGATTACACCAGCAGTTCGATCCCAATTACAAAATGAAAATGGAATCATCTCTCTTGGAATGAGAATAATAAAAGTTTCTGACCATTTTGATGTCATGTACTGCAATCGATGCCACAGCTTGGACCATTGGAGAGGCTCATGTAATTCACAGGATATCTGTAATAACTGTGCTGAACCACATTCAGAAAAATTCTGTGAAAACAAAAACTTCTCAAAGTGTGCGACTTGTGGTACTGAAGGCCATAGACCAGGAACAATTGATTGTCAAAGTTTCAAGAAAAAAATGGAAATTGAAACAGGCAAATATGCGTTTGATTATCAGTACATAATGAAATAATATGAAACTTTATTATTTTCTCTTTTTTGAATCTTTTTCCGTAATATTTTATCCGTAATATTTTCTCTCAATTGAACACTAATAATAATACAAATGTCTAACAAAATGATTTATAAAACAATAATAAACTTTGAAAATTCTCTCATATGAATAAACAATAAAAATAATGAATTTGAAATAAACAAAATATTCTCCTCTCTCGTTGATCATCTAATATTCTCTAGGTTGAAAATATCCACGGTTTGGATGAGCACCCAAAATAGAAAGTCGCAAATCATTCCAAACATTTCACTTTGATTGTCTCTTTAATTAGATCCTCTGAATTTACTATTACTCGTGATCCATTCCATTCAGTATTTATGTTGTATATTTCTGATATTTTCCTTTCATTTGGTTCGCATTTACATGTATTAGCCTCATGGTTCTCCATGTGCCTTGGTTTCCTTTTTTAATTTTGAAAATCGATGTTATTTTGTATTGGTTTTCTCAATCTTATACTGTTAATTTTTAATCATGAAAAGCAATGTTATTTTACATTGCTTTTCTCAATCTTATACTGTTAATTTTTAATCATGAAAAGCAATGTTATTTTACATTGCTTTTCTCAATCTTATACTGTTAATTTTTAATCATGAAAAGCAATGTTATTTTACATTGCTTTTCTCAATCTTACTGTTAATTTTAATCATGAAAAGCAATGTTATTTTACATTGCTTTTCTCAATCTTATACTGTTAATTTTTAATCATGAAAAACAATGTTATTTTACATTGCTTTTCTCAATCTTATACTGTTAATTGTTTATTTATGAAAAGCAATGTTATTTTACATTGTTTTATGAAAAGTTACATGGATCAATTATGAAAAGAAGAATTAATAATTTTATTGGAGAAATCAGGATTTTTAGTAATCAAATTTAAATCAAACGCTTTAAAAGCAATCATGAGATATTAAAGCTAAAAGAGGGCGCCAGTTTTACTTACAAAAGTAAATCAACATGCTGATTAAATTGAATCAATTTAATTTATGTAATTCATTTGAATTAACTAAAATCATGATCACAAACACATTCAAAAATAAACTTACTATTACAGTGCTTAATGAACCAAACCAACGATTCATTGCGGAAAATGTTCACTTACAAAATATTATTGTTAACTCAAGAACACTAATCGTTTACTCCTGTGATTTACATGTGACCAAGTGCTGGAAAAATATAAATGATACAGTGATTATTATTTTAAGAAATAATAATATTTCATTCAAGTTAATTGGAACTTACATTCCAACAGGTGAATTTAAACGATGGTTGTTATTTGATAAATTTATAGACTCGTTACCATTGATATTCTGTGGAGATGTCAATTACAATCATCCATTATGGTCACCGAAACAAACACCAGCGAGAATTGAAATTGATCAATTCATAATAAATAACCAATTGTCTTCAGTGTTTGATAAATCATCGAAACCAACATATAACACCAGAGATTCAATGTCTTGGATTGACACCATTCTATACAAGAAAATAATAATTCAAAAGAAAGAAATAATAACAATTAATAATGGAGACCACAACCTTCTACAAGTTACATTCATGGTAATCAATTCTAACATCAATTTACCGAGAAAACTTTTCATAAACTCCTGGAAGCTTAAATTGAAACCGATGGATGAAAGACCAATTAATAAAAATCATTCATTAATAATAAACTGCAATAACATTATTAATTTTCCGAAAATTCATGGCAATTGGATAAGTGGCTCGAAAAAACCAATTCATCAAATGGCAAATCGTGAAAAGAGAAGAGCAATGGTCCAGAAAGTTCAACGATTTCCATCAAGTAATCTAAATTCAACAGATGCTTGGAAATACCTAAACAAAAATATAATAAGAAACAAATCTCAAATGTTTAATTCAACAAACATTGAAGAAGAATATAAAGAGTCAGCAAATACTCACATTTTATCATTTACCACAAATCATCCAATTCATCGCGATCAAGTCTACGAACGAAAATTTGATGGTCTCAGTCAACTTGAACGATTATTATTATTGAAAAACATGCAAGGAAGTTCACTAGATGCCGATGATTTTACATTGGGAACATGGAAAAAATTTTTTAGCATTAACAAAGAAAAAATAATAAGAGTAATAGACGAGATAATGAAATGGGGATACATACCTGAACCTGTTCGTATATTTGGTGTTGGTTTGGTACCCAAACCTGATGGTAAAACAATTAGAATCGTGAAAGCACCAAATTATCTCTTAAAATTGATTGATAGAGTGATCGCCGAGAGATTACAATCTTTGCTGCCACATCTTTTGGAGGAAAATTCTCAATATGCTTATACAAAGTACATTTCCAGACAAAAATTATTATTTGATCTTCATCTAAAAATGAATTTCAAATCAAAAATAATAATATCACTGGATATGTCTAAAGCTTTTGATCAAGTAAATCTAACCCAAGCAATTGAAAAGATCAAAACTCTGGATCCTCAATTATCAGCACTGGTTGAAAACATCTCATCAAAAAGATGGTTAAGATGGAATTGGGAAAAGAGAATCCATTGGAGAACCGAAGAAGGTGCAACACCTCAAGGAAGCTCAAGTGGTCCTTTATTATTCATAGTAGCAGCGAATGAAATAATAAAAATCTTGAGAAGAAAAGGGATAAACATCGTCGGATACGCTGATGACATGTATGTATTGCTAGAAAATGAAAAAGATACAAATGAAACAATGAAAATAGTTTGTAATGAATTCGCTACAATCAACCTAAAGATAAATGACACAAAAACAGAGATATTCAACATGAGAGGTAATGCCAATATAAAAATTTTAGGATTCAACGTACATTCAAATCTAAAAATACAAACACTGAAAACGGACTTACACGATTCAATAATAAAGGCGCTATCGAGGTTAACAGGATCACTTTCGCAACTAAAATACCTGAAAGCAAATCTTGTTAAATTAATAATAAACAATATTATTATTACTACCATTACATCAATTGGTTTTGACTGGCTCCTTTCATCTAATTGGCTTGATTATGGCATCAAAATTCAACAAATAATTCATAGGAAACTGGCAACGCTTTTTGGCCTCAATAATACTAATAAATGGTCTATGAAAATTGCATTTAACTCGAAAACGTTAATAGAAATCCAATTAAAATGGCTAATGGACTGGGACTCAGAATGGAATGATGGTAGATTATGGCGAACTAAGTTTCATGAGAGGAAAATAAATATTATTAATAGATGTCCCTATGGTTATCACAAATTTATAATCAAAAACTCACTTGTAAATTGTCAATGTCAATTTCCAGTAATTACGTTGGATCTGAAAAATGGAAGGTTTTCTCTGAAACTAGGCAACCAATTGATTAAGGTATCCATTGGTGTTCAAAAATCAATGATGGTACTAAAGCTTAAAGCCTTTAGTATTATTATTAAATTATCAAGGGCAAATAATATTAATCATGTTCCTGTAGACAGACAAATTTGGCAGACATTGAGTGTATTTTCCTCTCCATCATCATGGGATCTCGCTGGCCTGATATACTCTCACCACCATGACAATCTCAAATTTTGTGTAAAAGAATGGAAAACTGGCTTTGTGGAAGAAGGAATTCAAACAATAATACCATGGACATCAAGAACAGAGCTAAATGGAAAAATAAAAGAAAAAATAAATAATATAATAATAGAGATGAGAAACAAAGATGAACAAAATCCAGATCTAATGGTTAATCCCAAGATGTCCAACAAGCGTTATTATTATTCACCTTTGATGGCCTCGTCGTGGTTTAGAAAATTATCCAAAATCCTTCATTTTCCCTGTTGTGGTGAGAAAGAAAATTTGTTAACACACTGCTTAAAGAGAAGAGATCACACGGAAGCTATTCTGGAGATGGAAGTTACATGGTCATGGAATTTGGATGATAATTCTATTATTAGTTCACGAGAAAAAATGAAATATTTAATAATAATAATTGACAAAATAATTGATTTTCAAAACAAAGTATTAGAATCAAATTGTATCTTGTTGTAACACGAAGGCTGCGAAGCCTGGGGGGTAGTTTTTGAACTACCTGATAGCAAAGCCACGTCTTTGTTATCTAGTGATACAACATCACAAATAAAGACGTGTTGTTTGTGTTTGACTTCAAACATCTTAATTGTGTCATCAAATCCATGTTATTTTAGATTGTTTTTAATTCTCCATTGTTGTACAATTAACGAGTTGTATTTATTAAGGTATTGGTCCATTCAATTAAAGTGTTTTTCTATTGTTTTTCTCTTGTTGGTTGTAACAAGAAGCGATTAATATGAATCGATTTTTGGGTTTCTCTGGTTGTGTCTTGGTTGTCTTTCTGTTGATTTGTCAAACAAGCTGTTCAGCTCCTGTTGAGGCTGATAAAAAACCCGAAGACAGTGATTTCGGTAAAGACCCTGATTCGGCCATCAACGATTTAGTAAGTTTCAGTTAAGGTCTAATTTGATTAATTTGTCATCTCTGATTTTCTCTTGAGCCATATTTTATTTCGCTGAGAATTGTTGTTATTACTTAATTTCCGCTAATGGTTTTATTTTTCTCTCTCTCTCTCTGCTGTTTTCATCTTTTCAGGGCCTTGAGTACGGAAGATATTTACAAGAAGTTGTAGCGGCTTTGGAGGAAGACAAAGAGTTTGCCAAGAAATTGGAAAATGTCTCAGCTGATCATATTAAATCAGGAGCAATTGCGTCTGAACTCAATCTTGTCAATCACAACATTCGAAATAAACTGGATGAGCTGAAACGAATTGAGATTGAAAGATTAAGAAAATTGACAAAATTAGAACATGATTATAAAGAATTTGGTGCCCAAGCCAATGATGGTCGAAGATGGAGAACTTTAGGTTCTACTGGAAACGCAAAACTGGACAAACAATTACAACAATTCGGTAATTTCTGGTTTTTCCAATCTTCACCTTGAATTTTTCACGTTTAAAATTATTTCCTTCATCTCCACCAATCTTACTACTTTAAAATTAACAATTTCGTCTTATTTTTTTCAGAACATTTGAATCATAAAAATCCGAACTCTTTTGAGGTTGAAGATTTACATAAACTAATTATAAAGGTAAGTTCGATGTAAATTGATATTCAAAGTTTCTACTAAGTAATTGTTATTATTATTTATTCAATAACAGGCTACTAGAGACTTGGAGGTTTTGGATAAAAAACGTCGAGAAGAGTTTAAAAGATATGAAATGGAGAAAGAATATCAATACAGAGAAGGCCTAAAGAATATGACAGAAGAAGAAAGGAAAGAAGCAGTCAAGAAACACGACGAACTTAATCAGAAACACAAAGAACACCCTCGAGTCCATCATCCAGGAAGTAAACAACAATTGGAGGAAGTTTGGGAAGAACAAGATCATATGCCGAAAGAAGAGTTTAATCCAAAAACTTTCTTCGCCTTGCACGATGTTAATGGCGATGGTTATCTGGACCCAGAGGAAGTGGAAGCTCTACTTTCATTAGAGATTAAAAAAATGTATGATCCAAATAATCCTGAAGATGATCCCAATGAAATGGAAGAGGAATATCACCGAATGAGGGAACATGTTTATAAAGAAGCAGATAAAAACAAAGATGGGCTAATTAGTCAAAAAGAGTTTATTGAATTGACTCAAAAAGCGGAATTCGAGCGAGATGAAGGCTGGAAGGGAATCGATGAGCAACCAATGTTCAATGAGGACGAATTACGTCAATATGAACATCGAAGACAAGAGCTTCTTGCTCAACAATATGGATATTATATGCCACCATACCAACCTTATGGTCATCATCCGTCACAACAACAACCTGGACATTACCAAGGACAAGGTATGGGTCATCCTCCTCAACCACCCCAACAGCATTTTGGTAACGTACCACCTTATCAAGTAGCTCAAGCTCACCCTGGTTATGCACAACAACAACAACAACAACAACAACCTCATGCTTATCAACCACCACCACAATTTGCTGTTCATCCTGGAGCACAACACTCTAATCAATATCAACAAGGATATCCTAACAATCAACAACAAAATCAGTATCAACCTCCTCCACCTCCACCACCTCAACAACAACACCAACCTTACCAAGCACCAAATCAAATGCAGAATCAACACTTTGGTGTTGCTCCACAAGCTAATTTACCTCCTCAACCTTCAGGTATGGCTAATCAAGGAGGTCCACAACAAATCAATCACCAAGCTAATTTAGCCCAACAAGCTAATACATTTGGACAACCCAATCAATTCAATTCAGGCCAACAACAACAACAACAACAACAACAACAACGACAAGTCAACGTCCCAATGTCTTCTGGTCAGGGTGTCCAACAACAACAACAACAAATACATTCTGCTATACCTAATCAGGTTCATAGTTCATTAAATGTAAGTTGATTTCTAAAATTAAATAGTAATTATATTGAATAACATTCTAATATAACCATATTTATCTTTGTCATCACAGACTAATCAAGGATCTGTAAATGTCAATTCCAATTCTCAACAACAACCAAACCCTAGTTCTTTCAATCTTCCACCACAACCAACAATTCATAAATCATGATCTTCTTTGGTTAATTAATTTTTGTGTCCATTCTAATGCTTTTATGTTGTTACATTTATTCACTTCTATTATTATCATCGGATGAGATTATTAATACAAGACAGAATAATAAGAGATCTTATTTTTGTTATCGAAAAATTCTGATAAAGAAGCAAGAAAAACAATTCCAATTATTAACGAAAATAAATTGTAAACATATGAATATTATTGAATGTTTGATTATTATAATCATCGTTTTAATTAATTTTTTCTTCACAATCATTCTGCCTTCACCGAATCTCCATTATAAATGTTTCCTTTTTGTACCTTGTTAAACAAAATTAAAATGCCGTTGCAATCAAATCAGTTCTAATCGAACACATCTAAATATTAATACAATTAAGAAAATGTATCGAATATTTTTCTAACTCTTAATTAAAGTTCTGAAGAAAAAGATGATCTTTGGTCAGAACAAAGGTTAAAACGGCAACTTCGAGGATCTTACCAAGTCGCTTCTGGATCGACAAAATCTGGTCAAGTCTCGAACTCACAATTAACTCAAACCAATCAACCGATCAATTTCTGTAATGATCAACTAACCAAATCTCCATTTGGTTAACAATATCGTTAATAAGGTTAGTCAGTTTGATGGACAAATTAACAGTTGAGTTACAATAGTATTGAAAGTTGATTAATAGCAGATGATGTTGATTAATTAGTTGATATTCACTTGATAATTTATTATCTCCCAGATGATGATGATGATGATACAAGGAAGGTAAATATATTGGATGAGAGAAACAAAAGTAAAGTTTAATCAGCAACTTTTCTCAATTTGTTTCAATTTATCTTCCTCTCTCTCTCTCTCTCTCTCTCTCTCTCTCTCTCTCTCTCTCTCTCTCTCTCTCTCTCTCTCTATCATCCTCATTTCCCTCTCTCTCTCTCTCACTTTCTTTCTTTCTCTCTTTCTCTCCGAACGTCATCATTGAATCATCTCCATCTTTAATCCGATTCTAAACGGAAACAGTAACATGCTTACAATTTAATCTAACCGAAGTAATTAGAATAACAATCTTGATCAATCTACATTTAAATCGTTTGAAAAGTGAATTGAAACAATTAAATCAATATGATTTTCCTTTTAATTTCAATCGGTCTGTTAATTGCTGCTTTTTATTGGCTCAATCAAAATGTTTTCAGTAAAATGGATTGTGACTTTTTCATGGCTCTCGTTGAAAAATATGGCAAAAACCCAGGTAAGTTAATAGAGAAAGTTAATTGTAACTGATTGATTGATTGTAATAAACTGTTAACAATTAACTAGGTGATGCATTGAAGGGTAAACGGGTTTGGATCACCGGAGCGGCTTCGGGCATTGGTGAAGCCTTGGCCTACGAAATGGCGAGTCACAAATGTAAATTAGCTTTGTCTGATTTGAACAATCAAGGATTGGAAAAAGTTAAACGTAAAATTATCAATCATCACGGTAAGTTAATGATTAGTTGATCTGCTCGATTGTTACAATATCATTAATTTTGTTTCTTAATTAGGGTTACAAGAAAAGGACATCATTCTGGTCCCATTCAATTTAACGGAAACAATTAAACACGAAGAAGCTTATAAAAAGATAATCGGTTACTTTAAACAAGTCAGTTCTTTTCTTAATTGTTGTTGATTAAAAATTCTAATGTTCTAGTTGTTTGCTCAATTGTTTTTCACTTTGATTTCTTTCAATTTAGATCGATATATTTTTCTGTAATGCTGGACGAAGTCAACGAGCTCGATTTGAAGAGATCGACATTCAAGTTCATCGGGACTTGTTTGAGATAAACGTTTTCTCTGGGGTCAATTTATCTCGTCTACTGGTCAGTGGCTGGTTAACCGAGTCACATCCTGGTCATATAGTGGTCACTTCAAGTATCGCTGGTAAATTTGGGTTACCATTCTCAGCCTCTTATACCGCATCTAAATATGCTCTTCTTGTAAGTCTATTTAATTATTTAGATCAAACAATTAACTTTATTTGTTTTTTATTACTTTTGGATCAATATTAAAGGGATATTATGATTGCCTAAGGAATGAAGTGAAATCTAAAGGGATCAAAATTACCGTTATCTGCCCTGGACCTACTGCTTCCGCTATTTTGACCAAGTCTTTCACTGGAAAACCTGGTGAAGTTTATGGTAAAGAGTTTAGTGAGGTTGATACTCGAATCCCGTGCGACCGACAGGCCAAACTTTTCGCCATCGCCACAGCAAATGACGTGACGGAAGCTTGGACATCAAGATCGCCCTACTTGTGGCTTGTTTATGGAGCTCAATTTTTACCTTCAGCATTTAGATATTTGTTTCCAATTGTTTACAATGAAGCAAAACTATCAAAAATCAGAGATGGACATTAGTGGACATTACCAAAAGTTATCCCTCAACTATTTGAATTGATTTAAAATTTTACAATTGATTCATCAAAATGAACACAATAAAAACTTCAAGATGATTAAAATTATGCACGGTTGATTGAGCTTCTTTCTCTCGTTTAATTGCTGTTTTATTCAATTTTAGCAATCAAATTAACTCAATACTAAACATACTTAATACTAAACCCTTTCAGAATGCAACAATTACATGATACTAGTTTTATTATATTTCCAATTGGTAACTAAGACCAAGAATCGGTTGCTACAAACAAAGTGATTAAATTTTGTTGGCGAGATCAACAAAAGAGTGATTCTAATGATCAATTAAAATGTCTAATCCAAAACCGATCGAATTGTTTAAATTTGATTCTCTCTGGCAAGATCGTGATTTAAGGTTCGATGCAACGGCAAAGGAATTAACTCTTCGAAAAGGTGAGAAAAATTTATATCGATATGATCGGATTGAAGATACCAAAGGAAACTCTGGTGATGAAGGAAGATTAACCATCACTAATTTACGGATAATCTGGCAATCAAAATCTAAACCACGGATTAATCTCACAATCGGATTAAACTGTATCATCTCAATAACCTCTCGAAATTTACACAACAAACTACGAGGCAGATACACCGCTCTTCATATCATGGGAAAAGTTAACGGTACCAGATACGAATTTGTATTCACACCATTAGAAGACAAAGAATCGGTTGTTGGGTCGAAATCATCAGGAGCAGATTCTTCATCTATCATCATTAAATCAGGCGAATCTGCAATATTATCAACTGGGGAAAGTTCATCGATCACTGAGAATGGTAGTGATGTTAATCCACGATTTTGTAACATCGGCTCCGAAATAACAATGACCGTGAGTAGAGTTTGTAAAGCTTACCTTTGTACCAAATTGTTTCGAGATTTGAAATTACGATCAGCCATTTTCACCACTCAAGGTAAACAACTTAAAATATTGACCTCAGAACAGATTTACAATAAATGGCAAGGGGTTTGGAATCTGTCCTCCGACCAGGGGAATTTGGGTACCATGCATGTAACCAATTTACGAATCATTTGGCACGCAAATGTAAATGAACTGTTCAACCTTTCGCTGCCCTACATTCAAGTTTCCTCGATTAGGGTTCGTGAATCTAAATTCGGCCCAGCATTGGTCATCGAATCATCTGATAGTTCGGGAGGTTATGTTCTTGGTTTCAGAATCGATCCACTTCAACGATTAATCTCTGTTTATAACGAACTTTGTAATCTGTACAATGTTCATGTTACGAATCCCAATTATGGTGTTGAAACTTTCCTCGCAATGGAAATGGGCTTGACTTCATTTGAAAGCGGAGGAATCATCGGCAGCGGTGGCGGTGGTTACTCTTCATCGAACGATCAAAGTACGAAGATGATTTAATCAACACCGATTATATTGATGACGATAAGGAATTAAATCCCGATGTGATCGCTTCCTACCTGGAAGACGATTCTCAGGTCATTGGTAAAGACGCTGAGCCCGTTTTCTGTCAACAATTAGGACTGGCAATTGAGAAAATCAAAGATGGATACACACTCGATTCACTTTGGAATGTTATTCCTCAAGGATCTTAACTAATTAACCATTCGACTAATCAATTAAATCAAATTGAAATTTCGAAATACAATAAATGCTGAGCAAAGTAAAGACAAAAGTTTCGCTTTAATCAATAAGTTAATTAGTGTTTCTTTTAATCACTTCAATTCTCTGATATCTAATCAATTTTATCAATCGACTTATTTTTGTCTCAATTGTTGTTAATTGTTGTTAATTGTAGTAAATAGATTTACATGTTTACTGAAAAAAACATTTTTCTCTCGCCTTCAAGTTACTATTATTATCCATTAATGATAATTGACCTTGATTGTCGTAGGTGCTTATTATTGTTGTTGTTAAATTATCACAATCAAAAAGTGACTGATGAAAAAAATGTTAAAATTAAATCACCACTTTAATCATCTTCTTGATTGTTGTAGTCCTGATTTAGAAAGTAACAACAACAGAAAAAAATCTCATTCATCTTTTTGGTTGTTGTTGGTTAGTTGATATGAATTTTTTTCCTTAATCATTACAATTGATCCAATTACTTTTTTTAGTCCTAATTGTTAATCATATTTAGAAAGTCAAAGCAAAACAGATTCACAATCACATCTAAATCAAGATTATTACCTGAATGAAAATTAAGGTCAAATGATGATCATGATGATGTTTAACTTAATATTTAATATATAAAATTGGGTTTGGAGTGAAAATCAAATCTAATTGAGAGAAATTAAATTAACTTAAATTGTAAATCGTTCTGGTTACAGAACTGATTGAGTAGCAAAAAAAAGTATTTCACTCAAGGTGATTGAACAATAACAACAATCAACATTTGTAATTAAAGAAAAAGGGAAACAATAAGATAATCAACTGATTGTAGTTGATTGTTAACCTTTTTCACAATTAGAATTAACAATTTACATTTAGCTCGATTTTTTCGTAGCCATAAAGTAAAAGTGATTTTTATTTTTCTTCTTCTTTTCAATCGGTTGATTGTTGATTGTTGATTGACCTGATTGACCTTTTTTTCCAAATAATTATTATTATTCTGATTAGAAGACAGAATTATAATTTAGATCATAATGATTAACATGAAGATTGAGAAGATGATGATGGAGAAAAGAAGATGAAAAAAAGGCGGATCAAGAACTTGGAATGAAACAGTTGATGGATTTTCTTTGTTGTTGTTTGTTGATTCACTTTTTCTTGTTGTTGGTTGGAAACACTTTTTCTTTGGGGAGTTGATTAACTCTGATTATTGTTCACTATTAACTAACTAATATTTTTAAAGGTGTAATCAGTTGATTGTGACAATTTGCTGATTATCTTTCGACTCAATCAACTTCATTTCGGTGATTCTGTTTACTCTGTGGTGAGAGATCTCTATTTATCTCTCTAAGTGTTTTCCATTTCTCTTATTCTCATTGTGATCATTCACATTAATTGTTTCAATTTCTCAACAATTTATCAATTCTAATTTCAACTAATCATTCACCTTTAACCTTGGGTTAAACAATTCTACGTAATTTGTTTTCCTTTTTCTTCTCTGGATTTAAGCCAAATTCTTATTATTACATCTTTTTCTCTGGCAAATTTTGTTTCTCTATTTTCTTTTCTCTCCATCTCTTGATTGGATTTATATCTTCACCATAATTCTCACTAATCTAATCAACTGTTAACTATTACTTAACAATCTACTTGATATCACAGGTAATTAGAATTTATTGATTTCTATCCCTATTCTATCGCCATTTTCCTCTTCATGTCTGACAACCTCTTCTGTTTTTCCTCAGTGATTTCATCTCCAATTATACCTTTGGTTTGCTCATGTGATTGGTACTTGTTTTTAATTCCAAAATTTTCTATTCTCTTGTGTTTCTAGGAAAATCTATTACACGTTGATTGTTTAACCTTTGAAAGAACAAATTGACAAAATCGGCGAAATCAAGTTGATCAAGTCGACAATCTAATTACGCTGCTAACAACCTTTTCTCTCTCATTGAGTCCAAATAGTAATGGCTTATGTCCGAGGCACATTAAGATCCCTCTTGGAGATGCCTTTGAAATCTGCTCCACCGATGGTTAAAGTTAACCTTTCAACCTTAACAGTTCAACACAATCAAGATATAAATGAATTCACCATCAACTGCGGTCAAGGTTAGTTTATTTTACTCCATTTTCCCTTTCAATCTCAAATCATATGTTTACACGTAGACAAAGAAAGCCAACAATCAATGTTACCTTTTGAATCCCATGTTAGGCCTCCAAGTAATCATCTCTTTATTGTTGCTCATGATTTTCGGCCAAATTTCAAATCAGTACGATCATTGACCTTATATAACCTTTTATTTTATTTTCTATTTCTTGTTTTCAACCTTTGACGATTTCACTTTACCAAATGAACGCCATTAATTGAACCTCCACCACAACCGCCAATCAATAACAAAAGGAGGTGGAAAAGCAGTTCTTAATTATGAATACTTAGCCAACGATTTGGTTGAATTGTATCATACTGAAGTACCTGTTACCTGTCGTGGCCAAGGAGTCGCTAAATTATTGGCACAAGTTAGTTTATTCACCTTGTTCTCAATTTCTCCTTCAATAACATCAACAACAACAAAAACAACTTGCTCACCACTCTCACCTTTTTTTTCAATCCTCTTAGTCAAAAAATATCAGTCAACCACCTAATCATCATCATCATCATCATCATTATTATTATTATTATCAACATTCCCATTCACCTTAGCCACAACCCTCCTATTTGAACTAATATTTGATTGCTCAGATTAACAGACTCATTTTCAATCTTCATTGCATGATAATTATCATCTTTCTGAATGAACTTTCAAATATTGACCATTTTCAGATGAACCAAAACACTGATGATCAGTTCATCAAGGTCATCTACCTTTTCCCTCTCCCTTTCAATTGAGACTCACTCAATTCAATTATCATCTCAATTACAGTAAAAGTTCAGTAATTATGTGCATTAGCTTCCGGGTTGTTGTTGTTTTTTATTCTTGTTGCTTTTCATTGTTCAACAATCGTCTCTCTCTCTCTCTCTCTTAACTTTCCATTATTATTATGATTATATTACTTATCACTCTGATTACTTTCACTAATTAACTCGAAGATGAGAAAAAAACAAATTACAATTGAGTTAATTTCTTACCTTTTTTTAACCTGTAATTTTGGTTGACAATCAAAATCAAAATCAAAATCAATGTCATGTTTTGTCTTAAAGTTTCAACTTTATTTTATGAGGTTGAGAAAAAATATCACAACAATTAACTAATCATTTTCTTTCTCTCATCTTCTTCCCTTAATTAGGCTGCATTCAAATTCGTCATTGAAAACAATTTACGAGCTAAAGTCACTTGTACTTACCTTCAACGAGTTTTGTCCAAAAATCCTGATCGTGATTTCCTTAAACAAGTTGTCTCTTAATTGTCGTTAACCTTTCCCTTGATTTGGTTTGTTCACAATCACCGGATCTACAAATTTACCACAATTAATTAACCATTGATGACTATTTTCATCCAATATATAAATATATCTAAAATATATTATTATTATATATTATATATGCATCAACAATTCACCTCAAATTTAACAATCAAAAGAAACAATTAATCCAAAGGAAAATGAATCAAAAAACCGATCAAAACAATCAAATTATAGCCAACATGTTGGATATCAATTTAATAATCAGCTAATAACTTACTCAACATTAGTTATTAACAATTAATTGGATTAGATGTTAAATTTTTGCTCCATTTTACTTAAAACAATTAATGTTTCAACCTCTTAACAATATATGTTAACTCAATTAGAGGTAAAGTTAAATTGCTAACAAACCCTTTCCACCCAAATCGTTGATTAATTGTTATCAATGTCCAACAACTAATCAACTTCATCATCAATTTCACCAACATCACTTAAATCATTAACCTTTAATCATCTAAAATCTCATCAAAATTATCAATTAACATCTAAAGCCAAAGTCTCATTTTTTACACTTAATTAGTTAATCACTAGCTACTACATTTATCTACAATTAAATGTATATTTAGTATAAAAAAAAACAACCACTTAATTGTTTTGAAAACAAATTGAAACTTATTTTCACCATCAAGGATCACAAGTGATTTAATAAACAATTTTAATTGTAATACATTTTATTTTAATTCAATGAATAAAATTCAACTTGGAAACCTTAAATTGTTGATTAAACAAACTTAATCAAAGATTAATCATTCAATCAATGATTGTCTCTATTTCTAAATGAGCTTAATTCAGATCACAATTAAACTTTCATACAACTTATGATACCATCGATATGGAAATACATCAAAATGTTTGAATATTTTGACAATTTGATTTAATTGATTTACAATATTGTAGCAATTAGATTGTCTGAGAAAATATTGTTACAATTAATTCAATTTATTAATTTGTTACTAGTTAATTTTTAATTCCTTGGCAAAATCCTTTTCCTCGATTCCTTCATGTCCATCAATTTATATAATTTATGATTTGGATTATGAGTTTGATGGTGATGATTAAGTGATGATTTGAAGTGTAAATGATTGTAAAAAAATGACGAATACGTTATTACAATTACAATTACAATTTTGGCTTTTGATATTAAAATAACCGATTAGAAATAATAAATCACATTCGAAACTTTTGATTATTTGTCACATAGATTAAAGAAGGAAAATGAGAAAGTAATTGATTGTTTGCTGATTTTTTTCTCTAATATAATTGGTGAAAATTGATCTTTCAAGATCAAAGTGATTTCTTTGAAGGTAATTTAATGTGATTCGCTCCACCGGCGGGTTTGAACACATAGAAATCAACCGAAATACGAGATTTACTTTTCATATTGCTAATTGTTGATTCAACTTTATCCGCACGAACCAAGGTCACCGTACATCCGCCAAAACCACCGCCGGTAATCCTGGAACCATAAACACCCTCTGATTCCAGAGCAATCTCACAAAGCTCATCAATTTCTGGTACTGAAACTTTGTAATCATCTCGAAGTGAGATGTGACTTTGCGTCATAAGAGCTCCAAAGATAACGTAATCGCTTTTCTTAAGAGCCTCCGAGGCACTTAAGGTTCTTTCAATCTCGGTGATTACATGGCGAGAGTAATGATATTGTACAAGAGGTAAAACGGTTTGACTTGTTTCCAATTCTTTCATTGAAACATCACGAAGGCTACTTTTACCTAATTGAGATGCGACTTGTTCACAATTTTTACGCCTCGAAGAGTATTCACTTCCAGACAGTTCGTGACGTATATTAGAATTGGCAACCAGAATAACAATATCATCGGAAATCAGGGGAACCAATTCAGTTGATAGAGAACGACAATCAATTAAAAGAGCATGATCTTTCTCTCCCATGACAACCACGAATTGATCCATTATACCACATGGAACACCAGCAAACGTGTGTTCTGCTCCTTGGCAAAGTAAAGCAATTTCTTGTTTACTGTTTGACAGAAAGAAAAGAAAGGAAAATAATTAGTTTCCAAAAGTTTATCAAAATTTACAATCATCATGATGCTTATTACCTGATTCCAAGATCAGAACCACTTAAACCTTGAAGAAAATTGAAAAAAGCAACTTCAAGAGCTGCTGAGCTTGAAAGTCCTGCTCCTATTGGTATGGAACTTAAAATGATTGCATCGAAAGGTTTTTTGATTCCTAAGAAAATAAAACTGTTGTTAGATTCATTGGATTAAATAATTGTAGTAACTTATTCATCTATCAACTAGAATAATAAAAATAATAGTATACCTGGGAAGGTAGAAATGACTCCTTTCACGTAATTAGACCAAGATGGTGGACCGATGGTCAGGCTGTCAAACTTTAATTCAACACGTTTTGGATTCTCTGTTTTATCTGATAGAGTCTCGATACGACAAATTTGGAAATTGTTTGGAGCACCAATGATCACAGTGTAAACAGGAATTGCCTGAAAGATGAGGGGGAAAAGAAATGAAAATAAAATAGAATATTGAATTAGTGAATTAGGGAATAAGTGAAGGAATTGAAAATGATTAGCAACAATTCTGTTGAGTGGGTGATGAGAAACTCACCATAGGTAAGACAAGTCCATCATTATAGTCAACATGATCACCTATTAGATTAACTCGTCCTGGAGAATAACCAACAATCATTGGCTCCGTTTCGAAGATTTTCTCAAATTGTTCACTTCCTTTTTTAATTAAATCCTCAAGAGAAGGTACAATCTCGGCACCAGGAATAGAGACCATTTTTTGTTCCTGAAAATGTACCCGAAAGAACAGTCAATGATGGCGAACACAGGATGGAATCAGATAAATAAAATATTGCCAAAGAAATTTAGACAATTGTTATTACAATGAGAGAGTATATTATTAATAAAATAAAAAGAAAATATGAACAAAACAAATCAAAAGAAAAAAATATTTCACAAAGAAAATCTCTGAGTAGAAAAGAAGAGGAGACAAAACAACAAGTTACGGGTAATAAATAAAAGGAACATTGTGAACACAATCAATTGGAGATTTATAATTGATGTGTAACAGTGATTAGATTGATAATAATTACCAGTGAGTTAATTTAGATCAAGTTCTGATGGTTATGAAAAGAAAATTAAATCACAAAAAGACACAATGAAACCAGAATAACAACTGATGGTAAATGGAAAAGATTTCACGTGTAAACCCAATCAATTAATCGTTGTCAGTTTGATGCGAGAAGGTGACGACAAATAATAGACAATTAACAAAAGGATAACAGTTGAGACTTTTAGATAATTAATTAATTACAAAGGAATTAATAATAAAAACATCGATTTCTAATTAAGTGAAAGTTTCATTTCTGAAAACAAAAAAATAGAAAACACAACAAGAATTTGTCTCCATCTGGTGTAATTAAAATGAACTTTTTTCTATTCGATGAAAATTCTGAGAATAACTTTTCGTAATCAACTATTGGTCATTTAGTTCATTTTTTGTTTTCATGTTTCTGAGTAATTAATATTAACCATAGATTTAGACATTTACTGATTTATAACCAGATCCCGAACTGACTAGGCGATTGTCCGATTTTTTTTAAGAAAACTTTTCTCTTTCAAACTAAAGTGATCTTTGGATTTGCCGTTGGGAATTTAACTTTTTCAAATTCTTAATCTCAGTTGTCCATTTGATGAGTTCAATTATTGTTTAATTAACTATTTGGTTAACGATTTCTGCACTTCCATGACTGCCGTCTATTTGGGCTCAACGGGTTGTACGTTTACCTTTCACTGTATGATGATCGGCCTCAGCTTTCATCGACTCTCCATCGAATAAAAAAAGTTCAAAACTTAAAGGTCGACACTGTGATAAGGTCAACATTCAACTGACCATATTACTGGTTATCTTGATCAAGTAATCCAACAATTTAATCAACTAATTCATCCACAAACTTTCTGGGAACATAAAAACTCAACGATTTTCCTTGTCATTTTTTTATGTTCAATCGACTTTAGTTCATCTAATTTTCTATGGTCAAGTTCTGAGCTGTCAAACTCGAATTCATGAAAAGGTTCGAAGGCTTAATTCAAGGTAGTTCGTTTCTTCACCTTTGTGAACTCTCAAGGCTCTCCTGCGAATCCGATGTTATTTTCTGTTGTTGTTGTTTCTTTCATCTCAAAATTTAAATATTCAACTTTATTCATTTAATGGTGAAAATAATTCTAAGATTATTGTCATTTGTTAATCAATCATCATCACAATTGTCTTCGTTTAACTCAATTATCTTGTCAACTCTTTTTCTTCATCTTCTCATATTCTGTGTTTAAAATTACCTGTTCAGATTATGATGAATTTGATCATTTAAATCAACCTCATCCAAATTGGCAATTGTTTAGTTTAATTGTTCCTTCATTTTGCTGAGTAATTAATTTATTGGTCTATGGTTTGACTCTTTTTTTTTTAATTATAATTTAGTAAATTATTGTAATACTCAGTATACAGTGAAGTGAATAGCCAAAGCACTGAGCTGATTTGCTAATCGATTAAAAATGTATCTTTGATTGATTGGATCTTTTTTTTTGTTCTAATCATCAATTTGATTACATACTAGGAAATACCAACAATTACCTAATTAAGAAGACAATGATTCCTTATTTTTTGCTGTCAATTTATATCAATGATGATTATGCACAATTAGGTGAAAGTTAGTAAAAGGGAAATCGTCAAATTGAATCGGATCAGTTGAGTTTCAAACTTGATACTTTACTGTTGAATAGTTTAATTAGTTGATCAAACGATCAACAATTTCTATCAATTATGTCGGCTGTTAATACGTTGATTGCTTTTTTCTCTAATCCAGTTACAATCATTGGTTCTACAATGATTATGCAATTGGCCAGTGTTTTTTGGTCCAATACTCCGTTCCAGAGTTATACTCAGACTTATAATGGTGAACGCGAAGAATTTGATTATATTATCGTCGGCGGTGGGACTGCTGGAGCCGTTTTAGCGGCTCGTTTGTCGGAAGATCCAAAAATTTCTGTCCTCCTTTTGGAATCGGGTGGTACTGGTTCGTTTATTACTGAAATTCCCTATTTCTGGATGTTGTGGAGAGGATCATCTCTTAACAATCAATACAAAACGGAACCACAAACTGTCGGCTGTCAAGCTTTTCAAGATAATCGCTGTCGGCTTGATTCAGGTCGAGGTCTTGGTGGTTCAAGTGCGATTAATGGAATGATTTATGCTCGAGGTCATCCTGATGATTACAATTCTTGGTCTTCATTTGGTGTTAATGGTTGGTCATTCGATGAGGTCATTCCCTATTTCCTCAAGTCGGAAAGTTTCCAACGAATGGATCGAGTCTCAGCCCAATTCCACAATGTTTCTGGTCCATTGCCGATCGATTATGGTCCATTTGTCCACCCAAGTAATTGGGCTTTTTTCCGAACTCTCACTTCTCTTGGTTATAATATTGGTGATTACAATTCAGATCAACAATTAGTCTTCGATCGCGTTCAAACAATAACCAAAGGTGGAGCTCGTTGGTCAACCCATAGGTCATTTTTGTCACAAAATAAATTGTCCGGGTCACCTAATTTAAAGGTTCGAACTCATTCACCAGTTCAAAAGATTTTATTCAACAAAGAGAAACGAGCAATCGGTGTAATGTACACCGATATTTCGGGTCGAGTGTTACAATCCTATGCCTCTAAAGAGGTCATTTTATCAGCGGGTACCTTTGGTTCACCACATTTACTTTTACTGTCCGGTGTTGGTCCAGTTGATCACGTTCACTCATTTGACATTCCTAGTATTGCCGATAGACCAGGAGTTGGATCTAATTTCCGTGATCATGTTTACGGTTTAATCAATTATATTACCGACTTAGCCCCAGGTACCGATCCAGCGTCAACCTTAAGTTTACCTAATTATTTATCATTCACTCGAGGCCATGGACCTTTAACTTACGGAGGAGGAATCGCTTTGGGTAACATTCAAACAAGCACCAACAACACTTCAACCAAACCCGATATTCAACTTGCTTTCGCTGGGACATCACCTTCATCCCTTCCTGAGGTCAGTTTCTGGACGAACACATTTGGCCTTAAAAGTGGTATCTACGAAAGTTACTTTCAACCTTATGTGGGTCGGGAAACTTTAACCGCTTATGTTTGTCTATTACAACCTAAATCCTTTGGATCTGTCAGATTAACTTCACGTAATCCAACAGATAAACTTTCCGTTAATCCAAATTACCTTCAGCATCCAGAGGATGTGACAACTCTCGTTGAAGGGATGAAAACAGCGCATAAAATAATGACCAATCCGTTGATGAAAACATTGGGAATCCAATTGTTTGACTCTCATTTCCCAGGTTGTGAAAAATATCAATTGGCCAGTGATGATTATTGGAATTGTTATGTTAAACAATTTACAATTAAGGGCGATCATTATGTTGGAACTTGTAGAATGGGCAATTCATCTGATCCAATGTCGGTGGTTGATGAACAATTAAAGGTGATCGGTGTTGATGGATTAAGAGTAGTCGACGCTTCGGTCATGCCAACGATTCCCTCAGGCAATACGATGGCAGCAACTATTATGATCGCCGAAAAAGCCGCTGATTTGATCAAACAATCACAAAAGAAAATTAAATTATACTAATAGATTCAGAGAAAGAGAAAAAAAATTCAATTCTCTTCTTAATCAACACAATTTATCAATAATTTTGAATGTTCAATTTTTCGCAATTTATTATGAATCTCCATTAATGATTAATAAATTTATTTATTTATTCGTTTAAACATATAAAGCAATCGAGCAATTTTTATGATCTTTTATTGTTATCGTTCAATTGAAAAAGTTTATTCGTTAGTTTAAACAAACGATAATCCGAATCTGAATTGTCTGAATGAATCTGAATTTAAGCTCTACTTTGGTGAAGATAATTTCACCGATTTTCTTGCTCTTTATCCTCTTGGTACAAATTAATATTAATTACGTGAACATTTTTGTCTCAATGTTGGAACCAGAAAATCCAATGATCTTGACACTTATAATTCTGGTCGTTGGATTGTACAAGATGACAATTTCAATTACAATCGAAAATGAATGTTTAAGTGACAAAATTGTCTATTTCATTATTTTGTTCATTCTACTGAACAATATCATGAAAATTGATATCTAACAATTTGCTTCTTTCATAGTTGAACTTACTCATGATTGGAATGAATTTGGCTGAGGAAACTCATTTTCGAAGGATATTATTACCTATTTTCTTGTTATTTTCTCATATAAGCATTAAAATTTAGTAATTCTATTGTTTATTTTTGATAAAACTTTTTCCGTTCGCCGAAAATTTGACAAAAATGACGCAATTTCCGGTTCTTAATTCCTTCTAAGTTCCTGGCCAAAATGAGATTTTTTTCGAAATCTGAATAATAATTAATAATTCTACACTTATCAATATTTTAATTAAACTGCAAAATTTGTTACTGATTGTTAAGTGAAAAGACAGAAATATTTATATGGAGTTGCCTCTGCAAATCATATTGGTTACAGACACGAACTCGAACACATCGAAGTTTCGAAATCTTACTTGTGGGAAAAATTATCGAAATTCATATCAAATTGTAGATTATGAATTGTTCCTCAATGTAATTTTTATTACAGCCTAATATGAGTATTTATAGAGTCGTTATTGTTCGAAAATTCTACTTCCATTCTTTAGCGGTTATACTTTATATGCACTTTCTCATTTTTAATTTACAACTCAAAATTTGGACTGGAATTCATTCCTTCCCATTCCCCGATTTCTTCCTGTTTCGTCTTTCGCGCTGAATATTAAATTGTTGTATAATTATATTGATAAAATTTAAGACAATCCAATTAATCCGTTAAGATTTAATTTTCTGTTCTACATTTCAATAAATTTTTTTATGGGAATTGATATGGTTAAGCATTCGAGCTGATAATTAATCCTCTTCCAAAAGGAAATCAACTTCTTTCAATTGATTAATGAATGTTGAATCTTCTAAAATTCGACTATAAGAACGTAGCATTCGAATTAGATGATGAATAGCTGCTCGATGGCTCATTCCTCGAATGTAAATAGCCAATTTAGATATTGTTGATCGGAAATTAGGTTCATCGATATCGTCCAATGAAAGTTTTATCTGTTTTCTTTCCCCAGTCTCTGAATCAGGATAAAATATGGTTACCATGTTATTGTCAATTGATCCAAATAATCCAGCAATTACTTCATCTCGAGATCGAATTACCAATGATTTGAAATTGTAAATGTGTGAACGTTTTTCTGTAATCTCAATTGACTTGGCAAATGAACGACGAACATAGATCAGATTAACATATTCTTTGACTCGATTTGGTTTAGTCTCTCTAACAGTCCAGGTAACAAGTCCACTGTCATTATCAACAGCTGAATAATTGTATTCTTTCAGATTAGACGGAGATGGATTTTGAACGAACCATCCAGTGTGAGGGGAAAGACCATCTTCCATAACGATGATCGGCTTGTTAACATGATAACCTGGATCGAAAAGAACTGTACCCAATCGTGAACCAAGAGCTATTTTAACGGCTACTAAACAATGCTCCTTTTTAGCAGAAGGTGAATAGATGCAATAATTATCCGGGTCTTTAACAACCTCTTCGCAAGAAACCAGACCAATGGAGGCTGCATGAGTCGGGAATCGAAGGATGAACAAATTGTGTAACGAAATGGCCAAACCAACGCAGGAGAGACCATCGTGATACAATTTAGCTTTGAAGGAAGTGAGAAATTTAACAAATGACGTATCAATGGAACGTGAGTACTCTTCATGGAAACGGATAAATGATGGAAATGTATTGTATGACTTTGTAGATAATTCTTGTTGCAATATTTCCTTACAAATTGTCAGGAAATCTTCCAACTCGAGTTCATTTTCAAAGTCAATTTTTTGTAATTCAGCCAACCAGATGGGAGTTTCAAGAATCTCATTGATAGCAGAAGCAATCTCAGTTCCGGAAGTAGATTCATCACTTGAAGATGATGAAGTTGAATCAGAGCTAGAACTGGATGAGATACTGGCTCGGCTTACAGAGCTAATCCCACTGGAAGTACTGGCTCTATCATCCTCGTCATCTGAATCAAGAGAGAAATCTTCATCTTCAAAGATATCACTATTATCATCTTCTTGATCATTTAAGATACCTGAAGGTAAGTAACTTTCTTCACCTTCTTTAGCAGCACCGGAAGTTGTTGGTTTTTCAACGTCAATAGAATTGATGTCAGCATCATCTTTAGCCTTTTTAGTTGTCACTCCGATTCCTTGGAAGAGGTGAGTCGATTGGTCATCAATTTCTTCACCCCAGTCAGGGGGAAGAGAATTGAGGACCGTGTCAGTAGCATTTAAAGGCTTATTGAGTCAAGATGGCCATTCAGAAGCTGCTTTGTGAATAATATTTATGGGTTTATCTTGTTCGTTACTAAAACCTTTCAGGCTCTCAGGGCTCTCAAAGGTGAACAAATGCTTTGAATCATCTTCACTATAATCTGTCATTTATATAAAAAAAGATACAAAAAGGGGAACAATTAGAATGAAAGTAACAATGAAAGAATAAAAAGAAACAAAGGGTTAAAAGGGTTAAAAGAAATCAAGAAATTTACTAACCCATCCAAGAGTTAAACCAAATGACCGTAGAAAAAAACAAATAACACCAATCAAAAAAGAATAGACTTTGAAGAACCGATTCTCAAACGAAAATAAGCGACAATCCAACTAAAAGAGTAACGCAATAAATAGAGACTTTTTATCTGATTGTGAGCAAAAAAGATGAAGAGAAAAAAAAGGAGACAGAGAATGCGAAAGAGAAATAAAAAACGTCATCCACCAAATCGTATCAACAAGAAGGTAACTAAATGACGTTGAAGTAAAAATAAGAAATTTTAGTGAGTATGACTGACTTTTCTTCTTTTTTTACAAGATGATAGAACACAAATTGATGATTGTTACAACAAAAAGAGAAACAGATGAAAATGATGTAGATAAAATCACGATAGATAATCAATATGATCCACAGACAAACACACAAAGAGAAACTATTAGAAGATGGAGGACAAAAGTGTTACTAAGGAAGAAGCAAAAGAAAAAAAGATTGACCAAACTGATGATAACAAAGAATGACAAATATAATTGATGTCAATTAGAGCGACATCATTGGATTGAACAGGTTAATCAAATTAAATCGATAATCAATAAAATGTAACATTTGGAAAGAAGAAAAATAAATTAGGTTAAATTAACAAAGAAACAAAAATTATCCAATCAACAAGATTTTCCTCTGTAAAGGTAAATAGAATTTAATTTTATTCTTTTCTATTCTCTTTCTTTTTCTCTGTCGACATCTGTCGCTTTTCGCTAATTTCCCTCTCTTTTCTTGTTTATTGTTTTCTCTCACAAATTAACCATTAATTTGTTTTCTCTTTTTACCTTACAATTAATTTAATTACCATGAAAATCTAATAAATTGGTCATCTTTTTGTGACAATCAATTAGTTGTTTCCATGTAGATTGTCACTTTGTTTTATTTCCTTATGATTCTTGTAACCTGATGAATTGATATTCTTGTTTTAATTATCTGTCATTGTTTTTTTTATCTGTGTCACGTTATTGTGGTTTTTTCTGTGTTTGTATCTCTGATTATAAATTAATTGGATTAATCATGATCGAAATCAACAATTTACTTGGTTATTTGTTGTTGTCATGTTGTTAATCAAGACTTTAGTTAGTCTTTCACAGTAATCAATTGCTGATAAGTGTTGGGTAACATTCAATTTAAAATGTTTTCTGGTTCAAGTTAATGCGTGATAATTAAATATTTTCAAGATGATGGAAATAATCATGAAGAAACAGATTAGATGTTGATAATTATTAGTATTTCCCTTTTCTGGATGGAAGAAACTTGGTTTGATTATCTTGAGTAAAAATTAATCTTCATGTAATAAAATTACTGAACAATTATGGTGATAAAAATTGAAAGATTGGCATGAAATAAGGTAAACAATGGTAATCAATTTGTTGTTTTCATCCAAAGTTCATCAAGTTAATTTAATGCAATTAAGTGTTTATTATAAGAAAATCACTCCATCTATTCAATTGTGTAATTGATTAATTATCAATGACAATTGGATTGTCTATCTAATATTATCCTGATTAATTGTCAATTTTTTTCCTTTTCCTTAACATGATTATGTTTCTTAATTATTCTTGAATCAAATGTACAATTTAAAATGTTGGTAAATCGATTTCAATATTTAATTGTTTTTTCTTAATCCACCTTAAGAAAAGCTCATTGATCTGTGAATCTAACTTAATTGCTAGAACTAATCAACCAAATGATAGTAAAAACTGTTAACCAAGCAAAAGTACAATTAACAATTTGATTATTTTTGCCTTGAAAATGGATGAAGAAATAATTACTCAATCTCGTAATTGATGAGTTAATTGGAATTAAAAACCCATAGGCCAATTTAGCTGATCATAAACAGAAAATTAAATGAACATCGATCATTTTTTCATGAATACAAAAAAAAATCTAATTAATTCAAGTAATAATTAACTTAATCATTTATTTCCAAGTTCTAGAAATTAAAAAATCATTAATATTTAAAAGAGAGAAAAAAGTTTTAACAATTTCCAATGATAAATAGATGAAAATATGAATTAATCGTCTTTTGGACATTTCGTTTTCGTCCAATCAGCTGACCAGTTTCGATAAATATTAATGAATGAAAGGAACGAAGAAGTTATTTCCAATAGCGATAAATTGGCAATATTTGAGCAAGAAGGATTAGTTAACATGATTAATCCGTGGATTAGAATTGCGATTGACTGTAACGATTTAAGAATTGTAAACAATGATCTCCAATGATTAACATTAACAATCGGAGGTCCAGCGGAGGCACAAACTCTCATTGAATAATCAACGATTCCAAAGATGAGAGTGACCAGTGTAAGGAAAGAAGATGATTTTCCTGGAAAGTATTTTAATCCATAGAAAATGGTAAAGACAAAGATAAACTCATCGACCATGTCCAGTTTGTCCCATTTAAGTGTCTTCTTCATTAAAATAGTGACCACTCTGGGCAACATTTCACCGATATGAAGCCATAAGAAAATGTAAGCAAGGTAAACGGTGAAAAAGGGTTTAAGGTCAGTTAATTGTTGATCAATTGGTGAACAATCAAAAGAGACACGAGCCCAATCGGTGACCCAAAGGTCAAGGAAAACACCAACAACATTGGCACCGAACACTAGTCCATTGTAAATGAGTAGAAAGGGTTTAAGGTCAAGAGGTTGTCTGTTGACCATTAGCCAAGGTCCGAGAATCGATGTGAAAAGATTACAAGAAAAAAAGAGAGCAATTAATTTCCATGGAAAACCTGAAACCAAAGGTAAACTTTCGGACAAAGGATGACCAGTGAAAGACGATGTGTCCATCATGGTGAACAATTAAAATCTCCAATTGTAATGATCAAAAAATTCAATTTCAAACACAAACCAAATCAAGAAGAGAAATGAAAATGAAAATGAAAATAATTTTGATAAAAAAATTCTGGATAATTAGTTGATTAACTCCTTTTGATTTCGTTTATTTGGTCGGGATTTCTGTTTGTTTCACTTTAATGATTAAGTTTAACGAGCTCATTGGATGTACTGATTGTTAATTATCAGAATTAATAATAAACAAAATTAAACGTCACAATTAAGAACCGGTTACCTTTTGAATCTCAGGTTCCAACTCATTGAAATCCTTTCATGTAACTTGTTTGTTTTCATTTAATTTTTACCCAAAGACAATTAGGAGATGATTTAAATCAAGGTCAATTTACAACTAGAATTTATTATCTCATTTGATGCTTTTTGATTGTTCACTGATTGTGTTTACCTTTTAAATACCTTGAGGCAAAATAAGATTAGCGAGAAATGAGGGAGAAAAACGATTAAGCCTTCGAAAAGGATAATCAATGGTTTTCGAAAATAATCAAATTCCAAATTTTCCATTAAAGTTCATCGTCGCCTGTAGATTATTTATAACTTCTTGTTATTTGTATTCAAAAACTAATCACTTCGAGAAATAAATTATCGAACATCTTTGTACAAAAAGAGTTCGAATTCGTATTTTCCTTTTTTTTCGCTTATTTATAGTTCGAACTATCAATTTATTGATTAACGATACAGAATGAACTTCATGAGTCTCGTTTGTAATTAGCGATAGCTTCAAGTTGGAATTAAATTAAAGATCAATTCTGTTAAAAAAATAATAAGAAAAATTCAATTAATGGTTCTAATCATTGATGAAAATGTCGAAAAAAGTTCCAACTCATTGATTTATCCAAATGATTTCTATTTATCATCTTAAACTTTATGCCAACATGTCACAAGAAATTCTGTAAATTAATAAATTAAACTTAAAACTGTCGGTTGAAAAACTAATTAATCGAAACAATCAGCACAATTAAAATTATAAAAAAAGAATTGGAATTTGTATTAGTTTAATCGGAGAAAAACAGATGGCGTTGGCTCCGAAAAGAAATCTCTAGATTCATGTCAATTTGTCCAATGCTTTAATCTCAGGTAACATTGATTGTTTGTCCTTTTTTATTAACAATTTGTGATCTTTTAAAAGTTATTGATTTTTGATTAACTAATTTTGATATTTTTATTAATTCTGCTGACAGTGTTCTAGTTAATTCTGTCTGACAATTTTCCTCATTCGTGTTATCTTTGCGCTTTGTTGGTCTTCCAACTGGTGTTACTTTTGACTCTCTATTAACCTTTTTTTCTGTTATTTAATTATAATCCCTTTTTTTAATATCCATTTAATTTGGATTTAATTTCTTCATATTCCTCCATCAGTGATTGTTTTGTAAGGTCAATTGTATAAAGTGTTTGAATCTTTTTATAATGGATCTCGTTGATGCGGATACAGTTTTAGCACAAGGGCCAGATTCTGATTGTGAAGATATTTCCGGTAAAGATGATGTTCTTAATACTCCATTGATGTTACCGAGAGTAAAGATGGTGGAGTTTTAAAAGAGATTCTTAAGGCTGGTTCAGGTATGTGTTAATTAATTGTTCATATATATTGAAATTATCTTTCTTGGGTTGAATAGAAAATGGAATGGACATTATTGGTATAATGGTTTAGTTTCTTTTTCTCTTCTCCTGATTATTGTTCTTTCCTCAACTCACATGTTTCTTTCTCTCATTTTTTAGGTTGGGAAAATCCTGCTACTGGTGATAAAGTTTTCGTTCATTATGTCGGTTCTCTTGAAGATGGAACTATTTTCGACTCTTCTCGGGAACGAGGATCAACTTTCTCCTTTATGTTGGGTCAGCGTCAAGTAATAAAAGGATGGGATCTCGCTGTTGCTACCATGAAAGCCGGTGAATTAGCTAAGGTTACCATTAAATCGGATTATGGGTATGGTGATGCTGGTTCACCACCAAAGATTCCTCCCAAGGCTACTTTAATCTTTGAGATTGAACTTTTTGACTGGAAGATGATGGATTGTACCAAAAAAGACGATGCCGGTGTTAGAAAAAGAATAATTGTCCAGGGAACTGGATATTCTACTCCTAATGATGGTGCTACCATTCAGGCTCATATTGTTGGTAAATTTGGTGACGCTGTGTTTGAAGAAAGGGATATTACATATTGTCATGGTGAACCCAGTGAAGTGAACATTCCGGATGGCCTTGACCTCGGAATAGGCAAAATGAAAACCGGTGAAAAAGCTTTAATCTTTATCCGTTCCGATTATGCTTGGGGATCAAATCCTCCAACTGAGTTTAACCTTCCCTCCAACTACCAAGAAGTTATTTATGAAGTTACTCTTAAGAGTTTCGAAAAGATCAAGGAAACTTGGGAAATGACAGCAGAAGAGAGATTGGAACAGGCTAAATTAGCCAAAGACAAAGGTTCAGCTTATTTAAAAGAGAATAAATTACAACTCGCTCTAAAACAGTATAAACGAATTCCAACATTAATCGGTAAGTTTATAAATCTTTCAATAGAAAAATTCGAACCAAAGATTAACAATTTTCATTTTTTCCTTCGCATTTTCAGGTCCATACAATAACTTACAAGAAGAAGATGAAGAGATGGAAATGGAAAAAGGTGGAGAAAAAGTAGACGAAAAAGAAAAACACAGTATTCTTTTAGCGGGTCATCTAAATCTTGCGATGGTTCACCTTAAACTCGAACAATACACCGATGTTGTCAAGAACTGCGATTCCGCTTTGGAAATTGACCCAACCAATTGCAAGGGACTTTTCCGCCGAGGATCAGCTTATTCTGGTCTCAAGGAATTCGAAAAGGCGATCGCAGACATTGAGAGATTATTGGAAATCGAACCTGAGAACAAAGCAGCTAAAAATCAACTAATTATAGCTCGACATGGGCTAAAGATTGAAAAAGAAAAAGAAAAAGCTCTTTTCAAGAACATGATCTCAAAATATTTAGCATCTTCTTCTGATGACAAACCTCCATCTTACGAAGGTCCAATCGATGAAGTTCAATTTGCCTCGAAAGAACCAAAAGCCGACGAATCACAACTATCTATTCAAGAAATTAATTAACCAATCAAATTAATCGAATTTTTCCCTTTTCTTTTTTTGTTCTTTTTTTACCATGAACAACTTTTTTCGTCTCTATTTCTGCTATTGCACCAACACCAATTAATTCGGTTCCTTGATTGTTTAACTTTAATAAAATTTAAGTTAATCATTTTTCACTCCAAAACAAAAAGAAAAACACTCATAAAGATCAATTTTCGAATTTTGAAAAAATTGTCCCAATTCATTTCTCATTTAATCAAAAACCAAACTTAATGATTCAATAAACTGTCCCTCCAACAGAATCAATCAAAAAGATGAATTTTCGAACAGAAAAACTAATTGAAACAAAGAAAATTAAAAGCATCAGCTGGAGATGATATGACAACGGTTGCTAAGAGAAAAAGAGAAAAAAATTGTTATTGTTTTTCTTTGTACCTGTTGTGTCAAGACGAAAGAATCAAAGTGATTTGTTGATTGTTGATTCGTTTGTTTTTAATTTGAATTGTGAATGTAATTCGATGTAATGAACGACCAATGAATTCGGATGAAACAATTGGAACAAATTTCTAAAAACAAGAAAGAAAAGTAAGAAGAAATTCTTCAAATGAAATGTTCTTTTTTTCTGTCTGTGACTTAGTTTTCTTTCTTTCTCTCAATTTCTCTCTGTGTTTCTTTCTTCTTTCCATATGATAGCTTTTATTTTCCTTCTTCTCTTACAACCTTGAACCTTTTACTATTCCAGTGATAATATTACAGAGTTTCTGTTTCCCTTTCTTTTAATTCTGTTTCATGATTTCTTTTTTCTCTTTCTCTCTCTCTCTCTCTCTCACACACTGTTTTTTATTCTCTGTTCAAATGTAACATCAATCAGATTCTGTTTTCTCTGTGAATTATCATTACCCTTTTTCCCTTCAGTTCTTCTCGCCTCTTTTGCATTTCATCATTTTCTCCACTAATTGTGTTCTATTCTCTGTCTTTGGTTCTTTCTTCATTTTCTCTCCTTTTCTCCTTCTCTTTGTCTATCTCCCTGTCTTCCTGCATCTCTAGTATCTATTTCACTCTATTTGTATCTTTCTTCATGTTTCACCATTGTTACTGTTTCCATTCATCATACTCGCCACTAGAACCACTAACGCAAACCCTTAATTGACCAATATCATTGTAACGATAAAATAACGAGTGTTTTGGACTCACGAATTCGGAATGTCCATTGACAGTCTACCAGATGAAATACTTGATTTAATGTTTGAACGAATTCTCTTCATAGAAGATGTAATCAACTGTTCTAAAGGTAAATTTTGTTTACAATCTTTACTATTTTCATTTCTTTCACAATTTAATTATTTCTTAGTTCTAATGATTCATTTTTTCTCTCTCTCTCTCTCACCAATTTTACATTTCGCCAGTATGTAGACATTGGTGGACATTAGCCCAAAGACGGTTGAACCACGTTCATTACCTGATCGCCTGTTTATCTAAAGGTAATTTTCCTAAGAAGAATAATTTTAAATTTCTAATATTTTGATTGAGCGTTTTGAACAATTTTTCAATTATTTTCGCTTCAAGTTCCATGTTGACTTGAATTTCTCATCGAATCAACATTCTCTTTCTACCCGAATCATCATAAAATAGATTCATTGCTAAATGAATAATCAATCATTCTCATCAACCATACATTTTATGAGTCTAATTAAAATAAATCAATCTCTCCATCTCTTATTTACTTTTCTCTCTAGAAAATTGTTTATATCAAGGAAGGAAATTCATCTTCTACCGGCCAGATAAATATAGTTACCATTACATGAATATACTTCCTAATTTAAAGGTAAATATCAATGAAAATTAGTTAATTTGTCTATTTGTTCATTGATCGTTCTCTCTCTTTCCTACCTTGATAATAATCGTTAATTTATTTCATTTGCTTCCACCAAAGATAATCGATGTAGATAAGAGCTTGGATCGAGCAGAAGAAGGTATATTCTTACGAGCCTTGGAATCGCGACAGAAAATCAAAGGAGTAGCTTATCCCTATTACGAACCAGAGGGACCATGTAAATCCATGTTTCTCAAGAATATTGAAATGTTGGCTCCTGGTTATCTCACGATAAGCAATGGATTCGTGATAAGCCTTTGTTCAGATACCATAAGACAATTATTCCTCGAAGATAATTATAATAATCTAGATGATATAATCTCAAAGTGCAAATCATTACAACGTATTCATATTCATCATTATGAAGGTAAATTTTACTTACACAGAGAGAGAGACATAATCAAATATTTACAATTGATCAAAATTTCTAATCATCTGATGTTGTAAATGTTTTCATTTATTTTTCCTCTTCAAATTAATCGCATGAAAATTGTTTACTCTAATTATCTCTAATTATACACTAACTGTATATAAATATATTCCTATTGATTAATAATATTTTTCTCTTCAATTTTTCAGGAGCAAGACTATTGACATATAAAGGATTACCTACAGAGTCTCTCCAAGTTCTTGAATTAGATATAAGTTATTTCTATGGACCCGATACATGTATCAATAATTTTATCGATAATTGTCCAAAACTGAACAGCCTTTTCTTACGTTTTAATGATACAGAATTTAACTTTATTCCTTCAAAGAATCATAAATCTCTTGAAAACCTAGTTCTTGAATATTACTCACGATCAAAGGTTAGATTATAATCATAATGGTTAATCAATTAACTGTAAAAGAATCCATGTTAAATCAGTGATGCTAATTTGTTAATTTTCTTCTTTCCATTGATTCATTCAGGACCCGAGACCAATCAAATGGACCAATATACCACAGTTTTTACAAAAGGTTCCTAATTTAAAGCATCTTGCTATTAGATCGTGCCCAGGATTTAAAGACATTCACATTTACGATATACTTACATCATGTCCCAATCTGAAACTAATTGATTTAAGAGATTGTCCTGATATAAATTCTGATTCGGAGACTTTGGTTAATGAGATTATTCAATCGAAAGACTATCAGATCGAAATACTAACTGGATCATACTCAAAATTACCTCTACATCATCATGAGAAAGTCGTTTGTCAAGGATTTGATTTTATGAAGCATATATTTCATAAATCATGGAAAAATATTCCACTGTTTTTAACATACGATTAAATTGTGGATCGAGGAGTCAACAATTAGCTTTTATAATGATTATTATTAAAGCAGTAAACTGTCACCAATGTGTCGAACTGTTTGTTTCTCGAAATCATGGATAAAAAGAGGTCTTGAAATGTAAATACAATCAACTAATTGCTGTTTATTTTATCTGCAACTTTTACACCATCAACTATTCATTGAGCGAAATCAATTTGGATTATTATCATGAGTATCTTCAAACAATTAACCCGTGATGGTTTATAAGTGTGTGTTCACTTATTAATATAATCATAGTTATCTTCTAATTAGCTTAATTCACCTCTAATGTGCTTCATTTTAATCAGTCCGCTAATTAAATGAAAAAAGCTAATTTTTTCTTCATTGATTGGAAAAGTAACAAAGTTTAACTGTCAACAAAGGAAAAGCTTCAATACAACTCTGTCCGAGAATCAAAAGAAAAAATATCCAACCAATCAATTCATTTTGTAAATTATGTTCTTGATAATTGATAATTTAATCAACGAATCAAGTCCATTCATCGTCACCGAGCTAAATCATCACGCTAATCGTTGATTGTTTTATTTTGTCCAAGGCTATGATTGTTTATTGACCTCGAATCGAATCAAAAAAACCTTGTTTGTTTAACTCTCTGGATTATTTTTTGCTGTTTTTCTTGTTTAATTTTCATCAATTTCATCTTCATCATCATCATTGTCATCGTCAACAATTAGCATGCTAATTAAATGTTATTTTCAGCTGTAACTAAATTAACACAATATGAAACACAAAAAAAAACAACGACTGTAACTGGAATAAATTTGTTTCTAGTTCTAACACTGAATTTTGGTTAATATTGATTAAGATTAACGATTGTGATTTACTTAATCATCTTCATCATCATCATCATAATCATCAACCTGTTATTTTAATTTAATCACAAGTATAACTGCGATCCTGTTGAAGCCCAATTAAGGTGGTTTCCTGACATCTCCATAGTGTGAAGAAATCATTATTGATTGATTTGTTAATCAACCAAACAATTAACTTACAAATATTGAAATCAAAAAGTAACTCGATTAATAGATTGACTGAAAAAAAAACAAATTTGTTTAATTATCTATTGTAACTTGTTGTTTTTAACTGTGGAAACATGCATACAATTAAATGTCTAGTGATAATTTCGCAAACACAAATATATCTTGATGATGATCTTTTGTCATAATTTACAATGATTAACATGAAGAGAACGCCATTTCCAGGGTAACCTTTGATTAAGAGTGAAAGAAGAGCAAGAATTAAACAACAATTCACTTAATTATTATGGTGTTACTCTGTTGAGATCCACGAAGTGGGAGAAAGTCCGGTCAAAAAAGTTGTATGGTAATTCAGTAATGAAAGCGGAGGTCGATCGTCGATAATAAATCGGATAATCGATTGGTCAGTTTGGGGTTTGGTGATGAATTAGTACAGTCGTTCAAGTTCAATATGAACAGTTTAAAGAGAAACTGAAACGGCTTAAAGATCAAATGAAACAGATTAGTGACTAAAAGGATTAACAATTTTCTTTTAAAATTCAAGTGAAACACTTTAAATAGGCTCAGAAACAGATTCAAACATTTCATTTTCTTCTTTTTATTTTTCAAAAAAATTTTATTTAAAAAAAAATTTATTTGGTGATTTAGTTAATTAATTCATGATGATTTCACCATCACAACATTTAGATATGTAAGTCATCATGTGATCGAAGTAGTTTAAATTTCTTAGTCCATAATTGACATATTTTTTTTAAATGTTATTAATTAGTTACTTAAATACTCGGACAACAATTTGATCCAATTACAGTCGTTCAAGTTCAATATGAACAATTTAAAGAGACACTGAAACGGCTTAAAGATCAAATGAAACGGATTAGCGACTAAAAAGATTAAGAATATTTTTTAAAATTCAAGTGAAACGTTTTAAAGGTGATCAGAAACAATTTAAAAAGTGTTTCATTTTCAGTTCATTCAAATTCATTGAAAACCTTCAATTCATGATGATTTGACCACCACAACATTTTTAGATTCATCCAATCATGTTAACAAAGCATTTGCGACAGTCAAATTTCAATTAATTGTAAGAGTGATTTTCATTGATTTACAAATTTCTTGGACATTAGCTGGTTCTACAAATCTCATAGAGAAAATGAAATACTTTTAAATTGTTTCTGATCACCTTTAAAACGTTTCACTTGAATTTTAAAAAATATTCTTAATCTTTTTAGTCGCTAATCCGTTTCATTTGATCTTTAAGCCGTTTCAGTGTCTCTTTAAATTGTTCATATTGAACTTGAACGACTGTAATTTCACATTAATCACAACCTTTTCCGTTGGAACCTTTGATTTGCCCCTTCACCCGATTGTCCATATGTAAACACTGAGAACAATCAACCAAACGTGTTCACAATTACCATTGATCTATCATATGATATCATATTTATTTAAAATTTTAATAATTCTATTTAAATGATTTAAATTTCTTAGCGATTTCATTTTAAGTTGATCACAATTCACCATGTGAACAATTTGAACAAAAATAAATCTCGATATTTTTATATCATTATTATTTCAATGGGAGGAGGAAGGTGCAACCAGCAATCAACTGACCATATTACTGATTCTTGATCGAGTAATCCAACAATTTAATCAACTAACAACATTCAAAAGCTTTCTGGAAGCAAATTTACTCAGCCATTTTCCATGTCACTTTTTTGGTTCAATCGGTTTTACTTGACTTCAGTTTTTTATAGCAATTGAAAGATCATCTAAGTACTGTAGTTAATTGTAAGTAATAAAAAGTGACCCGGTGATAAAAAAATTTACATTTCGACTCATTGATTTGCTTGATTAAAATTTTATTCAGAATCCAAGTTACAATGAAAATTATCTTATTCTTGTTTGTTCCGTCAATGGTAATTGTGATGCAGAATCAACAGATTCCATGTTTCCTAGGGCGATGGTTTCGTTAAAATTTCAGCGTTATTCGAGTGGCTTATTACGCCATCTGAGTGCCTACAAGTGACGAAGAAGCGATATTTTTCCGCTGGCTTAAGGTTTTGAGCTGAAATAATAAAAGTGAAGCTGTTTCTCGATACAGTTCGAGCATATTTCACTTTATAATCTGTCAAAAAAAAAGAAAATGCAAATCGATCGAAATTAAACTTTTGTTCTTTAGTATTCAAAACTCATTTACCGTTAGATATTCAATACTTACTTTCATATGATAGAGCCCAATAAGGTCTAATCTCAGAACGATCCTCGATTTCCACTGATAAAAAGCATTCCTCGATTGAATTATCGCCTTCTCCTTCTTCGGCAGTCATGTTCAATTTAACGTCATTCGCACCAACGTCAACACTTTCCAAGACAACACGGGTCGAGGTTATTGGAGTAGCTCCGACCTAGTAGTACCTAGAGAAATTCATTTGAAAATTTAACCTTTCGAATCAAATTGATTTAATCAAATACAATTCAATTTTTATCATTGATTGTAACTGATTGCTTAGCTTACTTTTAATTGTCTCGAATCTATGATACAGCTACATAAATGGACAAATTTATCTGATCTGATGGGTGGTTTTACATGATAACTGAAAAGGGAAAATATTAAGTAGATTGACATTTAGAAAACAATTGTATCGGAAATCAAGAATGATTTGATAATCGAAATCGCAATTTGTCAACTAAGTTATGAGCACAATGGGAATTTATTACTACAATTACTGGTATTACTTGTAATCGCGACTGTTAATTATTTTCAATTAAACCTCTATCCAGCTAAATGAATTGATAATTATCACCATCAACTGATAGTTGTGATTCATTTTGATTGTCACTGATTGTCAGATTTTACGAGAGACTGAGGTTTCATATTGTTACAGAGCTTTGATCATTGCCTATCTTCAAGTTGGTCCATTTGAATTCGACTTTCATACTACATTTCCGGATTTCAGATCTCGAAGTTCATTCCATCGGCCCGTTACAACTCAATGTTTAATTGTTCCATCAACTAAATCAGCCTATTGGTACAATTGAGTTAGTAAATTAGTCACAAGAGTTTATGAGTTGATAAATGTTATTAATAGATCAACGGCGAAATGAATGGAAAAAGCGATTTGATGTATCGTTGGTGAGGTTAATAGATGCATTGTGAATCTCATGGAGATACTAAGGCTTACTTAATTAAGGCTGATGACTATTATAATTTAGTACATTATTATTGTGTTACTTTGGTCAAACGGAAAGGTTAAATCATTAATGTCCAGTCTGGATCACTTGAAAACAGAGTCGAATTCAAATGAACCAACTTCAAGGTTTAATTGAAAATAATTAACAGTCGCGATTACAAGTAATACCAGTAATTGTAGTAATAAATTCCCATTGTGCTCATAACTTAGTTGACAAATTGCGATTTCGATTATCAAATCATTCTTGATTTCCGATACAATTGTTTTCTAAATGTCAATTTACTTAATATTTTCCCTTTTCAGTTATCATGTAAAACCAACCATCAGATCAGATAAATTTGTCCATTTATGTAGCTGTATCATAGATTCGAAACTAAATAATTGATTAAATTAAACAAATGAAATGAACAACTGAGTAAATTAAGAATTTGAAAAAGTGAAATTCTCAGCAACAGCAAATCCAATAGTTACTTTAGTTTGAAAGAGAAAAGTTTTCTTAATCGATTGATCAGTTTGGGGATTTGGCGATAAATAAGTAAATTTCTTAGCAGATAATTGATATTTTCGGTAATGTTCAGTGATTTTTATGAAAAGGCCACAATCGATGGTTCCGATTCAGATAATAAAGACTTTGATTGATTTATGCTTCTATTAAATCAATAGTTAAATATCGATAGTTGATTGAGTTTTTAAACGCCAGAATCAACTGAAAGTTTGTAACTAACCAAAAAGGTACAATTAGATATTAATGTTTACTTTTAATTGTTGACAATCAATTGTTATCTAGGTAAACAAGTACAAGTAAAGGTGATGATTTATTTTAATTGTGTGAATATTTACTAGTCTCCGAGACATTGAATTGTTAATTGTTACTATTTAAAAGATTATTTAATGACTGTTAAGTTGCGCTACTTTCAATTTAATTGAACGGGAAATAATTGTCAATCTAATCAATAATCAGTTTACAATTAAGAAGATAAATTAAGTCTAAAATTCGTTGTATATCTTAACCAAAACTGGGACTTTTCGAACACTCGAACGATCGTAAATTAGGACATTTCCGTTGCTCTTTTCGACGATATGAAGATGACTTTTTCTACATATCAACGATCACGAACATTGGAGTGACAATTAACAACACAAGACTCGAACCATTGGAATCACAATTGAACAATTAATTATGATGACGAAGAAAAAAAAATTAACTCTAACAATTTATTAACTTATTTTTTATGGAAAATGATACAAATGAAAGACTAACAGTTTAGTTGATTGTGATCAGTGAACTTCAATTACTTAGTTCATTTTGGTTCCAATTAAAACGGTTACAATTGAGCTTTAATTACAATTAGATTGTTCTGATTGTCAGGAAATCTCAGTTCTAAAGTTGAATTTAATTCCAGTTGACTGTCATCACATTGGATTGAATCCAAATTAATCTCTAATCAAATCAGGAAGTTGATTGGAAATGAAGGTGATTAGTTGTGAGAGAGAAGATAATTATCACTCAATTAAAGAGAAAAAGAAAGAAAAAGAAAAGAAAGACAAAAGAAAGTGAACAATTTCTCATATGGAAAAAAGAAACTCTTTTCAATCCTCTTTCTTTTTTCTCTTTCTTTTTATTTGTTTTCTTTTTTTCCAAAATAAACTAACTGGTAAAATCTATTCAACAAAATGATTACATTTTATTTTTCTATTCTTTTTTAAATGTTAATTAGTTACTTAACCATTCGGACAACAATTTGGTCCAATTAATTTCACATTAATCACAACCTTTTCCGTTGGAACCTTTGATTTGCCCCTTCACCCGATTGTCCATATGTAAACACTGAGAACAATCAACCAAACGTGTTCACAATTATCTCTATATTTGTTTTCCTCTCTTTCATTTGTCTATTTTTACCTTTTTTTTCAGTTATGTTTCCATCGGTGTGATTTACCTGAATCATTCAAGTTCACTGAGTAATTAGACTTGATACATGATTAACTAGTGAAAGATTATCATCGACATTTGGTAAGTATTGGTGGAGATACTTTTCCATCAATCTATTTCCTATTTTCATCCATATTATTTATCTACCATTTTCTGTTATCTTCTCATTGATGTGAGATATTTTTCTCTTATTTGTTGATTGTCTCAATCAATTTTCAATTCGTTTTTGGCAAATTACAATTGATTTCATATGTTCAATTTTTTCTCATCTCTCACCTGATAGAAATGTCTGAAGAGATTGAGAAATACGTTCGTGATAATGTTCCCTGGGATGAGCTCGACAATGAGGTTAAGATGATCATTGGAACCAAAACTGATTACGATCACAATATCCTGGAATATAGTATTAAAAATCAGCTGAGGTTCATCAACAATTTGGGTGAGTCTTTAATTTTCTATTTCATTTGTTACAAATTGTGTACCAGAAAATTTATTCATCTCTCATTAAAATGATTCTATTTTTGTTTGTTGATTCAATTTCTAGTGAAAACGGTTCGTCGTAGTGAAAAAGGTTATTACCTTGAGCTGTTACGTTACAGTCGTGAACATTTGATGCTATTTCCTTATCATCTATCCGATTATTTGATCTATGGTATGAGGATAACACCGTTTCAATATTATATTCAAATGATTCATGAATTATTGGAAAACGAGAGGAGTTATGACACTTTACCAAATTTTACCGCTGCCGATTGCCTTCGTATTCTTGGCATTGGACGGAATCAATATATTGACCTGATGAATCAATGTCGATCTCGATCATTTCTGGGCATCATGCGTAAATCGATACGCGATTTATTGCCCAAAAAACCATTAAAAGATATTGTTATTGAATATTGGTGGAAAATTTTCCCTGGTTATATTATGGAAGATGATATGAGATATTTGGCTACCTCAAGTGAGAGAGATGTAATTGATATGATTATTGGTGAAGGAGGGTCCATAGGTGAGGGAGAAGTGGCTGGTAAATTTGCAGAAAAAGATGTTCGCTCATTATATTTGAAAGGTTTAATCTACCTTGATGTTCCCATTGAAGATGATGACCTGATTGTGGTTCCACCATTGAGAGGATTTGTTATGAATCGGATTCAGGGCGATTATCTGGAAACCCTTTTGTATAAAATATTTGTTTCCATTGATGAGAAAACCACCGTTAAAGAATTATCTTCAATTCTATCCATTGATCCATCTTTGGTTAAAAATGCCATCTCCATTTACTGTCGTCTTGGTATTGCGTACAAAAAAACACTATCCATGACACTGGACGAATGTCATCCCTCTTGGTCATCAGCTTTATCTTCATCTCCAATCAGTCATTCACTTTCATCTTCATCCTCTCTTTCATCATCAACCTTGTCAGTTAAAGGAGGATCAGGTCACCACAAAACAAACGCAACTAGTCAACAAATGGCCAAATTAATTAACAACATTACCCTTGATTCTAGTGGTAAAGAAATCATTTCAACAAATTCAGGTTTAATCACTGATGATTCTGGCAATAGAGTTGACTCACCAACAGCTGATTCTTCATCTAGACCGTTACTTCAACATTCAAATTCAATATCAAACACTAAACGTATCGCCTTCTTTTACGATTCCACCCTGGTTGCTTTTCTCATGATGGGTAACCTTTCCCCTGGCCTTAAAACACACGCAGTGACGATGTTTGAAGTCGGTAAATTATCCGATGAATCAGTGGACAGTCTACTCGTTGAATTATCTGAGATTCACAATATTAATGTTGAAGAAGAAGGTGATGAGGCGGAAAGATATTTCCTCCATGCGATCATGTTATACCGAACAGTTCAATTCATTCGTCATAATCCTGATCTAACGGCGTCTCTTTGTGACTTTGATGATGCTGACATTGGTTTAGGAATTGATTTAATTCGAGCAGAAAGTTTAATGAACTTGGATGCCAAAGTTTGCGATAGATTGTTAAAGAAAAATTATTCAGTTCTTTTGTCCATTGCACCGGTCAGCAATGAGACACAATTAATTACCAACACTAGTCTTCCCTATCTTGGTCCAGTTTCACCTTTGATAAACTCAATTTGGTTCAATCTTTACTTGTACTCGCTTCTAGGTGCAGGTCCACCGTCACTCCTATTAACTGCCCATCAGCGCTTGAAAAGTCTTCCCACTCTCTTTAAAGGTTTTGAATTTCTTTACCTTACCCCTTGGGGCCGTGACTCTGCCAAAATACCAGCTGATAATGCGCTTCACACCATCAATGAAATGTTAACCACCTCACCGATCCTAGTCCAGGCCTATGCGACAAAAAGTGACTTTCCCTCTGATGATCTCATCTACGTACCATTCCCGTTGACCTGTGAAGAGACGATTAATGAAGAGATTTCAAATCCATTCGAAACTCATCCCGATATTGTTAAACTTTCTTCAATTCTTGATCTAAGATTTACCTGTGGATTTGTTACACTAATTAGACATCAATTATTCTGTCCATCATCACCTTCAATCAAGGAAGCAGAGGAGTCTCAATCTGAAACTATTATTGCAGTTTCGTCACAACCTCCGACCGCATCTGATGACATTGACGAAGTAAATGATAATAAACCGGAAGAAGCACAAGAAACTAATGATTGGGAACAAGATGAATCAGAATTGATTTCGTTAACAGAAGATGAACCAACTTCTATTAAAAGAGGAAACGAAGAGCAAGAAACAATCAACGATTCCGAGAAAGTGAAGGAAAAACAAGAAGATGATGAAAATAATTCAGACGAAATTCATTCCAATGATGAATTTAAATATTGGACTTTAATTGAATGTCACTTTGGTGTTCCTTTATTTGATCGAGCTTTAAATAAGAGTGTTTGTAATAAATTATTGAAACATCATCTTTTTGATATAAACAAGTAAGTTTTCATCTAATTAGTAGCCGATAATAAACTAATTACGTTTTTCTTTGATTTTTTACAGATTATCTCGTAATACCGAAATTAACAATTCTCTTTGCTCGAAAGTGGAAACATTTGTCTCTAATTTGATTGATTCTCCTCGAATTGGTGATAAACATCAGAAAGACAATCAAAGGAAAACCTCATCATCATCTCCCTCATCATCTTCTGGATTTTCACAAAACTCAACAATTAAACGTCAAGTGCCTTTACCGTCCACTAATTTAATCTTCACTAATGGACAATTAGAGCCCTGGTATCAGCCTTAATTGTTATTAAATTGTTCAAAGCTATTCTTATAAATAAGGAAATCAAAACAAAAATCATGAATCAAACAAGTGGATTAGCAACTAATTCTTAATTGTTTGCCAATCTAAGACGATTCAATGATTTAACAGTTACAATATTTTCCAATTCAACAACAATAATAATCAATAATTTTAAAAACATTCCCCCAAAGTTTAATCACCAAAAAAAATAAGACAAACCAAAAGACAAAGGATCTTACAAATATACTAATAGTACATTAATCAACAATTAACAATCTAATTTATCAATCAACAATTGATAAACAAAATTAAAAGTGTCAACGATGTTTGTCATCAAGTACAAGCTGAATATACAGTTTGAGTATTTTGTTTTCTCGTAGAGCTGCCATCTAATTACCAGATGATTGTAATGATAATATAAAAACTTAATCAATGGGAACACAATTAATGAGAAAACAATTAAATTTAACTATTACAAACAAAAAGCTATACTTTTTTAAAAAGAAACAAAAAACCAATGTAATCAACAAGAATCTAAATAAATAATATTATCAGTGTTACAATCAATAAGATGAACAGAATATTCAATTTCAACAACAATTAAACTGGAATAGAACCTCGATTAATAATAGTTAACCTAATTAACTGTAAATAACGATACAAACAATTTACTGTTATGATTTAAACTGAATCTTGGTAACCAAAGAAACCTCCGAATTGCAATTTAGCAAAACAAAAAACAAATTAAACAGAAAACTGAAATTAGTGAAATCTAATTGAACATTTTATTGTCAAATCGCCGATTATTATTATTAATTTTGATCACTCACATAATCGTAAAATTTAATTGCAACAATCAAGTGAAAGGAAAAAAGTTTCTTCAAAATACCAACAGTAAATTAAGATTTAATTATCTCAAGATTAGTTCGTTACACAAAATGGTATTGGTAATGATAACTTCTTATTATTATACTTAATTACACCGATTAATTGTGATTAAATCTAATTGTTGTCACTCTTAATTAGGGTCTCCTTTCATTACTAAGAAAATTAAAATCAACCCCTGATCGCGAGGTCCGAATTCTGTTATTGGGCCTGGACAATGCGGGGAAAACGACGATTCTCAAAAAAATGTCCTCCGAGGACATTTCTCATATTACACCAACTCAGGTGAGTTAATTAAACAGTCGATTGTCCAATTTACCTTAAATTTTAACGATAAGTTAATTGTTTGCCGCAAATCAGATCAATTGGCTGCGAGTTTGAATTGAAAATCTAATGTATTATTAATAATATTCAAGAATCTTAAACTGATTGACCTCAATTATTGATTTTTTTGGTTTATTACTTTTTTTATGATAATAATTATGTCTTTGTATATGTAACCAGGTAAATTTTCAAAGGTGAATCAAAATACAGGTAAAAGTAATAAATTAGCTAATTTATTTCAATTGGAAACGATTTTTTATCACCAAGTATTCAAATCTCAAGCTATTTTTCAATTAGACTGTTAGTTGATTGATTGATCGGTGTTTCTGTTTAATTGATTCATATCTAAGGGTTTCAATATCAAGAGTGTCCAAACGGCCGGATTCAAGTTAAATGTTTGGGACATCGGCGGTCAACGGAAAATTAGACCTTATTGGAAAAACTATTTTGAAAATACTGATATTCTGGTGAGTTAATTGTTCATAATTAAGCTTGAAGGTTGGATGATTTATATTTTCTGTATTCGATAGATTTATGTTATCGACAGTTCGGATAAGAAACGATTCGAAGAGACCAGCATTGTGAGTAGTTCAAAACTTTTGATTCTTTACTTTGTTATCTCGTTAATTCAATTGTTATTCTGGTGATTTAGGAATTGAATGAATTGTTGACCGAAGATAAATTAAACGGTATTCCAATATTGGTCTATGCTAATAAACAAGACCTTTTCAATGCCGCTCCTGCAAGTGAGATCGCTGAAGGCCTTCATTTACCGTCGATTCGTGATCGTAGTTGGCAAATACAAGCTTGTTCAGCGATTTCAGGTGAAGGGCTTAAGGTCAGTATTGTATCATTTCAATTGTCTGTTAACTAATTCTAATTTGTATTAATCAGGAAGGATTGGATTGGGCCTGTAAGAATATCAAGTCCAAAAAGTGATCAACAATTAGTGTAATCGAAAGCTAAATTGTAACCGCTTTTTACTCCGATCAACTTGTTCAACTATATTATTAATACTTAATCTGAGTGTCCGAGTTTTTTTTTAACTGTAACTCTTAATATTGTCAATTAAAACAAAATATAAAACAATCAATTGTATTTAAATTATTTTCTTGTGGTATATTAGGTTTAAAATCGTACTAATTGATATATAAAGTTTAAAATTAAAATCGTTGAATCGTAATTGGGTTGATTGCAAAAAAGTTGCTCCTTTCAATTTGATTGAATTATTTTCTTGATTTGGCCAAGCTCTGTGTCGATAAGAAAAAAAACAATTAAGAATTACAATTAGTTGATTTGCTTATTATCTTTACACATATAATTTGAATATTAACCTTTTTAGCGGCATCAACAGTATTGTAGATTAACATGGCAACGGTCATTGGTCCAACTCCTCCAGGAACTGGGGTAATAGCTGAGGCCACTTCTTTGCATTGATCATAATCAACATCTCCAACTAATCGGTAGCCTGATTTACGAGTTGAATCAGGAATAGATGTGATTCCACAATCAATTACAACAGCGCCTGAAGAAAAGAGATAAACACAATCCAGTAATCAATTAATTGGAAACAGTTAACGTGGCGAACAATTCAAAGACAATTACCTGGTTTAAGCCAATCTTTTTTCACGAAAAAAGGTTGACCAACCGCGGCCACAACAATGTCGGCATTTCGAACCGTTTCTGGAATATTTTTACTCCTTGAGTGGACAATAGTGACCGTAGCATTGTTCCAGACCAATAGTTGGGCCATTGGTGAACCGACGATTTTACTACGACCCAATACAACTGCATGAGAACCTTTGAGAAGAGAGAAAAGTTAATTGTAAATTAGCTGAGATTTTCATATCTCTAAGGATAAGATAAATTACCAGCAATTTGAACACCACTTTGTTTAATTAACTCTAAACAACCAAATGGTGTACAGGGTACATAGCTATTCATCCCATTGACTTGGCCATGCATCAATTTACCAGCATTGATATCTGAAAGACTATAAAATAACATGTGTAAAATTTTTACAACAATTAATTAGTCATCATACTGACCCATCAACGTCCTTTTCTGGGTCAATTAAATTAGTAATTTGATCAGTATTGATTGGACTGTCACTTTCCAATGGTAGTTGTACAATTATACCATGAACACTTGAATCTTGATTTAGATTATGCAATTTATCAATCAGCTAAATTGTTACAAAAACATTATGTATTTAGAAATCAATTAATCAAAAGCCAGAGATTTAGATTGGGGTTTTAATTACTTGTTCTTGGGTTGTTGATTTGGGTAATTTATGGTGAGTGGCAAGGACACCGGCCTCTTCGGCAAATTTGATCTTATTCTTAATGTAGACATTGGAATCGTCTCGAGATCCGACCTGGATAATGGCCAGTTGAGGTTTGACCGACAATTTACCGACTTCTTCACGCAATTTGGCCTGAATTTGACCTGAAACTTCTTTGCCGCTGATGATTTTCGCCATTGTTTTTCCACTGATTCACAAAGATAAAAGAGAAACAAAATTATTGGTTTTGAAAAGAATTAAAATAAAATAGTGGATTAGAAAGTAAAGAATAGAAATTAAATCTTTGCAATTAAAATCACTTCTAAATTGTAATCAAGCGTCTGAGAAGATTTTCAATAACTCAATGTCTCTCTATCTCATTAATCACTCTTCAATTTGATGATAATTCTGATTCTTGATATTGGTTGAAGATCGAGATTGATAATCAAAAGAGAAAAACATTAATTACTGGTAATCAACATTTCCTTTTGCTTGACAATTTATTCTCTAATCATAACTAGAGATCTTCAATCTATATCAATGATGATTATTCTTGTATGTTATTAGATTGAATTAAATTATCTATCGAAACAATTAAGATAAACATCAATTCTATTGATTGATTTATTTGTTAAATCTATGGAGCTTCATGAAGATAATTATCAATTTCATTGGAGAAATTATCTTATTAGAATCAATCTTATCTAACTTACCCAATGGATGTTGATGATCTCCTGATAATAGAGTTGGTTTGAGTAATTAAGTTAATCAATCGAGTCATTTGGTTGATGAGAATCACAATTAAAACCAAATGGTAACAACAACAATCATCAAAGGGAAGAAAATAAAATCTCTCTCCATTAGAATTAGTGAAAGAAAATGATTTACAATCAATTGAGAATCTAATCAACTACATCAATAGAAATGGGAAACTAAATAATTAAGAAAAAAAACCAAAACAATTAAAAAATCACAATAAGAAGCGAATCAAATTAACTAAAGAAAAAAAGAATTACCAAAAAACATATGATCGATTCTCGTTTGAATTTCCCGGGATTTTTTTTCGATTAACCGATTCACCGATTAATTTTTAATTTTTCCAACAATTTAATCTAAATTTAGCTAACTAATCATTGTCTTTATTTTCTAATCAAATTAACGGATGAATTTTAAACTATTCTTGATGTTGATTTAATTCTGTTCTCATATTGAGACTACACGATTGTAGTAAAGGAACTGATTTCGTTTTTTCAATCTTGTCATTTGAATGGATTTAATTTACTAATTGTTGTTTAGATTAAAGATTAAAAAGTGAACATCCTCTTAGTCTATGTTTCAATATCCTATCAACATCCGTACTTACCTTTGGTTCCTCCATTTTGTTTTCCTGTTGTGAAAATTTTCTCGGTAATTTGACAATTTTTGTTTCTACAATTTGAGTACAAACAAAGTAAAAGATTAATTTACTTTTGATTGTGTCTTTTTCTTAACTAAAACTATGATAATTTACCTGAGATTAACTGTCACCCTGTTGATTACTTTATTCACAGTTAATCGAGTTAATTCATTACAATGGAAAAATTCACCAAGAGAAACCAGGCAACAATTTCGCTTTCCAAATCCTCCACCAAACAATCAGCCGTTAATTGGTAAGTAACATTTTCTATTGATTTGATTACTGCTATTAAGGTAATAATTAACTTTTAAATAGGTGAGAAACCAACTCCACAAGATGCTGATACTTTCCTTGAATGGTTAATTAGTCGATCACAATTAGACTATTCTGATGTTTACCAATCGTACGATGGTTGGTTCAATAATAAAAATAATCCAAGTTCCGGATCTTCAGGTAAAACTTTGATTCGCAACTTTGATTCACTGATTGACTTAAATTGTGATTAAATACCAAACAGGTAGCCCACTGAATCGCTTGATCCCCGCCAGATATAGTGATGGAAAAGGTAAACCAATCTCATCACCTAATCCATTTCATATAAGTTCAATTTTATCCGCAAACCAAAACAATCAGAATCACAATCAACTCGGTAAAAATGCATTTCTTGTATTCTTTGGTAAGTTAACCTGATTTACGATGATTACTTTGTACTAATTGTAATTCCAACGATTGATAATCTTTCATCAGGTGAACATGTAACTAATGAAATCGTCGATACAAGAATTACGTCTTCATGTCCACCCGAATATATCAACATACCGATTCCGTGGAATCATGAATTTTATCGGTCCACAGGCCATTCTTATATGCCGTTCGTACGAGCTAAACATGAACGTAAATCTGGTAAATCTTTTGATAATCCTCGAAAAATGGTAATAACATTTGTAGATCTGTTGCTAATTATTAGTTCTAATTAAGTGATCAATATAATACTTGAAAGATTAACGAGGTGACTCCATATATCGACGGTGGGACAATTTATGGCCGATCAAAGGTGATCTCTGATCAATTAAGAAGCTTTGAATGGGGTCGATTAAGATCAGATAAAAGCAATAACTTTCCTCGAACTAATCAAAACGGATTACCTGTTGAAAATAAACCAATTTACTCAAACAATTCAGCTCATATTAAACCAATCAAAAGATTCCTAGGTAAGTAAATCAATTGGATTGATAAAACTGAAGTAATTAAACTTTCCTATTACATCATAGCCACTGGCGATTTTCATGCTAATGAGAATCCGTTTCTTTTGGGAATGAATATAATTTGGTTTCGATGGCATAACTTAATTGCTAAGAAATTGAGACAAAAAAATGACAATTGGGACGATGAAAAAATTTTCAATGTAGCTCGACGTTGGGTAATTGCTACACAACAAGTGAGTAACAATCAACTTATTGGTTGATTACTGATCGTTGTTTTTGTTTGCCTTCAATAGCAAATTATTGTCAATGAATGGCTGCCCATTTGGACTGGTCAACCCTTGGCTAAATATTCTGGTTACAAGCAATCAGTTGATCCATCAATAAGTCACTTATTTAGCGGAGCGGCGATGAGATATGGTCATGTTTTGGTTCCGTCGAAAATTAAATTGTGGTCCAATTCTTGCGAATTGCGACAAAAGAACAATCAAAGACCCAGAGTTACGAAAATCAATAGAAACTCAGGTTCAACTCAATCAATTTTCAACAATCAACAAATCGTCGAGTTATGTAATAGTTACTTTGATTCTTCTCCTTTAACTAATCACGATTTTAAATCGTCTCTCATGAGTTTAACGATGACCTCGGCTCGTCCTGATGGATCAACGATATCCAAAGATTTACAAACTCGAACTTATGGCCCAATGGACTTTACTCGACGCGATTTAGCCGCACTTAACATTCAACGTGGAAGAGATTTTGGTTTACCTGATTATCTATCGACTCGGGCATCATTAGATTTACCTGTTTATGACAATTTCATTTCGATTGCTGATAAACTTTGGAATGGATCATCGATTGATCAACAGGTTAGACTAATTGTTGAGAATAACGTATTCTATCTTAGTTAATTCAATTCTTTTCCCAATCAGAATCTCATCAACTCGATGCTTCAATTATATCCCAAAGTTGATAACATTGACCTTTGGCTCGGCGGATTAATGGAATCAAATGATAACGGGATTGGATCAACATTCAGAAAGATAATTAACCAACAATTTGAGAGAATCAGAGATTCAGATTATTTTTGGTTCCAAAATAAAGGAAATAAGTAATCATTTAGATCCATATTTTTCTCTCTCTCTCTTTTCCGATTAACTAATTATGATTAACTGATTTTTGGCAGATTATTCGATGACAATCAAATCGCTAAAATTGAATCTCTATCAATTCGTGATATCTTAATTATGACACTTAATTTGTCCGATTCGTCCATTCAAGAAAAACCATTTCTGTTACCTAATGATCGAGGCAAGTTAATTGTTTGTTCAAATTTCTCAGATTATTAATTAGTCTAAATTAATCCTTCCAATGATAGATAATTACTTACCTGAATGTGGACCACTTGATTTAATCAAATTTCCCTGCAAACAAGGTGATTGTTACTCAACATCAAACACAAATGATGAAATCAACTCATGTCCAAAACCACAAACATTTGATTACATGATTGGCAGTGAGTGGTCATTTTTGATAACGATCGGGTCACTTGGATTGTACATTTTGACCTGGACGATAATCCTTTGGCTACTTATCGGTCGACGAAAACGTTCAGATGAATTGAATCGGAAGAAAAGTAAAAAGGCCAAAATGTCCGCCGCTTCTCACGATGGAAACACAATCATTGGTAAAGTCCAAATTATCTTATTTTACTACAAAGAGTTAATTGTTGTTAATCAACTTAATTTCAATAGCATTTGAATGGGAAGGTGATATGGACAATTTAAAACCAATTCTAATTCAATTTGATTCCACCCAAAAACGAATTGCAATTAAATGCCTCGGGCAGGGAGAGAAATTAATTCGTCGGATTGATTTCAAGGGATTACAATCAGTTAAATTACAAATCAGTGTTAATCCAAATCAACCATTAGTGGCAGTTAAGTTTCCCAATGAACATGATTTGGTGAGTCTCATTTAGATGTTTTAATCACAATAACATTTTGATTGATTTGTTGGTCGATTATCCTCCTAGATTGTTTCCTTTGATTCTGAAGAAGAGCAAACATCATTTATCAAACAATTAGAATCGTTCTTGGCCTTGATCGGTGTAGGTCGTGATCGCCAAGAAATGGACTCAAAGCGGATCCTCAAATCGTGTTACAGTAAAAATCAACGACAGAAACACTTGGAATCCTTTTTTCGAGCAGTTTTTGCTCATGTAAGTTGATCATTCATTATGTCCTCAGTAATGTTGATTAATTGTCCAATTTTCTTAATAGGCTTTTGATATTAAACCATTGAAGAGTAAAGTTGATTTGAAGATCGCTAAGAATATCTTACAAACTGAATTAACTGAATATGAATTTGCGGAAGCTCTTGCAATGAGACCCGATTCATTATTTGTGAAGCAAATGTTTGCCTTGGTTGATAAAGACGAAAATGGTTACATCTCATTTAGGGAGTTTCTTGATATGATGATAATTTTTGCGAAAGGTAATTAACTAATTGCTGTTGTCTAGTAATTAGATTTGATTCACTTATTCTCCTCGATCATTATTGAAAAGGTTCATCGGATCAAAAGGCAAAGCTCATGTTTGATATGTATGATTTGGATGGAACTGGAAGTTTATCGAAATCAAAATTTTCGACAATGATTAGGTAATTTCATCGATTATTATCAATAATGGTCATAATTAATTGATGATTTTCTATGAATTAATTGTTAGGTCAATGTTGGAATTGGCTAATCAAAGTATCGAACCTGGACAAATGGAGCAATTAATTAATTCTATGTTTCAATCTGCTGGTTTTCATGAGAAAAATGAATTAACTTTAAATGATTTTCTTAAATTTCTTGGGGATTATAAAGATGAATTTGGTTATGTTGAACTTAATTTAGAAAGTAAGTTAAATTATTAACCAATAATCGAATATTGAAAATTAATTGTTCTTTAATTAGTTGGTGATTTAAAGACAGAAATTGATTCTAAGCAAAATAAACGTCAAAGTGCAATGTTAAGAGCTCGAGACAAGGTTGTCCGAGCCTATTCAATTTACGGTGACAATCAATCGCAATCAACTGAGTAAGTTGATGTAAATTTAATTGTTAAAATACAATAAACCAATTCCACTGTTTCTTTCATCAAATAGACAAAGTAAATCAGATCAACTGATTTTCGTTGAAACCTCACAATCAAGAGGTGAACATGGTTTAGTTAATCAACTATCACGATTCATTGATGAACGTAAATGGCACATCTTCTGGTTTTTGGTGTTCATCTTAATGACAATTTATTTGTTCGTTGATAAATTAATTTGTAGGTTAATTGTAGTTCTTGATAACTTGACTGTTCCAAATTTTATTGCTTTTATTTTCCATCTCAATCGGCATTTAGATTATTCGTTTTTCAATGAAGATCGTGGATTGCGACAAATCACTGGCGTTGGTTTGGCCTTGTCCAGAGGATCGGCTTCGGTTCTGATGTTTGTCTTTTCGTTGATTCTGTTAACCATGTCTCGAAATATAATCACATTGTTGAGAGAAACTTTTCTTCATAAATACATTCCCTTTGATGCTTCAGTCTCTTTCCACAAGATAATTGCAATAATTGGCTTGATATTCATTGGTAAGTGACAATTAACTGTTCTTTCCATCATTAACTAATTGTCCTTTGATAATCAATAGTTATTCATACAATTGGACACACTTTTAATTTCTACAACATTTTAACTCAACGCCCGGCTGACCTTTTATGCCTTTTCCCGGTAACACATTCAAGGTTTGATCGCAATCTGCTGATTTAATTGATTTAGTTGATTTAGTTAATATGTTGAATATTATTCCATTTCAGATCAAATGAATTACCCAAATTTGTCGATTGGTGTTTTAAGACAATCACTGGTAAGAAGCAACAATTAGATGAAACAATTTCTTGGTTAATACAAAAAGTTAACTGAATTAACTTGAGGCCTTTTCTCACTAGATTATCAATACTAATAATTTGTTCCCACTCTTCTTTGTATTTGTAAATCTTTTTTTTTGCCCTCCAGGTATAACGGGATTACTTTTACTCGGCCTAGTGACCATAATTTACATATTCTCAACACCGATTTCCCGTCGATATGTTTTTACCGCTTTCTGGACAACTCATAATCTTTATCCTCTCTTTTATTTATTGATGTTTCTTCATGGACTTGGTCGGCTAATCCAATCCCCGCTTTTACCCTCTTATCTGATAATCCCTTTAATCTTATTCAAACTTGATAAATTGCTCAGTATTTCGAGGAAGAAGACAGAAATTCGTGTGATTCGAGCGGTTCATTATCCTTCCAATGTCACGATGCTCTGTTTAGCTAAGCCGGAGAACTTTGAATATAAAAGTGGCCAATGGGTTCGAATCGCAAGTGTTGGCCTGAATTCGAATGAATTTCATCCATTCACTTTAGCCTCTGCTCCACACGAAGAGAATCTTCAACTATTCATTCGAGCGGTTGGACCTTTCACTTCTAATATTCGACAAATTTATGACCCAAATGGCCTGAGAATGTCACCCATTTATCCAAATATAAGATTAGATGGACCTTATGGCGAAACTCACCAAGATTGGTTTCGATTTCCAGTTTCTGTTCTGGTCGGTGGGGGAATTGGAGTTACACCTTTTGCCTCCATATTGAAAGACGTTGCCTTTAGGGCTTCAATTAATCGCATGCAAACTTGCCACAAGGTCAGAAAAAACAGTCAATCAACAATTAATCGAGTACAATGTTAACCATCAAGTCCATTTTCACCCAATTTGTTACCTGATCCTTTAAAATTGTCCTTGATTCATAATGATGATAATCAACTTCCGATCATTGAACAATATTATCTTTACATTATACTTATTATGTTGTCATCTGATATAAATGGTTAATTATTTATCTTTAATCATGATTAGGTTTACTTCCTATGGGTAACTAGAACTCAGAAGCATTTTGAATGGTTGGTTGATATACTTCGAGACCTCGAGGAAAAGGACATCGCTAATTTGGTCTGTGTTCACATCTTCATTACTCAATTTTACGATAAATTTGATTTAAGAACAATGATGCTGGTGAGTTTAATTTAATTGTAAACAGTCAGATGAATATTAATTACTTTCTTTAATCAACTCAGTATGTTTGTGAGCGACATTTCCAACGAGTCTCCAATCGTAGTTTATTTACTGGATTAAAAGCAAAGACACAATTCGGTCGACCCAATTTTCACCAATTCTTTACATCTCTTCAGCGACTTCATCCGAAGGTACAATTAGTTGATTTTTGTTGTTTCTCTAATCTAATTTAATCAATTGTTGTCTTGTTTTCCAAAGGTTGGTCGAATCGGTGTTTTCAGTTGTGGTCCACCGCCGATGACCAATTCCGTTGGATCGGCTTGTGAACAATTAAATCGTCAATCAGGAGCTTTGTTTATCCATCATTCAGAAAATTTTTAATTATTAACAATCAAATCGATCAGTTCATTTTCAGTCTGAATAAAATTAATTTGATTATATTCAATTGATTGTTAATTTTTATTCATTAATAATATTTGACTACATAATTTTGTTTTCCTAATAAATTATAACATTTTAATCAATTTTAGGGATTTAATTAGTCGGTTAATTGTTGATAATATTGGGACACAAAGTTTTAAATTGAATTAATCAGCTTTTTTTTTATAATAATTTACTGATTGTTGTATTTACATTGAGGCAACATTGGTGTAAGCCGACATTAATTGTTGACCTTTTGTTAATTGTTGTTATTTAGCTGTTTTTAGACTGGAAACAATTAAGTAATCATCGATTGATAATATTATTTGTGATATAATGTAACTGGTTTAAAATTGGCATAATTATTTTAAATTTTGTAACTGATACGAATTAAATTTCAAATGATTGAAAATGCTCATTTACGAGTGTTAAAATTAATTACAATTAAAAGATGATCACTTATGAGAATTGATTTAGGAAAAAAAAAATCAAATGAAGACTAGAAAAAATTTACATCGAAATTAACTCAATCAATACAAGTAAATTTCTTAAATTGATGAAATTATAACAATTAAAGAGAATGATAATTAATGGTAATTAAATATTACATGATGATTATTAAAACCACGGGCAAGGGGCTTGAAACGGGTCGCGTGAGCCCGTCTCAGCCTCCAAGATGGACATGATCAGGTCCATCGCAGCGTCTTCGTTTTCTTGATTGTCGGCCACAATTGGAACTGGATTAAATTGTATTGTTTCGTCCATTTTAACAGATTCCTCTGATTCATTCGCCGATTCCGGCAAAGTGGGCAAAACCCCGAGAACCTCCGAGGGTCGATAGTAACTGTTACCGTCGAGACAAGTTAAACTGGTCAAACAGTTCGAACTGTTCGATCTGATTCGCTTAGCCAATGTTTCGCTACAATTGAGACCATTTCCGTTTCCATTTGGATTATCTGTTCCTCCGGACGCACCACCGCCATCGACACTTGGGACACTTGAGTTACTATTATTATTTGAACCTCCGACCAATGGACCATAACTATTATCACGTTGATATGATCTCTTGGTATTATCATTAAGTTGATCTTCATTTGTTGTATTAACATAATCAGTTGAATTTGTTTTCATATTTAACGAGAAACTATCAGCTGAACCATTTGCTGTTGATCCTTGATTGTTGGTACTTGATCCGGTCATGTGTAAATCATTAACTCGGCTGGTTGTTGATGTTGATGAATGACCAGTGTCCAGCCAAAGGTTACTATTGTTATCAGTGTTACCATTGGATGAACCATTCGAGTCGCTGTTGTTTACATTTGCATTGATGACAATACTTTTATTATTGTTATTTGAATTGTTGCTATTGTTACTATTGGTGTTATTATTTGTGTTAATGTTGCTATTAGATTGAATATTATCAGTTATAAATTGTTGACTTTCTAATTGAATTGGTAGAGGTAATTGTTTCACTTGTGAAGCAATTAGTCCAGTAGCTCTTGGTAGACTATCTGATCTCCATTTTCGCGTCCTATTGTCACAACCAGAATATACAGAATCAGCTGTAGAGTGAAAAAATGAATCGCCCATTGGAATTGGTGACAGTGAGTATGCAGATGAAGTTGATAGTAAATTAGATTCCTCGTTTCGTCGTTGGCTCTCAATTACTTCATCAGCGATGTATCTTCCGATCTTCCAAAGAGCGACTCGCGAAGAGGCCAACATTTTCTGGACACTTCGAGTATCAGTTGATGAATAGCCGGTAGATGATTGTTCATTAGATGAGCCCCACCACCACCACCACCACCGCCTCCTCCTCCTCCACTTCCCGGGCCATTGATTCCGTTCGTGTTACTATTGGATCCATTTGATTTGTTTGCTTTGTTACGACACGAATCACTTATTCGGAAAAGTATCTCATCGACTGTACTTGATGTTTTCCAATTTGAATTTACATAATTACTGTTATTGACACTTTTGTTTGATTCTCCATTGACTGAACTTTCGACCACATCGATATCAGAGACACAAGTATTTACAGCAATTAAGAATTCGAACTCTTTGGTCCATGGATTTCGAAAGGTCTTCCATGTTGTTTGAAGACAAATATATGGACCTGATTTAGTTTTAAATCGATATCGAGATGATTTTGAACATTCCCCAGAAGCTTCAAGGCCTAAATTATGAAGAAATCGAGCAAAAAAAATTAGAATCAAAAGAGAAAAGTAATTTAATTACGATTGGTCTAAGGTTAAGTCCTTTCTAATGAATACAAAATTTGCTTCAATTAGAAACCAGATTAATGATGACTTCTAATTGATCTTAAGATAATCAATTATAAATCATAACTGTATTTACGTATTTAAGGTTAGAAACAGTTAAACTTTGAATGGAAACCTTATATTAATAATAATGATTTGGAAATGATTAAATATCAACTCAGTAATTATGAATAAAATGATTAACTACTCATCTAATTGTAAACAAATTGTATTGTCTTTAACCAGATAACAAATGGATCAACAATTGTCAAACTTTTCCAACAAAAACATCACTTGAATTAGATTTGATTATTCACTGAAGGCAAGGGAATCATTATTTAACCAAACAATTAAATAACAATAATGGTTTAAATTGATCACGCGAATACATAATATAATAACATGATACAACTTAAATTATGATTAAAATGATATAACATGAATCTGTTAATAGTGTAAATGACAAGTTGTATAAGTTTGATAGCCATGGGAGTTAATTCACTCCCAATGTTACAATTTAGTGTGTCAATTGGTTTAATTTACCGATTGTTATTGTAAATCAGTCATCTATATGTATATCAGATGAATCAAGTGAAGTAGTTTAATGTCAACTGATGATAACAATTGAATCATGTGGGAGGAAAATTGATTTTCATCTGATAAGTTAACTGATAGTTTTCTAGTTGAACAGTTAATTAGACCAAACAATTGGTTATAATTGAATTATTATCTTATTTGACTGAATTATATATATAAGATTCTGAGACAATGAATATTTTACTTGATATATTGAGCAAACTCTATGGTTAATATTATTATCAATTTCATGGTTCTAAGGTAAACCAATCAGAATGATGGTATAGGACAATGAGAATTGAACAATCAGTTAATTTGGTTGATGATTCTTACCTAATCTATGGCTTTCAGCGAGAGTTTTTAAATCTTCATGGTGACAGTATTCATAGCAACAGGTTCCTAGTAATTCTTGAGGTAGATATCCTAAAATTAGGGTGGCTCGTTGATCGACAAACAAAAATTTACCATCTATTGTGTGTCGTGAGGTAAATGACATTGGTTTGATTGAGATGTGAGGTCGATAGGGTGTCGGTCCACAAAGATTGGGCAAAGTTCGTCCAATGGCCACTAAACAGCTCATATTGTAAATGTCTGATTCGTTTTCCACTTCTTCAGTGACCGACATTTTGGTCGATATCCATGATTTAAGGTAACCGATACAATGGACAACACAATACTTTCGGTCTGAAGACTGGGATTTACGGCGTTTCTGAGCATACCCTGTAGTCGTATCAGCCTCTTCTTTTACTCTGGGCATCGATTTAAATTTCATGCGACAGAAAAAAGATCGACGAGCTCCAGGTGACATCGATACCTGAGAAGAGGTTGGTGACGATTTAACTGGTAACATTGCTGGACGATAATCAAAGGATACGAAAGGTAGAAGATAGAAATAATTTCAATTTAATTGAGAAAATGTTAACAATTAATTGATTGGAGAAGAGAAAAAAAAAACAAGGAAATCATTTGGATATTGAAACTTATGGAATTATCCAAATTGAAATTGGTTCGAGAGCTTAATCGCCAGTGAGAATACAAAATACAATCAATATCGAATCAGTAAATTGTAAAAGGAATTAAATTGATTATTAAGATGATGGAATAATATTTTACCATAACATGATAAATCTGTATGATCATCTTTCAATTCTTCATCATTGAACAATTTGAACAGTTTCCTCGGAAATTCATTCGGAAATTTCAATTAAAATTGATCTGAAAAAATGTCAACAATTTGATCATTTTCATGATTCAATCTAATATTTTGATCAATTGAAACAGTCAAACTTCATTGTTATTGTGGTTTAATCATTTTCTGGTTGATTAATTTAATCAAATCAATGATGAACCGGCAGCGCAAACAAATCAAAATAACAGGTATTGTAATTTGAGATGATCAATTTAATTGAGATAATCAAATTGACCACAGTTTGATTAGGATGTTTCTGTTAAATCAAATCCTATCAGTGGCTAAATGATAATAACATTAAATCAATGGCAATTTGATGCTTTAATCATGATGATGATGAAAAACAATTCTAATTGGGTATAAAGGGATAATATCATTTACAATTTGATCAACAACAATCAGAATGATTGATCAACAGAAACAATTACTAAAGTGATGATGATCAAAATAATTAGATTGGAAATTTGTTACACAAAAGTCCAACAATTAACAGTCACAATTAACCTGTTTTCCTTTCAAAATCAAATGGTTTGTTAATATAATAAAAATAATAAGGAATCAATCAATTGTGATTAAAGTTTAATCAACAACATTAAAACAATAAGACAAACAATTAACTAGATGAAAGGAATCACTTGTCCAATTATTCAATACTAATTAAGATATTTGTCTCATGATCAAGAGTGTAAGTAATTAAGTAATTAACCATGAGAAGCCTAGTAAATTAATCGTCACGTGAGTAAAATATTGAATAATTTTTCCTCAATTACAATTAATTTAACTTGAAATTAATACATATTATTGATTAGAAAGGATTTACAATTAAAACAAGTACATCTCGAGATGTTTTAACAATCCTTGATTTAGTTTACTTTGATTACTTAATATGAACATGAAATTAATGCGATAATCTATTTGATTTGATATGAGAAAATTTATCAACAATTAACTGATTGTTGATAAATAATATTAGACCTAAACTAACAACTTACCTTTTAATTGTGTTGATTGATTAGTTGAAGTTTCCAATTCCATCCATTGATGATCCCAAATAAATTGTTGATAGTCTTCATTTCCTGTGACAATTAGTGAAGTCTAATTATTTAATAGCAACAACAAACTGTGATTGTTGATTTGCATTAATTTAGCTTTAAATTAATAAATTTCCTGAGATAAAAAATCATAATTATCATAACAATTAACTAAATGAAAGTGTTATTAGTAAATATTACTGATAATTTCAAATACAATTGCTAATTATAGTGGAAACAATTTTTACCCATAATTTAAATTATTTAATCAGCGATTAAGTTTTTTGCTAATTAATCAAAAGTACCTTATAATAGTTACATTAACACTTTGATTGATTGATTTTTTCATGATAATCTTATGAAAAAAACAAGATTATGTGTAATAATAAATATGATCAATGGTGATATTTGGTTATGATTAAGATGAATGAGATAATTGTTATGTTGGATTTTGATTTGGAAAAAAATTGTAGTAAAGTAGCTGGTTAATTGTTGAGACTGTAATTCAAGCAATTGGATTATAGTATTGAGCAAGAATCAGAATTAAGGATAATGAGGAAGAGTGAAAGGTAATAGTAGCAATCGAAGTGGTTTTGATTAAGATTGAAAGATGATCATTAAAAGATAATCATGTTGATGTTGACCATGAGTTGATTTAATTCTGAGGGAGAGGTTAATCATTTTTACCTTTTTCTTTAGTTTCGACTGTTGAGTTTTATTACTGCGATTGAATTTGGTTGAAACTGCAATTGACAAGAAGAACAACAAGAAGAAGCTTAATCTTAATCTCTGGGCCTTTTAATCCGATCAAATGTCACCTTAGTTTCTTTCTTTTAACCTCGTTCTCCTTCACACTCGATGTTCTCTCTCTCTCTTCATACAGGGAATTTTCTTTCTATCAATCAATAAATGATAATTAAGATAATCACGAGGATATAGAATAACATTTCCATGAGAAGAAGAAAAAAAAAACAAGTTGATATTCAATGTAGATAAATAAATGCGCAATTAGTTGAGATTATGATAAGTTATTAACACTCGAATCATAATCATTGTTGGAATATTTTGGAAGAAATCAAGAAATTTCGATGATAAAAATAAATAATATTCTGAGAAATTATAAGATTTTCAATTCTCCAAGAATATTCTAGAGACTAGTGAGATATCAGATCGAAGGATTAACAACAATTTAAAATTCGAAACTTGATTATGTTCAAGATTAAAGATTAAAGAAGAAGAGAATTCTAATTGTTCGGTGAGGAAACGAAAACGAAATAGGTACATTAAGATTTTCTCCACTTACTTTTCGCATCTATTAATCTCTCTTTCGGTGATAAATCCGATGACGATAATTGTTCCTTCACCTTTGCCACGTCTTTAGGATGTAATATATCGAACCAATTTTGGCCCAAAAGGTCACCCTGTTTGAGAAAAAACAATACATTTAACATGTTTAGAGAAAAGATTAAGAAACAATTGATCGAAATTCGTGTCTACTTACTTGAGAGTAATTAAGAATTTGTGAAACGGATCCGGATACGAATAAGATTCTCCCTCTATCACAACTAACAACGAATAAAAATCCTTCGGAAATCTTGATAATAAGAGAATCGATTTGACCTTAATTTTGCTTTTGATTGATACTTGATCTTTACCTTGGTGCGATTAGACTTACCTGTGATATCAGTTTGAGAAGAGCTTCGTCCGAAAGAAACGTTGGCCTCATTTTACCGCTTCCAGAAAACGCATTCATTGAACCTTTGATTGTTTTCATGTGTTGAACTGCCATTCGGAGGACAGTTAACTTATCCAATTTCCTGGACATCGCGTTGCACATTGGGATCAAACAAGACAATTCGGTGATATAATGATTCATTTTATCTCGACGGCGTTTCTCGATTTCACTGTGATTGTGTTTTTTACTTTCATCGGTGATCATCAATTCAGACGAAGCTGCGATATTGTTGCTCGAAACCGCAGTGGTTGGAGTTGTTGTTGTGCTGGTATTGTTGTTACTTCCAATGATACATGGAGATGATGATGATGATGATGGAGGCGGTGTTGTTGAGCCAAATGAACAACCTGAATTTGGATGAATGGTCAAGCTCATGGTCAGAAAAATAGACCGAATCTAAAGCACAACGGGATCATCAAGTGTATCGATTGAGAAATTGATGAATCACAAGAAGGATTTTTACGTTTACAGTTGATTAATTGGAGTAAATTGATCGAGATTTTTGTTATCGAATAACAAAAAGCATAACAGAGACAGAAAAAAGTAAATAAGACAATTAATTCCATGTTAATTTTCATTGATTCTTAGATATTATGCTGGTTCGAATAGTTTAACTGTACCTTACCTGTTGTTTAGATGAATGGAATAATCAAAAGTTGAGAGAAATCGAAACAATCAAAGGCCAATTGACGACTAATTTAGTACGAAAAGATGATCAACTTCACAGGGAATCCAATTTCCAACAGAAAGAAAACACAAATTAAGACACAATTAATTGTCTAAAAATTATGTTGGTAGAATACAAAAGTCTACAATATAATAGAAGCTGATTAACTAAATTACGATGAAATCTTTTTCATTCTAATTCATCTAATTCCATTGATCTCATGTTAAATTGTGAATTGGATGTTGATTATGAAGCGAAAAACTCAACGATTAAGTTGCACAAAAATCCAATGTTACATTTATACATCAACAGGTCTCTTGACTTTACTGTTTCCATAGAAAGGAAAAAACTTTCCTCTGTCGACATGATGATTATCATCCTCATCCTCATCATCATCTCCATCTTCATCTTGATTGGCTAACAATCAATTCAACTGCACAGTTAATTGTATGTAATTTTATAGGAAAAAAACAGTTTCTCTCACAGGGATTGACAATATTATCAACAATTAGGTGACATCTATCAATCATATTTACCATTAAACATTTATCATGATCAGTTTTTATTTAATGAAAATTATAATATATTAATTGTGAGATACAAATATCCATTGTAATAAGTTAATTGTGAACATAAATTAAAGATAAATAAGCAAAGATTGAGAGGTTACATTTTATGTTATAATTTTGTCGATATACAATTAGGATTGTTTGGAGTTTTTTAATTTCCATTGAGATGATTTCGATGATGATAATGATGATGATGATGATGATGATCTTGATTCTCGCTGTTTGTTGGGTATTAGTTTTTTCAGTTTGGTCTTATAAGCGGCTTCGCCTCGAGAAAAGGCCTTTTCAACGGAGACCAACAAATCGAGGATATTGGGAATTAAATGAGAACCTCGTTTGTCGATAATTGATTTATTCTTTGATTTAATACAAGAACCACTATTGGTGTAGGTGAAAGCGATGAAGAAAACAGCAATTATCGGAATAATTAACGATCCAAGACCGATTACCTGGTAGAATATGATGTTAATTGTCATTTAAATTGTTTTCTTTGTTCGCGAGTAATTTGTACTTACCAGAATTGTTGGGAATATGTAATGAAGAAAAGTTTTCTCCAGGTCATCGTGATCCTCTTCGTGTGGTGGACTAGGCCATGGACTTGGCCAAGGGTCAACTCGATCGTGATTAGTTGGTGGGAGATAATTTCTCGAAACGGGTTCAGATGAGAAATAGGGTTTCATTGGAGGGTAATAGATCATTTCGGTCAACATTCGCCTCGCAGGTCGTTTCGACTTTTCTGGTCGATTCATTTTTCCAGAGTTAATCATTTGATTGGAAGATTGGAAAACATTTTCATCCGGTTGATAATAATATTTTGATTGGTGAACGAAATGATTAACATTTGTATTATCACTTCTGGGAGCTGATTGTTGATTGTTGTCCTCATTGGCATTGTTGTTACTTGTTGAATGAGGTTGATGATGATTTGGATCTGTTGATGTTGGTTCGTAAATCACTGTTGATACTTTACGGACTAAAAGGTAAGAAATTAATAACAATTTAGTTAACAATTTATGAGTTTGATGTAAAACCATATTCCAATTGATCGGTAATTGTTGACTTTTAACAGCAGAAAACATCAAATTAAGTTAATCAATATTAACCCTCTAATCTTGTGAACGTTGTTGTTACCACTGTGAAAAAGTTTAGACTAATTGTCAACACAATTTAATCAAAATCTAAATCATTACCAAGATAATTTCTTACACAATTCATTCAATTAATTGTTTTTTCTTCCTGTTTTTGTTACAATTTAAGTTTATTCAAATCGTTCATGGATCTATGGTTACATTGCATCAAACTAATCAAACCATTGCTTCCTCATTTGTTTTCTTAATTGTTGTTGATTGTTTCAATCTTAATTATGGCTAAAAGCCAAAGTTGAGGTAAATTGTTGCTTCTGGGCAGAGTTAATTGTCTCTCAACTTGATAGGAACAAAAGTGATCAACAAAGTGAATCATTTTTATGGTCTCTGTGTAAGTGGAAATTTATTCAATTCAAACAATTAGTAAGACAATTATTGTTAATTTACGTTTATGTCTTTTTATTTGTGATGATTAAGGTGGAAAAGATTATGAATATATTAGTATAAATGTTTATCTACAATGGAATCAATATATTTGATTAATAGATTGGATCTGAAGATGGTTAAGTTGTTGATGAGAAATATTGATTTCTTTTTTGAGATGAGTGAATTGTTGACTTTTGTATTGGGACGATAAACAAAACAATATGTTAATTAATGTTCTAATTAATTTCCTTTGCGACCTAAAATGTAGGTGTATGTGTTTTCAGCTTCCAGTGTCCACTTTCCAATGACCCCCACAGATACAGTTAGAACACCATCTCATGTCCCATGTTCGTGATGAGGGCGATTTAAATTGTGATTGGATTAAGGAAATGGCTGAACATCGAGTACACAGACGTATATTACCATTGATACCATCTTTAGCTCCTAAAGCGATATGACGAACGGTGTCCATCTTGGTGCATTTATAGTTATCAACGGCTCCATCAACCGAATGAGTTTTAATGTGATATTTAAGAAATGGAGCTTCAACTAAATATTGAAATTGCAAAGGCGATGGATTGATAAATATTGTTGGACTGGCAACTCCTCGAGCTTTCAAAGTTAAATCCATTTGGGTGATGAGAACTTGATTGGGCAGTGAACAGCATTCATCGAGAAAACCTTCATCAGGCTCATTTCCCATGGTAGCAACCAAACGACTGAGTAATTTAAACACCAAAGAAATAACGTCAACATCTTTGGAGAGGATAACGAAATCAGGAAGACAACTTTCCTTAATTAAACCCCATATTCTAATGATTACCAGAAGCTCTCGAAGGGTATTTAAAGATTTAGGATCGTAAATCAAACCTCCTGAAATTGCAATAATAAAAGAGAATCATGAATTAATAACAGCTGATTTGGAATAAGAAGAGAGATTAAATTCTTGTAATATACTTACACCAGGGAAACGAAAATGATTATGAAATTGTTGAGGAAGTGAAGCTAAAAGGAACAAGGCTAAATCACCAATCCACTGATTAAGATGTTGTAATGATTGAAGAATACTTGTTTCAACATAGAAATCTTTATGTTCTAATACAAGAAGAACCTTATCCACATTTTGATAATGAGGCTCATTTCCTTTGGTTTGGATTAAATTGCTTAACATTTCTGCAGGTCCTTCTTTGTCCACATTAACACTTGGTCGAAGGAGAGATTTCAAGAGGTGGGAAATTGAGTTGAGCATGAAGAGGGTGTAGCAATCTCCTGATTTGTTTTGGCCGGAGGTACCACTATTGCCTTGGTTGAGACAACGATATAGCGATGCTTTGATGGCTAAGAAACGATTGTAATACTTTTGCTGGAGGGCAAGGGTTTGCCTTTGCATGAAACCATCATTTAACATATCACAAAGAGTGTCAATTATTGTTGGACGAAGACAAATAATTATATCCCACCAATCATTACCACTAACAAGACAATATTCAAGCATAGTTTGTAAAAAGACAGGATTAAAAGTTGCTTTTGGATCGGTGACCGGTGGAACTCTGTAAACAAATAGTTGAGAATTAGTGTCCATAAGAGCGAGAGCGAAACCACTCCAAGAAAACTGCATATCCACGATGTTGGAAATTGTTGGATTTGGTGTTGATTTCATATTAACCATACCGAACTTATTGGATGGATTGTTCTTGAGTGAGATTGAATTCAAATTGATAGCGTAGATGGATTGTAAATTTTCACGATAATAACACTTGACGGTATTATCTCGGTAAGAAACCATAATGTATGAAAGAGGTGGATTAAGATCATACAGTGAGACTCGAGGTGTTGCCAATGTGACGATTGGTTGATGATAATTGGCACTAGATGAGTATTGCCAAACTGTTGTCTTTGGTGTTGATTGATTGGATTGACTATTGCTATTAAATTCATTGTTGGAATTTGAGTTGGTTGAATTTTTCATTTGTTGATACATTTTATGTAACTGTACAGGTTTCTCTCTAAGAGCCCAAAGTTCAACTGTTGATCCCAGCGAGCCAGATGCACCCACTACAACTGCATCAGCTGATTCTCTTAATATAAATTTTAAGTGATTAACATAAGAGTATCCATTGGAATGTACAACATCATTTGAACAATTAAGGTAAAAACTTGAAAATGGTTGACTTGTTATCACACATCTTGTTTTCTCGATTCCCATATTAGAGTTTTGTAAGCTTATTGATACTCGATGACAATTGATTGAAGAATCAACTGATCCATTTGATGAGATTATCAAAAATTTACCATCAGAAGTGTAACAAATATCAACAACTTTTAACTTGGATCGAAAATTTCCCAATATTTTTGTACCCGTGACAATTGAGCTATCAGACAAATAACAAGCACACCAGATAAGTCCACTTGCTGATACAGCGATAACACCTTGAGCTGGTTTACCACCAAACTGTCTAACCGATGCATTGAATTTGGCATTGATAAATTTTTCACTATAAGCATATGAGGTATCTTTTTTGTCCATGGCAATGAGAGATTTTATTCCATTGTGGAACCAAACGGCTGATAGTGTTCTCTCTCCTTCAAAGGCAGTAAATGAATTAAGAAGATGCCATTCGTTTATCAGATAATCTTTGATGGACCAAATCTCCACTTTACCAAATGCATCTCCGATCAGTAACCGATTCCCACTTACATCCCAGTCAAGAACGGTAATATCCTCGTTATGTCTTGTCACTCTAAATGTAAAACAGTGAAAAAGATAACAGTTAATTTGAAAGTGAAAATTTTCTTTGACATGATCCAGGAAAAAGAGTAATCAACTTATTCAAACTTACAGATTAGGTTCATTAGGAAGATTTAAATCGACAACATAAATATGAACGGCAAGATATTTAGGTTCACTTTCATGTAGATCAGTGAAACTTGTAAAAGCAAGAATATTTTTATTTGACAAAGATGAGACACAGCGTCGATCAACCAACCTGTGGAAAAAGGAAAATGACAAGAAGAAGAAAAAGAAACAGAAAATAGTTAGAAAAGAATAGAAAATCTAAACAGCCCAATAATTACAAACATACCAATCATTTAATCGTTTAGAAGAAGATGAACTAGGACAGGTAACCGAATAAACAAGCTCCATGGTGGGAATAGAAAACACCAACAACAAAAATGAGAGTCAGAAAAACACACAACACTTTCCACAGATTTCTCCTTGTAACCGAGTCTCTGTTACTCTAACACATGGCTAATTTCAGCAAGAGATCAGGTTGATTGATAAAGGAAAACTAGTAAACCAAAATAAAAGAGATTGAAATAAGCCAATTAAATGAAAATTTGTTCAACAATCAACGCAGACAATTAATTAACAAGAAAACTTTAAAAATTGGAACAAAAAAATGAGAAAAGTGAACCAAAGACCGAAGCGCATGTGTGAACATATAAGAGAACCAAAGAAAGCGCCAAATTCAACTACCAAGAAAAAACGAATTCTAATCTAATTATTTAATTGTAATTCCAAATTAACTGAAAAATTTAACAATACAATTTATGGTAAAAATTATTACGAGAAGATTGCTTGATATAAATTGTCCGTTTACGAAAATTCAAACGAATGAAGGTTTGAAAGGAATGAAAAAAATATTCGAGAAATAAAATCAATTAATGAATAAGAAAATTAATCAAAATCAAATCTTTTGAGATGAAAGTTATTAGTTGATTCAATCAACTTGATTGGAGGTTTTTGCTATGAATTAGTTGCTTACAATTATTTTGCTTTCTTTATTTTTATATTTACAGGTACCAAGTGATTAGTACTCCTGATATTTACCTTTTCCTTGGTCTTATTTTGATCTATTTTGATGTTTAAATCAAAATAACAATTGAACAAATTAACCTTCGCCAACGGGCACAAATCGGCTTAATTGTTTTTCAATCTCTTTTTATAAATACAATGTAACTCAAAGCAAAACAGTCAAAAACATTTGATTCTCATCAATTTAAACAGATTATTCTGATTTAGAAAGTTTCAATCCTAATAATCGTCTAAACAATTTAAATCTATCTTTTTATGAAGTGACTTTATTAAAGTTCAGGTATAAAAAGGGCATGAAAATCGTGACCATTTTCATTTTTGCTTTCGACTTGACCCTCAAAAGTTAACCAAAGTGTTTGAATTTTTCTCAACAAAATGAAACTTTTAATTATCCTGGTGTCAATTTTCATCTTAAATTGTGCTCCAGTTGATTGTTCTCATAGTTATCCAGATGAAGACGAAACTGGACCTTACCTACCGAGAGAAAGTTATTACAACAATTACCCGAACCCTTATCATCCTCCACCTCAATCTTACCCTCAACGCATTCCCGATCCTTACGCTCAACCATATCCTCGTGCTTACCCTTACAATCCTGTCGGAGGCCACCAAGAGTTCGAGGAAAGAGCATTTCGATTTCCACCGTTCAAAATGGTACCAGTTCAATTTCCATCATTTGGATACTTTGATCGTTCCAAAGATTCACCGCAACCCTTGTATCCACCTCCCTCTCCACCGACTGACCAGTACATGAAAGGAAAGAAAGTCCGAAAATCGAAAAAAGTAAAAGAAACTCCGAACACATCGGACTCTGATCCAAAAGTCACCTCTCCGACTAAATGTAGTTGTGCAAACTAATCTTGAAACTTAATTTTTATCAATTTTAATATTAATATAAAAAAGAAAGATGTATATCATTTACATATAATTTATAAAATAATTGATTAAAAGAATACAATTTACAATAATTATGAGCCAATGATGATAATTGATTATTCTAATGATGTTCTTCGTGTTGTTGTTGGATGAAAGCTTCAGATTCGTGGTCAATATGATGACCACTTTTCCTTTTATAAACATCATTCATAAAATCGTTCAAAATATCGTTGAATTGTTCAGAAGATCGATTAAGTTTATCCTCTAAATCACCCGAAGATACCATGAGCTTTTCAATTGTTTCCATTTTCGTCGTTAATTTATACATTTTGTGTTTCGCTTTTCGGGAAAGTCGAGCAAGCCCATTAACCTGTTTACGAATATCTTTAATCATTCCTTGCCCCTTAATCCTTAAATCTCGTATATAATTATAAGAATGAAGCATTAATCCATAAAAAAAGTGCATCCGTTTCCTGCGAGTTAAATCAACGGCCATTGCTAATCTGTGTTCAATCTCATTAGCTCTCGAAGTTGCATCAACTAATCTACTTGATTGATAATTAGCGTAATTTTTTATCCTGAACATATCATCGTGAATTGAGTTAACATCAGTTGATTGTCTTTCATGAGAGTAACTTGATTGCTGATCAAATCCATCAGATATTAATTTCGGACGATTGGTCGTCACTTTTGGATCAAGTTGATATAATTGTTGATGATTAAATTGTGGTTGATGAAATTGATTATGAAATCGAGGTTTTCGTTGAAATTTATCACTTTCGAATGGAGGAAAATACCAACCACTTTGTGTTCCAATAATACCTATTAATCAAATAGAATCAACAATTTAATTAGATGTTTTCTTTACAATAACAACAATAATAATATCGATTCAAGATTAATAATCCGATTCAGGGATTAAGAATAAGATAGATAAGATCGAGTGAAGATTAAGACATCAAATGATAATCAAAGTTTACAATTAAAGGTAAAGAACAATCAAATTAACGTCCTGAAAATTATAATACTAACAATCAATGACAATTAAATCATCTTTTGTTTACCAGCTAAAAATCATCTCTGATTAGTGAAAAAAAAGTTAAGTTGATATGAAAAGATACAAAATGATGATAATAGTAATTAAATGGAAATGATCAGGTAACAATAAATTGGTTAATTAATTGATTGTTACCCTTATAACATGCGAATCAGAAAATACAATAAGAAATTAAATTGTCAATAGAATAATCAAATTATTATCAAGGTTAAAAGTTCGTTTGGCTCATTGTTTTGATATCGAGACTCTGGATATCAAGATATTAAATTGTGATTAATTTACTAATCACATTGTTGTTACATGTAGTTGATAAAATATTTGATTCTAATAGCAATTTATAAATTGTTAATCATATTGGATATTATTTCTTTCCTTAAGAAACAAAACTTATCAAACAAATTCAATGTCAAACAAGTAAACTAATCTTTTAGATTAAAATTGAGAAAAAAAAAGTTAAATTGTTTATCATTAACATCGTCATTATTATTAATCAATAACATCGAATCCATAGAGATTAGTGATTGGTAAATTGTTATTAGTTAAATAATAAAAATGATAATAATATCAAGGAAATTAACTAATCATGAAGGGTTGATTAACATCGAGAATGTATTTTCCCGCAATTCTAATTGTTATTGTTACGTGTTCACTGTTGAGTCTATGGAGATTTATTAACATTTTGGTTAATCAATGAACGTTTTTATCATTTGTTGTGATCAACAAGCAATTTAATTTATTATTATCACTATTTAATAACAATCGAGTGTATGAAATAATGATTAAGCTATTATACAGTCTCAATTGATTGTTTGATGGATTGATTGCTTTTTTTTTACTAATACTTCATTAATGGTAAATTAACAATTAATAACAAGATAGATTTTCTAATGACAATATAATTGTTTTGTTCATAATTAAATCTATTAATGATTTAATTGAAGAAAATAACCAAAAAATTGATAACGTAATCAAAATATTTCTTATAATGATTAACAATCAAAGGATTAGCGGGAAACTATTACGTTATGATTAACAATTGAAATTTAAATAATTTAAATGAATAATTTTCTAGTTGATAACCAACCGAGTCTCTGATTTCCTATGGATATCAAATTAATTGTTGCAATTGTTTTTCTCGTGTTTTGATTAGTTAAAGAAGATTATGATTAGTGATTAGTGGTTATGATGATGAAAGGAAAAGGTTAAAATCAATTGATTGTTAAGTTTTTCATTTTCACTTCTCAGTTGATCATCGCTCGATTGGATTTGACCTTTCGTGTTAATTGTTGTTGTTTAAATTAAGTAACAATTAAGGAAATGACTTTGAACAACAAGGTAAATAGTAACAGTAGTAGTTAATGAAATAACTAAACAAATGAACATCAAATAATGACAATTAAATGATTGCAATAGTCAACTAACTTTACTGATGGTGATTATTGATATTGATTTTTTTGTTTGTTTGCTTATTGATCATGTTAATTGCAACAATTTGATTAACTGTCTATTATTTTTGTGTGACTTTGTTTCAAGGGAGATCCCAATAGATCATTAATCAACCACTAATTGTTAACATAGTCTAATTGCAAAAATAACCTTGATTATTGGTGAAAAATGTCAACAAACAAGTTTCGATAGTTTTTGTTTAATCAATTAACTGTATTTAATTGTATTCTCACCAGGAAACGTTTAGAGATCAGATTTTGTGTTCAACTCGAAAATTGTTAACAATTACAATGTTTAACTTAATTTCTTCCGTTGGAGTTTCTCTTGGTTGATTCTAACAATTTAACCTTAAATAACCTTCCAAGTATATGAAAGTTTTCCCAATAAATATTAAGTAGTTAATCATGAATTATATTCAACACTCTGATCGTTGAAAATTGTAACAACTCCAATGACATTCAGTGGATATAATTACACTGAGAATTCATTTCTACAAACAATTCACCAAACTGACAATAATCAAATGGATCTAAGAATCGATTGTTTCAACAGGTAAAATGACACCGAAACACTGAATGATATGAATGGATAGAAGAAGAAAATGAAAATTGAGAATTAGAATTTGATTGAGAGAAAATGACTTACATTTGGCAAGAGAACACAAAGTGAAAGTTAAAAGAAGAGTAAATTGCCGATTAATCAACATGAAATTAGATTAACAGGTAAAACAATTGGTGAAGAAAATTTGGCAAAAGAGAACAAAAAAAACAGAGAACAATAATTGTAAAGATGATTGAATGGTCATCTATCGTTTAGATGATAATATTCATTGGAATTGTCCAGTAAGAGAAGAAGAAAAAATCACAAAGGTAAATGAGTTGATTGCAATTAGAGAATAAATTGTTGGTGTCACTTGATCTTTTCTCCGGGTTTTCTTTTTGCACAATTGATAGAAAATCCAAATTGTCTAAAGTTGAGGCCAATTCGTCATCATGAACACTATTATTATCATCTCATTGGTGAAGATAAGGAGGGTGGAGAAAAAAATAATAAAGGAGCCAAAAAGTGAAACAAGTCGAAAGAGAAGTAGAAAGAGAAAAGTTGAACTTGAGTCACTTATCCATTAGAAGTGTTGAGAAAGAGAAATTAACTGATTTAGAGAGAGAATGAGAGAAAAGGATTAGTCAACAGGATTAATTCCACTAATTAGAATTTGGTTTAAGTTCCTGACAATTTAGTGAAGGTGATTAAGCGGATTGATGATTGGTCGATTCAATTTGGCGACAGAATAGAAAGAAAGACAATCAGAAGAACCGATTGACTTTCGGGGGAGAAGAAAAAATGTCTGCCGTTTCTTTGGAATCAAAGAGAATAGAAAATTGGAAAATTGTTTTTCTTTTTTCTTTTTCTCAAGGTTTTCAATCATTTAGATTTATTTTGATTCACTTAATCTATTTCATTGGAATTAAGGAAAGTGTGAATTAAATTAGAAATTCATTTCATTTCTATGGCCGAACGTTAGTTAATCCGTTACACAATCAAAACCCTCAATTTCTATGGTGTAATCTCACCAAAACAACGTAATTGTAAGTAAATAACCTTTTTCGTATTTAGATAATATATTTAATTTTTTCTTTCTTTCTTACCTGTTGCATCCATACCCATTTACCTGACAATTTAATTGAATAATTATTAGTGAATCAATCAAATTTATCTTTGGTGGTACCAAATCAACACAAAACCCCAAAACACTGGGTTAATAATTTGGTTGATCACTGTGACTTAATTGTTTCCGTGTTTGTGTAATCATCCAATTGTTGGAACAATGAACCATACATACTGATTGTTGATTAACTGGACACTAATCAAGTTCATTAACATAACAATCAAAATGAAAAAGATGAACCTTATAAATGGTTAGTGAAATCTCAAGACACTTGAAGGTTTGTTATCCTCCGTAACTGGTCAAGAGTGTTGTTTATATCTTTAAGATTTTCCCTACGGTCAACTAAGTTACTCTTTCTAATTGTTCATCTTATTCAATACTAATCTATTTACCTTTTTCTTTAAATTTAACTATTTCCGTTTACCTTAGTAAATTGTGATTCCTGTCAAGTGATTCGTTGATTAGATTGGAAAATTAATCACCTCTAAATCCTTATCCTTTTGTTTTGTGAAAATTATTCCTCTCCAAGTGGATTTTTAATAAGATGTTTGGAGAAACAATCAATACAACCGTAACCAATGTGAATGTCAATTAAATTAATGACAATCTAATCATCATCATAATCTTTATCCATTGATAATTATGTAAATTTTTATTTTTGGAATATGTGTTAAAGTGTTATTTAGTTGATTGTTGAATGACCTTGAATGATTTAATCATCAATCCTACTGAGCAATTCAATCAATGAATAGACAATCTCTTTTTTTTGTATTTTCCTAAGAAAAATCAAAGTAACGACTGTTATTAATCAGAATCTCAATCAATTGAGCAATCTTGCTAATTGTAACTATTGATTTTGACTAATTAAGGGCACAATTTAGGGTAATAATTGTCTACAGTGATTGAAGATTGATTAACAACCTTGAATTGTTGCTCATGTTAATATACACAATTCAATACTGATGGTTTCTTTACGATTCTCAATACTAGAGATAATATATTTCATCTATGAAGTTTGATACTCAATTGGCATATTTCAAGGTTGGTCTTAATTATTCGTGAAAGAACAATCATTTGAAGAATTTTGAACAGATTTTAATCAGTCAATAATAATATCACAAAGCAATTGGTATTGCTAATTCGATTACTAGATAACTTTTACACAATTGATCAGATTAAGCACAGGAATGATAATATCACAGTAGCTTGAAAAATTTCTAGTTTTCAGTTCTTCAAATGATTATGTTCTTGAATAACCTTTATATTGACCTTGAAATATGACAATTGAGTATCGCAAACTTAGACTTATCGGTCAAGTAGTTTGAAAATCGTGATTATGTTGTATTTGTGTGTGAGTGGAGGTGTGAGTGATTAAGAATTAAATTAAAAGATGTAAAACTTGTTTTATATCCACGAATTAATCAACTACCAAAAAAGAGATTGCTAACAATTAGATTAACAATTGATTTCTTGTTTATCTTTATTTTGATTGTTAATTTTAATTCTTTACTCCATTAAATCCCAATACAAGGTAGAAAATTAATTTATTTTCTTTTCCATCATCTATTCAATTTGCAAGGACAATTTTCAGTCATTAACAATTTAGATGATGATTAACGGTGATTGATTTACATCATTCTCAATAGTTGAATGAATTAAATCAACAGGTTACTACAATCAAATTGACAACTCGATTCTGATTCCTGATTATTATTTCACTTTTATTGAAACTTTTTATTTTCGCAACAATTTAACTGATCATATTTTGTAAACAATCAAAAGCTTTTTTTAATTGTTCAATTTTTTATTACTAATCATTTTAATTTCTATTAAATCGATACAAAATCAATTTAGATTGTTCAATAGAAATTAGTTTATCAAATGAAGTTGATTAGTTTGTCTGGCGTTTATTGTGGACTTTTAATTGTTGCAAGTAAAAAATGACAAGATTAAACATGCAACTGGATTTAAAAAGGTAAATATGATTATCGCTTTTTTAAATTGTATGAATAATTGGAACAATTAACTGGATTGTACTTCTAGGTGGAGATTAGTTTATTGACAATAACATCGAGAATATTTTCCCACCGATGAATAATTAGATCTAAACTGGTGTAATTGGGACTGGACGATGGACACTTTGAATCGATTGTGATTTAATTGTTTCTGGCGATTGGAATTGTTGGATAATAATTGGAGATCCCTTGCTTTCTGATCTTTTAATTGTTGATGTTTTAGAGACGACGAGATGATTTGTATATTGAACAAAAGTATCGCTGAAAGGGTTTTGTGTATCACTTGTTCCCGTTGAACAATTAATATTTTCGATAAGAATCGAAGTGGATAAGGTTGGATAATCACTTTGGACGATTTAATTGCTGACACTTTGAATGCTGGAAATTGAGGATAGATAATCCTAGATGAGATTTTACTCTGTGAAAAATATGTTGAGTTAATTACTGCTGTTAGTTAATCGTGACAAGAAACAGATAAATTATTTCATAAGAAAACTTTTCTTACCTTGAACCTTCAATGATTTAGGCTGATTGCTGGTGCTCTCAGGTATATCTGGTCCCCATACTTTGTAACAATTAACTGCATCCGATGAATAATAAACTAATCACAATCTACCATTTGGATCAGTGTAACCATATCGACCTCTAACTACACCGAGATCATCTTTAGATTCTTGATCAAATTGTTGTGATCCTAAAAGTCCAGTAATCATCACAAATCACTAATCCAATCATAACGAACAAAGCAAAATTAATCTATAGAGAGAAACTAAGACGAACTATTAATTCAACAATCAAATTAGAAATTTGATTAATTTACCTAAACTTTAAAATTATTGTTTGATTAAAAATTATTCTTAATTGTTGATTGTTAATGTTGCCATGAACAAGAATTGATGATAAATGTAAAAAAGAATGAAAAACAATATTTAGTAAATGTTATTTACTATTCTCATTTAATTGTGGGCGATTTTTTCAGAATTACAAGTCAACAAAAAAATACGATATTCAAAATGATTAACATTTATTATTGAGTAATTTTAGACTCTGGTAAATAATGTAGGCGATTAAATTGTGAAGCAACGAGGGTTCATCAAAACGGAAAACAAAAGTTAAGGAGCAAAATCGTTGGGAAGAACATTGATATTTAAATCTATCATCATTAACTACAAGTAACTAATCAACTATTGACTTTGTACCACGATGACCATTGATTTACCTCGTCTATTTGATTCGCTTCATCAACTATTGTCTCATGAACGGATCACTTTTCTTTCGATCATTTCAATCAAAAAGCCATTTGCTCCAAATGGTTAGTCGAGTTATCTTTCACTGTTATGATTCCATTACCAGATTAGATTCCAAAGCTGAGACATTGGACAAACTGAGGTGCTGATGAAATATTGACTTTGTTTTACGATCATTTCGGTAACAACAAACAATAATAACCATGTAAAACATACCGACAAGCATTACAATAAAAAAAATCAAACAAAGAATCCTTCATCATCAAAATGATAAACGGCCCCAGTTTGAATATGAACTGTTGGCTCTCGATGAACTGTTGGATCTTCGGGCTCGATGGGAATAGAGCTCTTTAAATCGGTAACAGTTGAAATAAAATTTCGAAGATCAACAATAGTATGCATGGGATAAGCTATCCAAGAATCGACTTGACTTGTCCTCTTGTGTCCTCACGAGAAAGATTTGAATGAATAAATATGGACGCCAGCTCCAGATAATCTTGCTAATCTTCTGAATAATAATGAATGCAAAGAAAAAGGTTAATAAATATTCATTCAAGTGAAAGTATCAAAATTACCTTTCAATATTATCTTTATTCCAAATTCTGAAATCATCCTGAGAATAATAAATGAAACATTTCGATTGAGAAAATTATAGACAAAACAGTCCAATAATTACAAACATACCAATCATTTAATCACTAAGAAGAAGATGAACTAGGACAGATAACCGAGTAAACCAAAATAAGAGAGATTGAAATAAGCCATTTAAATGGAAATTCGTTCAACAATCAACGCAGACAATTAATTAACAAGAAAACTTTAAAAATTGGAACAAAAAAATGAGAAAAGTGAACCAAAGACCCAAGCGCATGTGTGAACATGTAAGAGAACCAAAGAAAGCGCCAAATTCAACTACCAAGAAAAAACGAATTCTAATCTAATTGTTTAATTGTAATTCCAAATTAACTGAAAAATTTAACAATACAATTTATGGTAAAAAAATTAATACGAGAAGATTGCTTGATATAAATTGTCCGTTTACGAAAATTCAAACGAATGAAGGTTTGAAAGGAATGAAAAAAATATTCGAGAAATAAAAACAATTAATGAATAAGAAAATTAATCAAAATCAAATTGTTTCATTTCTAATGCTTAAATTAATTCTCTTGCTTGTTTTAAAATTTTGCAGTTAATTAGTTCATTTTTCTGATTTTATCTGAATCGTAGTTCATACAATTGACCTTGAACTCGAAATTTGACCTTAACCTTGGATCTTTGCAATGAATAAAAAAAATGTCGATTTGTCAACAACCTTGAAGGTTAAGGTTCTTGTTTATTTTTATCCTTCACTTGAGCTTATTGTTAATTTCTGTTTATTTACTGCAAGTTAATCAATTGATTGGTGTTTCTCCTCTTCTTTTAATTACCTCAAAACTAACATTCATCATCTCTATTATCACCATCATCTAATTCATGTGATTAAAATCATCTAATTCTATTCTACATTTTAATTTATCTCTTTTTCTGTAACAAGTGAATGTCTCTCATTGTCATTGTTTACCTTTTTCTAGTTTGTTGTTAAGATGATGTTTCACTTTCAACTGATTATCCTGGTTAATTATTTGTTCCACTGATTACAGTTCACTTAATTCAATGAATTTCTCCAATTACACCAATCATCCTATTTAATTCGCTGAGTAAAACTGTTAATTGTTACCAACCTCATTCTCTCCTTCAAACCAAATGGTCTCAATGTCCAATACATAAGCAAACATATTCTATTAATTAATCGCAATCATCAGTGTTTTTATTTGTTCTTTGATGATTTATTGTTATCGAATTTTATTCTTCAATCATCATCGATTCTCAAACCATATTGGCTTTTCAATTATCTCTCATCATTCATCAATCGTTATTTATTTACTCATCTCGTTATTGTGTTTACTCTTGCGGTCGAAATGTTTTCAGATCGACAAACGCCTTTGATTAAAATTGGTCATTACATTTTGGGCGAAACTCTTGGGGTTGGAACCTTTGGAAAAGTGAAGAGTAGGTGCTAGTTGATTAAATTGTCGACATTAATTAAGGTTAAATTGTTTCCTTTTCTTTAGCTGCGAAACATCAGTTGACTGGACACAAAGTCGCTGTTAAAATATTGAATCGAGAGAAGATCAAAAATCTTGATGTCGTTGGTAAAATAAGGAGAGAAATTCAGAATCTCAAATTGTTCCGTCATCCGCATATAATTAAACTGTGAGTTTCTAATTGTCACGAGAAATTAATTATTTGCTTTTTGAGATGAAATTTATTCTCTTGGTTAATTGGAGGTTTTTGCCAAGAATTATTTGCTTTTAATTAATTGGCTTGTTTTAATTTTTTTGATTGACAGTTACCAAGTGATTAGTACTCCTTCTGATATTTTCATGGTGATGGAATATGTTTCTGGTGGTGAATTATTTGAATATATTGTTAAACATGGGAAATTGAAGGAATCGGAAGCAAGAAGATTTTTCCAACAAATTATCTCCGGTGTTGATTATTGTCATCGTCATATGGTCGTTCATCGAGATTTAAAGCCCGAGAATTTGTTGCTCGATTCAAACCAATGTGTTAAAATCGCCGATTTCGGCCTTTCTAACATGATGATGGACGGAGAATTCCTAAGAACCTCTTGTGGGTCACCTAATTACGCAGCTCCGGAAGTGATTTCGGGCAAATTATATGCTGGACCCGAAGTGGACATTTGGAGTGCAGGGGTCATTCTATATGCTCTTCTTTGCGGAACTTTACCATTCGATGATGAACATGTTCCATCACTTTTCCGAAAAATTAAAAGTAAATATTACGATCAATTCAAGGAAAAAAATTAATTAATTTTGTTCTTTTAAATTTGTTATATGAATTTTCAGCTGGTATATTCCCGATTCCCGATTATTTGAACAAAACGACAGTTGATTTATTGGTTCATATGTTACAAGTCGATCCAATTAAAAGAGCAACAATGGAAGATATCAAGTAATTATAATCAATTTATTCAATTTAATTTAGTAATTGTGAAACAAAAGCCCAATCTTGAAGTGAAAATTTCCAATCAATGAATCACATAAATTGTGAATCTGCAAAAATCTTAATTACGATTTGAAATTTATCCAGAAAGTTAGAAAGTGGTTGATTATTGTTAACATAATTGTAAGTTGTTATTGATTTAAGTTCATCTTTTAGTGAAATTAACTGTTTCAATGACAATTGAGCTAATGTTGTTTGATAATTGTTCACCTCAGTTGATGACGAGTTAATTATTGATTGTAAATCATTGATATATTTATCAATTGATTGTAGTGTTTTCATCTTAATCCAATCAGAGTTTTTAGTTTTCAACAATTTGATTAAAGATTCTGGTGTTTCAACAGATAATTGTGGATACCTTGAGAATTGTAATTCATAGTTGAATAAGTTAATAATCGTCTCATATTGTTTGATTAAATATCGCAATTCTTTAATCACTGAAACATCAGGTTTCACCCTTAAATCTTGAGTTGAAGGATTAAATGATTTACCAATTAAATCGTGAAGCAAAGCCAATGATTGAAGTGTAATATTACAGAAAGCACTTTGATCCAAATTAATATTACCTTCTTGCCGAATCTCAACAATTGATTTAATCCGTTGATTAATTGAATCTTTAAACAACGGGACAATCAAGGATGGATCATATTGAGTTGTTAATTGAGACAGAAAATCAGTTTCCCTTGAAGCTTGACAATCAATTGAGCAGCAATTTATCACTAGAAAAAGAAATGAGTTAATCATAACAATTGAATATCAATCGAATCACATTTGGAATTAAAGTTTATCAACAATCAACTTACTAATTAATAAAGACACTGTGAGGATAAATCCTTTCATTTTGATCGCAATTCAATAACAATTAGTGAAACTTTTTTCTTCAACAATCAAAACTCTTCAAATGATCACAGTTTAATACCAATTGATTTTCAATTCTGATCAAATTTAACTTATCACAAACTATTGATAAAAATAATTATCAATCGTTTTTAATTATCATTGTGTTCACATCCCCAATAATTTACTTGATAATCATAATTATTTCACTTCTCTGAACATTATTAACAATTAAAAACAAGTCCTTGTTTGATTGTGATGCAACAATTCAGCTTGATAATAACAACGATAAAAATTGAAATGAAAACAATTAATTGGATGTAACAAAAACGATACAATTGAATATGAAGTAATCAATGCTCACAAATTCAATACGATGAGCTGATTAGATTGTTGATTAGTTTAATTTCGTTAATTTCATTTCATTGACATGAAAACAACTTAATCATTTCACTTTACCATCTCAATATTTTAGCAACTTCATGGGCATATGACATGATTTAAAGAGGAGCAATTGTAATTAGAATAGTTTACAAAGGATGAAATAGATTCTAGATCTCTTTATCTCGTTGGATGATTTACTAATTGTTTCTTGGTGTTTATAATCAACTAATTAATATTTTAATCTTTGTTTTACTTTAGAAATCATGATTGGTTCAAAAAAGATTTACCTGGTTATTTGTTTCCAATTCCAAGTGAATCAGATGCATCGATTATTGATATAACTGCAATCAAAGAAGTCTGTGAGGTAAGTAACAATTAACAAGAATAAATTGTAAACTATTAATAATTAATCCATCAATAACCTGATTTGCTTTGACTGATTTTCTAGAAATTTGGTGTTTCTGATAAAGAAGTTCATAGTTCCCTTTTAAGTGGTGATCCTCATGATCAATTGGCAATTGCTTATAATTTAATAATTGATAACAAGAGAATCGAAGACGAAACATCAAAATTGGACATTAAAGACTTTTATGTGGCCTCATCACCTCCTCCGCCCTCATACTATGATAGTCCTTCTCGATTCGGTATAAATGTCCTCAATCGTACGCGGCTCTTTAGTGGCTCAAGTCTAAGTTCCAGTGTAGAAAAATCATCGAAAGGAACACCGATGAAAAAAGCGAAATGGCATTTAGGTAACTAATCAGTTGATCGACATTCTATTAAACTAATTATCTTCTATCCCTTAATTACTTACTTTAGGTATTCGATCCCAAAGTAAACCAAATGACATCATGAATGAAGTTTTCAAAGCAATGAAAACTCTTGATATGGTTAGTATATCAATCAATAGATGGATTAATTGTTTGATTATTTATATCCAATTGTTATTGTATCTTAAATTTATTTGTATCTTAGGAATGGAAAATTGTAAACCCATTCAATGTTCGTGCTCGAAGGAAAAGTTCACAATCAGGTCGCTTCATCAAAATGGCCTTACAACTTTACCAAGTCGATCATAAGAGTTTCCTTCTTGATTTTAAATCGTTACCAAGTGTTGAAGATACAGAGAGCAAAGAAAACACTGAGGATTCAATTGAAGGAGAAACGGGCACCGGTGGAGAATCAGTTAACGAAGACAAAGGAGAAGGTGCCGATGGTGACAATTTAAACACAACAATTACTCCAACCCTGACAATTAACAATTCGATAAACGATCCATACTCGTCTAAATCTCACCTACATCATGTTATGGATTTTTTTGAAATGTGTGCTTCACTAATTACCCAATTAGCTCGTTGAAATAATCTTCGTTGATTAGTTAATAGTTTAGTTTGTTAAAAAGATTAGTGTTGATATTTAAATTTTCAATTGAATCGCAAATGAAAAAGTTTAATTTGGTTCTACTGTAAATTCACTTTAACTAAGACAGAAAAGTCTACGAACTCATCAAATTAATTATATTCTTAACTTATTGAAAACAGAAAGTACACTAACAATACACCAATTAAGTAACAATATCTAATAATTAACTAATTATTTCTGCTGATTGAATTTACATCAAGTTGGAAATTGTCACAATCGTTGCCAATAAGATTGCAATCAGATCACAAACTATTAATGTAAATACACTGTTATTGATGAAATTAAATTTAAATTCATTGGATGTTGTTACCAAATTTGTACAGAGAATTAATAATAAATGAATAAAAGAGTTAAATTGTAATTAATTCTTCTAATTAACAAAACCAAGACAAGAAAAAGATGATTATGAAAACAAAGAGATTCGAGCAAGAAAACAAATTAAAAATACAAACATTTCGAGTAATCAAATCTCCACAATTTGGACAATTAACAATTTAAAATGAACAAAGTCAAGGTTAACTCGAAGAATTGATCAAATTAAATTAATTGTGACAATTTAATAAACAACAAACATTTAGAGTTGATTAAATTTCCTCCAAGGATAAGAAACAAGAAGAGGAAACAAAAATGAAAGAAAATTAATCAACCAGATGAGAAATTATTTCTTTTAAATTGATTAATCTTTTCCCCAATTAACGATTAACGATGAAAAAGAGAATTAAATTTAATCACAATTCTAATTAACTGCATCACATAAAAATCATCAAAATAATAATCAACAAAGAGACAGAGAAAGAGAAAGAGAGAGAACATGTTTTCTTTTTTTCTCTCTCAATCATGTGATTATTTTTCTCTCTCTTGTTATTATTTTTCATTTTCTCTGATGTTTTTGTTTACATTTAATGGAAGTTTCTTTTTGCTCAATTAATATTATTTTCCTCAATTTCCTTTGCTAATCAACTTGTTTAATCATCGATTATCCTTTAAATGGATTAATTAAAATGTAGAGATTTACATTTGTTTCTAGTGATTAGAAAATTAAACCAACAATTATCGTGATTGGACAATAAGATTTTTGGTGTTTTTCCTCTTCTCTTTTTTCATTTTTCTCTTTGTTTCTATTTGATTTTCTTTTTATCTATTGTATATTATTATTGTTGATCATCAATCACCTTGAAAATGTCTTCATCATCCGATCGATCAATTCAAAATCAGCAGCCATTAATTAAAATTGGTCATTACATTTTAGGTGAAACTCTTGGTGTTGGTACTTTTGGTAAAGTTAAAAGTGAGTTGATTCCATCAATCACCTAATCAATTGTTGGAGATATTTAATTGTTTCTGTTTTCTATCTCATCCTTTGTGTTTCTATTTAGCTGCCACTCATCAATTAACTGGACACAAAGTCGCTGTTAAGATATTGAATCGAGAGAAGATCAAAAATCTTGATGTTGTTGGTAAAATACGGAGAGAGATACAGAATCTCAAATTGTTTCATCATCCTCATATTATCAAACTGTAATTGATTATCGTTAATTAATCACCTATACAACCTCTTTACCTTTTCATCGAGTTGATGTGAATTGATGAATTATGGGTTTCATTTAATAATCGGTTTTTAAGGCGAAACAATTAGTAGAGAGCTTGCAATCAACATCTTTGAACGATTGGTAGTAATTTCTGATATTGAAGTGACCCAATTAATTTTGATTAAACAGAGGAGTCCCTGATTAATGAAGTGATAAGAATTAGTGTGTTATGATAATCAATTTAACTCTTTTGGGATCGATTCACATTAATTATTCAAGATGAAGCTCCAAGTATGACTTACATTGATTATTTCTATTTGCTATAGTTACCAAGTGATTAGTACTCCTTCTGATATTTTCATGGTGATGGAATATGTTTCTGGTGGTGAATTATTTGAATATATTGTTAAACATGGGAAATTGAAGGAATCGGAAGCAAGAAGATTTTTCCAACAAATTATCTCCGGTGTTGATTATTGTCATCGTCATATGGTCGTTCATCGAGATTTAAAGCCCGAGAATTTGTTGCTCGATTCAAACCAATGTGTTAAAATCGCCGATTTCGGCCTTTCTAACATGATGATGGACGGAGAATTCCTAAGAACCTCTTGTGGGTCACCTAATTACGCAGCTCCGGAAGTGATTTCGGGCAAATTATATGCTGGACCCGAAGTGGACATTTGGAGTGCAGGGGTCATTCTATATGCTCTTCTTTGCGGAACTTTACCATTCGATGATGAACATGTTCCATCACTTTTCCGAAAAATTAAAAGTAAATATTATCATCAATTCAGGGAAGAAATTAATTAATTTTGGTCTTTTAAATTTGTTATATGAATTTTCAGCTGGTATATTCCCGATTCCCGATTATTTGAACAAAACGACAGTTGATTTATTGGTTCATATGTTACAAGTCGATCCAATTAAAAGAGCAACAATGGAAGATATCAAGTAATTATATTCAATTTATTTAACTTTGCAATAAACTGATTAATATTTTTAATATTTGACTTACTTTAGAAATCATGATTGGTTCAAAAAAGATTTACCTGGTTATTTGTTTCCAATTCCAAGTGAATCAGATGCATCGATTATTGATATAACTGCAGTTAAAGATGTTTGTGAGGTAAGTAACAATTATCGGGAATAAATTGTAAACTAATTAATCCATCAATCACCTGATTTGATTTGAATGATTTTCTAGAAATTTGGTGTTTCTGATAAAGAAGTTCATAGTTCCCTTTTAAGTGGTGATCCTCATGATCAATTGGCAATTGCTTATAATTTAATAATCGATAATAAGAGAATCGAAGACGAAACATCAAAATTGGACATTAAAGACTTTTATGTGGCCTCATCACCTCCTCCGCCCTCATACTACGATAGTCCTTCTCGATATGGAATGAATGTCGGTGGTCGTCCAAGATTATATAGTGGCTCGAATGTGACCAATATCCCCGAAAAGCCAATAAAAGGAACACCGATGAAAAAAGCGAAATGGCATTTAGGTAACTAATCAGTTGATCGACATTCTATTAAACTAATTATCTTCTATCCCTTAATTACTTACTTTAGGTATTCGATCCCAAAGTAAACCAAATGACATCATGAATGAAGTTTTCAAAGCAATGAAAACTCTTGATATGGTTAGTATATCAATCAATAGATGGATTAATTGTTTGATTATTTATATCCAATTCTTATTTTATCTTAAATTTATTTGTATCTTAGGAATGGAAAATTGTAAACCCATTCAATGTTCGTGCTCGAAGGAAAAGTTCACAATCAGGTCGCTTCATCAAAATGGCCTTACAACTTTACCAAGTCGATCATAAGAGTTATCTTCTCGATTTTAAATCATTACCGAGTTTCGAAGACACTGAACGTAAAGAGACTGATGAGACAATTGGAAGCGATTTAGCTGTTTGTGGGAAAACAATAGCGGAAGAGAAAAGTGAACAATTGGGTGGAAACAGCTCGACAATCACACCAGCCCATTCAATCGGCAGCGTATCGAATGATCCTTATTTCACTCAACCTCATTTACATCATGTTATGGACTTTTTTGAAATGTGTGCTTCACTTATCACTCAACTTGCTCGTTAGAGCAAATTTAACCCTTTTCTTAGTCGTCGACTAGTTAATTATTATCTAGTTTATATAAATTCACACAGTGTTTAATTATCAATTGAAACAATCAAACAAATTAACCTTTTTTTTCTTTCCATTTTTACCGATTCAATTTTTCGATACCGCTGTACATCAATCTTTCAAATGGAATGTACAGTTCGGTGAAACCGATAGATTTGTATTTTTGTTGACTTGACATCGTCCGAGAATGAAAATTATCAAAACTTTCGAACTTTTTTCACAAGCAAAATAATAAAACTAATCCAGTTCATTTAACTAATTCAACGCTGCCTTCAAATTCATTATCTTATATTTCTTAGGATACTTAAGGTTGTGAAAATCAATAGAAAACGAAAACGAAAAAAATTGAAAATTTATCTCATTTGAATTTCTCAAAAAAAGCGGCAAATTCCCTCGCCAGGTGTCGCCTTTTTATCTCCTCGGTAACAATCCGGAAACGGAAAATCAAATGGTTGAGACTTGAATGATTTCAAAATAAAAGTGTTTTTTTACATTTGGTTGTTTCTAAATTAAATTTAGTTTACCAATTAATTAATTGTTAATTTAATTTGTTAATTGTAGGTTTGTAACAAAGTAAACATGGTAAGTTGAATTCGTGTGGCTCTTTGGCTTGGAATATGTTTTTTTCATTGTTTTCTCTTTGATGTTGTTTATCATTTTCTTTGAATCTTATTCTTCATCACTTTTTTTTGTTCTCTTTTAATTTAGACCAAAGGTACCTCATCTTTTGGTAAACGAAGAAATAAGACCCATACATTGTGTAGACGATGCGGTCGATCTTCATATCACATTCAGAAATGTAAATGTGCATCATGTGGTTATCCAGACAGAAGGATACGTAAATGTAAGTTACAATGTGATTCTTTGTTAATTTAACACCGGTTTAAACTATTATAGTTATTTAACTAAATTTTCTTACCTTTTTTTGCCATCTTGCACAGTTAACTGGTCTGTAAAAGCTATTAGGAGGAAGACCACTGGAACTGGACGTTGCCGACACTTGCGAAGAGTTCATAGACGTTTCCGTAATGGTTTCCGAAGTGCTCCTATCAAAGCTCCCCAACAGCAACAACAGCAACAACAAGCTTCATCAGCTAAATAATCTTGCTTCAACTAATAGATCGTGGTAATCAATAAAAAAAGATAATTTAAAAAACATCAACTTTTCAAGACTTTTAATGGTTTATCGGTTATTGTTTAATATAATATTGGGATGGTACAAAAGGCATTTTTGTTACTTCAAACTCATAATGTTTATTTCTGATTAAACATTTAACAGTTGAGCCGATTTTACCTTTACCAGTTTTTATGTAGCCCATTGAAAGATTAGCGTTCAAAGAAGGAGATGGACAACCACTTGTCACTTTACCAATTTCTTGACCAGTTTCAGCCTCTATGATCGATGCCCCTTGTCTTGCCGCTGGACCTTTAGTAACACTTTTCAAACCTACTCTCCGTTTTGTCGGTTTATCTTTTAACTGTTTCATGATTATCTCAGCTCCAGGGAAATCTTTCCTCTCTCTTCGTGATTTACTAATTGTCCAAACTAAACCAGCTTCTACTGGGGTAGTTTCCTCGTCAATATCATTACCATACAAGCAAAGACCAGCTTCAAGTCTAAGAGTATCTCGAGCTCCAAGACCTTAAACAATTAATCAAAAAGAAAAAGAAAATCAAATCTATTGAAACAATTGAATGATCACTTTGTCAATGATTCTAATTATTAGATAGCAATTAGATGAGAATAATCTCATCAAAACAACATTGAACATATACAATGTGATTAACTCATCACAATCAGTTATGATTATCAAACTCAAGTGATTAGAAACGGAGATAGAATAACCAATTGATCAGAAAATAAGATTAACTGTAGAGTTTTTCAGCTAATTGATCCAAGAAACAATTCGTTAGAAAAGCAAATGATTAACTAACCTGCTAATTTGATTGTCCCATCAGATGAGTCGATCAATGATTCAACAACTAACTGAACTGAATCATTGGGAATACTCAACTCGAATCCATCTTCACCAGTGTAACCACATCGAGTGATCCGACAATCGGCAACTCCGGCAATCGATCCGATGGTTGAGTACATGAAGTAAAGGCTATTAAGATCACAATCAACATGAGACTGTAAGCAATTAGCAGCTTCTGGTCCTTGAAGAGCAATCAATGAATATTGATCATTAATAAATTCAATTGTAACATCTTTCCCTTGACCCCTGAGGCGATCACAATGATTCCTCATTAGACTTTTATCTTTCTCCATACAACCAGCATTGGAAACAATGTAAACATAAGAAGACGATGTGTTGGTAACAATTAAATCATCGATTATCCCACCAGAACAATTAGTAAACAACGAAAGAGAACCTTGATTAGGAGCTAAAGAGAAAACATCAGTGACAGTTAAATCATTCGCGAATTGGAATCTGTCCTTCCCATGGATTCGAGTCTGAAGCATATGAGACACATCGAAGAGCGAAGCTTTCGATCGAGTGTGAAGATGCGAATCTTTGGTCGTCAGGTCAGAATAAAGAACTGGCATCGAGTAGCCAGCGAACGGAACCATTTTACCTCCATTGTTGACATGGAATTTGTTAAGTTGAGTCACTTTTAAATCGACACTTGATTCAGTTGAATGATTAACAAGTTGTACTTTATTTGGATTAAGTTTCGCTTGTAAAGTGAAGAGACGACGGATTAAAATTGTTTCATTGACAATATTTAACTTGGAGGATAAATTGTTGAACATAATTGATTTTCCTTTGATGTGCGTTATGATTACGATAACAAAGAGAATTAAAATAAATTAACTTTTGACTGAAACGAGAAAAAAAAACTGTAATAGAAAATAATGTTTTCTTCACTTTAGATTTTTTTTTCTATTTCTCTCTCATCCTCGCTCTCACTTTAACAATCATGTGATGATGATAAAAATGAGAGAGTATGAGAAGAGAGCGGGAGAGAGAAAAATAAGATTTTGTTACCATGTTATTATACAGTTGAAAGTAACAAAGTAATTAACAAGATTTAGAAAAAAAAGAAGATAAAATCGATAATTGTTAAGAGTTATTGACAATCAAGATGATTTCAAAGTGAATGACAAGGTAAAGTTAATTGCTTGGAAGAGGGTTAGATAGAAAATTTAATCTAAACAAATAACATCATCGTCATCATCATCGACATTGGATTGGTCATCCATAGTTCGATTTTCCTCTTCGAGATCAACAATTTTAATATTGTTATCGACTTCAGATTTGTTTGTTTTTAATTGATTAGAATCAGTTTCAACTTCGCTTTTAATTGCTTCTGATTTTGGTTCATCTGTTTCCACTTTCGCCGATGAACTTTGTGCATTTTCTGGTTGATCGTTAATTGTTGTTGATTCTTCCTTTTTTACTTCTTCTTTTTTTTCTTCTTCTTTAAGTTCGGTGGAAATTTTGGTACTTTGGTCTTCAATTGGTTCATCTTTTTCTTCTTTGGTCTTCTCGGTTATTTCGACTTTTTCCTCTTTTGGCTCTTCCTTTGGCTCGCTTTTAGGCTCTTCTTTCATTTCAACTTCTCCGTTCTTTTCAATTGAAGAGATTTCTTCTTTTTTCTCGGAATTTGATTCCAATTGAGATTCTGTAACTTTGATCTTTTTTGATGGTTCATCTCCATTTGTCTCTGTTCCATTAGTATCAAGAGATCGTTTCTTGTTGTCATTAGACGACGATGTTTCTGCAGCTTTGATGTTCCCATTTACAGTTGGTGCTGCTTCATCTAAAAAGAAATAACAATTTAATAAGAATAACCTTTTCTTTTTTATTTTCAAGGAGTCAATTCTGTTAACCACTGCTAACCTAAAAGAATTGGATCATCATCTTCATCATCCTCAGGATTGGCTTCATTGGTTTCCATGACTTCATCTTCACTGATCTCTTCATCTTCATCTTCATCAAGTCCATCTTCTAACATGTCATCATCATCATCTTCCTCTTCTTCACTGGCAGTTCCTTCTTCGCCTCCAATATCTCCCGCTTCCACAGAGTCCAACTTTTTTTTCAGTTCTTCTCTTTTCTTAATAAAACTATCTCGACCTTTTTCTTCATTGCTGATCAGCCTTTTATTCAATTCTTCATCAGCGAGATCTGGTACTGAATCAGGTCGAAGGTGAGAGTCATGTTCGTAATCGTTCATCATCTCGAGCACTTCTAATACACGGCGCCTTTGGACTTCGTTTATAATATCGCCAGTGATTTTTAAAGCCAATTCAGCCTTGTCGGCGATTGGAATATTCTTCTCAGTACAAAATTTGTCAATGAGCTCCGTGATATCTGCAATACTTGGTGTTGAATTCATCGGCCGTTGAGGGATTTTACCTTTGTACTTTTTCTGCATGATCGCACGATATTTGGTTGAGATTGATTCATTTAATTCTGGATATTCTGTACCGGTATATTTGTAGACTTGATCAAGTAAACGAGCTGATTCTTTAGCACCTTGAAGACGGAGTAACTTGTTTGAGAAACGTTTAACTCTCTGTTCATATTTCTGTTTCTTCATATGATCAGAGTTTTCATTATCCAAATCATCAATTGAAATCTCAGATTGGTCCAATCGATCAATTTTCCTTAAATCCTTTTTGATACGAGTTTGTAAATCTTTAATTTTTTTCATCAGCTTGGCCCGCTCTTTTTTATCTTTACTCTTTAAAGTATTCAAATACTTATCCAATCTTTTAAACTCCTCTCTAAAATCATAATAAACCAACTGTTTACCATTTTTATCAGCCTCAGATTTAATAGAATGATCGTAATGAGCCAATATCTGTTCCAAAGCCTTGTTCTTCCATATAGGAGATTTTTCATATTTAGTCTTTAAAGCAGTTAACTGACCATTTATTTTCTCAACAGGATTTTCTTCATCAACAACCTCAGAGAGACAAGTTTCAACAAACTGTTCAAATGTCACCTAAGATAAAACCAAACAAAAAACAATAGCAAAAAACAATAGCAAAAGTAACAACTGGATTAGAAGAGAACACAAAAACCAACCAATTAATAAATTAAACTCACCATGATTCAGACTAATTCCAAGTGATTAACAAAACTAATTAGTCTTGAGATGAAAAAAAAACAAATTCAAACTTCACTCTATAAAAACATAAACATTAGTTAGAATCAGAAGGAAACGGAAAGCAAATGGAGACCAAATTTCTTCGATTCAGCGCCACCTCTTGGATTCGATAAGAACAACGTTCGTTCTTATCCAAAATTTATTATCTTTTGTTACCTTTTGACCGTAACAATTGATTGATTTTTAATTTAAATCGAATTACAATTAGTTTTAATTTCTTTTCTTTTTTTTCTCTTTGTTTGTATTACCGTTTTGCGTTTTAACAGTTGACAGTCTTTCCAATGGATTCATGGGCTGACACGAAAGATTCTTCATCATCAAGGTAAGTTGATTAATTTTAGTTTCGCTCTAACAACTGATCTTAAGGGTCAAAAATGAGAGAAAAAGTTGACCAGTGTTTTGATTAACCTTTTTGTCAATTGTTTCTCTTTTTTTTTAATTGTTATTGGATTGTCACGGTTGTTGTGATTAGTTAATTGTTAACATTTTATAAGAGTTTAAATTGTGAATTGGTTGGATAGAAATTAGTTTTCTTTGTAAATTGTTTCTTCTTGTGGTCAGTTAATTACTTCCACAAGAGGCGCCACTTTTTTCTTCTATTAAGATGCTTTTTTAGTGGAGAAAAAGCTTACATAGAGAAGAATTAATGATGATTACAGAAGAAAAATTAATCTCCATCATTTGTGGTTTTATCTTTTTTTCTATCATTTGTAATCATGTTTCTTCTTCGCGATACATTAAGATTATTTATAGTTCGATCAAAGGTCCATGATAATTAGTTAATTGTATTAATCAAAGTTTAGCTGTTTTTCTAATTTTCTTTTTTCTTTATTAACTTTAAATTACTCATTTTTTTGTTCTCTTTTCCCTCTCCCTTTGATTTTCTTCTTCATCTTTATCCACCTTGATAAAAATATATCAACTGTTTCAACTGTTTCATCTTTTTCTCATTTTCGTTTTTGGATCATTTTGGATCGTTATCATCCCGTTTTTCCATAAAATTTGGCAATATTGCTAATCAACGGAAAATGACCAGTTCATCTTCATCAAAATCCATCGCTCGAACCCCATTAGCAATTTTAGAGGTGCTTAAACAAGCCAAGACATGGAAAGTCGCTAGTTTTTTCTCTTCTCGGTCATCAGTACGAGTTGACAATTTCATCTTCGCCCTTCATTCTACCGTCACGGTAACCATTTTAACTATTTGTATGGTTTTCGTGGGTATGAAACAATATTTTGGTGAACCGATAGAGTGTCTGGGCATACCTGTGACCCCAAATGGTATCACTCAAGCACAAATGCAACACTTTTGCTGGATGGAAGGCTCATTTACCATTGTAGCAACCAATAGACGATACGAACGAACTGGTATCGATGTATCATATCCCGGAGTCCGAACTTACAAACCCGATGAAGGTGACCTGAAAATGCCCCATAAATATTACCAATGGGTTTACTACGTTTTATGCATCCAGGTGAGATCTTGATTTAACAATCAATCCCCATTGTATCTTATTATATTCATCGAAAAATATTCTAATCTAACCCTTTTCTTTTTCTTATTCACCTTTATCATCTCACTCTTCATCTCCACATTTAAATTATTTCTCAACACACCTTTTACATTTGCCATCACCACACACTCATTAGTGCATACTTTTTTACATTCCCAAGCACATTTGGAGATTAAGAGAGGATGAGAGATTAAAAACTCTGATTGGGCATCTTAAATCCAACCACATCTTAAGCGTTGATGCATTTAACCAATACACTTTGGTTCAGGATACTGTTGACGCCATTCTAATTGCTGATGACTATTTCTATTCCATTCTTTTTTGTGAGATTCTTTCACTAATTCATTTGGTTGTTCAAGTTTGGTTTGTGGATCTATTTCTTGGTGGTCACTTTCTCTATTTAGGTGTCCAGTGGCTTTACTATTCCCACAATTCACAGGACGTTCATTATGACCCGTTGATTAAAATTTTCCCTCGACTTGCAAAATGCTCATTCCATAAGTACAGTGTGTCAGGGGAGCTAATAACAACGGACACCCTCTGTTTCATGTCGATGAATATTGTTAATGAGAAAATTTTTGTCATCCTATGGTTTTGGTTTCTACTACTTTTATTAGTGACAACATTTCACCTTCTAGTCTATCGAGCAGCGGTCATTATATTCCCATTTTTCCGTTTCCATCGAATCAAAGCCATTGCTCCAACAGCGAACAAAGACTTTATTCGTAAACTAGTCCGCCGACCTGGGACATGGTTCGTTCTACATACAATTGCTTCTAATTTAAAGCCATACTATTTTCGAGATCTCATTGAGCGAGTTCAAAATGACCATTTTGATGAAAAAATGCGATTCACCAGTAAAGTTTCAATTGCTCAACTTGTTGCTGATGGTAAGATACCAGTGGCTACTTCCCTGACAATCACCGTGGACAAGAAGAAGGATAAAGATAAAGATTCAAGCAAAAAGAAAAAGAAAGACAAGGATAAAGATAAAGATAAAGATAAGGATAAAAACACTTCTCAAGATTCAGGTACAGCAGATGATAATTGGCCTGATACTAGCACCGAAAATAAAGATACACCAGCCGTCGATTGGGGTGATTGGGATAAAACAGCAAACACTGGATGGGAAGATTCAAAGAGTTAACTTAACTATTAAATTAGTCATTTCTTAACTTTATCAAATTTAAAAGTTTAAAATACTGGTAAATACCATGTGAAAGTGATCAAAATTAATTACAGACAATAAGTTAGTCATTAAGTTCAATGATTAACAATATATATCATTACCCTCTCTCATTAAGTGCCTTAAATCAAAAATCTCCACCCATTCCCTTAACCAACATTAAATTGAAAATGGCAGATGATAAGTTGTCATTTAAAAGTGTTGATGACAACAAAATGGACAATCCAAACCAAAGACAAAACCTAAAATTGACCACAATTCATCATATGATAAATCATGAAGTTTCTCATCATCATTTCTTTTTGTTTGTTAATTTCCCATCAACTAAGTCACCAAAACAAAAGCAACCAAATGCAAATCTACTTTTCTATTAATTAATATTTACGTTATGATTTTCTAATCAATCCATTCAATCTCATAATCTCATCAAAAATGATTAACCAAAATTTACTTTCATGGTCAATAATCATCATTCCCCCTGTTTCCAAAAAAGTACAACAAAAAACTATTGATATTTTCTTACTCGTTACATTAAATTACCATCAAGTTAAATAATATGCACTTGCTTGAGTGTTGACCGAAATAATTAATGGACAATAATTGAAATTTGTGTCTGTAAATATAATATTTCATATTGATCATTTGCAAAAAAAGGGAAAGAAAAATTGTTGAGTGTTTAGAGGCATCCAAGGGAAAAATTCAATTATATATATAATATGTATATATATAGATTAGGATTATGATCCAAATCAATTGGATCAGCAGAGAGAGAGAGAGAGAGAGAGATGATATACAAGACGAGAGAGACGAAAGGATGAAGATGGAGATGAATATGAAGGTGATGTAAATGATAATGTGATGGCGATGATGATAAATGTGAATGTGATGAGAAGATGAGGAAAAAAATGGGACGGGAAGAGAAGTATGAAAATCGTCTCAGTTTTTAGTCGGATGAACAAAGGATAATGGAAATTGTATTAATTAATAAATTGACTCTTCACTCGTTGATTTTTAGTTTTTTTTGTTTGTTTCTTATTTTCTTCAAAGTAGTTAAATTAATTGCTCAGGTATGTATGTAATGTATTGTATGTGTGATGTATGTGTTTGTATGTGTGTGAGTGTACGTAAAAAAAGATCTCTCTCAAGTTCAGCATAATTGTTAAGCATCAATTAATTGTTAGCATTCCTAATTTAATATATTTATCATTATTCTTTGTTTTGTTTCTTCTTGTCGTTTAATTCGTTCGTTTTGTTTTTCTCGTTAATTTAAAGTGTTAATTAATCGGTTCACTTGGATTTGTTGAAAGGAAATTAAAGTTAAAAAGAAAACATTTCTTCAATTTCTTCATGATGGAAAAGATTTGATGCTCAATTTTAGGGTTAGTATTTTAAGGAAAAGTAAATGATATTAATTAATTAATGAAGAATTTGTCTGATTCTATTGATTAAATTGGATGAAAATTTTTTTAAAGTGATTTTGTTTTCTATTCTTCATTGACAAAAACAAATCATTGACTTTTCCCATAAACATTGGGGATTTTTAACTGAACAGAAATTCACAATAATATCTCATGAATTTCGGAAAAAATTCAAGGGAAATGAAAAAAATTGGAAGTTTATGTCAAGGGTATCATCGATTAATGGAAATGAGAGTAAATGTTAAGGATTAAGAGGAAAAGGCAGACAAGTGAGCAAACGAACGAATTAACGATTTTGTTGATGGATGCAAATTGTTGTTGTAAAATTGCGACTGGACTGAGAGGCGAAGAAGAAGGAAAAAGGTGAAAGGATTAAGGAAAATGAGAAAGTAAGATAATTTAAGAAAAGAAAGGGAATAAGAAGAAAAGAAGAAGAGAAATGGAGAAAGGTGAGGAAAGGAATAAGAGTGAGGAGGATAAGGAATACATTAGTTTATATGTATATGTATTTATATTTATATTTATATTTATAATCACCGGCGAATTGACAAGATTCTCACTTGTTCCTGTGAGAGGTTGTCAAATGTTTCTGCAGGAGCGCCGGCATCAGGAAGCCTTTACCACATTGGGTACAGTAGTGAGGATACTCTTTAGTGTGAATGGCTATTATATGATTGCGAAGACTTGAGCTTTGATTAAATTTAGATCCACAACGATTACAGTGGTAAGGTTTTTCTCCCGTGTGAGTTAATATGTGTCTTTGAAGGTGAGATTTGGTTTTAAATGATTTACCACAGTGAGAACAGTGAAATTTTCTCCTCATCTCACCAAGTGGAGTACCATCAGCGGAATCCATGGACACAATAGATCTTGATTTTCGGTTACCCTTCCCTCGACCTCGAGTCGATGAACCAGGTACCAAATCAGTTGTGGTCGTTGTTTGGGTCCCTGAAAGTGCTACTGTAGTATCCATTGAATCGACAGTTGATTTTGTGTAAGGCGGTCCTTGAGTAATTATTTCTTGATAATAATCAGTGGCTACCAGTTGATCCGTGGTCACAGTTAAATACTCTTGTTCACCCTCATCCTCTTCATTTTCCTCTTCGGATTCAACTTCTTCTTCCTCATCATCCTCTTCATCACTAATATCACCCTCACCGCCAGTAGGTATTGCTGAAACCATCGGCATCAATGTAGTACCATTTTGTGAACTATTGTCTAATGATCCATCATCTTCATCTTGTTGAATAATAATTTGTTGTTGTTGAAGTTGTAACTGTTGTTGTTGCTGTTGTAAAATTTGTTGTTGTTGTTGTTGTTGGATGTCTTGATCTTCTTCTTCTTCTTCGTCATCGTCATCATCTTCCTCTTCTTCTTCTTCTTCATCATCATCTTCTTCCTCCTCCTCCTCATCATCATCATCATCCTCTTCTTCTTCATCTTCGTCATCATTGTCCGATGTTTGATATCTTTGGTTTATCTTTGATCTTTTGGGGTCTTGCATATGATTACCACTAAGATGATGGGACGCCTGGTTACTTGCATAATGATTTGTTTCTTTCTTAATCGTTGAAGGTACATTAGATCCGATCAAAAGTAGATCATCAGTTGTCGCTGTTGCTACTGAACGTTTACCAACCATAGCACAAGAGTTTTGTTCTTCATCATCACTTTCCACCTCGATTTTGACAAGATTATTGGAAGAACCATTGTTACTAGATTCACTGTCTTCGGTTGATGATTTACTACAAACATTACAAGAGTGAGGTGTCTCTCCTGAGTGGCTCATAACATGCCATTTGAAGTTGAATTCAGTGTCAGTTGAAAACCGACAATGCTGACAGCATAGTAACTTAATACCATTGGCCTGTGCATGAACTTTAACATGTTGTTGGAAATAAGATAAACAGGTGAACAGTGCACTACACTCTGGACATGTGAATATCCCAGGATCTAAAATAAAAAGAGAAAGAGAAAAAGAAAAAGATGAGAAAAGAAAGAAAAATCAAAATGTGGAATAAATTTCAAGTGAGAAAGAGATTCTTTTACTAATAAGGAGAACGGACAGAATTGGAGAATATGATAGAAAATTAATATATTCATACCAATGAAAATAATTTAACAGAAAATTTAACCGACATTGAAAATAAAAACAGATCAACAACAAAGAGTATCAACAAGAGAAGTGAATTGTCAGTTGGTGATCATAAAGAAAACAGAAAGAAAAATCCAAAGATAACCCACACAACCAACACAAGCACAGGGTTAGAAAGAGAGGGATAGAAGATGATCAACACTCTTATCTTATCAAATTTAATTTAGAATTTTTTTACCAAAATTATCAAGGGTTAGGAGATTATTATCAACTCTAATAAACTCAATGAAAACAATTTAATTGAACATCAGTAATAAATAAAAAGAGAAAAACAATGAGAGAGGAAAAAAGCTTCACTTACATCGCTCCCTTTTGGTTAAACTCATTTGAAAGAAAGGTTTTTTTTGAATGATGTTGATGTTTATCAATCTTCCGAATTGGATTAACAAAGATTAACAGTTTACTCGTGATTCTCTGGATTGATGATTAAAAACACTACACCATAAACAAGATGACAAACAATTAAGTCATTACAATAATGAGAGTTAATTGTTTGTTTACAACATTCAAGATAAAAAAATTGGAAAACAGAAAACCAAAGAGGGAATATTAATTCCTCCAGATGGCGCTGAAGAGAAGAGCCGCCATCTGTTGAACAAAGAGAGAAAGAACTTTAATCATCCCCTAGATGGCGCTGGAAGCTAAGAACGGAGATAATTAATTGTTTGTATTGATAATTAATCAGAACGAATTAAAAAGTTGATAAAGTTGTTCCAAACTTCAACTATGTGATTATTTACTTAATTTTATGTAATTTTCTCTGTGAAAAATTGTCATTGACTTTGAAGAACTTAAATCCAATATGAAAATCATTTGTTCTCATTCAACTTGTTATATATTAAATTGTTTCAATTTAACTTTAATTTTGTTTATTATTTTAGATGAAAATCAAATACGATTTATTATTAACTCCCATTTACTTTAATTGTTAACGAATGGTCAATGACTTTGGGTTTCCTTGAATATGGAGATAAACAAGTGATTAGTATTTAAGAAAAAGTATCAATATAAAGGTCAATAGAAAGACAAATATTGAGTTAATCAATTTGATTAGGAGGATGATCACAGTTAATATTTACTAATTATCATTTAGATTTTTCAATTTATCTTCATTTGGAGACGAAAATGGATTGGAATTGATTGTTGTTTACTCAATTTATTGATGTTCCGAGGAACAGAAGCAAAAAACTTGACAATTTTAATCACTTTGCACTCGAACAATAAATTAACTGAATCAAAGATATTCTAATGGCCAATTAAGCTTTTCTTTAAGATAATTTAGTTGATAAGTGAAATGTGAAAGTAAACAATAGGTTTGTTTTTAATTCTTTAATTAGGATTTTTTAATTTCTTCATTGTGAGAGATCAAATGTTTGTAACAATTTAGACATTGGAAATTTTAGTTTGCATCATCAAACTTTTTGTGATTATCAAATGGATTAAAAAAATTTTGAGCAATTTAATACTTAAGTTATTGTGATTTTTATCTCACAATATGTCCATCTAGTTAAGAAAAGATTGGAAATAAATAAACAAGAGAAAATTATGAAAATAAATGTCAAAGAGAAAAAAATAACTGTTACAAATTTCTTAGGAATTAAGACTAAGTGATGGAGAGTATATATGGATAGATGATTGAAATTAATAATTATGATTTGATTGTTGAAATTACTACCAATCCCAAGTGTCTTTTTTGGAATCGGTGTTAGTATTTGATGTAATATCCGCCGGTGCCCATGGGTCATCAACATTTGAATTGGTATTTGAACTTGAGCTTGAACTTTCTCCATTATTTTCAACTCCAGAATCTTCAGAACTTTTCTCTGTCGCTTTCTTGAATCCAGGTTCGGGAGGTTTGATTAGTGGTGCTGATGGTTGATTCTTTGATTCGGGTACCTTGCCATCGACGATGAAATCGTTCATTGATACTTTGCTGTCAAGACGATAATTTTTGGTGTTGAAATGATCTTTCAAAACTTGATGGAGTAAATCACGAAAAGCGTATGGTTTCATATTGGAAGCAAGCAGTTGGACAACGAAACATCGACCTGGACTTTTAGATATTTTCTTGACAAATCCTTTGTCGGTTGTTGGAGAAAGAGATTGGAGACACTTTCTTCGGCACCATGGAAACATTATGAATGCCGCTCTGTAGACAAAGAGATGGTACAAAGTGACAAAGAGAAGGATAAGGAACCAAAACCATAGAACCACAAAAATTTTCTCATTCACGATGTTGAGCGGCATAAAACAGAGAGTATCATAGGTTTCAATCGATCCGGTTACTCCAAATTTATGGAAGGAACATTTGGTCAAACGTGGAAATAATCGTATCAATGGATCGTGATTACCATCTTCAGAGTTAAGAGCATAATGGATCCATTGGAAACCAAGGAATAAAAATTTACCCCCAAGAAAAGCATGAATAAAAAATATCTCACAAATCAAGTGAATAAGATACATGACTTCTGCAAATAAAATCCATGAGAAATATTGATTCGCTGTTAACATGACATCCAAAGTGTCTTGGACAATTTGATAGCGGTCAAGACCTTCATATTGTAGAATATTCTTGCTTCTGATCTTGTTGATAAGCTCGCGTAGACGACCTCCCTCTCTCATTCTCCATATATGTTTAGGTGAATAAAATAACAAGCACTTAAGAAAAAAAGGAGAGAAAAAAACAGGAAACAAGGTTGTAAATTAGTGAACCGTCAAAAAAACTAATACAGACAAATTGCATCAGTTAAATGAACCGACAATTTGAACTTAAACTTAGACAATCTTACCTGAATACAGAGAATGTAATAAACCCACTGATAGTATTTGTGTAGCACTTTTGAATCTCCTTTATGAGGTTTATAATTTTTCACCCCGGGATATGAATTATCTTGACCAGTGATTTCATGTGCACCAACTCCCCCATCACCGGTACCAGTATAACGGTTGGCAACAGTGAAAGCACCTTCCATCCAACAATAGTGTTGAAGTTGAGCATGAGTAAGTGAAGATGGACCTGAGTTATTCAAAGTATTCAAACACTCAATGGGTTCACCGAAATATTGTTTCATCCCCACAAAAACCATACAAATGGTAAGAATGGTAACCGTTACAGTTGAATGAAGACTAAAGATGACATTGTCAATACGAGCTTCCGAGCCAAAGGAGAAAAAAGCAGATAATTTCCATGATTTAGCCTGTGTAAGAACATCGATAATTTTCATGGGTGTTCTTGGTGGAATAACAACAGCTTTGGCAGCGGCCATTTTGACCCAAACAAGTTAAAAGAAACAATCTCTGAGTTACAAGGTGAAAGGTGAAAGAAGAGAAAGAACAAAAAAAGATGATGAAAATGATGAAAGAGAAGATGAAGAAGAAGAAGAAGATGGAAGACACAACAAGTATTTAAAATAGTCTTTAAAAAAGAAAAAATTTACTGATGGTGGCCCAATGAAATTCTTCTGTTGGCCAAAGAAAAGAAGAAGAGAGATGAGAGAGAGTCAAGGTTCTAACCTTTGAAAGAAAAGAGAGAAAAGTGAGAAGAGAAAAGATAAAGTTCCTCTAGCGCCGTCTACTCTTTGGAGAAAATGGAAAAAGAGGCAAAAAAGTTCTTCTATTTGAAGCTCCATCTTGTAGATTCTTGTAGACTCCCGTCGCTTTTTTCTTGTTTGGGTCAAATACTGACCATCGATCGTTGTAATCAAATAAGAAGCTTATCATTTTCTTTCAACAGATAACATAAAGTGAAAACAACTTTCTCCCTCTTCTTTATTAATTAGGTTAGTTGAACAGGAGACCAGAACAAGATTAACCCTCCAGCCTGAAAACGGAAACCGGACAAATGTACTGATGAAATTAGAAAAACCAAAACAACCACTAATCTTAATTGATTGTTTATTCGTAATTCCAATAGCTTGATAATCATTAATTTAATTGATATTCTTCATCTTTTCCATGGATAACACATAATTATAATAGAGGAAATTTTTTCGATTCCACCAATTGAAAAACAACAACAACAACAACATCAAAAGAGAATAGAATTATAAATGATAATTAATTCTATTCTTTTCTAATTAAAAAAATTCTCTTCTCTTTTGCAACATTTTCTCTTCTCTCTCTTTTTCTCTTCCTGAAGAATGTTTTTCATTTAGCTGCCATTTTTTATTCTCATTCAATTAGAATGATTAATTTAATTCTCCAATTATTGTTTAAATAATTTTCTTCTCACCGTCAATTCAATTAATTTATTTTCTATTAGTGTTTATTATTTAATTTCTAATCAACTGACACTTTGTAAGTCGCTCTAATCTCTTGTGTAATGTATTTGATCAGTAGATGGCTACAGTATCTGTAGTGTTGATACCTTGAAACTCTTGTTGTTTATTTTTATGTTTGTTGATTTTTCGGAATAATTTTTTCTTTTTTCTTTTCTTTTCTCAAACTCTCTCATTTGTTTTGTCTCTTTTTCTCTTTACTTTGTTTTATTGCTTCGTTTCTACCTTGTTATTTATTTCCATTGGAATTGGTTATTCTCATCTTGTTGTCTCTCTTTCTCTCTCCTTGATTGGCTCCTGTGTTCTCTATGTTTACTGGACTTTTCGTCTTCGTCTCTGTTACTGTAATACTACTACTTTCATCTTCACCACCACCATTATCATCATCATCTTGATAAAATAATTTTCTCTTTCTCTTCTTTCTTATTTGTTTATTTTCCTCACCCTTGTGGCTAATTAGTCTCCATGGCTGAAAGTGATAGGCCATCGTCTTCGTCTTCTTCTGGTGACCGATACCATGGTGGTGGTAAAAGGATCCCTTTGAAACAATCTCGGAGTGTTGATGCTGCTTCTTGTATGTTCGAGATGGAAGGACTTGACTTTGATGATGATGAAGATCGTCTTGATTCCTCGGGTAATAATAATTATCCCATCAAATCATTTGCTAATAATCGTAAAAGTGACTCAAATGAAGGTGGCCGTCGACGACGAATCGGTGTTACAAGTATTGACAGAGATGATGAAGACTTTAATAACAATACTAATGACAGTAATGATGAAAATAATGATGACAATGGTGAAGAGAGCAATATTAATAAGAGAAATAACAATAACAGTAGAAATAGGAGAATTCAAAATAAAAGAAATGCTGATGATGATTTTACTGATGAAGATAATGATGATAATGAAGATGAAGACGACGACGACGATAATGATGATGATGATGATGACAGCGATACAAGGAATATGTTCCAGCGAATGAACTTAAATTCAAAGTGTACCAGACAATTTGCCACTTCCTTACCCATTCAAGTGCCTCTGTGGAAAACATCCCCCCTTAATCAAGAGACTGACGATACTGATACTGAACAAAATGTGAGAAGTTAATTGGTGATTTATTGATTATTCTTTTCACCCCTTCCTTCATATTGCAACCTTTTTTCCTCATTTACCCTCTTCAACTCGTCTACTTTTATTCTATTTATCTTTTTTTTTTATTTTCTCTTACAACTTTCTATTCTTTTCTTTTATCATGTTTATAATTTCTTTAACAATATCGATAATTCTGACCACTTCTAATATTTGATTGTAATTTTTTCCCTCTAGATTACATGTGATGAGGATCCAAGGAAAATAGCGGAAAGTTTTCGTGCATTGGCCTGGAGTGTTAAAGATGGAACCACCGAAATGTTTGGAGCTCTTCCTCGTCATCGTCTCAAATCAAGGCCCATCTAACGGAAGATTTAACCTTTTGATTTGAGAGATTTGTTTACTTCGAGTTTTTTTCACACTTAAACCCACTTTATCTTTAAACTTTTTTTCATCCACTTTTTTTGCTCGGCCTCGATAAATTGTCTATTATCTCTTACTACTATTACTATCACAAACCACACTTTTGCCTTCAAATCTCACCCCTTTTCAACATCTAATTGTCCAACATATATATGTAAATGTTAACAAAAAAATGTTCAGTGCAAATCGTCAAATCAACTGATTGAACATAAAACTTCAAACTGATTGCTAAGGAATCCAAATGGATTGAAGAACGATGGAAAAACAACAACAATCAACCTGAGAATTGGATGAATTTCAACAGATACAGAAGAAGAAAGCAAAAAAAGAAAAGGAAAACAGAAAACAAGAAAGAAGATGAATACACGTACAATCTACCAACACCAACAGCAACACCATTACAACAACAACATAAATAAGTTGAAAAACATCTTCCAGTTCATTAAACCAAAATCTATAGGGAAACAAATTAAACAGCAAGACTTTTTCTTCCACTTTATCCTCTCTCCAATTCTAATACTTTTATCTTTTTTCTCTTTCTTTTCTACTCCTTTCTCTTGGTTTTCTCTTCCTTCTTTATCCTCATTTCTTTTTCTCACTTTTCTTCTTCTTCTCCTCGTTAATCAACAATATTTTTCTCCATTTTTAAACCAAAGAAGAAAAAGAAAGAGCTTCAACTATCGATTGTCATCGTCGTAATCAGTGTATAATTCTAAATCAAATGTATAATTTAAGAAGTTATAACTCAACAACTGTAACAACAACAACAAATCAACTGCATCACAATCACGAGGAACCAAATTCATAGGAAAGCAATGAAGATACGATTAAGAATGATGATGAAAGCAACAACCACAGAGGATCAGGATTAACTTAAATTGTACATAAAATGTTTTATTCAATCATAATAGTCAGTTGAAAAGTTTCCCTGTCATCATAAATATACATGTAATTCTGTGCATGAAGGTAGATTCACTTTGAGTACAAATGTTGTGTATTCTTTTGTTCACAGTTTGCATAACAATTTGTTAATTAGTTACCAAGAAAAAGCAAAGAAGAACAAAAAAGCGATTATTAATGTTCGAAAGAGAAAAGGCGAAAGGCCAATCATCTTCACCTTTTTCTTCTTCCACAATTGAGCCCAGAAAACTCTCTCTCTCTTTCCCTCTTCTTCTTCTCTTTCTATTGAACCCAAACAATCTCAATACCCTTTGTCTTAGAAAATAATCTGTAAGTTAAACACAAAATTCGATCCATGAGAGAAGCAAAACATTTAAAATGTTCCACCAACTTACATTTGGAGAATTGATGATTAGGATAACATTTCGCTTCCTCCGCCTTCTTTTACTTTTTCTTCTGTATCATCATCATCTTCTTTCTCTTCATCATTATCTTATTGTTCTTCCTTTGATTGCTTTTCTCCTCCTTCTTTTCTTTACCTTGCCTTTTTTCTTCTTCCTTTTCCTCTTCAACCATCATCTTGGCTTCGACTTGAAACCAACACATATCATTACATGGACAGTAATCAAACCTTGTTAATGGAATCGGAGACAATCATCGCCAGAACAATTAACCAACAACTCGAGCTGTTTCTTCAGCTTGTCTCTTTTTCTGCTCAAAACATCGCATTTTTTTGGCGGACTTTCCATGGAAACGGAAACTCGTTCTTCGCCCTTCAAAATTTTCTCTAGTAACTAGTTCCAAGAGAAAAGAGAATCAATATTCTCTCTCTCTCTTTCTCTTTCTCTTTGTTTCTTTCTCTCTCTTTCTCGTATTCCATTGATTCTGACGTGATTTTGTTTAGAAACATTTGTTATTTTTTTCGTTGGACACGATTTTTAATTGTAAATACAAATCGAATCAACATTTTACATTATATTAAATGTTTGATTTAACAATTGTTAATCTCTTGTTTCACATCGTGTGAGTTAATTGTTCAATTTAAATGATCAAAGAAACTAAAATACAAACATTTATACACACAAATGAATGATTAGTGATTAATAGGCTAGAATAATTTATTTCTTGTTCATTTAATAACATTTACTTTAGTTTTCTTTTCTTTTGATTGTTTTCATTTTGTTTTTCATTATCGAGCTATAATTAGAATTATTTATGTATTAATTGTAGTAAATGGTGAGCGAAGTTAAATGTCACAATTAAAGGAAGCGAAAGAAAAAATGGAACAAACAAAATCTATCATAACAAAAAGGAAAGAGCAAAAAAAGAGATGAGGATGAGATGAAATGGAAAACAACAGCGAGAAAATAGTAACGGCTAATTTTCTATTTTTTCTTCGAATTTTCAATCACTTTGGACAAGTGATGATGGTGATGATTATGATGGAGTTAATGAGCGATGCTAAGAAGATGATGATTGGAAAAAGAAAAGCTGAGAAACGACAATATCTTGACCGAAAAGGGAAAAAGGAAGAGGAAACAAGAGAAAACGAATCAACATCAATAACTAAAAAAATATCGAACACTAGTCACCAAAGAAGATAATTGTCTTTCTTTTCTTTGTTTTCTCATCTTTTTCTACTTCCAAACTTTTGCAAAAAACTCCATGAAACTGTCATAAATCATGAATGTGATGGCGACATCAAGGCAAACACGTCCTAGCCTTGGAACTGTTCCCTTATAGAAGGCGAAAAATCCTTCGTTTCGAGCGATTTGCATAAAACAGTCGAATGTATTTTTGTACTTTTTAGCTTCGAGTCCCTTTTTTTAAGACAAAAGCGAGAGAGAGAGAGAGAAAGAAAATTAGAATTACAAATAACATTTCGATAGACAATAACGAGGGTTATTCTTTCATTTACCTGCATTCGGGTCTTAACTACATCGATCGGTGTATTGCCGAAAACACTGGCCGCTCCAGCGATAACACCGAAACCTCCGGTGACAAGTTTGTTGACCGGTTTAGTGGAATCGCCTCCTCGATACCAATCCTTCATTGTTTCCATGACAAAGAAACGAATCGCTTGATTACTTCCTTGCTTCATGATTGTTGCAGATAAACCTGGAAAATTAAAACAGATCAACAATTAATCATCTGTCATTCATATAAATGATAATTAACAATAATCGCAATCAAAAAGAAACAATCAAAATATTCACACAGACAAAACAAAACTTTCCATGTAAATCGTACGAATTGAGGAAAAATGATTAGTTAATCATGAAAATTGTTTTCTCCCTAATAACTGAATCAACTTTTTCCATTAGTTAAACATTTAACAACAATCTCTTTCTGTTCATAAGCCAAACTCTAATTTAGCTACTATTACATCTCGTTAGGAATTTACAGTTAGAAAAAAAAATTGGCTTAAATTGTTCAATTGAATAAGTTGGTGAACTTTGAGTTGAAGAAAACTTTGTGTAGATTAATATTAAATTATGGAAATTTGAATAGTTGACAAATTTTGGCTTCTCATATGATAACTGGTTAAATCATCTTCTCATAAACAGTTAAACGTTTTCTATTGTTGTTGAAACTAAATTATGATAATCAAGTACAAATAGTAACTAACCAGTAACGAGATAAACTTGAACGATGTATATTGATAATTATCATTAACTGAAAGTATAATAAAAAACACAAACGTCACCAGATTCAAATGTACTGGATTAATTTGATTTTCACGGAACTAGAAACATTGATTAGATCCTTAATTGTTGGATAATAATCAGTGGATTATGTCAATCTGGGTATATGTTTATCCTTGAGATAATATACCTTGATAAGTTCCTCTTAGACCTTCCTCTTTGATGATCGATCCAACCCCGTGAACGAATCCTTTGAATTTTGGTTTGGCACTTTGCTGATCATTAATGAATTTCACTTTAACTGTTTCCATGGGAGTGACAGCGAAAATGGCCTCACAAACACCCGCACCAAGACCACATAAGAGTCGCTGAGAGATACCGAGGTTTCCATTTGCATCAACACTACGCTTTTTGAACTCCTCGAATGCTCCAAATCTGAGTTATCAAGCAGTAGAAAATTACAATTAGTTAATAATACAACCAATTTATCAAGAACGAGACAATTATTATCACAATATTATGAGAGGTAGATAATAAAACCAGTCGAGGATGTAATCTAATGACAGGAAATTTTTACAATGTTTTGTTGGGTGAAAATGTTAGAAATTAAATTAATCAATAGACTCAAGTGGTTAACGGTTTTGATTAAACAGACAAACTCTTTGATGACCATTTGTCGAGTGAATGATCATCCAAAGGTCAGAATATCGGTAGATCACATACCTTACAGCTGATTTTGGAATACTTCCATAGAGAAGAACCGATAAACCTCGATAAAGACCAGGGACACCGTGACTGCGAACCGTTTGTCGGACCACATCGAAGATTCCGTTGTATCGAGGTTTAGCTGATCGTTCATCAAGTTGCAATTGAGTTTTCACATATTCGGTTGGAAAGGTAATACAAATCTCAATTCCACCAGTGATTCCACCTTGAAGAAGGAGAAAGAGGAAAAAAACAATAAATTAAAACCAATAGATTAACATTTGATATCTAATAACACATCAATCTAATACATGTAACAACATAAATTAGATTATTAATCATCCATCAGATGATAATTGACCATGAGAAACATGAAAGATTTTAATGGAATTAACAATTCAAACACATGATTTTCACTTTATTCTCGTAATTATCAACTGATTATAAGAAAAAGAAGCGATTGTTTCTCGTGAATCTTACCTGCAATTATCCCCTTAAGGGCTTTTTTCTGAATTGGTTGAGATGAAGAAGTTGCTTGAACCATTGATTCCTTGAATGAGATTGTTAATGTGTTAATTTAAATTAAAATGAGTTAAAGAGACTTCGTTGTTGTTGTTATTCACCAAAAAAACAAATAGAATCCAGATTTTCTGTTTTTAAATGGAGTAAAAAAAAATGTGATTTCTTTTTCCGGTTAACCCGCAAGGCAGAAAAATACAAGAGTATTTAATGTTGATTTGTATATATAAATATTGGCTTTTATATATATTCTGTTAATTTCTATGACACAACCATGAATTTTGTTTTAATTGTTTAGAAAATAGAGGAAAAAGATGACTACATAAACACATGTAAACACTACAGTATATTAAAGTAATTTAGACATTTGATAAATTAATAAAAACAAAATTGGTCTAATTTTATGGTGACTTTGTTGATAAAGTTGTTGCTGGTGAAGATGTTGATGGTGTTGTAGGTAAAGATGATTGTTTATATGAGCTTTTTTTTTGTAGAAGAGAAGGAAAAAAAAACAAAACGAATATTAAAACAAGATGAATATTAAGTGTTGTTGATGATTAGAAACAGGAGTGGGGGTGGTTTAGTCTTTCTGGGGAGATTGTTACTCTTTTGTTGTTATTTCTTAAAGGTAGTGAGATGATGATTACAATATGATAATAAAAAATGACGGTGATGGGAGAAGGAGAAAAAGGCAAAGAGAAGAAGAAGAAGAAGAAGAAGTGATGATAAAAACAAAGAGTCAAAGAACAAGATGAGAGAGTGAGAGAAACAAATAGAGGGAGAGATTAGATTCACAACCACAATTGCTTAGCGAAGGCTTTTTCTTGGTGTTACATAAAAACTATATTGATAAAGTGTTGAAATTACTGTTGTTTGGTAACATTAGTGAGTAAAAGTAGTGGATGAGATGATGATGATTTTTGGAGAAGAGGATGAAAAGGTAGCAAGATGATGAGAAAGTTGGATATTGAAGATGAGGAAGAAGGAGAAAAATTATATTGATTAGCAAATGGAAACGGCGAGATGATGATTGAGGAAAAGTGAGAAAGGTTGACGACGCATAAGGAAAAACTGGGTTAGTGAGAGAGGATAATTTGGTAACTCGATAGAGAGAAAGATAAATTGAGAAAGAGATGAAAAATAAATGAAAGAAAGGGAAAGAGAAAAATGATCAAAAGAATATGATATACATGGTGGTTTGTGGATCAATTGGTGTTCCAATACAATTCAGTATTTTACAGTTGCGTCAAAATGAGAATTGATCATTACTCATTCTAATTGTAAAGGTTTAACTATGCGCATCTTAGGAGGGACAATTACGATCTATTTTCGATTATCAATTTCATTCTCTTCACCCTGTATATTCATATCCAGGAAGATTCAACGAAAGAGGGAAAAATGAAAAACAAGATCAGATTCTCACCTTCTCTCATACTTAGCGTCTAAAAGGTCTTTATACTCTTCCATGTTATCAGGCCAAATCTTCACCCCGACATAAATCGGTGATTGATTTAAGGGATCGAAAGTTTTACCTACTACGTAGATGACACCAAGAAGGAAAAGTATAATGAAATTGGTAAAATATCCAATCCTTTTCTGTTTAACCGTAAAGCTTTTCGGTTGAGGGCCTAAGTTTCCGTCGTACCTCAAGTATAACCAACGACTGTAAAGACGATCGGCTAGTCTTTCCATTGAATTTAGAAATTCGAATCTAAATCGACCTCCTAGTTTTCCATTAGAACTTGAGAAACACCTTAGATTAACCTCTCCAATGGATTTGCTTGTATTTTGACCTTTGGTTAATAATATCAACTGATTGTTATTATTTCTACAAACCAAATGATTAAGGATCATCCTCCTTCCAGCCAACGCCATCATTATGAGCTTTAATAAATTAGACTATAAAGAGAAAGATATTTACAAATTAAACAATTAAATTAACCACAATTTAAATGACCACATTTGAAATTTTCAATGTTGTTTATCACAATTTGTTTCCAATGTTTTTCCTAAGCAACTTTTAAGAAAACAAGGTAAGCGCGTAATTTGATGATCTTACAATTGGATTGATTTGGATTGAAGAGATCACAATTAATAAGATTAATAAGAAATTCTAAAGGTCAACAATTAGTTAAATCGAAATAAACACTGAATCGGATTAAGATCAATTCCACACAAAGATTAAGATACAAAGAGAAAATAAGTCACGTGGAAAACCTTCCAGCTGATTTTCTTCCAATTTTCTTGTTTGTTTTTCTATTCCAACGTTGATTTATTTTCGAAATAAGAATTTAATTAACTAACCAATTTTTAATTTCTATTCTATTTGTGAATTAATATCTTTAGGCTTTACTCGGTGTTAATTTGGTAAGTAAAGTACTTTGATTGTTGTGAATTATTGAGATAATTTTACTCACAAATAGAAGTGAATTTGTTACCAATTTTTTTCTCTTTTTCTATTTAGATTTTTGTGATTTTTTATTCACTCAATTCACAATGAATTCTTTGTTTCGGACACTGGTTAATAATCTGTTGATTCGACCTGCAGCCAGTCCAGAATTAAATTTGGTCCAAAAACGAGGGCCAAGAATATTTTTCCTTAAACGATTGTCGGAGGTTAAAACTCACAGGAAAAATTCATTTCGTGCTCATATGTACCAACCAACAAAGAGAAGACTCATCATGAAAAAACTTCTCAATTCTAAATCAATTCTAACTGTTTGTTATTAATTAGATAAAATTATACAATCAAGTAAACAACAAAGACCAGTGGTCATTCTGATTAGACAGAACAAACATTTTTCTTATTAATCCCTCTAGCCAATAGATTTCGATTTTTACTCTCCTTCGTCAATTAAACACAGCTAATTGTTCCCTAAATGGAAATGATAAAACTGATCATTAGTCAGTGTAATTAAATAAATTAACTAATAAAAGAAAAAATCGGTCAATTCAAATTTGGCGCCATCAAGTTCTTTTCGCCTCAACATGAGTCACATATGATTAACACGCTTTTGAATGTAAACAAAATTTTAATTGTTCATTTGCTTGAATTTTGATTAATTTTACTTCGTTGTTTCTAATTATTGGTGAACTGTTGCAATGTCGTATTTTGATAATTCTTCTAGTAAATTTGTCTGTAATCTCGAAAGATCTTATGTTAATAATAACGATACCAATGAATGTGACGGAGGTGAAGATGAGCCTTGGACTTTTGAAAATTTTGAGAGAAATTTAAACGTGACCATTGTTAAGAATGAAGAAAATCAAATGGAAATTGAATTTGAACCCATCGATGCTCCCATTGTTAATGCCCTTCGAAGGATCATAATGTCAGAAGTTCCAACTATGGCTATTGAGAAGGTTTTCATTGCCGACAATACAACCATCTTTCAAGATGATTTTCTCGCCCATCGATTAGGCCTCATTCCAATTAAAGCTGATCCTCGTTTCTTTGAATATCGTGATGAAGCTGATCAAGAAGGTACACCTCAAGATACCATTGAACTTACTCTTAAAATTAAGTGTATTAAAAATCCGGACGCTTCAAAGGAAACCGGAGTCACCGATTTATATCTCAATAGGAGTGTCACTTCCGAATCTATTAAATGGCAACCGTTGGGAAATCAAGCAAACCTTATAAAGGAACCAATTAAACCAGTGAATGATGATATTCTGATCGCCAAAATGTCACCTGGACAAGCATTAGATTTAAAGTTACATTGCGTGAAAGGAATTGGTCGTGATCATGCTAAATTTTCCCCTGTCGCTACGGTCTATTATCGACTTCTACCGACAATCCAATTGACTCGACCTATTTTCGGAGAAGATGCTAAATTATTGAAATCTTGTTTCTCCAAAGGAGTAATTGAAGTCGAATCAGATGATGTGGGTAATGAAATTGCCGTAGTTTCCAATGCTAGAAATGATTCGTTAAGTCGTAATTTCTATCGATACAAACAGTTTGAAAACGCGGTAAAAATGGGCTTGAAAAAAGATCACTTCATTTTCTACATCGAATCAACTGGAATCTTATCAACAGAAACAATTTTTAATGAATCTATCGAAATATTGATTAGTAAATGTAGAAATTTACTGAGAGAAGTTCAAGAAATCAAAGAAACTTTGTCACAATAATACAATTTAAATTGTAAATTAAACTTTGACACTCAATCTTTTTTGACTCTCCGACCTGTAAACAATTAAACAATGTAAATGTTAATATTGAAAAAAAATAAAAATATCTTTACAACATAATTGATTAATTTTAAAGTTGGTTGACTATCAACACAATTAACGTTTTATAATTGAATCAATCAAAACCAACACTTAGTCAATCTCGTTTTGATGAATCCAAAACTGATCACAATTAATGCCTTTCAAAATTACCATTACTATGGAAACGTAGAGGGAAAGATGGTAACAACAATTAGAATCTAATTAGTTAAATTGTTTCCCCTTAGATTGTCATTGATGGGTCACTAAATGAATTAGTCAACAATTTAATCATTTGCTTAATTTTTTCTCACTTTGTAATAAAACAGTCATTTGAATGTTACAGTAATTATTTTTCATTTTCAAATCACAATCAAAGTCAAATTGTCATTCTTTTTAATTGTTGTGCCATTTCATCGTAATCAATTAATCACAAATGACGAAGAAAAAATTCAACAAGAAAATAAGTTATTCTTATTTGCCCTTCCATCAAAGGTAATTATCTTAATCATTGGCTTTCAATCAAGATGTAGAATCGCAATTAATCCGGTTAATTGTGATGATTAAAATTTGATTCGTTCATTTTAGATTGAAATTGTGTCTTCTCAACAATTGGATCTTCGTTCTGATCGTTAGTAATATGCTCATTTTCCTTTGGTTGATGATGGCCTCAAGTCCAACTTTTCGTCACAATCGAGGTAATTAACGATTAACAATCAATGTTCTCGATTAATTTGTATTGTGTCTCTCTCGCGACAAAACCGATCTTCAGATGCCGTCGCCATCGAATCTCATGATGACCTGCGTCTTTCGAAAGATTGTTTTTTGCCCTATTGGCGCGACACTTCGTTCTTGTTGACACGTCGATGTTTACATGTGGAATTTTCTGACGAAACGTTTAATTTGGAAGACGAAATTATTCGGTTGAAATCGTGTCAAGAAAAAGAATCGGCTGATTTATGGGAACCACCGAATAGATTTTTCTATTTTATTCCAATCAACATTCTATCCATACCCAATAAACGAATAGTCTCTTTCTCTCTATTCGGAATCGACGATCGATATTATCGAAATACTATCAGAATAATCCGAAGATATAAAGAACTTCTCCCTGGTTGGATTCCCCGTTTTTGGATCTCATCTGATGTTCCCTTCTTAGTGATTAACCGATTGCTTCATGAGGACGTCGAAGTGATCATCGTTTATCAGCGTCAACCTGAGATCGGTAATATCACAAGAATTCCAGGATTCCATGGGATGTTCTGGCGTTTTTTTGTGGCCGATGATGAACATGTTGAAAGGTATATTGTTCGTGACTCTGATTCCATGTTAATCCAACGTGAGGTCGACGCAGTTAAGGAATGGATTAAAGATGAAACCATGTTTCATGTTATGAGAGATCACAAGCTACACGATATTGAGATTTTAGGTGGTATGTGGGGTGGAAAGGTTGATAAGGCCATTTTTTCTCCGTCCGAAGAATATGGAAAAGCTTTGGCGACAGGATTCATCCATTTGGATGGTAGACAAGTTGATCAATCGTTTCTAAAGAAATACCTTTGGCCGATTGCGAGACACCAAATGACCTGTCACAGCTCATTCGAGTGGCCGTTCGTTGATGGAAAAGGATGCAAACGATTTCCAACTCAACGCATTGGAAATTCCTTTGTTGGAGCCGTGATAGAATATTAGAATATAAAAAGTTCTGGTCGTTTCACACGAAAAAGAATAGAAAACAAAATAACAGGGAAAAGAAGACAAATCAAACAAATCAATAGATAAATAAGAAAACAGAAAATGAGATCAAGTGTTTGTTTTGATTTCTATTCTTATTGTCAACTCATCTTCATTTCTAATTTGAATTGTTCAAATTATTGATCCATTTTTTTCTTAATCCTTAAAGTTTTTAATTGATTTGATTCCATACCGAGTGGGCTAAGTGTTGGTTAACTTGTTGGGTAACTTTGTACACCCACGAATCTCATCTTCTTGGTTCACCTTATAAGGAATTCATTTATTATTTCATTCACTTACTTTTCTTTTATTGTGTATCTTTAACTATCATGGAATCGTCTTGGTGTTTTCAGTACTGAGACTGTTGTCCCATCGTTTTAATATTAATTATCGATACAATTGTTACTCTCATTGTTTAATTTCAAGATTTCCCATCGTTTTCAACTGTTTCAAAGTGTTTGTATTGAGAAATCGGTAATCATGAGCTACCATAAAGGTCAAAATGTCAACAATATTCTGATTATATTTCTTGTTACCTTTTCGATTTCGGTTGATTATTGTCAATGTTCACCTTATCGAGTTCGAGCTAATAATCGACTCGAATGCCGTGATAAAGTACCAAGAAAACTGTCTGATTTACCGAGTGTCGTGTTAACTGGTTACATTGAGCAAATTTATCCTTCAATTGACAGCGGCGGAACTTACACTGGATCTGTTTTGGTGAAACGGGTACTTCGAGGTCCATCGAGATACCAGGGAAATCGAGTGACAATCGATGGTTTTGGTGATCGTACTTTTTGCTATTCTAGAGGAGAACCAACTGAATCTTGGATTTTTCAATTGACTCAAATATCTGAAGGTTATTTTCGCCTAAATGGAACAATGTTAAAGCTTAATCTCGATAATTTAGACCGAATGAATGTTCTAGTTGAAGGTAATTCGATAAATCTACTCGATCTTGTTTTCTATTCTAATCAAGCTAATCTCTCTCTTTCTCTTCTCTGGAATTACCTTTCCTTTTATAGATCAAATTTATCGAAAGAGACCCGAGATAATTGAATGTAAGTTTAGAAAATGATCAAATATTATTCGAAAATCGAATCTCATTCTTCCTTTGATAATTTGGTTCTAGTGCCTTGCGAAAAGAAATATTGCGAAAATAACGCCATTTGCATTGAAGAACCAGGAACAATTGCTCGAACTCGATGTGTCTGTTTGGACTCGTGTCCATCCAAATATGAGCCAGTCTGTGGTTCTAACGGAGAAACTTTTGTAAACGAGTGTAAACTCCGAATGGACTCTTGTCGAAGAGGAATCAACTTGTTTGTCCGATATCCAAGTGCCTGTGACTCAAGACGAACCGCTCGATCAGCCGAAGACAATTACAAACCATTGACTGAAATCACTCACGAATTGGACGCAATGATCAGGGACAAGAATCTATTCCAATGAAACAAAAAACACTATTTACAACTACTATTGATTGTGGTGGAAAAAATTAAAACAACTAACCGATTGTATATTGAATTTAATGACAATTTGTATTCCCTTAGATACAAAATTTAATCACTCAAAATATTGTGTAAATTATGATAATAAAGACAAAGCACAATTTGTAAGTAAAAACACAAACATTTCGAGATGGAGGAAAAAATCAAAGTACAATTGTTTCATTGATAAATTGGGTGATAATTGTAAAGGCAAGTCGATTGTTAAAATCTCCTGTTTTAGTTAATCATGAAGTAGCAATTAAAGAAATCAATTTGATGGTGACTAGTTGAGTGAATCAATTGATTTTACAACATTGGTTCATCTATTTGGTGTTCCGTTGATTTGACAATAAGAATTGTCCATCTCTGTCCAAGTGACTTCAATACATTTCTCAGTATTAACACTAATTAAATCATTTGATTTAATCATCTCACTAGAAATTGATGAAGATGTTGATCCATTGATTAGATGATTATCCAGACAAAGATAACGATGAGTCTGAATCTCATTGGCGATTCCTGAACTTTGGTGATCATCCAAATGTCCATCATGATTTGAATCAAAGTCGTTCTGTAAAAAGAAAAGAAAATTAAAAATTAAGAACAAAATGTAAACAAAAGAAAAAAGAAAAATCAAAATGGCGGTAAAATTGTTTTTCTTTTTTTCTTTTGTTCGGTTAAAAGAATCATTTTAATCAGTTTTTTTTTCTGTTGACATTTGTTAACCTGAACAGAGAAATTTGTGGAAAGAACCAGAGAATTTGAGAAAATATGATTAATTCAGTTAATCCAAGAGACAGATTAAGTTAAAATTACGTCGCTGATAATCAACAAAAAAAAATAATCTTCCAATGTAAAGAAAAAGTGATTTGACTAATTGAAAATGAAAATTGGATTAATCCAAATAAAGGTAAGTTGGTGGAGAAAAGGAAAACAACAAAACCTTCAATTGTGATGAATGGACAACAATATGTGACAAAGTGCCTGAGGATTAAATTACAGGTCAAATTTAGGGTTAATTGGATCACCAAGGAAGAGAAAGAGAGGAAAAGAATCAACAATTATAATAATGTGTCCATTGGAATAGTAATAATATTGAGATTGCTCCATGGAGATTAACTTATTATGATTATATTCTTATTATAATTTTAATGATGAAGATTAACTAACCCAATTTCTCTCTCTCTCTCTCTAATCATTTCCTCTGTCGATTTACCTTTACCTTTGTTTACCATTTTCTTTTTCCTCGATAATTTGATTTCTCTCTTTTTCTATTAAAAACCCTCAATTCTCCGTCTCATCAACCGTTCACATTTCCATCATCAAAAGTGAAAGAGAAGATAAATTGTTCTCTGTCTATTTTTCTTATCTTCTCTGTCTAACTAATCTCTCTGTCTACTGTGACTGTCTAATGATGACTTAGTGACCAATTGAAGAGTTTAACTAATCTCTCTCTCTCTTTCTCAATCTCTGTTTCAGTTTCAAACCATATTTTGTCATCTCACATTTGATCAGTTGATTTACCAGGTCTGGAAAATTTTCTATCCATCTAACAATTAACTGGATTAAGGATTATCTTTGAAAGTGTTGCCATAAACGGATCATAATACTCATCGAAATCAATTTAATTCTGTGGCCACTGATCAATGATTCATCAATTAATCTCTTCTTGTTTCTTTCAACAACCATTTTAATATTTCATTTTTTTCTGTGTCTCAATCTCAACACTTTCTATTATCCATCTTAATTATTTCCATCTCTTCTCAGTTGATTACAATTAACCCTCATTTCCATCATCTCAATATTTCCAACATCATTTTCTTGATTCATCATCTCAATTAATCTCCATTATTGCCATGGTTTTTTACTTTCACATTCAACAGAATCAACCTGTTGATGCTCTTACAACAATCGACCACAATCACAGTTACAATTTAATTACTTTTAATCTTCTCTTAATCTTCACACCAATTATCATTTTGAATCTTCTATTACCTGCTAACCATTCATCTTAAGTTTATTTGGATTAATTGGCTTCATAATTTTCTATTGGAACCATTTTGTCAATTCTTTTCTTGTTTATTCTAAATTGTGTTTTCTTTTTTTTCTGTTTCCATCTCTTTTGCGTCCATTTCATTTCCACCAGGAAAACAAAATGTCTTCCTCAGGAAGAAGCCGTCGAAGTCAAATAGAGTAAGTTAATTAACTCAATGACAATTTAATCCCTTTGAATAACCTCAGTAGTTCACCTAAATATTGTAACATTCAATCCAAGCATTTATGTTACCACATCACAATCACAATTCTCAGAAAAATCTTCATATTCCCAGGGAAATCTGCAATTAACTCAATCGAATTGAAATGATTGAAATCATTTTCTTTTCTTTAATTTTTACAGTAGCTCATCAGTAGCCAGTAGTGATGGTTTTGCTGAGGATAATTTATCAATTGATGTTGAACGAGATGAAGTTAAAAGGTAAGTGATTAAGATTAACCATTTTGTTCATTTGTATTAATCTTTAGCTAATTCTCTTGATTTTTGTCCCTTTTCTTTTTGTCCTCCAGAAAATCTCGCAATCTCAGTGAGAAAAAACGTCGAGATCAGTTTAACATGTTGATCAATGAACTTTGCTCGATGGTCAATTTAGATCCGAATGAAGAAATTGGAAGCTCAGGTAACAAGAAAATGGATAAATCATCTGTTCTTCGAGCTACAATTACATTTCTCAAGAATCATAATGAAGAAGCAGCAACAAACACCTCAAGTGAATTGGGCGAAGAAAATTGTCAACCAGATAATTCAGCTAATCACTCGTTCATCAGCTCATGGAAACCATCATTTCTCTCCACCGAAGAGTTTTCGCATTTAAGCCTAGAGGTATATTTGATTTTCTTTCACCGATTATAACTCAAAACCGTTTTATCTTCGATAAGTCTTTGTAATATACCAAAGATTCAGCATTTCTATTCATACGACTGAAGCTTATTTTCATATAATCTTGAAATTTTCTCTTTCTTTTCATCCTTGATTGCGTTTTTAGGCCTTGGATGCTTTTATTCTCATTTTTGATGCCGATAACGATGGGAAGATCATCTATGCTTCGGAATCAGTATTTCCTCTTCTTGGAATTAGCTCATCATACCTTTCGAATACACCATCAACTACTGCAACAACCTCTTCATCTTCATGTACTACAATCACATCTCGAGGAATCATTGGTTCAAATAATGAAAATGAGTCAAATAATATTGATGGAACATCGGTTTATGACATAATTCATGAATCAGAGAAATCAGCTCTTCGTAAACTTGTAATGGAAGCAGTTAATTGTGGTAAAGTGGATGAATTTTTCTCCATGATGATTCATTTTCGTCACCATTCAACCAACTTGAATCAAACAGAAAAATCTGCTGAGTGTTTTTATGAATTAGTGCGACTTGTTGGTGCATATCGACGTATCGATGATTATATGGGCTTCGGGTCAGCCAAGAATTGTTTCTTGGCGATTTGTCGTCTACAAACACCCAAACTTATCAAAGAGCTTCACATATTAGCTCCATTGTCACACGATTTTGGAACAATGAAAAATAATGAATTCATCTCGAGACACTCATTGGAGTGGAAGTTTCTTTTTCTAGATCATCGAGCACCAATGATTATTGGTTATTTGCCATTCGAAGTGTTGGGAACATCGGGTTATGATTATTATCATTGGGATGATTTGGATCTTGTAGTTGCGGGTCATCAGCGTTTAATGCAAATTGGAAGCGGTGAATCTTGTTACTATAGATTTCTAACCAAAGGTCAACAATGGATTTGGCTGAGAACTAAGTATTTTATAACCTATCACATGTGGAACTCAAAACCTGAATTTGTGGTGTGTACACACACAGTGATCGACAGGGATGAAAGATCATTAGATAATGTTAAAGAAGACAGTAATCGACAGAACAATGAAAGAGGGAAAATTACTCAGCATCATTATCATCATGAGATGAATTCATCACGAGCAAACACAAGTAATGATTTCCAAGTGAAAAGTAAATCAACTCATTGGACTGTTGCTGAATTCAACGATCATGAAAACACAAATGAACAAACAATTTACAATTCGGACAAAATCGCTGTCACTTATCCTTCTAATGATTCAAACGGATCAACACCTTATTCAATTTCAACAGTCAATATGATGACCGGTGTTGAAGATTGTTTATCTTTACCCTCATCCTCTCCAGCTGATTATGTTTTAAATAACTCTATTTACGACCCATCTGCATATTTAATGAATCAAACACCAGTTTCACCTACTAATCAACAACAAGCAAACCTTTTGACTGACCAACAGAAACAACCTCAAGGCCATCATGCATCACATCAACATCTCCAAAAACCTTGTCAACCCCCTCAACCATTACCTCCATCATCACAACACGTTCCAGCATCAGTGTCACAATCCAACAGTGTATTGTCATCTCATCAACACTCACAATCAACTTGTCATCAACAGCAACAGCTACATGAACAATCTCATCAACAACACCAACCTCCATCACTACCACCTCCACCACCTCCTCCTCCTCCTTCAGCACCACAACAACAAAGTTTCGGAAGCTCTGCCGCTCTTGCGACAACAGGACCCATGGTCTCAAATTCAGTCGTTAGTATGTCACAATATGCTAATATGTCAACAGAAAATAGTCAAGTGTCTTATGCAAATCTTCAGGAATTTTTACGAAAAAAGCATCTACTTCTTCAGAAACAGATTAAAGAACAACAAGAAGAGTTGCGACGAGTTTCAGAACAATTGATGATGGTCCAAGTTGTTGGAAACGATTCGACGAACTCAACACAACAACAACAACAAACAAGTGCAAGTGCAAGTGATCAACATGAAATTGAATCGATTTCTGAGTTTACTCAACTTCAAACCTTAAGCACAGGAACAAAGCTTCAGAATGTTCAACCAGATTTAATGGCTGAATCAATGACTCGAGGTGAAAATGACCTCAACAACGCTGGCGCCATTTACACTGACATTTCCTGTTCTGACCACACATTAATTGCGAGAGATTTTCCCCCTAATCTGCAAAGTGTTGATTGTCTTTATCCTCAAGATAAATGATCACCAAATTCTTAAAAAGTAATACTGAAAAACTTATATATTTCTTTTTTACTCTTTTCCTTCTCAAACTATTTATAATAGTTTTAGTTTTTTTCTTAATTTCTCTTCAATTTAGATTAACCTATTCATCTTTGATTAACTTAAGGTGAAACACTTGAAAAATAGGCCAACGTGATTGATTAAAAAAAGGATTCAATGGATAATCAATTACTTAATTAATTGAAATAATCAATATGTTATTCATAACTTTCCACCATCATGACGAAATCATAAGTGCCAATTTTATGCGATTTTCAAAATTCAAAATAACATAACCGAGTTGACACTATAAACAAAATTCTCGCTATTTGTTTTTCTCTCATCTTTCCAACCTCGATCCTCTACTTATCCCTCATCCCTCCCTTGTAAATTGGTCATTGAGCTCCTAGAGAGAGAGTGTGTGTGAAAGAGAGAGAGAGAGAGAGGAGATGAAACGTTTAACTAACATTTCTCATTCTCCCAAAAAGGATACCTCATATTATTTGTTCACAAATTGTTCATATGATTGTTTATATTGTCAACCAAAGTCCTAGTCCTATTCATCATCACCTCCCTCCTCTCACTCTCACTCCTCCTTGTAACCAGCTTTCTCCTCCTCTCTTTCACTTTATCTTCATCTCTTATCCTCACACATTACCATTACCATTATTATTATTATTATTATATTATTATGATAATTGACTGATACCATAACTTATAAACAGTCGCACAAACAAAAACATGAGACAATTGAAAAAAAATTGCTTCATGATTAACAACTTTACAATTTTATGATTTCTTAATCAACTGATTATCTAAAATAATTTAATTCACTTTTCTTGATAATCAATATTTCCCTCACTTTGTTAATCTACAAAATAATTGTGTATACTAAAAGATTTTGCAATTAAGTGCATTTGATTATTCAACATTCACACAAAATTATTGTCAACACATCAACACAACTGGTTAATTAACTTTTCCTTTTTTCCAGAAAAATCAATTAATTGTTCGTAATTAATTAATTTCTCTTCTCATCTTTATTCTTTGCAATCTCATTGTAAATTTTTTTGTCTGTATCATTATTGTAACCAAACAATCAAATACTTAAAAATGTAATTCATTCAATGTAATTGAAATTAAGTTGTCACTTGATTATCCATCATATGTATTATTATGATTGATTCAATAAACACTCAATCAATATGAGATTAGATTGAAGTTTTACATGAATTTGTTTAATATAATTAACTTTAATTGTTTGTAACTTTTAGATAGAGAAATATGAAAAACTATTATTATTATTATTATTATTATTTATGACTTAGATTATAATTAGTTGATTAAGTCGTATCAACATACAGATGGACTATATGTTAATTGTTGAGGTTGATAAACTTTTAAACAAATCGAGTTAATTATTGTAACCTTGATGGTATTAACTAAAAAAACAAAAAAGACAATTAACAATCATTTTAATCAACTTACTTTGATCCACTCGTAGATTCCAAGATTAGCTGACATGATTCGTTGATCCGATGGATCAGCATCACAATTAACATGAGCTAATTGTCCATTTAAATAAGAAATGTAGGTGATTGCAGATCTAGAGATAAATAAGAGTATTAAACATCATTGATTAGGAGAAAATTAGATTATAGAAAAAATTGATCAACTTTTACCTGAGAGCTTCGATTTTTGAGAATTTTCGTCCTCGTGGTTTGTTGAAAGGTAATTTAGCTCGAAGAGCGTCGAATGCTAAATTCATCGCCTTCATCCTGATTCTTTCTCTTTTACAAGCATTGACTCGTTGTTCCTCTTTGGATAATAAATTTCCACCTCGAATTCGTCCGATTGAATTTTGGTAGCGAAAAGATCGACTTAAGAAATTGAAACGACGATTAGATTGACAAGAAAGAGCACTTGTAACGCCTGTGGAATTGTAATGTTGAAGTGAATTTTTACTATTGTAACTGTCAAATTGCTGAGGCGAATCATCTTGACGAGCGTTACTGCTGGTAGAAAGGTCACTTGTTTGATCGGAAGAGGACGGAATTTCTGCCGAAGATGATTTACTTAAATTATCAGAATTGTGATAATCAACAGAGTAACTTTCATTTGTTATACGAACTTCTCGAAGATTATAGTTGAAATCTTCTTTAGTGGTGATCTCTAAATTGTTGGATGTAAGTGGAGTAACGGGTAACCAATCAACGGGCTCTTCTTTAAATTCTGGAGTTACTATTGGCTGTGATGGACAAGAAGAAGGTTGCTCAACATGTATCCAGGTAGATTCTGATCCGGGGATAGGATAGTAAAAGGAACAAGTTACCGATGATTTATTTTCGATAAAAGATAAACAATCAGTAGACTGATTAGCAACAAGTTCATCTTGATCACAATTATTAGAATCAAGAAAAAATTTCTGATTATTCTCATGAAGAAACAGTTGTTGATGATGTGATGGTTGTTGCTGTGGATGATGATACTGGTCAATAGGGTGAAGGTAATGGTAAAAGTGTCCATCATTTTGACTGTTTAACAGACAAGATTTTAAATGTTGCTGTGGATGAAGATGATGATAATACTCTTGATGAGATGTAACCTGTTGATCAAAGTTATCAAGTAAATGGTTATTTACATCACAAAAATCAACCATTTGACAAGAAAAATTAGTTAACCTGTTGAAATCGTTGCTTGTGTTGTTATTGTTGTTGCTTAAATCACAAGATGGCGAAGAAGGTGACGAAAATTGAACAACACAAGGTAACACAAATGACGATGATGAAGAAGATGATGAACCACATTTTAATTGGTGATATTCAGGTTCACCGGAAGCAGAAGACATGGTGACTGATTGAACTGTTCTGTCTAGAAGAATAGAACATATGAAAAACAAGAAGAAGAGAAGAAAAAAAAAGATGGAAGAGAAAACAAATTCTCACTTTTCTCTTTCAAGTCGTTGACACAAACATCGTTTATTTAAACGATCGCAAAGGGAAAGAAAAGGTAATTCTAATTAATTTGGTTGGAAACAATTAAATTACAAGAAGAGAGAAATTGTAACACAGTTGGTATAGAATAAAACTTGTGGTGAGCTAATATATTTATTCCATTGTTTAGAATTAGAATGTTAGTTGACAAGATAAAATTCATTTTCTAACAAAAGAAAAAAAGAGAATCGAATATTTTTTTTCTCTTTTCTATCGGATACCAATTAGATCCCCGTTGAGATATCGGTACATTTGTTTTCTTTTTCCCTTTCGTTTGTTGACAATTAACTCTAATTAGAAATTGGACTATTTATGTTAATTTATTTCTTTTAATTTCTCTTGTTAATTATAAATTGTTCTGTTACTCATCGGGAGAATGTGTCGATCTTTTCATTTCTGTTAATCTGTTACCTTTTATTTGTTTCGACTTCAAAATGGCCGTTTGTTTGTCTTTGTCCACTTTTTTTCTGTTTCTTCTTGTTGTCACTTTCTATGTTAATAGTATTTGATTGATTGTCTTTCTAATGGTTTTTGTTTTTAATTGTGTCTTTGGATTTTTACTTTTCTATAGTGTTTAGTTAATGATTAAGACATTAATTGTTAGTGATTGAAACATGTAGAGTATTTTTGGTGAGTATGGTTTTGTTTTTTTATTCGGTGGGTTTAGCTGAGTTGTGATTCTGTTTTGATTGGATTTTTAATTATTGATCATTGATACATCAGTGATTACATATTTTGTTGGATTGATTTTTAGCATCCGTGATAGAATATCAAAGAGACGATGTAAGTGAGAAAAAGAAGACGATCAATTAGTCGTAAAAGTCTAACCCATTCACGAACTGCAGCGTAAGAACTTGATCGAAGCTGATTAGTCGTGAATTCATCTAGGTTTGATTCTGCATCGAAAGGTTTTGCGTCCATTATATCTCCTGAAAGCCATAAAATCTTCACTAAGAACGGATTAGCCAAATGATGAGCCAGAAAACTTGGAAGAGGTGGACAAGTGACCATTGCATTCATGATGAGTTGATGAGTCAAAGTAGTGACAATCAATGAGATTCCAATCAAAAGCAATAGGATACTAATGCAACGAACTGAGAAATACAAACACAGTGAAAGTAATTGAAACAGTTAACACCAATGGATTAAGGACTTACCTGTATAAGGAACTCCTGCTGAATGGAAACCCAAATGATCGGCAAGAAAAACGAGAATAATGACTAAAATGAAGAGAGAAAGTCCAGCAAAGACCATTCGATAATACGATCCAATTGGTAAGAGAAATACAACCAGCCCCAGAAGAGAAGCAGTTAAATAAGGTAATAAAATGTAATAAACGTGAATATCCATTCGACGAGTAATTTGAATATCAAAATAAGCTGTTGAAAAATTGGCGAAATTTGAACGTTGTGAGTAAATATCGCCTTCAATGTGATCTACAATCCATTCAGGACTTTGATACCATGGGCCACTGATGAATCGCGTCTCTGGATAATACAATCAACAATCGAGATGAAGAATATCAACAAAGAAACTAAATACAGAGAGTAATCAAGATGAAACTTACGTTTAAGTATTTCAACTTCGTCAGTTCTATAAAAGTATGAACCAAACTGTAGAATACACGATTGAGAATCGAAAGGATAATTAGTCAAATCAAGATCAGCGTTGACCAAAAGATCGGCATTCAAAAGCTGAAACACTCGACCGTCGTTTTGAACCCTTATAAATAGACTATCCAATGGATCACTACCAATGGCGGAATCAAGCAGTTTAAAGTCAGGAGTCCAAATTTCATCTGATCTAAATGATATATAATTGATTCCTGGATATTTGACAGGGTCCCAAACCAGGTATTCATCTTTCCACCACTGAAAAATTGATAACAATTCAATCAATAAATTGGATGGTCAAGCTCAATAGATAATCAACAAATATCGTTTCAAAGGTAATCGAAACTTACCAATCTTACTAATCCATTAACACGGAAAGTTTGAGTTTCAATATTCTATGAGAGGAAAAAAGATTCAAATTAACTGACCAAGTCAAAGGGAACCATTTAAATTAATTTTCTTGTAATACTTACAACATCAATTATCTGCGATAAAACAAATTGAAAGGTCACATTAACAGTTGTAGTCGATTGTTTAACCGGACGATTGTATCGATAATAGTTTTTCAGTAAATCATTTCGTAGAGTAGTTAATGATCCTGATTTATCTGGAATAGAATTGAAAAATGAGTTAATTTTGTATAAAAATTAATTCGCATGTTGATTGTTACCTTGACAAGAAGCGATATAAATTAGTGACCAGACTGAGATGAAACCAAAGTTAATTAGTTTATTTTGTAGATTCATAGTTTTAACTATCAATATTGTTGTTATTCAATTGATTGTTACCACTAAAAACAATTATCACTGAATGAAAATCAGTTTAATCATTAACATCATTAGTCCTGATTATCTGACAGTGTGTGTTTCAAATCAACAATCAACTAATTCTGTTTCTTATAACGCCCATAGATTGAACAATCAATTGATTACAATTTATCCTTCTAATTTTAGTTGATTAAATAGTTCAATTGATTGTTTATGTACTCAAATAATAATTCGATTCGATCAGTATTAAGTTTTAAGAAACGTAGAAAACGATTTTAATTAGATTGTAAATTATTAAAAGTACATCATTTGATTGAGAATATAAGTTTGATTATTATATGTAACATGCTAATGGAAATTGTTATTTTTTTTTTAGATTTTTGCGAAGAGCAATTAACTGTGGTAAATTAAGAGCGATAACATATGATATGAATAGAAGACGATCAACTAATCGTAACAAACGAATCCATTCACGAATAGCCGCTTGAGAACTGGATCGAAATTGATTGGAAGTAAATTGTTCGCCTTGATTTGATTCTTCATCCATTCCAGTTGATTCAGTTTCCATTCCTCCTCCATTGATACAAAATATTTTACCCAACAAAGGATTCGCAAGGTGATGGGCCAAGAAACTTGGAATCGGTGGACAGGTCAACATTAAGTTCATGATCAATTGATATGCTAAATTGGTAACAATCAACGAAAGACTAATCAACAGTATATTTATACTAATACAACGAACTGGTTTGAAAGAAAAAGAAGAAAACAAAATTAGTTAATTGGTGATTAATCTGATTGGAAAAATTGAAAGTTCTTACTGGCATAAGGAACTCCTAATGAATGGAAGCCAAGATTATAAGCCAGGAAGAGAAGAAGATTAATTAAGATGAAAAGAGCGAGAAGAGCGAAGACAAGACGATAATAAGATCCAATGGGCAATACGAAGACAATTAATCCCAATAGAGAAGCAGTTAAATAGGGAATGAAAATATAATAAAAGTGAATATCAACTCGACGAGAAACTTGGACATTCAATCGAGCCACGGAAACGTTGGTGAAATCTGTATACTCGGTGAATACGACTCCGAATATTTGTTCAGTTTTCCACTCGGAATTACTGAAATACGGTCCATAATATAGTTTTCCACCTTAAAGAATATAAGAACAATTAAGATCGATTAAGGTTGAATTTGTGAAATTCGTCAATTGTAATTTTGTTTGTTTACCTTTGGGTTTATTGAGTGAAAGCTCCTTAACATCGTAAACCCATGAGCCGAATTCAAGTAGACAATTTTGTACATCGAATGGATAATCGGTTAAATCAAGGTAACAATTAACGATAATTTTACTTGGTAAAACTTGTGAAACTAGACCAGAACTATTCACGGACAGTATTGAATGACTGTCCATACTTAATGAACCACCTCCGATCGCCATGTTATAAGAAACGATATCGGGAGTCCAAATATCATGAGATTCCAATTTAATCCGTTTAATTGCTGAATATTTAGCAGGATCCCAAGTGAGAAACTCATCTTTCCATGACTGAAATAAGTAACAATTTGATTAGTATCAAAACAATTCAACAACAAAAAATCAATTTCAATATTTACCAAAAACAAGTAACCATCAAGGTGCATAGTTTGAGATCGGATATCCTTTTATACATGAAAGTAATTAACAAAACAATTAACTAATGATTGTAAGACACATTTCATCCAACAACAATTGGTTGAATTGTTAATTACTTACCAGATCAATTATCTGACGAATACCTAATTTAAAGGTAACATTAACAGGGGTTGATGGTGATTTAACTGGGCGACTGTATGGATCGTAGTTCATTAGTAAATCACTTCGCAGGGCTTTCATTGATGCATATCGATCTGCAATTAAAAGATTGTAATTTAATTGGTTATTCAAATGAAGAGATTAAATTAATTATGTTACCTTGACAATTAATGGTACAAATGGACAAGGCAAATAAAATCAATCTTATTAACAAATTAACTCGTTGATGAATCATAATTAAATCCTTGAAACTTAAACTGTAAAAAGTTATTAGATTCACGATCACAATTAGGAAAATAATTATTATTAAAGTTAATTGTCACTCGTTTTAGAAAAACTAATCAAAATCTAATACAAATGGTTAAATGTCTGTGTCGATTTTACAAATGTTTCCGATCAACAATTAAAATTGATCATATTTCTTGATGGCTCTCAATTTGGTGACACCCACACAATAGGAATTACAATTAATCAATTGGTAATTTTCATTGTTGATTAGGAGAAATGGTTTACCCAAATCAACTGTTAATTAATGATTATCGTTGTAAGTTTTAAAACTGTGAGTTTATTTTTGATTAAATGACAATTAAAGATTAAAAAATAATCACTTTTTCTTGATTTTCTTGAAGACACTTTTCTTAGCCCCTCGAGCCAATTCAAGTTGATCATTAACACAAGAAGTGATTAAATTTGAATGAAGACAATCATACAAAGCATTGGTATTTGTTTGTGAGTGTAACACTTGATTTAGTTCATCTTTGGTGAGGTCAATAAGGTCAGCGAAACATTTAACCTTATTCATTATCGCGTAAACATTATACAAATTGACCCCTGGTAAATTGAGGAGCAAATTTTTAGCGGCTACATCATATTTGTCTAAAAAGTGTTCGGCTGGAAGTTGCTCTTGAGAAATTGATATCGCTTTCTCAGCCGATGGCTGTTCTTTATCCTGTTTGAGGTATTCAAACACCTCCGCTGAAAAGTGTGGCGATGGTGACCAAATGATTCGGACAACGGGAAAGTGTAGCGTTAATAGGACCAGTTTAGCCATCACATCGAGATTATCAGAATCTGATCGCCTCGAACCCAATCCCCAGTATTTACCTTTGAAGTTAAATGATTTATTCTGGTCAAACTCAATTAGGATAATTGATCGTTTATAGTGACGGGTCATTGCACTACATTGATTGTATAAACGCCCATTGTTAAGGGAACCAATTAAATCGGATATCGATTTACGTTCAACACAAGTTTCTGGAGTTAAAATATAATCACCGATTTCTATGGTTACTGGTTCAATGTCAATTCCTCTTTTATGAATTAGAGAGGGTAAACTAGATCTAAACTCTCTCATATCAACGATAATCAATTGTTTAATTTCTTGACCAACTTGACCTCCGGCTTGACGAGTGGACACTTCTTGAGTAAATAATGGTTCACGAATTAAATCAGGATTGTCACCTGATTTACCATCTCTATTTTCTGGAACAACCATTGATGCTTTTGCTTTAATTAGACTTTCAAATGCTTCCTTTTCCTTTCGTAAACTTGTCAGATATTTTTGCTCCTCTGAGGATCCGTCGAACATGAAGAAATAAACTTTGGCCTGGTCGGGGGACATTTTAGAGGCTTGATAAATCTCTATTTGCCTGATTGTTCCCATATCTGGATCATAGAGAATAAAAAATTCAGGTTCAAACTGAATTAACTGCTCTTGAAACCGTAAATATCCCTCAGAGAGAGCGTGATAATGTAAATGAAGTTGTCCATTCGTTTTGTTGGTCTCCTTTTCGTAGTTATCATAATGACGGACAATCTGAGTTAATGTTACAATACTTGGATCTAATTCGATGGTTCGTCGGCGTTTACTTGGTGCTTCCATAGTTTCTTCTCGTTTAGATGTTTCAGGTCGAACTATATCTCCAAGAATCGATTTACTTTTGATATAAATTTCATTTAGAACTGCTTTAGGTCCTTTATCGAGAACATCTTGTAACTTTAGAATAGTTCTATCATCATTTACAACGATCATCACATGAGTATCAGACTCTTTGTTTCGTATTTCTAAATTAATCTCATCGACAATTTCCACATATGAAGCCCATTTTCCATTCATTTCGATATGTTGATCACTAGCATTTTGTACAAAATCAACAACACGTTCCTTTGAGCTAACGAAAAGCACCTCTGCAGGTTCCCAGAATATCCAATCTGAAACTTTAGCATCGATTTTGATACTATCACGTATTGACTTGATAATCTTATAGAAAGTGATACAATCGTCATCAGTGAGAGATAAAAGTAGACCTGCCAATAGTTTCAGATCATCAAGTAATTTTTTCGTTCGATAACTAAGTTGATGCCAAACTGGATCAAATTGTTTACGAAGATATTTATCAAACCCAGGACTCAGGGCATTCTCAGCTTCAAAAGAAAAGTTAGAAAAAGATTAGTGATCACATTTCAAATGATTAAAATCAAATAGAACCTACCATTTAATTCATCGATATCCACAACCAAAGAAACATTAGCTTTCCCTATTTCCTTGAGACACATTGAGATCAGATCCATGATAGCAAATTGAATGTTCTTCATCTTTTCACTTAGCGAAAGTCTTATTTCAATAACCTCGGGTTTAGCTCGACTTTCAAGCGATTGATTGATGGATGCATGAAATCGAGGCCAAAGGTATAACTTTTTACAGAAAAGGAACCTTAAGATACGATCGACTCGATTGAAACCACCGACGAAAGCCGAAGGAATATTAGAAAATCCTTTAATGAAACCAGTTTTATTCTTCATTCGGAATAACCTGAGAATAAAGGCTTCCTGACATTCATCTTCTATCTTGTGAGCTTTGAAAACGAGTAGACCAGTGACTAGTTCAAGAGGAATTCGATCCAACAACATATCAACCACCAAAATTCTCGATGTGATAAATATAATCCCTCCATCCAAGTAAAGTTTTTTCCTTTCATTAACTGAATACTCTGAAGTAACAGATCTCGGGTGATAATCTTCCGCCTTTGACCCAATTGTTAACGATGTCATGATGAAATTGGTCTCCTTGTTTGAAGCATTTATAACAAATATCAGATTAGAAGGTAAATTATAAGTTCTTATAAATTCACTAGCCACCCTTTCAAGAGGTAAACCTCTAGAAGTGATCATTAAACAATCATCTTCCAAAAGATTTTCCAACATCTCCTTTTCAAACTCCAATAGAATCGGCATCTTGTTCATCCAAATTTAATTAATCACAACACCATAAAACCTAACAAAAAATCAATTAAACGGTACAAAAATAAATCACATTCACAAAAATCTCAAGACACAAACAATTAAAAATAATCAACAATTAATTGTAAACAAAAAGATGACAACTTGAAGCCTTTAACCTTAGAGATTAATCTTACCGGGAAACTAAAGTTCTTTTCTGATTGTGTAGATGGCGCTGGTTTCGAAGAAAAGTCCATTGGGATTAACCAATGTGATCACATTGAGATCACAACAATTATGATTCCCGCTTTGAGATCTTTGTTTGTTTGGGTAATTTAATTGATCATTAATCGAAAATGGTAAGTTAATTGTTGCTAATTACGCTTTTTGTCTACTTCATTGGTTTGTAGAAAATTGTTTAATAACCTGTAATCATTAACTAAATTCGGTTTGTTTTTGTTTTTCTCTTTTTTTTCTGTTTTCTTTTCTTCAATTTTTGGTTGGTGTTTGTTTCTTTTCTTGGATGGATTTCTTTTTATTTGTGTCCGTGTTTCAATTGAATTGGTAAATTTAGGAATCACTATTCGTCGAGAAATATAAACCTCTTTGTTCAGAAAAAGTAATTGGTCAACATGGTCCTAAAAGTAATGTTAAAAAGTTAACCCATTGGTTACAATATTGGAAATCCAATTATGGAAAGAAACCTGGTTTCGGTAAATGGGCTTCGGACGATGGTGCTGGGTTTAAGGCCGCTCTACTCTCTGGACCTCCAGGTGTTGGTAAAACAACATCAGCCACTTTAGTTTGTAAAGAACTTGGTTTCACCTACACTGAGTTAAATGCTTCGGACACAAGGAGTAAAAAATCTCTCACAGAAGTGGTTTCAAATCTTCTATCGAATCGAACCTTTTCCGACATTGGTTCTAAAGTCAGTTCCAATCTCTCATCTAAGCATGTTTTAATTATGGATGAAGTTGATGGTATGGCAGGTAACGAGGACCGTGGAGGTGTTGCTGAATTAATCAAATTAATTCAAAAGACACATATGCCCATCATATGTATTTGCAACGACAGATCTCATCCTAAAATGAGAAGTCTTGTTAATTATTGTTTTGATTTGCGGTTCACCAGGCCAAGAGTTGAACAAATCAAGGCCCATATGTTGTCAGTTTGTTTCAAGGAAGGAATCAAGATAAGCGCTGATGCTCTCAATGAGCTTATTATTTCCTCTAATCAAGATATTAGACAAGTTTTACATTTCGTTTCATTGTTGGCTACAGCTAAAAAAGGTGAAAAGGTTGATTTTAAACAACAAAAAGTCATCAAAGATGTCAAATTAGTAAGTATATCAATTAGTCAATTTCATCTCTATTTGTTTTCCTATTGCTAATAATTTTCTTCTAATTTTCTATTAGGGACCATTTGATGCTTTGAAAAAATTATTTACTACTGAAGCTGGAAAACAAATGAGCTTCAACGATAGATCTGATCTTTTCTTTTCAGATTATTCGTTGATGCCTTTATTTGTTCATGAAAATTACCCTGTTGTCCAGCCCAATGGTGTATCAAGGTGAGGATTAATTTTTCTTTACTCTATAAAAAGTTAAAAGTGAAAGATTTCTAATGATCATTTTGATGATTTTTTTCTCTATTTGTTTGTTTAGAAATGAATCAAGGAAGAAACTTGAGCTTGGAGCTAAAGCTATTCAATCAATTGCATTTTCCAATTTATTTGAAAAAGAAATAAGATCAACAAACAATTGGTCATTACTTCCCATGCAATCAGCTTTCTCCACTGTTCTCCCCAGTTATTATATGAGAGGCCATTTAAATGGACAAATTGAATTTCCCAAAATGCTCGGTAAAATCTCTGCTGGTAACAAAAAGGATAGACTCATTCAAGAACTCAAAATGCACATGAGTTTACGTGTTAACAGCAACAAAACTACAATAAATTTAGATTATATTCCTATCTTACGAGAAAAGATCTACAAACCCCTAAGATTAGAGCAAACTAACGCAATTCCTAAAATTCTGGATGTAATGAACCACTATTGTATTCGAAAGGGAGATCTTGATTGCATGTTGGAATTTCTCTGGTCTAATGAAAAGAACCCAACCAGTGAGATTAGTCCCGCAACAAAAGCCGCTTTAACCAAACAATGTAACGCATCATCGACCCTCTTACCCTATCAAAGTGCGTTGGATTTGAAGGGTAAAAAGCGAAAAGCAGCTCCAACTGAACTTGAAGAAGGAGATGAGGAAGAAAGTGAAGAGGAAGAAGAGCCTGTGGATGAAAAAAAGCTCACGAGTGGAATTACCAAAGATGGAATCGAAATAAAAACCAAAGAGAGTCCAAAAGCAAAAGGAGGAGCGAAAAATGGTCCTGCCAAGAAAAGAAAAGTAGAGCCAAGTGAGAAGCCGACAAAAGGAGGTAAAGGTAAAGGTAAAGCAGCGGCATCGAAAGCCGAAACCAACGGTCAATCACCAACTCCCAAAGAAAAGACCAATGGTAAAGCACCAGCAGGAACTACGAATGGTCGAGGAAAAGCAGCTCCTAAAGAAAAGAAACCAGAAATTAAACCAACTCCCGTTGCAAAAATTCTAATAAACGTCCCGCCTCATCTGATAACGAGATCTCTCCTCAAGGAACCAAAAAAGAGGCTAAAATCAGCGATTGGTTCAAACGAACACCCAAATGAACTCAATCAACTTATCGTTTATTTTTAACTAAACAAATTGATACTTTTAAACATTTCCCTCATCTCACTCAGCTGATGGCTTAATCAACAATTTACTCTTAATCAATTTTATATAACTGTTGTTCCATAAAAAAAAGCTAATATCAATCGTTTTGAATGAGATTGTTATTAATTAAAATGATTGCACAAAATTAAAACTTGATGAAAAGTTACTTATATATTTTTTTTAATCAATAATAATAATCATAAATTGTATTTAATTGTTAATTTAGAAAAAAAAGAGTCGAAAAAGAGAAAAGTGAGAAGAAAAAGAAAAAGAAAAGCATATTTAAATTGATTAAATTGTGATGATAAAGAAAAGGCAGTTGACTTTGTAAAAAGATGATGATTAAATGATGATGGGAAAGATGAAGATGAACAATTAATTAATTAATTTCTGCTTCAATGGCCTGAGTGGGTATCGAAGCCACTGGTTTGCTTTGTAACATTTGTGTCTCTTTGGGTTGACTTGATTTCTGGTACATTTTTGTATTGAATTCATTGAAACCAGGATGTCTAAAAGGTTGGAAAACAATTAGCAATCAGTAAATTGTGAACAACAATCAATGCAACAATTAACTTACATTCCAGGTTCACCTGTGTAGTGATCATAAGCTCGTCTATTGGATCTTAATAGACAGAAAATACAACAAGTTAAGATCAAAACGATCGGAATTATAACTCCAAAAATGTACAAGGATAAAAATCCAGCATAAGAACCAGTACCTAATCAATGGACAATTAAGATCGAAAATTAGTTTAATTGTTGTTTTTTTCGTTCGTTCGAAAGACTTACTGATACATTGAGCCTCATAACCCCAAGACCAAAGGCCATCGGATCGACACCATCGGTACTCGTGTCCCACTAATCGATATCCGTCATCACAAGCAAATCTAACGGTAATTCCAGGATAGTATTTGTTTTCCGTTTTCCGTCCGAATCGAGGTTTGGGTAAAGCTGGACATCTTCGAACTAAATTAATTAGACAATTAAGATTAATTGCTGGACATTTTCTAATCCACTTGTTTGTTTCTCTTTGAAACTTTCTCCATTTTGATTAATCATCTAATTGTTTACAGGAAACAAACAATCAACCATATTAATACCATTGGAAAAATGATTTCTAAAAGGTAATTATATTTACTATCAATGATTGCAATCAAGGTAATAATTATTGTCTTTATCTGATTAAACAATCAAAGTATCTCAAGTGAATCACCATGATAAGTGTATCAATATAATAATCCATAAACAATATTGGATCATTTGATTTGTCTAATTTTCCAATTCAAATAATTAAATCGGTTTTCTAGTTGACGATTTAATTTAACTCAATTAACTTTAAATTATTATCATTGGAAGACTATAACGGTGTTTATTATCATCATTTGAAGACAATTAGGTAATTAACTGTTGAAAAGCATTTTGTGTTCACTTGGTTTGAATTACCTTCTAACAATTTATATTATGATTGTTGATTGTTCAGGTTTAATGATAAGGTTGATAAGGGTGATTACCGTTTGTCACCTCAGTAAACATGAGGAATCAATTGTTTACTTTAATCATCATCATTAACCAAAATCATCGTCGTAATTTACTTATTGCAATGATAACTACTAATGAAGATAATTTTCATTTTCATTTTCATTTTTCTTTCTAACTTTTTTGTTTCCTCTCACAATTTAGTCGTTAATTAGATGATTGATTAATCTTATTGATTATCAAGGTAACTTACCTGTCATATTGGCTGCTAACTGAAGTTCATGAGCCCATGTTTCATGAGTTTTTGAAACTTTTGCGAATGCAGGATCAAGAGTCATTATGTAATCATATTTACAGGTGACTGAATCGGCACAAATTGATTTCATTTCAGCTTCGAGGTGACGCTTCGAGTCGGGTAATCGGAGTTCTTCAGGGGGTAATCTGTATTCTGGAATAAAGTTGAGGTCATCATAAGCTGCAAAGGAAAAGGCATCATGCCAAAACAGAGAATGACCAACACCCGGTTTATCTGACCCTTCGGCCACTCTCCAACTTTTACCGAATCGATTATGAAGATCCTCCATTCCCGTTGTTATCGGTACCCTTCCCGCTCCATTTGGTAACATGAAATCGTCAAACTTATCACTAGAATAGAATCCTAATAATCCATAAGTTTTATTCTGAAACGAAAAAGAAAACAAATGAGTACCAATCTAACAACTCGAATGATTTGTTTATATTACCTGGAACAATGGAGGTAAATAAACATGAACCGTCATCGATCCTCCGTTGGCCATAACCTCAACTCCAGCACCCGAATCAAACATGGCGATAATATGAGACATATTTCGAATATCAGCCGGTTGGTACAAAGTCACACCTCGGAAATTTTGAACTCGAAGTGAAGCATCCCAGAAGAAAACATATTCTCTATCAACGATACAGTACATTTGGTATCGCCAACGAGCGGCTTTTGGCCTAATACGAAACTCAACTGTTGCAGATTGATTGTCCCGAGCAGCGATTGCAGTCAAATAAGTTGCATTAATGTTCTGATCAATTCTCAGTTTCCTTGGTACTTGTTCAAATCGCGCTTGTACCTCTGAATAAATGGACATCAACGTTAATATCTCAATCGAACGAGAAAAAAATGAAAAGAAAAAAATTCTCACCTATTTTGGCACTTGCATCTTCAACTCGAGATAAAACAAACTCTCCTTTACCATTGAAGGTGTACGAATGATTATCGAAGGTAACGAAATGTGGATCACCATAAATCGAAGCGATTCCGGGTGCTTGATAAGAAGAACAATCTTGTGAAGTTCGCCAATAGTTGTACTTTTGACAGGTATCGGAATCATCTTCTTCCGGTTGCCATTTACAGCAGAAAAAGAAAGGCATTACATCGTGCAGATATGACGATAGAACGGGAATCTAATATCAGAAAAGAAAATTTCAAGAGCCAAGGTTAGAAATCGACTTGATCTAAGTACCAATTGATTCTCACCATCATTCGCATCTTAAACGGATGTTTACCATACATGAAGGCTTTCGATGGTCGCCCGCCGTACATTGTGTCTGCTGTTTGAAGTAGTTCCATGTAATCATCGTAGCAGCACGATTGACCTGAACCTCCGATTCTATTATGATAACGAAAGTTTCAGATTAGGTTTGAAAAATTCAGACGAGTTTCACGAGATTAGTACTTACGAAGGTCTTCCAGTTACGACACAATGTTGAGCACCTTTGTGAAAGATTTCACACTTTCTATCCTGAATGTTACATTCCAGGTCGGGTGAGAATCGACCTCTATCAAGATCAGCTTGTAATCGAGTACAAGGACATCGGAAAACTGTGGTCGCAAAAGCATCTCCGTATTTCTCCTTCTCATACCAGTCATTACATAGATAATTTTTCCACCTTCCATTGAGACCATATTCTCGTTCCCATTGTCGTCGGAAGTACCAAGCAAGTGGCATCGCTCGAGACCAGATCATAGGTGATTGGGTTATTTGTTTACCTAAAATCGTTGGGTTGGTTAAATTGATCGCAATGAAGCCAAAAAGTAGATCAGTAGCTCCATGATTAACACGATCACGATATCTTTCGGTCAAAAGATCAGCCTGTTGAGCACCGAGTCGAACACCTTCTTCAAGAGTATCAATAAAGGTCAACTTCGGATAAAGGTCAGAAGATTCTCGATAACCCCAAAGAGAAATAGAAACTGGAGCGTCAGGAAGCCACGCGAGTCTTTCGGGTTTCCATTTGATGGTCAATTTTTCAGGACTTTCCAATCGATCCATATCGTCGAGAACAACAACAGCATCGTCAGCGATATCGGGAGGCTCTAAATAGAAAGTATTGAGAAAAAAAATGAATACAATACGACTTTTGGCCTTAAACTTGTACTTACGAACATAATAACGACCCAAGAAAATGGTCTTTCCTTGGACAGTTATGGACAAATCAATGTAACCGTGATAAAAGACGGGAGGTGAAATACAAGTTGCATGATTGGGATCACGATAAATGCCTTTGGCCACTTGATTATCAAAATTACACGTAATTATATCATCAGGCTCGAAACAAGGTCCAGTTACATTGACCAATGTACCACCTAACATGTGACCCCATCGAGGGAAAAACGTCAAAGGAAGTCGATCTTTCAAATTGGGATTAAGATCTTTATTAATACAACAACCAGGCCAAATTTCCTCATCGATTTGGAAAAAGTATCGACCCTCCAAACCATTACCGAAACCTCTTTGGGTCATAATCTTAACTCTCGGTTCTTGCGAGTAAGGTTTATATTCAAAAGCACGGGTTGTGTTTCCAGCATTAAAACCAATCTAAAAAGAAACATCAATAACAATTAAACTCCAAACAATCAACAAAATGGCCGATCGAAAATCTTACAAAAGCCGGTGGACCTTTAAGTCCATCGTAATTATCTTTGGACGTGATCCATTCAACTTGCTCGTAATTAAACATAACGTAGGTTCTCATTTCATCTGTAGCCAAAACCATTTGATAAGAATTAGTCTGTAACAAGTAGGATATTAGATCGTCTGAAATGATTAGTTAATTGTTATCACAATTTACCTTAAGTGGTTTCTCTTCACGTCGAGCAACAAAAGTCATATTTTTCCAGGTAATTATCATTGCAAATTTGGGTGTAAAATCAGCGGCACCGATCATACCCTCTCGAAAATCAAGAATCAATCGATCCCTTAAAGTTGTATTAGTTTCTTGCTCCATGATAACCATTTGCAGGTAAACACCAGCATCTAATTAAAAACAATTAACATGAAAAACAATAACGATTAATGATTAACCATCAGCAAAGACAATTACAATTGTTGAATGTTGAAAAATGTTCAAATGTTAATTGTTACCACATAATCTTAATAGATAATTTAATCATTGTTTTGGTTAACCCTTGTTAACCTTTTCATTTACATTTAATTAATTACTGTGATACTTTCTTGATTGTTTGGCTACTCAAACACTAATTGTTTAAGTTTATTGTTCAATCAACTTTGATACTAATTTAAGGTTTTACAATTTTCACAATCATCATTAATTTAATTCTGACTTTCTCTCTCCCTCTCTCTCTAAATTGTAACAACAATTAATTAGATGAAGAATAAGAAAAAATTTCAATTAAGATTAAACCTTAATCTGAACCATCTCACGTAATCAAATTTCATCTAAATTTTCTCATCTAAATCAACACAATTAAGTTAATCACTTACTTGGTATTTCTGTTTGTCCAGGAATATCTTGTTGGGCAAACCAAATAGCAATTAAAGATGGATCCTCTTCCGAGAGTGGGTCAGTTGGTTGCATAGGGAATTGCAATGGGAACCGATAGGACAATAGACCCTTGTTGAAGGCGAGATGACCATTCAACTGGACATAAGCGTAATTGAACTCGAACCCAAAGAAAGGTAAACGAAACGATAAAGGTTGATCGTGAATCGGTTTATTTTGATTAATGTCCAAAATGTACGACAAATTGTATGGGTACATTAATTGTCTCCGTTGATCTTGAAGTTCTGGGGTCATAACTGGATTAATTCGTAATGAACTTCCAGGATAAACATTCCCATATAATGTTCCTAATTAATGAAACAATTTAGTCAATCATTTGATTACAATTATTATTATGTAGTTTTCCTTCATTAGTTTTTGGGAAACAATTTGTTTACTTTACTATTTTTATCAATTAATTAAAAATTGAGGCCCAAGAAACTTGTTTAATTGTTGTTGTTGTCTTGTTATATTAACTTTGATTGTCAATTGATAATCAACAATCTAATTTTTCCCCTTCTTAATTATCTCTCTTTCAAGGTAATTGTCGTTTAATCTGTTCTAGTTATTAATTAACTAATTTCTTCCTCTTCATCACTCTCATTTACACTTAATTGTTGAAATCATAACATATTAATAAACTATCAGTGAAGACAATTAACGGAAAAATGACTCATCATCATGATTAACTGATTATTAATCGATTCAATTGATTGTAGAATTTAATTTAAATGGACAATCAACAATCAGTTTAATTGAGAAAATTAAACATCAATATGAACAATTTTCTTGCTAATTCCATTCAGATCTCAATAGATAATTTTAGTAATCTAATCAACTAAAACAAAGAATTAACAACAGTCGCGCAATTAACTCAATTAAATTTAATTACGATGGATATGATTGTTAATTTTCTCTAATTGTCGTCTAACTAAATCATTAAATCACTAATTAAACTTACCTTGTCTTTCCGATTGACCAGTTGTCTTTTCAATCAGCCACAAAGCTAAAAATGGAAATCACATTAATTGTTGGGAAAGAAAAGTAATTAATTTCTACTTTCTGGTTTGTGTTAATTAATAATTTTACTTACCCAAGATGATTAGTGACAATCTGGTCAACATTTTGATTGTTTAAATTGTCAATTCGAAACAGAATTAAAAAAATTAATAACTTATTATATTAAACTGAGTACAGTTATGATTAACTGTAACAAAGATGGTGGCAACGCCTAAGAATATGAATAGATTGGTCTTTCTACCTGATTTCAAGAAAGTCAACAATTAACTGATTACTACCATGGTTACATTGTTAACTAAATGATAAGAAGGCCTTAATTGTAGATGATTAATAAAACAATTGGATAACATCAATAATATCATTAGAAGTGTTTATATTTTCCTGTTGGAAGAACAAGAAAAATTTTCAACTTGAGAAGAAACAAATTAGTTAATCATTACAATTAATTTTCATCTTTAATTTATTGGTTGGGTCATTGATTGTTCAATGAATTGATGAATGTATTAACTAATCTCATTGATTAATTTCTCGAAGTACAAATTGATTGACAAAAAAAATCACGATTAACTTTTTCATCAGAGATTCTGATTAATAAAAGCATGTTAATTGTTGTGATAATTGTAGTTAAAAGTTGGAGTAAAAATGAATGAGTGATTAATTTTAATCAACTTGAAAGTAAATAACTATCGGGATATAAACGACTGATTGTCAATTAAATTTAGTTAATTGTCTCGATGAAAAATTAGCTACAATTAAAATCATTGAGCAATATTAATGATAATTAAATGCTTTAGAAAGTTAAATTAACAATTAGTAATATCTTAAAGTGATAATCTAACACAATCAACTAATCAGGACGATCTAGATGATTTGATTGTTAACAATTAAATCATTGAAATATCAATCACTTTATCATCATTACTAACTAAATTAACCGAGAGATGGCAGCAAAGATCAGGTAACAATTAACATGGAGGAAAATATTAATAATTTAATTGTTTGAGAAATTGATCTAATTCATAATGAAATTTAAAGCTTTTTATTACAATTAAAATATTATTTGTAAACAATTTAGATGAAGAAAAAAAAAGTTAAGTGTTATTGAAAAGATTTAGAGTAAATGATTATCTTAAATAAAGCTCATCGATTGATTGTCTGTAGAATTGTTGAATTTGTAATCGACGAATTTTCAACGCTGCAGTTACCAGTCCATTATCGGGTGTCCATTCCTCTGGACATAATTTGATTCGATTGGGTATCTCGAACCTAAGAAGACCTTTACTTTCACCAAATTCTCTCAAAGTTTCCAATACTTTTGCGATCACCTCTCGATCGTCACACAATTCACCGAAAGTGATATTCTGTTTATCCAAACTTTCAGCTAATCGGATTAAACTATTTCTCTCCGGTAATACGAATGCAATCAGATAATTATGGAAAGAATCACCATAGACACAAATATTATCGATAAAAGGACAATTCTTCAAGATGGATTCAACCTTTCCCAGGGAAATATATTCTCCATGCTGTAATTTAATCAAATCCTTTTTTCGATCGATTATCTTAATCGTTCCATCAGGATAAATCTCTCCAATATCCCCTGATCTCCACCATCGAGTTCCCTTATCATCGACCCAATAGACTTTCTCAGTTTCCTCTTCGTTCATATAATAACCCATTGTAACCGCAGGTCCACCGATAATTAACTCACCACGAGGATTAGGTTTATCTCTGTTTGAATAGTTACCTGTTGATTAAATGAGAGAGAAGCAAAAATAAACAATTAAAGATCATTTGATAATAACATCAATCATGAATGTGATCAGACAATTTGTAAACTTGGCAAAGATTTTAATCACCAATTTAATTGCTTTCAATGAAGACAAAAACAAAAACAAATTAGCCAATAATTGTTGATTGTAATTATCTATGAAACAGTCAATCAATTTCCTAACAAAGTTTCATGATCAACCAAACAATTTGGTTTCTGTTGATCAATATTAACAAAGTTTACATTTCAATCATCAATTTCTTGTTAATTATCAATACATAATCAATTCTAATGAGCTATGAATTGTTTGATTAACTTTCAATTTAATTCCTATGCAAACATATCAACATAAATACACTTTCAACTTTGATCTTTCTCATGATACAATTAGAGTTTATTTTCTCGGATGATCAAAATTAAACTAATATTGTACCTGTTGAACGTTTCAAGTATTAATTGTTGGTTAATTAACGATCAAGGTAATTACAAGAGTCTCATGATAAGTAGAGGGAAGAAATTTCTGCTTTTTTTATAATCCAATCTTATTATTGGTTTAACTGAATAGTATCAAAGGTTGATTATAATAATTGAACATTTTGAAATTTGATTCAATTGAACAAGAACTTCAAGTCCTTTTGATTTTAAGTGTTGATTAACTATGGAAATGACTATGAATTAAGCTTAATCCTTATGTAAAAAAAAAGTAATCAAAAGTTTCATATGAAAGTAATCTGATCACATGGAAAACTTGATCTCTGATCATTATAATCATATCTATTTATAATTAATAGGATTAATTAGATAACCTTGATCTACAATCAAAGTCTCATTAGGTTAATAAACTATTTCCGTTGTAAATGAAAGTGAAATTGGATAATTATTACCTTCAGGCCAATCGACCAGAGCAACTTTAGCACCGAAAAGTGGACCACCACAGCGACCCAATGAACGATCATCCAAGTCCATTAATGCGGCGCACGCTGTACCTTCAGTGGCCGCATAACCTTGAACCAATCGGATGCCCATTGAGATCGTGATGAACTCTTGTGTTTCCGGTGATAACGGAGCTCCACCAACGAACATTAATTTCAAGTGTCCACCTAAAGCTTGACGAACTTTTTTAAAAACAAAATGGTCGATAATCGGAGTTTCGAAACCATAATGGTACCAGAATTTTCTGTATTCCATTGCATAGTGAAATAAATCGCGGCCAAACTCTGAGCCTGAAACTTTATCTTCGACTGTTTTCTTGATCCGATCAAGGATTAAAGGTACCGCTGGCATGATTGTCGGTCGGATAATATTCATATCGCCTTTACAACCTTTCTTAATTCCTGTTGCGTTGTCAAACATTGTCTGAGGGGACGAATAGCAGATCGGTATTCCCATGGAAAACATCAAAACCTCAGCACCCATTTCAAAGATATGAGCTAACGGTAAATAGGCCAAATAAGCCTCATGATCACCGTAATTGTAATTACCAACGGCCGATGTAATAAGTGCTTTCATTGCATTCATAAAGTTAGAATGAGATATTAGAACACCTTTAGGTACACCAGTCGAACCAGAAGTGTACATGATACACGCAATGTCCTCAGGCTTAGGTAGAGCAATTTTTTTCGATTCGGCGACATTTTCACTCTTATATAATTCATCGAAAGGAATCACGTTGAACTTATCGAATCCTGGACATGAAACTGGCCCTTTTTTACCTGGACCATTGGCACAGAAAATGATCTTCAAGTGATCAATTTTATTGGAGATTTTACTTAATTTACCAATTGAATCAAATGAAGTTACCATATGTTTAGCTTTAGTTTGATCAAGAATCGCAACGATCCCGTCAAGTCCTAAATTGGCGTAAATTGTAACCGTAATTGCACCAAGTCTCCATGCAGCGAATGCCGATAAAAGCCATTCCTCTCGAGTTTCCGAAAAAAGGACAATTTTATCACCAGGACCAACGCCGTTGATTATTAATCCATTAATAATTTTCTTAACTTTATCTTCAGTTTGTTTATAATTGATAAAGAAATAATCATCGGCGAGTAAATATTTCTTCAGGATTTTTCCATTGGATTGGCGCTCTTCAAATTCTGAGAGGACTGGACGAGTTCCGAGGCACTTGGAATCAGTATATTTATTGACCACAATATCAAACCATTCGGCGATCGTTGGACTCGCCAAAATTTGTGGATCATATTCAAGGGGTTCACCGAATCGTATGAATGGAGATTCAGGATCATTAGGGTTCTCACGATAACCTCTTTTTCGGTTCATGGCGATCCATGATCTCCATGGTTTTTGCCAGATAATGTGAAAAGTTAGACTGAAAAAATCAACACAAACAGTTATCACTTTCACCAGAAAGATTCCCAACCAAGGCCAATTAGCGATGAACAAAAGTGGAATCGTGGCTATCGCTGTGACAATTAAATTCTCAGCGATTGAACTACCAAACATTATTAAAATTTTTCTATTCAATAGCAAATACAAAACAATATCTTCAAGTTTATAAAAACAGAATAGAAAACAAAAAACACCAAGATAAAAATCCAAGGAAACGGAAGTTGACGACGTTCAAGTCAAAAGTTGACGGATGAAGATAAATAGAGAATGAGATTAACAGGCAAACATGGATCACAATTAGGAAGATAATTAACCCACCATAATCTTTAGAAAATTTTTAATCGGCTGTTAATTGTTTTCCCTTTTAACACTGTAATTGATTAATCTAAATCTTCAACTGTCACAAAAGACTCACAATTAAATGATTAACTTATGAGAGGAAAAAGTTATCTTCTCCTTAAAGATAAGAGGTTCATACATAGAAACTATAGATGGCGAGCAAAATTAATTACTATCAGATTAAAATCAATTTAATCTAATCAAAAACTTGATACTATTGGAGGAATACTTGAGATATAATTAATATTGATAATTAACAACGAAAATAAAAAAATAAGAATTTAAATTTTTCCATTATTCTAATCAATAGATGGCGACACTTTCGCTTAATTGTTCGTCTCAATGTCAATAAGCCGATTAACAAATCTAATCACAATTAATAACCTTAGTTAATAACCTTTCGATTATCATGATTGAGCAATTTTATTTATTTCTCAATCTGTTGCATCACTTAAATCACTTTGAGGTTTGTCATTAACGCCCAATTAGTTTACAAACAAACTCATTTACTTTGATTGTAAATGAAAAGTATCAACAATTAAAATCGTGAAAGTGAATTTTAATTTATGTAAATCAGTTATTTTCAAGCTTTTTTCTAACAATTAAGTTACGAAAAATATAATTAGAGACATTGGAATGGCCAAATTTGAGCATCGTTCAATATGATCAACAAGAAGATGGAATTGAGATTATCGAGAGAAAGAAATTGATTAAATAAGAATCGCAAAGAGAAAAGTTTATCAACAATTAACACGAATGTCGCCACTAGTTCTCTTTTAATTAACTACAATCAGAACCTAATTGTAGTTCTAATTAATCTAAAATATGATTGAGAAGAAAAAAAAAGTAAATCAATGTCAGTGAGAAAAGAATCAATAATTTTTGGAATATTTTCTCGAACAAGAAATGTTTGTTATTCTCCCACTTTAAAGGGCGAAAACAATTAACTAATTGTAAGAATTTATCAGAAGGGATAATGATTGAAACAATGTTTCGCTTGGAAGATCGAACAAAATTTAACCCAATTTCGAGTTGATTGGATATGATTAGAGTTTCGCACAAGAGAAAAAAAAACACGTTAGATGTTTATTATCGCTCGAAGATTGTATCATGTTTGTTGGACTATTTTCGGTCAAGTTTTCTTCTTATTATTATCACTATTATATCGTAATAGTGAGTTAATTGTTTAAGGGAAAATTGCGTTTTCGAGCAGTTTATTTAAGGAGAAATTAAGGAACAGAAGAAAGAGAAAAGTAAGAGAGAAAAGAATAAAATAGAAGATGAAACCTCCGCCTTCGTCGATTCTAAAGGAGTAACTGTTTTCTTTTTCTTCTTCTACCTCCTTCATCTTCATCCTCATCCTCATCTTCGTCATCTCCTCCTTTTCTCCCTCTCTTTCTACTCTGTCTTCTTGCGTCTCTCATTGTCTTCATCTTTCTTTTGCGAGGTAAACAAAAGTGATGAAGATGCTCTTGATTCTGATAAGAGACTTCGATTCGTGTGTGTGGCCTCAACTATCGTTCTAATCAAGTTAAATTGTTAATTTCGACAACGGGTAAAGATCAAATTGAGATTGTATCTTGTTTTTTACTCTCTCTCTCTCTCACTTTCGCATTTCATTTTTTATGCTCATTCTGACCATCGGTCATCAGTTAATCATATTTTCAAAAAGTGTTTGTTTCCAGTTTTTGTTCATATTAATTGTTTGTTCATATTAACCATTTCTGGATTAATTTCTGATTCGCCATCTAAATCACCATGTTAATTGCTCTCCCCTAATTGGGTTTTCATATTGATTTATCAAGTGCTGGACAATACATCTCATCGTTTTCATAATCATTTGAACAATTTACCTGATGATAACTTGATTAACAGGCAAAGGTAATGAAAAAATGTTTACTTAATTGTGATTAAACTGTTTGGTTTAATGTTGATCGTGAATTTTTATCACAAATTGATTGTTTTCTTGTTACCATTGACATTTGATTGTCTTTAAATTGTAACAATCAAATTAATCTAATTTTAGAAAGTTTCAAAAGTAATTCAATTTGAATTTAAATATAATTGTAATTGTTTCTTAATATTAAGAGGTTGATTATTGTTATATTGTTTAATCAAATCAACATTCAATTGTTTAAAATACTTGATTGTCATCAAAATTTGATTTGTTTTTGACAAACAATTTAAATCATCAATAATAATTATCTTAATTGTATCAGTTTAACTTTTATCGTGATCTATTGATCAAACAATTTACTAAGTAAATTAAGCAATAATTATTGCTTAATTTAAATATCCAATTACAATTAATTGATTAAGATCAAATGTTACAATTAAATCGCACTTTCTAACAATTAAAGCCAATCCTTTTGTACAGATTACAATCAAATATTACCAATGATTAACTTAATCATCACCATTATTCACAAATTGCCTAATCATTAACGATTAATTTATTTCCTCATGAAAACCTAACCCAAACTATGTCAACAATTAACCCAACAATTAACCTACAAGGTGAAATAATTAGTTAATAATTATTCATCGTTGATGATTATCAATGTTTTTCGTTAATTGTAACAATTAGTGAAAGTGAATTATGATTTAAATGAAGGAACCAAAGTTAAATTTCTTACTTATAATCAATCTAATTATCTTAATTACTGTTGTATTTTCTTAATTGTTACAGAATCAATTGTGAGGAGGAATCTGATCAAGTCATGATTAGCCGGAAAAAAATATTATCTAAATCATGTGATAAATTAATTAATGATTGTAAACATTATAATGATCAAGAGATTTGGTTTAACAAGGATAAATTGTTTAAGGTAAGTCACCCAACAATTAACTTTAATTGTAACATTATTTTCATCAGAAACAAAAATAATAATCAGTTGATCAGTTGTTGAAGGTTTAATTGATTGATTGATTAGTTGAATGTTTAATTTGTTTAATCATGATATGTATTTTTAATCATGATTAGTTATCAAAAAAGGGAATTGATTTTAATTTAAATCAGTTTGTCTCTCGTTTAATCATAAACTTAATAGTTTGATGCTTACAGCAATTAAATTTAATTTCTGATTGGAATTAAAAATTTTTTCATATTCGGACAAAAGTGAAAATCTTTCTATTCAGATGATTTAACACTTTTAATTACAATTTCATGTTAATTTAGCTTAAAGCTGATTCTTTTTTAATCATCATCATAAATTTTTTCATTATTTCAATTAGTTAATTGTGAAAATTTTTACTAACCAATTTAAATTTAATTTCTTTCATTATTAACCAACAACAAACATTTATCAACAATTTACAATTTTACTTTAAAATCAACCAATAATTATAACTAATTTAATCAATCATTAATATAACATCAACATTTAATCAGCCCGGACAATTAACTTGTTTAGTTAAATTTAATTTATAAACAAATTTAATTTAGATCAGAGTTAATTATTGATTATTTGTTGTGTAATCTCTGTAATTTACTAATTGTTTTCTCGGGTAAATTCAATTGGTTACAATTGATTAGTTGAACAATCAATTTTAATTTGATTAACACGATTTGATGAATTTTCAAACAATCTAATGATAATTGTAGTTGTTTCTCTATCACCATAACAATTAACTAATCATCTCGTTTCGTTTGCCATCATCATGCTTTCACTTTTTCCAATCGAATTGCATATAAATCAGAAAATAGATTCGGATTAAGTTAATTGTTGACATTAAATCGATTATAATATTGTGATTGTTGATTAAAGGCTTCTTGTTGGGACTCCACAATTAACTGATTGTTGGTACTCATCCTGATTGACCTTTAACTATCCGGAACCTGATTAGTGAGAAAATAATGTTTATTTTGTTAAACTGTAACGAATCTTGTTTACAATTAACTTATCACTTTTTTTGTAGTAATAATATCAAATAATAATAGTTACCTTTTAAAAATGAAAACCGTAGTTGTATCTTACAAATTGACCAACAATTTACTATTACAATGGTTGACCATTAAGTTAATTAAATCGTTTCATTTGATTTGGCTTAATGATTTACCATCACGGTTAATTTTCCTATGATTTTTTCTTTGCGATTCAATTTTTCAACTTTCTATTAGCAACATTGCCATTTATTTGATTCAGTTAATGATTAGTTGATTGTCTTGAAGCTTCCTGTTTCCTTGATTGTGATTATCCATGAAAGAATTGAAAGTGTAAACATAATCAACTTTTCAACGTTAATCCATCCAAATGGTTAATCCTTTGAATATTGTTCAGGTCATCGGGTAAGTCGATTGTTAATTAATCTTCTTATCTAATTAGAAATTAATAAACAACTATTAAGGTCTAATATTATTAAGCAATAAAAGTGAATCTTTTTTTTGTTTAAATATAAGATGAGATTGATGAGGTGAATATGGTGATTAAGATGAAGTCGTTTATAATTATGATGATGATGATCAAGATGATTAAAGTGATGTTACCTGTAGTATTAATATAAATAAAACATTCACACGTATTTGTTTTTAAGTGTTAATCTAAACCCGAGGTTTCATGTATCAGCTGTTGTTGTTTTTGTTGATAAAGATGAGAAGTGTGTGTGTGTGGTGTTGATGATCAGATGAATTGTATAGATTATTATCAAATTAATCAATCATCATGATGGTGATGGAGACAAATGATTGTATAATTTCCGGTGTGAAAGAGTAAATCATTTTAATTGTAAAGTTAATCCTTCTATATAATGTTAACTGATCTGCAACTTCATTTGACAGTTTGAGGCCAATTTAAAACAATTTAGACTCAAGGGCTTAAGATGATGGTGATGATAAGAATCATGATGATGGAGATGAAGATGAAGATGAAGATGCCCTGGTTCACGGAATTATCATCATCCTAATCATTTGAAGACAAAAGAAGAAGAAAAAAAGAGGACCAAAGGATGAGAGAAAGTAAACATGATGAAAGAATAGAGAAAATAAAAAAGATATCAAATCATTTTCTCCATCACTTCAATTCTCTAACTTATTGTCTCATCACATTTGGAAACTGTGATTAATTTTAATTGTGAGAGTTCTTGAACTTATCTTTTTATATATACAATAAAAGTAAGAGAATATGAGAGACGATGGAAAAATGATAATTAACGATAACAACAACAGTTACATACCTAATTATAAACAAAAGAAGTCAACAAACAAGATATAAGACAAATGAGAGAAAGAGACAAACAAAATGAAGCAAAAAACTGTTGATGGTTGATGTTGATTCTTGTCCGGTTGATGTTTTGTATTTTAGTAGATGAATAAAGTTAACGCTAATTGGAATGTAAATTAAATTATAATCACTTATCGTTGTTAATTGTTGACCTGTAGAAGATTAAAACTGCGTTTAAAATGAACAACAATAAATTAAATTAACGGAACAAAATAAAAGCAACATTTTCAATTGAACTTGTAATGTATCAACTTCTATAAATAGAGAGACACAAAGGAAAATGTATTCACTTTTATGTCATCAAGTGAAGATGGAAAATGAGAGGGAACATTTTAAATTTGAATAATCATTCGCACGAAGAGGGAAACAAATGCGATTAATTAGCAAACGGGAATTAATTAATTCGCCAACAATGGTTGTATAAATAAAAGAGAAAAATAAATTAACTATTTTAAAGAAAAAGAAACAAAGAGAAACAACACTTTCCGATTGGTCGAAATGTAACCAAAGGGTTAATTTTTTGTTCTTTTGCATTAATTATCATGTTACTTTTAATGTTCTAATTGTTTTTTCTTTCTTCTAAATTGATTAATGTTTTGTTTCTCTTTGTGGATAATTAATTAGGATCATCTGGGGGAGATTCTGGATAAATGGGATCAAATTGACGACGACATTTGGGCGAAGGTCATTTTTATGGAAAAGAATCGTCGTGTTGCCAAGGCTTATGTGAGAGCTCAAGTGATCACTTTCAATGGATCTGAACGAGGATTTGATGGTCATCTTGTTGGATTAAGTGGATTTGTTAATTCCAAGAGAGATGAGAGAACGACCAAAGTACTGGAAGGATTAGGTGAGGTAGGTGATCATTTAATCAAATTTATTGTGTCACAATCGATAACCGATCAATTTAACTTCCAAAGGAAATCAAGTCTAAATATTGGTCTTGGTATTTTCTATTGGTATCGATTTCGATACATGAATGTGGCGATGAAAGTCAATTGTTGAACCTTTAATTGGTCTTAAAACCGAAACACTATTAAATCATCGGCATTTTTATGTGATTTCTTATTGGAAGAGGAAGTAATTAGTTGATTCCTTTAAACAATTTAAACATTGTCTCTAAAATCGATACTATTACAATCGGTTAATCTTTAATTGTGATTAGTGGCTCATTGAGAATCTATTTTATCCCTTTTTCTTTTTATTTCTTCTTGATTGTTTATCCAAATAATTTAATATCATTCTATTAATCAGCTTAATAGAAATTTGATTTTTGTTTAATGACGAAATCAAAATTAGATTAAATTACCAACCAGTGTCAGGATAAACAACAATCGATACAACTTTCTAAAAGTTAGATTCTATTCACTCTAATTATAAGCTTAATGAATTAACTTTCACAATCAATGTTGAAACATGAAATGATCAATGATCAGTCATTTAAAAGAGTAACAATTTAGTTTAGATACTTTAATATAACTCATATATCATAATCCATGATAATCATCTTGAAATCGCAATTTAGTGAAAAGTTGATAAAGATTAAGTGATTATCAAAAATGATTCATGTTTAATAGTTGCTAATTGTTGTAATAGTTACGTTACATGTTATTACAATTGTACAAAAAAAACAAGATGATGTTTCATTTCAATTATGAGAGATTCAATTCAACAATTAACAATTAAACTATATTAAGATAGAGAGAGAGCATATAACTTTACATGGAGAGAGATTGAAACAGCAATCAGTAAATTGTCATTAGATTGTAATAGCTCATTCATCAAGTTAATTAGCAACATCAAGACTTTAGATATAAAGAGTAGCCATTTCCATGAAAATGATGATGAAGATGAAGATGAAGATAAAAGAGAGAAAAGGAAGATAATTTTTTCTCTTCATTTTCTCACCTTCGAGAAAGTAATTAGCCTGATACACTAATCACTAAAGGAAGATGCTGATGATTATCTTCCTCCCCCATCTTCATCCTTTTATAATCTTAATCATTTATCTTCCATTTTTACCCTTTTGTTTTTATTTATACAAATTGTACAATCTACAAATAGTATATGAGCAATTTAATAACAATTAACTTTGATCGTGTCTCATTTTCATCCAGTTATCTAATTGTTGCTAATTACTATCATGTTAACTGTTACCATTGATTCATCTGATACCATTGTCTCTCTCTCAATCAAATTAACTCTTAATTTTAACATAATTAACGATTAATGAACTATAATATTAACTGAATTACCTGTTGATTATCTGATGAGCTTTAGATTTGATTTCCTTGTCATCAGTAGCAAATTAAAATCAGCAATTAACTGTTAACTTGAATACAATCAAGAGAAACCAAATAATTGAGAGATTTCATTTTTAATCATAATTTATCGAGAACTTGATTAGTCTAACCAATCCCTTTTGATTATCAGCAATTAATCAGAAATTATATTCAAATGAATGATTGTTTTCATTAATTGATCAATTCCTGTTCCTAGATGATTATGATTGAAGACCCAAAAGCTGATTAAGTTAAATTGTTAAACATACTAACCAATTATGGTAAAAGTAGATTTATATTTCAGGTTAATTATTAACTTTCAATTGGACAATTAAATTAACCCAATTTAACCAAAGGTCACCCAAATTTAGTGTCCATCGTTGGGGTTTCATGAGTTACAATTAATTTTGTCATCACACATTTAACTATAGCAATTATCATGGTAATAATGATTCAAATTGTTCCATTTACAGTTAAATTAACTTAACAGTGAGAAAAAAATTAAGTAGATTAATTTACGGAAACATATTCTACCTTTAATTGTTGGGCTTCCATTAAAGTCATTCCTTTTACTTGAAACTTAATTGTTTCAAGCGATCATCATGTTTAATTGTTACGCAAATTATTACCGTTTGATTTTCATGATCTCTGCAATTTAATTACAATCATTTGAATGTCATTAACTTTTGATTAGATTTCTCAATTTAAGTATGAAAGTTGATAATGTTACAATTGCCCTTCAATTGTGCTACTAATTTTGTTACTTTCCACCAGCAATTTAGGTTAAATTTTGATTACAATTAAGATTATCTCGATCAATGAATATACTTTTACCACCTTGATTTGATTCTCTCAATTTCTGATTGATTGTCAATTTGGTCTTTCAATTTAATTCAACTGAATTATTATGATTGATAAACTTGTTTCTATCAATATTTTTATTCATTTACTAAATTACATTCATCTATTATTAACAATTTAAAACGATTGATCAAATAAACTGCTAGTAATTTGATTTTGTATCAACAATTTATCATTTTTGATTTGTTTCATCAGAATTGCTAACAAAATATAATGTAAATTGATGATCAGAGCAATTAACAACTATCTCATAAGTATTAACAGTTATTAATTTGTTATTTGATTGGTGTCTCAAATAATTAACTATAGATTACAAGTTGATGAACTTGAAATTAATCAGTAACTCATGGTTTTTAATTGTTACAATTTAGACTTGTGCTTGATTTCCGTGAGTTTAGAATCAGCCACTGATTAAGATTTAAAATTGCTCGAAATCAATCAAAACATATCACAATTTAGGTATTAGAAAATTAAATTGATCTTTCAAGTTCATGCTAATCGAAAATCTTAATCCATCCCAATCAACTAATCAGGACACTCTAGATGATTTAATTGTTAACAATTTAGTTGAAAAAAATATCAATGGCAACAAATTTGCAACAGTAACAAAGTTTATTGAATTATGAAAGTAAATTAAATTGTTAATTCCTTTTAATTCAACAAGTTGTTTTTTTTTATTAATAACTGAATTAACAATATAATTATGTGATTGATGATAAATCTATTTGATCAATTTGGTATATGATTTATTAATAATACACTGATTTAATACAATTACTTGATTACTTTGACAGTTGAATTGGATGTAAACTATTTGTTCATTTAATTTATCCTTTTTAATTTCATCTCCTTCCTTTTATTGTTACAATTAAATCTTATTGGAATCAATCATCGTAATAATTAAAGGGAATCAAAATGAAAATAGATGAATCCGGTGATATATTAATCAAAAGGTTAACTCGGAGTAACATTAAAGTTTCTGGTGGTTCAAGTGATTATAATTGTCTTGGTGGTGACCTGATTGAAACTAATGGTCGAGTTGAGATGGACAAAGCAATGACCCTATTCCAGATGAGAAAGTTAATTACCACAATTGGTTCGGAGATGAAATCAACTTATCCTAATCAAAAGAAACTGGAAGCTCAATGTATAACCTGTGTTTCCATTGACATTGAATCAGAAAATTTACTTGAGACACCCTGTTGGATGATGGTGATTAATATCGTCGCTATGGAAGTTATCAAATATAAGTTACCCTGTTTCATGATGAGAAATCAAAAGATACCTGATTTTGTGGCCATTTTTGATCAACAACAACAACAACAACAACAACAGCAAATACAATTACAGCATCAACAACAATTATTGCAATTACAGCAACAGCAACAACAAAAACAACAACAATCAGTAACAACTAGTAATAGCAACAAGAATAATCAATTGATGATAAATTGTTCCAACTCTAATCAAGTGATTATTAGTAAAAATAATCTTAAGAATCATGTTAATAGTAACAATTCAATTAACAGTAATTCCAATGGTAATAATAATAGCAATGTTAATTGCTGTACCAAAGTTGATCAATGTAAAGTTGTATCGGTGCCAATGGTTACATCGGAATCAGTTAATCAAGTTAATCTGAAAACCAATGTTACTAATAATAATCAGAACGTTAAAAGAAAATCAGAAACTCGTCGTGAGTCTCATGAATCTTCACCATCTCCACCTTATAAGGAAAACAAAGAGTGTCATCATCATCATCATCATCATCATCATCGAAATCACCACAATTTTCAACAAGATGAACATATTAATCAACAGCAAATCAATCAAGCAATCAAGCAAATGAAATCAAACGGTAAATCTGGAAAAGATCGGGCCGAAGTGAAGGAAGTTATTGATAACCATTCCAAGTCAACAATTAACAGTCCATCTAGTGATTCTGATGGGTCAATCATTCAGGATATAACCACTAATTGTAAAAATACAAATAATAACAATCAACCAACTAATGGACATCGGGTTGAAGAATCAGTAAAAATTGAAATACCGATGCCTGATTACGATAAATTTGAAACCAATGGAAATCAAATTAGCAGAGAAAGTAATACAACATTAACAGTCCAACAATTAATACTTAGAACAATCAAGTAATTAATCAATTTTGTCTCTTTGTATATTAATAGATGAAGCGTTTCTCCGAAGTCAAAGTGAAAAGATTACAGATGATCTTTTACTGAACAGTTTACCCAAACTCGAGGAAACTTGTTTGTACCAATTAAATGGCTGTTTAAATGGTCATCATAAATCAACGGGCTATTTAAACAGTGCGATGAGGCGATTACCAGTTAACAGTAGATTATCATCTTGTTCATCGTCCTCAGATTCATCACAATCATCAGGTAATCAAATTATTACAAAGAAAACTTAAATTGTATCAAATCACTAATTGTTGTTTCCATTTCCAATTTCGATTAGGTTCAGAGCCATCTTATTATCACATTTACAGCAGCATCGGAGATGGAATCAAAATAACTAATTGCTTACCTACTAATCATCTTCATGCCTGTGACAAAATAATCAGATACTATGTTGGTAATTGGGAATAATTCAATCAGAACTTCATCTTCATCATCAAAATGAATCAAATTATCTTCTCCTTGATTATATTACTATTTTGTCATGTTATTTTTTTTCATGTTTTTTTTTGTCAATATCATTTGTTTTATCCAGTCCAACTTTTTTCAAGTAATTTTTTACAATTGAATGCTGGCAATCGAGAAGAAACAATTATAGAATCCAAATAAATATTATTGACTTATTGTCAAATCGACAATATTTTGAGTTTTTAAAAATTGAAATATTCAAGAAAACTTAAATCATCGCTGAAGAAGCTAATTTATATTTCACAGAGAAATCAAAAACGAAATTGAAATAGTATCGGCTTTATCCCTTTTCTCTGTGATTAGTTGATTGTTCTTGTTTAACACCACACACAATAGAAACTGGTAGTATATTGATTGGTAGAAAAGTGAAATATTGGTTGGGATAAGTCCAGAAACTGATGTAATCTGATGATCGACACTTTCATTTATATGAATACTTCAGGGTTTATTCAACATTATTCCTGGGAATTAAGATCAACGATCAACAATTAGTGTAAAATATCACAAAGGTAGTTTAAAGTATTACTTGGATTGGTTAATTGACTCAAAGAAATCAACCAGATGAACACAACCAGATTAAAGATAGTGAGTTGATTTGAGGATATAAAATGATTTGAATTCATGGAAAGAAATTAAGTTCTCAGTAAACAACGATCATAATTAAGAAGGAACCACCAACCATCAAATAATCAGTGTCATCTAAATTAAAGAAACTTAAAGAAAATTTGTTATACTCTTGATTGGAAGGTGAGTTGTTATGGTTAATTATCTAGTCCCCATTGACTGTGTTGCAATTAACTAATCAGAGAAAAGTGATTAATGTTAATGTCAACATTGATTAAAAGATTGCTCATTAAACTGAAGGCAAAAACAATACTCTTCGTAATCTTGATTAACATTTTTCTGTGAATCAATTCTGAAAGAATCGATAATTGTTTTCTCTAATTCAATTCAATCCCGTGATTAAAAACTCTTTCATCTTTACTTGTAATAATTGATTCAAATCAATCGATTCTGGTACTTGGATTGATAATTAAGTCTCAACGATTGTCAATTAAAACATCGTTGTTAAGACACATCGAGATAAAGGTTGGTTGATTTAATACTAGTAGTATATACACTGCCTTCAATGGGTGAACAATCAAATTAATAATGTATTTTTAACTCATATTAGTTGGGTTCGGGTAAATTTTATCAATTCTAGATATAAATCAAAGGATTAACTTTGCGATGTGACGCTGATGATAACGTGATGCTAATTAACAGCCACTCGAATCGAGTTTGGGACAAAATTAAATCACAGAGAGAAATCAAATTGTGATTAACTTGAATATCTCATCGAAACACCAATGTTTCAAATGTTAATTTTTCTCTTGTCAATTCATAGATAAATGATTCAATTGATTGTGTGCGCGAGTGATTTAATTATGTTCCAAACTCAATTTGGTTGGCTGTATTTCAGAAAACTAATTAATACTGATCATCTCTGTTTCATACAAAGATAGCAAATCGATGGTTTCATGAGGAATGATATTTAAATGCCTAATCTCTTATTGAAATGAAAGACTTCATCTCTTTTCTCTGCGATTAGTTGATTGTTCTTGTTGAACATGAATTTAAGATAATCTATTTGCATTTGAAATGTTCAGTCTTCCAAAATGGCTCCAACGAATGAGTTTCCCACTCTTGGAGTTGGAAAGTCTTTACATCCTTTTGAATCAACGAACTTCCAACGATAAGCCGTGTGACAGGTCATTCGTCTCTTCGCGATTGGCCATAAGAACCTTTGTAGAAACGTTTGGTCAAGACCTTTGCCGTCTTGATTATTGAAACCGGATTTCAAAGCCTTCTCATATTCCCTGGAGGTAGAAAAAATCTTAGTATCTACTTTTCCACCCCACATGCCGCCTAGAATTTCAATGGATTGATTTTTGTGATCTCTCATTACATGGAACATGGTGTCTTCTTTAATCCATTGGTTCATAGCGTCTACTTCCCGTTGGATCAACATGGAATCTGAATCACGGACAATATATCTTTCTACATGTTGATCATCAGCGACAAAGAATCGCCAGAACATCCCTTGGTATCCAGGGGAACGTGTCAAATTACTTAACTTGGGTTGATTCTGATGGACAATTATCACTTCAGCTTGTTCATAAACTAATCGGTTAATCATCAAAAAAGGAACATCAGATCCGAGCCAAAAACGAGGAATCCAATCAGGTAAAAGTTTCTTATATCGTCGGATTATCTTGACCACATTTCGAAGATATCGATCAGCACCACCATAAAGTGAGAAAGAGACTATCTTCTTATTAGAAACGGGTAGTATATTGATTGGTAGAAAAGTGAAATATCGGTTGGGAGAAGTCCAGAAACGGGTGTAATCGGATGATTGACACTTTTCCAATAGATCAATTTCGCGTTGGAAATTAAAATTATCTTCCGACATTGTTGCTTGTAAACATTGATCTTCCATCGTCAATGATGTTCTTTTCCAATAAGACGGCAAACTTTTATTCGATACAAATTCCAGTTCATCTCGATGTCCACAAGATTTGTTCAGTTCTACCACTAATAAAGAGAATCATCAATAATTAACAGTAAATAATCTAATCACTTACCTGGAACGTAATTTGATCTACTTGAAGAAATCAACCAAATAAACACAACCAGATTAAAGATTGTAAGAAAATAAGTTAATTTGATGATATAAGATGATTTCGATCTATTCAGAGGAAAGAAAATTGGACTTTTTTGAATATCATGATCAATGATAATGATAATGAACAATCAAGACTGAATTTCTCTTACCTTTGGTGATTTAAAGGTGAGTAGGCATAAGTGATTTTCTTGTCACCATTGATTGTGTTCATGGTAGTTCATTGAGAGATTGAAACTAATTGAAGATGAATCAAGTTAATGTGAACACATAAATATATTGATCATTGATCAGGCGGATTGTTGATTAATTAGAAGGAGTAAACACCACTTTTCGTAATCTCTATTGAGTGATTTATGTGAAAATCAAGATAAATTGTACCAATTTCATTTCCATTATCCAATAACAAAAGAATCGATAGTTAATAATTTCCGAATTCAATTTCTCTTGGACAATTTCAACGCAGTGGCTTCAATTAATCGATTATTTTATTCACCATAAAGATTGTTAATTAACACATATCGTTGATAAGTTAATCAGATTGAGATAAAATTGAGTTAATAGAGTTACTTAAGTGCCATCCATTGGTTAAGGATCAACTTAATACTAATCATTTTCAAATATGAAAACAGAATACAAATCAAAGTAACTCAACTTGTTCGTAATTTAGTTTTTAAATAATCGACGAAATAAAGTTCTGAACATTTCGAATTGTTTAATTACATTTATCCTTTTTCCTTCTCACTAATAATCAAACTAATGTTACAAACTTTTAGAATTGACAAGTTTCTTCATGAGCATTCAATCAGCTCGATCAATTGATTGAGTAAATTATTAAGTGATTGACACCAAAGTTTTTCAAGTGATTAACTTGATCAACCACCTGCGTCACAATTAAGTCACAATTAAGTCACAGATAATTTCTCATTGACGAAAGTTAATTTAGAAAATCAAACTCAGTGAAACTCATTTGCACAAGACTAATTAGATACCAAGATTTCATGTTAATTAAGTGGTTGAATCCACTAATTATGAAGATAAGTGTGAAAACTAATGATTAGCCTCATCTCATTAACTAACAAGATCTCAGCCAATTGTCAGGAGCAATTAATTGACTCTCGAACTTCAATCAGCTGTTGAGTTGCTCACGTGACTTGTTTTGTTTTGATGGAAGTGAATTTTTTGTTTACAACAAAAATTTGATTGAAAATGTTTTTGAATCGTTTCTCTAGTCGATCAATTAAATTGAGTGTTAATGTTTTATACAAAATTAGGTCTTCTAATTACTGCAAAGAATTTCAAATCGATTCAAGTCCATTAAATCCTGGTCGATTGAATTTCTACAAGAAAGCTTTTTATGCTTTTCTTTTCACCGGTGTAGTCAGTGTTGCTTGGTTTTCAAAGAAAAGATCTGAGAAAAGGTCGGAGTTAATCAGGGAAGCGACTCGATTGAACTCAAAGATCGGACGTATGACCATGTACAGATTCCGTGATTTTATTATCCCAGAGGAAGTGTTGAAATTAATACCACAATTGTCTTCAATTCAATTCAACTCCAATGATGTTATCCTTTGCTCGTTTCCCAAAACAGGTAAGTTTCTTGTTCGGTTTATCATTTCTTTCAATTTTTCTCTGGGTAATAATTTCTGTCTTGTTTCAATGTTTCTCAGGTGTTACATGGCTTCAGGAAATCGTGTGGCTTATCATGAATGATTATGACTTCAATAAGGCTCTCAACATCAATCTAGAGGAGAGGTCTCCTTTCTTGGAATGGATCATGCCGGGAATCTCTGGAATCAATAAAATGCCGAGTCCAAGGTTGATCAAAACTCATCTTCCATTAAGTATTTTGTTCAATCAAGAGACTAAAATTGAGCCAAAAGTGATTTCAATAACAAGGAACCCGAAAGATGTTGTTGTTTCTTACTATTTTTTTGCTCGGATGAACAAACTGATTGATTATAATGATTCAGTTTCTGAATTTGCAGAGAGATTTCTTTCCGGTGAAGTGCCTTATGGTCCATTGCATAAACATTACATTGATTGTTTAAAATATTCACTTGTTGAAGGGAATAAGGTTCTTCTAATTTCTTACGAGGATCTCCATGAAGACTTCGAAAAAAATGTTCATCGAATCTGTAATTTTCTAGATCAACCACTTCCGGATGATAAAACGATGTCTCGATTAAAGGAACATTGTAATTTCCGATTCATGGCTGTCAATCCACAGGTTAATTACTCTCATTGGGATAGAATTGGTTTACGAAATCCTGATGAATCTCAATTCTTTCGCAATGGACAGGTTGGCGATTGGACTAATCATCTAATTGAACCAATAGCAATTAAAATGGATAAGCACATTCAACTTCATTTATCCGACTTGTTTAAATTCAAGGATAAAATTACTAAAAGTCAATCAACATAATATTAGCTAAATATCACCAGAATGTTTATCAGGTGGTTGGACTATTGATTAAATCATCTAGAGTACATAAAGTAAATCAAAGAAATAAAAAATCAAATAAAAATCAAAAGAAAAGTTATTTTGATCTGAGCGCCAATAATATGTCACATCAGCTGATCTCAGTTGTCAACAACTTGTTGATTCATTTTGAGTTGAACCTTTCAAAAGTTACTTTTGTTTACATTCATTTTAAAAATGGACATTTATATAAATGCCCTTCAACTCAACTTATTTCAGAGTTGCTATAAGAGGCCAAAAAATACATATCTTTGCCTTAAAACAATCTCAATAATGTTACATATTCTTGATGATGAGAACAGATATTTCTCTGAATACGTGACCTTTGTGCTCTATCGGAATCATGTCAACATGATTGGACGTACAAAAACCCCACGAAGGATCCGAGCGATAACTGATATTGAAAAATGGGGATTTGATTTTGATAATTATAATGTCCAAATCCATGAAGTTGTTAACAATCAAGGTAACCTAACAAAATTATTTTGAGTCTTTTTTATTACTCTTGTTTCTCTCTCACTCTTACTTTTTTTCTCTCTAAAGATGCGAAGCGAGATCCAATCAACCATTTGGTCAGTGGTGTTGATAATCTTCAATTAGATGCTTCAATAAAACAAGAATCAACAGTCTTCAAACTCAATCGAGCTCAAAAGTCTCTGTTCAAAGATCTTCAATTGCGAAAATCCACAAGTTGCATTGATTGGTCGTGTTTGGCGGTTATGTTCAACATACTCGAAGACAAATCTGATTGTTATTGGTCCAGTGATTTAGTTTGTTCTTTTTATAACGAATTTGTCCAAAAAAATCCATAAAAAAATGTGAATCTCGAAACGATTTGAGTCATTTCTGAACGACTTCTCACTCTCGAACTTAAGTTGACAAATGATTTAATTTGCAATCTTACAATGAATCAGATACAATTTGATTGGAGTAAGTGAAAGTAAAGGAAAAAATCAACAATTAAATTAAAGAAAGCAAATTATTTCGATTAATTGTTATCCCAACTCGAAAACTTTGTTTACCTTTTTTTGTTTGATTTTCTCTGTGATTATGACAATCGGTGTAACCAGAAAATGTCCAAAATTCATCAAGTGAAAATCACCAAAATGTTTATCAAGGTGGTTGGACTATTGATTAAATCATCGAGAGTACATAAAATAAACTTATAATCAGATATTAAATTAGAATCAAATTAAAAAGTTATTTTAATCTGAGCGCCAATAAAATGTCAGCTGATCTGAGTTGTTGTCAACAACTTGTTGATTCACTTTTGTGAGTTGAACTTTTGTTTACATTAACAATTTTCTTAATCGTGATAATTAATCACTTGATTAATTATCAGTTTTTATTTTATTTCTTAATTGTTCCATGTTGATTTATAGTTTTTCTTTCGTGTTGCATGTAAGAAATGACCGGTAAGAAAATCTGTTCCAAATCTGTTTCAATTTGATCTTGAAAATTTTCATTCGTTTTCCAGCAATCGTTGATTGATGATTTTGAGAAAACAATTCAATTACTTTGATTGTTTTCATTAATTCTCTGAATCAAAATGACTTCTACCGAGCGTGTTGATGGTGATTCAGTTGAATCTGGTACCAAGGAATCAATCGATAACCGAGATGAAGCTTCTGACTTTTTTTCCAATTTCTTGGAACCAAATAATTTAAATAAAGTCCGTTCTCAGGTTGAAAGTTTCATCGGCTCTGAGACCGATCATCCAACAGTTTTAATAACCGTAAGTGAATCAAATTTCAACAGGTTGTTTTGATCAATTTCTATCATTTTCAGTCTGGAGGGACAACAGTTCCTATGGAGCATAATACTGTACGATTCGTGGACAATTTTTCAGCGGGAACAAGAGGATCAGCTTCAGCTGAGTAAGTTAATTATTCTCAATAATCTTATGAAAATATTAATTTTTCTTTTTCTCTTTTGTTTTGTTTGCTCATTATTAGATATTTTCTAAGAAAAGGATATAAGGTCATTTTCCTGTACCGTTTAAAATCATTGGAACCATTCACAAGGCACATAAATATCTGGCAACTCTTGGAATCACTTTCCTCATCAGATTCTGGTTCACAAAGTAAGATCAGTGATACTAATCATTTGCCATTTACGATATTAGTTTAACATTATCATCGTATCATTATCTGTCTCCTTCTTAATTATTATCCACAGTTGATCCTTTAGTTTATGACGAGTTATCAAAGACTGTATCAATTTACCGAGAGAGTAAAGCTAATATACTGATGATCACATTTACAACCCTTGCCGAGTATCTTTATTACCTTCGGGAAATTTCATTCTCAATGCAACCATTGGGATCGAAAGCGGCTCTTTACCTTGCAGCCGCAGTTTCGGACTTTTACATTCCACCAACTGACATGGTAACGATTCGCGAATTTTGAGTCTCACAACCATTTCATATTTTCCATCTTCTTTTTTACAGGCGACCCATAAAATTCAGTCTAAAAATGGTCCACTTAGTCTTGTCTTTGAATTAGTTCCCAAAATGTTGCGACCATTGGTCAAGTTTTGGGTCCCTTCGGCTTTCGTTGTTTCTTTCAAGGTATTTAAAGATTATTCAAAGGAAATTAGATATTATTTTACATTTGTTACTCTTCGTCTTTTTTTAGCTTGAAACTGATGAATCGATATTGTTGGACAAGGCAAGACAAGCGTTAATCCGTTATGGTCATCACTTGGTCATCGCAAATGTATTGCACACCCGAAAAAGTCAAGTTTTGATCGTCTCCGAGAAAGAATCGCATAAAATTACCTTGCCCAGTCCAGAGATGGAAATTGAATCAATTATTGTGGATCAAGTTATTTGCAAACATAAAACTTTCATGGACAATTAATTTGATTGTCTGTTGGTTTACAAATCAAATAACATTACAATGGTTTCAGTGCAATTTTTTTTAATGATTCATGATCACAGTGTTGATTGTTATTACAAAGGATGATTTTATACTTTTATTAATACGAATAGTAATATTAAAATAATATTATATTAACTCACAATAAGTTCAGAAAATTTAACTAATCTTTTGTATTTCTAGATGTTGGTCTTATTTTTTTTTTATCAGAATCAATCTCATTGTTGAATTGATTTAGTCTAACAAGTAAATGGTGTTGGTTAAAACAGTTGATTAATTGTGATTGAAAATATTAGATCGAGCTTTGTTTTTTCCTAGCAATCAAGCAAACAAATGCGGAGATCAATAAATAGATTGTATTCCCGGATTGATTAATTGATTATTTTCGTAATTCCCAGCGTTAGTTTTACATAAGAGTGAATGTTTCCATTTAAATGTGCGAAGAATTGTGAGAAAAAAACAAATGAATCAACTGGTCACAAAAGAATAGCCAGTGGTCAATCGTTCGATGAATGAGATGTTCGCTCCATTCGTGTTACCATAATTTTCTCAATAGAAAAGATTAAATTAAAATGTTCAGTTCGCGCTCGACATGATGAGCCACATTGTGATTCTAAATATCGTTTCAACAGGTAAATGTACGTATATTGTTCAAGTCTAAATATCGAAATCAAAAAAGAGAGAAAATGAAATATTTTAATTGCGTAAGAAAATCAACAATTAATCAACTTACTTAATTGTATCAATTGCTTGCAAGTTAGGAAGATCAGGGTTGAATAGGACGATTGCAATTAAAATACAAATAACTTTAGGATCACTGATCCAGTTCAAGTTAATTGTGTTTCCTTGATCACTTTCATTGCTAAATGAATCTTCAACTCGTCTCAAAGGATTATCAGGTTGTTGATTAGTTGCCTAAATTAAATTAAAGGGGAAAATCATAATAATGATTGAAGAAAAAGAGAGTTGATTAGAATTAGATTTAAACGAAGCAGTGCAATTTACGTTCAAGATTTACTGAATTAAACTTATTTTCTATGATGATTAGATAATAGATTGTTCAATCAATTGTAATTATCTGACTCTTGAACTGAATGTTGGAAAATGTCCAATCATTTGAACATTTGAAAACTCAGATTGAACTAATTACCACTCCAATAACAATCCATGGTAATTATCTGATTGCTATCAACAAGTTTTAATGGTAAAGGTAAATTAAATATAGAGATTATTAGTTACCTGAATTCAATTGACTTAATCGTGTTAATTAGTATAACTCATGATACACTCGTACTTAATAATGGTTTCTATTTATATAACAATCAACAATCAAGTGCAATTTAGATATAAACATTAATTTTATGTACATAGAGGCGGGAAAAGTTAATTCCAAGTTCAGAAAACAAGTAAAACAGAAAGAAAAATTAATTACATCTACTAGTAATTGAAGGATAGATGATTAAGATAGATTAATGGTGATTAATTGTTTGATTAATTCGAGATAATAATTTGTTTTCAACATTATTGTCTACCTAAACTCAACATATACAGTTAATACTCATTAAGTAATCAAAACTGATTTGGTTTTGCAGAAAAAAAAAATGATTCTAATCAAACAATTGGGAGATGAAATTTGCAACTGTAACGATTAATTGTTGGCTATAGCTGGAAATGTAATAGGATTAAATTAGGTTTTAATTAATGGTAAATATGTTTAATTACTTGCCAACAGTTATCGCTCGGTCTGGGTGAGGATGAGGTGGTTGACATTGAGGCACAAAAGTGACTTTTAACGGTCAGTATATCGGGAAATCCTCCTTTGACCAGAGTGATTTGATCTTCTAGACACAATTTAGAGTAAGAAGATAAACACCTACAACCGGAGATCAATTTTTCTAGATAAAGGTCGGTAAATTGTGTTACACCTTCAATGGAGGTTAATTCACAATTGTTTACGGTTAGTGGTTGATTAAAAAAATCGAAAGCATTGACTAAACTATCGATCGTTTCAGATTCTAGATCATCTAATGCGAATCCTTTTCGACATCCTTGCTTTAAATGACTTGGAGCAAAATTAGCGTCCAAAATTTTACGAATCACTCGGGCTTTCAAATTGCAATCAGTTTGATTGATTGGTGTTAATGATGGTGGTTGTTGTTTTTGTCGATCCGAGCAGGATAACCCTGGTGGATAAACACAAGTCTTTTTTGAGCTAATCATCGGTGTCGGTGATGGTGCTAATTTCCGTCCATCAACAATTACACCAACTCGGGTACAAGGATTGGATTCCGATCTTGATGATGACGATGATGATGATTGTGGTTGTGGTTGTTGTAAACAAGTAGCCGTTTCCGTTGCACGAATTGTTGAAGATTGATCAGTTTTGTTTACAATACTCGATTCAGAATTTAATTGATCTACCGATAGTCTAGATGTTGGTAAATTTAGTGCATGGCTTTCAACTAGAAATCTAATCAACCAATCGGAATTACTGTCTGATTTTAAAATACTTTGAATGTCCTGTCTTGGTTGTTTACAATTAGATTGAGGGTAATAAGTTCGTTGTAGAGAATTCATCAGATCAATGGTTGGAATAATTGATGAAGAGGAAGATGATGAGGATGCTGAAGATGAACAAGGTGCAGGCATCAAACCAGAATGTTGTTTGTTTGGACCATAACGATTAAGATTTGAACATGATTTTGATGATTGCAGGGATGAAGATGGTGAAGAGCAGGATGAAGTTGATTTACCAGATAATTGCATGAAAGAAGCTCCCATTTTAGCTGAAGACATTGATAATGATGAAGAAGATGGCGATGGTGAAGGCGTGGGCAGAGATAATGATGACCAGGTATTACGATTAGATGAGATGGAATCATTATCTTTAACGAAGCTCCTTGAAGTTAATTTGTTACACATTTTAAAATCTCGTAATAAATTATCTTTGCAATTGTAATTAGATGATCTTGAACTGATAGTAGAACTTTTGACACTACCACACCCACGAGACAAATTGGTACAATTTTCAAATCGAGATTTTTTCTCATCATCACTTTGAGCCCAATCTTTTCTCATGCCAACTTTAAGACATTTTACCAAACGACATCGGCGACATATTTTCCTGGTAATTTTATCAATATCACAGTCGTTATTAAACGGACATTGTAATTCCTTAATTCAATTAATATAAAAAACAAAGGAGAAAAAAAAGAGGAAAACAATTAATAAACAAGAAAGACATCAACTTGTCACCACATCAACACATAATTAATATAGAAAAAAAAAGAGAATAGAAAATGCTGACTCGCCATTATCACATTTCAACAGAAAATCATATGATTTAATTTCAAACTAAATTCTAGTTGATGGTCACTTCTCAAGAGGTCAATTCTCATCTATTCTAATGCAAAACTTACCTCTAGTTTGTCCGCTGTCCGTCTAAAGAAGGCCTTACATGGTTCACATGTGAGGACACTGAAATTATAACCGATTGCTCGGTCGGAGCAAATACGACAAACATGTTGATTGTTGGGATCATTGGAAGAACTTGAATTGTTTGACATTAAATTGCAAAGAAAACGTGGTGATAAAATCAACTGAGAACAAAAGAGAAAAGAAGAGAGAAAAATTTGGAACAACGGAATCTGGTTTTACCTGAAAATAGAAAATAGAATAGACAAAATTAGGGCCAAGAGAAAGTAAGAGAAAAAAGAAAGGAGAAAATGTTGGTTACCTTAAATTGTGGAATTATTACAATTGTGAGAGTTTCTCTTTTCTCTCTCTCTTTTTCTCATTCTACTAATTATCTAGAAGATAAACAGAGAGAAAGAGAGAGAGAGACAAAATAACGGTGATAATTACAATGAGAGAGAAAAAGATAATTATTACAGAGGAAAAGGTGATTAGGAAAAAAAAAAGATAAAAAGAAAACAAAGATAGAAAAAAGAAAGAGGAAAAACGTTCTACTTTCTTTTGGGAAGAAAACAATAACATTAATAGAAAAGAATTTTTTTAAAAAATTTTCTTATCGTTACAAAGAGATGATAAGTTATTAATCTTACCTTTTCGATCCTTTCAACAATTAACTATCCTGGATTAGAATTAGATTATTAACTCTTCAATTCCATTAAGTTTTCTCTCCCTTTAATTAGGTTTAGTGTGTTGATGATCAAATTGTCACATCTAAAGTTAATTGTTGCTAATTGATTGATCATATTTTGTTTATACTTTTTGTTGTGATAATAAAAAATCACTTTTTCGTTGATTGTTTGCCAACTTTTCTGCAGGTATCTAACCAGATTTACCTGATTGTTGTGTAAAACTTGATATCACATTGATTCCCTTATGTTGGGGACAAACATTAATCCTTTGGGTAATTGAATTGTTATCAAGTTAATTGATTGATTAGGTAAAAAAAAAATCAACAATCGATTATCGTTTGAACACTTGAAACTCTTGTATCTTTTTCACTGAATCGTTTCAATGAACACATTAACCCGATCAAGATGAAAGGATGAAAAAGAGACAAGATGGTAAATCACATTAATTAAAAACGAACGACAGAAATTAAATCAAATTAATTGAATTAACTGATCAACAAATTGTTGGAAAACGTTAATGCGCCTGAGCGAGTGATTTGTTGTTTTGATTATCATTCATGACTCCAAACAAGGAGTTTAGTTTGATTTTAAATTGTGGTAAGTCAACAAGTTGTTTCGTTTTGTTTTCTATTAATTGTTACGCGTTAATTTGGTTAATTTAGTTGTTATTTTACCATCGAAAATACTGTGATTAGTGGACATTAATTATGACAAGTACAGGGTAAGAATCAAATTGATATTATTTCATTTTTTTGTTACATTTTCTTTCATCTTGTTTGTCTATTTTGTTTTGTTTATTTTTGTGTTTACACCTAAATGAGTTGTTGTTGTTCATCAATCCAGTTTATTAATCATCTTTATCTTGTTTTAATCTGGTTAATATAAATTACCCTGGATTCTGGATCCTGTTAACAATTAACTGTGTCCTTCCTTTCAATTTAAACAAATGATTGTCTTCAATTTTTATTGTAATTTCATTGAAATGAGATTTTCCATTTTCTGGATTCAATGGCAACTTTTCACTAATTTGTTTTCCTGTTTTTTTCTGTTCTCTTTGTTATTTAAACCTTGTTGTCCTGTTTCACTTATATAGTGAATCTCGTACCCATACAAGGGAATTAAAACCGATTACTCAAGTGACTTATTTCTATGAAGAAAGCCGGGAAACTACAGTTAAACCACAGACAGCAACATCTTCACCTCAACATGTAGTTATGGATCCAAATCCTAAGACAAATGGAACCACTAACACAACCGCTGCCCCGAAGGCAAATAAAAATGGAGCTTCCTATGCAATTAGAGAGCTTGATGATCTGATGGCCTCTTTATCCGATTTTAAGGTAATTCATTAAGACATTCTCTCTCTCTCACCCACTATTCTCGTTTCCACACTAAAATCTTAACCTTCTTTGTTTTCTAATCTTTCTAATATTTCTAGACTTCACCACAACATAATGTTACTAAATCTACTACCAGTAAACCTTATGGAGCTTCCAATGCTATTGGAGAGCTTGATGATCTGATGGCCTCTCTGTCAGATTTTAAGGTACTATCGTTAACCCGTTAACTGTTTCATCCTAAAATTTAATCATCTGTTTAGAAATTGTTCCCTTTGTAATATTGACTCTCTTTTCTTTTATTTAATCTTTTAGGTTAAAGAGAAACAATCTCCTAACCATGAATATGGAAAAGTTCAACCAAAATCCTCATCAATTAAAGGAATTGCTAAACAAACTCAGGTTCAAAGTAAAGCTCAAACTTTGGACACGATGATTGGTGATCTTCAGATTGACATGAGTAAACATGGCGTAGATACAACTGCTAAAGGTCATTGTGCTGCTTGTCATAAACCAATCGTTGGACTGGTAATTGACTTATTCTAATCAATTAATTGTATTAACATTGACTTTTAATGTTATGGTTTCACTTGTCTCACCATTTCAGCTGAAGCCGAAACTTAGATAATCCCACATATCAGAATATTCTTAATGATAGTGGTTATTTTTAAATTTCTCTCTCTTTCTCTCTAATTTGCTGGTCTTGTCTCTTTACGAACACTATTATTAATCATATTTTTTTTATTTTCTTCCCTTTTTTTGTAGGTTGTTACTGCTTTAGGAAGAACCTGGCATCCGGAACATTTTACATGTGTACATTGTGGAATCGAATTGGGGCAAAGAAACTTTTTCGAACGGGAAAATGAGCCTTATTGTGAAGCCGATTATCACAATTTATTTTCACCTCGATGCGCCTACTGTAATTCATCGATTATCGACGTAAGAGCGATTCCTTTCACCTTAGCCCACATTCATGTTTCTCTCTTTTCATCATCATTCATTGATCAAAAATAATAGTAAGAGCAAGAGAAATACAGGAAAAGAAATCAACCCACAGACGATTTGGCAACTTGCTCTGGCATTAAGACTCTAAAGAAGAGGAAGAAAACTGATGATGAGGATGAAAAAAAATGAATAGAATAAATGATTGTTAACACCCAATGTCCTTGGTACAACACCCACAACATGTAGTAAGATGATGATTTAGAGAGCGAGAGAGAGAGAGATGGATAAGAAAAGATTAGTGATGAAGATGAAGATGAAGATGAAGAAAAGAGTGAAGAGTGAAAAGAGAAATGTTTCTCAAAACGAAAAGCAAATAGGGTTAAATGAGGAAAACATTGAAATGATGTAGGAGCTAAAATGATTTTCGACTCAACTCAAAGGTAGATGAAAGAAGTTTTCTCATGCCAAAGTGATATTGATAATACTTTTCAAGAGATTGTCATTGGAATAGAGAGAAAAAACTTCCTTAAACTTAACCTAAAAAACTGTAACGTGTTAAAACTAATAAGTTTCTCTTTATTTTCTCTCTTTTCTAGAAATGTGTCACCGCTTTAGACAAAACATGGCACCCAGAGCACTTTTTCTGTGCCCAATGTGGTAAACAATTTGGAGATGAAGGTTATCATGAGAAAGATGGAAAACCTTATTGTAGCGAAGACTATTTTGATCTATTTGCACCCAAATGTGCAGGATGTAATAGCGCGATCACGGACAATTATATATCAGCGCTAAATTCACAATGGCACCCGGATTGTTTTGTTTGTAGGGTAAGAAGAAGGCGAAACTCATCAGATAAACACGAGAACAACAAACTAATCAGACAATTAACTTTTAACGTTAACAAGTTTGGAATATTCATAAACCATTGCATCTTATTTGAGTTTTTTATTGTTTGTTTACAATTAACTTGTGTTTTCTTTAAGATATGATTAGATTATTATCAAGAACTGTCTGTTTATTTTGTCCAGTAATTTGATAGAAATTGTTTATCTTATTAATTATTATTTTCCTTGATTATTGATTATTATTAATTATTGATTACAGGATTGTCGATGTCCATTTATTGGAGGTAGTTTCTTTGACCATGAAGGTCAACCTTATTGCGAGACACATTATCATGCCAAAAGAGGATCACTTTGTGCCGGATGTCACAAACCAATTAACGGACGTTGTATAACAGCCATGTTTAGGAAATTTCATCCTGAACATTTTGTTTGTTCATTTTGTTTGAAGCAACTTAACAAGGGAACTTTTAAAGAGCAAAATGATAAACCATATTGCCATTCGTGTTTCGAGAAACTTTTTGGTTAACAAAAACAAATCGAAACCATCGTCACCAATCGCATTACCATCAGTGTCACCTCAAGGTTTATGTCGAACTGACCATGAACCCGCTTCCACACTTTCTGAGGATAATTTACATCTCTCTCTCTCTCTCTCTCTCTCTACACCCACCAACCATAACATAACAATGACTCAATAACAATTATAAAACCAGCTTATGACTCCAATCATCACCTCGACAAAATCAACAATGACAAGACTCTCGCATCTCTAATTCACTTTGAAAATCAAATACTCAGTCAACACATCGAAAATCATTGACCCTTAATAACGAAAATATTTTCGCATCCAGCCCACTTTTCTCTATCCATTGATAAAATTGCGATTCACGGAAAAGAAAAGTTAATCATTGACCAACCCTGAAAACTGAGTTACTCTTCACCACGCTTACGAGTGCGAAACAAAAATCTAAATGAATGAACTATCCATTAACTACTATTATTATAAAATTTGAATGATTAAATCACCATGAACAACAATTAATCATTGATAATCGCCAACGAAAAAAAAGTTACGACTACAATTGAAATTGAAACGATCAAGTCATGATAACAAATCTATGATCAGCAATAAATCTGAGGCCTTGATAAAGTACCAATTAAAACACACGTTTAAATGATTAACATCAACAATTTTATCAAATTAATCATCATAATCAAATTAAACTATTATATCAATAACAATATACTTAATGTATTAATTAAACAAATTAAAAGAAACTCATGTTCCAATCAAAATGATTGAACAATTAATTTGTTCAAATGTTAATTTCCATTAGTGTTTCGTGTCTTTGATTACTCGGAAATCAATCTAACTAATAGTTGATTAACTAACAGTTGATTGAATAAACCAATAAATGAATCAAAATGATCTTTTAATTGAAATCAATCCAAAAATTGAATCAACAACTAATCATCAATACAACATTGATATTTAGGGACAAAACTGATTGACGTACCTGAGCTTTGGGTAACATTTAGATTGATTAATTTGTTTAATTGTTGTTTGATTGATTATTCAGTTGGTTAACTTAAACGTTAATTTGATTCTGGTTCATGAGAAAAGTTGGTTTAGTTAGATTCAGATGAATTAAACAGTTTTCAAGATAATGAACTTGAAATTAAATAAATACTTTTAATTAGAATTGGAAAGTTAATTGTTTCACCTGAAATTGTTTAATTAACAATTTGTAGGATGAACAGTAACTATCGTCAATAGTAAATCATTAATAATGTCATTGTATTTTTTACTCTCTGTTTCGAATGAGATTAACTAAATTAGTCTAAATTATTTTTCTTGTTGAAACTCATTGAAAGGTGATTACGATAATAATGGGATCTTTAATTGTTTTGGTTCTTAGTAGTTTGTTCATATTTAACTCGGTGAATATTATCAAGTCTCGAACTCTAAGTGATGCTACAAATCGTTCAGGATATAAAGCGGATGATAAACGGGATTTATCGAAACGTCAGGTCGAAGATACTGAGGAAGTTTTTGATGTTAATAATACTTTTGAAAATGAAGTCCAAGTCGAAATCGAAGACGATGGTCAAGTGGATGATAATTCAGAAGAACAAGTCGAAGAAGAGGTAGAAGAAGAAGGTCAAGATATCGAAAAATATGAAGAGGACGAAGGATCCGAGGAACAAGAAGAGACTGAAGACGATGAAGAAAATGACGGTGAAGCTCAAGAAGATGAAGAAGGAGAAGAAGAAGAAAAGGGAGAGGAAGAGGAAGAGGAAGAGGAAGAAGAGAATTCGGATGAAGAGGTAACAGAGGAAGAAGAGGAAGATAAAGCCCATCGAGAATCTCACCTTGGTCGAAGAGCCGGTAATTCGAGAATTGTATCGAGTAGAAATGGTTTTCCCACTCGAAGAGGAAACTCAATCGGACGAGAGAGCAACATGGAAGATCTTGCTCACAAATTGGGAGGTGTAGTTAAGAGTATTAGTCAAAGTTTTCGATCTAAAATGAACGATGGTCAAGAGTCTCATTCGATAGATAATCCAAGGCCAAACATGAACAATGACGTAAGTTCGACCTTTAATTCTCAGGCCAATGGTGATTCATCAATCGCCTCGAGCTCCACTCAAGGAACTCAACCAGGAATGAATTCAGATACTCAGAGTCGAGAGGCCATGATACCAATGATGAATAATGAACAAAAAACCGAACCTAAAATGGACTTTGGCCAAACCGAATCAACTAATCAACTTCCAATCAATCAAAGTCCAATTAATTTGATGTCATAAAATTGAAATGATTAAACAAATTAATCCAACAAATGAAATTTCATCTGCTCATCTTAAATTGTTCAATTTAAATTTCACTTATTGATTGAATTTTAATCTTGTTCATCAATATCATGAGTCTAATAATTAGATCAAAATTTAATCACGATCTTCAATTGTTAATAATGTTTTTTTTTGTCATCATGATTTTCATTATCATTACCTTTTTATATATTGAATAAAAGTATTACCATAATTATGATACAATAGCGTCATGATTGATAAAACAAATTTTTCATGAGGAAAAGCAAAAGTTCAGCTGAATTGATATTCAGATCAAATGAACTTTGTATCTCCATCTAACCAGAGGGAGCTTTTAACTGGGAGTTTTTTCATCTTCATCCTCATCATTTTCCAGTTTCATCAGTTTGTAAACAACACTTATTATTTACTCCGCTGATTTGAATGTAAATCAATTACAATGATTAAAATATACAAAGTCTTCCTGATTTCTTTATCTTTTAATTGTCAGCAATTTACTTTTCATGTTAATCAAGTGAAATGAACAAAAGATGAGCAATAAATTATCAACACATAAAGATAATTGAATAATTATAATTGAGTGAATTGTGTAAAAACCATTTCAACGCTAATGAATTTAATTGTTTCTCTTGTAATAATTTAAGTTGTTCAATCAACATTTCCTGATAAAACTCAAAATATGATCAAATTGATGGTTAATTGTTATCATTATTGTAAAATGTTTTTCCTTTTATACCTGATTTTGTGTTTACCTTTGAATGTAACATTAGATGATCGAGTTGTATTCAACATTGGAGCTGTTCTCAGTTCTGGTCCTAATATCGCCCTGTTTTTACAGGTAAATTACTCAATGTTCAATGAGTTGAACAGGTGAATTGATTATTGTTTTTCTCTTCCCAATGACAGCAAATCGAAACGGGCAAACTGATGCTTCCAGCTCGAACTGAGTTGATTGGTAATACGGTTCCAATGAGTGTTAATCCAATTCGAACTGCTCAAGATGTTTGTGATAATTTAATCTCTCGACAAGTTTACGCCGTAATTGTGAGCCACCCGAATACAGAGGAATCATCTCCAGCTTCGGTATCATTTACCTGTGGATTTTACAACATACCTGTAATAGGTAAATGCTCAGTTGATTTTTTTTTCGCTTTTCGTTTATGATTAAAGAATCTTTTTTTCGTCTTCTTCTCTATTCATTTGAAAGGTATTTCCAATCGAGATTGTTCATTATCGAATAAGAATCTTCATGGATCTTTCATGAGAACTGTTCAACCTTATTCTCATCAAGCTGATGTTTGGATTGAACTTCTTCGTTCTCTTGGTTATCAATCGGTCATTTTTATCCATTCTTCGGACAACGATGGTCAATCGACTTTACATCGATTCCAAAACATGGCCGACAGAAGTAAGATCAAAATTGAAAGGATTATCGAATATGATCCAAGGGTAATAAACATCACTTCGGATATGAATAAGGCTAAAGAAGAGTTAAGTTGCCGAGTGTACATTTTGTATGCCAGTCGAGAGTCGGCGATGAAAATATTCAAAGAAATCGAACGTCTCAATATGACCGGATTCGGGTACGTTTGGTTGGTCTCAGAACAAGCACTTGGCTCATCAAATGTACCGAACGGTGTCATTGGTCCGACTTTGAGAAATGCTCGAGATGAGGCTTCTCATATTCGAGATAGTGTTAATATCATCGTAATGGCGTTGAGAAATTTATATCAGCATGAGAATATCACTCAACCACCAAATGATTGTCGTCGAACTGTTGACCAATGGATGACTGGAGTTACTTTCATGAAATATCTGAAAAATCAAACTCTAGAAAACGGAGCAACGGGAAAGATCACTTTTGATGAGAATAATGATCGACGTGAATCAGATTACTCGATAATCAACATTCATTCAGGTATTAAAACCGAAGTTGGTAAATATGTTTATAATCGTAAAACCGATTCAATGATAATGAGTCTAAATGAAAGTGAAATCATTTGGCCTGGAGGCTCATTAACAAAACCACCAGGTTATTATGTACTAACTCACTTGAAGATTGTTACAATTGCCGAAGCTCCTTTCGTTTGGGCGACACCAGTTAATGAACTGGTCACCGATTCTTCAACTTCATCTCCATCTTCCTCATCTTCCCAAATAACGACATCAACCTGTCCACCAGGAAGTATTCCCTGTCCTCGGAATGATTCAATCACTGGACTGGAATCATTGTATTGTTGCAAAGGCTATTGCATTGAATTGTTAACCAAATTAGCTGATCAAATGGGATTCACGTACAATTTATATTTGGTTCCTGATAAAATGTACGGAGCTTATTGGTTCAACTTGGAAGGTAAAAAGCAATGGAATGGTTTAGTTGGTGAGCTGACCAACAAAAGAGCTGATATGGTAATTGCTCCTCTGACAATTAATCCCGAGAGAGCGAAAGTGATTGACTTTTCGAAGCCATTTAAATATCAAGGAATCGCCATGTTACAGAAAAAAATTCCCAAAGGTGCTAAGCTTGATTCTTTCTTGCAGCCATTTCAAAATACCCTTTGGTTACTTGTTATGGTTTCCGTTCATGTGGTCGCTCTTGCTTTGTACCTTCTTGATCGTTTTAGTCCTTTTGGTTCGTTTGGACTTTCGAAAGTGGCCACTTTAAGACCTGATGAAGAGAAGGCTTTGAACTTTTCTTCGGCTCTGCTCTTTGCTTGGGGGGTTTTACTCAATTCGGGTATTGGTGAGAAAACACCGAGATCTTTTTCCGCTCGAGTCTTAGGAATGGTTTGGGCTGGATTTGCGATGATCGTGGTTGCTTCTTATACCGCCAATTTGGCCGCTTTTCTGGTTCTTGATCAGGCTGAGACCGAAATCACCAGTTTGGATGATGCAAGACTTAGGAATCCAGCTGAAGGATTTACCTATGCTACAGTCAGGGGAAGTTCAGTTGACATGTACTTTAGAGGTCAAGTTGAATTGTCCAATATGTATCGACTGATGGATGAGATCAATAAACCAGACACTGAATCTGCAATTCAGGCTGTTAAAGACGGTGATCTGAATGTATTTTTTTGGGATTCACCTCGATTAGAGTATGAAGCTGCTCAAGATTGTAAATTGATCATTTCCGGTGAAACATTTGGTAGATCCGGTTATGGTATTGGTTTACAAAAACACTCATTTTGGACGGAAAATGTGACTTTGTCCATTCTCGGTATGCACGAATCTGGATACATGGAGGGATTGGATAATAAATGGATCCTCAAGGGCGATGAAAAGTGTGATAAAACTCAAGAAAACTTTCCGACCACTTTGGGATTGAAAAACATGGCGGGTGTTTTCATGCTGGTCGCCGGTGGAATCGTCGCTGGATTTATATTCATCACCATAGAGATTTCTTATAAGAGGCAGAAAGCGAAAAGATTTCGCCAAGTAAATTCGGCGAAAAAAGCAGCCAAAAAATGGAGGTCACTTGTCGCGGTGAGAAAAAATCGAAAACTTTTCCTCTTTCAATGCGATTTCCATTGTCCGACAGATCAAATTAACTTTTTACTTTTATTTAATTACAGAGACAAAAACAAATGAAAGCTCCTTTTAAAGTACCAATCAATATGGTCCATCCATCGACCTCATTAACACTATCAAGCTCAATGATTGGATCTGGAGGATTAACGGGTGCTGATATAATCTCCCCAATGACACCTCCGAATGTGATACCGATCGGTCAACAATCGGGACCTCCACCTACTCCACCTCCACCGTTACCTTTTAAAAGGACAGCTCGTGATCAGCAAACACAAGATCGTAATCGTTTGGACTTGATTGCGACCTCACCTTATCCACCATCCACCAGACCAGCTCCAGGTTTCCGTTTATCGGCTCCTTATACAGTTGAAAGAAACATGAATGAAATGATGAAATCTCCGACTTCATATACTATCTCGTCCAATCTTCCTGATATTGGTCAATCATATTCATCACAACAACCACAAATACCGCCACTTCCTCTATCATCTGGAAACAATTCTGGTTCAGGGCAAATGCCCTCAGAGGGTTTGTATCAATCATCAGGTTACTATCCATCAACTGGTCAAGATGTTCCGTCCGTTGGAGAAGTGGCCACTTCATATTCGAGTCAATTAGACCCTGATATACCACCTCCACCACCACCGCCATTATCAACATCACCACGACCTCCTCGAACTCCACAACAACAACACACTCCGTACATGAGGCGAGTTAAAGGCTACTTTGCCGTCTGAAATCGCGAACAATAAATAAAATGTTTCGTTAACTAATCAACTTAATTTGAAAGGAATAATGTTCAAGATCATTTCTCAAAGTAGTTAATTGATGAAAGAACAAAGTTAATTGTTAGTTTCACAATCAAGTTAAAATCTGTTTCTTCCCAAATAATTTCTGATATTATGATGAACAATTATATCATGTAAATGGTTAAAAGTTTGAAACAATTAAATAATAAACAGAAAATGAAATTGTAACGGTAAATTTATAATCGATTCGTATTTTCAATTAGTAGAACCGGTTCAATTTCGAAAATAACTCTAACTGGACACTGACCAGTAGTCGATTATACTCTTGACGGAATAGTCCAAAAGAAAAATCCAAATAAAGTTCTGAACGAAATCGATATTTCTTTCATTTAGTTCATTAAACGAATATTATTTTCATATTTGGCGCTTTTCTTTTTCTCTTCAATGTTTATCTTTCTGGTTCTATGGAGATTTGAATGTTTTGTTTACAACACATTTTCACTTTTCTAATTATGATTAGTTAATTGTTACCGTATCTCTTTTTGATTAATTTTTTCTTGTGATTCTGTTTAAAAATGGCCGGAAGGAAAATTTTCTTCGACAATTTTGTCTCTAAAAACGCTCTTCGATTACCAAGAAAAGGCTCAGATCCGAATCTTGCTGATCTTTATAACAATGCAAAGAGAATCAATTTAAAAAGAATTGAGAGAATTCAAGCAAATTTAGATCCATTTTATCCTAATATCGCTTCTTTCAGGTAATTGTTTATCTTCTTTACATCAATATAATGGTAAAATTAACTAATTACTGTGATTCTTTTTCAGAGAGATGATCCAATTTTTATCCAACAAAAGGATTCGCAAGACAAATGAGGAATGTATCTTGAAGACGAATATTGTTAATTCTGGAAACGAACCTGAGTTACAATTCTTCCTAAGTAAATATACATCAGATTTTCTTGTTGTTTTCAATATTAATACTTGTTTATTAATTGACAGAGAATGGTAAAAAATTGGTATATAAAACTGGTCTTCTACAAACAATTGATATTTTGTACCATCTAAACAGTAAACTGGCTGAAGTGGAGGCAGATTTTTCTGAAGAATAATTAACTTATTAAAATCGATGGATTAATCTTGTTCTTGGAATATTTGATTTGGTCCTGATGTAAAATCCTGTAGTATATTTACTTGTAATACTGTAATAGAAGAGAGAGAGAAAAAAGTTGGTCGAAAAGCTCCAATTGAACAATATTGAAATCGTGATGGTCAATTGATTTTTTCTCCCCGATATTCAACAACATTGTCATCAGTTTCATGGACAATAACAGAATAGAGTATATCTCTAGGTAGTTTCTCTTTCACCGAATCATAAAGATAAACAGAAATGTTTTCCACCGTTGAGACTTTCCCAGAATCAATGAAATAAGGGACATCCCTATCAATGAATTTATGGTCAACTGTTTCAATTACTTGTTCCATGATTCGCTTCAATTGAGTTAAATTGATGAGCATTCCGGTTTCTTCGTCGATTGGTCCTCGTAAATTAACTTCAACTCGATAATTGTGACCATGTCCATTGATATTATTACATTTTCCATAGATTTTACCATTAGTGAGTGAATCAAGTCTAGAAGAGTTCAAACGATGAGCAGCACTGAATGAAATTTTCTTCGTCAGGTAAACTATCGGTGAACCTTTTTTATCCATCAAATCAGTTAATAGAAAGCTGATTGGTAAGAAAGAAAAACAATTCAACCAAATTAAACAATATAAATCAATAATAATCAACAACAGATGACAACAAGTGTAAATGTTAACCAGAAAAGGAAGAAAAAATTTCGATTTATCAAGAAAAAGATTCGATTGAAATCGATTAATAATCGCTCATCTCTTAAACTTTAATTAAATTCACATTTAAATCAACGTTGATTTATTATCATAGTTAATTAAAACAGTAAAAATTAACATAATGGGAATATAAACAAAGCTAAACAATTACAGCTGAAGATAAATTGTTATCTAGATGATGATGGAAACAATAGGAAACAGTAGTTTTATTTTCATCGACAATTCAGTTAACTTGATTAAATTGTTTCGATATTTTAATTGCTCGACAATAATTAACAATGACAGGTATAAGAATCTTAATTATATGTGCTTCAATTGTTACTACTTCAATTTGTGCTCCAACATTGGATGACGATCTGAGCGATTCAATTAAAATAACCTTTGGTATTGACGGGAATCCTCAAGGTGATGATGGCTCACTTTCTAATTCAGATGATGATTCGGGTATTGGTCGGCTTTTCTCCGGGCTTGGAATAGATATGAGTGCTAATGGTGAATTGGGTTCTGGTTTGGGATTAAATAAAGAGGAAAAAACTAAACAAACGAGAGAGCAAACAGAAAGTGAAGATGATACGGAGGAAGAAGCGGAAGAAGAAACGGAAGATGAGGCAGAAGAAGACGTCGATTCTGAAGATTCTGATTCGTACTCCGAAGAATCTAAAAGTTCGAGTTCCAACTCTGAAGATTCTGAAGATGAGGATGAAGAAGATGAAGAAGATGAAGAAGATGAAGATGGCAACATAATAGAAAATACCCTGAAAATGGTTAACAAAGGGGCAACTTCAGGTTTGGATCGTGCTGATGGTCGCGGATTCGTGGATAAAGTAACTGGATTATTAGATTTTGGTTCTGCTTCAGATTCAAAATCATCTGAAAAAAGTAAATCGAACCAAAGTTCAAGAAAAGGAACAAAAAGTGCAAGTGAATCATATTCTTCATATGATAGTGATAATGGCGATCAATCAAGTGCTGATGATACAACATTCGGACTTAAGTCCACTCTCGATTACGGGATGGGAACTGGTAAAAGTTTTGCAAGCAGATTAGGAGGTTTGTTTGAAGCATTTGGAAATGGTTTTGGGACATCGTCTTCGGACTCAGATGATGTGTCGAGCTCACGTTCGGATTCAGATTCTCAACAGACTGAAAGGTTTTCATCAAGTAAATCGTCACAAAGAGGTAGAAACTCTGAGAGCAACGATGAACAAATCAATGATTATTCTGATAGTGATTCTTATCAATCAAATGATCAAAGAAATCGAAAACATTCAATAAATAGCATCGCCAATAGTTTAGGACAAATAGTTAATTCGTTTGGATTAGGATCGTTCGGTTCCGATTCAAGGTCGGTATCTAATTCAGGAAGTGCGTTAAATACCGGAAGCAATGATTCAACCAGTAGAGGAAAATCATCTTATTCGAGTAGCTCAGCTTCTTCTTCAGCCTCATCGGCTTCAAATTCTAATTCAGGTAATTCGATGAACGAACTTACCTCACAGTCAGGTCAGAGTATGACTTCAGGTTCAAGTTCGGTATCTAATTCAAAAGATGCATCAAGCATAGGATCAAATACCGGAAGTAAGGATTCGAAAAGTGCGTTAGAAAATTCTTCCTCATCATCCGCATCGGCAGGTTCGTCCTCATCTGCTTCAAATCAGAAAATGAACAATAAAAATTATCCAAATTCGAACTCAGGCTATTCAATGAACGGAGTTACTTCAAGTGCAAGTTCAAATTCAGTAAATTCAATGAGTGAATCACCTTCGCAATCGGGACAAAGTACGACCTCAGGTTCGAGTAGATCCTCGTCATCTAATAAAAATCAAGGATCAACAAATAAAATCAGACAGGAAATGCAAACAGTTCAGCATCATCATCATCATCCATAAATTCATCAAATTCAAATTCAAATTCAAGCTCAAGTTCATCTTCAACCACCGATTCCAGAGCTCAGAGTAATCGTATTGACCAAAACACTAACGATCCCAATGGTCAAGGAGGATTTTTACAAAAATTAACTTCCAACATTGGATCAGCTATAAACCCTAATGGACAGGGACTCGAAGTCAAAATGGACATTGGGCTTCCAGATATGACACAAATGAACCAAATGAATCCATTTAATTGATAAAAAATCGAAACAACAATCAAAATAAAAACAAATTTCAATTGATCAAAACATTGAATGAAAACGAAAAAAACTCCAACAAAATAAACTAATTTAAATTGAAAGAAAACAAATCAGTTGATAATCAAACCAATAGATCGAGCTAAAGGTTCAATCTTTAAGCAATTAACAAGAGAATCAAATCACGAAAAACAATTTAAATGACTCGAAAAAACTCAAATAAATCAAATGATGAATGAAAAAAAACTACGAGGAAAAAAAGACCAAACAAAAATGAAGGAAACAATTAACTCCCTAATTGTCCTTTGTCCTTTAATCAAGAGAAACCCTTTCATGACAATCAGTCAAATGAAAGGTGAAGAGTAGATGACGATGAAACCGATGAACATGATGAACATGATGAAAGAGGAAGAAACTGAATGAAAAAACGAGAAAGAAAGTAAATTAACAGGAAAACAAATGGAAAAGAAAAAAAAAAGATACGATTAATTTTCCACTAGATGGCAGTGGAATAAATGGAAATGAGGTCACACAGAATTTTGAATTTCTGTTTACAAGATTATCGTTAATACAACAATTGTTTTGTTTTATTCTGATTTTATTTTATTTTTCCAATTAATCTTATTACCTGTTATTGTTGAAATTGTTTACATCTTAATTGTTACCTCGTCACCTTCAATCATTTATCATCGTATCATAATTGTTACCTAATTACCTTGGACATTAAATTTTATGTAATTTATTTTCTTCTTCTCTATCAATCTCTCAATCTTTCTCACTTTCACACACTCTCTCTTTAATATCTCTCTCTCTCTTTCTCTCTCTTTCTCTCTGTGAATTTCTCTCCAAAAATTCAATATCTATTTTAATTATTTGTTAATCACTTACAACCAAAAATCTAACCTCAACCAACAATCTAATTAAACCAGTGAGAAGAGAATCAATTGAACATCAACCGATTTGTAAACCAATCGTTAATCCTGTGAGCCTCAACATAGTTTCATATTTACGTATCACCGATTACCTAATATAATTTTGGTGAATTATGATTTAATTAATCAATGGTTCCCCTTTGATCATCATCTCTATTCCATCATCATTGTATTTTTTTTTCTGATTATCAGATACAGTTAGATGTCTCTCTATGAGTAGCCTTTGTAGCTAATTTTTTCTCTTTCTCCCTTTATGTCTACAAAAGTAGTTGCCATTTTGGTTTGACTTTTTTTTCTATTCTTTTTCTGTCTCTTTCTATTTTTTTTTCTCTCTCTTTCTTTCTCTGTGTTTTAATCTCTTTGCCTTAACAAAAATTGAATTCTAATAATTGAACTTTCATCTTGATTGGTGGTGAAAGCAAACACAACAACAGAAAAGCTCATAAAATAATAATATTAATTGTTACCAGATTCAATCATCCTACTAATTGTTAATCACTTTTGCTCTCCCTTTTGTGCTTCTTTCTCATCTTCTCATCTTCTAATCAACAATAACATCATCTCTATATTGTGTCATCATCATAAACATTTAATCAACATCTTCATTTCTTTATCCTGGTTATACTTAAATCGTTGTTACTCATAACTGTTAACTTGTTGACTGTTAATTGTATCAATTTATTATTATTATTATATAATTAGTAATACCACAATCAACTATTAATAGTCACACTAGATATATATAATTAAATTAATTTGTTAAATTAAGGTGTATTACCGAGGAGAGAAATAAGATAATCAAACGAGAGAGTGAAAAAAGAGAGAGAAAATTTAAATAGAAAGAAAAAAAAGAAATTCTAAAAAAAGAATTCAAGCCGGACCAGTTTTCTTTTTCTTCTCTTACTGTAACTCTTTCTTTCTGCCTGTCGTTTCCCTCTCTTTCTCTTTCTCTCTCTCTCTCTCATCTTCAATCTTCTCTGTCTTCACCGAATTACCAAAGGTTAAGCCATTGATTGTGTATCATATTCGTTAAAGGTAAGCAACCAGTTTTTTTGTTTTTTTCTTTTCTCTTTCACGATGTTGTTGTTGTTGATTTTCGTTGGTTATTGTATCCAAAATATGTAACCCTCTCTTTCCTCAGAGATCTTTGATTCTCTTTCTTCCTCCTTCTTTCTTTTTTTTTATTCTTTTTTTTCATGATCATGATCATTATCACATTCATATTATGACTCTAATCTAACCCAATACATTGGAATAATTAAATTCTGTTTAGTTGTAACCTCTAATTCATTTAGAATGGAGTATAATGAACAACCCAATATCTTTTTCGCTTCTCTTTCATTTTTTTTCTCTCTGTTTCAATGTTACATTCAGGGAGTAACATACATATGAAAGAGATTATCTGTAACTGTCTTTTCGACTCTTTCTCTCTCTTTCTCTCTCTCTCTCTTTTTCTTCTTCTCTTGTTCTGTCTACACAATTTACCTGTGTATGTATTCATATGTGTGTCTATGTGTTTATGTGTCTATCAATTTGTCTCTTTCAATTTCTCTTTCTCTTTATGGGGAAAGAAGAAAAAATATTCGAGGCCATCCTGATATCACAGCATTTACCTTGTATAAAGGTAACATGTAAACATATATAACATGGAGAGAATCAGATGAAGAGATGATAGGATGAGAAGGGAGAGAGAGAGAGATTAAAAGACACAGGAATAAGACACACAACGAAAGTGATAGAGAGTGAGAGAGAGGTTTGTTGTTGCTACAGTTAAAGAGTCGAAAGAAAGAGAAAAAGAAAGAGAAGATTGAAAGATAAGAAGATGATAAGGATAGTTATGCACCTCTCTCTCTCTCTCTCTCTTCTTTCTCTCTCTGTAATATAACTACCATGCAAACATTGAATTTTATTTCTCATGACGATCATCATTCTCAACATTAATGTCCTTGCTTTCAATCAGGTTTTTTATTCACCTTCTTTCCTTAATTAATCTCACTCTTCGATTATCTATGATACAGAATGATGATGACCTTCTCCCTCTCCCCCTTCTCTATCTCTCTCTATCTCTTTCTGTTGTATTCCAATTCTTGATTGAATTACAATTTCCAGTGATTTATAAATCTAAATGTCTCTCTGTTGATTGGTTATAGATTGTTGATGTTGTTTTCTTGTGGATGTTGATTATTTTACGTTGATTTGTTGTTTACGTACGTTTCTTGATTGTATAAATTGTATATCCTCTTTTTTTATGTACACAAATTGTTTCTATGGGAAATTTTCATACATGAGATAGTGATAGTTACCCAATTAATTGATAATAATCAAAACAATAACAATAATTATTAATTATTTCTCTTCAACTAATTGAAAGTCAAACATGATTTTAATCACGAAGAGGTTAACGATGGTGAGAATTATAATCAATGAGGAAATCGACGATAAAATTAATCATCTTTGTAATTTTCTCTCTCTCTCTCTCTCACTCACTCGCTCACTATTTCTGCTTATGCAATAATAAGAATCAGAATATTATTTCAATTCTTGTGTAACTTTAGTTAATTTAATCAATCCGATTGAAACCAAATTAAATTCATTCATTTCTCATCGTGATTATCATCGTGACAGATTCACTTAGCCATGAACTGATTGAGTTATTGATTAATTGACGTTAATTATCAATCTTAAGTTGAACCAACAAAAAATTTTAAACAATTAAAACTTTTAACCAAAAATTTGATATAAAAATTTATATTTACCGCCACAGAGAGAGGGAGAGATTATAATTAATGATTGTGATTATTTGATTTGATTAATGTCAATCCAAATTATAATGTTAGTTGATAGTTGATGATAATAATCAGTTGGGATTATTAGTAATTATAATCAGAACCTTGATTAGAGTTTTTCATATTTGATGTTGTGTTAATTGTTATGATACTTTACATTTTTATGAAAAACACTTGAGAATCTAAATTGTGGATGATTAACTAACCATTTTTCCTACTCATTAATTGTCAAGTTAATTAACTACCTTACACTGTGCAATTTGATTGAACAATTAACTAACACGTTTGAATTTAAAACAATAACAACAACTCGTCAATACAAATAGTCAATTGGTAAGTCTTGTTAATTGTAATTTTCTGCTGGTTAATGTTCAATAATCAACCATTTTTTTTTCTTGATTGCTGATTGATTGTGTCGTTAATTTATCTTCCTCTCTCATCAATTATCTTCATTCTTCTAATTTTCTCTGTCTTTTTCTCTGTCTTTTCACATATAAATACACTTTGTTGATTGTTACAATAATATCATCTCACTATTATTATCATTTATTGTTGATGTGTATAAATATACTTACTATTTTCAGGCAACTGTAGTTAATTTTAATCATTGATAGTTTTTTTTACCTTGTTGATTACCGTTAACTTTTTGATTCATCTTTTTGATTATCATCATCTTGTGTTTTCAATCATCATCCTCCTCCGCTTTTATCATCCTAATGATCCGTTTTAATTAAGATATAATATCAAGACACAAGAGGTAACATGAAGTCAAGTGTATACAGAATATTAGTAAACATTTATTGTCACCATAATTTGATTGAATCGATTGATTATCCTGAATAACCAATTGATTAATCATAATTCATGATGAATAAAATGATTATAATGAACAGTTAAAAGGTGTGGATAATTATTTACACAGTAATTAGTTGACAACAATTGATTTTTACTTAATTGTTGAAGATTAAAATTTTTTCCCTTCTAAAAAGTTCTAGTCTTTGGCTATCATCTTGATTATTGTTAACGATTTAACCATGATAATGATGAAGATGATGAAGATGAAGATGATGATACATATCAACTGTTATACTTGTAGATGTGGATGATGATGAAGAAGCTTTTGCCGAAAAGAATTGCGAAAATTTCGAAAAGAACTATGGTCTGGTAGGAAGAAGAAGATGGGGATGAGGATGCTGATGGAAAGATGAGGATGATAATGATGATGATAAAGAAAGAGAAACTAAGCATTTCAATATTCTACTCACTTTCCTTTTATGGAAAGGATAAGTTGGCTCAACATCAACAAAAATCGTACTCATCATCTTCATCGTCTTACTTAATCTCTTACTTTTTCTCTTTCTTTTCTCACCATCATCACGATCATCAACTCTCTCACTCTCTCTTTCATACTCATTAAATGTCTCTCTCATCCAGTTTATGTTTCATCAACATCAACATCAAATTGAAGATTAATAGTTGAGATTAATTGACAACAATATTTGATAATCAGAAACGATCATTGATTAAACTTTTTTTACTTTATCAATGAAGACCAAGGAAGTGAATCTTTTACTAAGGTCGTTTATTGATTTCTATCAATATTTGATTTGTTATTGTTTTCTATGATGTTGACGATTAGAGACAAATTTGGGTGAGAGTCCATTTAGTTTTAGTTGTTAATGATAATTGTCAATGTTAATTTATTAACTGTTACCGTTTTGTTAAAATATCGGTCAACATTTAACATTGGACAGGTTAATTCATTTGCAGCTATTCAAGTCTTTAAATCATCATTTTCAAAGTTTAAAGATGAAGATGAATCTTTAAGGTGATTTATGTTTCTTTCAAATTTTCAATGTTTTCTCATCATCATCACCAGAGGCGGGTTAGTGACTTTCTCTCTTTCTCTCTCTCTCTTTCTTTCTTTCTCTTCCTTGGCACGGGTTTGATTATATCTTTCATCATCTTCCTGTTCTTCCTCTTCTTATCCACATACAGATAGACCGAGTGTGTATGTGAGAGAGAGAGAGAGAGAGAGAGAGAGAGAGAGAGAGAGAGAGAGAGAGAGAGAGAGTCAAGTAAGAAAGTGAAAAGGTCAGAGAGAAATAGAGGAAAGATGATAAACATAAATATTAAGAAGATGTTGAGAAGGAGTGATGTTAATATGCTCTCTGGACTCGTGTGGCCTTCATCCTCATCCTCATCCTGATCATCTTCCTTGTCTTATCCTCTTTGTCCTTAGACCAAGTCTTTAAGACTAATAGATGATCAATGGGAGAGAGACAATGATGATAATGATGATAAAAGTGATACACATATGTCATTAGATAAGATGCTCTCTCCATCATTATGATCACTTCACATTTTTTGCATCATAAAACTGATGCAAAAGAAAAAACAAGAGAATATGAGCCAAAGGAGGGAGCTGAGAGAGAGAGATTCACATCTTTGCTCCATCATCTAAGACTTTCTTTTTATCTGTGATTCTCCTCCTTTTCTACTTCGTCCCGTTATCCACGCGTTCCAATGTTCGCGTGCTTCTTTAAATTCCTTCATCTTCCTCACCCCTTTTACTTAACATTCTCATCGACGTCTCGCGTCTCAGAGTTTATCTTCATGCTTGAAAAGTCTCTCTCTTATCATCCTCATCATCTCCATCATCCCTTTTGTTCAACTGATCCTTTTGTTTCCTCTTTTACAGTTAAAGTTACATAAAACTTGCACATTTTCAGTTTTAACTTGTCTTAGCTTCTCTCAATCTGTTTATACATCATCTTCATCATTATCATATCTTCAACGATGATTTCTGAAAGAAAAAGAAAGCAAACTTTTCCTCTCTCTCTCTCTCTCTCTCTCTCTCTCTCTCTGCATCTTTATCATCATTTACCTTGGAGTCTATTACCTACTTTAACCTTGCTTTCCAACATCTTATAATCATTTTTGGTTAATCGCCTGAAGGCAAATCAATCTGTTTATCATCATCAGTTAATAGTAAACAAAAAATTTAAGGGATTTTCATTATTTTCGAGTTCGCATCTCTCTCTCTCTCTTCTTTCTCTCTCATCAGAAGACGATAATGATGCTAATTAATAATGAAAATTTTACTTTTGAAATTTAAAGTGAAATTGTAACAACATGTAATGAGTGAACTCGTTTGATGATGTTTTTTGCTTTCAAATCAGATGATAATTATAATTGTGACTTTGTTGATGATCGTCATCTAATTTGATATCATTATCACTGATTAAATTGAAATTAAATACTAAGATCGTCATGATGATCGATACAAGATGAAGATAATTATAATGATGATGCTATTGAAAACCTAATACTGAATGAACATCATCATGATCAAGCTGACCAATGACATTATTATGATGATGATCAGCACCAAAGTTAACAGATTAACCTAAACAATTTCAATGGATCAAGTCAATAATAATAATAAATAACTGTTACAATTAAATATGACGTAAGTTTGTATTGGTTACAAACATAAATAGTTTTCAAACAATCTATTTATTTACAATTGTTCATTTTTTTTATTAATATTATTGATGATGATTCTTGTAGCCGATACTTTCCCATGATAATCAACGAGTATCAATAATCATCTTTCCAATGATCTAATAATTGGAATGAAAATAAGCCATTGGATTGTTTGATTAGTTGATTGTGTGAAAATAACGTAAATCAAAGTTCCCAATGATTCAGAATCAGATGAATGATAAACAAGAACGCATGTTATATGTTTCTTTCTGTGTTTCGTTCTTGTTGTTTTTCATGAGTGCAAGAGATGAGGATGAGGGAGAGAGAGAGAGAGAGAGAGATGAAGAAAAGGGAGAAAGAGAGACATTTAATGAGGATGTATAGTTGATGATGTAGATGATGAGGATGAAGATGCTGAGTACGATTCTTGTTGACGCTGAGCCAACTTATCTTAGCCATAAAAGGAAGGTAAGTAAAAGTTTGTAATGCTTGGTCTCTCTTTCTTCATCCTCATCATCTTTATCAACATATTCTTCATCATCTTCTTCTTCCAGACCATGTTGTTTCACTTCTCATAAAGTTTCATGATTATTTTACGAAGTGAAGAAGATTTTTCTTCGCCATCTTCATCCTTCACTTTTCAAATCATCTCCTCTCTCTCTCTCTCTCACATGCATACACTCACTCTCTCGTTCTCTATGAACAGTTGAAGTTTTATTATCATCATTAACTCATTTTACAACAAAGACTCAGGGCCTACATCAATAAATATTAGTAATGATGTTAATTGTTAATTGTATCATCATAATTAAGCTACAAATTATATTCTCAACAATTAAATCTTCCAATATCTTTGATAATCCAACATCGGTTTTCTGTACACGTTTATATTAAAAGATGTTAATTTATCTTGCGAACTCGTGAGCTTATCATCATCATCTCTTTCTTTCTCTTCCTTTTCATCCTCTCTCTCTCTCTCTCTCTCTCTCTCTCTCTCTCTCTCTCTCATAATCATCTTCATCTTTTTCCCATTTCCGTTGTGAATAAGATGCTATTACTATTTGATAAACTCTATGGTGTAAGAGGAAGATGACCTTTCATCTTCCTCTTAAATGCATCCAGAGAGAGAGAGAGAGAGAGAGAGAAGGGGGAGGGAAAGAAAGATGAAAATGAAGGAAGATGAGGATGGAGAAAGAAAAAGTGGAAAAAAGAAAAAAAGAATAAAAAAGAATTCGAATATTAGTCGAAAATTCTCTCAAGACTTTCTTTCTTTTTTTACGTTTTCTTTGGTTCAAAGAAATAAAAGAAGACATTTTTCAGGTAAAAGGTTCTATCGAAAGTCCGTCTCAAAGTCTGACTGGACCGATTGACCTTTCCATTTATTCGAGGATAGATGGTTGTTGTTGATGACGAAGACGATGATGCTTGTTGATAATGATGACCTGAGGTGGTGACCTTTTTTTAACAATCTTCATTGTATTATTATTGACAAACAAGTTTGAGTAAAAATAATCATCTCAAGTCTCCCACAAGTCCCTTTGTTATTTGTTGTTGTTGTTGCTCTGATTGCATATTAAAGGCAAGGCAAAGATGATGATGATGACCAAGAAGATGAAGAAAGAAAGGAAGAGATGAAAAGGCAGATGTTATCAAGAGAGAGAAGAGAGAGATAAAGAAAGAGGAGAGATATGATGAGAAGACGAAGGTGATGAGAAGAGAGAGAGAGAAACAAAATTCAATCACTTTTTCGGGTCAATCTAATTCTAGTAATAAATCATTGTTGTTGTTTTTTTACTTCTCCGTAGATATTTTTTACTGCCTCCTACTTTCAAAGGGTTAAAGTGGCATTTTTATCATCCTCTCCTTATCAGCATCCTTTAGCTCTCCCTCTCCCTCGCTCTCTCTCTCTCTCTAACTTCCTCTTCACCCTCGCCCTCCTACTTCTTACTCTTTACCGTGAGATTGACCTTCCTCTCCCTTGCTTCCTTTACTTATCATCATTCACGGGCTTGGCTTAGATTTTGTTACCGCTGCTGCTTCTGTTATGTCCACTGTCACTTACACAAACGGAATCACCACTGACCAGTGTCCAGTGTGATGACCAAACAGCAGCAGCCAAAAAAAGCCAAGCCCATACATTAAAATTGGGATGTTGTATTATTATGATGATTATTGGGAGTAAGAAAAATATGATGAGTGTGTATTAAGAGTCAACCCCTTTTCTGTTTGTTCATCCCTCTTTGCTTTTCATCATCATCATCCTCCTCCTTATCATCCTCATCATCATTATGATGATCTTACTGCTGCTGCTACCTTCTGGTGATGATGAGTGTTGAGTGTGCACAGTTACTCACTCGACTCACAACTCTCACTTGAAACTTGCATTCAGTATATTTTCAACTTCTCATCAACAATCAACAAAACAACATAAATATAAAATCTTAATCATTAATCTAATTTTGAATTTAACTTTTTTTCTATTTTTTATGTATCATCCATCCAGTTAATTGTGATTGTTAATCATCGCCACACATAAAATATATAATCAAATAATTATTTTACAATGGGACGTAAAAAAATTCAAATCTCTCGGATTACCGATGAACGTAATCGTCAGGTGGGTGTTTTATCCTTAATCCTCTTAATCTTAATCTCTTTCGTATTTCCTTCTAACTCTAACTCTCTCAATCTCTCCTACTCTCTCTCTCTCTCTATGTTGTAATACATGTGTACATCTAAAATAATGATGGTTAAAAACGTAAACAACTACTATTCAGGTCACATTCACAAAACGTAAATTTGGATTGATGAAAAAAGCATATGAATTAAGTGTTCTTTGCGATTGTGAAATCGCACTGATAATTTTCAACAGTACCAATAAATTATTTCAATACGCCAGCACCGATATGGACAAAGTGCTTCTCAAATATACTGAATACAATGAGCCCCATGAAAGCCGAACCAACAGTGATATTGTTGAGGTGAGTGTCCAATAAGTCCGAATCTGTGTATTATCATTATCTCCCTCTCTTCCTTTACCTAACTTCCTCTCTCTCTCACTCATTGCAATCAACGAAAATATCAACATGAAAATGCGATGTGTGTTGTTTGTGTCAATATCAAACATCATCTTGTGACATTTATAATGTTTTTCATCTGAATGTTGATCATCTTTATCCATCATCATCATCATTACCACCATCATGACACCACAATTAATATCATGTTGTTAATTAATCTTCTTCTTCTTCAGACCCTTAACAAAAAGGAACACAAAAACTCCCCCAATGGATGTGACAGTCCCGAACCCGACGACGCTGGTTACACTTTGAACCAAAGGAGTGAAGCAAAATACAATAAACTAAGTGAGGAGTTTGACCTCGTGCTGCAAAGAAACGCAACCCATATCAATGGAAACAGGGTAATTTAAACGATAACAATTAACTTAATTAACTCAAATATATCATCATATTACCTTTTTGCTTTTTACAATCTTCACCTACTTTTCAACCTCTCTCTTTATCCATCTCTCTCTCTCTCTCTCTCCACCCTTGAGACCCACCACCAAATATCAACCTCTCCAATACCTTAAAATGTTATATTTAATTTATATAAATGTTATACTGTTATAATGTTCAATGTCACATCAATGTTTACATTATCATTTATTGTCCTTAAAGTTGGTTAATTGATTAAACAGTTAGCTAATTAGTTAATGATCAATGATGATGATAATTATTTGATTTCATTTGGTTTTGCTTCATCAAGATTAGATTTGTTTTTTCCATTCGCTTATATTTTACTTTTTCTTGCTCGTCCATCAATTGGTTATTGATTAATTTAATTGTGTTAATTTAACATGTTCAAGAGTTGATGATATCATGATTTTAGGATTTCAGGTAAATTGATGATAATGATGATGAAAATGATGATGATGAGCCTAATGAGTCAATTGATTAAAAACGATTGAAATAATTATGATGATTTAAATGAGTTAGTTGAGTCAGTTAATTGTTATGTGATTGTTATACTGTCGTTTGTTACCTTTTATCGTTTCGTCGTTTTCAACGTCAATTGAACGGCCAACGAACTCGAAAACGAACGTTCTTTTGACAGTAAAAGTTGACTGACCTGAAGCACGACGACTACGACGACGATGATAATGACGATACCTGATGATAGTGTAAGTTGAGTGAATTTTGGATTGGCGATGATAAAGAAGCTAAAAAGATGATTAAATTTAACATTCATTCATTCATATATTATCATTATCATCATCTTTCATCTTCATTCCCTCATCATCATCATCATCATGACCTTAATTTAGTTACATACATTTAGCATTTAAACTACTATTCTGTTGGCCTAACGAACCGTTACTATTAAATAATCAACAACAACAACAACAACAACCAACCCAAAATGAGTTAAACAACAAAAATCAAGATAATAAATTACAATTAACTAACCGTTGATTGTTAAACTTTACTGTATTATTGTAATTAATTAGCATCATGATAATCATCCCTATGGTTAATTGTGTCTTAGAATCAATCAAATTCATTTGAATTGTTTTCTTTTGTTTTTCTTTATCATCGTTTTTTTTTACCTTGACTATTTCTGGTTAATTAACTTTTACCCATTAATTGATCAATCAAACATTAACCAATAAATGTAATTACAAATTAAATGAATGATAAAAAAAACTGGTCAACACTTTAAATCTCTTTCTTTCAAAATGATTGCGATAGGATTAGGATTAGGATTAGAATATTAAATTGGCGAAAACGAACATCAGAAATTTTTTTTCTTCGACTTTGTTTTTCTTACTGTAACTTCCAACTCTCCTTCGAATTTGTTTACAAGAAGTTTTTCTCTCTCTCTCTCCCTTTCTCGATTTTCTTTCTCTCCTCTTCTTCCTCCTAATCATCATCATCATCTTCTTCTTCTACATCAGAGAAAGTTGCCAAAAAATGCATTCTTTTTACAAGCGAATCGAAGTGAAGCAAAGCAAACGTTTTCAAATCTTATGTTCCCACGTCCTAATAGCTTAGCGGTCTCTTCCTCCTCCCCCTCTCTTTCTCTCTCTCTCTCTTACTATTTCCTCTCCCTTTCATCATCACCATCTCTTTCATACTCTCATCACCATTATCATCATCTTCATCTTTTCCTCTTTTTCTCTCTCTCTCTTACTTTAATTCCAACAATTCACTCTTTGTACTTTTCTCTCTTCTCCTTTTCTTCATCTCCTCACAATCAACTTTATAACGATAGCGAAGAAAAACTTTTTTACTCAACTAATTTTTATATACCTATGGTACTTATCTCTATCTCTCTGTCTCTCTTACCTATCCCACCCACTTTTCTCTCTTTCTTTTTTTACCTTTTTCTGACCTTTCACCCCTTCGAGGCTCTCTCACTCTCTCGCTTTTCCACAATTAACTTTTATTATAACGATACAACTGAGATTTTGCTTTGCTTTTTTTACCAACTCAAATTTTGGTTCTATCTTTGGTACTTATCTTTGTCTCTCTCTCTCTCTCTCTCTCTCTCTCTCTCTCTTTGTCCATTTTACTCCTTTCATCTACCTCCTACCTTTGACCTCCTCATCGTTTTCCTTGCGACAAACAATCAACCAAAAAAAATGCTAACCTTGAATTGCTGCTTACCTTTGATATCTCACTTTACTTAACTTTTTATGACCTACATTGAATGTCACCAATTATAATCAACACAATTTAATTGCAACTAAAATATACACTAATTGCAATTCTGTATATTACTTTGCAACCCTTTCTTTTTACTTGTTTTACTTAATTGTTACTCGTTATATCCCATCCCTAATCATTATCTCATCTCATCTTTTAACCCTTTTCCAAACAATTTAACCATAATTTATCTCCTTAATCATCCAATTAACTGATTGATTTTTGCTTAATCAACATGATAAACATCACACTTTGCTTTGTAATTATTTGTTTCCATTGATTGAATAATTTTGCTTCTTTAATTTCGACAAAAACAATTTACATTACCATGTCAATTATTTACTATTATTTTTTCCCATTGACCTTTTCCCACCTTCTCATCTTGACCAATCTGCACGAATCACCTTCACCCTCCACGGTCACCAACCATTGAAATCATTGAATTATCCCTGAAAACAATTGCAACCCTCTCTTATTATAAATCATGATCGCGGGAATGTGATCATTTTGTTGTGTTTTTATCATTTGTTGATTGATTGCATTGAATTGAATGAATATCTTATCCTTGATTTAATCCATCGGAAAACGATTACAACTTAATCCAAACCCAACACACACACACACTCACATACACTCACAGTCACAGCCTTCATCATCAAGAATCTCACCAGTGCCAGTTACCGTAGCATTAAACTCATCTCCATATCCAAACCAGGAATCTACTAGTCTACTCCAACCCGCCGAGTTATCGCCTCAGCCCGTCTCACTAAGTCCACGGCCAAGTTCCTCAGGTAAGAAGAAAAATCGAAAAATCGTAAAATTTACTCCACGATTCACATATTCATCTATTCATATAAATGTATTTCCACCATCAAATCCATCAACATAATCCGTGTCTTCAAAATGATCAACAGGATGATGTGAACTTAAATCACTTCTTAATCCATAATTGAATTAACTAATCATGAATAATTAGCTGGAGCAGAAAAAAAATCTCACTAAGTGTTGGATTTAAACACTTAGTATATTTTTTTGCTCACTACACCCACAACCTTATGTGGTCATGTTGTCAGACCAAAGCTCCCTCCTCATCCTCCATCATCATCAACATCATCATCATCATTATTTCAATATTCCCACCGCCATGAAGATACACCATAGTAATAAGTTAAGATATCTTAATCACCCAGTGAAAAAAAAACAGTAGAAATGATCATCTTCATCTTCATCTTCTCGAATGACTTTATTTTAATGTCCACCGGAAATACTTAAATATTTCAACTTCCTCATATATTAGCAGTGAGTCTGTAAAAAAAGTTACTTATGATTTTTCATCATCATTAAGAAGATGAAACTCATTCTCATCTCTAATCATGTTAATCTTGTGACAATAAAAGATGAAACCGGTGATAGAATCAAAATCTTAGAACTAATAACTTCCTTTATCGAACTCGAATGTGAATTAGAGTTCGAAGATGAATAAAAAAAAACAGAAATTCGTTCTCGAAATATTCTCACAATTATTTTCTATCATCTTAATCTACGATTATCATTGAATATCAATTAGCATATCCGGAATGAGTCGAAATCCGATTTGAACGAGCTCACTTTAAAATTACTCTCTCTCTCTCTCTCTCTCTCTCTCTCTCTCTCTCTCTCTCTTATTCCTCCTCCTCATCTTGATCATCACCAACCTTGAATGAAGACATTTTCATAGGAAAGATGATGAAGATTCATGAGGATGATGAAATTTAGGTCAATCCGTAATCTAAAACAATCTTAATCCATATATTGACTTACAATAAAAACGATTCATAGGAAAAACAAAGTAACAGTAAATGAGAAGTTAAACCTTAAACATTGTAATTATTTAACAATGATGATCAACAATTAAAGTTCATTCACTTACTTTTTACACAATTGACTCGATAGATTCATATTACTCTGAATAGTAATTGTAATAATAACAATCGCAGCGTAATTATAATAATACCATTATTATTATCATCATTATGATAATAGTACAAACGAAATGAGAACTCGAGAAAAAGTTAGAACTCAGAACTTGTCTCAAGAAAAAAAAAGGAGGAGGAAAAAAACGATTTCGATTCCTTAAAGACAGTTGATGATGCTTAGAAAAGATGATGAAGATGATGAGGATGATGATGAAAAAATTGGTCTCGTTGTTGTGCAAAGAGGCTGAGCAAATGTTGGTAATTCCGGTTTGATCTCAATTTTCTGACCTCAAAACGTTTTTTTATTCAGGATGGTCAACTTAATACTCCATTCATTACCTTCCTTCATCATCATTTTTTTCATCTTCATCTTCATCACCCACTTCTCCTGTTCTCTTTTTTAGAAAGAGAGAGAGAGAGAAAGAGAGATACATCATCATCATCATCATTATCTTCATCTTCATCTTTATCATCTTATTCTTATTCTTCGCCATCATGTTGATCCCTTTCTGATTTTTCCCTTTCGCTCTAATCTTCATCACCATAACGGGTTCTTCAACCCTCACTTGATCATCATCATGATCATCATCTTAATCTACTCTCACAGAACCTCAATCAGAACTTTTTTTTTCTTCTTCTTCTTTCTTTTGAGAAACTTTTTCTTGTTCATCTTTTTTCTTGGTCAAGCAAATATTAAAATGATAATAATGACCATTGATTATCATCCAAGGTTTGTTTGTCATTCATTATCATCATTTTGTCTTAATCATCATCTTATTCATTGTTATTGTTGTTGTTGTATTTGCAAGGAAATTGTATTTAACTAAATTACAATTCTAATCATCATCATCATGAAAATCTTTTCATGTAACATGTTTGATTTACTCGTTTTCTTTTTTCTTCCATTACTATTATATCTCTCTCATATATAATTTTATCTTCCTCTTCCTCCTTCAACTTGATATTGTTGTAGAAAAAAAAACTAAGTCAAAACTTTTTTTTCTTCTTTAGTAGTTAACTACAACAATCAACTAACCAACTAACCAACAATCAACAACAATCAATAAATTGAGGAAAAGTTTCCAAACAGAAAAGTATTTCCGTAAAAAGTATTAACATGATTTCTTTTAATGTTCATCTGAAACTATTTAATTGTCATTAAAAGTAATTGTTATTAGCATTTATTATCATGATTAATTTTGATTGTTACCATTTAGTTACCTTATAGTTTTAACAACCAAGTGATTTTCTTGTGTTGACTTGTAAATAGTAATCAACAATTAGTAAATTATTTTGACTATATTTTTATATATTTTGTCTTGATTGTAGCAAAAAAGTATCTCTCATTTTGGTTTTAATTGTTAATAATAAATCAATTGGTGAAAATATCATTAGGATGCTGATGATTATAATCATTGTCATTAACAATTATTATCATGACATAGACAAATCAACATATAATTATAAATAATATAAAGATAGTATAATGTTAATGTGTTTAATTTAATTGCTAATTTAGTTTGAGAAACAAATTAACAATCAATGTTGAATAATGTTTCCGTTTTTGGTTAATCATATTTTTAATTGTCTTTGTATTATCATTGTGATTGTTGGTTGATGTTGATGATCAATTGTAAGTTACCCTAAATTAGTGATTAACAATTTACTCATTTTCAGTGTGTCTTTTTTTGCTTCTGTTGGAAAATTTTTTTCATTTTCATTGTTGTTGATTCTTAAACATTGATCATTCAATCAAATTTAATTGTTGGAAAGTTAAAAGTTGACACAGTTAAAGTCCAATCAGATTGTTGTTTTTTTAACTTTATTGTTTCATCTCAATGAATACAATTTGGGTGTCAGACACAGTGTGGGTTGGGCATTTTCGTAGTGGGGTTAATTCATCTTCTCTCTCTCTCTCTCTCTCTCTCTCTCTCTCTCTCTATCATCATTTTTGAATGATGATGATGTTTTCATGATGATAATCACGATAAGAAAGCAAAGTAAAAAGATGAAGCTGATGACGATGATGATGAGGCTGAAAGTAGTGATAGAAAGTTGATTGGCAAGCTTATCCGAGCAAATCCTTTTTTTCATCGTCATCTTCATCTTCATCATCTTCATCATCCTCATCTTTTTTATCTTCATCTTCTTTCTGTTCTTTCACTCTCAATCCTTTTTTCTGCATCTTTTTCTCTTGTTTAGTTTTTCATCATTTCTCTTCATCTCTTTTATCATCTCTGCTAAATGCTAACCTGATGATCTCCTTCATCATCATCATCATCATCTTGGTCTTCATCATTTTGATTATCCTCTTGAAAGTAGGTGAACCATGGTTCTTACCTGTTCAAAGGATAAAGATGATGATAGAGAAGAGTAAAAAACTTAACAGTAAAAGAAGATGATTTTTACTCTATCCTCATTGTAATCACTTGAAAACCTTGTTTAGCATTTTTATCCTCATCTTCATCATCATAGTGATCAAGATGAGGATGAAGATGAATAAAACAAGTAGCAATAGAAAAAAAAATTGTAACAAATGAATTCACTTGATCGTATTTGCTTTTATTGGAATAAAACAATTTATATCTTGATCATATTATGATGATAGTGATGATGATGATCATTTTTTTTTAAATATCATATTCAAGATGATGACGATAACTATGACAATTTAATGATGACATACATATATATGAATCAATGAATCCTTTATCAAATGTGATTACTTTTTGAATCACAATCTATTTCTAGTAACATGATATTGATGATGAAATATTGAGATTGATAATATTTACTATTTTTCCCCCTCTTCCTCATGATGCAATAGGTGCAATGTTAGCTGTGACAAGCGGCTCATCCGGATCGTCAACAAACGGCTACCACCACCGAGCTTGTTCACCCTCTTCACTGTCCGGAGGTTCAAGTTCACCCAATTCAATTGTCTGTATTAAAGGAAGTGTGTCACCCAATCATTTACAACCACCACCTCACCATCATCATCAACACCATCATCATCAGCAACAACAACAACAACAACAACAACAATCAACAATTAATACAAACAACAGCACCAATAATAATAGTAATAATCATCATTTAACCAATCATCATAATCATCATCATCACAACAACAACAACAACAATCATCATCACAATAATAATAATCATCATCATCACAATAATCAACATTCACCAATCCCATCACCAACACCACCCACCCCAACAACAGGAGGACAGTCCAACAATTCAATCAATTCATCTCGAGGCAATATACGAGTTGTCATACCCAATACTCATGTTGCTATGGTACACACTGTATATTCATATTTAAATATATGCATACCCACCACCCACTTTTTGTTGATTATTATGATTTATTTTGTTTACCTGTGCAAATGATTACAATGAATACCTTGACTGTGACCCACAACTCCCACCCGAGACTATTAAGCTTTTCCTTTCTGTCTACCTCTGTCTATTTTCACTTTCTCACTCTTTGTAAAATATTATTTCTCATCATCACCCTCTCCCTCTCCCTCTCCATCTCCCTCTCTCCATTATTACTATTCAGGTTTACCTTGCATTTATTTCATTGCTTGAAGACCTTGAGGAAGAAAAAACCTTGCCTTGAAGACCTTTACTTTTCTCTTCCATTTTTTTTTCATCAGCTTCTTTATCATCTTCTTCCTCCTCCTCCCTCCTCTCTCATCTCTCTTTCTCTTCCTATTTTCTCCCCCCTTTCTAATGATATGATGATATATCGATGTTTCCTATTTCTTATTCATATTTGACATACTTTTCAAAACTTATGGTCATTATTACAACTTTCAAATTCTGATTAATAATTTTTTCTTCATCTCTTTCTCATCACCCTGTAGACATCACGTAACGGTACACTGCTTAACTCAGCAATTTCAGCCACAGCAACGGCAATGTCGGCTTACTCGTCCTCCATTTCATCCTATGGTTCCAGTAAGTGGTCATCATCATCATCATCATCATCATTACCATGAAATATGTTTAATGATGATGAAGTTGTTGTTGTTATTATTATTACAATAATAATATTTATCCATTTATCATGTTGATTAATTTTGTTTTTCCTTTTCTTTTCCGGTTCCTTTATCTTTTTTTTTTGTTTCTTCGTCTTAATTGTTGACAATTTATATAGATGACTTTCAATTAAATTCAGAAATGGGCCTTTCGTCGTTCAATTCATCGGGTTTACTTCAAAATTGGCCACATCAAAATCAATTGTCCTCAAGTATAAACCATGGAAGGTGAGACTTAAACCTCTAGACTGCATTATAATTATGTACCTTTACCTGTGGTTAGTGTGTGTTGTTATTATCATGATAATATTAATCATTGCATGTTATTGTTATTATTGATGATTGATTATAATATAACTAATCGACAGTTAGTAATAAATATTGAAACTAAATGGAATACAATCAAGAGAAGAAGAAAAAAAAATCGAAGGTAAAAAACATCAAGGAAGACGAAGGTGATGATGATGATGATGAAAACCTTCAATATACATTTGATTATATTCATTGAGTATAATAACCTTGATCAAGGAAGAAAACAAAACAAGAACTAAATTGTTAATACAATTTACAAAGTTAATCTTTATGTTGGAAATTATTGAGAAAACAATCAGTTAATTCCCAGCGATTAACTTGATAAATATTGTTATTTACCTTTTTTTTTTGATTGTTACAATTAGATTTGATTTTTCATTTAGCAATAATGAGACAAAAAATCAAAACAACAAAAATAACAACAATTGACCAATGAATTGATTAACCCAAATGTTAAATTCTGGTATTTAATTGTAAACAATTTACCAAGCAAAAGGTTAATTGTCATTATCTAATTTTGAATAGTAAAATTATTTGGTATTTTTTATATCTTAACCTGGTTAACCTTCAATTGTACTAATTAGCTAATGTCAATTAATTTGGAAATTGTTGAATGGAAAACTGATTTAATTACTGAATTAACTTAATTTCTTTTTATTTTTTTTTCTTTTCTTCCACAGTCCTCCAAGTACGAGTGTAAATCCACCCGTTAGCACTGTTAGTACCCCACCACCATCAACCTCACCCTCATCAGTTAAAGTTAAAAGTGAACCAATATCTCCACCGCGGGATCTTTCCCACCAAGGTCATCCAGTTTCGGGTAACCTTGGACCCTCATCAAACACACCAAGCCATTTATCACCCGGACATCCACCGTTAACACCGTCACCTGATCCATCCTGCAGCTCAGATTATGAAGGACCGATTCAGAAAAGATTGAGAGTGCCCAATGATACTAGTAATTGGCAGTGATTTCAATTAATTAATTGCACAACATGATCATCAACTTCCTGTTTCGTTCGCATCCTCCTTGTATCTCCTCTCCCTCCTCTCTCTCTCTCTCTCTCTCTCTCTCTCTCTCTCTCTCTCCATCTCTCGACTGTACTACTTGCTGTTTCGTCTGTGAAATCAAATCAAGAGATAAATACAATGTGTTGTACTTTGAAAAGAAAAACAAAAAAAAACCTTAAACAAAAAGAGACTATTACCACAAATTCAATTCGTTAAGCTTAATTATTGTCAAACTAATAACTAATTGTGAAAAAATGATAATTATTATTATTATATATATGATCAGTAATCAACAGAGTCAATCAAAAAATCACAAAAAAAGGGTAAAAATGTAAATCACTTTTACTTCACAATAAACAATCACAATCTCATCAAGTGAATCATATTTTTATGCATATCTATTGATGAATGTAAATTAGAAATGATCAACTAATTGTTGTTGATTGTTTTTACTTTCTTTTTTTACTTAATCTCTTTCACCTTCATCTTTATTATCATTATCGCCCAACAGATTGACTTTTACCGTTTCGCTTGTTGCCCGTTAACCCTCAATGAGTATACATGATTTGGATGAATGAAATGTTAGATGATGATGAAAATTAAATAAGAAGAAAAAAAGATGAAGATCAAGAGATGATCTGAATTAGGTTAATAAGATGGTGAGGAGAGAAAGCGTCCATTTAATGGAGATGATAAGAAAATCTCTCTCTCTCTCTCTCTCTTTCATATTCCTTTAGTATCTTCATCCTCATCTTCATCTTCTTGATAAGCACCTTGACCTTTTCCAGTAAAAGGTTGTTGTCCGATTTTTGCTATTAAACATCAACAACCGGCCTACTGACCTGGAGAAATGAAAGAGAGAAAGAGAGAGACCTCCTCTCTCTTTCATCCTCATCCTCATCCACACTCTCATCATCATCATCATCACCATGATCATCTTATTCAGTTTGGTTTCTCTCGTTCCGATTCAAATGACATGAAAAAATTGTATTACTAAAGTAGTGGGTAGATGTTGTTGTAGATGATGATGATGATGCCTGGCTCTCTCTCTCTCTCTCTCTCTCTCTCTCTCTCTCTCTTTTGAAAGTTAACTGACCTTTCTTTTACTCACTCGCTCACTGGGTCTTTCATTGATGCTATTCAGGGTTAACTGACCTTACAGATACAAGAAACAATAAAATTCAACAAGTGATGAGGATGATTAAGAAATGCAACTAAACTTGATTCTAATTTTTTCAGCCTCAAACCATTTTGTGGGAACATCATTTTCGGTTCATCATCATCATGACCAACATAATATTATATTGTTGATCTTGATCTTATATCTCAGGTCGATCGTCGGAGGAAAAGTGAAGTGGCCTCAACAAGTTTAACTATTAACAGGGCGTCGGTATAAAGGGCAAACCTTTTAACCCTCTCAAGTAGATTAACTTATCCAAAATCGTTTTCGAAATCATGATAATCATCATGATGAACATGATAAGTTTTACTTTGATTACGTTCTGGTATCTTGATTAATTGTCTGTTTATCATTAGCCCTGAAAACTTGACCAAGTTAATTAATCGAAAGAAAAAAAAAACTTTCTCATTGAAATAATTTCACTTTGAAATTTTTTCAACGATATCATTTTTTACCATCAAATCAACTGAATCAATTTTACGATTAACAATCAAGTTAATCAATGTTTCCAGGCAATGGTTAACCTTTTTTTAAAGGGATCTCCTGACCATCAAATTTGATTGTTGATAATCAATGTAATTAATATGAAATTAATATCAAATTAACATTTACTTTTTTTGTGAGTTACAATTACTCAGGTAAGTGACTTAAAATTTTTGCTGTTTAATTAACTAATTGTCAAGGTAAGTGTAACTTTTGATTTTTTACATATTCAATTAATTGTAATTAAGTGCATAAATACTGGTAACCAAATGATTTATTTAACTATCTAAAAGATAAACAACAATTAAAATTACTTTATGAGTTTATAACAAGGTAACAATCAGCAAAATCAATCATTTTTTTGTTAATTAGTTAATTTGATTGTTAGTGCACTAATTGTATCACCTGAAAAGTGAATCACAATTAAACTAATTGTTTAAGTTTCCTAGAGGTAACCAACTTTCAATCAATGATGATGATAATCAACCTTGATAGTCAATCAATCAAAAACAAAAAGCAAAGTAACAATAACAATTAAATTAAATTGTTACAATTAAATAATCATGTTAAATTGTACAACTTGTAGTTAATTTCACAATCAATATCAAAGTATAAACAATTAAACATTTCTAATCATTAATAATATAAACATTGGTCAGTAAATTTTTTTTTAATTAACTTGTAATCAATAATAGGAAAAGTTAATTGTGTTGTTTTGTTTTTTTAATCATCTCACTAAACTGTTATGTTAATCAAAATTGTATTGATTAATTCAGGTTGATATTGACAATATAAAGGTGAATTAAATTGCCTCAAGTTTAGGAAACCAAAGACAAAAATCAATAAATTGTCAAGGTTATTGTCAAGTTAACAATCAACTGATACACTTTAACATTGATATTATTATTACATCAACATTTATGGTTCACCTTAAATTGTATAATAATAATTTAATTTGATTACAATGGTCCGTGTTTAGTTGATTGTGGTAATAATTATTTTCCAATATATTTATATCCTGGTATTTGGTTGATTGTGTAAATTGATTAGGTCAGAAAAAAGTTAATTATTACAATTTCATAGTTGGTTAAGTTTAAATGTCATCACCAAGAGTTAATCAGTTTTCAAGTAATGGAAACTGTTTTGTCAAATCAATTACAATTTGATTAAATTTTTTGCCTTCATCGGTAACTTTTTATTTTAACTTTTTCAAGTAATTAAGGTTTAACTGCAATTACAATTAGTTAAAAACAATAACAATTGCGAATTTGATATTATTATTTAATTAAGTGATAAACAATTTTCTGTATATTATTATTAATTGATTAGTTTAATTGTTAAGTGTTTATTTGTTACCAGTTGGTCCTACGGTTGGAAATTTATTCTCGTCCCATGTTAGGTTAATGGTTTGTCCAGTTCGAGCCGATTTCTCAGCGGCTTCGGACACAATGTAACTGGCTAATGCTTGGTAATCTTTAATTGTACATTCTTCAGTTCCCTTGACGCAATTAATAAAATGCTCCAATTCGGTGGCATAAGAAACGGCGTATCGAGAGACGAAAGAGTAAAGAATTGGGGTTTGTGACGATTGATTATTGTTTTCGCCGACCACACCGTTAGCACGGAGGTTGTCACCTGAAAGCATACCTTTTGGACCGAACACTTCGATTCGTTGATCGTAACCATAGGGTGAGTTTCGATCAAGATCAATCATACCAATAGCACCAGAGGGAAAGGTTAACATAATTGCAACGGAATCATGATCGTCAATGGCTCTAATATCGTCAGAAAATGCAAGACCGGTGCAACTTACTCGAATTGGATATTCACCAGTTTGCCAGAGTAACATGTCGATATCGTGAACGGCACAATCGTGGTAAATACCGCCAGATGTTGCGAGGTATTCAATTGTAGGTCGAGGTGAATCTCGAGCGCAGCTTTTGATTACATGGATTTGTCCAACTTCACCAGCAGCGATTCGTTGGCGGATATTGTTGAATGTAGGGTCGAATCGCCGATTGAAAGCGGTCAATAGGACAACACCCTTTTCTTTAGCTAAAGCGTAACAAGCTTCCATACCTTGGTAATTAGAGGCAAGAGGTTTCTCACAGAGGACATTTTTACCAGCTCGAAGAGCGCCCATTAGGATATCGAAATGGGTTTGAGTGGGAGTACCAATGATAACGGCATCAACGGTGGGATCATTGAAAACGATTTCCCCACTGGTGGAGACGATGAATTTAACATCATCTAGATTCCATTTAGCTTTGATGTAAGCACATCGCTCGCTCGAAGGTTCAACACAGTAAACAAGTTTAACTCGAGGGTTCGAGTAAATTTTGTCCAAGTGAATTAAACCAATTCGTCCCAAACCAAAAAGAGCAACTCGAATCGGCTTATCAGAAGGCTTAGCACCGGTAAAGTTTTGCCAAGCTGATAATTGTTCCTCGTATCTAACGGTAATTAGGATAAATTAGTTAATTGTTAAGGTCAAATGTTGAACAAAAACTTGAAAAGGATAAAAAAAATATTGACAAATGATGAAAATGGAAAACGAAAAAAAAATAAATAAAATCAACTTACTTTTTGTAAGCTAAATCGTGAGCCATTTTGTTTGATTGTTAATTTGGTCGATTGAAACTGCAGAGAATCAAGGGATTAAGAGCCAACGGATTATGTGATGAGATTTTCACTTTTTACCTTTCATTTTATAGTAAACTCTAGTTTATCATCTTGTCTATCATCAACATTATCTTCCCCTGTTGTTTGTTACCTTTTTTCTGGGTTCCATTTGCACCTCACAACATCTGATTAAGATAAGCAATTGATAGAAGCCAATTAATCAGATTGTGTAAAATCAGCGACCTTGGTGATTTATTAATCATCTCAAAAGTGTATCGTGGCAAAACAGTTATAATCTAATCATATTCCCTTAATGATTCAGCTTTGATTATGAAAAAAAAAACTCGAGACTTGACAACAAAAAATGCGATTAACATCAAGAGTCTAAAGTCAACAGGTAATCTCGAAATTAAATCAGCAATTTATCAATTACCTGGAGAAGACAATGAATTATTACGATGAATTAATCTCACAATTAGTAAGTAATTGTTGTTAAATTGTCTTATCTTACTACACGAGATTTCCAAGGAGAAAATGGTGATGCACTTTCTACACGAGACTTTTTCATCAATTAATCCAATTAAAGATTTGCACCTCAATCCAATCTAAAAGTGACCTAATTGTTGTCGCTACTTGATTGATCCAGATCGTGTACGAAAATGACAAAGTTAATTAACTGATTGATGAGCAATTAATCGGGTTGAATCTTTGTAATGAAAGTGATTCCCATTTGTGATCTCAAACGGTGGCTTATGTTTTCTGTTAATTCAATCCAATTGTTTTTATCTCAATATTCACCTGAAGATAATCATCAACTGAAAAACGATTGTTGTGATGAAATAAAAAGAGAAGAGGCAACGAGAAATAATAAGAGGCCATTAACAATTGTTTATCTTTTCATCGTCAATGATAAATTTGAAGAGATCCAGAGAATTGGCTAATAAACCTTAACAATTAGCGAGTCCGCATTGACATTGGAATCATTTTTGAAGAGGTCTCCTAGCGGGGTTTGAGTTCTGTTGAGAGATCAGGTAGAAAATCCAGTTCCAACTTGATTACCATTTAGAATTAAATTAAAAAGAAACAAACACCATAGAGAAGAGAAAAAAATAAAATAAAAGATACAAAGAGAAGACGATTAATGATTAAAATCAATCATAATTAATCAATTAAAATATGTAAACAAAGACCAACAAAATTGGACTATAACATATAAGGAATAGGATTTTTCTAGAAGGACAAAAAAGCCAACAAAACAATAACGTTACGTATTTACATAAGTATTGTCATTGTTACATTGTCAGATATTTAGATGATCATCTTCAGGGTCCTAAAAGTTACAGTAATTAGATTGAATTTAATTTAAGGTAAACAATTAATACAATTTAAAAACAATCACTTACCTGTTGTTTTAATTTGTCAATCAATGGGATTGAAAAAAAAAGCTTTCAAATGTTAATGACAATTTTAGTTGTTACTTTTTCTTTTGTTAGCAAATCACTTGAATATCCATTTGTGATGAAGAAATGATGTTACAATTATCTGCAATTAGAGTAGATGAAAAAAAAATTAATTCAATCGGAAGAGAAAATTAGAAAACAATTAAGAAAGATAATTAATTCTGATTGAATGAGGAAAAGATTCTGACCAAATGATGACATTAGATTTTCCCGCTCAAAGAGCAAGAGTTAAGGTTACCCAATGAGAGGCTTTTGTTTCCTGAGGTTTTTTTTTGATTTAATTGTTTACAATTTGATTCTTAATTGTGATTATATTTGAAACTTCAACTTTAACTCAGTTTAATTGTGATTTTTCATGGTAAACCCAATTCTTAGGTTGTCTTCATTTCCCTAATCCTCTTTAAAAGTGTTCATCTTTTTTTTTTCTGCTTCTGAGTTACCGAGGATAATTAATAAGCTTAATGTTTATTAAAAGGTGAGTTTGTTTTTTAGTCTTAAATTGATCAATAAATTGAACTAATTTGTGATTTCTTTATTTTTTTTCTTCTTCCTTCTTCTTATTCTGATTTGACCAGGTACATTTTTACAGTAAGATTGTTTGATTCACCAAATTAAAAGCAAGATTTCGATTGATGATGGTAAAGAAAATGAGAGAACAGAAAAAAAAATTGAACAACTCAATCTAAATTAACGGGTTTTATTATCATTGCCTCACAAAAGTGTTAACTTTATATCTTCAACTGTACACTTAATCATGTTCATCTTTATGTTATTAAGGACAATTTTACTTCAATTTAATCTTCATCATCTACATCATGATGATCATCAGTGATAAAAATCAGACAACAACAACAGTAACATTCATTTCGCTGTTTCCTATCTTATCCTATCTCTCTTTTTGGCAAATCAAATTAACTAACTAAAGTACCCACACTCGAGGAGATAATATAATAAAAGAAAAGAAAAAAGATCAACAAAAAAGAAGAGACCATCATCGTGAATACAGAAACACATATCAACTTCGCTGTTATCTTAAATTCGCCGTCATTACTTTGATTGTTTTGACTACAATCAACTTTTTTCTTCATCTTCTATCGGTAACAAATGATTGAATGAGAGAAAAGATTTCGCTCAAGATGAAATTGGTATCAACAATGTTAGAAATGAGTCCTTTCATTTTGCTTTATTATCACCAAAACCTTCAACATCATCTCTCTCTTTCTCTCTCTCTCTCTTCCGGATAAAATTAAGGATTCAATTAACAACTTTAATTGAGACATTGATGTAGTGATTTTTTATTCAAACAAAAACAACAACAATCATCAACATGCTCTCTTTGGACACATCAAGTAACAGTTTTAATTTGGATTGGTTTTGATCTTAACATAACAGATAACAGAAACAATGTAACTGTTGACAACAAACTTAACTAGAGTAACCTCAAAAAAAGACACTAAAGAAAACAGGAGAACCCAAATTAACCAGAAAAACAACAAAAGACCAAACAATGGACTCACCAGAACAAAAATCAACAATAACGATACTTAATTACCCTGTAAAGTAATCAAACGCTATGTTTATTCAATGAAACAAACGATAGCTTCCAATAAGTAGTAATGTATATGTGTGTTTATATATTTTACTTGGAATTGGATTCTGATGCCTGGTGATGGGTTGATAACATGATGACATGTTGATATAAATTCATGAAAGTAATCACCAATAGAGAGAGAGAGAGAGAAAGGTCAGCATAATGAATATTAAACAGAAATAACGGAAAAAAGCACAAACTTGTTAGTATGTTTACTATTTTCTTCAACTTCGCCCCTTTAGTGGTCAACTTGCATTTCCATCTTGACTTTTTCTCCGTTATCTTGATGTTGAAATCGATTCTAATTTTCTCTTTCTTCTATTACAGGTAACAAAAAATAGAGAAAAGTAATTGAGTTTTCTCTCTTTTCCGTTAACCCTGAAAACTATTTGGTAAAAGAAGAAGACAAGTTGTGGTCACACTTGAATGAAATGAAAACTCGTAATTTGTGTTAATAAATTATCTTAAATTGGCCTGATTTCGAGAGGAGAAAGCGACCAAAAAGCAACGGAGGGCTAAATAAGGAGAGGAAAGAGAAATAGAGGGAACCCAAAATTTTGGAGAGAAAAAAAGAAGATGAAGAAAAAAAGGAAAAAGATGAACGGATCATTCCATCTTCCTTTTAATATTCCAACACCTTGACCTTTTCCAGTAAAAGGTTGTTGTCCGATTTATCCCTACATCAACAACCGGCCTACTGACCTGGAGACTTGAGCCTCTCTTTGAATCTTTTTCTCTCTCTCTTTCTCTTGTTCATCTCCCTCAGCCATGTTCCGATTCAAGTGGCTTATCAACTCTACCCCTGGCTCTTCATCTCTTTCTTTTTTCTTCATCATGTTTACCTCTTACAGGGTTAACTGACCTTACTCTCCCTCTCACCAATCTCTCTAACCCGCTCTCTCTCTCTCTCTCTCCCTCATTGATGATGGTGATAAACAAGAATAAGTCTCATCATGAACACAGGCGAGAGCGTGAGATGATTAAGAGTAAAGATGGAAGAAAAAAAGACTTCGTTCTACTCTTTCAGCCTGAAACCTTTTTGTGGGAAAATCGTTTGTTGAATCTTCATAAAGTTGAATAGGTCGACGGGAAAAGTGAGCAAGAAGAAAAAGAGAATTTAAATTGTTCCAAAATGATGGGTGGTAACTCAACGAACCTTTGATTTATCAATACTATTCATTCATTGGAATCATCGTTTTACTCAATTAATTTTTTGTTCTCTTCTTTTTTTCCAATTTCACTCTCTAAACAGTTACTCCATTTTTCCCCTTTAAATCATGAAATCCTTTTGATTGTTCACACACACACACACAGTTAATCAAAATCTCGTTCTTATTGTAAATTACTAGTGTGATTTAGTTAATTGTTTACCTTTTAACTCTTGTTACCTGCTGTTAATTAACGCTGATGGTCAGTGTCATAGTGAGATAACTTTGAGATTTCAATTGTCTTTTAATTCAATTGGCAAGGGAATTACTAGTAAATAGTAATAGAGTAAATAACCAATGATTAACTGATTAATTGTTAAATTCTCACGATTCAATCTCATCTATCACCCATTTTACAATCAGGAAATGATTAATTTTCGTTGAGAAATCAACGTTTAAAGGGTTTACCTGGCCATCAACTGATGATAATCAAGTGTATTGGTTAACAAATTAAATTATTCCCACTTGACTAACTATTAATTTACTGAATTGTTATCAAGGTGATTCAAGGAGGTTTTAGTTGTGATTCATTGATATTAACTTCAAGTCTGATTTAATTAAGGTCAATAAATTTTTTTCTGCTTCCACTCGCTCTTTCATATGGATTGTATTGTGATTATTTTTCTCATTCAATTTAATCATGTTTTCCATTCTTGTTAGTTGATGATTAAATCTTGTTTACCTTTCAATTTCAATGTTGCTTTTTTACAAAGAAACTTTTGAAACAATTTATCACTTTTTTCGTTAAAGTTAATTGAGTAGCTAAAGTTGATTAGCTACAAATTGTTAACATCAAAGTCAGGTTAATATTGAAAGTGATGAGTTTAATTAAAGCTCAACTTTTCAGATTAACTGTGATGATTTAACATATTAGTTTAACAATTGAACATCGATTGAATTTGTGTAAGAAAAATGATCAACAATTGATGTATGAGATACATGAGTATATATAATTTTCGGCTCCTTTGGATTACTTTAGTTGCCATTTTGTTTCTTTGGGTCAATTTTTTGGTTCTGATTTGGTTTTGGCTTTTGTCCACCGAAATTACCAATCAACCTCTCGAAGGGTTATGAATTTCGAGAGTACAAATGCCAACATGATCGTGGCAATTACGAAACAAGCAGCGAATATGTAAAATGTTTCCTCGTCAAAAACGTCCACAAAATAGGGCATATTGGCCTCTAGTTTATGGAAAATTTCCAACACCGCTTGATATGATCGTCGAGCCATTTTCAGGAGATTATTTCGTACATTTAATGGAAAGAAGAAGAATGAAAATTGAAATTTAAGTGACTAGATTAGCGAATGTTTCAATGATCAAGTTTCACTTGTCTCTCACATATTCTCCCAATTGAGATTCGAAAAACATTAATCAGATTTTGTCATCACGAATGGATACAAATTGTTTTCTTTTCTGAATAGAGAAAATCGGACAATTAGCCCAAAACGAATGTACCATCCATGAATTATAAGCGATTAACAAAAAATTAGGTTGAAGATTTTCAAGATAAATGAGATTGGATCAACAACTATTCAACTTGTAGCCAAAATGGTTTACTAAATTGAAAGATTAAAAAAGGACCGGAAGATAAAGAAGAGACAAAAAGAGAAGCGAAAAAAATATATTAACAATACGAAATCAAATAATTACAGTAAATTAATTACTTACTTATAAGGCATCAATTAGAAAATCGGAAATCCATTTAATTTGGAATCAATTACAAACATAAACAAAACATTTCGAGTAGAACAAAAAAAAACTCGTACTCTTTGAGTCTAAATAAAAAAGAAAGAACTTGAATTATTGTTCCTACACCATTAGATATTGTTCACAATTAAAATTACAAAAGAAATTAAAGTAAATTCACTCAATTTGATTAGTTAATTGCGACCAAGATGAATGTAAACAAACCAGAGAAAATGAGAAAACCTATGAGAATAAATTCTATGCTTTTTATGCTTTTATGCTTTTAGAATGAAGAAAAAGCATAACATGTGCTCTCTTTTCCTCTTCTCTTTGCAACTTGACCATAAATGTTTTGGTAAATTTGCTCTTGTTAATTAACTTGTTCTTAATTGTTTCTCTTGTTATTAATTGATTTTCTATTAATTTACAGTTAAAGGTAAGTTTAATATTCGATTTATTCATTTAATTCCATCTGAATGGTTTTGATTCTCTGGGTTTCACTGAGTTTATGTTTTGACATTTTTCCCTATATTGAATCATTTGGTTTTCTAATTACCCGACATGTTATTGATTTAATTTCATCGCCATTTTGTTTTTATTTTGATTTATTCTAATTTAGGTAAAATATTATGCGTCGATCATTAGCTCATCTTCGCCTATTAAATAGGTTTGTCTCACCATCGGTATCTCATCAACATTATGCTACTAAAATTATTTTAAGTCGACTGGTTCCTTCATCTCATTCACCATGTTTTGGAATTCAGTTAGACTTAATCATGGGATTGTCTCTTTATCATCAGCACCAGCATCTTCTGATTCGAAAAGTCCAGTCTTGATGGAATCATCAAATGATGAATTTGCTAAAAGAGATAAAGAGATCAAGGAAACTGCTTATTATGAAGAGGAAATAACTGTTGAAGGGATTGATGCACCAGCTCCGTTTTTACAATTCAACGATTACGAATGGCCAAGTAAGATTAAGGCTTATATCGATAGGAAAGGCTTCGTTCATCCAACTGGTATTCAAGGACAAGCTTTACCGGTAGCGTTAGAAGGTAAAGATCTTGTTGGAATTGCGAGAACTGGATCGGGTAAAACAATAGCTTTCCTTTTACCAGCTATTGTTCATATATTAAATTCAAATTCCGGAGGAAATTATATTGGACCTCGTGTATTGGTTTTAGCTCCTACTCGTGAATTGGCCCAACAAACGGCTGCAGTTTGTTCTGAAATTGGTTACAATTCAGTCTGTCTTTTTGGCGGTTCCTCTCGACTGGTACAACAAAAAGCCATCTCACACAGTAATCCTTTGATTATCGTTGGTACTCCTGGACGAATAATTGATTTCATCGAATCAAAATGGTTGGATCCTTCAGATGTTTCATATCTTGTTTTAGATGAAGCCGATCGAATGTTAGACCTTGGCTTTGAACCACAAGTTCGACGGATTATTAGCAGTTTACCTCAAGATAGACAAACTCTCATGTGGTCAGCAACTTGGCCACAAGAAATTCAAGAACTTGCTTCAGAATTTCTTAGAGATTATGTTATGATAACCGCTGGTTCAAAAGATTTACGTGCTAATCCAAATATTGTACAAGAAGTTGTTTTCTGTGAAAATTATGACAAATCGAATCGATTACTTGGACTGGTTGAAAATATTATCAATGAATATGGACAAAAAGCGAAAATTCTAATTTTTTGCCAAACCAAACGACGTGTTGACATTTTCGCCAATCTATTAAACTCTAAACGTTTCTATGCTCTCGGAATTCATGGTGACAAATCACAGGCCGCTCGTGAAGGTATTCTTCAAAGTTTCCGACGAGGACAACGTCAAATTCTGGTTGCCACTGATGTCGCCTCAAGAGGATTAGATGTCGATGATATAACCCATGTAATTAACGTTGACATGCCCAATGTCGTAGAAGATTATGTCCATCGGGTGGGTCGAACTGCTCGACAAGGAAAGAAAGGTTTCTCTTACACTTTCTTCACCTCTGAAGATGGTTTATTAGCCAGCGATATGGTGAAAGTCTTGAAACAAGCCGATGTTCATATTGACGATAGAATATTAGAATTGGCCAATTCAACTAAAAATTATATTCGAAATGTTAGAAAGCGAGGAGTAGCACCAAATAGACGAGACGATTATGATAATTATAATGATAACAGAAACCGGAATCGTGGTCCCTCCCGAAATCGTTGGTGAGATCAATGAAAACGACCATTTTGTAACTACAAAGAAAAAGATGGAATCAACAATTAGTCATCTCAATCATTCTAGTAATCAACTGTTCTTGTGACTTTTTGCATACTTACTTTAAATTGTATTGCAAGGAATCAATTTAGTTACTCTTTTTAGAGATAATTACAGTTTGTAAGACTATATTTTCAAACCGATTGTAAATAAACTCTACATTAAACACAAGAATCGAAAATCTTTTTTTCGATAATTTATTTGGTCAATTGTACGATAAGAAGCAGAACTTTCTGAACAGAATGTCATCTAGTGTTGAAGAAGAAATTTTCATTATCGATTTTCTTTTCGAACCAGAATAAAAAGAGAGAATCGCAAAAGAGACGAAACCTTTTCTTCTAATCAAATTGTTATTCCAGCGAAAAACTGATGAGAATGTTATTTTTTTTCTAATCAATCAGTTTAATTGTTTTATTCCTCGTGGCATGTGGATTATTTATTCTTGTTTAAAATTGTTTCCCAAATTCGTTAATTGTGATTCCAAATTAATCGCTGATTGTTGATTTTGTGTTTGTGGCTCAATTTGGGTGAAGGTAAATTGATCTAATATCGAAGCTTTTTGTCCAAATTTAAGCCCCAATTACGATCATATTTACATTCTAATTGGTTTAAATTGTTCATTTTCTTAATTCCTATCAGATTGATTAGTGAAGTATCATCTTGATTACAATTTACTCCGTTTTCTGTTGATGTTTTTCATTGGAAATGTTGATCATCTGTTTCATAGGAAAAGATTTGAATACAGTGTGTTCTCGAATATGTTAGGATTTGATTGGTCAGAACTTTTTTAATTATCAATGAAAATCATCATCGTGATACTAAATTTTATTGATTATTAATCATCAGTTTGCACAAAACAATTGAAATTTGTTTAAGAATCGTTTTTGTTTTGAAAATTAGAATCAAATTATTGAAATCTGAGTATTTGATGACTCAACATGATGTGTCTTGTATTGTTATTATTTGGATCTAATTGCTTTTTTATTCTTATTAAATTGTTTACAGAGGTTATATTTTCTTTTCTTTCGTGGTAATTATATTCTCGATTAATTGTTAATCAGAATTGAAGAGATGGATCAAAAAATACTCGACCAAATAACCGATATTTGGTTTAATGTGAAGGAGAAAACGATCACATGTTGTCCTGGTGTTTTTGGTAGCGAAGGTGAAAATAAGCGTTTCAATGGTGGAACCGGAGACGGAGCCGTTGGTGGAAGTGGTCAACATGAAATGTCCGCTTTTAAAAGTTTCGATAAGCCCGATGTTAATACTTCACTCCAAGGTGAATACGATGAACTTGGTGAACATGGTTTTAAGGCAAACAGATCAGTTGATGTGGTCGAAGGTGAATTCAATGAATACGGTGGTGACCCAAGGAATAAAATCTCCGCTTGGCAAGCAGGTTGGAACGTGACTAATGCTATTCAGGTAAAATTGACCTTTTAAAGTGAAATGTTCGAAGGGGACTGATTGTGTTTTCTTCTTACAGGGAATGTTTATCGTTTGCCTTCCGTACGCAACACTTCATGGTGGATATTGGGCGATATTTGCCCTTGTGGCCATTGCGTACATTTGCTGTTACACTGGTAAGATATTGATCGCCTGTTTGTATGAGGTCGATGAAACTGGTCAGTTGGTTCGAGTTCGTGATTCTTACGTGAGCATCGCTCAGGCAGTTATGGGTGAAAAGTATGGGGGTAAAATTGTCAACATTGCCCAGATAATTGAACTTCTCATGACTTGTATCCTTTACGTTGTCCTTTGTGGTGACCTGATGATCGCCTCATTCCCAAGTAATACATATGATCAACGGTGTTGGATGATGACCTCAGCGATACTTTTACTTCCTTGCGCCTTTCTTAAAGATCTTAAATCTGTTTCAACTCTAAGTTTTTGGTGTACAATTGCTCATATTGTTATAAACATCATCATTTTCGGCTATTGTTTCCTTCAAATTGGCGACTGGAACTGGTCAGCGGTGAGCTAATCAGCCATTTCATTTCATTTTCCATTTCATATAATTTTTCCGTTTTCTCTTTTCCATTCATCAATCGCAGGTCACTTTCCATATTGACTTTCAAACCTTCCCAATCACCGTAGGAATCGTTGTATTTAGTTACACTTCACAGATTTTCCTTCCCAGTTTAGAGGGAAACATGGCTGATCGAAATGAGTTCGGTAAAATGTTGGACTGGAGTCATATTGCCGCTGCTGCTTTCAAGGTATTTTCGACGACAATTAACTAACTCGTACTGATACAGATTCTTGTTCCCTTTTAGGGTCTATTTGCTTACGTTGGGTTTTTAACCTTCGGTGAAGCGACTCAGAAAGAGATCACCAACAATTTACCAACCCATGGATTTAAGGCAATAATCAACATTATCCTTGTAGTTAAGGCTTTACTTTCGTACCCGTTACCTTATTACGCGGCTGCCGGTCTCATTGAGACAGCCTTATTCAAACGAAAGCCCAATGAAGACAATCCCCATGGTGTGGGAAGTCAACCTTTTCCTACCTGTTGGGAGCGTGATGGTGAATATCGTGTCTGGGCTATATCGCTAAGAGTACTTTTGGTCCTTTTCACTTTAATCGTTGCCATTTCGATACCACAATTTGCCCTTCTCATGGGCTTAGTGGGTAATATCACGGGTACTATGCTCTCCTTTGTATGGCCGTGTTATTTTCACATGAAAATCAAATGGGATGAGATGGATACTCAAACACGAGCTTGGGAAATTAGTATCATTTGTATCGGTCTAGTGTCCGGTTTCATAGGAGTCATCAGTAGTTTCAATGCTTTTATCGATGTCTATCATTTACCTTTACCTTATGCACCCGTTGAAATGGCCTAAACAACTCTACAGATCTCGAATCGCCATTTTTGTTCAAATCTTTGCATTTAAAATCATTACATCAGTTTGACTTTGTTGTTGGTCTAATCATTTACATTTTGTTTTTTAACAGATTATCATTATAACACTCAAGGTCCATCATCTTTAATGGTCATTTGCCCAATGGACATCAGTTGATTACCAATCAAACCAGAAAATAATTAGAAAAGTAATTCAAACGAGAAACAATTAGGTTACAACAAACTTTGGGCTTTCTTCATTTTAATCAACAATTGACCAACTAAGATTAATGATCAACATTTTAGGTTAATCATCAGAGTGTTATTAGTAAGTGTGTTAATCTTATTACCTGACGATTATGAAAAAAATTAAGAGTTAACATAATTACCAATTAATGGACAACAATCAACTGATAGAAATTGTTGATTATCGTTATCAACTTGCACCGAAAATCATCAATTAATCTTTTGATTGCAATTTATGCTTTTTTTATACAATTAAGGAACAAACAAAGCAATTAATCATTAATCAATCACATTCACAAGTCTTCCGTAATTGTGATATAACAATATAATCAAATTAAGTAAATTAACTTAGAAATTATCACTTGTCTTTCAACGAACCAATCGATCAAAACCTGGTCTTTCAAATCGATTCCAATGTTATTAATTAATAACTAAAAGTGTATCTTCCCAATCAAGTCTTAAGATTATATCTCTAAATTGCCAAGAGAAAACAATCATTGTCATTTTGAAAATCATTCTATTGTTAATTCATATAATTAATCAAATCAACAATTAACCCTTTGACTTTCATCTTTAAATCAAATGTAACGTTTACCAATGAACGAAAAATAAAACATTACAGAAATAACAATAATTCTAATATAAATCATTTAGATTCAAATTATGAATAGTAATCAATAGAATGAAAACTAAATCAGTAAATTGTTTAACAATTTAAATTCTCAAAAATAAACTAGAAAAAACTCCCAGTTGAGAACGACATCTATCGGTGGCGTGGAAAGAAATTTGGGTTAAAGGAATGAAAAATTAAGGAACTTATCAAATGGAAAACTTTTCTAATCAAGATTGTTAATAATTAAGATGGAAAAGTTGACAATTTGAAGATTATTAATTTAGTTGGTGGATAATGTCATCAAATTACTGAGATGATACATTAGCTGAGAATGAGCTAATAGATTTGTAAATTGATTGCGAATCTACATCTATGAATTGTAACATTAAACTACGAGGAAAATTAATTATATTGTAAATAATTTATTTTACTTGGAAATAAATTATTATGAGTGGGTTGTGGTTCCACCCACTCATTCAATCCAACACCTTCACCCTTTAACCCCATCAACCCACTGAAATCAACTGAACCCACCAGAGTAAAAATTAAATCAATTATTAACAATGGAATCAAAATCAATTTCAAATTTAATATAATTAATTAAAAGACAACAACAACAAATCAAATGTTCAAATTTAAATTCAAATGTTTATCATGATCATCATGATCATTTTATTGTAAATAAAAAATCAGATTAAACCATAAACAATTATAATCTCAATCAATTCCTTAACCAATTAATACAATCAATAAATCAGTCAGTCAATCAATCAACAGAATCACAATCCAAGTAACAAACCAAAAGTATTTGGAATTACTAATTTAGTTTACAATAATAAAGTAAATTAATAACAATTAATATTTGAGATTTGAATCTATTGGATTAAAGGGAACAATTAGTTTAATCATGGAATGAAAGAAAATTGTGATGAAAAAAATTCGCAATTAAATTTAGAAGTTCTGAGTCTACTCAGTAAAGTTAAAGACGAAGTTCAATCGTTTGATTAGTTGGTTGTTTCTACTGATTAACTTGATGGAATAGTAAAAGATTGTTAATCAGAACGAAAGATTAATTGTCTTGGAGTAAATCAAGTTGACATGACAATTTAAATCTAATTGGAAATTATACTTTCCAATAATCTGAATATTTTTGTTTTCTATTGGAAATTAATTGATTTGATTTTTAGTTATGATTCGAGGCAAAAAATAATCGACTCGATAATGTAACAGTTTAAATCGATTCGAAAACTAATCGATAAGTTTATTTCTATCAACTTTTTGTTTCTCTGTCTTTTTCTCTTTCGTTTCTCAGTTTATTATTCTAATAAAAATCGACTGGCAAAAAAATCGATTCCCTTCGATCTCGATCAATGATGTAATCTAATAACCACTACACTTCACTGATGACATTTATCTCAGTTAGTTGAATGTTTCATGTTGGTTATTGAAATGTTATTTCTAATTTAAATATTATCAAATTATTTTCTCTCAATTAATCACCATCAAGACGAAAATAGTGGATACAATCAATTCTCTAGATTCACAATCCCAATCATCAAATTTTCCTCCAAATTGAAAATAGATATTTTTATGTTATAATTTCGATATTTTTTTCTGGTTCTCATCTGATTGTTTCTCCTTTTTAAATGTTAATTGTTTGAATTTTCCACAATGTTAATTACTCACCTTTGGATACTTCATCTCTCGGTTGATGAGAACCGAATTGTTCTAATCAACACCCCATAGATATGATAAGTTGTAAGTCTAAATCATTTTCTATTCTAATATCAACAGAATTATCAACAATTCCCTTGGATGGAGAGAACCTTTTTCTCCATATTCACTTGCTCTTTGTTTACATTTTCTTTTTTTTCCATTTTTATGTTGATCATTCCAATTTTACTTATTCTATTTTCGTTTGTCCATCTTTCGAAATTCATTGTGACTCTAATTCTCTACCTTTAACCTTATCCTTCTCGGTCACTATTCTTGACCACTTAAAATCTAACATATGTAAATGCTAACGTTTTTGTTCAATTCTCAAAGAGATTTTCCTTAACCTTTGAACTTAATATTAATACTGTCGATTAACTATTGAGATTTCATCGATTGTCAATCAACACAATTTAATAGAATCAAAATATTGATGAAAATGTTTTTTTCTTCTTTTTCTCTTTTTCAGCTTATTTTTTCGTTTTCTATTCTCCAATTGATCTTGACCATCATCTTCATTGTTATCAATTAACTACCAATTGATAAACAAATAAAATATATTAGTCGTTGATTAGTTGATAGATTAAGATCGCCAAAATCGCTAAAAAAGGTGACATTAGTAAACCCATTTCGGGTAACCTGACCTCGAATTCAACAACGACCGTTGTTGGATCCTCGGTGAAAACAATGCCTGAACAAAGCAATGATTACCGAGTGGTTGTATTTGGTGCTGGTGGAGTAGGTAAATCAAGCCTAGTTTTAAGATTCGTTAAAGGTAAATCACCAGAATCAATTGATTGATCCCGAAAGAAGAGGGAAAAGTGATCATCCCATTGATAATATGATTGTTTTCACCCAAAATTTTATTCAGGTACTTTTCGGGAATCTTATATTCCAACCATTGAAGATACATACAGACAAGTAATTTCTTGTAATAAAAATATATGTACTCTCCAAATAACTGATACAACTGGTTCTCATCAATTTCCTGCTATGCAAAGGCTTAATATATCCAAAGGACATGCTTTCATGCTGGTTTACAGGTAAGTTTAATTGTCACAATTAAACTTTAATCATTTAAAAGGTTACAATTTGATATCAAATCACTTTTGGGTTATGTTGTTGTTGTCTTTTTTTTTGGTTATTATCATGGTAACTTTTTCACTCTCCAACCTAAATATACTCTCGGTGTTATATATTACTGTCTCTCTCTCTCTCTCTTAACTAATCAATATTATTGATGATAATTGTTGTTATATATTTATTTCCAGGTAATAATAATTTAACTGATTGTAACTATTACTTTCTGCCCTGCTGCTTTTGTTTATAACTTTGCCCATTGTAAGATAATTAAGTTAATTGTTGGTGGTAAAATCTTGGCTACAATATAATAATGTCATTGATAAACTTTACCTTTGATTGTTGCTCATTTCCTCATCATTTGATAACAATTCCGTTATCCTTTGATCATACTAATTAGCTAATGATAATCAAAGGCATAATTGATTTAATATTAAGACAAAAACTACACTCAAATTTTTGGATAATTTGTGAAACATTAACCTTACACCAGCAATTTAGCAACAATTAAATTGAGCCAATAGATAATAGTTAGTGTACCATGTAATCAATATGCAGACTATCATGATTTTCATAATTAGGGTCATTGTTAATAATAATGATAATCTCGGTTACGTCATTAGGATTACGTGTTTTATTTACATATCATGTTAATCAATTATTGATACTATTAGAATGAGAGAGAGAGAGGAGTAAAGTATCGTCTCATGAATCTCTAAGAATTCATGGTGGAGAAAATAACATTTTCTTATGTAACGATAACATTGATTAGATTATGAGTTTCCATTAGTTAATAACCAATGACTGAGTATTGGTGTTGATGTAAGAATAATATTTGTCAAAAATAAGAAAAAAAAAGTTGGAATATATATTTAGAAGAAAAGAAAATAATTCTGAACATGATTATTATTATGAAAGAAAAACTTAGTCTCATGTGCGTGATAATCATGAATTTGAACACTTACATGATGATGGCTTTTGCTTGCAAACCAAAAAGTTCAACGAAAAAAAAAACGGATAAAATGAATAACCAGCAAAGTTTTCACTTTAATCATCATCACCATGATCATCATGCTCAACAACATTAATGTTTAAATTATCGTAGCAAAAATGTGAAAAGAAAAGTTCTGCTTCAAGTAATCAACCAGATTCAGAACTGTGATCAGAATTATCTTCCCATGTTCCAAGAAATAATAATCATATTCAATTGATTGAAATCTTTTCTCATTTCCTAAATTTCGTAATCTTTTGTCTCTAATCTCTTTCTGTCAACTAATTGCAATTAGTTTTAATTGTTTTCTCTTCTTCTTCTTCTTCTCTAACAGTATAACAGCAAAACAAAGTTTGGAGGAAATTAAGCCAATCTATCAATTGATTAGGGAAGTCAAAGGTAAATTTAGATTCTATTTTCTTGTAAACACTCAACTTAACTCGAATCACTTTCGCATCTTATTATCATTCCCTTGTCGATATAATTAATTGTTAATCTTTTCATTATTCTGTTTACCTGTTTCCTTGTTTTTCTTGTCAGGTGAAAATGAAAACATCCCAACGATCGTTGTAGGTAATAAGTGTGATGAAGAGTCTCTGAGAGAGATACCAACCGATGAAGCGCAAAGTTTGATAAAAACTTTTTTCAAAAGTTGTGGGTTCATTGAAACTTCAGCTAAAACTAATCATAATGTAAAGGAAGCATTTCAGGTAAGTTAATCACTCGCTAATTCCTCAATCCCTTCAATAATATCACTACATTTGGATTATTAGCTTTTCCAAAATGAGAAATTCTCATTTTCTGTCAAGAGAAAACCTCTCAATCTCATCTCACCTTAATCATTTATACTTTAATGATTTTTAATCAAACTTTCCTATTCACCATAAAATCATTAATCATTTCATCATAATTAGTATTTTATTTACTCTCAATGATCAACTTGTTTACAATTTATCCATCAATAATATTGAATGAACATGAAACGATATAAACTGTCAATTCAATTCAATTAACTGATTTTCTTTTCGCAATATTTATTATTAACTGTAAAGTGATTTTAAATTTTGTGTGATAATAATTGTTCAGAATTGAAATGATTTGAAATTTCACAATCATTATGATGAAGATAATGAAAGATATTTATTTCATGATTGAATAATTTTTCATGATTAACATTTGGATTTGTTGATGATGAGTAATGATTATGTTAACAATGGATACTGAGCATGAAGTGAAAACAAATAATAAAAAGTTAATCGAGTAAAATAATATATATTATTACATGGGAAGGGGAAGAAAAGTTCAGTGAATAATAAACATAATGTAAAAGACATTGAGTTTGAAATTGTCTGGAGAGATTAGAGATGACGATGAGAAAGAGGAAGATAAGGTGGGAGTGAGAATGATGAAGATAAAGATGAAGATGAGGATGAGAATCGTTGTTGTTATTGTGTACATATAATAAACATTTACCTGTCTAAACTGACTTTTAATGTATCAGGAGGAAAGATTAATGGAAAACATGTTGACCTTTTAACAATGAAGAGAAAGATGAAGATGAAGATGATAATGTTGCTGTTGTATTGATGATAATGATAAAATGATGAAGATAAAGGTGAAAATGGAAGCTAAAAAACTAACGGTTAAAGTTGCATCACTTTTTCACTCCTACACTAAAAGTGGTTTCATTTTTATCTTCATCATCTTTTAGTAACCAATAATTTCAACAATGAAAACTGTATCAAAATTATAATCATTTTTGATGATGTTACTTTCAAATCGATTTTTTTTTCATCTTCTTTTATCATCATCTTGATTGTTTCTCCTATTCAATTTTGCTAATTTATTTTCAATACTTTCAGTCAACAAGTGAATGCTAGAATTTCAATCAAGCCATTTTGACGAAACAGCAATCATTTATTACACTAATTATTTTCTTGATTATTATTGATATATCAATATATCAATAACAGTGATGACTGAAGAGAGAGAGAGAGAGAGAGAGAGAGAGAGAGAGAGAGAGAGAGAGATGTTTATGGTGACGAGCTCGAAGAAATCGAGACTTGGAAAAAAACACTCGTTTATTAGTCTTTTGGTTAATTGTTACAATTGCTTCGTTAGTTTTTTCCTCTAATCTAATTGTGCATTTAGGTAATCAATTGATAACTCACCTTGCAAGTGCAACGATATTGTTGCTACTGCTCTTTAAATTGATGATGATGTTTCTTTGTCTAGGAAGAAGAAAAAAAGTAAGTGGGAGGAAGATGAAGATGAAGATGAAGATGCAGTAATCATGTAATAAGAATAAGCAAAGTAAAGGAAGAAAAAGAGTGGGAGGTAAAATCATCTTCATCTTCATCTCTCAGATTCTTAGTAAATCTTTGGTTACGATTTTGTCCTTGACTTACAAACCAACATTGAGTTTGCTCAATGAAATTGGATGAAAATTTTATTCACTCTTTGACTGTTTCAAATAGTACATAAGTATTTCCATCCTTTCATCTTCCCCTGAAACCCACATCACCATGAATTTACTTGATCATCTTTACCCTGGATATCTTCCTCCTCCACCCCCTCCTCCCACTCATCATCATTCCCAGCATCAGTATCGTCATCATTCAATCTTGACCTAAATCTTGGAAAACAATTTCAAACAATTACAACTTTTAACCCGAAAAAAAATCAGAGATTCAATTATAACTGATGCAAAGTCAATTACTGAATCTCATGTATGATTTTCATCAGCAAAAAAGTAAACAATTATCACAACAATTAATCAAATAATCATTAATCAAGAAAAATGTGATAATTGATTTGAATTCTGCAAATTTTTCACTATTAATATGCAAATTGAAATGTTGCTTGATTTGAATTTAAATTGCAATTATGATGATATTGTGAAGAGAAACAATCAACTGATTTGATTTTGATTAGTTAATTTTCCTTCATTTCATTTGACTCCATTTGATTACAATTGTAACCATAATTTCATTTATTGTATTGCAATAAAATTTTCCCAATGGTTAACAATCAATTGCAATCGTTTAATAAACTCTCATAAAAAATGAAATGATTTTGATTAAAATTATATAATCCTAATGTTTTTGTGATTCAATTGAAATTATTTAGTTAACTAATCAATTAATTGTTTCTATTAAACCTTTTTCTCCATAGGAATTACTATCTTTGGACAAAACCAGAAACATGTCACTCAATTTGGATTTAAAGAAATCAAGATCACAATTAAGGAGAGAGAAACTGAAAGGAAAATGTTTAATGATGTAATAGTAATTAAATCATCACAATTAACCGGATAGCAACCAAGTAACAAGATTGATGTGATCAAAAGATTTACTTAATTGTAAAAAGAAAATCAAAAAACAACCAACTGACCAACTAATCATCTTATTTGGTCAACGAAAACTCAATGCAGCAAAAAGGGAAAGGAAAACGTGGATAATTTAATTTGATTGTTCTCAGTGAGATCGAAACAATTAAACTGCGAACAAACAAATTAACCATCTAAAGATGAAGATGAAGATGATTAACTGATTATAAATATTAGAATTTAAATTGTAATAGAAAAAGAGAGACAATTAACTCAAGAGAATTTAATTTTTGATTTAATATTCGATTGCAATTCCCAAACTAAGATATTATTTTTCTTCCTCATCATCATCATCATCTTCTTCTTCAATCATCAATCTTCCTGCAACTCTTTCTTTTTCTCTTTCTTCTTGTCTTTCAAGAGTTACAGTTATATAATTATTACAATTTACTTTCATTGTTATTGAGAAAGAGATTAGATTTTAATTAAGGTAACAATTAAGAGGAGAAACAATTTTATCAACAAGATTACGATTTACTATTAACCACCAATCACCATGTTATTAATCAAAAAGTAATCAAACTGATCAATGGAAAATTTTTTTACCATTTGATTGTGATCTTTATGGTGATCATGGAGGAAACAATTTGTTGATTGTCAACTGATTAACTGATTGGAATTAACTTTCATCGTGGATCACAAAAGTTGTAATAAAATCCAAATCCAGAGAAACAACAATAATTTAATTGTACACCTCAACTAAATTAACTACACACACACACAAACACAATCTAATTTCAACAATTAACAATTCCTTACCATCGTCCAAAACTAAAACAATTAACACACATTCAATCAATTCACAAATTAATTATATAAATTACACTAACGTTGATTTATCAGAAATCAAACTAATCTTGAGAGTGAGAGTTTAAATTGTAACTTTTAATTGAAAGAAAAATTAATTATATTATAAATAATTTATTTCCAAGTAAAATATATTATTATGAGTGTGGGTGGAACCACCACCCACTCATTCAATCCACCACCTTCACCCTTTAACCCCATCAACCCACTGAAATCAACTGAACCCACCAGAGTAAAAATTAAATCAATTATTAACAATGGAATCAAAATCAATTTCAAATTTAATATAATTAATTAAAAGACAACAACAACAAATCAAATGTTCAAATTTAAATTCAAATGTTTATCATGATCATCATGATCATTTTATTGTAAATAAAAAATCAGATTAAACCATAAACAATTATAATCTCAATCAATTCCTTAACCAATTAATACAATCAATAAATCAGTCAATCAATCAACAGAATCACAATCCAAGTAACAAACCAAAAGTATTTGGACTAATTTAGTTTACAATAATAAAGTAAATTAATAACAATTAATATTTGAGATTTGAATCTATTGGATTAAAGGGAACAATTAGTTTAATCATGGAATGAAAGAAAATTGTGATGAAAAAAATTCGCAATTAAATTTAGATTAAAGTTCTGAGTCTACTCAGTAAAGTTAAAGACGAAGTTCAATCGTTTGATTAGTTGGTTGTTTCTACTGATTAACTTGATGGAATAGTAAAAGATTGTTAATCAGAACGAAAGATTAATTGTCTTGGAGTAAATCAAGTTGACATGACAATTTAAATCTAATTGGAAATTATACTTTCCAATAATCTGAATATTTTTGTTTTCTATTGGAAATTAATTGATTTGATTTTTTGTTATGATTCGAGGCAAAAAATAATCGACTCGATAATGTAACAGTTTAAATCGATTCGAAAACTAATCGATTTCAATCTAATATTTTCTTTTCATTTCTGATTATCAACAAACCACATGAATTCTCATGAACATCTCCTGAAACTCATTCCATTATTTTCTATTCTGACTCTTTTTGGTTGATATATTTAAAACTTTTTTGTTCCACTTAAATCCTTGTTACCAATTGATCGTCAGTTATAAATATCGATCGTGTTTGTTAATCCAATCTACTTAATCCTGAGAAACACCCAAACGTTAAAACCATTTACATATTTTTTTGTTTTCTTCCAGTGAAAAGATCAATTGTCTTTTAATTTTCTCATTCGTTCCATTAATTTAATTCTCTCGATGTTGTTTGTATTTTAATCTTCTACCATGTTGATCACCGAATATCGTATTCCACTTCCACTATCGGTTGACGAATACCGAGTGGCTCAGCTCTACATGATTACTGTAAGTCTATTCTCCTTATCCAATGTCTTTAGAATTCTGAGAAATTTTCTTTTCCTCTATTTGCTCTTTTTCTTTGTTTACTTTTTCTCTTTTGTTTCAATGTTCTATTCTCTTTTACATCTATTCGATTATTCAAATGATTGAAAACCACGATGAAAAGTCAAGAGAAAAAGGAAAAGTCGAAGCATTTTCATGGTTATCATCTCTTTTTTCCCTCCTTTTCTTTTGTCAGCTGAATTGATATTCTTTTTTTATTCATTTTCTATTTAGTTTTTTTTCTTGTCTTCATTGTCGTTATTATCTTCTTTTCATCGTTTTTGTAACTTTTTCTCTCTCTCTTCTTTTTCTATGGAAACTCTTTCCTCCCTTGCACCATCATCATGTTCATTTCATTCATTATTATTCTCATTATAATTATCATTCAACTTCCTTCCAACTAAATTATCTGGACAATCTTCGAACCCTTTCTGTCGTTGTTACCATTTTGACTCCTCTTCGAATCACCCAATCAGTAAATTGTTTGGCAATAAGAATAAATCAAAATGTATTCACACTTATTTTCATGATTATGTTAATCACTATTATTGTTATTTCGTCATTAATATACTTTGAAGCATCAACGAACTTGTTAAGATTCGATAATTTTCCTCTTCGAAGAGGAAAAATGATCATTTTTCCAAAAGCCTTTTCAATATCCACTATTTTTGACTTCTATTAATCTAGTGCTTAATTAGAATTTAGTTGATGAGACTAATTAAAACAAAGAAAATCTGTAACTATCTATACAAAATACCAGAAAATTTGAAAGTTTAACCCCAAAAAAGACAAACTCATAAAACCAGAAAAGTTATCATGTTTCATCACCAAGATTTACGAATGAGTTTACAGTTGAATTAATTATGATGGTGGTTATGATAATATTAATTATAATTATCACACAATACAAAAAGTAAATTTAATTTCTCGCCTAACAACCTTAATACAAATCATTAAATGTAATTGTCAAATTAAATTGATCATTTAGATCATCCTTTTTCAGAATATCACTTTTTCCAATGAAATAAACAATCATAATCATTTATTTATAATATTCAGCTTAGACTCGATTATTAAATTATCATAATAACCCCAATTCAATTAATAGAGATTACTAATTAACTGATTTATTCCTGTTTATCCATTACCGTTATTGATTTAAAATATTTAGATTTGATTGATATTTTACAAGATCAATTATTTTCCAATGAGTATGAGGCGAAAAAAGATCCAACAATCATCTTCCATAGAAAACTGGCCAAGTTCCGTTCCGAAGATTGGATTGAAGATCGTTTGGAGGCCATGAAAGGCGTGAACACTTCGATCTTCGATAAAACGTAAAATGTGCGCTTTTTATTTGGTTCGTGTCGAATTTAAATCTTGAAGAATACAAAAGTAATTCCATTCTCATTCAGCTCTTGAGACTTAATCCTTATTATTAAGCTCTTTTCCTTAATTCCATTCATCAAATGTGATCACTGATCATTAGTTAATCGTAAAATAATCGTAAAATGGCAATATTAAGTGTCTCCTTTTTTTCCTTGACAAAATTATTCAATTGAGTAGCTTAAAGTGTCTCAATATACAAACTTTATGACAGAATAATATTTTAGCATTGATTGTCATGATGATCACCTAGAGATAATATTATTGTCTTTCTAATGATTGATTTCCATGTTCATTTATTTTTATTGATTTTTTGATGATTAATTGTCTTTCCTTTTTCTCTTTAAATAATAAAGATAATTTAGCTCTTCATAAAGCTCACCGTCAAGCAATCACATGGTAAGATGAATGGTTTTGGCTCATCTAGTGATGATATTGGAAATTTAGAACGACAAAAAAGTAACAACCAGCATAGAAAATGACAACAATTAATGATCTCAACCGTTTTAAAGACAATCAACCTGAAACAATGATGACAATCGCAATTGAAGTAACAGCAATACCATGGAAATTGGTCATCCATCACACGAAGTTAATTTAAATGTGACTTATAAGGATTAAGATGATGAGATTAAAAACTTATCCTCTGAAAAACTTTACAATAAGAGTCCACCACGAATTAATCAAGAACAATCATCTACCAGCTTTGAGCTGCTCAAGATATCGCCGATAATATTAATCTGATCTTTTTATTGTCATGTTAATAAAAGCTGAGAATAGAAACTGAAACCATTAATATTTTCATAATCATTTTGATTTGGATGCTCTTGGTCATAAACCAGGAACTTTACCAGTTCCAGCAACCCACTTTTCACGGCGGAGAATAATAAGAGTCTCGAAAGTTTGTTCGATTTGTCGGACAATAGCTTGATTGTTGACAAGCTCATTACAAATGAAACTTAAATGTCCATCTTTTGGGCGGTATTGGGAGATGAAAATGGCTTTCTAGATTTGAGAACTTCGGATAAAGTGGTGGGTCATCATGAATCATCTAAATTCAAAAGAGTTTTTTGAAGATCGTTGATTTAGGGTTAACTTTCCATGTCGAATCCGAGTGTTTCGTCGAAATTGTGTAAAATTCATCTTCTTCATCGACCATTTCATATAATGGTGATAATTCAAAAGTAACATTAGAATCTGTTGATAATTTCGACGTTGGTCTCCAGCCCCGAATTTGCTTCGATTTGCTCTAAAACGGCAATATCCAAACGCAGGGCAACTTCTTTGCACCAAATATCATCTTTGATTGGTTCAGGAACATCGAAGGGAAATTCTTGAGATACTTTACGATCATGATCACAGATATCGAATTCCGTTATTGCAGCTTTATAAGCTTAGTTTGTAGAAACATAAGTTAAATATTTGGTCAATTGTTTCTTTAAATGTTTTTCCCTTAATCCTCTTTCATTAAGAGTTTCAATTATTGATCTGATCTGACCGATGTCCGTTATGATCCACCAGCCTCGTTGAAACTCTTCAGGGATTCTTTTAGGTTTACGATGTTGTTGTTTTTTATGTTATTCCAATTTCTTTGACAATTCTGGATCAATTTCAAATTCGGGTCCTGTGAGGAAGTTTGATGTTGAGATGAAGATTGAAAATCATTAATTAAAGATGAGTTAGCCTCGGATTTAGCACCATTCGTGGCATTGGTGGAGTTTTGAGAAAATAGAGATCCAGATAAATGAGGATATACAAAAGTTTCCATGAATACATTTTGAGAAGGTTTTGTTGGTGATGATGAATTTTCAGGTGAGATGAGAGATTTATCAGACTCTTCTCCAGATTCATTTACTTTAGAGGTTGACTGGTTATCGAGAGCTGAAGGTGAGGAGGATGAAGTACCTGTTACACTTGGAACTGGACAGATAGTTATAGTTGTATCATTACAAGGGATTCGAGGGACAACATTGAACCAAGATCGCTCAGGACTAACACTTTCAAAAGGGAAACCTGAAGCATCCAGCAAACGGTTTCGAGACTGTTTTCGTTTTCTTTTCGTAAATTCTTGTCGGAAATGATTTTTCCTCTTGATTGTCAACAATTAAACGAGACAATTTAACTACATAACAAACATCAACTTTAATCTAATATTTTTACACTTCTAATTGTAAACATTTCACCAAATATTAATATTAAGTGAATTAGTAGTTGATCCTTCAAGATTAAGATGATCAGTTAATTGAAACAGTTGCAGATCCTGTTAGATTTGCTGATTAGATTCACCTTAATTAGTTAATCGTTTACTACAATTAGTTAATTACTAGGATGTCAAATATTATTCATCAAGATTGTACGTGAACAAATATTAGGCTTGATTGTTGAATTTGTAACTTGGAAAAATACCAATAGTTAATTAAATTTAGTTTATCTCATTGAATCATAATTTTTTCAATTGAAGATTAATCAAGATCAACTAATTAAGTAAAGGAACAATTTAGTGAATTGATTTAATGAAAAACAATTTAATAATTTACTAAAGTAATGTTTATACAGTAAAGTTACATTTAGAAAACAATAATCAGTTTTGATGAGGACAATTTAAATTAATTGGGATATGATATGATATGAGTAGTCAATTAATTGTCCTCATCAGTGTATAAAATTTTCATAAGTTAATTGTAAACAAAATATTAAATTGATTGTATGATAAATAAAGTAAAAACAATCAATGGATAATGATGATAATTTCAATTGAGTGAAAAGTGTCAGAGTAATAAAAATAACGGTATTTGGATAATTAGAAATTGATTAATCAATTGAGTTAATTGTCGACTTCAAGAATGAAGAAGTGGCCTTTCCTCACGATCGGGCGATTCAGGTCTTGATTCGGAATTGCTGTCATCATGAATTTCATTGATTCCGAGGGCCTCACATCGTTCAGAGTAAGTCATGTACCCGGTGCTGTTTTTCAAGGCATAGAAAAAGTAAATTGCTAAGCCTGAAAAAAGAAACAATTAAAATGGACAATTAACGATTAAAGATTAATTATTACAGTTTGATACAAGCAAAAACAATCTTACAATTTACCCTTCATCTCTCACTGGTAAATTAAATTGCTTGTTGGTGAAAGAAACGTGATTTATTTATGATTGTCATTTAGTTGCGACTCGAACTGAATTAACTACAACGTGATAAACAAACACTTGCAGTGTTTCCTTTCATTTAAACAGTTAATTAGTTGATAATCTTAGTAAAAAGACACAATTAACTTGTCATAATGGTTAAAAATGTTAATTCATTCAACTGACAATTTAATAGTTTGTCAACTTTGGATACAATCAAACCTGACAATAGTCATTCAGCAGGATACAAGTAATTAGTTTAACATCATCATCTCAAGTAGTTTAATTGTTGGTAAATTATGGATAATATAACCGCGAATCAAATCATAATTAATGGTTAATTGTAGCCTTGATTTAATTAAAATCAAACTCAAGTTATCAATGAGATAGCTAATTATTGTATCAATTGTGCTCGTAACAAATTATCATATTGATTTGGTTTAATGTTTTGTTTTTCCTGAAATTGATTAAATTTAAAATCATTCAATCAAATAGATGAGATTTAATCAAAGTAATTGTTATTGATTATTGTTTCAAAGTTTAATCAACTTCACCGATATCGTTCATCAATTTGATTGATCAACAATTTAGTAAATTAAATAAAATGGGAAAAGTTTACAGAGCAACAATCTAATTACAAGGAACCAGAAACCGTAATGATTAATAATAAATGAATCCTCGAAGCGTAAGTTTCATATTAATGTTTTATCTTGAGAGTATTATTATTACTTCAACGACAATTAGCTTTCAAGACTAATCATCTGATTAATAATTTAGTTTGACAGTGAATTAGCTTGTTAGCAATCAAGAGTAAAATGTTTGATTGAAACAATTTAGACCCAAAGTAGATTTTTTCAACTACAAGTTTATTCCGTTTCTTTGTATTAATATAATTGTTTGTGAATAAATATAATTAATGTAATTAATTGTATTATATAAATTCTTACAAAAAAAGGTGAATTAAATCACAATTGAACAATTAAAAATTGATTCAATGTAAGGTCATAATATGGGAACATTATGACAATATGAAAGAGGGAAAGAGAAAAGTTAATTGCAGTTTTTGGGTAATTAACAGACTTGATTAAGGTAAAAGTAATTATTACATGTAAATGACAATTGTTGTTACGTTGTTACAATATATATATAAATAAATAATTAGTTAATTGTTGAGATGAAATTGATTGATTCGATGATTGCGAATCAGTAGTTTGACAAGAGATTAAAGTAAATGATTTTTTTGGGAGATTAAAAACTTGACTAGAATTAAGGATTAAACAAATTAAAAACAAAAGAAAATTAATTGACAAAAAGATAAACAAAACATTAAAATGCAACAAAAAGGCTAAGTGTTAATTATGAGCATTCTTGGGGACGAGATTTCTGGGCTCAAGATTAAGGTAATTTAAATCACTCGAAACGTAATAATAAAACCATCACGTTGATGCTAATTATTAGTAATCAAAGATTAAATCATAATTTGAAAGGGTAAAAATGATGAGGTAGAGACACATAAGTGAGAGAGATAAGGCCTGATGATAATAAAAGAAGCTCCTTCTCATACTCTATCCAATGGTGATCAGTTTGTAAATTATGCATGTGAATACCTGGTGATCATTATAATCAACTTAATTGTTGTAAAACCTTCAGGTTTAAAGTGTTAGAGATTAAGAGTTTCACAATTATTGATTGTAATTGTGACAATTGAATGGATCGACTTGAGGATCGATTGGATTGAGTCTTGACTTTTCTTATGCGTTTGTGTTTGTTGACCAATCGATTTAACCGATTGACAATTTTTGATCTTTAGCTTTTTGGTTCGTTGGCTTAAGCTGGAAGTTTTGACTTTTAGATCGTTCGTTGCTATTAAAAATGCCGTAAATAAAGTATATTGATAAGCCTGGTGGAGAAAGAGAAAATTGAAACATAGAGAGAGAGAGAAATTTTCGTCAGAATTAAATTATTGGACAATCTTAAGGTTGAGTAATTAGTTTGTTGATTAAAATTAAACAAAACAATTAAAGCAACTAAAAGATTAGGCATTGGAAAAGGAGAAAGTTATTTCATGGGAGAAACTGGCAAAATATTATCACTAAAAGTTTCAAGAAAAAAGCATAAAATTTGCAAACTAAATTATAACTAAATGATTGTTAACAATGTTGGTGATTAACAATTAATAGTTAATTTGAATAATTTGTGTCATGCAACTTGATTAGATGAGCATTGTAAACAAACAAGTTGATTGATCAATGAACAAAAAAAAACAATCTGATTGCAATGAGAAATAAATTAATAACTAAGGAAAATGACAAGCAATAAATGGAAGAGGATTTTGTTTTGATTGTTTTTGATTGTGATTAGTTTCAATTAATTAACTTACCAATTGCCATCCAAACTGCAAATCGAACCCATGTAATTACTGATAGTTTCATCATCAGATAGACATTAATGAAGATTGAAATTATTGGAATAAAAGGAACCCATGGAACCTGAATGATTGTGTCAAATTGATGGAAATGAGGAAAAGAAAATGAGATTAGTAGGAAACTCGTAAACCTTTTCATTGTGATCTATTGGACAATCAGTTTACCGTTATTCTTGAATTGATTTAACTCAATTCTATTGATTAATACATAATATCTACATTTTGGGTTTCTCTCAACTATTTTTATAACAATCAAGAAAGACTATAATTAGAGTAAATAAATTGTCTTTACAATTAAGCGTCACTTTCATTGAACTAGTAACGATTATCAATAATTAAATCAATGTTACATCAGTAATTGACGTTCAAAATTTTCCATAACAGATAATGGGGGAGATTCAACACCAATAAATAGATTAGTAGTTTATATTTGATTATGTATTTTACTTTGATCGTAATCAATGTAATTGTATATAAATGATTAGATTTAATTCTGAGGTGGTTTTGCCTTTTCAACCTCGCCTCTCATTTTAGTTACCACCATAAACAACAAATAGAGATTTCTAATTATCGGATTGAACTTGATTTGCGACTCACTTGAAAAGATATGGTTGCTGAGCTTCGTGGTTGCCGACCAAGGGCAATGATTAAAAATATTAGGTAAAAAAATGCAATTCCAACGACAATTAGTGGAGTTCTCTCCAAATTACTGAGATTCGTTTCGAGAAATATCAATAACAAGTCCAATATTACGATTGCAGTGCCTGTTACAGAGACGAACATTGTTTTTCAATGTTAATAAGATTTCACTTTGATTGAATTTGACTTGATGTGACTTACATATTGATAAAATTAATTGTTTGCTGGTAGATGAGGTTCGCTTAGTAGGTGATTGAATATTATCCAAGTTGAATAAACGTCGCAAAAAATGAGGAGCGATATTGGTCATGTCGGGAGATCGACTGGGAGTGAATGAGTTCGGTGGAAAATCTTGTTGATTTTCATCAGAAATAAATTCTTGTGATCCACTGGTTATAGCATTCGAAGCTGAACTTTTGGTATCACCTTCAAACCTTTGGGTGAAAATTCATCAATCAATGATAGTGGGGGGAGAGAGAGAGAGAGAGAGAGAGAGAAATGATATTACAAATATGATAAAAAAAACATTGCACTAAATTTTTGCTTAAAGGTTTTCCCATAGTTGATTAAATCGTTACATATTAATAGATTGTTAGATTAACTGGGAAATTTTGTAACAAACCAATCATTAATTACAATTACTTGTAGTTTCAATATTAAGAAATTGTATATTGACGTCAGACTATTTGTTAATTTATCAAAATAATCATTAAACTAGAGGATATCCAATAACAGAAAATGAAACGTTTGGTCTAAAAAGGATAGAAAATCATTACTAAATAACGAAATTGCCTGTTATTTGAAAAGATGATTTTCTTTTGCGTAGGTTGCTTTGGATTCAGTAGTCTCGATAATACATGTATAAGAAGTGTTTAGCATGGGAATATAATGGTAAATAAATAATATTGTTTTGTATATTCACCTGAGAACGAGTATTGATACTGCAACTAAGGTGTAAGCTAAAAGGGTTCCGATTGACATCATATCTGCAAGTTCATCAACATCAAAAAGTGCTGCCATGATTCCTGAAAGAATACCTGAAACAAAGGTGGAAATTAACGGTGTTTTGGTCCGAGCGTTGACATTGGCAAGAAAACGGAAGATGAGACCATCGGTGGCCATAGCGTAAAGAACTCGAGGTAAGGGAAACATGGCCCCCATTAGACTAGTTGAAAGTCCGGCTAAAGCACCAACAGTGATGATCCATTTCGCAAAAGGTAAACCCGCTTTATCAAACACATAAGGAAGCGGAGCAGCGTTGTTTAAATCGTAATAGGGCCACATTAGAGTTTGAATACTTGAAACCCCAAAATAGGCAAGAAATATGATCAAAAGTGAGACAACGATACTAATCGGTATGGCTTTCTGAGGGTTTCGCACTTCCTCCCCAGTGGTGGCAATTATATCGAAACCAATAAAACTATAAAAACACGTCGCAGCTCCAGCCATCATTCCAGAGAAACCAAATGGTAAAAAGCCACCGTTTCCTGCACCAGGAGGAACTTCTGATTTGGGTAGTTTCCAATTAGAAAAGTCACTTTTAAATGACCCACAGACAATCACGAAAACAACAATACTCAAATTGATGAATGTAAACACAGAATTGAATCTTGTTGATTCTTTTACACCGATAGCCAACATGACTACGAATATGAAAATAAAAGAGATTGATAAAAAAGATTAACAATTTAGATACAATTTAAGATACAATTATCCAAAGTCTAAAAAGATACTCAATTTACCTGTTAACAGTAAAGTGATTCCTAAGGCAAGAAAATCAGGATATGCCGACATGTTTGGTACTCCAAGCGGCATCCATTCCTCGAAATGGGCTGCTATGCTTCCATTGAAAAGAGAATCTATGTAACCGCTATACCCTCGGGCAACAGAAGCAGTTCCTAAGATTATAAGAGAACAGAGTAATCAATGAATATCATCATGATAAAGTTTACAAGGCTTTTTTTCTCGAAAGGAAACATCGCTCTAATCAATATAAAATGTCAACAGATGAATTGAAACTTACCAATAACATACTCGAGAATTAGATTCCAGCCAATCACGAAAGCAGTGAATTCCCCAACGGTGACATAACTGTAAACATAAGCTGAACCTGCTCTCGGAACTCTAGCACCAAATTCAGCGTAACAAAATCCAGCAAAAATTGAAGCTAAAGCGGCAAAGAAAAATGACAATACGACAGCGGGACCCGCTTCTGTACTAGCGACCTTTCCAGCTATTACGTACATTCCCAGTCCCAAGGTACTTCCGATACCTTATATAGTCCAAGGAGAGACAAGGTGAAAAGAAAATCAGTAAATCAGTTAATTGTTGTGCTTCCTTTACAATGATTATCATGAGGGATGGGAAACCATTAGGATGAAACAGATAATCAAACTTCATTTTTTTCACAATAAAAATTGAGCCAAATACAATGTACTATGAGACAATTGAATCATTCAAATTATGATTAAATATGAACAAAACATAATTTGGATTATGTTTGATAGCAATTACTGGAAAGCTCAAGATTTCATTTCTCAGATAATTTTAACAATTAGCTAATTGTAATTTAGTTAAAAAAAGTTAATATAAAGTTTGATTAAAACCACTTTTTTCAATCATCTTTCAATCCAGACAAGCAGAAATAACAGTTTAAATAACCTCTATTAACAATGAAATTAATTAACTACCTTTACTAATGATAATTTAATCAATTACTATCATTGTTAATTGATTACTTGTTAGCAATGGGCATAATCATCATAATATTAATGATAATCAAGGCGAGACAGAAACACTGTCAATGATCAACACGGAATCGTTTTAATGATCGGAAATGATTAGTAAATTGTAAACATTTCCCATTGAAAGGTTAAGATGAAAGATGAACGTGGTCATCATCTTAATCTTACACAGGTTAAAGGTAAAAGTATGACAACAACAAGACTTTGTTACTCTCTCAAAGCCTAATAACCTTGAGGAGTTTGCAGTAGGAAAAGGAAAAGGAAATGATGAAAACTGGGACTAAGCTAAAACATTTGTTTCAATCAAATGAGAGAAAATTGTGTCAATGGAGAAGATTTCGTTTTAAATAATAGACTTGGAAATGATTAATTCAACAGTTCAACTGGTTGTTGATCATCGCAATTATCGCTATTTGGATGATTTTGGGTGAATGGAGAGAAAACATGACTGATGCATGCAAGAAATGAAGGTGAGGAACCGGAAGATAATCTTAAGAACTTTTGGCTTACCCAAAGCTGTTAAATCAAATGTACCCAGACATCGGTTCAATGTACTTGGTCCCTGATTGTCATCAATCTTTTTCCGTCGAACAAGAGCTTTGCCAAAAGATCTTAAATTCATTTTTGGTTAACAGGAAAATGAGAGTTTGTTTCCTTTCGAATTTCAAAGATTGACCAGTAAACTAGAGGGAAAATCAACGGATAGAAAAATGATTGTGAGAACAATTAGAAGAGAATAAAAATAAAAAAAAGAAAGAAGCACAAATTTAGACAAATCAACAGTTACATTGTTACTGTTGAACTGGTGGTTGAGAAAACAATGGTAATTAGATACATACAAATATGAGATGGTTATTAGTTGCAAGGGTAAATTGTATACTTAAGTCAATATAAATAAAGCACAATTAAAATAATATTTGATGATGAAAATAAATTCTGTTGTGTTTGGATGATGAAGACAAACTGATGATTGTCTTTGATTTAATTATCACAAGTGATTCAATTTATCTAACATGAAAACTAATCATTCTAATCAAATAATCATCACCATCAAGCCATCCTCATCTCAAATCATAATTGTCATCTATCCATTAAACGAGGGAGAACCACAATTAACAATCACAATTAGATGATTACATTTGGTAAAAAATAACAACAAGACACGAGAATTTATTGATAACACCCTGACGGATGCAATGAGTAAACATTTTTTCTACAGGGTATGTACTGTAGATCCTCCTGTGGAGGAAAGTTGTTCCAGACAACTTAAGGGAGGGAAATTACAATAAATTTGGTTTCAAATTATTAGGTAAAAAACAAAAATTAAAATTTTAAAAATTATATTAATTGGCTGATGGTTAATTTGATTGTCCAAAGATCCAATTTGATGATTGTAAATAAGTACCAAAGGTTGAGATGAAGGTGGAGATGAGGTCCAAAAAATAGTTTAACTCATTAGGTATGATACAAAGAAAAGGAGAAAATAAAATTAGAATTTTAATCTTTTAAAAATGTGAAAAATTATCTTGCTTATAAGTGTGAGATAAATTTGTTTAATAATTGTTTAAAGTATAAAATTTAAAGTATAAAAATTTAGAGTATAAGTTTAAGTTAGAGATAAGAAAGTTGTATCAAATTACCAACCAAACTTACCAAGAAAACAAAAATGGTTTAAATTATTACAACGCAATAATGGCTCAGTTTTAAGGGTAACAAAATACAACCAAAGTAACTGTTTAACTATCATAATTTTGGTACCAACTTGATCCGTGTGGTCAGATAAACAATAATAACACAAACTTAAATATTAAATTCACAGGTAAAGTTAATTAAATTAAAATTTATCAGGAGCGAAAAGAATCAAACAAAAAAGAAAAAGAACAACCTGTTGTCTGCCATCTGCCGGAACTTTTTCCAAATACAAGGCTATTCAGCTAATTTCGCCGATGTTTTTTGCGATTTTCTCGAGACTTGAGTGGTAAGTAAAATGGCCATCAAATGACCTTGAAACGCGTTATTTTACCAGTGACCTGAATGACCTTGATCTTTAATATGACAATTGAGTATCGTTCAAACTCATACCAAGAGTCAAAGAGACTCGAGACTTGAGTGGTAAGTAAAATGGCCATCAAATGACCTTGAAACGCGTTATTTTACCAGTGACCTGAATGACCTTGATCTTTAATATGACAATTGAGTATCGCTCAAACTCAAGTCTCTTAGTTGATGAGAAAATCGCAAAAAACATCGGCGAAAATAGCTGAATAGCCTTGTAGAATTTCTAACAATTTAATTTTTGTGCAAATTAAATTAATTGTTGAAAAAAAAGATTCATTTACTTATCGATATTCTCTATCTGTATTTAGACTTGTATGATAATTGGGTGATTAACTAGTTAATTTAATCTTCCACTGGACAATTGGTTGTTTCATTTTAATTGTTTAGTAAATATTTTTAACCAATTAGATTAAATTGTTTGTTCATTTTAATCATTTTTAGTTGAAAACAAAGAAAAGTAATTATGCTTGAAATTGGAAATCAATTTTCATTCGTTGATTTAATTGGAAATTTATTAATCATCTCTTTTTTTTGTAAAAAACATTCTAATAAAAAGTAGTACAATTTAATTGTATTAGAATTTACATTAACTGGTTACAATTAATAAATTAAGCCACTTTTGTTTCGTGAATTGATTTAACCACTTTCCTAGAATCTAAATAATTGGAATTAATTTTCCCATTTCCCATTTAATTGAGATTATTAAATTACATTGTAATAAAGGTCCAATTGTCAACATGTTTAGTTGAATTTCTCGTTTTTAACTTGTATTTGATTGTATCTCTCTTAATTGTTGCAATTTGAGATCAATCAAGAACGAGTTTATATTCAAGGATCATTACTGATGATTAAACAGATTGACAAAACTGATCAAGTTAATTAAAAGTTGAACAGTAACTGTCTCTCTCTCTCTCTCTCTCTCTATAAGTTACTATGTGATGGACAAAAAATAAGAGGAGTTAATTGTTACAGGAGGATGAATAAAAATGGAAGATGGAAAGTTGATTAAAGTTTATAATTAAGTTTCCTTTTTTGAAAAATAAAATGGACTAAAATATTTGAAGGCGACGGTGGTGATGAAGAGAGGACGAAAAGTGGAACTGGAAGTGTGAATTCATGGTGGGCGAGGGTGTGACATTTGATATATAAGAGACATGGATGACGATAACATCATGGATTAGATGTGAGAGAGAGAGAGAGAAGAAAAATGGTTAAGAACAGTTGAGAATCATCTCCATTGTGGTTTCGTAGGTAAAGGAAGACGATAAAAAGATGGAAGTTCTGATGAAGTTAAAATGAATAGGATGACATCTTGGTGGAAGAGAGTTTTATGATTTTCAATGGACAGTGAATGTAATTAGGTTGATTGTTCATCTTAAACTTTGATCAATATGAATGATGTAAACACAATCACACATATTGATTGGATCAAAGATGCCAGATGAAGTTCCTTTTTCAGTAAAAGTGTCTTTTCCCCTTTCTTTCATGGTTTGATCAATTATTGATGATTTATATTGTTTGCATTGAATGTTTTCGTTAAAATCAATATGTAACAATTGTTGGCTGATTATTTCTCATGTCACCAAGAGCTACCGATGGTGTAAACTGAGCTGGTCCTGATTTGTCGATTGCGGCTTCATTATTCACTAGGATGGCACTTGGATTCTCTGACATTGCTTTAGTTCTCATTTCTTCAACACTTGCTCTGAAAGAAATTAAAACAAAATTGTAATTAAAATGATGATATTAACATGCTGGTTAAACAATCGAATATTAAATTGTGATAACTTACTTCTTTCCCAAGCTAAGAATCAAATAAGTAGCAGATGCAGCTGCCAATAAACAACAGGATAATATAGTGGAAAAGTTTTGACATATAAAGAAAGGTATCACTGAAAATCTTTGATAGCAAAAGAGAAGAGAAAAAAATTAATAATTAGCGACTATTTCATGTTAATTCCAATTGCCGAGTCTCTTTGGTATCCAAATTAGAGCTGCTTACAATGCATAAGTCGAAGCTTTCCACCAGTGTGGTTTTCCTTCATAGAAACGACTTGGAAGATGAGCAAAATCCAAAAAAACACATAGACAAGGTGATTCAATTAGAGTAACAGCAATACCTTCACAACTGGATAAACAAGAGAATGAGATATAAAGAAAGGAGAAAGAGAAGATAGAGGAGAAAATCAGATTACTAATCAACATTCAACACTAATTAACAACCCAAAGTTAATTTATGTGACTAATCGATAATTTGATAAAAAGAGATATTGACAATAATATGGAAAAAGTATAAAATCGCCCAGACTTTCCAACCAAATCGCTAATAACTTACATAAGTAAAATACCAGCAAGTAAGCAACTAAAATCAAATCCAATCATAGCCCATATACCAAAGAATATCGATACTGTATGTAATGAAAAAGGAAATATTAATTAATCTGATTAATTGACAAAAAGAATAGAAAATGATGACAAGTTAGACTAACATAAACCAGCAATCGTTGAGACTCCACGGGCCAGAGTTGAGAAGAGCCAAGGAACTTCCTCTTGACCTGGAGGAGGTTGAAGTTGATCTCTCATGGATTGAGAAAACATTTTAACACCCTAATTATTGTAAAAGTAAATCAACTAATAAACATTAATAAATAACAATTGATTGAAAGAAAAATAAATTAGTAACAATTAAAACAAACTAATTCAATGTCATTAACCAAGAAAACCACTTGTTACAATTATTCACTTGTTGGTAGAATTCAATTCAATTCAATTCCATCTATCGGTGTGAATAGAAGTTAATTATTCTAAGCGGTGAATTTAAACTGAAAAGAAAAAGAATTCGACTGCTACTGTCATCTAGTGGAAAATTTATTTACTAATCGGTTGATGTTCATTTTCATCTTGTTAATTGTTTTGTTTATAATTAGAGTTGTTTTGTTTAATTAACTCATTGTTGGTTGTTGAATTTTGTGTGTGAGAATCAATTGTGAGAAAAAAATTGTGAGAAAACAATTGGAATACTTGGATGGTGATGAAGGTAAAGTAATAATTGTGTTCATGTTTCGGTTACAATTAACAATTAAAATAGAAACTCAATTTGATGGAAAGAAAATGTTCTTAATTAAATCAAATTGTGTTTGGTTAATTTATCGGAAGTTGATCCTACACTCAAGTTAACTCATTTCTGTCTATGTAAGGACAACGACACCCACAATTAAAGACCACGTTTTGTTTGTCTTAATCAAAACAACCAACAAACTAAATAAGGTAATAAAAGACTGGATTAAGTTGGTGTAAAAGTAATTTAATTGTGTGGGTGAGAAGTTGGAAAAATTAATCAAATCAAAGAATTGATTGAATTTAAAGTTGGAACCATTTTATTGGTCAATTTTTAGTAATCTCATTGTTGATTCATTTCACAAAATCACAATCAATAGAAACAACAATTAAATGAATAGATAAATAAGTGTGTGAGTTAAATTAATTTATTAATTTTGATAAACTTTGACAATCAATATAAAAATAAACAACAGACCTCTTAGAATTGCAAAATAATTAACTTAATAATTGATTTGATTAAGTTGGTTTGTTTTGAAGAGGGAGAGAGAGAGAGTTGATGGTAGTGAATAATTTACACACAATTAAAGAGAGTGGAGAGAGAAAGAGAGTGAGGGAGGGATAAAAGAGCAATTGATTAAGTTAATTGGTTGATTTAAGTTAATTATATTCGTCAAAATCTTTATCTTCCACCGGAGCTGTCATGTAACCAAGTCGCCGTTTAAAGAAACCACACTTGAGAAGAGAGAGAGAGAGAGAGAAATGACATTTAGTAAATTGTTTTGACGATGAAAGTGACAATTAACTTACCCTCCACAATACAATAATTAACAAAATTAGTAACAATATTCCTAATAATATAGACATGATTATAATCCACAAAGGTACTCGAGCTGGAGGCAGTAAAGGTACATCGGGATAAGCTTTAGTTATTACCTGGTGAGGATAAGAAAATAATTTATTAGTTTGTTGATTGTGATTCTAATGTTTAATCAATTAACTTACGAAAGTAGCATCGTCATTAGTACGATTTTGTCTGATTGATGGACCAATGGTCAATTTAGCTCTTGAATATATATGGACTTGATTAACTCCGGAAGCATAATCTTCAACAAAAGTTGAATTCCATAGTCTTCCAATGAACACAATTACCTTGAGAAATTAAAGAGACAAAAATGAATTAGATAATCAATCAATCAATAATCTATTACATGTAAATATTAATACAAATTCAATTCAACTTACTGATGGTACTCCAGGTCGGAGATCCTGAAGATAACATAAAAATTTATAACAACGAGCTGTCTTTTTTTGGCAGTCCTAGAAAAGTGAGACATTAAAACAATTAACTAATTAATAATCCATCTAAATTGGTTAACAATTAAAAATTAGATATTAAAAATATCAACTTACCAAACTAACTACGTTTTGACTTTTACCATCTTCCATGATACGTTTAGCGGGAACGATGGTTTGTCTTTTTGGTCTTGATTTGGTGAAAGAATCACTTTTAATTGGACTTGATTCTGTATCCTGTTGATTTAAATCAAATGATAGAAAGAGAGACAATTAAATAATCATGAATGATGCCTTTAGATTTAATATAATCAATTATTTACCCTTATTTTCAGAGGATTAACTGCACCAAATGTTGGGACACATTGCCCTTTACCCTGTACAACAATGGTACTCATTAAGTAGAGAAGCCTGTAGAATATCAAACAATTAGTTAATTGGTGTTCCTTAATTGTCTGTATGTATAATTTAAATACCATTTTCCTTCCTCATGGTCACTGGAAAGTGAATAAGGCCAATCAACTTCAACAGTCAATTCCTTTGGATGATAAGGTCCAGCGGAAATAATCGTATAGGAATGTTCAATTCTGCTTCCAATGTCATCTGAGGTTTTCTGTTAATTTAATTATTACATGAAAAACATTAAATCAAAAATAATAATTGATGATAATGTTAACACAGTTGAAACATTTTCTTCTCATTGATGAGACAAACAGTTATAATTAAATGCTGGTGACATTTTTGTAACATAAACAATCAACAGTATTAACCAGTCAACTAATCAATGTCATTCATTATCTTGTTAATGTTGATAAATTGTTACAATTAACTTACCATAGCTGCCTCACCAACAGGATCACCACCAAACCAAACTCCAGCAGGATCAGATGAACCTTTAATTTCCAGATCAGCTCGACGGATAATCAACAATTTAGTGGTTACATCGTTTTTAGATTGACTTAAATCAACACTCGATGTATTTACGAAGACTCTTAAATCAATATCATTCTGTACATCTGATATCTCTTTGGGATCAAATTTTAAATTCAATTTAACCTGATAAATATATACACACACAGAGAGAGAGATAGAAAAAGAAACATCAACAATTAAGTTTGATTAACAATTAACAATGAGATGAAAATTAAGTTTACCTCTCCTCGTTTGAAAGGATTACCCAACGAGCAAACCAATAGACTTATATTGAATGGTTTACAATCAATTTGTTCACCTTCCTGTGTAACAATTAATAAAATAGAAAACAAATAAATACATCAATTAGATTGTTGATTCAAATTAGTTGATATAAAACACACCATTGTAATAATCAGTTTAAGGACAAATTTAGGTTAAATATCATAATCAATTTGACAGAAATCATAGTAACCAAAATATAATAAATGATAATAAACTGATTGTAATCATTTCTTATAAATAACATTGATTGATTTATATTTGAATATTTAAATAATAGTAATTAATTATAAATTATTACTGTTAATAATATGATCTATGTAAGAAACTAATTTCCGCATTTTAAACTAATCAATCAATCATTTTTACAATTTAAAACTACAATTAAAGTTTATGGGTGAGATAATTTTTCTGTAATCCATTTACACCAAAAAGGTTAAAGTAAAAATGATCATCTCCTTTTAAAATAATCAAATAATAATAATAATAACAATTTCTTAATTACAATTGAAATTAAAATATTTCTCATTCGATGAATGGTTAATTAACTAATTGTAATCACTTACCACTTGATCTTTACCAATATAAGTAATATAAGGATGATAGATATAAATGTTTGCATCATAAGCTGGTTCCATTGTATTTCTAACGGTTAATTCAAGATTAACATCGGTTGAACCTAAATTGATGAAATACAATCAAATGAATCAATTATAAAAAAAATTAGCAATTAAATTTTAATAGATTACATAAGATTAAAGAAAACGTTGATTAAGCAATTAGATCGATAATTTTGTTATTAATACAATTATATGTCATCATAATTGAATTATTAATATAACTTGAAATATGTAAATAAATCATCCAATTTATTTAGTGATTACTATTATAAATTAACAAACAAATAACAACAATCAACAACAAGTAGGTTAACTGGTTGATCATTTGGCAGTGAATTAAATTGCTGATCAAGCTGATTACATACCCAAATATAATATTCTGTCTTCATATCCAGGCGTATCCAATGGATGGAGTAATTTAGCAATTACATTTAAATTGCTTTGGCATTGCTCAGTGTTGCCTGAAAAGTGAAAGTAGAGTAATAAACAATTTAGAAAACTTAAATTCTCCATCTTATTCCAATGTAAACAAATAGTTTAATTGGGTTCTAATCAGCTGAGAATTGTATTAATCGAATTGGTTAACTTACGACATTCTTTAAGGAATGATGCTTGAAATACTTTTCGAGCTTCTTCTTGATTTAGAATTGGATATTTATCGATATCTGAAGACGAAGAGTAACTTGTTACGATACCACGAGGTTCATCTTGCTCCAGTGAATAAGTTAATTGGAATTGAATCTGAACGAAAATGAAATTATATAAAATATTATTCATATTTCCATGTATATTTATGGTGTGAGAAAAGTTCAGTTGTGTTCAGTTATTATTACCGATCGATGGATGTCAGATTTATCCTTGATATAAACAAGTTCTTTGAGACAATTCCATCGGCCTAAACGATCACCAGAAATTATCGTTGTTTTATTTACTATGTGAGGACTATCGAGTTCGGCTGAAGAATTGAACTTAACTCGAGGTACAATTGGTTTTTCTAAAAAAGTTGTGAAAAAATAAATAAGAATAATTAATGCCCGAAACTCAAATCGACGAAGAAAAAAATCTAAAGATTCAACTTACTGTCGAGGAAACTTTCAGCTTCGATTATGTAGCGAAGTACAATTTTACTGGTTGATCGGCCTGAGGGCATCAGTAAGAAACAAGGCTCTACATCGAAACAAGGTAGCTTAGAAGTCGGATCTCCGATACAACCTTCACGATTTGGATCAATTTGGGTTATATTTTCAACTCGAGTAGCGATGTTCAGAATAGGACGAGCTCGAAGCAAAATTGTCTAGAAAGTATCAAGTAAACAAAAAAAGGTTTCAATCAATTAAAACTCGTTTAAATCAAGTATTATATTAAAATAAATTGTTGAAGATTATGTTGATTTAACACAGAGTAGTAAATGATTACATTTCCGTTTGTTAATAACTATCATAGTTTCATCCCACTGATTGTTGAAGGGTTGATTTGATTGTTAACTTACCGCATCACTTTCATAAGCACCAACAAGTAAGTCCGGATAACCATTTTTATCCATATCAGCGGAACCTATTAATTAAATCAACAGGGAAAAAGAGACAATGAATTTCAAATAGATTGGAAAGGAAATAATTAAGAGATGAAATCATCAGCAATCAGCGATTTGTCTTATAATCAAAATCAAGGTGAACCATCAATCAGAATTAATGAATAAACAACAAGATTATTTTTACATAATAGGAAATTAAATTGATGGTAATTAATTCAAGAAGCAAGAAATGAATAAAAAAAACTACAATGAGAATAACAATTTAACCATAATCAGATTGAAAAATGTAAATTCAGTGTGAAATTATTGAATTAGAAACAGATGATCAAGTTAATCAATGGTTTTGATTGTTGTTGATTTGCTTCTTGCCAAAAAAATGTTGCGTGATATCAACAATTGAATAATAATAATCATCATTTAACAAACAACTGAACAATTTACACGCAATCAAATCTAATCATCAATACAATACAACAAATAATCACCATTGTAACTGTGAAAATTGGTTTTCCTTTTGTTGGTGTAATTGAAATCATACATCATCTAAGTGATGATAACCTAATGTATTGTTGATCAGCAGTTTTAATGCTTACCAATTGTCATTTACTATTTTTCATTGATATCTAGGGATTTTAATTAATACATCAAAAGATGATGAAAATTATATTTAATTTTAAAATCTGAAAAAGAAAACGGGAAAAAAGGTAAAATAACTTTTCTTTAGAACTTTTAGTTCCCTTTTATCATAATCATCTTCTTTTACCTTAGATTATAATGTAAACATTATTGGTCAGTTGAAAGATAAAAGGTAAAATCAACAGGTAAGATAACCTCAGAAAAAGGTTAACATTAAGTATACATTTTAGGAAACACATTATGGATAAGGTTGTTTGGTCAGTTTTGGTCAATCTCTTTTGTTTTCTCTTTCTTTTCTTTCTCTTTGTAACCAGAAGAAGAAGAGAGAGAGAGAGAGAGAGAGAGAGTTAACATTTTCAGGTAACAAAAGGTAGGTAAGAGAAAGAGAAAATTCAATGAAAGGAAAGAGAAATGATAATTATCATCATCTCATGATGATGAGAAAAAGAAAAAGAAACTTAAGTGTTGGCGAAAAATGTTGAAAGAGGGAAGAAAAGTCTATGGAGATTTGTGAGCAAACCGAGTGACCTAAGATCACCTTGAGGGTAAATTTTAAAAACAAGGTAAGATTAATTGTCCAATAGCTTTTTTTTGTGCAAACTGACAGACTTTTTTTCTCTCTAAGGGAGGTCAAAGGTAAAAGGTTATAAAAAATTATTCTGGGCGTTGTGCCTGTGGTAATAATAGTTGACTAATTCAAACTGCTAGTAATCAAATAGTAGTAGACTTTATAATTATCATAATCAAATATTGATGCTTACACACCAAATCAAATGAGCTTTCATATTTTTGACCATTTGCTGGTCAGTTGGTTGGGTCAATGTTTATCCTGATAATTTTGACCCTTAAGGTCAATGTATTTTTGTTTCTTAATTTTCTTTTATTTTTGACAAAATAACCATCTATTAATACAGTGATTATATTTGTTACAAGTTAATTCAAGAAGCTTAGACAAGTTTAATTACATGATAATTTAGTTTCACTTTTAATAAGATTGTTGAATCTTCCCTAATAATTATAACCACAAATGTAATTGTTATCAGAGAACATGATTTGTTAATTATTCTCAATTGTTTCAATTGGTTTGAAAAATGTAATAATTGCAACAATTGACTAATTAAGAAAATGTTATAAGGTGAATTGAAAGAAACAAGTAAAACCAACAACCATTGGAACGGTTTTCTCATAAATAAAATCTCAATTAAGTTTAGTCAAGTCACGAATTAAAATTAACAAGATAAGAATTAACTGAGAAATCAGTTTAATTTATATTTAAAACATTAAATTGCTACTAGATTAGATTTGATAGATTGTAATGAGGTTTAAATATAAATTGTTTGAATACTAATGGAATCACTATAATAATATTCAAATTGTTATGATTAAAATGTTGATCATCTCAAGTACAACATGGTTCACTTTTTGTAAATCTGTTTTAATTATAACAATTTAATTACAAACCATTGATCAAAATAAACAATTTGATAACATTAGACGTTAATTTAACTTCTAAATTGTGCAATATCAATCGCGAAATAAAATAAAATTATCAACCGTTGGTGAAAATTAGCATGATAACAACCATAAGGTGTGTGGTTTCAATGGTTGGGCAAGATTAGATTGCCTTTTCAGTTAATATAATAAAAACCAGAAAAAGTTTAAGGATCCTAATTCAAGATGATGAAGATGATGAAGATGAAGATGAAGATGGGGATGAAAGAGTCTGAAAAAGATGAAAAATAAGCCGGTTTCTTGAGGTATTTTTTACCTGTTGCTTTCTTATTGAAGTCAAAATGTTTGACAAGTTGAAATCTTGAAGAAAGTCAATAACATCATCCCAACGAGAGAAAGAAAGAAAGAAAGAAAGAAAGAAAGAAAGAAAGAAAGAAAGAAAGAAAGAAAGAAAGAAAGAGAGAGAGAGAGAGAGAGAGAGAGAGAGAGAGAGAGAGAGAGAGAGAATGATGATGAAGATGAAGATGAAAGCAAAATGAGAGACTCCTGTTGATTGGTTTCTTGTTTTTTTCATCATTATTCAGGTAACATTTGTTATAATAAACTACAAAGTTATCAATTAAATCCTTCAATAATCCCTCCAACAAAATTGATCCCTCGAAACCAATACATTGATCCAACCAGAGATTTTAAGTGAACAATTAAGTTAATCAACAAATTACTAATTTATTCTTGATAATTTTCTTCATATTCAATACAAAAAAAAACTATCAACTATTGAAGATAACAATAATAATATAATATTATGGCAAAAAGCAATAAAAAGTTAACAAGATAAAATAACATCCGTTGATTCTGGATAATAAACAATTTGTTTACACTGTAAACACTAATCACAATTAGGAATCTTTATTATTGTTGATTGGATATTATTAGGGGCTTCAATAAGTCCCGATTCTGAATATGTCCCTGAGTGAAATTTTTTTTTATTTTTATTGCAAATAAAAGCCCAGAGTCCATAGGCATGGAAAGTAAGATTTCAGAAAAATCCAAATTCTAAATTTTATTTGAGGTCAAATTAGGTCAAAAGCCGCAGAATTTTCTGTTTTTTCAATATTGCGTCATCAATTTTTGATATAATTCTGTTTTTTTTTTGTGCGAAATTATCGCCAATCATTCAGCATTCAGAATCTGTGTCGAAATTAAAGATTAAATTGGGTTTAAAATAAGTTCTGCAACTCTGAGCCGAAAAAGTCAGAATTTTTATCCTTTTTGAAAACGTACTTTTAATTTTTCCATGTTAAAATCTCATTGAAAAATTCTGCGGATTTTGACCTAATTTGACCTCAAATAAAATTTAGAATTTGGATTTTTCTGAAATCTTACTTTCCATGCCTATGGACTCTGGGCTTTTATTTGCAATAAAAATAAAAAAAAATTTCACTCAGGGACATATTCAGAATCGGGACTTATTGAAGCCCCCAATAAGTTTGTTCACAATGATAATTTACTTTCTGATTGTTACCAAAAAAACGTTCAAGGTAACAATCAAATTGAACAAATTGTCATCAAACATCACAATTAAAATCAAATGTAAATACAGCATGAAATTAGTTAATTGTTGTACTTCCTCAACAATGATTATTATGAGAGATAGGAAATCATCAGGATAAGACAGATAATCAAACTTAATTAACTTTAAGCTTCATTTTTCACAGAACCAATTGAATCAAATACTATGAGACAATTTAATCATTCAAATGATGATTAAATATGAAAAAAAATAATTTAGATTATGTTTGATAGCAATTAATGGAAAGCTTGATTCAGGTTTGAAAAGAAATTAACAAAGTTAAAAGGTAACAATCAACTGATTGTGATTAGACCTCTTGCTGTGAGATGAGAGTCTATGGAGTTTAAACAAGATTTTTTTCTTTGGTAATTTTTATGATTCGTTAATTGTAATTACGTTAACAATCAATCAGACAACAATTAACAATATAAAGTTAAATTTGATTTATTAGAATCACTTTTTTCCTAACAATCTTCCAGTGCAATCAAAGGACAATCTAATGGGCATAAGTAACAACAATTTAAACACATTCGCAAAGGTGAGTGTTTAAATAACCTCTATTAATAGTGACATTAATAGTTACCTTTACTTTTTACAGGTAAAAAATTATCCAATGCAATTATAAAAGTTATGATAACAATGGATATAATCAATTATCATCATTGTAAATTGTTTACTCAGTTTGCAATGGTAATAATCATCATAAAAGTAATGATAATCAAGGCGAGACAGAAACACTGTCAATGATCAACAGGGAATCGTTGTAATGATTGGAAATGATTTGTAAAGATTTCCCATTGAGAGGTTAAGGTGAAAGATGAACATGATCATCATCTTAATCTTACACAGGTTAAAGGTAAAAGTATGACAGTAACAAGAAGAGACTTTGTTACTCTCAAAGCCTAATAACCTTGAGGAGTAAAAGGAAAAGGAAATGATGAAAACTGAGACTAATTTCCATGTCTAAGTTAATGATGTTTGTTTGATTTAATATCATTGATGAGAAGAAAAAAAAATTGTGTCAATTGTAATGATGCCATTGAAATTTGTTGTTTTAAATACTAGAATTGGATATATGATTAATTAAACAATTTAAACTAGTTGTTTATCTTTAATTGAGTTAATCATTGCTATTGATAATTTCTGGATAGAGTGAGACATTAATTCAGAAAATGATAAACAAACATATTGGGCAAATGTCCAATATCAATTATTGTTACATTGGGAGACACATTTTTATCATCCTCATCATTTTCTAAATTATTTCATTTAAATGTGATGATGTGAATGAAAAACCATACTAATCATCATCATCATGATATTCAAATGAAATTGTAAAAATGTAGGTTAATTTTAACGCAAATGGCCATTAAAATTTACTATTAATTAAACATCAACATCATTTAAATGATCATTATACTTACATTATGTACACAAATACAAATTCATTGGTATGAATCAGAATGAGCAATAATTTAATCAACCTCAAATGATTAAGATTAACACAGAAACAGTTAATCACTAATATCTAAAGATAATCAGGAAATAAACAATTTGTGTGATTTATATATAATAATTGAAGTGTTCACCTACTTCTCTGTGTGTTAATAATAAGGGATAAGAATTGTTTTCAAGTGATTAATTAATCTGTAGGTTTTTGATTGTTTTCAATGAGAATCAAGATAAATTGTTGTTGGTTTGTATTAGTAAACACTAACGTAGTTGTATGATAATAAGGATGGAGGTAGATTCGTAACGTAAGAAAACAAAGTGAGGTAAAGGGTGTGAGTAGGATGTTGTCCATGAAGAAACTTCCGGTCTTTTTTTTCGTGTATATTGTAAATATAATATCTTATATGCTATTTATATATACAATATAATCTACCAAGACATCTAGGTTAACAACTTGAGGTGATGATGATGAGGATGAAAAAATGAGAGGATGAGTAAAGTAAGAGTTGTAAAGTCTGGTAAGAGTTATTTATGTTACTTGTCAGTGAGATTTGTAAAAAAAAGGAGAGCAATTGAGATTTGAAATATACTACACATGAGGATATTTTTCATGATAATATTATTGGAAGCAAACAATTGGAATAAGATTTACTATTGGTAGAAAGAGTGAGTAAGATACTGAGAAAATTAATGATCCAGTTGGTTGCAATGAATTAACTAACACACTGAGAATGATATTGAACTTGAAAGTTTCTTCAATCAAAAGTTTTCACCTTTAAGTTAAGTTTTTAGGCTGAAAAATCACCAGCATGTAGGTGAGTGTATATAAAGATATTTGTAGGTTTGATTGATGATCATGATGATTGTATGATAATTGTCATGATGAAGAGGAAGAAAATGAGCATTATGATTTACCTGAGAGTGAGTAACCAAATGTCTTTATATTTCTACCAATTTTAGGAAAAGCGCTAATATCATCACCACGAATCACTTGAACAGCGTTTGTTTTAATACCGTTAGGTGAGCCCAAGTAAATGTAAACAGATCCACCACCTTCATCATAAGGAGCACCAATGGCAAGATCATTGAACCCATCCTGTTGAAAGTTGACAAATTAACATAGAAAATATTATGATAGAAATTAGTTCAACCATTTTTAACCATATCTATGGGATTTTCTAATGATAATTAGGTGACGTAAAGAATTGAACAATTTATTTACTTTGTTTATATCACCAAGATCAGCTAAAGACCAACCAAATCGTGAATCTTGTTTACCAAATAACCGAACATCATATTTTGATTGTATTCCTTTTCCTGTATTGTAATAGATGTAAACAGCTCCTTCAGTTGAACGTGATCCATCATAATAGAAAGGTGCTCCAACAATTAAATCTGATTTACTGTTTAAATTCAATTATAAACGCAAAAAGGTTAACATCGTTCAAAGGTTTACAATTAAAACAATTATATTGTTATGAAAAGTAAAATGAAAGATAATTAAGGATAATATTTACTTGTCATTTTGAAGATCCATTGCCAATATTGTATAACCAAATGATGAAGCAAATTGTTCACCATTTAGGATAAGCTCAACGGCAAATAAAGTTGACTTTCGTTTGCTGTAAAAGATAACTTGACCTAAGAATTGATAGAAAATAACATGTAAACAATTAAACAAACTTCTAATCATGAAATTAATTAAATCATCCGCACACTTTATCATGATTAAGCATCTTACCTGTTCCATTGGATCGAGGAGCACCACCAACATAACTTAAATTGTTGCCGAAAAATTTACCTGATGTAACGGACATACCTATGGAAAGATTGTGAGAAGAGATTAGTTTTTATTGTATTATTAATTGTTGTAAATTAGATCATGAATTTAACAGTGGTAGAAATAGATTGTTGGAAAAATAAATGACCCATTGAAATTAACCATAAACTACTAATATGATTTACTGATAATAAATCAAAACTTTCTCTCGCATAGTTTCAAATGATTAGTTTAATTTAGTTCATTTTTCCACTTTAACATGAAAAATAGTTAATTGACTGAAAGATTTTTAAATTAAAGGTTTACAATGGATTATGATGATGATGAGATTATTTATTATATTCTATGTGTGTGTGTGTGGCTTGGGCTATATGAATATAACTGATAATCTACTATCAAATTAACCATCAACTCGGGTTATCATTAGTATTTTGGACTCATCGTGTATCAAGATTGATAACAAAAGTGAAAATCGATATATATTTTTCGTCTAATCTAAGCTTCGATCAGTAAGATCAAATTGGTCATTGATGGTCATGGATCGCAGGGCTCGATGTGAATTGATAAGGCTTTAAATGAATCTCTTTATCATCTTTACATCTTCATCACCATTCAAATAGTAATATGATAATGGTAAATAACTTATACGATTATATCGTTATCAAGATGTCAAGGCTTAAATGGAAAACAGAGAAAAAGAGAGGGAAAAGTAAGAGAAAAACTTGAAAAGCTATTCAATATGGTGGAATCATTAATATCAGAGTTTCATTATCGTGAATGTTTCTTGATTTGGTTGAGAAAAAAAAACACTTGAAAAGGAAAAGCATTTAAATTCTATTGAACATTAAATTGTTATGGTAGTTGTTTGGATTATTAGAAGAGCTAAAAAACATGGGAACATAGATTAGACCGTGATAATGATTTTATAATGATTAAAAGATGATTAACTATGATAGTTTGGTAGTGATGGTGTTACATGTAGTGTGTTAATTACTTCTCATTGGGAACCATTGATGCAGTGAGAAGAAAAAAAATTGAAAGAACGATGTTAATTGTTGTAGTTACCAGGCATCTCTTTTTTTTCATTACAATGTATCTTAGTTAATCTTATATCATTTCTTCAGACAGGATGATAGAGTGGAGATTATGATGATGAAGCCTTGCAAGATGTAGAGAGAAAGAGAGAGAGGGGAGGGAGAGGAAAATGTGAATATAACATGAGTGGGGTGGGTGTAGGAGTTGGAAAAAGCGATTGGGTCAAGTCAAGTAGAAAAGGAAACATCTACATAATAGCTCATACATCTCAAAGGAGTATTTGAGATAGAGAGAGTGAGTGAAGAGGAGGGTGGTGGTCGTGATGGAAGAGGGTGGGAGGAGGATGAGGATGTAGAGGAAAGAAGATGAATGACATTGTAAGATATGTTACAATGTCAATGACTCATGATAATAAACATGAACAGAGAGATCATCTTATTGATTGTGGACTTGGTTTGTAAACACATGATAACAGAAAAATGATAAAACAAAATGAATTAAATCAAATGCATACCCAAGTAACTGTATTTATCCACAACTGATGTTGATTCTTGAACTGGTCCCATGTACCAAGTTTTATCGTCACGAAGAGCAAACCTTTATGTAGATTGTTATTATTAATTATTGGATAATAAAAGTTGATTAGTATGATGAAATTTTCGAGTGAAAATAATAGATAATTACTTGATTGAATTTGTGAAAACTGTTCCTCTCCATGTATACGGACCTGGGGAACCAATTATTATGTCATTTGCCGATGAGATATCGGCACTTGTTCCCGCCTGACAGAATCCTAATTTTTAGTTATCATTTATAAAAATGAATAATTAGTAAATTATCTTGACAATTCTAATGGTTGATTGATGATTAGATTATTTACCAAATTCTTCGTGAGCTGCTTTCACTGGTCGATTAAAACATGGCTCCCAAGCTCGATGATAATCAAGGTAATTTGTTAGAGAATAACAAATTCCCTGGCCCCAATGATGATCTGACGATCCTTTGAGGACATAACGATGAGCACAAGTCTAAAAATGATACTCATCAATTAATATTATGTCACTTATGTCACTATTCTAATACTAACCAAGGCATGACCACCAAGGCCGCCACTTTTAACGACGACTCCTAACCATTGATCGTTTTTAAATTCACTGGACGTGGGTGGAGCTGAAATAAGAAGAAGAAGAAGAAAATAAGAATCAAATTGTAGAGAGAAAATAAAATATCATTATGATAATGATTTTGATTACGATGATGGTTGTCAAATTATTACTCACCTAATGATGATCGTTTAAAGTCAATTTCAAGTGGAACACAATCATCAACCTTACTTGATGATTTACATGAGAAAACATAACCAGATCTATTTGTACCTGGTTGATCGGTTTGAGCTCTTGGAGCACCAACTAGTATTCTGTATTCATCCAGGTAAGAAAAAAAAAGGAAGGAAAGTGTTAACAACAATGACACCGGTAGAGAAGAACACAAAGAAAGAGAATTAGAGAGAAAAGAGAAAAGAAGAAAAAGAGAATAGAAAATCTTTCAAATTCTTTTTTCTCTTCTACACAAAAAAAACAAGGTATCCAATTGATAGAGATAAACACTGAGGGAAATTAACACACACAAATTCATTAATTTAATGAGAATGTAATCCAATCCAAGAGAGAAGATTTTAACAGAGAATAGAAAAGTTAAGTTTGTTCTAAATTAGAAACACTTACATTGGTTCGTAATCAGATGAGTTGTATTTTTGAATTAAATGTTGAGCTACAGAATAACCAAAATATGAATTGACCGGTCCTTCCTTGATAAAAGGTATCCGAGTATCAAAATTAAATGAGGTAACAATAGTAAATTGTTGGTGTAAAACAACATTGACCAGAATGAAGAAGAAAACAATTAAATTATTCCTATTGGCATGACAAACACTGGTGGTTAAAGATGATAAGAAAGTAAATCTTTCCCATGGTAATGATGAGATAATTGATAAAGAACAAGATTTCACAATAAATGGAATTACTAATAAGTATAATAGTAACAGTAGAAAGAAAAGAAAAAGCAACATGATAATAAAAAGGAAAAACAGATAGAGAAGAGAAAAAGAATTTCTAATTTAAATAGAAAATAACATATATAAAGTTAATCAATGGATTTCCATTAATTATCTTAATCAGTGATTAAAATTCATCAAGTCGTCAGGAGGAAAAACAGATTAGTTGAAAGTAATGAAAGAAACATAATCCATAATATTTATCAACACAAAAAAAAGTAAAAAAAAAAGTGAAGTGAAGTGAACTAAATGAGATGAAAACAAGAATGAATTTGAAAAAAAACGAGAAGAGAAAAGGAAAATCAAGTTACCCGATAGATGGCGCAGGTCGAAAAATAGAATTTGACTTGACCGCCATCTGGTGGAAAATTAACTTACTACTGGTTAATTGATTATTTTGTTAGTTGTTATGATTGTTTAGAATTGTTATCAATCTAAATTAAAGAAAACAACAATTATCATTATTATTATCTAATAGAAATGAGAAAAGTTAATTTCTCGTACGGAAGTTGATCCTACATTAAAGTCTAAATAAGGTAAATGATGATAAGGAACACCTATCCACCCACAATCTTCATCTTAATCTTCATCATCTTCATCATCCTAGTATCTTAAACAATTTACTAAATAAGGTAAAGAATTGAATCAGGTAGGTGTTGATGTAATTAAAGTGGGCGATATTAATAAAGTATCAACATTATTTGTTAATCAATAACAATCATTTTTTTGTAAACCGATTGGTGAGCAATGTTTTTCTGCTTGTTGTTGCTCGAGTTTTCAGATAATTAACCATCTGAAAGTTAATTGTTTGACCAATTGATTGACCCATTGAGAATGAAAATTTAAAATGGATTACCTTGAAATATATTAATTAAACTACTCATTTGACTCTAATCAATGGGCAGTTTGTTAATACGATCATTGATTAAATTGTAATCCATTAACAGGTTACAACTATTTTTATCATTGTCATTTTCATTTTAAAAGGTAAGTCATTAATTCAATTTTTTTGTCTATTTCAATTAAATTGAAACAATTTAATATATATAATATAAATCAACACCCATTTTACCACAACATTGAAATAATAAAGTTCAATAATCGTAGTGAGTTTAATTGTTGTGAAATTTAAATTGTAAATAAATTTCATTCAGATTATGATAAAAACAAAAAGGTTAATGATTTGATTGTATGATTAATGTGAGGGTTGATTTTACAATTTAATCAATAGACTTGAAATTTACCGTTGGTATTCAAATCATGGGAGGCCGATATTTGGACTAATTACAGTAGGAAGCATAATAAATGACGATTTTGTTTTCCGAGGCCATTTCTCATTGGTACATGATATATAAAATTATTCCTTAATTTTATCCGCTGCCAATATTTTGAATTTGATATAAGTGAAAATAAAAAACGGAAAAATGACCTTTTAGGCCTTTCATCAAACAAGAATCAACTGTCTTTACATTGAATCGAACTCAAAAGTCTTTATTCAAAGGCCTTCACCCTCGGGAATCTTCAACTTGCATTGATTGGTCGTGTTTGGCAGATATGTTCAATTCACTCGAAGGCAAATTGGGTCTTAATTGGTCCTGTCATTCAGTTTTTTCAGCTTATAGCGGAGTTTGTTCAAAAAGGCCATAAAAATACAGAGCCGTCCGGTTGAAGAAATGATATTCACTTTGAACAAATTGAAATTATGAAAAAAATTAGAGTAATTTCGGAACGACTTCTGTTGAAGTTGATTAACTATTAATAGTATTTCCATCATTTCGATTTACGGGAGTACGAATTTTTTTTAAGTATCATAATTGGTTTGATTATTAAATCACTTAAATCTTAGAGAAATTTCAGGTCATTTTCGTTGAGAACTTGAACTTTAAGGTCAATCAACTCGAGCTTTTTAATAGCCAACTAAATTTGATTATTACTTTGATTTGTTTTTATTTATTCAACTCGACGATTTAGCAACTCGATCAAATTTATGAATTTCTCAGTGAAAACCAAACCTTTTTCTGCCAAGATCTCCGGTAAATCAGCGCTTTAGAATTTGATCACCTTAAACCTTTGCCTCGTTAATCAGATCACATAGGTTAAAATATCGACTAAAACGATGGGCCATTCAACAATTAGTATTAAATTGGTATCATTTAGTTTACGATTGGGTTGAATTTTTATCAACAAACTGTCAGAATGATTTAAAATTTCACCTTCACCAACCTAATATTATGTCTAAATAGTCTTACAAAGGAGCTCATCATTTGAATATTGTATTAAATGAACATATCACTTGATTGATTTCTCATCGGTGATTGACCAGAACGATTGAGAAATCAAAGTACAAGTAAAACTATTGATAAAGATTCTCGGAAAAACGTTTCATGAGAAAATTTTGTTAAAGAAATAATTTCCTATTCTACCGACAGGATTCGCTTAAAAGCCGATCGGCTCAATTTTCAATTCGTTGAAATGATTATCAACTAAATGTAAAATTTTCAAAATGAAGAAATGAAGAGACGGAGAAGAGAATTAAAAATTGAAAGTATTCTTTATTAGATATTTCGGTAATTCAAATTACATTTGAATGGATTGAAAAGAGAAGTTCAAAGATCATTGAAAATATGAGATCAAATCTGAGATTAGGAGAAGGTTATGGATCAATATCACAATTTAAATTCTAATTGGAAAGAATCTATTGGGTTTGCATTTTTTCTGCTTGTAGGTTTTGTTGTTTTTGTTGATTGTCTTTTCCTTCAATTGGTTGATAGACTTGATTAGTAAGAGAAATTGGAATATTTTTCTCTCCATCAACAGCATTGACCACCTTCTTTGGAGCTTTGATTGATAGAACTCCATCGACACTTAATTTCGATTCCAATTTCTCCAATTCGATATTCTCAGGAAGAACATATCGTCGCTTAAATTGTCTCGAAATGAAGCCAGTTTCATCTGATCTTTCTTCGTGTTTCGCTTCAACCACCAAACTATTGTCGACCAATTTCACGTTGATTTCTTCTGGTTTATAGTGACCACAATCGACATTCACTTGGAAATTGTCCTTTGAATCGACAATTTGTCCCATTTGTTGGTTGAAATTGTCTGATAGTTGATTGAGTTGACGAAGAGCTCGATTCATTTGGTTCCATGATCTTCGAGGATAATCAACAATTGGTTCTCGATAAGCGATGAAAGGGACGAAATCATCGAGAGGATCTCGAAGCATCGATTCAATAAGTCGAGGAACAAGAGACATTTTGATCAATTCACAATTTAGAAAATTAAATTCACAAAGAAAAAGAGATTTTGATTAAAGGTCACAAAAGAATTGGAAGAGTTGAGAGAGTATCAAGTTTGAAGTTAGACTTTGATTTGATTCTACTGATCTCCAATTGTGTCTCCATCTCTTTTTATACTCAAACTTTACTCTTTCTCCAATGATCTAGAAGTTTCCATAACATTCACTTACCAGATTCTTCTCGATTTTACTTTTCTTTTCTATCAAATGTTGACTATTGTGGTTATGATTATTCTTGTTGACTCACACTGATCAGTTCCAAGATCGGAATCGAATCACTTGCAATAATTAATTAGATCGAACAATTAAGAAAATTTGTCCAAATCCAATCCTTCTTCCAATTCTAAACATAATCTATTGCTAATCATTCCACTATTTTCTTTGACTTGATTAGAAACATCTAACAATTGAACAATCTAATTTTCAATTGATCATAATTTAATTTAATTATCTTTAATTGTAATTAGTAAATTAATTCAAATTTCAAAAGCAGTGGTTGTTTGGTTCTGCCGGGTGCCAATAGATGGCAGTATAAGTGTTAACATTATTATAACAATTAAAGTTTAATTGTTGAACCATAAAGTTTAACAACTTTATTAGAACAATAAATTTTGCTTTAATTGAAGTACTTCAATAATAATAACCCTTGAAAGTTCAATTTAATGAGTATATTTACTTTTAAATTGATTATCTTCCATCTAGAGAGAGTTAATTTAATTGATTTTTTTGTAAATTCTACAATCGATAAACTTGCCCATCGATACAATTAACATGTGATTTATGATGAATAATAAACTGATTGATGCTGAGATATAAAGTGTAGGATGTATTGTGATTATATAAGAACTTGAAGAATAAAAAAATCGACAGATTAAGTTAATTAAATGTTAAAATTGTAAATACAATAAGAAAATAAAATGATGGAAACAAATTAAAGTTTGTTATATGCGATTGAATTTATCTAATGATAGTAATCAATTTATCTCTTAACAATTAAGTGAGCAATGACAGTGATTCTTGTGAAAATAAATAACCCAAAAGTTTACTATTAAACAACGATAATAGTAAACTTTTGTTTAGTTAATTGTTACTCTTATTGTTATGATAATTTGTAAACTTTTGGATGATGTTCAACTGTGTATAAAGCAATAGATTATAATGATAATAATTTAATGTATTAAATTTGATTCTTCACGTGAACGCACCTTCCTTAATTACAGATCACTTTCCCACAACTTAGATGCCATTTCAAGTGAGAGAGAGACGATGATGATGATGATGATGATGATACAGTGAGGGAGAGAGAGAGAGAGTAGCCCATCCGCTTGGTAAGTTGTTCATCTCGTTTCCACTTGATCCCTTTGGTTTACACACAATTTAATGTATCAACCTTGACTTTCCACCAGGTAGCTTCAAGTTACATCATCACAGGTTAACCTTTCTCATTTTGTATTAAATTAATGGCCCACTGAGATTGTCCTTTAATGGTTTCCTTAATTTCGGGCACTTTGGCTCCTTCATTGTAATCATCATCTTCATCTTCGTCTCTCTCTCTCTCTCTTGTTTTCTCATCTCTTATTCACTTCTTGTTTTTTTCTCCTTCTTCTACCTGAGAAGAGATGATTTTTTATCCTCATCTTTGCATGGATGTTGAATTATCCTCATCATCAGTTTATCCATTTATCATTCATCATAATTAGATAATCATCATGCTAATCAAACTGTCTTTCACTTGTTTACCATCATTAATTGCTTCCAATTGATTATTTTTAACTTCCAATGAGAATCAGGATAACAAGAAAATTAATAGTAATCATTTTGTTATTGGAATCGGAAAAAAAATTTTCATGAAACTTGATTGACATTTACAGTTAATCAAATATTAAATTATCAATATAATTGATTGTTAGTCTATACAATTAAGAGAGAGAGAGAAAAGAAATGTGCAATATTTAATTGTGTTTGTATCATCAATTTGATTGGAAAACTATTCAGTACAATTAAACATTTATCTTTAATCATGCTGATTTTTTCTGTACCTGAGAAGCTGATGGTAAACAATTAAAATCAAATGTAATTGTATTTAAATTGTGAGAGACAGAAATATTATTATTATTACAATCATTGAATCGGAAAGAAAACAGAATTCAGAATTTACAATTAAGATTAAATTGTTTACAATATTGTATTTGAATCAAATAAGAGATGATATCGATTGATTATCTCACCTGATTATTGATATTGAAGGTAAATAAATTGTTCAAGTTTCCATGATGAAAACAATCAGGTCATACTAATTGTTGAGTAAACTATTGTTATAATAATGGATAAACTGAGAAGTTAATTCATCAAATGAATAAATAATAATGATGATAAACTTTTATCCTCTCATATACATTGACCATTACGTTCACATGCAAACTTCAAATAATTCATGATGATGATTAAGGTATTTACGATTTATATTGAACATTTGAAAAGGATGATAAAAGATGATGAAGATGAAGAGGAAGATGAAGATGAAGATAGAATGAGGTAAAAAAATAGATGAGCAAGATAATGATGTAATGGTGATGATAAAATTAATGATGATGATGATATTTCCTAACTAGAGAGCAAATAAATGACATTAACATTTATTTTAATGAAAGAGTAAAAATTGTAAGCTTAATTGCACAGGTAAAGAAGAAGGAGAAAAAAAATTAAATGGAAAAGGATGATTATCATGATGACGATGATTTAAAATTAAGTTAATGATGTTGATAATTTCATAGTTTTCTAGTTAACTGAACAATCAAGTTCTGAGTTGATCGTCTTGTTATATCTTTGTTATTTTTTTTTTCGTTATTACTCTATGGTGACAATTAAGATTATTACATTTACCTGTCCAAATGTTGACTTGATTTCAGGTTTGAATTAAAGGTTGATGATTTTCCATGATAAACCAACAACCATTAACGTTTTTTTACTCTCACCTTGATTGCTTTAAATGCTATCAAATAAACACCCAATGTTGATGATCAATCTATTGATTGTAATGAATCAAAGTATACAGCCAAAGACTTTGAGTTTGCAACCATTTTTTAAATACTTCACGCTGTTCAATACAATCAATGAGAGATACAGTTAACCCAGAGATATGATAATAAGTAGTGTCCACTCATTTAACTGATGCAGTCTTGAAATGGTCAACTGATTAGATATCAAAAGTTATCTTTACTTGATTATCATTAACTGCACGAATGATTAAGAAAGTGTCAAAGTCTTTGGCTGAATTTAAGTTACTAGGTTGATCCGTTCAAAGTGAATGGACTTTGGGCAATTCTGTGACAGCGTTGCGAGCGTAGGTTTGATCAGATCATTGGGCGTTTTTCTAGGCTTCTTTTTCTTGTATTTTCTCTGATTATGTTGCGAAAATTTCAAAGGTATTAATGGATTACAAACAATTTGTGAAAAGTTCAATTTCTAAAAGTGAAGCCATGGGAATAGTAAAGTTCCTCGTATTGAAAGATTACTCTGCTGGAGCGATTCATGTTGAGCTGAAGAAAATCTTCGCTAATGAAGCACCTTCGCGCTCGACCGTGAAACGTTGGTGTGCTGCTCTTAAAAAGGGCCAGGACATTGGAAAACGTGGTAAATGAAGTACAAACTGGCCTGATGAACGGAGTCCAAAAGCTATTTGAAAGATGGAGACAACGACTCGAAAATTTAAATTTGTAGACAAATAAAAAGCTCTTGAAGATGAAAATCCCTCTCGTTTTGTTCAGATAAACTTGACAATTAGTGTTGGGTTGATGATCTAAATTTTCACTAGAAAATCATTAAACAGTACTAATGATTATTAGTTAATTGTTGGTTAGTATCAAGGTAAATAGAAACTTCAATTGTTAATGACCGATATGGTTGAAGGAGGAAGTAAATTAATGGATACACTGAAAGGTTATTCAGTTAATTGTTAGATTTAGATGCTACCAGTTCAACTTAATCAATCTATTGGTTGGGAGGAGTTGAGGGTAAAGATTCAAATACAATCACCACAATTAATTAATCAAACAATTGGAATGGTCATTCTTTTGCTTTCCATTGAGACTTGGAAGGGTTAATTGAATCAACTCTAGTTGAGTTGTGATCATTTGAGTGATTTAGTTAATTGTGGGCAAACTTTTACTTGGACATTTGGTCAGTTGGCTAATGGAAATTGTGTTTTCTTTTTTCTTTGATTCTATTATTTTCTAATTACCTGTAATCATTTGTGATTCTAATGTTTTCAATTTGATTTGGGGAATAAATTGTTCAATTGTTGATCTTGTTTAACTCATTAACTAAACAATAAAAGGATTACAATTAAATAGTGAGAATAAAAAATTACACACTCACCTACATTCATATGATTGTCCAGTATAATGGTCAGTTGTTTATCAGATAATTGGGTTTAGTGTTACACGGAACCTGATGTGAGATATTAACATACAAGTAAAGGAAACAAATTAACCCGAAAACATGTCAACCGTTATTGTGATCATTGTACAGGGAAACATTTTCCTTTTGATTGTAATCAACAATTAACAATCAACTGATTCTAATCAGAGATAATAAAACATTAGAACAGTTGAGATAAGTAACAATTAACGATAATGAAAATGATCAAGTCTCACAATCAATATTAAAATAATCGTGTTCATTTTCAATTTAGTTTCTCTTTTTTTATCCATTAATTGTTAATAATAATGATAAACAATTAAGAGTAACACTTAAGATGATATCTTATTTTCACAATGGAAAATAACGAAATTTAATTTACTCATAATACGATGAGAGTAACAATTAAATTTTAATTTTCTGATTAAATGATAATCTAATATATGATTGCGATTTAATTGTATCTTCAAATGATTAGACAACATTTGACCAATTTGAGTTAATCTCTGGTAATCATTGATTGTTGTTGTGATTGTGATTAGATTTATAATAAGAAAAGACTATTATTATCATCATTAGACCTTTTAATTGCTGGTAATTAATTGTGATTTAAAAGGCAAACATGATGAAATTTGTATATTTTAAGCAAAAGGAAACGATAGTTACAACTGTTACAATTAGCCGGAAGATATTTTAATTGTGATCAACGGTGTTAACCAAACAATTGACAACTATAAGTAAACAATTGATACACTTATAAATTGTATCAATAAGTAAAAATAATTAGCTAATTGTTAACTAATTTTAGTAATAGTCAGTCCACAAGAATTTGGTTTGTTAACCAGCAATTAAAACAACGGAAGATGATGATGATACTAATCAAAATAGGAACCGACAATAAGTAGCAACACTTTTGCATAACAATTAACTGGTACCAAGAAAATTAAATCAATAATTTAAAAAGATAAGAAAATTTTTGTTCCTTCCTAATAATAATATTTTAAATATTATATTTTCATCATCACCACAATCATTATCACTTTCATCATTATTATTAGATTTGGCCTTACCCGATGATAACTGCAATTAGTAAATTGTTCAAGTATCATTTAGTTACCTCTCACCAATCATCTTAGCCCTTCCTTTTATTATCCTCTATCCTCCTCCACCTTCATCTTTACCCTCACCCTCTAACTCCCACTTTGCTAATCATGATGACGCTGAACGAGAGTAATTTAATCAACCGAATCAACAAATTAGCTCGTCACAATAAATGAACAAAACTTTTCCAATAAACTCTCACTGAACATTGTGCCAATCAGCCATTCACAACAAGAACAACAATTAGTTGATTTTAGTAAAATTTAGTAAAACATTTTAGCTCAATTTCTGTCAATCAACAACAAGTATCAACAGTTAGCAGTTAATTAGAGTGAAAACCAATCAACTTATTACCTTAAGAATCTATGTGAGTGTGTTAACTTTTAATTCTCATTTCTTTTACCTTTTCCTTAGGTGAATCTTTTTTTCCTCATCACTTTCTCTTTCTTTTCTTTCTTCTCATCACTTTTGTCTCTTTCTTTTTTTTCATATCATCTTGGATTTCACTTTAACGAACTCATTTTGTGTTTAAATCAACTGGAAATTCACCATCACTGAAACAGCGTTCGGATTATTATTCAACTTCATCAATCAATCATCATGAACATCCATTGGATTATTTTGAGTTTTCAATTAGCCCTTTTGACTGTTAGTTTTACCGTTGAAGCGGGTAAAAAGGGCAGTGAATCGGGAATCATTGTGATCAACAATACCGGCGGTGGTAAATGTGGTGGATCTGCAAAGACAATTGTTAAAACTGGAGCAAAGGGTAAGAAAGGTAAAGGTGGAAAGGGCAAGGGACACACTATCATTGCTTCATCTGGTGGAGGTGGTGGTGGCTGTTCATGTGGTGACCATGGTCATCATGAAGAGTCAAAGGTTGTCACTATTCCAGTGCCAGTCCCAGTTACTTACCATGATAATAAGTTCATGGCTCGTCGTACCGTTGGTTATGATCACGCTGCATCAGGTACTCGAATGATGCCCGTCTTTGTTTCGGCCAATTCTCCCGTTTCAATTGCAGGTTCATCTCCCGCTTCATCAATGGTTTCATCGGCAATGAGTCACTACCCTTATGGTGTCAGTAGTTCTTACGGAGGCGATATCGCTGTTGCCGCTTCGACCAATCCTTTCATCAATCCATTCACTGTTTCAAACACCAATGCCTACAGTTATATGACCCCCGCTGCCGCTGCTTCCCATCAACAAAGACCAGTCGGTGATCGTGGTCTTTTGAATCCTTCTGAGGCTCGACAAATGTTTTCTCTCCTTCCCGCTCAACAATTAGGCCACCATTTCGCTCACTCTGTCAGCCATTCAAACTCTGCTCCATATGAATCATCTTCAGGTAACGATCGTCATCACGGTTATCCTCAAATGTCCTCATATGGAGCTTATGGTGATTCTGGTTACCTTAATCATCAACCAACTCCTTTCAATTCGATGCCAATTTATGAACCAATTCGACCTGAAGAAGATTATATGGGAAATGTAAACCAAGGTGATGAAAGATCCTATCATAATCATGGAGGATCATCTTCTTCATCTTCATCTTCTCACTCTTCTGATGGGCCATCTTCATCTTCATCATCGTCAATGGATGATGATGAATCTCGTAATTACCAATCAGCTGCTCTGTCTCCCTCCTCATCGACTGGATCAAGAGTTTTAAGAAAACCATCAAACTATGATGATACACCAGCTTCTCCATCATTATCACCTCTCTCATCTCCACAAGTCTCATCATCATCATCTTCTTCTCAATCATCCTCAGTATCTTCAGAGAAAGAGTATAACACAAAAGACAAGTCAGGCTATTGGCCAGAAAGAAGAGCCTAAGGCAAAAAGAACAGCTAATCATCATCATCGTCATTAAATGTAAATATTTACCGTTACTTATGAATGGAAGATAAATTGTTCAATCAAATTTTCTTTTCATCTTCCAGGTAAAAACACCTTCATCTTCTTTCATCATCATCTTACTCTTCTTCTTAACCGGTGCCTTGGGCCAATTTGGTTCTCTCTCGATATTTTCCCTTCTTTTCTTTTACATAATCTCACCTTCTCCTCATCCCTCCTTGGAACATTTTCGACCTTCGGCCCGAAAATTCTGACCTGATTTGTTTCCCTTTTCGATAACCTTTAAGTGCTAAATTTGTGCCTCTTTTCACTCGACATCATCTTGTTTCTTTTTTTCTTCTCTTCGATTTATCCATAGACTTAATCTTCCTTTTTATTGAACTTCTTAATCCATCGGAGATTAACAGGTTGTTGATCCATAAGATTATCCATTTATATTTGGATCCATTTTTTAATCTTCCAATAATAAGGTTGGAAAACCACAATTTAATTACAATAAAAGAAGACAAATCAACACAATTAACAACATAAAAGTTAAATATTAATCGTAATCATTGTAATCTCCCTTTTTCCCATACAAATTAAAAGTGGATTAAAAAAGTAACGTTACTGTTGCATTACAATTTAATATTTTCTTTATCGTCTTAATAATCATTATTATTAGATTTTGGCCTTACCCGATGATATCTTACAATTACAATTAGTTAATTGGTAAAATATCATTTAGTTGCCTTTCACCAATTAAGCAGCTTCTTAGCCTTTATTGTCCTCCACCTTCAATTTCACCCTCACCCTCTAAATCACAATTTTAATTTGATAATCAAAATTATTGTTTAAGCAAAATCATAATGATGATTGTGAGTAATTTAATCAAGCGAATTAACAAATTAGCTCCAATAAACTCTCACTAAACATTGTGTCAATCAACCATTAGAACAACAACAACAACAATTAGTTAATCATTAAAGTAGTTAACAAGTGTAAACAGTTGACAACAATTAGAGTGAAAAACAATCTGAATTGTATTATCATTCATAATTATTATGAAAAGAAGAGGATGAAACAATTAAATTAAAGGACGAGTCCGTTTAATGAGATTTTTGAATCATTACAATGAGAAACATGATTTACATTAATTAAACAATTAATCGTTAATCAATGTAATAGAAGATGAAAAATATCTGATAATCCGAGGATTAGGATTATCACAGAAAAAAGTGAGGAATGAATCATTTTAAAATAGAGATGATGACGATGATGAAGAAATAATTTACAATATAAAGTTTGCGAAAGGTAAAAGATATAAAAATTACAATTCTAACTAAAAACCATCTAACGAATTTCAAATAGATGATCAATATGAGTAAAAGAATTAGTTAATTGGTTGAGAACTAGACAAAAGACGAGAATCCTGGCAGAGGTGCGCGACTTCCAGCCATGTTGTTTATTATAATTCGACCGCCGTTCAAATTTACACTGGGACAATCGAGTTCACTATCTTCAGAGGCAATGGCTGCATTATAACTTGGCGGTGCTGGTCCAGGAGCTGGTGGAGGTGGTCGCCTGGGTATGGCTGATGGACCGCTGATTCCTACACCGGAACCACTGCCACTTCCACTGCTTCCGCCCGCGGTGGAAGATGATGTTTGCACTATATAGGAAGCTGCCCCTCTTTTCCATGAGGGTTGACTTTTGTTTAGGGTATCATTTACATTGGCATAATGGTTAACAAAGTGATAAATATCATCATGATCTGAATCAGATTCAGGACCACTACTACTTAGTTCACTTGGTTTTTCAGTTACACTGTCACCACTTGAACAATAAAGGTTGGCATCTTTAGCATCTTCATCCACCTCATCTTCTGAATAAGTTATTGAACCAGGTGAAGGTCGAGGTGGACATTTAGCCGCTGCCATGTTAATTGAATTAAGAGCACTGGTACTTCGTCTGGAAGCTTGAGAGCGTAAAGTGTTTTGACGAAGCTCAAAACCTGATGCGTATGGATTATGAAGATTATCAACAAGACCAAACTCATTTTCACTGAGTCCATCTTGAGAGCCTCGTTTCTTGGCCTCTTGTTTATATTTGTAGGCAGTGTTACAAACGCAAATGATTGCGAAAAACAGGACAAGAATTAAGGCTAAAATGGATGCCGCTGAAGTGATGAACCAATTTTCAAAATAAAAGGGTAATTTATTTGATAATTCTAATTGAGAAGGAGTTGTGATGTAGATGAGATTCGATGAGACACCAGCGTTATTAGCTGCTGGTGGAGTTGAAGGTATACTGATACCAAATTTGTTGATTGTCATGATACGGAATGTGTATTGTGATGATGCTTTGAGATTGGCGAAACTGAGATCATAGCTATCAATAAGGCCGGTTCGTAATTCTTGGACGGGATACCATTCTCGAGAATCACCGGACACACGTTGACCTTCAACAAGGTAACCAATGATACCTCCATAGTCAGGATTTTTCCACCTCAAACGGACAGCGTTTGATGTTTGATAAAAATTGAAATGTGACACTGGCGGTGGTGAACCAGGTTGAGGTCCAGTGGTAACATTACCACTTCTCTCTGGACCCATACCAATTGATGTTTTTGCACGAACCTTAAAGTTGTAAGTCATCATTTCTTTTAATCCTTTAACATGCAAATGATTTTCAGCGACAGTTTGTTTAACCTGTTTACTGAAATCGTCTTGATTTGATGTTGTTTCATAAACAACGAAATATCCAGTTAAAATACCATTGGATTTGGTTGGTGGATCCCAGTGAATACGAAGACTACTCATGGTAATATCGGTGAACGCAAGTTGACCGACAATATCCGGTAGATCCTCTTTAGTTTGGACGGCAATAGCGGTAGACCGAGGTCCATCACCCGCTGGGTTAAAAGCAGACACTTGAACGTGATAATTGTTGAACATTTCTAAATCTGAGAGTTCCAGGTAAGTATTGGGCACTATTTCCATCACTTCACGTTTATTATCCTCTAAATCTTCATCACTAATAACACTATCTTTAGAGTCATTGGTTTTTGATGATAATTTAGATGATGATGATGATAACCAGTAAAATATTTTGTATCCCAAAATTTGACCATTTTGCTTATCATTCTCGGGAGGTGACCAAGTAACATTTACTTCTGTTGATGACAAAGCAATGGCTTTCACATTTAAAGGAGGACCGCTGGGCACAGCATCACCAACATAAACTATTTTAGTTTTACTACTTGGTCCTTCACCTTGACTGTTAAAGGGGATGACTTTTATTTCATATTGATGATCCCTTTCCAGGTTGTCGATTGAAACACCGGTCACTGCTGGACCCTGGACAAGGGTGGACGGACAATGGGTTGTTGAAACAACGGAAGACACTAAACAATATTGAACTTTGTATCCTGCACCTTGTTCATCACCATTCCATTCTTTGATCGGTGTCCATTTAACCGAAACTGCGGTTGGACTGTAAGGAGAAACAGTTACACCGGTCACTGAAAAGTCGGGTGGAGCTGGAAGAGTTAGAATAGCTGGACTTTCTGGAGACCAATTAGAGTTGCCGATATCATTGGTGGCACGAATACGAAATTGGTAAGTTGTGAATGGTTTCAATCCGGTAACAGTGTAAATAGTTAGTGAGGGATCGATACGATGAGAAACAGTGGCCCAAGGACCACCTTGTGAAGAAACTTGAACAGTGTAATAACGTAAAGGTGCTAGACCATCGTAACCAGGTTTCCAAGTGAAGGTAACTTGACGTGAATTTATTTGAGATGAGCTGATATAAGGCATGGACGGATTAGCTGGAAGCTCACGATTATTGGTGGTGTAAACATAGGCATTAGCTGGTTGACCCCAACCCTCTTTGGTTCGAGCGGTAACACTGAACAAATAGTAGGTATTTGGTTGTAAACCAGGAACTTTGTAAGTTCGATCGGTTGAAGCGAGTTCATGTGAATAGTCTGAAAAAGTATCGGAAACGTTTTGATTGTATGTTACCTTATATGCTAATATTTCACCGTTGGGTTCTTCCGGTATATCCCAGAGGATTCGTGCTGTGGTTAAAGTAACATCCGGGAAAGAAATGTTTGAAGGAGCTCCAGGTACATCTTGTAGCGTTTGAACAGAGAAACTAGGACTATAAACTCCATCACCGAGATGAGTGAAGGCACAAACAGAGACAGAGTAAAGAGTGTACTTTTTAAGTTCGGTTAGAGTTGCTGTTCGAGATTCATTTCGTTCAATCTTTTTGAACTCAGAGATTTCATCAGGACGTTGAGCTCGATATTTAACCTTAAATCCTTGGATTACTCCATTTTGATGGTTTTTTGGAACTTCGGACCATTCAACAAGAATTGTTGTTGAAGAGGTTGCAGTAATTTTAACATTGTTCGGACCAGTTGTAGGTGTGGCCTCAGATGTACGTGTTGCTACAAGTCGGCTACCATTGCTTGATCCAACATCATTAAGAGCAAAAACTTGGACTGCATAATTAGTATACTCTTCCAAACCAGTTATTGTATACGAGTGAGAATGATAATCACCGGATACATGCCATTTCCGTTCACCTATCATCTCTAATTCATTTTCCTCTGATGTTTCAAACCAGGTAATGTTGTAACCTCTCGGCTGACCATACCAAGATTCTGGGGGCAGTGGAGTCCAACGGACCCTTAAACTGGTTGAATTCAGTGAACGTAAGGTAACATTGAGAGGTGGATGAGCGGGTGGTGCTTGCAGAGTTTGGAAAGATGGTGATGGTTCTGATGGGTCAATACTTCGTCCAACAATGTTGACAGGAATTAATCGAAGTCGATATTCGGTGTAAGGTCGCAAATTTTTAACATTAATTGCGTTTGGATGGCTGTTATTAACTGACTCATAAATTGAGGTCCAATTTGCATTTCGTAATTTAAAAAATTGACCTTCAACGATCCATTTACTGATTGAAGCATTGCCATTAAAACCAGGGGTAAATTGGAGGACAACTGAAAATGGACCAATATTTGAAATGGCAAGACGACTTGGAGGTTGAGGTAGTACAGGAGGGAAACTCGTCTTAATGGTCAATGATTTGACTGGACCAGGACCAACTCTAGTCCAAGCATTTATCTCAAATCGATACAAAGTAGTTGGTTTTAAATTACTTATCCGAGTCTCATTTGTATTGGCTGTATAATTGGATACAGTCCATTGATCACGAGGAGCATCAGCAATGTAATGTTTCAAAGTGTAACCAATTAACTCACCGTTAGATTGGATTGGTTGAGTCCAACCGAGATCAACACTTTTATCCCATAAATCCCAATACCGGAAGCTATCAACTTCACCAGGTAAATCTTGTTCAGTAACAACTGTTATGGGTGGATCATTAGTTGGTCCATCTCCAGCATTTGTATAACAAAGAACTGTTATCAGATATTCAGTGAATGGTCGCAGATCAGTTAGATTACTTAAGATGGGACGATCAGTTAAATGATGTGGATCAGCGTGAATTTCATCAAAAAGGGTTCCATTCTTTAGACTTGCTTTCAACTTGTATCCTTGGTTGATCCCATTGATTAACTGAGGATCCGGTGGAAACCAGGAAACTTGAATAGTTCTTGAATTTAATGCTCGAGCAGTTACCTGGCTAGGAGCCGCTGCTGGTTTGTCTTCTTTAGTACGAATACAAATAGATTCACTGAAAGCACCAACACCCATCTCATTGTAGGCAGCGATTTGAATCTCATAGTTTTGCCAAACAATTAAATCATCCAAGTGAAAAGAAAGTTGCGCTGGATTGGTAACATTTCTATGGTACCAAGGTGTTTCTGCATATCGAGCCAATTTGTACCTTATTAAGTAACCTAGTAAATGTCCATTGTGAGCCTCACCCGGAGGAGGTTGCCATTGGATCATAATGGCAGTGGAAGAGCGAGCAGCACCAACTACACCGATCGGTGCTTCACTTGGTGGTTGAGCGGGTAGGGTGACCGGGGGAGTAGATGGATTACTAGGTTGACCTTCACCAACAAAGTTAACAGCAGAAACCCTAAACTGGTAAGTCATTGCAGGTCTTAAATTGTGAATGAGAACAAAAGTTTGACTTGCTGATATATTTGCTTGAGCTACTCTCCAACCTTGGATATTTGAACTTTGATACGATAAATCATCCCATGATTCAGTTTCAGGGTGACCACTGTTAGCAGAGCTACCATCACTTGCACCAGTAATTAGTTTCACTCGACTGTAAACAATATACTTGATGATTGGTGAGTTACCATTGAAACTTGGAGTCCATGTGACATTAACAAATCCACCGAGGATGTTGAGTTGAGCTTTAACCTCGGTGGGTGGATGGGGAAGTTCAATAAGATCCAATCGAGCCGTTCGAGAATCATTTCCAGTAGCCGAAGTGATTGAACAGTTGTAAATACCGACATCAGTATTACGAGCCTGTTCAATTCTCAAGGTTCCATCATTTAAAACCTGAACTCGGCTTGAAAGTTTACTGACAATCTCTTTATCATTAAAATACCATTTAAGGCTAAATGGTACCGTGGGATCATGTCTAACACCACACTGGATCTCAGCAGTATTACTTAATATCACTTTAGTATCTTGAGGTGGGTAACTTATTTGTGTTCGTAAAATAACACGGGAATCAGGCGAGTTATCATTTTGAGCTGGTGTTGTTGGCGATGATAAGGTTGTTGTGGTCGTTGAGAGAAGGCAAGAAAAAAGTGTTGACAAAATTAAAATCCACATGGATCTGTAAATTGTCTCATCAGGTGATAATCTGTAGAAAACATGATTCAAATGAAACAATTAAAAAAAAGAACTAAAGAAAACTAATCATAATATGAGAAATTCTTAACCATCTCCAAAGTTGAATTTCTTTTTCAAATGTTTCATCTTTAGTAAGCAAATAAACTTGATGAAAAAAAGTAATCATAAAGAAATGGAATCGAAACTTGCAACAGAGAAGATGCAATCAATTAATGAAATGAAACAATTAAACAAACTGACTTACCATTAGAATTAATAAGAATAAATTAAAAATGTAATCCAAAAAAGAACAAAAATTTTGTTAGTTAACAAAGTGTATCCACAGAGAAAGAGAAGAACCAAAGTGAAGAGAAAAAAGAAAGGAAAGAAAGAGAAACAGTAAATCCTTAAGGAGGGACAATGGCGTTTGAATGGTTGTCTAAGCGAAATGAGCACCGAGACAATTTGAATGTTGACAATTGACAATTAACCATAATTAGAAAATCACAAAATCACTTCACTAATTGTATCCAAATTGTAATCCAATTAAAGAATAAAACTAATTTGTAGAAAAAGAAAACAAATAGAAACAATTTGAGAAAAAAACGTTGACTTCAACAAAGATGGTGAAGAGAAAGAAAGAAAATGACTTGAGCTCCACCACCGAAAAGAAGAGGAACTTTCTTTCTTTGTAAAGGTAACCAGTTTATCTTCATCTTTCTTTTCGTCTTTAAAACAACTTCTCCCTCTTTTTATTTATCTTCTCTTTCTTTCTTCAAGCAAAGGTCATTCTTCAACAAACCCATCAAACCAGGTCAGTTCTAAGGAGAGAAAGACAAGAAACAGGTAACTTTGATTTCGAATTTTCCTTTTCCTTTTCTCTCTTTTCTCTCTCTCTCTCTCTCTTGATGGGAGACAGAAAACTGTATTTACCACAATCACCAAGTTCTCTTTCTAACTCTGTCAACCATTTTTACCTTTTCTTCTTTCTTTCTTACCTGTACTTTTCTCTCTTCTCTCTTTCTCCCTTTCTCTTAGCTCTTGTTCTTTTGTCTCTTTCTTTCTTCTCCTCATCTGGTTTTCTACCTTTTCTCTTGTTTGGACCTTCTCTCCACCTTCACCTCCTCCTCTTCATCTTCATCTTCATCCTCTTTTCTCCTTCACACTTACCTGAAAATGGATAGAAAGTTAATATTGGACAAACAATGACAAACTTTATCATCGCCGTAATTATCTTCATCCTTGGGATGATCTTCAACACAGGAAAATAGAAATGATTGAAAGTCGATGAAAACAAAGACCAAAACTTATCAAATTTCTTACTTTTGTCTTCATCTTATTTCAGTTCAACAATTAATCTGATAATCTAATCCTTTTTGACGATTGACAATTTAATCCCTTTATCCTTGACCTTGATTAATCTCCTTTGAAATGATTACCAAATACAGATTGATACTCTTAAGAAATTATTTAAATGGTCATTTTTTTATCTGATTTTAAATTGAAAAACAAGAGAAGACAAAAAAAGGAGTTTGATTAAGTTCAACAAAAAAGATTCACTTTTTCATCTTTATTAGTTAATCAAATTCTGTACTCGTTAACTTTTTTGACAGAAAAAAGTTCAATTGAATTTTATTTCTTTAATCATCGTGATTAACATAATCAGCTAAGCTTTTAGTTAATTACAATTGAGTTTTAATCTCTCAAAACTTTCAGTTTTAGAACTTTTTTATGGCTCCATCTGTGTAGATCGAAACCAATTAAGAACTTTATTATTTAACTGAAACTTTTGTTGCTTTAAAGTGTCAATGTTGTTAAACTAATCGAACTTACCTTCTCGCCTTGGTGACGATCATTTCGGTTGTTTTTTTGTTGAACTAATCCCAAAGCTCTTCTTGGAGGACACGAACAGATATTGACCTCGAACAAGGAGTTTGTGACCAAGTTGGATCATCTAATTATTTCACTTAAACTCTAAACGATTAATCAATTGGAAAATCGACAAAAAATAAGTGAAAAATAATTTCTAATAAGTGAAATAATTAGAAAGAAAATTAAATTATTTCTGATAATCTTTTCTTCCGAAAGGTGGAGCTTCTTTTCTATTCCAGGAATAGTATTTCTGATCATCTGTTTTCTGTCAAGTTTTTTGAGTAAAATTTGTTGATTGTTTTAAACATAGAAATTAAATTTAATCATGGCCAGTGTGTTATCTTCAAGAATGATACAATCATTGTGGTTTCTTATAGATTCACCTATTAGTTTAATCATAACTCAACATTGACAGGAATTTGTTTCATCCAATTTTCTTGATCTCATCTTTTTTTCTTAACACATGTAATCAAATCTTAATTATTTTCTATTTATTCAACTCTCATGGTGAGTAGTTTTAATTGTCTTAGTTTTTTCCATCACCTAGTTAACTGATTCTTGTTTACTATTTCATTCAGGATCTCGTTGATACAGATTGTGTTGACTCTGATTTACAGCGAACCAAAAATGGCGAAAACAAAAATGTTGCTTTTGAAAAAATGGTTAATTGTGTCGCCGATAATTTTCTTGACGATTTAAGGGATCGAAAGTATTATGCCGACACCTATAAATGTTGGCCTCCACCGATTTTCATTATTTCCGTCACCTTGATTCAGGTAAATCTTACAATTGTTCTGAAATTTATCGTTGGATTAATATTCTTTTGCTTTTTCTCTCTTCTTCTTCTTCTTCACCAGCTTCTTTATTTCATTCATTTTCTATGTTTTGACTCAGATGAAATGACCACAATGTCTTCAGTGCTTTCAAATGATCTATTTATCTACCGGCCAGATAAGCGACAAGAATTTTGGAGATTTGCTTTTTACATGGTTCTTCATACGGGGTAAATTTGATTGATGGAAACTTTTTCTTTTGCTCAATTTGAAATTGATCTTTGTTAAATTTTCTCTTCAGTTGGACTCATCTTCTTTTCAATATAATCACCCAACTATTGATTGGTTTACCTTTGGAAATGGTTCATGGGTCTACTCGAATAGGAACAATCTACATGGCAGGAATTCTAGCTGGTAATATTTCCATCGCTATTTGTAACTTACATTCTTTGCTTCATATGAGTATAACTAATTTTCTATTGTTCAATCAACAGGATCTCTTGGAACTTCCGTATTCGATTCTGATGTCTACCTTGTCGGTGCCTCAGGCGGTGTCTATGCTTTACTTGCGGCTCACATTGCGAATGTGATTCTTAACAATAAAGAAATGAAACTTGGCTTCCTTAGAGTTTGTGGTATTTTATTGATCGGTAAGTATAAAGTATTTGTATTGAAGTGAATAAAGTTTTTGAAATGATTGATTTTCTAATTGTTCATCTCAATTATTAGCTAGTTTCGACGTTGGTTTCGCTGTTTACGAAAGGTATTCGGTGAAAGAGGAATCCGTTCAGACCTCTTATGTGGCCCATTTTACCGGAGCTTTAGCTGGATTAACAATTGGCTTAATTGTTCTCAAAAACTTCGAGCAAAAGCTTCATGAACAATTCATCTGGTGGTTGGCACTTACTGGTTATATAATTTGCATGGCATTTGCTATCATTTACAATGTTCTACATTGAAAGTGATTATCACAATTATTATATTTTCTATGATATTTCAATCTTTTCAAAAGATTATCAATTAAGAATTGACTTTTCTTATCAGCCAAATGAGAGTAATTAAGAGATTTACCAATTGACTAATGAGGTTTTTCATTAGCTATCACAGCTATAAACTGATTCATAATTAATTATAAACATCGCAAAAATTAAATATTTTCATAATCAAAAATATTGATAATATTTGCAACGAATTTTATTTACGTAATGATTGTAAACACATGAGATGAATTGTAAAAATGAATGCGCAATAATGAATTGAGATAACATATGAAATAAGCAAATCGGATTAATGATGATGTTGAAAATTGAGTTGAATATAAGAAGACAATTGAGAAGCATGAAGAAAATCTCGAACTATGAGCGATTACAATTAAATTAATGGGCCTCTGCACAGTAATTGAACTTTGATTGATCGACCTCTTTCAATTCGTCGGTGTCCTAATGATACCGCGTAGAATGGCCTCATCCCAAGTCCAAGTTGATTGAGAGGTAAATCAAGTTGAATGGGTGAATGTTGCATGACAATCATGTGTCCAGGGTGAATTCCAGCAGCTTCAGACACTTTCCGAGTGAAATCCCAACCGCTCATTCGCGGAGAAAGACCAGTAACTAAAATTTCCCGACCATCGATCAAAACAGTCGCTGAAAGATTCTCATAATCCTTAGAGCTTCGAGTATGATTAGAAACTCCTGGAATTGTATCATGGTACAAATTTTCCAATTCGCTGATACGTTTCTCCAATTGCTCTTTATTGGTCAAAAGAAAAGCATTTTCGACCTGTAATGATCTCATCTTTTCCGTCAACGAGGCAACCGAGTCCTGAGAACCATTTGATTCATGTTCTTCTTTTTTGATGTTCACTTTTCTTTCATCATCACTTAGAGAAGGAAAATTTTCCCCATCTAAATCAATTGGATTATCCGTTGTACCAGTATCATTGACATCTCGACCATTGGCTTCGTCTTGATCGCCATAAACACTATCCCATTCATCGGGTGAATCATTTTCACCTTCTTCAACCACAGGAGCAGAAGTGCGAGGTCTTTGTTCAATTTCCGTGTCCACTTCAACTTGGGATTCTATTAAAGCAAGAATAGGATCTTTGGTGATCTTAGGCATAGAGAGAGCGGTGTCTTCCCAACGAGCCATAATCAAAATGGTTCAAATATGATAATAAATCACAACAAAAAAAAAGGTAAACAAAGAGACAAATGAATGGAAAAGGGAAACAAGATTATGAAAGCAAACACAAAATCAACAAAAACAATGATTTTCACATAAACACAATTTAAATAGACGAAAGTAAAATAAGCTAAATTGGAATTAAATCAATTGTAGAATAGAAAGAAAAAGGTCAACATCAATTAAATTTAAATGAACTGTTTGTCTGTTGGAAAGAGAAAAGAAACTAACTAACTAGTGGTAACCAGTTGTTAGCGTTCAGGTTATGAGAGAGAAAAGAACGAGGAAGTGATGGAGAGAAAGAGAAACGTTAGATGGCAATACAATGTATCTCTCGGTGGGAAGTTGAACCGCACAATCTAAATTCAAATGGAAATTAAATCAACAGGATTGTTGATTAATAGAATCGATTTAATTGTGGAATAGAACATTTGATCAAAAGAAAACGAAAAATGTTCTTTTTCGATCATTAAAAATATTGTTTTCTTTTTTTTTGTCGCTTTCGTTTCTTCTTTAAATGTGCAGTCTTTTAATCACCAGTTAAGTTTATAAGAAAATGGAAAATAGTTGAATTAGTTGAAATTTGTCCAGCCAATTTGCCCATAGAAGTTATGATTATCATGTGTCCATAAATACATTAATTGATTGATTAATTGATTAATTACACAAGGTTTGTGACATGTGTAAGGCCGTTGGCATTAATTCAAACGCTGCTCCCTTCAAATTGGCTCCTCGTAAATTGGCTTCATGTAAATCGGAACAACTTAGGTCACAATTTTCGAGATCAGCTCCAGCCAGACAAGCACCACGGAGGTCACAGTTTTTAAGGTTTGCATTTTTCAGTGTGGCCACTCTTAAATTAACACCCGCCATTTGGCTTCCCTCTAAAATGGCTCCCTTTAAGTTGACACCTTCCATGTTGGTTCGTTTACCGAGAGGATCTTCCATATGGGCCGCTCTGAGACTCGCTCTTTCTAAATTGGCACAAACCTAATTGAGAGAAAAATAATTAAATTTTGAAAATTTCATTAGATTTTATAAATTATTTACCATTTTAACGCCAAACAAAATAACTCCTTCCATGTTACTTGACGATAGGTCACATCTTTCGAGGCAACAGTAGCTTAAATTTGCTCCTTGAAGTCCAGCTCCTCGTAGATTAGCAAATTTAAAGTTAATATGTCGTAAATCTAATTTTGATAGATCAGCACCCGCTAAGTTGACCCCCTGAAACCGCAATTCAGAATTGAAAGAGGTGCTTATCAAAGCATTGATAACATCCCTTCGAGTAAGAGGTAAACTGTTCACATCGGGAGCTGGATCTTCCTCTGAGGCCACCATCGCTTCTAGAGTCGGTATTAGTGAGGCGATTCCATAGAATTTGGCCTCTTCCAAAATACCCTGAGGGTTGACATTTTTATCCAAAATTAACTGACCATGTCTTAGGTAACCAAGAATTGGTTCAAAGTAGTGTGGACTTCGATCGATAAGATAAGCGCCAGAAGGATCTCGAGGAGAGGGTTGAATGAGAGAGGAATCATTTGAAAACATTCGGGATAACATTGAGTTTGGTTCCTTGCTAATTAAGGTTTGCTTGGTGGTGGAAAAAACTTTACCACCAATATTAAGACTAATCCATTCGGATGAAGCAGATTGATAAGATGAAGATGATGACGATGATGAAATAGAAGATAACAATGAGCCAGAAGCTAAAGGTAAAGAAACAAGAAGAGGAGATGAATTACCATGAAAACCTCGGTTTCTCTGGTATTGAGTATTAGTTGAATTACAAGTCAACAGATGATCCGGAATCTGGATAAATGGTTCACCACTAGAAATGTAGAGTATGTCATCATCTCGAATCAATTTAATATCATCGATCTCTCCTCCCTGTGGAGTGAATGCTTTTTTAGCAGTAATGTTCAACTTGGCAGAGGCATCTTTTAATAGATCTTCCAATGAATGAGTGACTAGTAGAACCTAATTGATGGAAAAACGAAGAGAGAAATTTAGTGTTTTTCAGTTCAAATTGAATGAAAAAGAACAAACCTTTCCATCGAATTTAGCTCCATTTCTGAAGATGATAACTCTCTTCATTTTAACTTATTTTAATCCAACGAAATGAGAAGAGTATTTGCCAGGAATTTGATAGAATCCGATCTAAAGTGTTCACAGGATTTTCATTCAAGAAAAACAAACGAGGTGCTTGATGATAACTTGCAGGTTCTAATGTAATGACAATGATTAATCGGGAAAACAATAAGCATTTACGATAAATGATTCATGTTGTGAATCATGATGTTTGAACAATCATTCAGGTAGAAAGGAAATCAAAAGCATCCAAAAGGTTGAGATTAATCACCAGGTAACAATATTGAAACAAATGAGATGTTGAACATCTAAACGAACGATACAATTGCTGGTGGAAAATTGTTTCATGCGATTTAAAGAAAGAATAGAGAAAATCACAATTAGTTCATTGATGAAAATCTTTAGAAAATTTGAAAAAGTAATAATATGAAATAGAGAAAAGATTCTAATCTAAATTAATGAGAAACCAACCGAGTGCAAGAATTAAATCAAATAAGTGATCCGGTTCAGAGTTGAGAGAAAGTAAACTTTTGATGAAACTTCAAACACGAGTAGAAATTTTGTTCAATAGGCAACACAATAAAGAGCAAAGATTACGAATTCATGACGATTATCCTGAGCCCAACAATTAAAGTTAATCCATTCTGAAAGTGTCAGAAAGTATCTGGTAAAAAAAGACAACAAATTATTAGATAACAATAATCAACATATAGGCAATGAATACGGAAAGAGAAACTAATTGACACAATAATTGCGAACAAAAGATGTTTCTATTTTAATTAGATTGATTGAATCCAAAGAATTCTCCTAATCCATAATCATAATCTAAAACTCTTTCAATTGTAAAAGAAATAACAAAAATAGTGAATAGAAATAAGATTTTGATAAGATTTGGAAAGTAAAAAATAAAGAAATAAAAACTCACCTCAGTTTATTTAATTTTCAGATTACCAGTTAATAGAAAATGTTCCAGAGTAATTAAGATTCTAATGAGAATTAATCAATTAAAATTTACATGTTAAATTCTGTGAGAATCAGTAATCAACAAACAGAAATAAATTGTTATCAAGAGTGAAAGAAATTAAAGAAACGTAAATGAAAATATTGATAGAATTAGTTTTTCCATTTGCCGATTGTGTCGCTAGTCTTCAATCCGATTCATGTGTTTTCTTGATTTGTTTTTGTTTTTTCATCTTCTATAATTAATTGATTTCCTTTTATTAATCATCACAATTTAAATTGTTCCATTACAATTGTAATAAATTTAGAATGACTGTTCTCTCTTTTCCATCAGTGATGAATAAACTGTTCAATTCCTTTATCAAAAGAGGATCTTCAAGATTGATTCGGTTCAACAGCTCAGCCTCATCTTCATCAAATGTTAAACAATCAACTAATTCTGATACAATTTCTTATATGCAATCGAAAGTCGCTAAAAATTATAAGGCTGCTGATGGTTATTTCGTTTATCCCGATCAAAATGAAGTTTGGCCTTCCAATCCTCGTGTTTTCTCGTTTTGCTGTTTGATGATTGGTATTTATTGTATGTTTAGAGAGGCAAATGATTTGGATGAACAATTTGATAAACCAATTTTTGACCGTCTTCCTCATTTGGAAAGGCCAATCCTGGAATCTTCTTTAATTAACTCTTACAATCAAGGATTACCGACTCAACATATAGTTGAAAGATTAAAAGAATTGGAAGCTGAAGGAAAATGAAAATGAATCAAAATGTTCATTTAAATTCTGATCTAGAATTATTAATTAATACTAATTAGTGTGGTTGAGAAACTCGAAACTGTTTAAATGTAAATATAAGAGAATTAAATCTAATCTAAACAATTAAGACTCTAATGAATTGATATTTAACTCGATCGGAAAAAGATTCAACTTCATTAGATAACTTAAATTAGCTATTCACGATCATTACGATACCAAAAGAAATTTAAATTACGTATAAGACTTTATTTCAAATTGGATTTTAATAAGCAACAATTAGCTTCAATTTCCAAGAGCAATTAGTTGTATTTTTCTCCTTTAGATGACGATATACAATATTGTTCCTTCAATGAGTTTTAGGCTTGAATACCACGTAATTCTTGTTGAATTTTAACCCAATTGTTGAAAGGTCCTTTGTTAGGTCGATATTGACAATAGAAACCATCGGGTTTGAGAGTACCGTTAGCTCGGAGTTTCTCATATTCTCCTAAGTCCCATTTAGTGAATCCCCACTTTTTAGAAAGAACAATCTTTTGTCGTCCAGGGAACTTGAACTTAGCTCGACGTAAGGCTTCAATAACATTATCTTTGTGATTTTCCTTTGCACGGACAGACATCATAATTTGGTTGATGTGCACTCGAGCAACTGTACCTTGTGGTTTACCATAAGCACCTCTCATACCGGTTTGAAGCCTATCAGCTCCGGCACAGGATAACATTTTGTTTATCCTAAAAGAAGGAAAAGAATAGATAGTAAAATGAATGATATGGAAATGAGATAACACTAAGTCATACGACGTAGTAAGTTAGAGATTTAAAAACACCAACCTGATTACATGGAAAGGGTGTAAACGAATTCTCAAATGGAAAGCATCTTTACCACAGGTTTTAACAAGGTACTTGTTGGCACAGATACGTGCTGCTTCCAAAGCTTCCGATGAAATTTGTTCGAATTCATTAGATACCATGTGTATACATAATGGAAATTCATCAACCTTAGCCCTTTTCCTTCCTAAATCGAAAATACGAATCTTAGCATCTGGGACACCACGACAGAAACGTGACTTGGGATAAGGCTTGTTTTTGCAATAACGGTAACTAGAAGACAAAGAATCAAAAATAAGGTCAAATGACAGAAATTAAAAATTATTGTCAACCAAAATCAATCCAAATCAATGTAGGAAAAAAATAAAAGAGCCAATTAAGCCTAAAATATAAACAGTAAATACTAAAGTCATGAAGGAAAAAGGGTAAAATATTTAAGAAACAATGTTCTCGGAAACAACACTCACCATCTAGCAGGCCGACGTCCCATCTTCAGACAATAGATGAAAGTCCAAAACAGATAGAATTTAAATTAGAAAAAACTACAAGATAAAACAGAAATTAAATTAACTTGGTAACAATTAATAATAAAGAAAAGTCTTATTTTTTTCTTCACTCAGAATCCAACATCCGTTTCCGGACCGTAACCAGGGGAGACACTCAAGCGCCGCTCGATGAAACATTGAGCGCCTTTTATGATTCAAGTTCCATCGATGCTTTTGATTTGATGATTTCGCATTCGATTTGATAAAATTATTGATTAGATTATTTTCGACAATAATTTATAATCTCTCTTGATTATATTATTTTTTCGATGATAAATCCTCCATTTCTTCATTTCATGAGATAATTCTCGAATTGATGTTTTCTTTTTTGATTATCTTCTCTGTTAATCTGTTGATCTGTTAAACTAATTGTTTCCCTTTTAATTGTTAATCTTAGTGAAGAAAATGTTTGGAAACTCTGTGAATGGGTTAGAGATAATGAACCGAAATTGATTGACTTTTGTTTCGCTGTTTTCATTTCCAATGGTTCAGAAAAAGTTCCGCTTTGGTTTCAACAAGCGGGCGACGATGATTGTCAAGGATTCGTGATCTGGGACTATCACGTTATCCTTATTTACGACGACCAAGTGAATGGAGGAGACGAAGGGACAAAAGATGAAACAAATTCCAAGTCAACTTGTTTCGTCTATGATTTAGATACTCTCTTGTCTTTCCCTGTCTCTCTCGAAGAATATGTCACCTCGTCGATTCAAGAAGACGAAACTCTTAGACCGGAATTCCACCGTTGGTTCCGTGTGATCCCCGCAGCCCAATATTTGACCTCCTTTGCGTCTGATCGCAGTCGCATGAAGAGGGAAGACGGAACTTGGATCAAGGAACCACCTCCTTACCCCCCAATCGCGACAATCAATTGTTCTGATAATCTCAAAACTCTCATCTCAATGGATCCCGAAAATTGTGACATTGGAAAAGTGATGAACTTTAATCAATTCAAGAATCGCTTCCTGCACTCGAGCGATTCTAAAGATTCCGAGAAAAAGGGTTGATTAGTTTCTAATTGGGTCGACAATTAGAACGTTGTAAATTCATTTCAATCATCCAATTGTATTGTTGCTCCTTCTCATCATCATCTTAACCATTTCCTAAACCACTAGACTAATCCGATCCAAATGACCGAAGCCATAATCATATTGTAAACAAATGAACCAGTCATGACAACTAATTAACCATCGGAACGAGATTGAAATCAATCAATGAATTGGACAAGTTGATTTACCATAAAGACAAAAGATCAACACAATCAGTGAGAGATGAAGAAAGCAAATGAAATTTCATCAACTAATTGTGAACATCAAGTTAATCCCGTAATTTAGTCCAATTGTTTGATATGTTTGTCCGTTTCTACCCTCTAATATTTAGTAACCACACCCGATTAATTGCCCGAAGAAATTAGTTGATTTCCTTTTCCATTAGAAAAGCATTTTACTTGTAAAATTTATTTCTTTTTCCAAAAATGATTCCTTCTAATTCAAGACCAACATGGATCACAATCATAATCACAATCACCACCACCTCAATTAACTAATGTGCAAACAAAATGTTTACAATCAAATATTTAAATTGCGTAAATATAGTTGAACAAGATGATTAAATTGTTGGAAAGACTTCCAAGTGAAATGTTATCCTCGTTTCCACTCGGCAAAGCCTCAAGACAAGAAGGAGGAAAATCAAAGTTCCCTTTGAAAAGTAATATCAACAAATTAATTTTAATTACCATTAAATTGTTCAAGTTATAAACAGAATATCATCTTTTCTATCACCATTATTATCATCGTAACAATACAAACCTTTAATTGTTGTGACTGTTATTTACTTAACCATTTAGGGTGTAACTAACCAACAATCAAGAAGAAAAAGAAAAAGAAATTTTCAATTTTCAATTTTCTTCCAAAAAGCATCGATAATAAACTTTAATTTATGTTGATTTGTTTTCTCCTTCGTTCTCGCCAATTGATCAACTACTCATATTATTAATATCAATATCAATACTATCAATCAGAATCTCCATCATCCAATCAATGATTAGTAGATTAATAAATTAGATTAAACGTCTAACTAATGAGATTAGTACAACGATAAGTTATCATTACCTTTCCAGAAAAGAAACATTGTTTTCAAGATGAACCAAGACTGATGATTTATTTAATTGATTACAATTAGTTTTCTATTAGTTTTGTATTATCTTCTATTAGTGTTCTATCAGTTCTATAATTGTTATCATTATTATCATATCATCATCATCATCGTCATCATATTATAGAACTTCTGTTTACTATAGTACAAAACAATTGAGAACAATTTCTATATCAGTTGAACAATTAAATCAAATCAAATCAAGAAACTCGGGAAAATCTTTACAATTAACAATTAATTAAATATAATCAACACTAAATCAACTAAAAGGTAATCAAGAGACCAAATCTACTCAAGTAGTCAAACAAAAACTGAAAATACAAACAAACAAAACCTACAACATTCAACCAATAATACTGATTGTTATTGGAAGTAAAATTATTGTGAGTAAATAGTATTAGTGATCATCATAATCATAATCTTATGAACAATATCCATAATTGTAAGTATAACCATCAACCTTTAATCACAACAATCAACTTGTATTTTTACCTCTTGACTACAGTTGAACCAATCAAACTAACACTTGATATCCAAGATTTGGTGTTGATTACAATCGTCAAATGTTTCAATTAATTGATCATATTGATTTTTCTTAATCGGCATCTCTTTTCCCATCATTGTCTTCATCTTGACCATTATTGCCCACTATCACCTCTAATTACTTTGTTTTAAGAAAACTTTTTCTCCTCCTCCTCCTCTTTCTTGTCTCACCTTCATTTCTCTTTCTTTCTCTGTCTCTCTCTCTCTCTCTCTCTCTCTCTCTCTCTCTCTCTCTCTCTCTCTCTCTCTCTCTCTCTCTCTCTCTCTCTCTCCATCTTATCCCCTAGCTCTCTCTCCTTATCCTTTTTGTTTTTCTATCTCTCCCATTGTATCGTTAGTTTTTTTTGTGTCTTCATCAAATTAACTTGAAAATTTAAAGTTTTTAAAATTGATTGAATTTCAATTAAATCAAATTCAATTGGTTAATCAGTTGGATATTTTAAATCAGTTGATCAACTTTCTTTAAATCCGTTCTTCTCCAATTAATCATGGACGTTATCGACTACTTAGACCATAAATGTGATCCAACTTGGTCACAAACTCCTTGTTCGAGGTCAATATCTGTTCGTGTCCTCCAAGAGGAGCTTTGGGATAAGTTCAACAAAAAAACAACCGAAATGATCGTCACCAAGGCGGGAAGGTAAGTTCACTTCGATTGGCAAGTTGACACTCGTTATTTGTCCATTAATAACTTATTTCTATTTGACCTCAACTTTATCCAGGCGAATGTTCCCTGTGATCAAATTAGAAATTCAAGGGTTAGACCCTTTTTCTATGTATTTGGTGATAATTGAATTTGTTCAAGTGGGTGATTATCGATGGAAGTTCATCAACAACGAATGGGTCCAAGGATCAAAAAGTGAAGCGAAATCACAAAGTCGCTATTGTTTTTATACTCATCCGGAATCTCCAAACTATGGATCCCATTGGATGAAAAAGGAAATTGAATTTCCCAAGGTCAAGTTAACTAACCGGACTCCGCCCGAAGAGGGTCAAGTTGTTTTGAACTCTCTTCACAAGTATGAACCTAAGGTTCATGTGATAAAATCGAATCCAGGTCAAGAAAAAGAAACGATCTGTTTTCGTTTACCACAAACACAATTTATCGCAGTTACTGCATATCAGAATGAATCGGTAAGTGTAACAAAGTTTTTCCATTCTCAAACTTTTATTCTAATGTTCAAATTTTTCTATCGATTCATTCAATCTTTTTTCTTTCTTTCTGTCCCAGATCACAGAATTGAAAATTAAAAATAACCCATACGCTAAAGCGTTCGCCGAGAAGAGCAAGAAAAAAGGAGTTTCTGCTTACGAGGCTAATCCGTTTTTCGATACGATTTCGTATCAACAGCAACTACAACATCAACAATTACAACAACAATACCAACAACCTCCCCAACCAGTTCATCCTCAACCACAACACCAACAACAACCATTTTTTTATAATTGTTTTCAGAACCAAAACTCAGGATGTAACAATTTTTACGATTAAATTCAACGAATAAACAATAACAGATAAATTATTATTATTAAGAATAAATTGTTACAGCAAATAGTTACCGTGATTTTGTGGTTTTCTTTTAATTGTCAAGACAATTAATACTCTTTGGAGAAACTGATTTAATTGTTCTCTCCCTTTCTTTCATTTCTCCCTCTTTTTTTCATTCCATCAGCTGATTAGGTTAAATGATGACACCAACAGTTGAATGTTTCATTTGGTTCCTCCGATAGTTGATTGAACGGTTTCGTATTCCAATAGATTAATTGTTACAATTTATTCCATTATCTGTGTGATTAACCTGTTGATTAAATGGCTAATCATCTTGGACCTTTAATGATTTCGAAAGAATCTGCTTTTTATACTTCTTGTTATTGGTGAGAATAATTTTGTTAATTCTCTTGTTTTCTTTAATTTCTTCATTAAAGGTAATTCTCGAATTGATTGACTCGAATTGATGTTTTCTTTTTTGATTATCTTCTCTGTTAATCTGTTGATCTAATAATGTTTCCCTTTTATTTAATTGTTAATCTTAGTGAAGAAAATGTTTGGAAACTCTGTGAATGGGTTAGAGATAATGAACCGAAATTGATTGACTTTTGTTTCGCTGTTTTCATTTCCAATGGTTCAAAAAGTTCCTTTGGTTTCAACAAGCGGGCGACGATGATTGTCAAGGATTCGTGATCTGGGACTATCACGTTATCCTTGTTTACGACGACCAAGTGAATGGAGGAGACGAAGGACAAAGAGAAACAAATTCCAAGTCAACTTGTTTCGTCTATGATTTAGATACTCTTGTCTTTCCCTGTCTCTCTCGAAGAGTATGTCAACTCGTCGATTCAAGAAGACGAAACTCTTAGACCTGAATTCCACCGTTGGTTCCGTGTGATCCCCGCAGCCCAATATTTGACCTCCTTTGCATCTGATCGCAGTCGCATGAAGAGGGAAGACGGAACTTGGATCAAGGAACCACCTCCTTACCCCCCAATCGCGACAATCAATTGTTCTGATAATCTCAAAACTCTCATCTCAATGGATCCCGAAAATTGTGACATTGGAAAAGTGATGAACTTTAATCAATTCAAGAATCGCTTCCTGCACTCGAGCGATTCCAAAGATTCCGAGAAAAAGGGTTGATTAGTTTCTAATTGGGTCGACAATTAGAACGTTGTAAATTCATTTCAATCATCCAATTGTATTGTTGCTCCTTCTCATCATCATCTTAACCATTTCCTAAACCACTAGACTAATCCGATCCAAATGACCGAAGCCATAATCATATTGTAAACAAATGAACCAGTCATGACAACTAATTAACCATCGGAACGAGATTGAAATCAATCAATGAATTGGACAAGTTGATTTGCCATAAAGACAAAAGATCAACACAATCAGAAAGAGATGAAGAAAGCAAATGAAAAGAGAGAGAGAGAGAGAAATGAAGAAAGAAATGAAATTTCATCAACTAATTGTGAACATCAAGTTAATCCCGTAATTTAGTCCAATTGTTTGATATGTTTGTCCGTTTCTACCCTCTAATATTTAGTAACCACACCCGATTAATTGCCCGAAGAAATTAGTTGATTTCCTTTTCCATTAGAAAAGCATTTTACTTGTAAAATTTATTTCTTTTTCCAAAAATGATTCCTTCTAATTCAAGACCAACATGGATCACAATCTCTCACAATCATAATCACAACCACCTCAATTAACTAATGTGCAAACAAAATGTTTACAATCAAATATTTAAATTGCGTAAATATAGTTGAACATAATATGAACAAGATGATTAAATTGTTGGAAAGACTTCCAAGTGAAATGTTATCCTCGTTTCCACTCGGCAAAGCCTCAAGACAAGAAGGAGGAAAATCAAAGTTCCCTTTGAAAAGTAATATCAACAAATTAATTTTAATTACCATTAAATTGTTCAAGTTATAAACAGAATATCATCTTTTCTATCACCATTATTATCATCGTAACAATACAAACCTTTAATTGTTGTGACTGTTATTTACTTAACCATTTAGGGTGTAACTAACCAACAATCAAGAAGAAAAAGAAAAAGAAATTTTCAATTTTCAATTTTCTTCCAAAAAGCATCGATAATAAACTTTAATTTATGTTGATTTGTTTTCTCCTTCGTTCTCGCCAATTGATCAACTACTCATATTATTAATATCAATATCAATACTATCAATCAGAATCTCCATCATCCAATCAATGATTAGTAGATTAATAAATTAGATTAAAACGTCTAACTAATGAGATTAGTACAACGATAAGTTATCATTACCTTTCCAGAAAAGAAACATTGTTTTCAAGATGAACCAAGACTGATGATTTATTTAATTGATTACAATTAGTTTTCTATTAGTTTTGTATTATCTTCTATTAGTGTTCTATCAGTTCTATAATTGTTATCATTATTATCATATCATCATCATCATCGTCATCATATTATAGAACTTCTGTTTACTATAGTACAAAACAATTGAGAACAATTTCTATATCAGTTGAACAATTAAATCAAATCAAATCAAGAAACTCGGGAAAATCTTTACAATTAACAATTAATTAAATATAATCAACACTAAATCAACTAAAAGGTAATCAAGAGACCAAATCTACTCAAGTAGTCAAACAAAAACTGAAAATACAAACAAACAAACAAAACCTACAACATTCAACCAATAATACTGATTGTTATTGGAAATTGTAAAATATTATTGTGAGTAAATAGTATTAGTGATCATCATAATCATAATCTTATGAACAATATCCATAATTGTAAGTATAACCATCAACCTTTAATCACAACAATCAACTTGTATTTTTATCCTTACCTCTTGACTACAGTTGAACCAATCAAACTAACACTTGATATCCAAGATTTGGTGTTGATTACAATCGTCAAATGTTTCAATTAATTGATCATATTGATTTTTCTTAATCGGCATCTCTTTTCCCATCATTGTCTTCATCTTGACCATTATTGCCCACTATCACCTCTAATTACTTTGTTTTAAGAAAACTTTTTCTCCTCCTCCTCTTTCTTGTCTCACCTTCGTTTCTCTCTCTCTCTCTCTCTCTCTCTCTCTCTCTCTCTCTCTCTCTCTCTCTCTCTCTCTCTCTCTCTCTCTCTCTCTCTCTCTCTCTCTCTCTCCATCTTATCCCCTAGCTCTCTCTCCTTATCCTTTTTGTTTTTCTATCTCTCCCATTGTATCGTTAGTTTTTTTTGTGTCTTCATCAAATTAACTTGAAAATTTAAAGTTTTTAAAATTGATTGAATTTCAATTAAATCAAATTCAATTGGTTAATCAGTTGGATATTTTAAATCAGTTGATCAACTTTCTTTAAATCCGTTCTTCTCCAATTAATCATGGACGTTATCGACTACTTAGACCATAAATGTGATCCAACTTGGTCACAAACTCCTTGTTCGAGGTCAATATCTGTTCGTGTCCTCCAAGAGGAGCTTTGGGATAAGTTCAACAAAAAAACAACCGAAATGATCGTCACCAAGGCGGGAAGGTAAGTTCACTTCGATTGGCAAGTTGACACTCGTTATTTGTTCACTCAGATTAATAACTTATTTCTATTTGATCTCAACTTTATCCAGGCGAATGTTCCCTGTGATCAAATTAGAAATTCAAGGGTTAGACCCTTTTTCTATGTATTTGGTGATAATTGAATTTGTTCAAGTGGGTGATTATCGATGGAAGTTCATCAACAACGAATGGGTCCAAGGATCAAAAAGTGAAGCGAAATCACAAAGTCGCTATTGTTTTTATACACACCCGGAATCTCCTAACTATGGGTCCCATTGGATGAAGAAGGAGATCGAATTTCCCAAGGTGAAATTAACCAACCGAACTCCTCCCGAAGAAGGACAGGTTGTGTTAAATTCACTGCACAAATATGAACCAAAGGTTCATGTTATCAAATCGAATCCAGGTCAAGAAAAAGAAACGATCTGTTTTCGTTTACCACAGACACAATTTATCGCAGTTACTGCCTATCAGAATGAATCGGTAAGTGTAACAAAGTTTTTCCATTCTCAAACTTTTATTCTGATGTTCAAATTGTTCAGTCGATTCATTCAATCTTTTTTTTTCTTTCTTTCTGTCCCAGATCACAGAATTGAAAATTAAAAATAACCCATACGCTAAAGCGTTCGCCGAGAAGAGCAAGAAAAAAGGAGTATCCAATTACGAGGCAAATCCTTTTTTCGATACGATTTCGTATCAGCAACAAATCCAACACCAACAACTACAACACCAACAATTACAACAACAATACCAACAACCTCCCCAACCAGTTCATCCTCAACCACAACACCAACAACAACCATTTTTTTATAATTGTTTTCCAAACCAAAACTCAGGATGTAACAATTTTTACAATTAAATCAAAAGAATAAACAATAACCGATAAATTATTATTATTAATCATAAATTGTTACTAACTAGTTAAGTAGTTAGCTAAATATATTAGCGATATAAATTATATATATAACTTTAAACTACATTTTCTTATTGTTGTTATACAATAAGAAAAATGTTTAACAGAAAAATTAACAATTAAATGTGAATTTAAGATGATGTCAATCCTGATCAAGGTAATAAGCAGAAGCAGAAAATAAGAGGAACAATAATAATTAATTTTAATTGTCATTGTTAATTTGTTTCTTTTTCTTATTAGTTTTGATCAATCATCATTACCCTTGATTAATAGTCAACAATTAAGGCGAGGAAATGAATATAGAAAATGTTTGAGAGAAACAAGAATTAACTTCGTGGAGATGAAGGTGGAGAGAGTTGGAGATGATGATGGGGCAGTGATGGTCAAGATGAAGATAATCAGGATGAGGATGAAAAGGGGGAGATGCTGATTAACTACAATCGTTATAATCAGTTGATTGAAAACTTTGACGATTTGTAATCAAGAAAGAGGAGGAGGAGAAAAAGTTTTCTTAAAACAAAGTAATTAGAGGTGATAGTGGGCAATAATGGTCAAGATGAAGACAATGATGGGAAAAGAGATGCCGATTAAGAAAAATCAATATGATCATTTAATTGAAACATTTGACGATTGTAATCAACACCAAATCTTGGATATCAAGTGTTAGTTTGATTGGTTCAACTGTAGTCAAGAGGTAAGGATAAAAATACAAGTTGATTGTTGTGATTAGAGGTTGATGGTTATACTTACAATTATGGATATTGTTCATAAGATTATGATTAGGATGATCACTAATATTATTTACTCACAATAATATTTTACAATTTCCAATAACAATCAGTATTATTGGTTGAATGTTGAATGTTGTAGGTTTTTTTGTTTGTTTGTTTGTATTTTCAGTTTTTGTTTGACTACTTGAGTAGATTTGGTCGCTTGATTACCTTTTAGTTGATTTAGTGTTGATTATATTTAAGTTAATTGTAAAGATTTTCCAGTTTTAATTGTAATTGATTCTCAGCGGCAACGTAATTGATAATTTGATGAAAATTAAACTTGATCTTGAGAGTGAAAAGTTTTGTTTATTTTCCGATTATCATGAACGATTTTCGGAGTTTCTTGATTTGATTTGATTTAATTGTTCAACTGATATAGAAATTGTTCTCAATTGTTTTGTACTATAGTAAACAGAAGTTCTATAATATAATGACAATGATGATGATGATATGATAATAATTATAGAACACCGATAGAACACTAATAGAAGATAATAGAAAACTAATAGAAAACTAATTGATATCAATTAAATAAATCATCAGTCTTGGTTCATCTTGAAAACAATGTTTCTTTTCTGGAAAGGTAATGATAACTTATCGTTGTACTAATCTCATTAGTTAGACGTTTTAATCTAATTTATTAATCTACTAATCATTGATTGGATGATGGAGATTCTGATTGATAGTATTGATATTAATAATATGAGTAGTTGATCAATTGGCGAGAACGAAGGAGAAAACAAATCAACATAAATTAAAGTTTATTATCGATGCTTTTTGGAAGAAAATTGAAAATTGAAAATTTCTTTTTCTTTTTCTTCTTGATTGTTGGTTAGTTACACCCTAAATGGTTAAGTAAATAACAGTCACAACAATTAAAGGTTTGTATTGTTACGATGATAATAATGGTGATAGAAAAGATGATATTCTGTTTATAACTTGAACAATTTAATGGTAATTAAAATTAATTTGTTGATATTACTTTTCAAAGGGAACTTTGATTTTCCTCCTTCTTGTCTTGAGGCTTTGCCGAGTGGAAACGAGGATAACATTTCACTTGGAAGTCTTTCCAACAATTTAATCATCCTGTTTAAATTGTTCATATTGTGTTCAACTATATTTACGTAATTTAAATATTTGATTGTAAACATTTTGTTTGCACATTAGTTAATTGAGGTGGTGGTGGCGGTGATTGTGAGTGATTGTGATCCATGTTGGTCTTGAATTAGAAGGAATCATTTTTGGAAAAAGAAATAAATTTTACAAGTAAAATGCTTTTCTAATGGAAAAGGAAATCAACTAATTTCTTCGGGCAATTAATCGGGTGTGGTTACTAAATATTAGAGGGTAGAAACGGACAAACATATCAAACAATTGGACTAAATTACGGGATTAACTTGATGTTCACAATTAGTTGATGAAATTTCATTTCTTTCTTCATTTCTCTCTCTCTCTCTCTTTTCATTTGCTTTCTTCATCTCTTTCTGATTGTGTTGATCTTTTGTCTTTATGGCAAATCAACTTGTCCAATTCATTGATTGATTTCAATCTCGTTCCGATGGTTAATTAGTTGTCATGACTGGTTCATTTGTTTACAATATGATTATGGTCGGTCATTGGATCGGATTAGTCTAGTGGTTTAGGAAATGGTTAAGATGATGATGAGAAGGAGCAACAATACAATTGGATGATTGAAATGAATTTACAACGTTCTAATTGTCGACCCAATTAGAAACTAATCAACCCTTTTTCTCGGAATCTTTGGAATCGCTCGAGTGCAGGAAGCGATTCTTGAATTGATTAAAGTTCATCACTTTTCCAATGTCACAATTTTCGGGATCCATTGAGATGAGAGTTTTGAGATTATCAGAACAATTGATTGTCGCGATTGGGGGGTAAGGAGGTGGTTCCTTGATCCAAGTTCCGTCTTCCCTCTTCATGCGACTGCGATCAGATGCAAAGGAGGTCAAATATTGGGCTGCGGGGATCACACGGAACCAACGGTGGAATTCAGGTCTAAGAGTTTCGTCTTCTTGAATCGACGAGTTGACATACTCTTCGAGAGAGACAGGGAAAGACAAGAGAGTATCTAAATCATAGACGAAACAAGTTGACTTGGAATTTGTTTCCTCTTTTGTCCCTTCGTCTCCTCCATTCACTTGGTCGTCGTAAACAAGGATAACGTGATAGTCCCAGATCACGAATCCTTGACAATCATCGTCGCCCGCTTGTTGAAACCAAAGCGGAACTTTTTCTGAACCATTGGAAATGAAAACAGCGAAACAAAAGTCAATCAATTTCGGTTCATTATCTCTAACCCATTCACAGAGTTTCCAAACATTTTCTTCACTAAGATTAACAATTAAATAAAAGGGAAACAATTAGTTTAACAGATCAACAGATTAACAGAGAAGATAATCAAAAAAGAAAACATCAATTCGAGTCAATCAATTCGAGAATTACCTTTAATGAAGAAATTAAAGAAAACAAGAGAATTAACAAAATTATTCTCACCAATAACAAGAAGTATAAAAAGCAGATTCTTTCGAAATCATTAAAGGTCCAAGATGATTAGCCATTTAATCAACAGGTTAATCACACAGATAATGGAATAAATTGTAACAATTAATCTATTGGAATACGAAACCGTTCAATCAACTATCGGAGGAACCAAATGAAACATTCAACTGTTGGTGTCATCATTTAACCTAATCAGCTGATGGAATGAAAAAAAGAGGGAGAAATGAAAGAAAGGGAGAGAACAATTAAATCAGTTTCTCCAAAGAGTATTAATTGTCTTGACAATTAAAAGAAAACCACAAAATCACGGTAACTATTTGCTGTAACAATTAACAGTAGCTTGTTAATACTTGTCAATATGAAGTAAAGAAACAACCAAACGATAATGTGATGATAACACATTGGATGATTAGCCAAACAAACAGCAATCTAATTAATTGTTCGGACTTTATTGACCATCATAGTGGCTGGACAATCAATTTGACAATTAATTAAAATGAAATAAGCATTATTGGGATGAAGAAGATTATTCAATTTGAAATATTAATGATCATTCAAGTTTCTTTGTTTACTTTTTAATTGTTATTGTTTTTGTCAATTATTTTGATTATTATAAAAACCGAAGGACAATTTAATCACAGTTAATTACTGTCTCTCTGTGGGTTTGGTTAATTAAGATTAATTGTTCATCTTACAATGACAAGAACAAAATAAAGAGACAATTTTACAATCAGATTTTCTTTTCGTGTAAATATTATTCATATAAGGAGATGAATTTCTCATCCTTTCCGTTTCCGTTTTGAACCTAAATTGTCTTTAAACTTTTCTGAAATCAATTGAATTAACGCTTGTGGTTAGTAAAAGAGTAGATCGTAAATTTGTTAATGCCATTCAATTTGTCGACTTCAAAATTGATTGATAATCAAATAGGCTTCATTTTGTGATCTTTTTTCAACATTAAGTTGGTGAATTCATGTTGCCTCTAAATTGAAAGGATTAATTAAGTTGAATAGAAAGTAAATTGGGTTAATTACAAAAAGACTAATGTTCACAGGAATGAGATAACGGTGGACATTTACAATTAGATTATGATTGACAAAAATTGTCTTTCTGTGTGTATTGATTTTTTCACATTTAAATCACTGGGTTCATTTAAGCTTAGATTAATAAAAAAAGGGTTAACAGAAACAACGAGAGAACGGAAAATAATCAAACATAAGAGTTAGGAAAAAGTGACCGGTTAATTGTGATGATTGTTTAAAGTTAGATTATTAATTTTAAAGCAAAGAATCCAGAACGAAAAGAAAATGATTATCCGATCAATATCACCAACATTAACTCCATTAATTAGAATAAGTTTCGTAGGCTTTTTAGTTGTTAATAGTAAATGAATTGTGAATCAGGAGTGAGAAAAAAAATAATTCTCTTTCGTTTAATCAACTTCCATGGGTTGATTGTTTGGTGGATCAGAACCTTGTTCTGTTGGTTTATCTCCGCCGGCTTGAGTTTGTTGTTGTTGTTGTTCAGCTTCTTTCTTTTTAGCTTCTTCCTCTTTCTTTTTACGATCTTCTTCACGTTGTCTTTCTAAACGAATTTTCTGAATATCCTCCATTACAGCTCGATTAGCACTCTCCATATTATCAATTCGCTCTTTGATATCTTTAACTGTAATCGGTGGATCGGCGTGTGTTGGTGCCTGAGCCAAAATAGAGTGAGCATTTTCAAACCATTTCTGTGTCTCACCACAGGCATCCTTTAGTCGGGACATTTTACCAGCATCGATTGTTTCTGGAGTAGAAATCAACTTTTGAGCCATTTGAACACTTTTACCCAATTGTTCAAGAAAACCGGGACGAGTCTCATGTTCCCGTAATCTATAAACAATTGAATCACTGAATTTAGATTTGAGTCCGTTCAACTTTTCTGTGTAAACAGTTCGTTTCTGGGTTGATCCTGCGTCTTCATCTTCGTACAACCACTGCTCGGTACTCTTGAGATCGACAAGGAAACTTTGTTTATCATTGGGTTGGGTGTAACAGTCATATCTTCCTTCTTCCAATTTATCCCTCCATTCGTAAACATATTCTTCTAACTCATTACGAGCATCAACTAACTCTTTCCATTTCTTATCATTCAAGATTAAATTTGCTTCGGTCTCTTGTAATGAGGTTAAATCTTGTTCCGATAGTTTACCTCGTAACCAAAGAGGTTCAACCACTAGATCAACGGTTATATGTTTAACCTTATTAGATTGTTTAGTTTCCTTAGGTGAATCTTTCTCTTGTGATCCTTCAGCTTGTGCAGGTTGTTGGTCAGCATTTGCATCTCTAGAGTTATCGTCAGTGTCCATTTGCTCTTTCGGAATGTTTTCATTTGCTTTAGCTTCTTGGTTACTAGTTTTATCTTCAAGTTGAATTGATGCTCCAACAACAGAAACCAAACCATCAGCATCTAATTTGACTCGAACTCTCAACTTGTTTCCAGTTATCTCGATCGGCTCGCGACTGATTACTTTGAATTGACCTATTGATGTGGTGTGTCCATTGGCTGAAATGTATTCTAATTCAAATACCATTGGTAATGACCTACAAGTAGCAATGATTTGACGAGCCAAAGGCATGGGTGATCCTCGGATGAAAAGAGGAGTAACAGAGTGAGTTTTTGTCTCCTTTTCCGAGTCATGCCAATACTTGCAGTTAATTTGATATGCTGAGTAATCAACGATTTGCAATTCTCGAGCAACTCTGAAAGAAGGGCTCAACATAGCACATTGAAGGGCACATCCTCGGGCAACAGCTTCATCAGCATTAAGAGTTGTCGAAGCTTCAACACCAAAAATATCTTTGATAAATCGCTTGATTGCTGGGATTCGACTTGCACCACCAACAATTTCAACAACATTAATCTTGAACTCCATTGGTTTTGATTCTTCACTCTTTTTCGCATCCTTGTTTTCCTCTTCTCGCTTTTTTCTTTCCTCACACAGTTCATTGAATCGAGCGGCTGCTCGTTCATATGTTCGCTTGAATACATTTTCAATGGCTGTGAGATGATTTTCTGCCAATTTTTCGAAAGTTGTTCGATCCATGCGACCAGAGAAATCTTTATCATCTTGAAGACACTCCACGTTAATAGGCAACGAATTGCTGTTTGCGCTCATCTGTTTCTTTAGTTTTTCACATTCAGCGGTCAATCGAAGGTAAGCTCTCTTGGATAAGGTTAAATTTTGTTCCTTAATGAAATGATTAGCTATGAGAGCATCAAAATGTTTACCACCAAGGTTAGGCTCGTATTCAACAGCGAGAACTTGAAGAACAGTTTTTTCAAAATAGATGATAGCACATTGAGTTGATGATGCACCAACATCAACAAAACCAACGATAGCATTTGAAGTATTATTACCAACTCGATATAAAGAATAGTAGATACCAACGGCGGTCATGTCGTTCAAAATTCTTAATGGATTGAGACCAGCGATAATAGCAGCATCTCTTAATGCTCTTCGTTGACCATCAGTGAACCAATTGCCACAATTGATGACACAGTCAACAGCATTATTGGCTACTTGACGTAATTTGGTAAAAAGCATGGCCAATAATTGGGTTGCTGTATATGTAACCTCTTCATCATTGATCCAAACCTTGACAGCCAATTCACCGGTATCAGAAAGTTCAGCAGGAAATGACAAATTCTCAGAGGCGGTGACTTCATTAAATTGTCTACCGACCAGTCGAGAAAGTCCATTGAAGGTGTTATTTAGATTGGTTAACTGTTTCTGTTTAGCAGAAACACCTAACTCTCTCTGCTTATCATTTAGAGATATAAAAGCGGGCGTTGAACGTTGGGAATATTCATTTAAAATGATCTCAATACCACCTTGAGCGGCAATACCAATGTAACAGTTTTCACTACCAACATCAAAACCACAAATAGATGCTGTAGATGGTTGACCAGTTGATGACATATTTAAATGGTATGGTGATTAGAATATGATGATAATAAATTATTTAGATAAGGATAAAGAAGACAATGACAATCGGAGAAAGTTGAATCAGCAAAAATCAACACGCCAGAACACAGGTTTCCAAAGAATCCAGGTAATACTGAAAAATAAAGGTGAATAAACAAACAAAGAATTAGAAAAAGATTAATCCAATGATTCAATGGATCATTTAAAGGAAAAGGTAAAAGTAAAAGTGAGAGTAAACTAAACGAGATACAAGGAATAGGGTGAAACAATTAGTCAGCAAACAGGTAGGTAAGCTCAATTTAGACGATTAGCAAGTAGGTAGAGAAATTGAAGAGAAAGGTTAATAGACACAAGATAATATTAAATGGGTAAAAAGATCATCATATACCAGACATACCCTCAAAAGAAAGAGAAGAAAGAGAAAGAAAGAGAGTGAGAGAGAGAGAGAGAGTTAAATCAAGTAATGTATAGAATAGAAAAAAGATTAGGATTATTATCACGATGAAATTGACAATTGATTTAAAGAATAATTGAATCAGAAGAGGTTGGAACACAAGACGAGATTTGGTATGTGACAATTAAAAACCAATACTAATTGTGATTAGTGTTTTGTGTTAAAAACACACAATTTCTCAATTTTTCTAGAAATTTCCTGAAACCACATGGAGATTCTCACATTGAAGAGTAAAGAAAGTAATGGATTGGACACTTTTTCTCTCGTAATTCTATGACAAATTAATCTACAGGGTAAACAAATTAAAAAAATCTTACCTAATCAATTAAATAAATTACGAGGATCACAAAATTAGACAAAAAAACCACAAGATTAAATTGTTGCAGGAAAATCACAAGTCATTAATGCGAACCGGTACCACCTGAGGACTTGAAGCGCCACTTGGAAACTCCTCTTTTGATGGACCGAGGAAAAGAAGGTTCAAATTGACGTTCAAACTTCGCGCATCAAAATCAGAAAAATTGAATTATTTTGAAATTTTGGTGATTATTGTTTTGTTTAAATGTTCTTATTGTCAATATTTCGTCAAAAATTCAGAATAAAATACCCTGAGGCTCTTTCACTTCAATTCTACTTGACGGTGGAAAATTTTGGTCCGTTTTGCTCTTTTTTTCTTCTTTTCGTCTTTTATCTTCTACCAGGGTCCATCCGTTTTACTTTGTTTTGTGTCAGCTGTTTTGGGAAATACAATCAACCGATTCGATTGATTGAATTTTCATCAGCATGGGAGATTTCATTGGACCTGTTATACCAGGACATTTGAAGGAAAATGCTAATCAAAATGAAGAAGATGAAGAATCAGGTGTGATCGGACCTGCGTTGCCTCCTGGATGGAAAAGAGATGAAGACATTTCCAGTGATTTCGGAATGAGTGATAAAGTCATTGGACCCATTTTACCTCCGAATTTCGCGAAAAAAAGACCTTTGGATGATGACGATAACATCGAGGGTCCAGTTAAAAGCAACAAGTCGAAAGGATTAGGACCGAAAGTCATTGGACCCACATTGCCATCTGATTTTATCAACAAACCGAGTTCAACTCTATCCTCTGAAACTTCATCCAATCAATTGATCTCTTGTGATGAGAGTAGTAATGATGAAGATGACGAATTTACAATCGGACCACTACCACCAAGTGGAAATTTTATTGAAGTCGAAGAAAGTCGTCATTCTAAATCTCAGCAAGTTGCATCAGGATCGAAAGGCCCTCAAAGGGAAGAATGGATCGCACGTTTGCCCGAAAATAGTTCAGTCGCTCATAAATTAGGCTTCGGCAAATCCATGACAAGTTTTTCTTCCAAACCAGTTTCCATCAAAGAAATCACTCCAGTCGATCATGATAACGAATTAGATAAGGCAGTTGATGAATTTAATGTAAGTTTTTCAGTAACGACCGAACCTAATTCAATCATCTAATCCTTTCTAAATTGTTTGAATCTCTTAGAAAACAACCAGACCCGAAGCATTGGTTGATCTTCACAAGAAGAAAATGAAACACAAGGTAATCAGGCACAAATTTGAATCTACTTTCTTTTCGTGATTTTTAATTTCTCTATTTTTTCTCTTTCGATCAATAGAAAAAAGAAAAAGATGAAGCACCAACTCGTCAATTATTTGATTTCAATCCAGAGGAAGATTTGAAACTGAGGCAATTAGATTCGAAACAAACTAAATCGATCATGGAAAAAGCTAAATTACTCAATTCGAGATTTTCAAATCCTCGAGGTCAAAACAAATTCTTGTAAATCAATTATCATGGAATCAATAAGCTGTTAATTGTAGTTAATCAGAAACATCTTCTAATCATCAAGTTAACAATCAAATAAACAAATACAATCATGATAAGAAAATGATGTTTCTTTCAAACTAATCATGAGAATATTAAAACAATTAGTGATTGTAATTAATTAGTTCAACCAGATTGTTTCCTTAGCCTCAGCAATCAACTAATAAACAAAAGTGAGCTTAGTTTAATGATTATTATTACACTAAATCGACAAGTATTCGTTAAGAGTACAAGTTGATTAGCTGAATGAACAAAACTCCGAAAAAATAAGAGGGAAGTAATTAAGAAGGTGGTTTATTGGTTGGTTGCTTGAGTGTTGTAGGTGGTTGGGTGGTTGGGTGGTTGGGTGGTGGTGATATAATTGAATTTGCTATATGTTAGCTAAAGTATAAATTAAATTCCATATCCTTGGTAAGGATAAGCTCCTCCAACTGATCCTCCTGGATAAACTCCCGGTGGGACTCCGGGTACTACACCAGATATTCCGCCAGGTACAACACCGGGGGAAGATCCAATCATGCCTGGTGGTGCAGTTAACATTAATTGTGGTTCGGTTGCTAAACAGGTGAAAATGACAGAGAAAAGGTTAATTAAGGGTTTCCATTAATTTAAATTGATTTCACTTCTCTTGAATATCCATGAAAAGAACCACTTACCGTAAACTAGTGAGCTCGATTCTTGAGCCGCAGTTTCCTCAAGTTTGGTATCGACTGTTTCTCTCAATTCATCAACTTTCGTGATGTATTCACGCATCACATTGATGAAATAAGGCATAGCGTATTTCATGATATCATGTCTCCAAGCCAATTCCATGACAACGTCGGGATGAAGGAGATCGTAACACTGGAAGAGACAAGCGGCAAAACAGTGATAATTTTTTCGCTCCAAGAACCAAAGAAGATCTTCCGCCACTTCGGGACTTTTCGATTCGGCCGCATATTCCATCGAATCTTTGTAGAGACCATCTTTTTTGCACAGTTCGACTGATTGTTTCCATCTGTTGTTACCCTTGTAAAGGTAAGCTGCAATCCGCCGGAATTCAATGAGTTCGTGTTTCTCCAATCTTTGGGCCAGAGAAATGTTATCGAAATTGTCAAAAGCGTCAATTGATGTTCGTAACCCTTGATAATCTTCTTCTTCGATAAGCAAACCATTCAAAGCTTCATTAATTGCTTTGTTGTTTAAACTTTGAACCGATCGTAGGTAGGCTTTAACCAGAGATAACTGATTAACTTTAGTGAAAAAGTTAACTGCTCGAGTGTGATCCATTCGTGGAGCCAAAATGAGTAATAAATCGTTCAATAACATTGGCTTGTAATCAAGGTAAAATTGGATAGCTTTGTAATAAAGCTCGATATTGGCTACTTTTGTAATCATTTCTTTAAAGTGACCCTCTCTCCAGGCTTCAACTTGAGACGATTCCGTTTCTCAACTTCTTCCACCAACTCATCGGTTGAAAATTGTCCTTTAACAACCATAATTAATTGTTTAATAACATCTTCGGAACAATCAACGTCTAATAGACCACCAATCACAACAGGTAGTCGAGAAGGATTCACCTTTTGCACGTAAATTTCAATATACTTTTGAAGATTGTTCCGGTAAATATAAAGAACCAAGTCATGGACAAAGTCGAAACGGTCACAAACAATAATAAGGGAAAGTTGATCGAATAAAAACAAAAGCATAGACAAAGATTAGAAATTAGAAGGTCAAAGATTTTTATGTCATATTTATACCTTATCATCTTTAAGCCATTTCTCTAATAACTGCTTACGACCTTGTTGCAACACAAGTCAACACAACTCAAGTGATTCAAATTTGTTCAGTTGAAAATAATCCAATAGAATACCAAAGTATTGAAGTAATGGTGATGTTTCACCGAGTTGGGTTGACAGGTGGTTGATCCTTTTTTTATATAAGAGTTTTTCTCATTGATAATAAAAGTTAATCTGTGAGAATATTGATTGCTAATCATTTCGTTAATCACCCAAGACGAAATCCAAATGATGTAACACAAGTTTAATGTAAAATCCACAAATTAGATGGCGAACATGTTGGTTACCGGCATTTCACTAAGAACAGACAAAAAAGGTGTTTCTCTCTCTTTCTTTCTTCTCTCTCTCGCTCCCTATCTCTTTCATCTCTTTCATCTCGTACAGATTAATAGAAAACCTCATCAATTATAACACCTCTTTCATTCTCTTGCATTATTAATCAACGCAATTATCAATTATTGTCACAAAGAAAAAAAAACAATAGATTAGAATTTGTTTAGGTGAGACAATAGATGGCACTGAAAACATCTCTGTTATTGAGACATGAAGGTGACTCGATGATTCTGCAAGCGAATTGAGAGAATCGGAGAAAAGATCGATTGGATCGATCGAAACCTGTTGAATCGATTGTGTCTCTTTTTTTCTCTTTCTTTTTCTCTGTCTTCTTTTATTCTTCGCTGTCTTTTTCTTTTTTTTCAAAAAAAAATCTGTCACTTTAGATTTAAATCGATTAATGTGATTGTGAATAAATCATTTGATTCTCACTGAGTTAATTTCATTTTCTGATTTTTTTTACATATTTATTTTGTTGATTTAATTTCGCAGACACTTAATTTTGTTGTTTCTCATTTAAGTTCTGCTAAATCTTGTGCACTCTTTCCTCTTCCTTTTTCTCTTTCCATTTCTTTTTCCATTTGTATTATCATTCTACATCTTATCCTCTCTTTCTCATCGCCATCATCATTCCAGCATCTCCATGGCTCAGTCACTACCAATCAAGTTTCAGGAGCATCTTCAGGTAGTAATTTCATTTCTCTACCATATTTTTCCAATTTCTTATTTTAATCATTTTCAGCTCAATACCAGTCAATTGTATTTTCTTGCGACTTGATTAGGTAAAAAAACAGTGAATGAGAAAGAAAAGTAGAGACGCAGTTACACGCACACTTTCACACAGGAAGTCTTCTACTCCCCTTCCTGCTGATGGTGGTTTTTAGTTTACCGGTTTTCACATAATTGATTTCCATTTTTGATTTTCGTCTATTGACGATAATTGATAAAACTTAACGCCCCTTGATACATCATGAATCTACCTTGATAATAATTTTGTTACTAACGTTATTCTCTTTCTTTTCTCTTTCTCTCTCTCTCTCTTCCTCTCTCTCTCTTTTTACTCCTCTATGATGGTTTACTTTTTGGTTTCGTGGAAAAAAATCAACCTATTTCTCTCAATAAATAGCTCACAGCTATTGGTATCAATGCAGCCAATATCACATTCAACACTCTTACCATGGAATCGGACAAATTTATCTGTGTCCGAGAAAAAGTGGGCGATTCTGCTCAGGTGGTCATCATTGACATGTCCAATCCTACGACACCCATTCGTCGTCCCATTTCTGCTGATTCAGCCATCATGAATCCAGCATCTAAAGTGATTGCTTTGAAAGCCATGAGAACCCTTCAAATATTTAATATTGAAATGAAATCTAAAATGAAGGCACACACTATGACAGAGGACGTTGTCTTCTGGAAATGGATTAATGTAAATACAATTGCCCTTGTCACTGAGACCGCTGTTTATCATTGGAGTATGGAAGGTGACTCACAACCTGTTAAAATGTTCGATCGCCATGCTTCCCTTACGGGCTGTCAAATAATCAATTACAGAACTGATCATAGGGTCCAATGGCTACTTTTGATTGGAATTTCAGCAGCGGTATGTAATAGTAAATCGCGGTTCCATTAATGAACAATATTTTATTGTCTAATCATCTCTCTGCTCTTATATAACCAACAGCAAGGTCGTGTTGTCGGAGCCATGCAATTATACTCCACAGAACGTAAAGTCAGCCAACCCATTGAGGGTCACGCTGCAGCCTTTTCCACCTTTAAGATGGATGGAAACTCAGAAGTCTCAACCCTTTTCTGTTTTGCTGCAAGAACTGCTACCGGTGGAAAGGTATTATTATCGTTTATTTTATTAATGAACTTTGTCCTTTTTAAATCATGTATTTTTTTTGAATAATCTTCTATCTACTTATTTCATCTTATCGATTATTTTCGTTTTCATATGAATTCTCCCTATTAATGACGCCCTACTTTTTTTTACTTTGATCTCCTTTTGCTTGGTAATTGGTTATTTTTAGCTTCATATTATTGAAGTTGGTCAACCACCTGCTGGTAATCAACCATATCCCAAGAAAGCCGTTGATGTTTTCTTTCCAGCAGAAGCACAAAACGATTTCCCAGTGGCCATGCAAGTTTCCACCAAATATGATATCATCTATTTGATAACCAAATTCGGTTACACTCATTTATATGATATTGAAACAGGTACTTGTATCTACATGAATCGAATCAGTGGTGAGACCATATTCGTGACCGCTCCTTATGAACCCACAAGTGGTATTATTGGTGTTAACCGAAAAGGTCAAGTACTTTCGGTTTGTGTTGATGAGGATTCCATCATTCCATATATCACAACTACATTGGCTAATCCAGATCTTGCTCTTAGAATAGCGGCTAGAAACAATCTTCCCGGTGCTGAAGAACTGTTTATTCGCAAATTTAACACGCTCTTCACTAATGGTCAATACACAGAAGCAGCTAAAGCTGCTGCAAGTGCACCCAAAGGTATCCTACGCACACCTGATACTATACGTCGGTTTCAGCAAGTGCCCACCCAACCCGGTCAAACGTCACCTTTACTTCAATACTTTGGTATTCTATTAGATCATTTTCAACTGAACAAATTTGAATCACTTGAGTTGTGTCGACCTGTGTTGCAACAAGGTCGTAAGCAGCTATTAGAGAAATGGCTTAAAGATGATAAGGTATGAATACGAAACAAGTGTCTTTGACCTTCTAATTTCTAATCTTTGTCTGTGCTTTTGTTTAATTTAGCTTGAATGTAGTGAAGAACTCGGTGATTTGGTTAAAGCCGTTGATCCAACTCTAGCTCTTTCCGTTTACTTGCGAGCTAATGTTCCCAATAAGGTGATCCAGTGTTTCGCTGAAACGGGACAGTTTCAAAAGATTGTTTTGTATGCAAAAAAAGTTGGTTACACCCCTGATTATACAAGCTTGTTGAGACAAGTGATGAGAACCAATCCTGATCAAGGAGCAGCTTTTGCTCAAATGTTGGTCCAAGATGAAGAACCACTGGCTGATATTAATCAAATTGTTGATGTTTTCATGGAATCCAACTTGGTTCAACCATGTACTGTTTTCCTTCTTGAGGCTCTGAAACACAATCGACCTGAAGAGGCACCACTTCAAACTCGTCTTTTAGAGATGAACTTAATTACAGCTCCTCAAGTTGCTGATGCAATTTTGGGCAATGGTGTTTTTACTCATTATGATCGTGCTCACATCGCTCAGCTTTGTGAGAAAGCAGGTCTTTTACAAAGAGCCTTGGAACATTATTCCGATTTGTACGACATCAAACGTGCTATCGTTCACTCTCATCTTTTGAATCCCGAATGGCTGGTCAATTACTTTGGAAGTCTTTCCGTTGAAGATTCCATCGAATGCCTTAAAGCCATGTTACAACACAATATTCGACAAAATCTTCAAATAACTGTTCAGGTGGCCACCAAGTATCACGAACAACTCAACACCACTGCTCTTATTGAACTTTTCGAGTCATTCAAGAGCTATGAAGGTCTATTTTACTTCCTTGGCTCTATAGTTAATTTTTCACAAGATCCCGAAGTCCATTTCAAGTATATTCAAGCTGCATGCAAAACTGGTCAAATCAAAGAAGTTGAACGGATCTGTCGAGAAAGTAATTGTTACAATGCTGAACGAGTTAAAAATTTCCTCAAAGAGGCCAAGCTTACCGATCAACTTCCCCTTATTATTGTTTGTGACCGTTTCGACTTTGTCCATGACTTGGTTCTTTATCTTTACCGGAACAATCTTCAAAAGTATATTGAAATTTACGTGCAAAAGGTGAACCCTTCTCGACTACCTGTTGTGATTGGTGGTCTATTAGACGTTGACTGTTCCGAAGATGTTATTAAACAATTGATTATGGTTGTTAAAGGACAATTTTCAACCGATGAGTTGGTGGAAGAAGTGGAGAAACGAAATCGTCTCAAGTTGTTACTTCCATGGCTTGAACTGAGAGTTCATGAAGGTTGCACTGAATCAGCAACTCACAATGCTTTGGCAAAGATTTACATAGATTCCAACAATAATCCAGAAAGATTCTTGAAAGAAAATCAATTTTACGATTCAAAGGTGGTTGGTAAATATTGTGAGAAGCGTAATCCTCACTTGGCCTGTGTATCTTATGAACGGGGTCAATGTGACATGGAATTGATTAATGTTTGTAATGAGAACTCATTGTTCAAAAGTGAGGCTCGTTATCTAGTTAAAAGGAGAGATGCTGAACTATGGGCACAAGTTTTAGTCGAATCAAATCCATTCCGAAGACAATTGATTGATCAGGTGGTTCAAACTGCTCTTAGTGAAACCCAAGATCCTGAAGACATTTCAGTTACTGTTAAAGCTTTCATGACAGCCGATCTGCCCAATGAATTGATTGAACTTCTTGAGAAAATTGTTCTGGACAATTCAGCCTTCTCTGACCACCGTAATCTACAAAACCTGTTGATTTTAACAGCAATCAAAGCTGATCGAACTCGAGTTATGGAGTACATTAATAGATTGGATAATTACGATGCCCCTGACATAGCCAACATTGCAATAAGCTCGGAACTTTATGAAGAAGCGTTTGCCATTTTCAAGAAATTTGATGTCAACACATCAGCTATTCAGGTTCTCATCGAACATATCAAAAATCTCGATCGAGCCTACGAATTTGCCGAGCGATGTAATGAACCGGGTGTCTGGAGTCAACTTGCTTCAGCCCAATTAAACGAAGGATTGGTAAAGGAAGCAATAGATTCTTTCATTAAAGCCGGCGATCCTTCATCTTACATGGACGTTGTTTCAACAGCCCATAAACTTGACCAATGGGAGGATCTTGTTCGTTACCTTCAAATGGCACGGAAAAGGGCTCGGGACTCATCGATCGAATCTGAACTACTTTATGCTTACGCTAAAACAGGGCGACTTGCCGATTTAGAAGAGTTTATCTCAGCTCCCAATCATGCTGATATTTCCCGAGTTGGTGACCGATGTTTCGACGATGGTCTCTTTGATGCGGCTAAACTTTTATACAACAACGTTTCCAACTTTGGCCGACTTGCTATCACCTTAGTTCATCTAAAAGAGTTCCAGGGTGCCGTTGATTCAGCACGTAAGGCAAACTCGACACGAACCTGGAAAGAAGTTTGTTTCGCTTGTGTTGATAATGAGGAATTCCGATTAGCGCAAATGTGTGGATTACATATTGTTGTTCATGCCGATGAATTGGAAGATTTGATCAATTACTATCAAAGTAGAGGTTATTTTGAAGAGCTGATCAGTCTACTTGAAGCTGCTTTAGGTAAGGACTTGCAAGTTGTTTGATTGTTTGATGATTATGATAATTAATCTTAATTCTTTATTTTTCAATATTTCCACTTGTTGCAGGTCTTGAACGCGCTCACATGGGAATGTTTACCGAGTTAGCAATTCTTTATTCCAAATATAAACCTTCCAAAATGAAAGAGCATCTTGAACTGTTCTGGTCTCGAGTTAATATTCCAAAAGTATTGAAAGCCGCTGAACAAGCCCACCTTTGGTCTGAATTGGTTTTCCTTTATGATAAGTATGAAGAATTTGACAATGCGGTGATTACCATGATGACCCATCCAACTGAAGCCTGGAGAGAGGGTCACTTTAAAGAAATGATTACAAAAGTAGCCAATATCGAGCTTTATTACAAAGCTATCCAATTTTACCTTGATTACAAGCCAATGTTATTGAACGATTTATTACTCATTTTGGCTCCACGAATGGATCACACTCGAGCAGTTAACTTTTTCACTAAAGTTAATCAGTTATCTCTGGTTAAAGCCTACCTACGATCGGTTCAAAGTTTAAACAACAAAGCAATTAATGAAGCTTTGAATGGTTTGCTTATCGAAGAAGAAGATTATCAAGGGTTACGAACATCAATTGACGCTTTTGACAATTTCGATAACATTTCTCTGGCCCAAAGATTGGAGAAACACGAACTCATTGAATTCCGGCGGATTGCAGCTTACCTTTACAAGGGTAACAACAGATGGAAACAATCAGTCGAACTGTGCAAAAAAGATGGTCTCTACAAAGATTCGATGGAATATGCGGCCGAATCGAAAAGTCCCGAAGTGGCGGAAGATCTTCTTCTTTGGTTCTTGGAGCGAAAAAATTATCACTGTTTTGCCGCTTGTCTCTTCCAGTGTTACGATCTCCTTCATCCCGACGTTGTCATGGAATTGGCTTGGAGACATGATATCATGAAATACGCTATGCCTTATTTCATCAATGTGATGCGTGAATATATCACGAAAGTTGATGAATTGAGAGAAACAGTCGATACCAAACTTGAGGAAACTGCGGCTCAAGAATCGAGCTCACTAGTTTACGGTAAGTGGTTCTTTTCATGGATATTCAATAGAAGAGAAATCAATTTAAATTAATGAAAACCCTTAATTAACCTTTTCTCTGTCATTTGTCATTTTCACCTATTTAGCAACCGAACCACAATTAATGTTAACTGCACCACCAGGCATGATTGGATCTTCCCCCGGTGTTGTACCTGGCGGAATATCTGGTGTAGTACCCGGAGTCCCACCGGGAGTTTATCCAGGAGGATCAGTTGGAGGAGCTTATCCTTACCAAGGATATGGAATTTAATTTATACTTTAGCTAACATATAGCAAATTCAATTATATCACCACCACCCAACCACCCAAACACCCAACCACCTACAACACTCAAGCAACCAACCAATAAACCACCTTCTTAATTACTTCCCTCTTATTTTTTCGGAGTTTTGTTCATTCAGCTAATCAACTTGTACTCTTAACGAATACTTGTCGATTTAGTGTAATAATAATCATTAAACTAAGCTCACTTTTGTTTATTAGTTGATTGCTGAGGCTAAGGAAACAATCTGGTTGAACTAATTAATTACAATCGCTAATTGTTTTGATATTCTCATGATTAGTTTGAAAGAAACATCATTTTCTTATCATGATTGTATTTGTTTATTTGATTGTTAACTTGATGATTAGATGTTTCTGATTAACTACAATTAATAGTTTATTTACTCCAAGTGTGAATGTTGTTGTTTAACTTACTATTTATAATTTGATTGAATTGTAATTGAGGTAAAAAAAATCCACCAAAAGTGTTTAATAAGTTAATAGTTTTTTATTTAGATCAATCAACCAACAATTGAGAATCAAATTTATCCAAATACAATTAAATACGAGAAAGTGTTAATTAGTTTGCCAAGTTAATTGATAACATTTAGTTATTATGGGATGTTGGATAAAAGATAATTAGTCTGAATCTGATTAAAACGATTTGATTTGATTGAGAAAAAAACAGTTCTGCCTTCAAGGATTAACAATCAAGTCAGAGATGAATATTAACAATTTTAATCAACTAACAATTGATGTTTACATTGATTGTTATCCTAATCATTTTTTTGTTTGATACTTTAAATTGTATCCAATTCATTTGATTATAAGATTGCAAATTAAATTCAAATTTCATTTGAGGAAATCAATTGAATCGTAAAATTTACACACACAATCATGATTCAATCTAAATGACAATTAGTATTATCATGATTTGCAAACAAATCTATAGATTTGTTGTTAAGTTGATAAGTTGATTATAATCAAGTTACTCAATTAAATAAATTTAATATACGACTTGTTATCACTCGCAGCAAAGTTCTGATTAATTGATTAAGCCTCTTTCATGGTGACTTAAAAATAATGTTGATAATATATGATTATGATTATGAGCTGTTGATGATAATATGAACATGAATTAACATGATTAACAGTTAATCAAAAGTAAAAATAACAAAAAGAAGCACATTCATCAATACTTGTTGAGCTTTTATCGTGATTAAGGTAAATCAAATTTTCATCGTAATGTCCACTCCTGATAGAGATGAAAAGATGAATATTAATTTGAATGAAAAATCACGGAGTTTTCAATGCAGATTTTTACATGGAGAAATCAGTCTACTGAACTCAAAAGTTTTGGAAGTTTTGACTTTTTTGATTCGTACTCGATTATTTCGGAAAGTTGACAGAGAAAATTCATGTTAGGCATAGATTTCGAATACTCGTAAACCAGAAATTCATGTAAACCAAAAAAATAAAATTCTGAAAGAAAAACTCGAACATGATACTTATTTATTCTAGAAATCACAGTTTATGGCCTAAATCGACCTCAAAATAAAACGATTTTTTCGATTTTTATGAAAACTTCATTTTTGAGTAAATAGTCTATGCTTATTAATTTGCCGTTCAAATTACAGCTCTATCTCAAACAGAACATGGTTAGGTAAAAGACTTATTGACTAACCTAATAATAATACGTTACCATTTCCATCATTAATAGGGGCATTATTGTGTGGAGCAACATTTTGTGGACCATAATTGTCATAAGCATATCCCCAGTAATGGATGTCATCAATAGCTCGGTTGAGAAGTGTGATATTGTCACCAACATTTGAGTTTACGTAATTGCGGTAAACCAAAAGGTCCGTTAATTGTCAAAAACGTTGTATGGAATGCAAAAGATACGGTGCCTATCATGAAGAAAAGAATAATGAAATTCCTGAGAGATTCCAAAGACTTCCAAAGACATTGACCAGCCACTGGGAAATTGAAGATGTTTTCATGGATTTAATTATAAAAAATTACCTGATTCTGTTGGAACATAATGGATTGGCCACGTAAAATAACGTGTTTCAAGGTCATTTGATGGTCATTCTATGTTTTCCACACTTATTCATCAAGGGTTAAGATTTTGAAGCTAGTTGCAACTGTCAATTAGAAGATATTGCAGTTTAATTAAAAAGGTACTGAGATTCTTTAATTAACAAAACTTATCATAACAGTTGACCCTAAAGACATAAGAGCCTGAAATTTTGATACTAGTGTTTTCACACATACTGTTTTATGGTAATGCCTTCAAATGACCTTGAAACGCGTTATTTTACGTGTGACCTGAATGACCTTGATCTTTCAATATGACAATTGAGTATCGCTCAAACTCATACCACTCAAGGCTCGAGTCTCTTTAACTCTTAGTTGCTGAGAAAATTGCAAAAAACATCGGCTAAAATAGCTGAATAGCCCTGTAGATTCAAATTTGTGCCTGATTACCTTGTGTTTCATTTTCTTCTTGTGAAGATCAACCAATGCTTCGGGTCTGGTTGTTTTCTAAGAGATTCAAACAATTTAGAAAGGATTAGATGATTGAATTAGGTTCGGTCGTTACTGAAAAACTTACATTGAATTCATCAACTGCCTTATCTAATTCGTTATCATGATCGACTGGAGTGATTTCTTTAATGGAAACTGGTTTGGAAGAAAAACTTGTCATGGATTTGCCGAAGCCTAATTTATGAGCGACTGAACTATTTTCGGGCAAACGTGCGATCCATTCTTCCCTTTGAGGGCCTTTCGATCCTGATGCAACTTGTTGAGATTTAGAATGACGACTTTCTTCAACTTCGATAAAATTTCCACTTGGTGGTAGTGGTCCGATTGTAAATTCGTCATCTTCATCATTGCTACTCTCATCTGATTTATCATCTATCATTTGATTTTATATCAATCATTAGTTTATTGGATTAATTGATCAGTTGATTTTATACAAGATGTACAAATTTACTTTACTATTTCAACTATTACGACACCTTTTATCCGTAAATAATTTAAATTGATGAATTAAGGTTAATCGATTTTGTTACAATTAAATTAGTTTTCAATATTTGCAATTGATTTGAAAGGTTACAGAATAAATAGTGAATAAATAATTGTTTCCATCGGTTTGCTTGTTTCCAATTAATCTCGTTAATATGGTTCAGTTGAAATTATTGTTACGTTGATTGCGAGCCACAATTAGCTTAAATTGTTTCATCATTAACTTTGTTTTAGTAGCAGATGAAGCGATAAAATTTTGACAAATTGAAGTAGATACTTGATTACAATCACGAACATCGAGATGAACTAGATTAGGACAACGTTTAAGTGCTTCCAAACTTGTGTCCGTTATATTTGAACAAGATGAAAGGTTAAGAGCAGTTAATTTGGTTGTTTTAGAAGCAGCTAAGAAACTGATTCCCATGTCTGTTACTTTTGAACAATTCGATAAATCAATTCGAGAAAGTTGAGGTAAATGATTACAGAGAAGACGAATCGATACATCAGATAAATCGGAACCAGCAACGGAAATATCGGTTAAAAGTCTAAGACGAGTTTTGGTCTCAAGTAAACCAGGTCGAGAATCGTTTGGTGATGAAAGGAGATCTTTGATTAGATTGTCGTTAAGTGAATCGACCCATGAAAGGTCAAGTTTTCGAAGCAGAGGACAATAGCTCGAACATAGAGCGGAAACGGTTGCTGCCGAAGAACCGGTCAAGTTAAGTGTTTGTAATTGGGGAATTCGAGCAATTAACCAGGCTAATTGTCGTTTGGAGATATTGGTCCAAGAAAGATTAAGGTGCAGAGGTTGACGACGAACGATTCCCATAAGGGTCAAGTGGGTGATCTTTTTGTGAGTACAATCAAGGTATTTCCAAAGAATAGGATCCATGGACCAGGTGTTCCATTTGCGACAAATTAACATACAGTTCATGAGGTCAGAACGCGGTAGATACCTGAAAACAGGCAAGATCACCTCTCGAGCGATATTAAGGTTACCTTGAACCTTTCGATTCAACTTTTTAATGTACTTCTTTTTAGCCTTTGCTCGTTCGCTTTCATCTTCACTTGTTTCATCATCATCGGTTCCCTCTTCGGTTTCATCGTCGTCCGAAAAGTCATCAGGTAAAGGTGCAGGACGAACAACATATTTGGGTTTAATTAGATGATCATTGTCACTTTTGGTACTTCCTCCGCCGCTACCGAGGATTTTAGGTGGATCATTATTCCCACTGGAACCATCGACAATACCAACAGTTGCTGAATCTTTGTCAATAAAAGTACTTGTTGTTGATGCATCATCATTTTCTTTCTCATCAATCACATCATCTTGATCAGTGTCATCATCAAACATATATTGGTCGGTAATTGTTGTGCTAGATGATGATGATGGGGTTTTCACTGAATCTTTGATTCCTTTTTTATCATCTTCATCATCCTCATCTTCCTTCATAGTTACATCATAAAAAGACGAGAAGGATTTCACTCCGGAAGGTGATGGAGTCAGTGTTGATCCAGGAGAGTCGATTGCAGATCTGGAGAGGATGGGACTAGGTGTGTTTGACGAAGTACTAATCCCGTTAGCGGGAGAAGCAGATTTAAAAGGTAACTTTTTATTCAATGATGACAGTCCATTATAACGAACCATTTCTGAATTTTTCTTAAGTCCTTTGAGACTTTTAAACAACCGATCTCGAGCACTTTGATGATTTTTCTTACCACTTCTAGAGCCTTTCAAAGTAGTTGAAGTGGAAGACGTTGAGTTGATTGATTCATTAGGTGTTTTCGAAGTGATTGATTTTTTCTCTGTAATTAACATCGAATCAGGAATCTTTTTTTCTTGATTTTGCTTTTTAATCGCTTCCTGGAGAAGTGGGAAACGAGCACAAGATCGTACATGCAAATCATTGGAAGCTTTTTGAGTACCGTTGTTATTGGTCGATATTGATGAAGACAACAGAGTCAATTTATCTTTACCACTTAAACTTCCGTTATTAGAGGCACTGTTACTGTTACTTGTGATTGTGCTGTCACTTTCTTCGTCCGTTGTCTCAGAGTTTTTGGCACTGTTGTCCTCGAAGAAGTGTCTTCTCTCCATCACTTCATCAAATCGAGCCTAAGAAAATAAAATAATGATTGGTACAAGTTCGTAAATCTTAATAAATTGACAGAGGGAGATACATGTTGTGGGATTGGTGAGAGAGAGGAGGATGATAGAAAAAGACTCACTCTTTTGCATGTAGCTTCAGGCAGAACGTCACCAGTATGGAAATCATAAACATCTTGATTTGGTGGAGTTTTCAAGGTCGATGAGTTTTGTTGAATAAACGGTTTCGCATTGGAAACAGGAAAAATTGATGATAATTTTGATGTTGCTGTTGTTGTTGTTGAGTTTGATAATAATGATGATGAACAAGAGGAAGAGGAGGAGGATGAAGATGATGATATTAATGTTGAATTAGACATTTTTGAAGCATTGAACTTCATTGCATTTGACATGAATTTAATGGATGTGATACATTTTGGACATTCCCAACTGTTTGGTAATTCATCACTCATGACACCCTCTGTACTGAGGGAGACATTTTTCTCCTTTAAACAAGCGGGATGAACAATCTCCCAACACTTAGAGCACTCAAGAAGACTTGATTGTGCCTCACAATCAGCTGTTGCTGGAATCATTTTCTCCCAACCATCTCGTCCACAAATAATACAACAAGCGGTGTGGGGTAAAACTGGTGCTAAACACTGGCGGGCAATACAAGATTGTTTCATCCTTCCAGGGCCACCAAACTTTTTCATGTCGCGACAAAAGTGACATTCCCCGCAATCGGCTCTTAAACATGCTTCGCATTTTTTACAACGGGTTCGTCGACGTCGAGCAGAATCACTCATGGCTTGACTGGCAAGATTACTTAGATTGTTGAAACTATTTGGATTTTTCAATGGATCACTTTTCGAGAAATCTGATGAATCAACTGCGACAACATATGTATCGGTGTTGGGTTTGGTTACAATTGTCTCGAGACTGTTTTTGTTGACAATATTTATCGATGTGTTTGTACTGTTGGTTTTTGTTAAAATTGTATTATTATTGTAACTGTAATTGCTTAATAAACTGTTGGTGTAAAATCCACTATTACTTGATGATCCCAAAATTGGTGAATTAAGACGATTTTGATTACCAACACCAGTGGCAGCAATTAACTGGGCAAATGATTGCGGGATTTGGTCAAGAGGTTTAGTAAGTGAGGTTAAATTGATTGAGTACTGGTTTGAGGATAGAGGTCGAGTCGGGGGAGATTCAGGTCTCTTCGAAGAGTCGGATTGTGCATTCAGGGAGGTGGATGAAGATGACGGTGTTTTAGATAAGTGGAATGCCGATGTAAAAGATGTGTTTTTAATCTGTCGCAGTTGAGCTGTGATGGAGAGGCCTGATGATGATGACGACGATGAAGTAGACGAGGGTGTTGATGTTGCATTGGAAGATGAGTTGGTCGATGAAAGTAATGACGATGATGTCGTGGCTGTGGTTGTAGTCATAGGCGATGACAATAGAGATGAGGAGGTTGGATTAGTTGACAATGATGTTGGCGGAAAAGATAAACTTGAATTCAAATGATTACTTAGATTTTGAACTGAATTTATATTAGATTTAGTTTTGGCTGATTTCCAAAATAATAATGGTTGTCCAGTAACAGCTAACTTATGATTATCATTTCCATGTTCATCGACCAACAATTTGACATCGTTAAGAAGAGCCTCTGGATTATCAATGAGATCGGGCACAGATCGTTTATTGCCAGTTAAACGGCTAAGCCACATGATGATGGCTTTTAGTCCATTCAGTTCAAATGATGTTAAATGAGCGTTTTGACCATTTTAGATTTATGAGATAAATTGTTACTATACAATGAAAGTTGATTGTTGGATGAACCATTATCATTAACGTTATTGTCGTTCACATTGTTACTGTTGGTGTTGGTACTGGTAATTGTGTTTCCATCATCGCCAACAGTTAAATGTGATTTACCAGTTAAACAGTAAACGTACCGTTGAATAACATACCAAAGCATTTCATGGTAGAAAGGGTAACGAAACTTAACCGGAACTTTGGTTATATCTTCAACTTGAGCGATTCTCAATTGTTTTTCAATGGCAAAAGAGTGAAGAAAATTTCCTCCAAATACAATTGAATCTTCTGAAGTGTAAACCGCGTGAATCCATCCGGTGGGTATGAAAAAGGTATAACCGTCGTAGAGACGGACACGAGCACACTGTTCAACAGTGTCTCCGAAAAAGATGTCACTCTGTTTACCAGAAAGAACCCATTGTTCAAACAGCTGAATATTTCGTTCACTCGGCGGAATGAGCCAGAAAACCTTTTGTCCTTTTAAGATGTGATACCAAACTGAAGTTCCACCAAAATCTATATGGAAATCAGTATAACAACCTTTGACACTCATGAGACAATATCTGAATCAACGAAAATAATAAATCAATTAGATTAAAATTGTCTTAGTTTTGGTTGCTTGAAAAGACTTACTTTTGGACTTTAGGATATTTCATGTCTCCAATTGAATTGGTTGATTCCGTTTGTTGAGCTTTTAAGTGTTTAGGCCAAACCCAGTCCACCCAATCGACTTGACGGACGATTGTTGGAGATTCGACCATAGAATCAAGTTTAGTATGACTAAATTCTAAACTGATCACATTGAGAAGTCGATCTCGAACTGGATTCTCATAATAATGAGTCCACTCTTTCATTGTCATTTCAATGTCTTTCTGTGTGGTAACATCCATGACATCGAGTATCCGACGACTTCCAACACATTGTTTAACATCAGAAACGGAGAAATTTACATCAGGCATCTTGAGACCCAAACCTTTCGAGTCTTTGACAACAATCGGTGAATCGAATCCATTTTCTTGGATATATTTTAAATTAAGTTCTAAATGTAATTGGATTGCAGAAAATTCAAAAAATAATTAATAGTTAATTTGATTGAAAATCTCAAAGTCTTACTGATTCTTACCTTCGCCTTTCATTTCTTTGACAAATAAATCATCGAACCTTTCAGAGACCAGTTTCTCTTCAACATCGAACATCCGAGTTCCTTCAATTTCTTCATCAAACTCTTCAGTATAACGTCTTCTCTCTCGTGCTCTCTAAACAAACCCAAAGGAAATAAAAAAACAGTTAAGAACAAAATTCAATTTCTTTTATCATCAAAACATCTCAAGGAAAACAAACTAGTATCCTTACCAATTTACGGCCCATTTTGTTTAATAGTTGACTTTAAATCAGTAAGAATCCATAGAAAACAAAGATAAACACCAAATAATTGTTAAAAGATCTCGATTTGATTGAGGCGACAACAGGAACTCAAACAGAGGCCAAAATTCAAGGCCCATCGTCAAAATAATAACAAGTTGCTAGTTCTGAATAACAAAGAGATCAAGGTAAGTCAACATTAGATAATCTTAAAAGATAAGACAATTTAATCAACTCTGTCAAGCTTTTTATCCAAAATGGAAAGGATATTTAACTCGGACAATCAAAATTATCATTGTGATAAATTGAAAAATAACAGAACTGAACTTGACCAAACACCATAAATCCTCAAAAAGCAAGAAAGAAAGAAAAACAAAGAGACAATATAAAGAAAATCAAAATGAAATCAAAGAGAAATTAACCTTAACATGGAGACACATATTCAATTGTGCAGAATCAAAGAGAAACAATTAGTTAACTAGATTGTTGATTATTGATGAGAGAGAAACAAATCACAGAGAAACAAAAAAATAGAAAGAGAAAATCACTCACCAGAAATCATTTTGAAAGAAGAGAAAGAAAAAAGCAAATCCTTTGTAAAGATGGAAGAAGATAAGAAGAGGGAGAGAGAGAGAGAGAGAAGATTTAATCTTCTTGCTAATTAAGTTTCCAATAAAATTCACAATCAAAAGGATAAATAGATGAAGACAATTAATTGATGTTCAATGAGAGATAAATGTAAATATTTTTCTAAAATGAAACCAAGATGAAAGAGAAACAAAAAAAGCATGAAGAGAGAAAAGGAGAAGAGAGAAAGAGAAGGAGAGAGAGAAATGGAAGAAAATGAGACAGAGAAGAGAAAGAAAAAGACAGAGAGAGAGAAAAACTGGTTTTCTTTTTTTTTGAGAAAAAAATATTTACCTGGTCAATTTAAAGATCTAATTAATTTTGTGGTAATTATTGTTTTCACCGTTTAAATAGAAATTTGGTTTAGATTAATTAGTTGATTTTCTTTTAATTTTGATCGTAACATCAAAGAAGAAGAAGAAGAAGACAAAAAGATGAGAGAAGGTTAAATTATCCTCTTTCTCTAATTCGGTAAGAAGAAAATCATCTCTTCTCTTCTTCTGGTTTCTTCTTTTATCTTCCTCTTTCTTTTTTACTCTCTTTTTCTGGTCATCGGGAAGAAAAATTTTCTCTGGTCACTTGTTGGCCAGTTTTCGATCTTCTAATTCCAATAATTGATATTTATTCAATTCTTTTTATAAAGGAAACTTTCGATTCGATTAACAAACAAAAATCGAACTTAATTATGAATCAATTAGAAAAACAAAAAATTCGATTGACAATTAAAATTAAAACAACAATTAAGATTAAAGGCAAATTGTTTACAATGTTTGATGAATGAAAATTAATCTACACCAATAGTAGACTTTAAGTAATTTTGATTGTGAACAATTGAGGGAAATGATTAACCGATCCGATTGTCCGATATCATTGATTTGGATTAATATTGAAGATTTAAATTATCGTACAATTGGTGAACAGCGTTGATGTTAATCTCAACTGAATTACGGTAATCACTAATCTCTTGGTAGAGATTTTTTTCCTTCTCAGTTTTAATTAGTAAATCATGAGATGAACAAATTTCAGGTGAGATGAGATTAATTATCATCGATCGAGACTTAAATGAACCAAATTTTGAACAATCCAATTGTGATGTTTTCGTAAAGTTGAATCATATGCTTGGGTAAATTGTTTGAAACAAACGTCATTTTCTGAATCGGGCTAATTTACTAAAATTGACCAAAAATAACCAAAATCAACAAAGATGAATTAAAACTCTCAAAATTAAATTGAAAATCACAATTTAGTAGTCAACCAATTGATAATAATCATTGACATAGCAAAGGAGTCAACTAAAACACAATCACCTCGATCAGCAATTTGAAAAAATTTCTATAAAGTCTAAGAAATGGTAATTTGATACAAATAAATGTCAATTAGAGATAAATTCAATCAATTATCTAATTATCTAATTATTTCTATGTTAATTTGATGATTAATAATCTTAAAATTATTTGACTATTTTCACTATTTTTGCGGTTCACATAAAGACTATTTCTCGAGAATCATTAAACCAAAGTAAATTTAATTTCAATATAAAAAGGTTAATTGGATTATGGATTAATTATGAAATTTACTTTATCTTCTTAGCCCAATTAATTACTAACTTTTAATGTAATTTGTCAGGTTTTTGTTCATCTTTGTTGGTTTTGGTTAATTTTGACAATTAGTCCAACCCTCATTTTCTTATCATGATTGTATTTGTTTATTTGATTGTTAATTTGATGATTAGATGTTTCTGATTAACTACAATTAACAGTTTATTTACTCCAAGTGTGAATGTTGTTGTTTAACTTACTATTTATAATTTGATTGAATTGTAATTGAGGTAAAAAAAATCCACCAAAAGTGTTTAATAAGTTAATAGTTTTTTATTTAGATCAATCAACCAACAATTGAGAATCAAATTTATCCAAATACAATTAAATACGAGAAAGTGTTAATTAGTTTGCCAAGTTAATTGATAACATTTAGTTATTATGGGATGTTGGATAAAAGATAATTAGTCTGAATCTGATTAAAACGATTTGATTTGATTGAGAAAAAAAAACAGTTCTGCCTTCAAGGATTAACAATCAAGTCAGAGATGAATATTAACAATTTTAATCAACTAACAATTGATGTTTACATTGATTGTTATCCTAATCATTTTTTTGTTTGATACTTTAAATTGTATCCAATTCATTTGATTATAAGATTGCAAATTAAATTCAAATTTCATTTGAGGAAATCAATTGAATCGTAAAATTTACACACACAATCATGATTCAATCTAAATGACAATTAGTATTATCATGATTTACAAACAAATCTATAGATTTGTTGTTAAGTTGATTATAATCAAGTTAATCAATTAAATCAATTTAATATACGACTTGTTATCACTCGCAGCAAAGTTCTGATTAATTGATTAAGCCTCTTTCATGGTGATTTAAAAATAATGTTGATAATATATGATTATGATTATGAGCTGTTGATGATAATATGAACATGAATTAACATGATTAACAGTTAATCAAAAGTAAAAATAACAAAAAGAAGCACATTCATCAATACTTGTTGAGCTTTTATCGTGATTAAGGTAAATCAAATTTTCATCGTAATGTCCACTCCTGATAGAGATGAAAAGATGACCAGTAGGTTGAGTTATGCTAAAGGAAATAGAGAATCAAATAAATGAGATAATCAATGAAGAAATGCCAATCCAACAATAGAGCTAATTAAAAGAGAGATTAAAATTAGGCCAATAATCCAATTATACAGGAATTAGAATAAAATAATTAGTGTCTGATGATGTTGATTAACAATTAATACTGATAATTATAAGGTTATAATATTGAATATGCAACGAGAAGGTAAAAATTTGGGTAAAAACGGAAATTTGATTCTCATGATTTACAATTGGAAAAAAAGAAAATAACAATTAACTAACCTACTATAAATTAACATGGTTCCTTTGCTTTAACAATTAACCAGCCATAAAAAAGTTCAATCAATTGAACGTTAATTCCTTCCCATTAATCGTGAAACAATTTAACCAAAAAGTAACCACTTAATAAACAATAACAATTATCGTTTTCTGATTACATCGATTGTCATAATCACAGAGAAAATCAAGCAAAACAAAAAAAGGTAAACAAAGTTTTCGAGTTGGAATAACAATTAACCGAAATAATTTACTTTCTTTAATTTAATTGTTAATTTTTTCCTTTACTTTCTCGATAAACTTTCCACTTACTCCAATCAAATTAAGCATTTAAATTGTAATCAAATCGCTGAAGAAAATAATCTCGCCCTTCCTTATTTTAATGATAATCAAATGTGAGCCTTTATTGTTTCTTAATTGTTACTCGATTACTACAATCAACTATGTTAACCTGTTAATCTTTTGTGTATTATTAACTTTTAACATTGTAAACTGAAAAATCTTAACATTCACTCATTTATCTTCCTGTTTTCCATCATCATTTCTTATTATTCTTCTTCCTTCTCTCTCAGTTTATCTTCCTTATCTTCATTATTTCATATTTTCTTTACCATCATCACAATCATTTCCATCAAAATCAACCTCATCCCCATCAATATACTAACATCATCAGACTAAATTCCTTCTGGACACACAACATACTCTCGATTTCTGCTGTTATTTTCCTCCTCCTCATCATCATTTTCTCTCTCATTTTCTCTCTCAACTTTATCTTCATCTTCATCTTCATTAACTTACCTTTCTTTCTTCTTGTTTACCCCTCATTCTCTTTCTCTTCATCTTTTTTTCTTTTCTCTCTTCCTCTTCGTCTGTTCTTCATCTTTTTTTCTTCTTCTTCGACAAACACCTTACCTGTAAAGTACCGTTATTCATCATTTCTACTTCGTATTGTTGATTTACTGTTGTGTTGTTATCGTTTTGCATTTTGTTTATTGGAAAACAACAAATTTCAATTGTTAAACATTTTCACCTTTTCCTTCATCTTATCAGTTTGATTGTCATTCTGTTGAAAATTTTAATTAACTTTTAAATCACTTGATATGTCAACATGTTTAACTATCAACAATTTCTTCATCATTTGTATTAATTGGATTAACATCTTATCCCAATTGTGATTTATCAATGTAAACACTTGACGTTTAATGTTTTCATTTTCATCTAAGTTATTGTCTTTGTTTTGTCCCAATTTTGACAATCACAACAATCCTAGTCGTTGATTATAATCACTTACAATTATAAAAATCTCGCTTAATCAACTTTTTTTTTAATACACGTTAATATGGATTATCAACATTTTTTCACTATTCTATTGATTAGTTTAACAATCAACAATTTAATTCATTTTTCATCGTCCTTAGAAACGCCGATTTCATTGTCAAGATCAATTTCAGTTCCAAGAAATTATTCTGGGTGAGTTATTATTCATTTTCTTTCAATTATTTTCATGTTATTGTTGTTATCTAATTGTTATTTTCTCTAATAGTGATTAGTTAATGTTGTTGGGTTACTATTAATATCAGTTGTTGTTGTTGGAAAAACAATCAGTTGTTAATTAAAGTATTTGTTACAATTGTGAAGGTAAATCAGTTAATCGGACAATCTTGTCAACGGACTAGTTTTTTATATCGACAACTTTTACTTTCCTTTTTTTGGGTTAACATTTGATTTCTCAATTAACTAATTGTAACTTTAAATTTCCAATTAATCATTAATCTTTTCTTTCCCTTCTAAAGACATACAATTGTTAAATTATTATCAAATGAAGTTGATAAACTATTCCCCTTTTATAACGGATCAACATCTAATCATCTGCCAAGTAAGAATCCGGATAATGAGGTAAGATTTAAGTTTCCACAATTAACCAATTGTACTAATTAGTATATTTGATATTTGATTTGCAACCAAAATTGAAGAAATTAACAATTAACTTACTCTTTTCTTAAAGTTTTGCCCTTGATTAGTTTAATTACCATTAATTTGCGACAACTGTTGAATAATTTTACATTGAATTTGTTTGAATATTATTGATTTTGATCGCAATTATGATTAATTGTTGATCTTGATTTCTAAAAATTAGTGACAAAAATCAGCAATAACGGTGATTAGTTATGAGGGTGTGATAACAGGTTTATCATTGACAGGGTGTGACCGGTGTTGATAGTTAATTGGCCATGAAATTGTAACTTGTTCAAACAATTATAATTACTATTAATAAGTAGATTGAGAATGATGAACATTTGATAAGTAGATGACAATCAAATAATAGTGTTAACGATGAGAAATCAAAACCCGGTGAAAAATTGTTCATCTTTTATCATTAAGTTGCAATTGAATAAAAAGAAAGTATCAAAACTAATCAATGAAAATCTAATCAATTCTAATTGTTTGAATTTTCTGATTAGCTTGAGGAGTTATGGACTATCGATGATCCTGTCAAGGGTAAACTCAGTGTTTTAAGAGTGGGTCCTGGTCATCGTCATCATTTGAGCAAAAGGTCAACCGATTATTCAATTTTATCTGATGACCTTCAGGAATGGATCACAAGAGGATTTGCACCAATCGTCCGATCGGCGCGATCAACAAGTAAACGTGTAGAATCGGCACTAGTTCGTGATTTTCGTCTCGATATGTACCAACCATTAGATGAGATTTATCGTTATCTCGATGAGCTTGTGAATATTGCACCAGTTCGAGTGTTCGACATCGGGGAAACTCATGAAGGTCGGAAAATCAAAGCGATTGAGATTCGAGGTAATTCACAAGATCCTCGATTGGTTTGGATTGATGCAACTATTCACGCGAGAGAATGGATCAGTCCAGCAACAATTATCTACATTATCGAACAAGCTTTGGTAACTAAGGCTAAAGTTAACTTCTTAATTGTTCCAGTATTTAATCCGGATGGTTATGAGTATTCTTGGACAATCGATCGACTTTGGAGGAAAATCGTAGACTCAGTAATCCGGTTTCCTCTCGAAAACCATCAACATCGGCATCATTATTATCTTCACCTCGAGCTTCCGAAGAGGAATGTAATGGTGTTGATCTTAATCGTAACTTCGATGCCTCATTTGATGGTCAAGGTTCTTCTGATGATGTTTGCTCTCAACTTTATCAAGGTCCATCTCCTTTCTCGGAACCGGAAACACGAGCAGTTGGACATTTGATTTGGACAATGAGGAAAAACATTAAACTTGCCATTAGTATTCACTCATTCAGTCAACTTTGGGCTTGTCCGTATGCCTACGATACCGTTCAAACACCTCATCATCGGGAACACATGGAAGTCCTTAAGGCCATTCAAGACGCTGTTTACAAGACCCATGGTGCTCAATATACAATCGGACCTTTGTCAACCTCTCTTTATGTCGGATCGGGTTTCTCAATGGACTGGATGTACGATAGAGCGGGAATAACTCACAGTTACTTAGTTGAATTAAGAGACAAGGGAGTCTATGGATTCTTACTACCGGCTGATCAAATTATCCCAACGGCCACCGAAACATGGGAAGGAATCAAAGCCGCAATTTTAAAGTGCTTTCAGTCCGAATTAGATCCTAATTAACTAACAATCTCCAAAATTCAATCCATTAAATCAACACGATCATCAACAGTTCACCTTCATCAATTGAAATCAACTGATTATCAGACAAATAATCATCTTTTTTACGAATATTTTTTTAAATATAAAATTTTGTACAGTATTTATATCTGTATAAAGGACGAAATAAAGTATTTAACAATTAATTGTAATTTATGACTGAAAATTTGACTGAATAGTTGAGTGATTGATCTTAAATGTAAAAGTCAACTTGGTCCTAACAATTGAATTTGTTACAATTAGAAGAAAAAAATTAGTAATCAAATGTCTTATAACAATTTATTTGAAGGTTATGATTGAACAGGATAACAATAAGTACACAACAAGTTTTAGTGCAATTAATTTAATTGCTCCAATTTTTGATTTAATGTACACAAGAGTAATCAGTAAATAGCAGCAAATTTAGTGAACTGATAATAATGAGATATATTATTTGATTGAAACTTTGGTCTTTTTATGATTGATTTTGAATCAATTTGATTATTGAATTGAAATAAACCTTTTCACAGTAAATGTCTTGAATTTCAACAGGTAAAAGTGAAAATAAGTAAAGGTAAATTTTATCCTTGTAGCCACTGACTTTGTAATAGAGTCGAGGACTTTTCGAGATGACACTTGACAAAAGGGCATCGATCACTTCTTGAATGTCCGTTCGTTTCATGTAATTGAGATATCTAATACAATGGTCGAAACGTTTGAACTCTTCTTGACCAAGCTCTTCTTTCAGTTCAGCCCGTGTTTTGGTCCAATTGGTTCGGGCAGAATTGATTATAAACTGAGTATCGTTTATTGATGTTGAATACATGGCGGGTTCAATTATGGATACATTTATACCGTAACGGGCTACCTCACGACGAAGGCCATCACCGAATGAGCGGACTGCATGTTTACTCATCGAATAGGCTGTAATACCGGGAAAAGTTGTTCGACTTGCAGTAGAAGTGATAATCACAATACGAGAATTGTTTGTCCTTCGAAGTAAAGGTAAAAAGGTTCGAGAAACTCGAACAGCACCAAAAGTGTTGACATCAAATAAATCGAGATAATTTTCCTTCAAACTATCGGGTCCCCATTCAACTGGACAGAAACCACCAATTCCAGCATTATTAACGATCGCCCATAGCTCTGATTGTGAGAGGAACAGAAAGATAAAATTAAAATTTCGCTAATAAATGATAACAGTCAAATAGCAACAACGTTAATTGCTTTCCGATTGTTCCACTTGTTTCACTTGTTTAGTTGATGTATTATTAGATGAGCTTAGCACAAATTCAATTGAAAATAAATGGAACGATTTTCATACTTCGACCTGGTTCCAGATTTTCTTCGACGAATTCACGAGCCACTTGAATCTCGTCGTTTTCTCGAACATCCATTTTAACAATATGAAGATTAGTCCCACATTTAGTTAAACTTTGAGCTCCTTCACGATCGGGAAATAAAACGCCGGCAAAAACTTGGTATCCAAGTTTAGATAATTGTTTGGCCAACACATTACCGAATCCAGAATCACAACCTGATTGATAATCAAATAGAAATGAGTTGATCAGTTATCTTAGTTAATTGATGGTATAGCTTACCTGTGATTAGAACAGCTTTATCGTTGGAATCAACTTTAGTCTCAGTGAGTGTGACAATCTTTGACATTTGCCATGAAAGGTAAAGGGCAAGTAGGAAAAATCCCAAGTGAGCAATCGTATGAGCAAAAGTATCGTAACCATTACGAGCAAACCAATGGAACCCAAAGAAAATAATTAAACAAACAACAATTTGTTTGAATGAAGCACTTTGTTGAGACATCTTGTCAATAATGATGAAAATTCACAATATAATCAATGGAAATTTCAACAAATCTCTCATGTGTTTCTATAAATAACAAAGTTAAAAATCATTGATTCCAAAGGATCATTTTGAATGAATTAAACCTTCAAATTTTCACTGTAAACGAAACAAACAGAAAAAGATGAGGATGAAAGTTCGTCAACAAATGAAGATAAATAGAAGAGTGAGAAAGATGAAGATGAAATCAGGCTAAAATAAAAATAATACGTTTAAGTTGGTTGATTTCTTTTTCTTTCTCCAATATAAATGAGCTTTGCTCGCAGCGTAAATAATATAAGTTACATTTAACTGCTTCTCTTTTACTTATTTATGAATATCAAGTTAATCGGTGTCCAAGAAAATAACTTTTCTCTCTGACCTGATTAATGGTCAGTTTAGTTTCAATCATCTTTTTAACCTGTTGGCCGGTTGTTGTTTTGTTGTCTCTCTTTCTAAGGTCAACGGTCCATTTCTTGATTTCGTTGTTGTTCCGATTGTTTTGAGAAAATCTTTTCACTCAATTGTTGTTACTGTTAGTTAACCTTATTAATTGACAGATGAACCATGATTTTCCCCATGATTGGGGATAATTGTGTATGTGTGAGTGTGAAAAAGAGAGAGAGAGAGAGAAGAATTAAATTTAATTAAGTTGATGTTTCATCCGAAATGACTGGTTTCCATTTTTCAATTGATCTTCATTGATTGTTGTTGATGTTTTGTTTGATGTGAATGTTGAAAAGGTAAACAATAAGAATCAAGTATTGATTGTTGAAGTAGTTAAAGTTGTTATTTAAGTGTTTGACCTTCAGGTTTTAAAAGAGTTTGCAAATATTATGGTGACGTTAAGCCAATCGAGTGTGAGCTTTATGAATAATTATCAGCTCATTTTGGGAGTAGAAAAGCGATTTAACCAATATCATCCGACGAATCGATGATTTGAATAAGCTTACGGTCGCTTTTATTTGCTTCTCCAGATGATGATTGTTGTTCGGCTGAATTAATCTCGCAGTTCTGAACAACCAATTGTTTGAACGACAGGGCCTCAAATTGAATACACGTCAACTCGGCTTGATAAAGTTTCTCCTTTTCGAGGCACCAGCTCATATAAAATTTCATCTTTTTGATAATCTTGTTGATTTCGTCAGATTTATCCTTTTGTCTTTTCTTTGCTCCTTTACAAAGTTGGATAATATCAACCAGACATCTAAGTACCAATCGATTCCTTGTTTCATGATCAAACTTGTGTCAAAATAAAGTTTCTCAATGAAAAGTAAAGGCATCTTGTTGTGTTCAATCAAATATCGGCTTGCAAATTGTAAACATTGTCCAGTTTCCGGAAATGATACTCTAGATGAATTAAGGGAAGATAATTTCATCAGTAAATCATAAGGCTCAACAGGATAGGAATGATGACTACCAACGAAATAGCGACAAATAGTAGCGTAGGCAAAGATTGTCTGGACTAATGAACATTTAATTAATGGCGAGGGTTCTTTGTTAATTATATCACCGAGTTTTGGTAAATTGGTTGGATAACTTGGAATATCATTATCTTCCTCATCCTCATCAATATCTTCATAATCATCTGACTGATCTTCATCATTTTGCGGATCATTAATGTTTGATTTTAAATCATCAGACCCCGAATTTGATGATTGATCTTTGAGAATTAAACTTTGAGAAAATTGAATGTACCAAGGATCCCAAAAATGAGCTGGAAGTAGATTGAAGATTCCTCCACTTTGGACCAATTTATCAAATTTAGCTCGTTCCTCAATAGGTAGTCCATATTCATCAGTAATCGGAGAAATCAAAGCTGAAGATGATCTAGTTGATTGACTATTCTTTGAATCGGATAACAGTTGATTATAAATTTGCTCAGGTTCTTCATTCAACCTCATCTTTTCCAAGAGCTTTAATGTTGCTTCTTTCATCCTTTTATTTGCTTCATTATCCGAGGCCAATTCTTGAAGAACCAAATCTTTATAGAAATTTTCTGAACACTCTAGATGATCACGATGACGGTAACAATTTAGTGAACAATAAACAAGACCACATTTCGGACAAACATAACCAGCATCAGGGTTGCAACAGAAATTACATTGACGAACCATAATTGAGCCTCTGAAAATCTAAAAATAACAAAGAAAGGGAATCATTATTAATCTAATAGATTTAGAATACAAATTGAAACCATAATTTCAATAATTTGATAACAATAACATTTCAATAGCATAAAATTATCAAATAAATTATCTCAAGATTGTTTGGAAATTGGAAAATTGAATGGAAAACAAATTAACCAAGAAAAGGTGAATAAACAACAAAGCAAAGAAACAGAATACAAACTAACGTAAATAGTAAAAGGAAATTAGTTTAACAATTTCTTACCTTTAATTAGATGAAATTTCACCAGAATAATAAAATTAGAATAACAATTGAATAAATTGCGGAAAAAAAATTAAATCAACATTTCCAATTTCAAGAAAAATAATTTAAATCCAAGAACAGATGATTAACCGGTTTGAGCGCCAAAAGAATTTTAATTCAATTTAACTTTTCTCATTTTCCTAATTGTTTCCTGATCGAATTAAATTTCTCGACAATTTATCGGTAATTAATAATTCCAAATGAACTTGTTGATTATTTGGAAGCCATTCAATCGTTGGTTGAAACAAAGTAAAATCCCAAACAAATATTATCCTCGAAATTGTTACGATTAAAACTTAAAAGTTAAAGTTAAGTTTCGGTTAATCACTTAATCTTTCCAACAATTAACAATTAGATAGAAATGGAAAGTTCAACTATTGATAAAATGTTAATAATCGAAATGTGAATGTATTGTAAAATCCATGTTAAACTTTAATCGTGAATCCAAATTCACCACTTACCTTTAATTAGAAGATCTAAATTATAACAATCAAGGTGAAATTATAATTGTTAATATTGATTTTTCTCTAAATCAATCAACTATTGAACCTTGAAATCAATTCCCTAGACTATTACATGGAAACATTGGTGGGTAACTTATCACTAATTACGATTGTTTAAAGATTAGTGAATCAATTTTGATTATTCCATCGGAATTGATTAAAAGTTTGCCAATTTCAATTGAATTAAATTTTCTCCATCTAATAACAAATTCATCTGATTTTCCTGCTCAACAATTAAATTGAAATCGAGTTGCGTGTTTACCTGTTTCTCTTTGTGATCATTTCCAATTGATATTGTTACCTGGTTGCTCTTGGTTATCTAATAGACTTTGGGTTAACTTTTAACCATTTCAATCATGTTTCCTATTAGGTAATTCAATTCAAGGTGATATGGTAGTTTAATTGTAGACCTTACAATGGTTATGATGTGGACTTTAATTGTTTATAAAGCTGACTAATGATTAATCTATAGCCCACAGAATAATTTTTTTGTTCATTTTCTCATTTGGAAGAGGAAAATGATTCCTAACCCACGAACAACAATCAGATAAAACTGAGAGAAAACCATAGGAATTAAATCAGTTACATGGTAACAGTAGTAAAATCGATAATAACAATTTACCTTTTTTAGTTTTTCTCTTTCTTTTCTCTTTCTTTCTCGCCCAAAGATCTCATTGTAAACCAAATATAATCACAATTAAAATCCCACAAACAAAAATTGGAAACAAACCAAATATTACAACAAGGACATGGAATTAAATTGTCTCAATGAATATTCGGGATCCTTTCAATTTCCACCCACCATCAGAATTAACACTCACTCACTCACTCTCACTCTCTCTCCAATCTACAAATCAACTAATCATCTCTCCAATTAATCAACTAGAAGATGAAGAAACAAAATCAAAAGGTATTCCCAATGTGTATCTCACATTAACGTTCAAAGGAACCAACAATTAACTATCACCAAAGTGAATGAGATGATTTTCATCAACGATTAATCAATTATTCTCAATGGGTCAGACTTAGATTTTAACAATCAAGGATACAACATCAACCATTGAAGTATATTTATCAATCAAATGGTTACTGATTATCAACCATTTAGGTTTGTTGATCAATCATAACAATTAGACATAAAAATGATCTATTTTTTCCAGTTAAAATTATCCATTCAAATTAATCATTCATATACATAAATAGATCTCTTTATTGTTATTAGTCGTAATTCCTTCACGGTAGCTTAATTGCTAATCAAAACACGCAATTAACTAACGTGACATACTCATAAAAAGTGGTTTCTATTGATAACTGATTAACTTGATACAATTTTAGTTTCTCCAAATCTTGATGATCAAATAATCCTTTGGTATTAATAAATTGTTACGATTAAATTGCTTCTATCACAATCATGTTAATCATCATTTACACAATCATTTTTGATGGAAAGTTAAATTTTATATCATTATTATTATATTACTATTATGATTATCAGATCAAATAAAATTGTTTCATTACAATTAAATGTCAACAGAAACTGAATCGTAATTTGTTTCAACAATTAATATTTAATAACAAACAAACAGACATACACACCCAATCGTCTTGATTGTACCAAATTAAGAATAGATTATTCTTGTTTTCCTTGATTATATTAATAATTAAATCAGAAAATATTTGATTCGGTTCTTTAATTGTTCACAATTTTCCACCAATCAGAATAATTAACATAAACATCAAATCATATCAAGCCAAGTTCTGAATAATTTGGATCGAAAGAATTAGAGATTATACGAATTTCCATTCAAGCTGAATTTTAATCAGAAAATAATTCATTTTCGATAATCAAAGAAAGTTTAATTAGCGACGATTAGAAAAAATTAATTTCTTTTTTTGCGAATTCAAAGTTGGCGCCCAAAGAACATTAATTTCTTTTGATAAGAATGGATTTCTCTTGATGGAAAATGTAATGTTTTTATTTTCTAAATTTTTTTCCTCTGTTTTTTTTTTATTCTCTGCGATTAATTATTATGTTTAAAATTAGTTTTTATTGTTATATTGATCTTTTTAATGCTTCTAGTTGAGTTGCGTTTCTTTCCACGATTGCAGTGACCACATTGCGTTTCGTAAAGCTGGATTTTCCTCCGTTGTTTTCCTGTTCTGTGATTATCTCTGGGGTTTCTCTTTCTTTTTTCTCTTTCTCTCTTTCTTTATTTCCTTTTATTTTTTTTGTCTCTGATAAACAATAATGAACTTTGAACTCCTCCATCAGTTTGGTCAAAACTATCCGGAGGAGTTTGATGGGCATCTTGACAGTGGCTCATTAGCGACTACCTGTGTCTTTAATCGTCGTGGTACTCTTTTTGCAGTTGGTTGTAATGATGGTAGAATTGTTATCTGGGATTTTCTGACTCGTGGTATATGTAAAATAATATCTGCTCACGTTCACCCGGTCTCATCCTTATCCTGGTCTCGTAGTGGTAAATACCTAGTCTCAGCGGGCACTGACAACAATGTCAGCATTTGGGATGTTGCAAGTGGTGAGAATGTTAACCGTTGGCGATTCCCATGTCCAATATTAAAAGTTCAATTTAATCCTCGTAATGATCGAATGATCCTTTGCTGTCCTAATCGTCATCAAGCTGTTCTCCTATTCCGTCCCGTGGATACTAATCCACCAGAGAAAACTCATGTTATTCTTCCAATGGATGAAGACGCTGATCTCAATATAACGGCTTCTTTTGACCGTCGTGGCCAATACATTTACAGTGGTAATGCAAAGGGTAAAATTATCGTCATTAAAGTTGAAGAAGAAGGTAACAAACTGGATATTGTGGCCTCTTTCCGTGTAGCAACATCAAATATCGTTGTCAAACAGATTGAGTTCGCGCCAAAGCGAAAAGATACTTTTCTTGTTAATGCTTCTGATAGAGTGATTCGTGTTTACGAAACCAATGAAGTTCTCAATTGTGGACTCAACGGGGAACCTGAGCCTGTCCAGAGGATTCAAGACCAAGTAAACAAAACTACCTGGAAAAAGTGTTGCTTCTCGGGTGGATCAGATGCCGATTTCATTTGCGCTGGATCGGCGAGGCAACACACACTCTGTATATATGATCGTATTGCTGGAAGTTTGAGTAAAATTTTACAAGGTACCAAGGGTGAAACTTTAGTCGATGTTGTGGTAAGTTGATCAATATAATTTTTCTTCCTTTTGTTTCCATCATCTTTTATTTATTTTCTCTGTTCTATTATTGTTATAAAATCAATCGCATTTCAAATGAAATCGTTCTTGATTTTATTGATTGTATTGACCTGATATGTTGGAAACAGGGAAAAAATCTAAATACTGTTTAACTCGATTGAATATTAATCAAATCTCAATGTAAATGAACTGTCAACCTTTTCAATCTCTTTAATTGTTTTCCTCAATTTCTATTAACTTACATTAACTCAGATGAACTTATAAACAATCAGAAAGAGAAGAAATGAGAAATGAGTCTTTTTTTCACCAAAAGGCATGTGACTCCTACTTTTTTCTCATTTCATCGCATCATCTCTGAGTTTCTCTTTCATTCTTTTGATTCACTCTGTCTTTTTCATTTTATCTTCTCTCAGACCGATCAATAAGTCTGCTGATCTAATTTGTGTGTCTAAATTTTTACTCTCTCTCTCTCTTTTTACTTTCCTCCCATTTCGTTTCCAGTGGCACCCAATGAGATCCATAATAGCCAGTATATCAAGTGGAGTTGTATCAGTTTGGGCTCAAGCTCAAATAGAAAATTGGTCAGCATTTGCTCCTGATTTCAAAGAGTTGGATGAAAACGTTGAATACGAAGAGAGAGAATCAGAATTTGATATTCAGGATGATGATCGGTCACCAGCTCGCAACACCGGAGACAATGACGATGAAGATGAAGAGGTAGACGTGACTGGAGTTCAACCTTCATCTCATCTATTAAGCAGGTTATTATCCATCATTATCTTCATATTTTTCATTAATCGATTTTTATTACCTTCTTCCTCTCTCTCTCTCTCTTTCTATACGGTTAAATCATGTCCATATGATTATCATCATAAACATTACATGATTACCACTATTATTAATGTTTCTTTCTCTCTTCCCTTAAAATATAAAGGGTGTAACTCTTAAGAAAGTTTCAGGTATAAAATGAATGCAAAATATCCATCTGAATGAAAGAATCAATAGAAAAATAAGATCAACAATTACAATAAAATCTTCCACGAGTAAGAAAATAAATAAGTTATTAATATGATCCAATGTCCAGGGAAAATGTCACACCCTTTCTATCATATTCACTTCTCAGCAATCAAAAATTGTTTACATCATCTTTCCAAAATGTATTAATATCAATGATGTTCATTAATTTTCTTTATTTTCTTTCCTTTTTCAGTGATGAAGATGAATCTGCAGAACAAGAAGGACTTTACTATCTTCCCATTTCTCTTGAATTCGATGAAGTAGAAAACGTAGATTCATCTTTCAATCATTTTGGACCAGATGCTTCAGAATCGCCGATTCCAACTAAATCACCTCGCAAAGCAAAAGTTGTTGATATTGATCTGAAAGACAATTCTAAAGACGGTACATTTATAATTCTCATATTTATATAAATATAATTATCTTCCCTTCAATTTGCTGACATCTTCTATTCCCATTCATTCGTATCTCTTTTTCTTTCTCTCTCTCTCTCGCTTCCTTTTTATCTTTTTTCCTATTATAAACCATGTCTGTTTTTCCTTCAATCTCCTCATTTTATCCTCATGGTCCTTTTCAAAATAACGTTTCTTGGCTCGTCTTCCATGTTTACTTGTAATGTTCTTAACCTTTCTTTAGACTTATCTCTCTCTCTCCCTCTAGTCTGCCTCTTGTCTCTTTCTCTAACTTTCATAACTTAACATCACCATTAACTTAGCCAAATCATTTTCTTGTTTTGTTTCGCCTTGCCCTCAGTCTTATCCTGAACTTGAACTTATATAACTTGACTTTTTCTCATCTATCTTTTTTTTCTCTTTTTCTTTTCTCCCTCTTTTCTCATATTTAGGTGGCTCAAAGCTTGGGAATAGATCCATCGGAGGTGAAGGAAGGTTCAAGAATAGAAACTCTAGGCTTTCTACCAAACGTAATATATCGGGTGTTGGTGAAGGGGGAAGTAGTAATGTTAAAAAGCGAAAAAAGTTAAGCCATTATGACCCAACATATGCAGTAGATTGAAAGTCATTCATTTTGTGTCTTTGTCACTTTCTTTATTCATCTTATTCTCCCTCTATCTCTTTCATTTTTCCACACACACACACACAATACGAATAACTATTTGCATCGCCTTCTTGAAAATTCTATCACTATCAAGCTTTATCATCCACTCACTCAACAACTTGAACAAGTATATGGAGAAAACAAAATCAACTTAAAAGACCCTTACAAATAATATACAAAAACAATCATTATGTACAACTTCATCAGAGATTCTCATGATATAACATCAACATTTAACGTACATTGCCAATATACAAATATATTTATAAATATAATTTTTCCAATCAACAGAAAAAAACAACAACATTGTCTCCACTAATGTCAACGAATGGACGATTGAATGAGAGTTAAAATCAATAAGGGAGATAAGAAGATAAATTATTGTCATTATCAAGCGATTTATCAAAATTCATATTTAAAAATGAAGATCATCAACTAATCCAGTCAACAGTTGAGAATCAACTGAATCAAGATTATGAGACAAAATAATCAACAAAATCAAGGTGATGATGTAAATCAATTAACCAATCATCTTATTTACATTCAACCTGAAATCGTTGATAATATTACCTTTTCTTGTTATTATTCATTTTGATCACGAAAAGAACAAGAAATATTTTCTTGATTATATAACAATCATAATAATTGGAAAGAGCAAGAAAGAAACGACAAAACGTCAAGACTTACCTACAATTCAACAAAAGCAAAGGTAATTCTCAAAGGAGAATAAGAAGAGAGAGAGAGAGAGAGGAGGTGGGGAGAAGGAGAAGGAGAAGGAGAAGGAGAAGGAGAAGAGAAGGTGATGATGATGATGATAAAATGCTGAAGGAGAACAGAAGAAAAGAGATAAAGAAAAGAGAAATGAAAATGGGTGCATAACCTCATGTAGTTCAAGTTATTAATTCAAATCAGATAAATATACATTCTCACAAATGTTAATAATCAAGGAGCAACATGATGAAAAGGAAGAGAGAGAGAGAGAGAGAGAGAGAGAGAGAGAGAAAGGCGTTGATGGTTGTAATCAATTAAGTAAATTGTGGATGAAAATGACAACATTCGGAAAGAAACAAATACATGGAAGGAGAAACAAAGAAAAAGAAACGTTTGGGATATTCAGTATTCTGATTGATTTTTCAATGATTAAGCATTTAACGAGATTTATCGGTAACAGTTAAGTCGATTCATTGGGAGATTGAATGAGAACCATGAGGAGAAATTTCAGTTAACTCAATTCAAATAACTGGAAGATTAAATTCTAATCGATGATTGGAAACCGTTGGATTATTTTGATTAACGTTGATGAGAAATTAAGATAAGTGATTAACTCAACTGTCAAACAAGAGAAACAGGAGAGACACTTGATGTTCCAGTGGAAAGGGTAAAAGGGCAATGGAAAAAAGAGAAAAAGAGAAAAAGAAACAATTTTTTCTTTTTGGAGAACATTTTTATTCTACCGATTGATGATCTTGACGATACCATTTCGAGACAACTGATTGTTTTTCTAATTGTGTTCGGTCAATTGAAAATTATCATTTTCATTTAGATGATTGTGATTGCGCAGGGAATCGACCAATCGATTAAATAAAGGTGGGTCTACATTTAGATTTTATTACGTACCATTATCATTTTATTTACTTATTTGGAGAATACAAATCATTTTCATTTTTAAAACCAAATGGCCCAACCAATTTTTTCAATGTTTTTTTTTACTGGTATGTTATGTAGTGTGTGTGGTGGTGGTGGTGGTGTGTGGGGGGAATGGCTCGTTTTTTTAATGGTGTTCAGAGATCTTATTTTGTTTCTGTTTTATTTTTTTTAGATGTTAAATTTTGGGATGAAGGTGAATTTTTTTTTTCTTAGTACAACGTTGTTTTTGGTTGGTTGTTGTTGCAGTAGCAATAAAATTTTTTTTAGATTGTTAGTTAGATTGTAGATTTTAAAATTCTTCGCCTCCCTCATCATCACCAGCCTCATTTGAATCGAGACCCACTTCTTCGTAATCCTTTTCGAGAGCTGCAAGATCTTCTCGAGCTTCAGAGAATTCGCCCTCCTCCATACCTTCACCAACGTACCAATGAACGAAGGCTCTCTTGGCGTACATTAAGTCAAACTTGTGATCAAGTCGAGCCCAAGCCTCAGCAATAGCTGTAGTATTGGATAGCATACAGACTGCTCGTTGAACTTTAGCTAGATCACCACCAGGAACAACAGTTGGAGGTTGATAGTTGATTCCAACCTAAAAAAATTGAAATTAAAAGATTAATTCAAATTAAGGGCAACTAACAATTGAAAAAAAATGTGCTTCAAAAGGTAAGAAAAATTGAAAAAAGAACCAAAGAAAAAAGAAAATCAGACCCACCTTAAAACCTGTTGGGCACCAGTCAACGAATTGAATACTCCTCTTTGTCTTAATAGCAGCGATGGCAGCATTAACATCTTTGGGAACAACGTCTCCTCGGTAAAGAAGACAACAAGCCATATATTTACCATGTCGAGGGTCACATTTAACCATTTGATTAGCTGGTTCGAAGCAAGCATTTGTGATTTCAGAAACAGTCAATTGCTCATGGTAAGCTTTTTCAGCAGAGATAACAGGAGCATAAGTAACTAAGGGGAAATGGATTCGGGGATAGGGGACAAGATTAGTTTGAAATTCAGTCAGATCAACATTTAATGCACCATCAAATCGGAGGGATGCGGTGATGGATGAAACAATTTGGCCAATAAGGCGATTGAGATTAGTGTAAGTTGGCCGTTCAATGTCAAGATTTCGCCGGCAAATATCATAAATAGCCTCGTTATCTACCATGAAAGCACAATCAGAGTGCTCAAGGGTTGTATGAGTTGTTAAAATACTGTTGTAAGGTTCAACAACAGCAGTAGACACTTGAGGGGCGGGGTAAATGGCGAATTCCAATTTTGATTTTTTTCCATAATCAACGGATAATCTTTCCATAAGAAGTGAAGTGAAACCAGAACCAGTACCACCTCCAAAACTGTGGAAAATCAAGAAACCTTGAAGACCGGTACACTGGTCGGAAAGTTTCCTAATTCGGTCAAGCACCAAATCAACAATTTCTTTACCAATAGTATAATGACCACGAGCATAGTTGTTGGCAGCATCTTCTTTACCAGTAATCAATTGTTCCGGGTGGAATAATTGCCGGTAAGTACCAGTTCTAACCTCATCAACAACAGTTGGCTCTAAGTCCACGTATACAGCACGGGGTACATGTTTACCAGATCCAGTTTCGGAGAAGAAGGTGTTGAATGAATCATCACCACCACCGATGGTTTTGTCACTCGGCATTTGACCATCAGGTTGAATACCATGTTCCAAACAATATAATTCCCAACAAGCGTTGCCCATTTGGACACCAGCTTGGCCAACATGGATTGAGATACATTCACGCATTTTTTTTTAGTTGATTAGATGAACAAAGAAATATAACAATGTCAACGAAATTTAGAAAGATGAATGAAAAAAAATTCAACTGATTTAATATGACAGACAAGAGAGAAAAAAGAATTAATAAAAAACAAAGAGAGAAAGAGAGAAAGATAACGACAGAAAGTAAATGTTAAAGTGATGATGAACAAACGGAAAGCAAAAAACGAAAAAAAGACGTTGGGATGAATACTTTGTTCAACTCAGTAACTTATTAAATGGATGACATGTAGGGTGTGGTTGAAAGCAAGATGGTATCAAGTTTATATATTATTATGTGAAAAGAGTGAGAGATGAAAGAAAGAGAGAAAGAGACGAAGACAGAGGACGAAAGAGGAAGAGGGAAAAAAAGAAGTGAGTTAACAAATAGACAGAGAGAAAGAGAGAGAACAAAAATTGGAAGATAAATCGTGAGAGAGAAAGAGGGAGATGAAAAAAGAGAAAAAGAGAAAGAGGATCGGCAACGAGAAAAGAGGGAAAAGAAAGGGAAGAAAGAGAAAAAAGAAAGAGGAAGAAAAAAAATCCTTTAGTTGCTTAGAATGTTCAACCAATCAGAGAAGAACTTCAACTAACCAATGAAAAGTAATTTAGAAAAGGGGATCCAAGGGGTTATGAGTCATTCCATTTGTGAGAAACTTTGACTTTTGGCGCTTTTTTTGATTAACGATTTTCTCTTTCGGCGGTCAATTCAATTGGCTCCATTTTCTCAAATGGAGTAGCTTTTCCCACCCACAGATGGAGCTACTTTCGAATTCCTCTTACATTTCTCTTAACCAGAATTAACTAGTGAGGATCAAGATACTCTGATGGACTTTTTTTTTATCAGATCTCTCAACTTCTCGGTTAACATTTAATTGATTTTCTCTTTTTTTGATTAATTATAAATTAGTAAATTATTTGATTACTTAATTAATTGATTGGAGTGTTTAGTTTATAAGAATCATTTGTATTCAATTATAATTGTGTTTGGACGGTTTGTTGTTTGGTTTTCGTAATTTCTCTTTGTGTGTTTCTCCCAATTCATTTATCGGGTAGAATTTTTTTTTCTTTTTCTATGGATCCAAATGTTACCGAAGTCGATTAACTTGTAACTGTTTCACATGTTATCGGATTTGAATTTTGTTTTTTTTTCCTTTCTCTCTCTCTCTCTTTCTATGATTTGGAATTAATGTTTAATTTAATTTAAATTAATTCTTAAACTTTATCCCATGTTTTGTATTCATCTCTATTAACCTGTTAATTGGATTCACTAGTTATCATTTGATTATTACCTTAATCGCCTGTCACCCTGTTCACTGTTTCTTTCTTTCAAAATGCCTTTATACTTGAAAGAGCTTTGTGATTCTGTAATCGATTCACTTGAATCTCCTCAAGAGGGTTTTGAAATAAAAATAAGAGAAGTTTTCTGGTGAGTTACTTTATTAATCTAAATTGTTTTCATTTGAAACTGTTTGACTTAGTAAATCAGAAAGCAGTTAATTCAATTTTTACTTGGTTGATTACGTTCTGACCCTTTTATCACAGTACCATGGTTACCATTTGATTACCGGTTTTTATTTTTCTAATGTCTATCTGGTTGAACACTCAATTATCCTTATTAATTATAACTATCATTCATGTTCTGTTTGTAATTTGAATATTTTCATCTTTTCTTCTCTTCTTATTTAGTAAAATGGATGAAGCTTATAAATCAACTGGCCTAAATGACATTAAAAGAGCAGAAAAATTAAGCTATGAATGTCGGCATATACTTGTTGTATTACGTCTTTTCCCCATCGAGCTGCAACTCGCTATGAGTAATTTATACAAAAAAACATTATGGGGGTTCCTTAGCATTTACCTTGACTTTAAAATGATGCTGATTGATGAGCAACCCAACAAAGAGGTTTACTTTGACAAAGTGTTGAAGGAGATTTTTCTCCTATTAGGTGATGATGAAAAAACTAACATTTGGGGTGTTGTGGTCACTTCTCATACCCTCAATAGAATTGAAATTTTGAAATTACTCGCCCGTCAATGTATTGATGCCACCAAGACAAACAGATACGAACACGAACAATATATCAGAATGATCTGGGTGCTTCATGTTTTCTTTTCTCAGTGTAAAAGAGCTGGATTAAAGACTGAAGCCGATAGAGTTCTGGAAACAGCTCTTAAACTTAAACAACCTACGGGTCTCTGTAAGTGGATGTGCCATCATTTTCCTGGTTTTGGTTGGAAAGGATTGACCGATATTAATGTTCATGAGACATTAGTCTCAGAAAAACAACCCAGATCATTTTTCAAACAAGTTTACCAATTTATCTCCAAGGAGGACACTCTCAAATATCAGTTAGATGATCTTGGTACCAATGGCACACGTGAGGAAGATTCTACATCTCAATGCTCAGAGTCTATTAGTAATGCTACTGGAAAGCGTAACAACTCTTCCTCTCAGAAAGAGTCTGAGGCAACATCAAAAAAAACTCGAACCGACGATGAAAGTAAATCTGATGGTAATGTTACAACTGAGGATAAATCCAAGAAAACTCGAGAAAACGAAAAATCCAATCAAGAGTCAGAGGGAAAAAGCTCTCAAGATAAAATTGTCAATGATTCAAGTAAGAAACCTGATTCTAGTTCAAAACCAGCTAAAACTCTGGGTCCTGGCAGAGTCAAACCAATCACCACAAGTGCCTTCTTAGATGACGATGACACAGTTGACTCAAATATGGGTGAAGATGATAATACAGATAACGATAGTGATGAAAGTAAGCAAGCAGATAAAGAGAATAAAAAAAAGTCGGATGTACAATCAGAAGAGGACGTTTCAAGTGTAAAGAAAGACAAGACAGGTAAAAAGAAAAATAAACGAGTCGTTAATTCAAGTGATGATGAATCCATGGGCTCTAAAAATGGAGCCATTTCTGGGGTAACAAAGCGAGTTAAGAAAAATCCAGTCACAGAGAAAAGTACCAAAACTCCCAGTGATTCAGAGACTGATGTCGATGAGGTCAAAAAAGAAACTAAATTAAGAGTTTCCAAATCATTGAAAAGAAAAGTTGATGCAGATTCCGATGATTCTGACCATACGATAGCTGAAAGCGATATAACTGTCGATAATAATGGTGATAATGTTGACGACGAACTTACTGATCGTCGACCTGGAAGGAAAACTAATTTAAGATCTCAACCAGTGAAAAAACCTCAATCAAAGAAACTTAAAGCTGATTCTGGTGATACAAATGTCACCACATTAATACAAATGGTAGATGATGAAGATAAACAACAACAAAGTGAACCCGAAGTGTTGAAAAAACTGCCAAATGCAGATGAGGAAGAACTTGAAAGGATTGTAGAGGAGTACATGAATGGACCTTTTCGTTGTATTTTTGAAGATTTCGAAAATGAAAAATTATATATCGGAACAGAGCCTTTCATCAATCTATCTCCCGTTCCATCAATAGCCGTCGATACCCCGAAAGAGTCAACACTCGCTGACGTGTTACACAACAATAAACAAAAAGCCAAAGCGCAAAAAGCAGGAAAAAACTTTGCTAGAAGGAGAAAAATATGCAGATAAACATTGAATCATTTTCTTGCCATTTGCACGAGAAAAAGGTTGCGAATTAATATTGGTGTAAATTATGATCGAATTTTCTTCCATAATTTGTGACAAAATTGTTTCTCTGATGTTGCTCGTCCAAAGTCAGTATTCACCGTCACAGATCATCTCCCTCAGATTGAACCTCATCTCATCCATGTACAATCATCTTCAACAATTAGCATGACCGTGAAACAAACCAATTCAAATTTCATCAAAAAATCATTCCCTTTCTTCCTGAAGCCATTTTTTCAATCATCACCACCGAACAAATGGAAAACAAAAATAACTACAAGCTTACAATTTGTGTGAACAAGTAATAGTGTTTTTGAGCTTTTGCAAACCTTATCGAATCATGTAAATCGAAAGTGACCTCTAATTACCTCACATGTTCTCTTCTTTTTTTTTGTAACTCGAATGGACGTTGACTCAACTGTCTCTTTTAATATTTTATTCCTTTTCACTCCCAATCTGTTTCTCTTTAACTCGACAGTTTAACCTTATCTTTATTTTCATTATCCTTTTGCAATAAAGTTCAATTAACTAAGCATTTACCTAAATTCTATTTCCTATTTCACTTTTGTCCCTCATTGATGTTTAAAATTCTGTAATCAACACTTTTGGTGGAAGTTACAATTATGTTCATAATTAAATCGAAACTTTTTTTTCACTTTTAAGAAGAGTTTAAGAACCGAAATGAATTTGAAAAAGGAGATGATTAGTTTTGGAATTGAAATTTATTCAGATTGATAACATTTCAGAAAAAATGAAAAATTTGATTTTATCAATTTAATACAATACTAGAATTTAAAGCTTCGGTGGTTTGAGATCATTATAACAATTTGGAATCAGATTTGATTGAAACAATTTATTTGGTTTCCATTTTCTCAGTTTGAGAGTTTGATTGTTGTTTTTGTTGATTGTTGTCTTTTCCTTCAATTGGTTGATAGACTTGATTAGTAAGAGAAATTGGAATATTTTTCTCTCCAGCAACAGCATTGACCACCTTCTTTGGAGCTTTGATTGATAGAACTCCATCGACACTTAATTTCGATTCCAATTTCTCCAATTCGATATTCTCAGGAAGAACATATCGTCGCTTAAATTGTCTCGAAATGAAGCCAGTTTCATCTGATCTTTCTTCGTGTTTCGCTTCAACCACCAAACTATTGTCGACCAATTTCACGTTGATTTCTTCTGGTTTATAGTGACCACAATCGACATTCACTTGGAAATTGTCCTTTGAATCGACAATTTGTCCCATTTGTTGATTGAAATTGTCTGATAGTTGATTGAGTTGACGAAGAGCTCGATTCATTTGGTTCCATGATCTTCGAGGATAATCAACAATTGGTTCTCGATAAGCGATGAAAGGGACGAAATCATCGAGAGGATCTCGAAGCATCGATTCAACAAGTCGAGGAACAAGAGACATTTTGATCAATTCACAAATTAGAAGAAAATTAAATTCACAAAGAAAAAGAAAATTTGATTAATTATCATAAAAAAGAGTTTAAGGAATTGAAAGAATTGAGAGAGTTTAAAGAGTTGAGAGAGTTGAGAGAGTTTGAAGTTTGACTTTTGTTTTGATTCTTCTACTGATCTCCAATTGTGTCTCCATCTCTTTTTATACTCAAACTTCACTTTTACTACAAAAATCTAGAAGTTTCCATAACATTCATTCATTTACCAGGTTCTTCTCGGTTTTTCTTTCGCATGCGCACTATAAATCTCAATCAATTCTTGTTAATTGTTTGATCTAAAAGTTAATTAGATATTAAATATCTGAATTAGAACATTAATTCATCAAAAAAAATCGTGAATAAAAAAATCAAAAGAATTATTTTGAGATGAATTATTATTTTATTGATAATATTTAGAAAAAATGATAATTTGAATAGTAATTTGGACTTTGGAAAAGTTTATTTAACTTTAATGAGATGAAGATGAGAATCGGACTAGAAACCAAATGATTAGAATTAATTTTCCGATTCATTTTCTTCTGGATCGATGGATCTTTGTTTAACTGCGTTCGAATTGTAACCATAATCTTTGACCTTTTCCTTGTAGTTCGATTCGTACACCAAATTCGAGGGATTTTTCGAGTAAACTTGATGTTCTGGTTCCTTCGTCTTCTTGATTTTCTTCACTTTCTTCATCATTTTCTCTTTTTTCTCTTTTTTCATTTGCTTCAATTTCTTGATTTTATTCATGATTTCGACTTTTTTGTTCTTCAATTTTCTCTTCAGTCCGAGTTTCTTTAAGAGTTTCGCCAGTCGACAAGGTTTCACTTTCTTCGTTGGTTTCGCTGCACTTGGATAACCGATTGGTCGAGGAGGTAAAACAGTCGATGCATATGAAGGAGGCAATGGAGTCGTTGTAGTGGTGGTTTTCTTGTAGACGGTGGGCTTAACTGCGACCTTTTTGGTGGGCTTGTAGATCGGATTAGCATAGGGATGGAAATCGATGTCACTGTTGCGAGAATCAAATTCATCGTCGTCAAAATGATCTTCAAGATCATTTGCTGAAGACACTGAAGTGAAAATGGTAAAGATGATTGAGAAAATCAAGAGGAAGGAGAAATTCATTTTCATGGTTCACAATTGAACGAATTCGGTGAAGACTAAGAACTAATTAGAAACGAAAGAATCAGTAGTTGACAAGATGAAGGAGAAAACTAGACTGACCATTGGCCATTTTTCTGTTTTATTTTATACCGAAAACTAAATAGTTTATCTGCCAACTCGATATTCGTTCAATCGATTAGCCTTTTACCTTTTGGGCATTTTGAGGGATTTACTTTGGCCGATTAATTTATTCTCGAGGGCTAATTCTCAATTAGGATAAATTCAATTGTTTAGTTATAATTGTAATTAAATAGAAATTTATTTATCATTAAAAAGTAAAAATATCGTTAAAATTTATTGAAAGAGTAAGATGGTGATAAGAGACAGTTGAATGTCAACAGAATGGCCAATTTACGGAAAGAAGCTAAATTAAACTTTCGGAAATTTGGTGATTTTATTAGTCTTTTAATCATTTCAATGAAAATATGAATTAAATTATCAAAATTATTTACAAGAACAAGTTTTATTACACCGATGGATCGGAGTCCAATTTCCAAGAGAAGCGGAAGCGTAAAAGTCCATAGGGTAGCCACTTTTTTCCTCTTCTCTCAGAACATCCAATTGATTTTTAATAATCGAATCCATAGTTAAATTAAATTCGTAAGGATTCAACAGCGGTCTCTCTTTAAATTCATCTCCCCAGTCGATGCTCAGCCTTGGACATGATGTTTGCACCCAAATGTCAACCGAAGTCCCAAGTTCCTTCAATAGAGTTGGTTTAATTTCGGGTATAAGTAGATTAACATGATTACAATTCGGAGCAATTTTCTTTAATCTATTGATCATATTTTCCATAACTTTTGGACTTCCCTGTCTTCCTAAGGTTCCGAGGATGAAGCCGAATGTACCACCTCGTTTAGCAACTTCGATTGCTTTAGTTATGCTCTTTCTCCGTTGGTCAATCATTTCAATGTAATCATAATTCTCGATTGTCAATGATTTATCATATGGATTGTATTTGTAGTACTTTTCTATCCATGGATTAGCAATCATAACCGCTTCCAAATGAAATCTTCCATCGGCAACAAATATTACTAATGATATGTCGCGATCGAGATTCGGAGCAGTACAACCGAGAATCTCCCCTCGAGATAGTGGCCTTATTTGGGGAACGACCAAATTGTAGCCTTCTTGGTGATTCAATTCGTCAACAGCTTTTTGCACAGTGTCGATGAACTGAATCGTTCCAAATATCGCAATCTTTTGGCTCTTTTGATCATCGAAATTAAGTTTTATCATCTCGACAAAGTTCCAGTAATCAAACTGTATCTCTACAACAACGTATAGCACTTTGATTCCAGCGACAATGTTATTAAAAGGAATTAAACATGAGTGACCAAAGTGAATTAAAAGAGAGCAATTCGCCAAAGATGAGAGATAATCTTCAATACAACAAGCTCCATATGTAACATCACCGATAATGAAGACCGTTGATTCAGTAAATTGCTCAATAATTGTTGAAATCGCCGTGGAAAAGATGAAAAGTCCTTCAGGAAATTGAAGGGCAACACGAGTTGATCCTGATTCTCGGATTTTCCAAATAATTCGCGGAATGTCAAAGTTGTAATTATCAGGTAAATTCGCTTTAATTTGATAATTCAACGCTGGATCATTAACAATTTCATCTGGAACAGAAGATGAACAAGATGATCCATTTTTCCGAGAGATAATCTTCCTTTCCCCAACTGGCTTAGCAGTAACAACAATAGATTCGTGATCCATTAGTTTGATGAATATTTCCACTTGATTCTTGACTTCACGATATTTTCATCCATAGACTAGACCAAAAATAGACCCAAATTGTTTTCCTATTATCCCAACAATCTAAATGAAATACAATCAACAAGAGTAAGAGAGAAAAACATATCAATAGAAAACTGGTAAAAGTAATTGGTGAATTTCGTTCATTTCACCAAACATGAAAAGAGTCACGAAGATGCTAAATTTACCTGATAAAGAGCAATAATCAACAATAAACACTTGAATCAACCACAATTAAGGAAAAACAAATCAAAAGAAGAGACAAAAACAAAAACAATAACAACAACAACGTTGAAGACACATGATTATCACCAATGCAACAAAAACGAGGGAAAATCAACTATGGTGGTTGACAGAATTTCTCGTAAACCTCCACCATGATTGATAGAATTGTTCTCTTGGTTTGATTGTTGATCGAATTGATTGTTTGTGTTATTAGAATCAATTTAAGATAATTTTGAACAAAATCGGATGAGAACTAAAAAAGTTTCATCAGATTGAATTTAACATGTGAATCTTTGGACAATGACGGGATTTGGCCTGGTACTCAGAGACAGTTCAGATCAGTGTCATGGAGATTCAAGGACTCATGGTCCTTTTAGATTATTTGAATTGGGAATTTACATGGAAGATAATGATCTTTGTGGAAATTTCGGTCAACCACCTGAACCGAATGAAACTCATTCATTTAATTTCCGATTCTAATCAGCAATTTGAATTAAATCGTTCAAATTGCATTTGATTCCGTTTCTTATGTTCAGTTAAATGAATTGAAAAAACTAAGAACCGGTGGTTGTAATTAAATCGCGATTAATTTAATCTTGATTAGATATTCAGGTTACTATATTTTCTGTCTGTCAAACTTTCTCATCTCATTGCCGTCATTAAAATCATTAACTAGTTATTCTGATTCTTAATTATTATCTCGTAATTAATCAAAGTCTTACTCACAAATTTACGAAAATTTCTCAGTTCAATCATTACAATAATTAATCTTGAAGTTAAATTGCACTCGAATCACGCTGATTATTTACATAATTTTTCAATTGTGAATGAATTTGTAGAAATTAATGATTTAGACGATTTTTTAATTGTTGAATTAATGAAAAATTAATGAATAAATAAACTAATTCAGTCTATTAATTATCAATGAAAATAATTTTACTTTAATTTTTATGATAAAAATAAACATCAAGGTTAATATACATTTAACTTGATGAACAAATTGATTGTTATCGTGTGAACTTGATTTAGAGAAATTTGATTAATTGATAAGAAATTACAAGGATTTTGATTTAATTGTTGTCTATGCTAATGGTGAATTAACAATTTAAATTGAGATTTAATTGTTTTCGCATCATGACTATTGAATTTATAAAATGAATCGGACGATCATCAAGATAATTACGACGTATCCGAGATTGTGTGCTAATCCCCACAGAACCACCGGGTCGTTCCAAGGGTGTCCATGTGACAGCACTCGAATCAAGGAATCATAATTCACCGTTAAGGGAATCCACTTGGTGAAGGGCTTGAAGAAGTAGGGAAGTGCATGGAAAGGCCAAACAATTCCCGTTGACGCGAGGCCACAGAAAACATAAGTAGAAGAGAGGACGAAAACAAAGAAAGCGTCAATAGGAGCTGATGCAATTAGGAAAGCGCTCACGATCGCTGTTGAACAGTTCGAGATGTAGATTAACCAAACGATAATTAGTGATCCTTTTTGTTGTAAACCAAGAAAGTAAACGGAAATAAGTAAAACTGGCCAACTGTTGACCAATGGTACGACCAAAGAGGTAATAAAATGACCGATAACAAATTGGCCTTTTGTTGCTCCTGATGATAAATTACGATCAAAAAATGGTTCATTTCGATCTCGATAAAAGGTGAATGTTGAAAGGAAAATCGTAACTGTAAATGACCAGAACACGACGAACTTTGGTATCCAGTGATTACGAGAATTGTAAAGATCATTGAGTGAGTCGGTTTTCGCAATCGGATCGACGATAATTGCATAAGGTGATCCAAGAATTGGATTAATTCCTGAAGAACTCATGATTTCTGGTAACGATTCATCTAAAGCTGATTCCAAGATAAAGGTAATCGTATTCAAAACAACTAATTTGATCGCATCTCCATTAAAAACCATCGCAGGCTTTGAAGCAATCAGTTTATTGTCGTTAAAAGTGTATTTGGAAATTAATTCCGGTGTAAATTGACTAGAAATCGTTAGGTAACCAGATAATTTATCATTTAGTGTATCATGATGAGCCAATTCACTAGAATTGTAAGAGACAAGATGAAGTATTTGTTGATTGATTTTATTCAGAAAAATTTTGCTACCATTATTTTCCTGTTCGTTGTTGACCACTCCAATGGACACAATCGGAGTACGACCATTACAAAGTATAGTCAAACCGATAAGGAAAATGGTGACAATTGTTGATCCTAAGAATAGACCTTTAATTTTATTCTGACGAAGGCACAATCTATGGGTCATCGCGTAGGTTAATTGTAGATAAACAATCAATGGTATTACGAAACTTTGTCGAAACCAATCAAATGAGAAATGAGATGAATTTGCTTGATTAGTTGATAATTTTCGAGACTTTGATCGGTCATTTGTTTCGATAAATTTGGTTGAGTGTTTTTAACGACATTGATAAGGTTTAACTCGTCGTGTTGAATAGATGGACGATTTTTCTTGTTTTTCTTGAACTGTTGGCACATCAGAGCGAAAGCAGCCTCGATTGAATTAACTGATAAACGATTGAGCACTTGGGCTGGTGATCCTGATTCGAGTAATTGACCTTTTCTCATGAATCCAATTATATCTGTTCTTCGAGCTTCTTCCAAGTAATGAGTCGTGATAATAACCGTTGATTGTCCAGTCGAAGTGATTGAATGTAACAATTTCCACATGGAACATATGACAACCGGATCACAACCAACTGTTGGTTCATCGAGAATAATTAACTTAGGTGAGTGTAGAATTGAACAAAGGAAGGACACTCGTCGCTTTTGACCACCACTCAGAGAACCGATCAGAGTATCTTTACTCGGAAGAGATAAACTTGATAGTAAATCGATGTCGTTCAACTTTCGATTGGTATGATTGTGATCGATAACTTTGTTGTTTTGTGATGAGGAATAAGTATTAAGTAAACGATTGAAGTAATTCAACATCTCACCGATGGTAAGATCATAATTAAGAGCAATGTCCTGAGGCATGTAACCCAAATCTCTACCTGGAATCATTAGGTCACGATGACCAAGTGGATGACCAAAAATTGTCGTTGATCCGGACTGGGTTTTAATTAGACCAATTAATGTTCGTAGGTAAGAGGTTTTACCACAACCTGATGGACCAATCAAGCAGAAAATACATCCCGACGGAATCGAAAGAGATAAATTGTTCAGAGCGATCACTTTCGACTTTCCTTTACTGTAGTTAAGGTAAAGATTGCGCGAGTCCACGGCGGTCACTTTTGAGTCCATTGGCAGAGACATTACAGTTTCTTCAACAAATAGTTAATTACAATTTGAAGAAACTTTGATTAGATTATTCTCACGATTTCATTTACATGTAAATGAAATTCGAATTCATCAAAGTTAATTACTCGAGTAGGTTGATTCGCTTTTATGTCTCTCCTTTTCTTTCGTTTCATTGAACAAACAACTTTTCAGATCATCTCACTTTCCATTCAAATTCTTACTCTCAATTTCTTTTGCTTCGGGGGATAAAAATTTCAACATAGGCAGTGATTAAGTCGTTTCTCTGTGCCCTTAATTCAACTTCGAAAAGTAAAGAAAAATCAACTTATCAATATCAGAACAAGAATCCTAATGAAAAGAGTGAATAACTGAGCTGCAAACATTTCGCAGCAATTAAAACTAATTGTGAAAACCTCATTATCTTAATGAAAAATAAGAGGCGAAAGTAATAAACCGGATAAATAATTTTCCATTGAAAAGTGGCAATAACTTTTTCTAATTTTTTAATAAAATCGACAATTAAACTCAATGTTCGGTGCTTGAACATACTAATCATTTGCTTATTCTCATTCGAAAATAAATTCTAATGACAATTAATATTCGGTGATTGTATTTCTAAGAAAGTACCAACTGTATTTCCATTCTAATCTGTTTTAATTGTCGAATCTTTAAAGGATATTTAGTTAATTGTAATGATCTTTAAGTTGATTTATCAATTGATACTAATTTTCTCTTGAGAATAATAGATTTCGAATTTGATTTAACCGCTTTTAGTTCGAATTTTGATAATGTGGTTTAGGGTTTATTCTGGTTAACTTGTTATTCTATTCTCTCTTTAGTAACCAGTCGAATTGAACAGTTCAACAAATGAGGGAAAAGCCAATAATTTACCTTAATTACTTGTGATCTTTTTCTGTGTTCCAATAAACGACCCACCAGATTGGCCTTGAGATAATTATCCTGCCTGTTCCATTAGAATTGATTGACCATTAGGAATTAAAGATAAACAGATTAGATTCCTAATTCTAATTCTATTCTAAACTAATAATAATTCTCTCTGATTGTCCATTCGTTCATCACCCTGTGTCTAACAAGTATCTTTGTCTTCATTATATTTTCCTCTGCTCTCTATGGTTTAGTCGCGTTTTTTGGGCGCTGGTTCATCGCCTTTGCCTTCATCGTTTCGTTTTTAATATTCTGGTGTTTTGTTTCTTTCTTTACCAAAGATTAACTCACCGATTGAACCAGCAAATCGAAGAGAATTCATCTAAATCGGATTAATAATTCTCTTCAATTTCTCTGTTTACATGTTACCATCTATTAATTTGTTCTCATTTTCCTCTTACTCTCTCCTTTCCTTTTCTATGTTTATTTTTCTCTCTCTACTCTCTGTGAATTTCCAATCAAACCTTAAATTGAACCTAATTAACTGATTGTTTTTCCTTCTTATTCAATTCTAAACCATTCGCATCATCAGAATCAATATTCATCATTCTCATTAATCATTCTGATTGAAGAAAATCAAATCTCACTACAAATTGCGGAAGAATCAACTTGTTTGTCTAATCTCTGTTTCCACCCAGAGTGTTGTAATTGCTTATGTGTGGAGTATCTCAAGTGCTCTTGGTGATTAATTCTTATTCTTGTTGTTGTTAATTGTTGGATTGTTTTCACTTGATTTAGAAGGTGATTTCTCTTGATGGCTAGCCCACTTGGTTCATTCTCTGGTTCCTCAAGCCATTCTCTTCGAAGCTCTCGAAAAGAGAGTAACACCGGTGAACCAAATTCCTCCTCCGATGTTCACCATTCCCACCATTCTCACAACTATGGACACTATCGAAGTCACTCTTCGTCCAGAGATAGTCGCTCTTTCGTTGGCACTGGTGGCATAGTCACTGGAAATCCTGCCTGGCTTCAAAGGAAGATCCACCTTCGTCCTGCTCTCCGTGGATGCCATTTAGTTACCGATGAAGTGCTTAAACAATTACCAGAATTGTCGAAATTTTTTGTAGGAATGTGTCACATTCACGTTCTTCATACATCAGCAAGTTTAGCTTTAAATGAGAATTGGGATCCTGATGTTAGAGAAGACATGGAAATGTTTTTATCTAGATTAGTGCCTGAGGTGAGTTTCAGTACAAGTGATTAACTGATTAACAGACAATCAATCATCTCATCTCATCACAATCAATGTATAAATGAATGAAACTAATTTCAGTCACCTCAGAAAATGCGATCAGCCAAAACTGTGACAAAATTTAACATTTGATTGTTGGTTATTCATGTTAATTGTTATTCTTGATTTTTCACTTAATTAATGTTAAAATTTCATTTCTTATCCAGAGTACTCCATTTCGCCATTCATGTGAAGGACCAGAAGATATGCCAGCTCATATCAAAGCTTGTTTCCTAGGAGCATCTCTAACGATCCCGGTCTCCGATGGTAAATTGACCTTAGGGCCTTGGCAGGGAATTTGGCTGTGTGAACATCGTAATCGAGCTGGATCAAGACAAATTGTCGTCACTCTCAATGGTTTCTTGAAAAACGATCCATCCTAAACAATAGTAACTTCACATTCAACATTGAACAATCAATTATGGAAAACTAATCAACAATTTAAACGGGATGGACTTTTGGTGATAAATATATAATATACCTAAATGTATATAAAAAATCAAATCAAGTCCTAGAGACTTAATCACAATCCACCTTATAATATGTTTCCATGAATCTACAACAATTTAACAGCGGCAAGAATTCATTGGAATCATAATAACCTCATCATCTTCGTCATCATCTATTAATACTAAAGCAAAGATCAAAGAGACATTGGCAATTTTTTTTGGACATATTTCGACAACAATTAAAACACTTAAGATATAAAAATATATATTCACACGTAAATTCAACAATTAAAACGATAATTAACAAAATGGAAAATCAAAAAGCTCAACAACAATCAGAGAGGAATCTATTTTCTCTTCGCAATCAACTTTACTGATCAAGAGCAATTTAAAACAAGGAGATACAATTTAGCTCTAATTGTGTCGTTATTTTAACTAAATCAAATATCGAGGTTTAATCAACAGCGAAATTTAAATGTACACCAACGTTGCACCTTCAAAAATGATGATCACCAATCTTAACCTTTGATGTTAATAATAATTCAGAATTGCTATTAGTTTAAATTGATTACGATTACCAATAGATCAGCTTAGTTATTGAGTTAATAGAATTAATTTTTAATCATATTAATTGTTTCCAATTTGGAAAAAGAAAACACTTTCCCTAAATAGTTACTCTCGGGCTTCTAATCAATTTTGAATTATTATTATCACTTGATTTTACTCATTTGCTTGAAAATAATGTCCGAACAGTGTGTTAATCATTAACAATTAACGAATGTAAACTAATCAACGAAGAAACCCAACAATTATATTTAATTGCAATTCTTGCCATCCAACTAATATGTTACGTCCCTTTGTCTCCTCTATTCTTATTAATCAACAAAAAGGAGAAATGTTAATTGTTCCAAGCTCATCTTTCTCTTAATAATTAATTAACAGTCCATTGTAACACCAATCAAAATATTATTACGATCAATTTATGACAATAATAAGATAAATAATCGAATGGAATCAAAGTTAAATTGTTTACAGATTAATCGGAAAGAAAAGTTTTCCATTACGAATTAAACCCGTTGATGAAAATGAAAAAATCGCAATTTAAAAAGTTGATACAATTTGTTTAGAATGAGAATTTACAATTAATTGTTATCACAATTAGAATCGTCAAGAAGATGAAACAATCTACAAATGATTAACTTGGAAACCCTCAAATCAGGAAAAAAGGTCGTTTAAAACTTAAGGTGAGAAAATTTTGTGACGAAATGAGAATTAATTGTTTATGATAATTTAATCAATCTTCCAATTGATTGATTGATTACAGAATGCAAACAACTACAATTAAAAGCAATTCTGAGAAAGAAGTGACATCTCTTGGCGATCAACTCAATTGGATTTTCTTTTCTTTTTTCTTATTTGATGTTTAATCTAATGAGTAACAACAACAACAAACATCATCATAATCACAATTAACAAATATGTCAAAAAGTCCATCAAATCATGTAACTGAATTGTTCGATCAATTTATTAATGGAACTACACTAAAATCTGTGTTAATTACTTTTCGTAGAATTTGCCTTCTATTGGGTATGTAATTGTTTCTATTTTTTCCCTCAATTTCTAATTAGCATTTTCGATCCCATCATGATAATTAAAGATCTCGAGCTTAGTTAATGAGGATGGAACAGTGTAACTATTGCACTTTCGCACTTATAAGATAATATGATCATGTTTTGGTTATGAATGATAATGAATTTAGGTGAAGTTCTTGTGTAGCGATTATGATGATGAAGATAAAGGTGATTGTAAGGGATAAAGATTTGTGATTAAGAAGAAAAAAGAAAAGTACAATTAAATTATTATTCTTAACATAATTGTCTCTCTTTCTCTCTCCCTCTCACCCCAATCAGTTAATTTGCTTCTCGAAACATTAACCCAATTGACCGTGAGATGAATTCTCATGTATTATTGTTTACACTTTTGTAAACCGTTAAACTAATTGTTGCTTGTAACTTGTGTCATTTCAATTGTACCATTAATTAGACTAATTTCTGATTGTATTGTTGTTTCATTGACCATAAAAACACACAGATCTTTATACGATGAGACTGGAATCGATTTGGAAAATATCTGTTATTATAAAGACGATACCCATTATTTTGTGATGACCGCCAAGAAAAGTTCACTACTTCAACGAGGTGTATTGATTAACGATTATTCAGATACTCGAGCTCTTTTGGCCTCAACCAATATTGATCGAAGTCAGTTACTGGCCTACGCCCGAGATGCTGCCAAATGGACTACCGGTAATGGTTGATTACAATTAGAGATAACAAATGATTAGCACAACAACTAATCCATGAAATTTAATTGATCACAACAACAAAGAGAAAAAGCAATCAATCAGTTTTGTAAGATTTCATTTAAAAACAGAACAAAACTTGAAATGAATCAGGTCATTGTTTTAGTGTTGATTAGATGAATTGATCTGTTGATCTGTTGATTGGTTTATTATTACAATTTGAGAGTAAATTAAGCAATTTATTTATCCATCAAGTGTTTGTGCAATGATTTGGACAATCTTTTTTTTCCTGGTCAATTCTCAATGTTATTGGTAACAATCAATTCTGATGAAAATGTTAATTTGTCTCTTTTCAGGCTTGGATACTCCTAATTTTGCTCTTAATCATTATGGAGAAGCTGATGTAGCCATGTTTGATTTCACCTCAATGTACGCTGCCGATAATGCTTGTCGAGCTATGAGAATAGCCGATGAGGATCGGTGAGGATTAAAGCGTTAATTGTAATAACGATCTAAGGAACGACTGTAACGATTGTGAGTCGCTGATCCATAACCAGGGTGAATTGTGTATGGATTTGATTGAGCATAACGTTGCTGTTCAATAGATTGTAAGTGTTGTTGTTGATATGAAGGGTGAAGATGATGTTGATTATAATAAGAGGCTTGAGGTTGGTGAACATGAGATTCAATTTGTCCGGAATAAGGTGAACCATAAGTGTTATTATAAACCATTGAACCAGGTAAAGGTATTGACGGGAATGAGGCATTTCGTTGAAGATAAGGATTGGACGCTATTTGTAGCGATGTATCAGTGTACGGAATCCCACCGACCCTCGAGACACCGGGTAATGGTCGTCTCTCTATAACGGGATCTGGTACATGAGAGTAAAGGTTAAATAAAGCGTCAAGATCACTTTCTGATCGATGTTGTCGAGTTCGAGGATAAGCGCCCGCGATCATACCCTGTGACCTAAGGATAGATTGAGTAGGAACCGAAGGGGTCAACATTGACCCTTGACCATAAACACCGCCAGAATTAAGGTTATAAGGTGAGGAAAGGTTAGTTTGAATGTATCTTAAATCGTGATCGGAATGATAAAGGTTATCGTTATAGTGTTGTTGCTGCTGTTGTTGGTATTGACGAAGACGTTTACGTTCATCGGCAAAATATTTGAGGCCATTTTTTATTTGCTCACGAAGTGAAGACTCACCCGTATTCGATGTCGTTGTTGTTGCTCCATAAGGCTCTGGTGAACGATGAGATACAGTGATTCCTGGAAGAGCCGATGAACGATTTGTCAATGATGACGAGGAATTGTGAGTAACAGGAAGTGTCACATTGCGACGAGCAATCGTCGATGGTGATATTGGGTAATGACGATCCGAATGGGATGATGATTGTCTATGTGAACCTAATGACCAAGTGCCACTTCCACTTCCTATTGTATACTGAAGGTAAGGATCAGGTGAATATCGACTGGATGGATGAGTGTGGAGATTTACTGAACTTGGACGTCCATAACTCGAGGCCAATGTTGCTAAATGTTGTTGCTGTTGAATGTACCCGTAAGATTTGGTTGGTGTCCCTGGATAAGAAAGTGTGACTTGATCCATTGGAGCTGAAGATGAATATGAAACCACAGACGAGGGTCGATAAGCAGAGATGGATGATGGAGCCCTTGATGATGAAGATAAGGCTGAAGATGAATTGTTTGACAAGGCCAAATGCCTGTAATAGTATTGAGATGGTAATTCAGTTAATGATTTAGATAAAACTCTTAGAGCTAAATCTTTGTATAACCGTAGCTTAGCTACAGGAATCGTCGGTGAGAGCGGCTGCCGGTTCCAAGGCTTCGAGGGAAGCCAACGTCGATTTCGTTCACTGGTAACATAATTAGATCCATAATCACTCATCTATTACTAAACATCTACTAGAGAAACTAGAGCAAGAAGATAAAGAGAGTGTGAGAGAGAGAAAGAAAATGGAAGATAATCCAAAATCTATGGTGAGAGACCAAAAGAAAACAAAAAACAATAGAATCACAAATTGACCAAAACAAAAAAGATCCAAGGAAAGTAAAGAGTAAAAATAGAAAATTGAATTAATCTATTTCTCTAATGCGAATATTGAACAATCGAATTAACTTGATAAAAAAATAGTCAATTAAGAAGAACATGTAACAATTAATTCAATAGAAATAACAAGTTTAATTAATTTAGATTAAAATGTAAATGAACAACAATCAAAAGATGAAAGAATAACAATTAACTCGATGAATCTTTTTTTCGTAAACACAACGAACATGACGCAGTCGCTTTAAGAGAAATCGAATAATCGAATTTTTTTTTTCCTTTCTTTTCCTCTTTCGTTTCTCCTTGGATTTCACCTTTACTCCCAATGTACCTTTCGAACGCCATGTTGTTTATATTATCATATGTTCATCCATAATAATCCAGGTAAATCAAAGGTAAAGAGCATGAGAGTAATGACAAACTCATCAAGTTAATTTCGAGATCGATTCCTGATGAGATCAAGTAAAGATTGTTAATCGTAACGATTTAACAAACAGTCGAAAGATTAAATTGTAAATAACAATCAAATTGAGTTAGGAAATTAACAATACAATTATTGATTAAAAATCTTCTGTTGTAATTAAGATGTTCATTTACATAACTGATTAAAGAGATTCAATTGAACGAATTGAATATTTGTCGAAACTTTTTATTTATCAATATCATTCTGTGAATATTTTTTTAATTTAGTTTAATTTTTGTTAGTTGTTCCATAACAATCAACTTCTTAACCGGTTGATTGTTTAAATTGAATGAAATTGTATGGAATGGGTTAACTGAGAATGGGATTTTCAGCTTATTACATTGATCATGTGAAAAAAATTCCCATGTTGTCAAATATGAAAATAATACATGTATTGACGTATTGATCGTTAACTTAAATTGTTAAGTTTAGATTAATTGTCCATGAGATTTGTTGTCAAGTAAATTGAGAAAAATTTATCACTTAATCACGTTTAACACCAGTCCGATTGCATCTTGCAGCAATGGTTTCCTTTGTGACACTTTTACAGTCCCAAATGAGACCCAATTTGCGAGCTGAATCGAGGACCATTGTGGTCAAATTGAATGACCATCCCCATTCTGATGTTGAATAATCCCATGGGAATGTGTGGTGGTAATTGTGATGACCTTCACCCAAGGCTAGAGACGAGACGAAATAATTTTCAGCTGAAGCGATTGATGAATCATATGGACGATAGCCCCACATATGAGCCGCTGAATTAACAAGCCATGTGATATGAAGTTGCAAAATATAACGAGTCACAGCACAGAACCAATAAGATAACCAGAGACTTTCAGACCAAAATAAGTTTGGAATGAGCGTCGGAATGATAACACTAAATAGGAGGAAAAGTTTCATATAATGACGACGTTGGAAAACAATCAAAGGGTCAGCGGTTAAATCGGAAAGATCAATTTTCCGACCACAAATTGCGACCAATTGATGTTTTCGGCACATTAGCCAACCCATGTGAGAGAAAAAGAACCCACGATTTGAATTATGTGGATCAGCATCGGTTTCAGAGTATTTATGGTGAACACGATGATCTCGAGCCCAATCGTAAACCGAATTCTGTCCACAAGCGGTATTACAAATTAACAGGAACAATCGAAAAGGTAAACTGGCCTTATAAGAGCGATGAGCCCAAAGACGATGAGCTCCTCCGGTCACACCGAGTAGACAAAGTTCCCCAAAAATGGCCGCTAATGAACAAAAGAAAACCAATCAATAAGAATAGCAAGTTAATACATATTAACGATTAGAAAAGTTTTAAAGTTTGATCAATCAGAATCAAATCAAATCAAATCAATCCGATAGTTAAAGTGCTTCTAGTGCATCAAGTGTACTTGGGGCAATGATGAAATTTGACTCATAATTACTTAATAGTTTTAGGAATAGAATAATTAACGAAACGATCGACTTACTATAGATGATCGTGGCCCATGAGGCCTGTGTCCAAGCGAGGTAGAGGCCATAAAAAGCACCGATGTGTAAAACAAGATACCAAATAACATTAGTCCAAACAATTTGTTCCATTGGCTTCCAATCAGGATCATTATCGGTAATCTTAATCTTAATCTTGACCTTATCGTCCTCCACATAATCGAGAGGAACATCTTCTTCGCGAATCCGTGGTCCCATGATTAGAACAACAATTAGTTACAATTAACAAATGAAAGAGAAAAAAAATGAACTGAACTTTTTGAGAAAAAGAAAACACTATTAGTAAATTCAAAGAAGGTCAAAGAGAAGCAAATTATCGATAAATTGTTGGACACTCACGATTAGATTAAATTGTTTGTCATTAATTGTGATGTTAACTGATCAACAAGAAGAATGGAAATGATTTAATCAACATTGATGGCGATTTTTTTTGGAGGAAAGTCAAGAAAAGGAGGAGTTGAAAAGTTCGCATGTAATTTTATCATGGAAAAGATTGAGAGATAAGAATGAAAAAAATGACTAGAGAATCAACTAATTTGATTGAGATTAAAAAACTAATATGATCATCATTTGATGGCAGAATCATTGGATTACCTTGATTGTTTCAAATGATTAACACATGTACAATTAGTGATTAATTGAAATTGAAAAAAAAATCGGTTAATCCAATGTGATGGTTATGATGATTTTTAAGATCCAATATCAGCTCTCCTAGAGTTTATCCAATTGATTGATCATGTTAACAATTAGCCAGTTAATCAGTTAATCACGAGTTAAATAAGCATCGGAAGACATTATAATCTTTATTCAAACTTATTGATTGATTTTCATTGATTCTATCAAGATAATTGTTATTTTCAGTAAATATTATTTGTTAATCATTATTATCAATTGATTTAAAGCAATATTTAACTATTGGTATTAGAGTTGGAAATTAGTGATTATAAATCATCAGGTAACTAATTGAGTTCCTTTAATTTAATTCCTAGTTAATAGTAATAATAATCTTACATTACGTTTGTATCTTTATGTTAACATTTTCATTTGTTCAACTATGGATTACAATTTACTTAATTGTGATCAATTTAACCTTTTTTTTCAAGGATTTTTACCTGTTTCAAACATCTTATTAAATTGTTAATCGTCTCTATTGTTGATGTTACTCAAATTGGTTAATAGTAAATACTAATTTCTAGGATTATTTGATTTTACTTCCTCCAAGTTACTAATTTAATGTTACCAGAATGAGAAATTAATGATTAACTTTAATTCATATTTGTTATTACTAATAATTGTTTAGCTATTTGATGACATTAATCAGTTGATTGTCTTCTTACAATGAGAAAGAAATTTAAATTTTAATGGTTACAAAATTATCTCTGTCATAGTATCAATCTAATTGTTAATTTGATTTCTTTTTTTTTTGATGAAATTAAAATCATTTGCATGGTTGTATCAATATTCAACTAATTGTTACTGATTATTTATTACCTTCTAATGATATGTTTAAGAAAAATAAAGAAAGTGATAGAAAAGGATTGACTTGATTATTACATTAATTTCCTTGTTCAAAATAATCAACTTGGTAATTTACATTAATAACTTGATAGGTTAATTGTTTACCTCGATTTATTTGATTACTTGTTTTCAGTGAACATGTTTTTCACATTGTCATCAAACAATCAACTTTGTTTCAAGAAGATGATATAATCACAATGAAAAGAATACAACAACAATTACCTTTTATTACCTTTCGAAAAGTTTTTAATTGTTTTTCGTTAGTTAATCAAACAAAAACTACTGAAATTAAAGAGTAAAAAACAAGAGAGAGCTTTGGATAGATTAACGATTCGAATCCAATTTGTATCCTTATCCATTTCTACCTTAATCTTATCCCGTTTCTATATCTCACTAATTTATTAATAATAATTGAATCTCAATAATCGTCTCGTCTTGATAATTTAAGACAAATTCCAAGAGGTTTTCTTAAATGCCGCAGGCGATTAACTTTGTATAATCTATTGATCGAGTTACACTCCTTTTATTGCTCCTGATTGAACTTAATTAACTTTACCTGATAATTTTGGTTCATTTATTACAATTTATTATTTCGATCAATTTATGACAGTAATAATTAAGATAAATAATCGAGAGGAATTAGAATTGTATTAAGAAAAGTTCTCTATGTGAATATGTTTTTATTACACAAACTGCCTGATGAAAATCGAAATTTAGTAAGACTAATTGTCGATACAATCTATTCAGTAGGAGAATTTACAATTAGTTTTATCACAATTAGAATCGTCAAGAAGATGAAACAATCTACAAATGATTAACTTGGAAAACCTCAAATCAGACAAAAAGATCGTTTCAAACTTAAGGTGAGAAAATTTGGTGACGAAATGAGAATTAATTGTTTATGATAATTTAATCAATCTTCCAATTGATTGATTGATTAACACCTGATTGTTACAGAATGGAAACAAATACAATTAACAGCTAATAAATTATGATAAGAAGAGTCAAACAGGTGAAACGAAATTGGTAATTCGTTATTCTTGATCAATTATATTCATAATTATCCATCACAATCAAACAGAATTTATGATTAATTACATTTCGATGATCTAAATAATTAGTTTCTTGTCAACGAATCTTTTTAATCATCAAATGAATCTATTAAAAAGCTAATTAGATGACAAATTAATTGAGAAAACAATCATTTGTTTGTTAATTATACAATAGATGGCGACACTTTTCGTTAAATTTTCGATTTAATTTTTACAATTAACCTGTTAATTATTAACTTGTTAATTGTTTTCTATCTTTATCAACTAAAATAGATTCTTTTTGCCTTAAACTAAATTCTGTAATTCTATAATTTTTATTCATTTTATCAAAACCATTAGAAACTCTAGTAAATTAAGCCCACTCATTTCCTTAATCATTGAAACATTTTGATTATCTTGGTTTCTGGTTGTTGATTGTGGTGATAATCAACTTAAACTAATAGTGTAAGAAGGTTAATCAACCAGGAATTGATTAGAAATTAACTAACACCTTCATCCTTTAAGCTTTTCGTACCTTCAATTACTCAAACAATTAAGATTTTTCTTTCCAAGAAAAGATTATCAGTTTTGATCATAGTTTTTCCTAATCATCAAATTAATCTTAAAATTATCTAAAATAACAATTAAATCTTCACCATGTTTTGTTTATCTAAGGCTCCTTGGGCACCTTGATTGCTTTGATAATCGATTGATTTGTTATTGGTTAATTATTTTGCTTAGCAATTATGATTAGACAGTTTCAAGGATCAAAATCAACTATTTACAATTAAGTTTCATTTGCTGATTCATTGAATTAAATTATGACCAAAATCATTTTGATTACAATTAAATTAATTTCCCAAATAATAGTCTTTGGATTAACCAATGATTTCAACGTATTGAAAAAAACAATGGTAATCAATCAATTGATCATCAAAAAAAACAGAATCAAATCAAGATGATTTCAAGTTGATTAACCTTTTTGATTATTATTCACATAATTAAATTCATGTAATAGTTTACACTTTCACTGATTTTCATGATTGTAATACTATTTGTTGTAAACTGATTATCTAAATCAGTTAAACAATAGACAAATTAAGAAACGTGATCAAATTAATCAAATAAGACAAATTGTTAGCTGGTGTTACATAAAATATATTAATTATTAAATCAGTTAAAAAGACAATGGAATGATAGTTGATTTAAATAATATCAATGATTATCGAAAATGAATTTAATCAATTGGAACTGAATAAAAAGTAACTAAATTAACTTGTCGCTCCATTTTCAACAGATTAAGAATAATAAACGTGACTAACTAATTGTAATCAATTATTGTGAGATTTCAGACACTTAATAAGAAACAGACTAATTTAAATATCTACGTAAACGTGTTATAAATAATTATCTAGCTCAAGGTCATCTAAAGGTTTTCGTTGATGAGGCGAATTCCATGATCGAATTCAGAACATAATTTAGTTCTAATTTCTCGATATAAACGATATAATAATCGATGAAAATTTTCGATGATTGCGAATTCTCATAATAATAGTATTAGATTTTCTCGAAATCGAGTAATAACTTGAAGATTCTCTCTTGTAAAAATATTAGATTGTGAATAGATCAACGATAAAATACTCGGCAAGGAATCAAATTAACTCACACTTATCAGCTAATTAACTATCAAGTCTATTGAAATCAGAAGAAATTGATTCGGATCTGGATTGAATTAGCAGTTGTTTTCTCGCTTTGAAAGGGAAGATAAAATTAGAAAATAGTTACTAGAGACTCGGGAGAAGGCAAAAGATGAAAACTATCAGACAATTTATTCAAATACGAATCATAGATTGATATAAATGGTTTCAAGGAAATTTAATTCAATCAAATCGGAAGAAATTAAAAAGGTCAAACAAGGGCAATACTCTGTTAAGAGATGGCGACACTAAAATTCTGATAAATTCTATGAAAGAAGCGACATCTCTTGGCGATCAACTCAATTGGATTTTCTTTTTCTCTTTTGCTTATTTGATGTTTAATCTTCAATGAGTAACAACAACAACAAACATCATCACAATCACAATCAACAAATATGTCAAAAAGTCCATCAAATCATGTAACTGAATTGTTCGATCAATTTATTAATGGAACTACATTAAAATCTGTGTTAATTACTTTTCGTAGAATTTGCCTTCTATTGGGTATGTAACTGTTTCTATTTTTTTTTTCTAATTAGCATTTTCATTTTCATTCTCATTCTCAATATTCTAATTTTTGTTTTCTTTCTCACAATTTTTGTTCTATATAAACACCAATATCCATTTTGTAACATTGTGCTAATAATAACAAAAGATCTCGAGCCTGGACCTTTCAACCAGTTCTACCCCACCCTTAAGAAAGGAATAGTTTGTAACAAGAATTGGAAGTCACAGTCAATATTTTCTAAAATAGAAAAGAAAGCCTTCAATAAGATTTATCATTCATCAGGGTCAAGTAGTGGATCTTCTGGTATTGGGGGAAGAAATAGTGCTAATAGTCATCATCATCACCATCACCACCATCATTCCGGTTCACCTCATGGATCTAATAATGTTCTCAAAAATAATAATTGTCTGGTTATCGGTGGTGGACCTTGTGGTCTACGAACAGCAATTGAATTACAACTACTTGGTGCTCATCACGTAATTATAACAGAGAAACGAGATAGATTCTCACGTAATAATGTACTTCATTTATGGCCTTTTGTAATTGCTGATCTTAAGCAATTGGCTGGTAAAAAGTTTTACGGAAAATTTTGTGCAGGTAAGCAAAAGTACTACAACAAGGCTAATGATAGTGAAGAAATTGAAACAACAAAAAGATGATGAAGATGAAGATGAAGATTGAAAGATGAGTGTAGATGGATTTTAAAAGAAAGAAAGAAAACAAAATAAAACAAGGATGATGATGAGAGAGAAAAGGTTGTTCATCTATGTTTCTTTCTCTTTTTTTTTCATCTTCACCTTCAATATCTCTTACTTTTTCCTGTAATGATAATAAAGATGATCCTCTTCATCTTTATCTTCATATTTCTTACTCTCCGTTGCTTAATCAACTGTAGAGCACTAATCGTTTTGGCTTCTTATTTCAGGCTCCATCGATCATGTCAGCATAAGGCAACTTCAATTGATGCTATTGAAAGTAGCTCTCATCATTGGATGTGAATTTATCGAGAATGTGACCTTTGAAGAGATTTGTCCTCACAATATCCGATTATCTCGAGAGTCAATTAAAGAAACCAGTCCAGAATCAGAGATCGATGGATCTTGTGCAAGTAAAGAAAACAAACAATCCCACCAATCACCAACCAAACGAAAGCTTTATTCAACAACAGAGGAAATTGAATGTAACAAAAAAGGGACAAATTGTGATCCTGATAAAAAACCACCACCACCGCTACCAACAACAACAATCAATTGTGACAATCAAGAGAATCAAGATATTTCTAATATTGTCAACAATGATAGTGATAATAAAGTTATTGATTGTTCATCATCAAATGATTACCATGGTATTGGAAAAACAGAATCCCGTCGGCTTTCAATTTGTTCCTGTTGTTGTCATCTTCACCGTTCATCTTCCTTCACAGATGAGAGTGGGCGTCCTTTTTGGTCTCATCTTCCTAAAAATTATATTGGTGCTTATGCCCACTTTAGTCTTACCTCATCAACACCCAGCACCGCAACAACCTTGGTTAATTATGATCTTTTATTAGAAAAATTACACACTTATCCATTTGATATTCTAATCGGTGGTGACGGAAGACGAAATACACTCAATGATAATTTCCCTCGTAAAGAGTTCAGAGGGAAATTAGCGATCGCCATAACAGCCAATTTTATCAACAATCACACCCTGGCAGAAGCTCAGGTACCTGAAATATCTGGAATCTCTTTCATATACCACCAGGAAATGTTCAAGTTAGTCACTCACTCTTATCATTTCATCACAATAATTCAATTTTACCCCAAGTTGAATTTGTCTCTAACTCACTCACACATTAAAAACAACAACAACAAAGCTTATGTCATCCTTATTCTCTCTCTCTCTCTCTCATCTCAAAACCCACCTCCGGTTAAATAATGATGTTTTATCCTCATTTTAGCCTTTACTTATACATTTACTTTTCTCTCTCATATTATTACCTTTATTCATCTAAAATCTTTAAGGTTATTTTCTTTCATTCAGAATATTTTTTGTTTTTTTCTCTTCTTGTTTCCTCTGTTTACTTTTCAGGCCACTTACTTTTCGTTAATTTACCAGATATAACCAAAAGAAGCGTAGCCAAACTACTCTAGTACAGAGAAGTCACTCATCTAGTTCATTCTTTTCTCTTCACTCATTTCTCTTTCTTTCTTCCAAAATCTTAATCCTTATCCTCTCTCATCATCATCTCATTCAACCAGAAAATAACAAAAAATTTCTGTGTGTTACTCTTTTGGGTTAAATAAATCAGAAAAAAGTGATATTTATGTTGGTGTTTGATGATAATCATGATGCTGGTTATCAGCAGAATCACAACCCATACGCAATTAGCTTAATTTTTTGCCCATGATTTAAAAAAATTGTTTCCTTTTCTCTGTTACTAGTTATCTATATGGTTTGATAAGTTTCAATTCAAAAAAAATTATCATTAATTTGTTACCATCATTATCATCAATCGCGTTTAAAATTGAAGCTCCCGTTTTTTACCCCTGATGATTAACTACACTCCCTTTCCTATCAGAATATATTAATTCAGAAAGTAACAGCAATCATACAACATAAAACTTAATATTGATTATCATTCAAGGTAAAAATCAACAAACATAATTACAAATCTCAAATCAAGTTATCATTTATTTATTATCAGTATGTCAAGTTTTCATTTAATTGTAATATGATTAACAGATGATGATTATAAGAGGCAACAACACTGACAAAACCAAACAATTTAAACGTTATCAGTTTGAATTACTATTAATTGTGATAAACAATCACTAATTATATTTATCCTTTTCAATACATACTTATTACTTCATCTTTTATAATGATTAGCAATTAACCAATTCAAATCCCACCTTAACCTAACCTTATCATTGACCAATGATTGGTTGTGTATGTATGTGTGTACATACACTGCGATGATTAACAATTTACTAATCATTTTGATTATGATTAAAAAAAGGCTTTGGTCGTGGTCTGTATCACCTAAATGACTTTTCTTGGTCTACCACACTTTTCCCGTTATCATTACTCACAATCGAAGGTCATTAGTAGTATTTATTTTCCTTTGCCGTCGAAAACCACTCAACCATTATCATCTTAATCATCTTAATCATCATAATAATCAACATGATCATTTTCACCATCATCAACATAATCATGATACAAATCACTCCCTAATCACAAACAATCTCAATCACACAATAATAATACAATATACTCAATATTCACAATACTATTTTGGACAATCTTATTTAAATTTCGTGACATGTTAGTTAAATTATTATTATTATATTATCATTATTGCTACTATTGAACAATGAATAGTGAAACCTTAACCAACTTTTTATTATTATCTATTTACTTACCTTGATTGTTGTATTATTTTCGGGAAAGTGACATAAATCAGTGGCAGGAGATCATATATCAAGTTAATTAATAATAATAATTTATATCAACCTTTTATTGCTTCATCATATTTATCTTCATTTACAGTTATCTTGATAATCTTCATCATTAACCCTTTGATCCATTTTTTTTTAAATACACAATTAGTGTTAATTTATTTCAGATTAACAATGATATATGTTTTTGTTTATTAATGAATATACTTTTAATCCGTAGTAGGAGTTAAGGTCATCCTACCACAATCTTAATTGTAATTACGGTTTAATTTAGAGACAATTAGAGTTGATTCATTATCTAAAAATGTGTAAATTATTTCATACGAAGTTATCATGATATAATCTTAATTAACTTTTGGTTAATTGTGTTGTTTGTTTGTTTCCATTTAATGTTGACACTATCACAATTATCGTGATACCAGCAAGACAAAAAGCTAAATTGTTGGTGTCATTTGTTTTCCAGTGGTTGGTGTTAACAAGGTAATCATTTTGTTATCATTTAACTAACTGATAATAGTAATAAAGATGAGAGAGTGACAATGACAATCTTAAAGTTAATTGTTGATTATGGAGAGTTGAGTCCAATCAAGTAATTAGTAAAATGATTGAACAGACTTATTCCATTAATTTGATTGACCTTTGTTTTTGTTTTCCAACAAATCAACAGATCAACTTGATTGTTGATAATCTTGATTTTATCTACACTTATATATAAATATTGTCAAGATAATCTGATCGGCCGTGTTTGAATATTGAATGTAAATTGTTGATTGACTTAACGTTGTTATTTATAACGTTGATTGTTAATCATGATTAAGTTCATTGACTAACTGGTTTCCAAAGTTCTGATCAACTGTATTGTTGTTACAACTTGTGACGATGGAGAGAGAAAGTTAGATGAACTTTCGGCGATCTCAGTAAAAAATGAAGTTTTTTTTAGAAGAAAAAAAAAATTATTTTGGCAAAAATGAAGATGAAAGGATGTGAAGTCAATGGATTGAGAGAAAACTTATCTTCCTCTGTCTTTCTCATCCTGATTTTCTTGATGACAATTTTCATTCATCTTCTTAACTTTACAACTTTGATTTTCTCTTCTTATCTTTTCCCCTTGCTTTCTAAATCATATTATCATGATGATCATCAAATCAATGTTGCTCTACATCTCGATCATTTTTTTTTTCATCTTCATCAATCCCTCATCTTCAATGAACAAAATCAGGCCAATTATTTACTTTTTCTTTTGTTTCTTTGACAATCTTCTTATTCCTCCCATGATCCATATCAATATAAATAATCATCATCATCTTGGTCAATCAATTTGTCCATTCTCCATGATAATGATCATCTTTCTCTCTCCCCTTTTCATTCATAATTACTATTACATTGATGATAATGATAATAAAAAAAGCATGATAATGATTATTATTATTAAGGCCTCAGTAAATTATCATGTTTGTCTGTTTCTTTGTTACTTTCACGACTTCTCATGATGTTGATGATCAGAAACAATTTAAATCACTAACATTGTATTAAATATGCAGTACAAAATGATACATGTATATAAATGATAATTACGCTGAGGGTTTGCAAGATGATGATGATGATAAATTGATGATAACCCTTGTTTCCTATGTTTAATGATGATTTTCACTTTCTCGAAATTGAAATAAGATTTTTCTGTAAAATCATATTATCATGATGATTATTGATGTAAACAAGTTGATATGGTGATTCAAACATTCAGATTTTGTTTATTATTATTATTATTATTATGAATAATTAGTGATTAATCAATGATCTGTATCTAATAGTTTTGATACTCACTATTGAGATTGATGATTAGTTATCATGATCATCGTCATGTCATCATCTGAATTAGGTTTTTCATCAGCAATCCTTTTAGCTGGATTATCATGAAAGGTTTGATTCAGTAAAATGATGATTATCATCAATTAAATTGATTCATTAAATGACATATTTAAATTGATATGGTTACTGTTTGTTTTATTAATCAAGGTTTTTATGTTTAATTTATTGAACAATTTGATTGTAATCATTGACTTTTATTTTCATCATTCTTGTTACTATGATATTTAATCATAATTATCCTTTTTTTATCATCTATTCATTTCTGCAAATCTAATTGCTCATATTCTTGACCATTAATTGAATTTGATTCGTTGTGTAAACCATACAATTAATTTGTATTACTTTTTAATCATTTTGCTGTTGTGAAAATTTGTGTCTCTCTATTACTTTTGATTGTAAGTAATTAGACTTACAATTAAGCCGAAAAGTTTAATCGCTTTCTAATGTACATTATTTATTGTCTAATTGATTAATTCAATTTTTTAATTCTATTTAAATTATTTAACCAGTTCAGTTACTCCTCCTTAAACTGTCTGGTTAATTAAACTTTAATTCAATTTAATTGTGAAATTTTGACTTGGAGCTTAATTTGGTTGGGCTAATTTTACTTAAATTGTCCTAATTTACTAATTATACATATCACTGAGCACTAATCAATTAGATAAACACAATTAGCTGATCAAAATTATACATATAGTTGATTAATACAATTAATCCGATTAAAATTGATTTTGTTAATCTGTTTTTCCTTCACCATCTAATTGCTAATCATTAACCTTAACTTCAATGATTACTTTAATTGTGTCCAATGTTAACCTGACAATTACCAACAAAGATCACTAATCATTTATTTGATTGTTTGTGATTATCATTTGCTATTATTTATGATTTAGTTGATTCCTTTTTGATTATAGTTTAACTAAATCATTTTCAATCTCATTAAATTGTTGTAAGTAAATAAAATGTTTACTTATAAAAACGTTAATTGTGATTAGTTTTAAATCGTTAGTCTGATCATGAAAATAAAGGTCAACTTTTTTTTTCGAAACTTTAATTTTGTTGACAATTTATTTTTAGATTTTCTGATTAAATAACTAATCAACTTAACCCAAAACTTATCACCTTAACTTTATCAGAGTTTCATATAATTATTATCAAGATAATTATATAATATGATTAACTGATTAAATACTCATCATCATTTCCATCAACATCAATCAATTAGTTAATCTGTTTTTCCAATCAATTGAAAGTAACCTGAATTTGAAGTGAATTAAATTGCAATTGATTAACTCTCATCTTTAACTGATCATCTTTTTAATCATAACTCTAATAGTTTAATTAATATTGTTCATGATAAATCAATCCTTGAAAAAAGCCCTGCGGCAGTTAAGTAATAGCAATTATCTTAATTACTGTGTTTTATTACAAAAAAAATAACAATTACCAGAATAGATGTTGATTAACTCACACTAATTGTGATCAACTGATGACATTATTATTTACAATCGATACTGAATTAAGAATCCACTGATTAAGGTGATAATTAATGAAATGATGATCTTATTAAGTATATAGTAATTATATCAACTAAATTGTTAATCATCACAAAGCTTCAGCCATTAAATCATTTGAAACCATTACAATTAAATTTCAATGTTAATCGTTACCTTAATCATGATTAAGGTTTTTCTTTCAATTGTTACAATAAATGTTATTTAATCATTTACAGTTAGTTTTTTTTTATAATTCAACTTCCGCAATTGTATTCTTGATAATTACCGTATTATTATATTTGACTACATAGACATTGAACAATTTAGCTTTTAATTGTTGTTAATTTACTTGTCAGCCTCGACAATCAAGTTAATCAACTTATATGCCAGTCATATGATCAAATTGTGATAATTAGTTTCTACCTGTTGAAACTAAGCTTGTTAAATTAATTATTAAATCAACATGACTTTCAAAAAAAAAACAACACAATTTAAATTGCTACAATTAATTAGCTCCAATAATCAAGTTGTTTGTTTGTCAGACTGTCAACTTGATGTAGGAGATAATTAATTGTAAGATAATTGTCACACATAATTTATTAATCAACTTTGATTAAAAATTTTGTTTATTTACTTTTCAATCAGTCAACTAGATTAACAGATTAACACTAATCTCACCTTAATCTTTGTATTGCTTCAAATGACAAAATCAAGATGAGACTGAACTTTTTTTTTAATCTAAACCTTTTAAAATAGTTTTAATATATTAAAGATAAGCAACAATTTCCTAATAAAATTAATTAATTTTCAAAACGATTAATTGAATTGATTAATTACAATTGAAAAACTAACTTAAAAACTATTCATCAACCTAATTTTGTATTGATCAGATTAATTATTAGTTAATCAGCAAAACTGTGTAAACCAAACATTTAATTAAATGTGATTTAAATCACAAGTTACCATCGATTAGCAATTATTAGGATGCTAATTGTTAACAATTTAACAAATTTCCAAACTGTATTCAATAACAATCGTAACGAAATGGAAGAAAAAAAATTAATTCCTTACATGTTGATGTTCACCAATTTAAAATTAACTTAAATTTGTTGAAAACTAATAGTTAATTGTTGGAGATTACTAACCTCACCCATATCAATTAAATACTATCATTTTGAATGATAATTAAGTGAACAATATGAGTGGGATTTAATTGAAAATGATTTAAATTTATGATAACAATCAAATCTCCTCTAGACATTATCAACAGGGACGTTTAACCCTTTCAAAGTTAATCTCTATCTTGATCCTCACCCATCCTCATCCCACCTCCTCCACCTCCTTCACATGGACCTTAAAATATCATCATTAAGAAGATGATGATGATGATGATGAGGATGAGATGATTAGTTATATTCAATTATCAACATGTACCTACTCCCAACCCTTTAAAAGGTATATTCATTTTTGATAATATTAACCATGGTTTCCAAAATTAAGATGATGATGATTATCATTTTAATCGTTGAATGATGATTATGATTAAAATTTACAACTCACCTCACGTTTTTGTCTTACCTTATCTAAAATCATTTAACTTGTTTACAGAATCTTAAATGATGATAAATGAATGTAAATATTAATACATGACGATAACAATTAGTTGTTATCAATTTTGTGTGATTGTTACTCTTAATTGTTGTTACCATTATGATATTTGTCACTTTTACCGTTAATTATGTAAAAGTTGCTGTTTAAATTTCTTGTTGGCGGTTACACTGATTGTTTTTATTAATACAATCAACTGTCAGTTGTAATTGTTTTTGTTATTATTTAATTGTTATTTGATAATAATAATGAGTAATCATGTAAATATAATAATAGAAAGAATAATAATCTTGATGGTAATTAACATTACATCATCATTTTAATTAACTGGAGTCAACATATTCCCTTATCATATGTTAATTGATTAAATTGAAATGATTATTATTAACATTAGTTGATTCTAATTACGAGAAATCATCTAATTGTAGTGATTGATTAATGTTTTCTTGTTAATTTTTGTCTGGTTACATTTACGGAAGTTACTCTATCATCAAGAATTGGAAATATAATAATAATTACATGAATTCTGAGTGAATATCCTATGATATCATGATGAGTATTCATCTTGTTGATCATTACCGATAAATCAAATTGTTTCCATGTGCAAAAAGTCAAATTTTAATACTAACTTAAAGTGATGAACTCATTTTGTGTTGATTGTTAGCCAAGAAAATTTGAGTTGCTATGACAATTTATAAATTGCAGCAATTAACTGTAAAATCTAGACTGATTACAATGATTATTATTGTGATTCACATTTTCTGGTATTCTCATAACTGAGATGCTGTTTTTTTCCTCATTCAATATGAACTTTTGTAACTATTCAAAGATAAATTATCAATTTAATGTTATTTTTTCAATTCCTCTTCCTGTTTCCTTCATCTTATCATTAATATTATCCTGATTGTTATTATTATTCAGTAGCTGATTATTGCAAGTGGTAGCTCAAAGGAAAACATGAAAATTGATTAGACAAAGTAATTTATCGTTAATCATGAAGAAAATGAAATAATGTATCATTAAAAAAAGGCGTCAAATTATAATTGTGGAGAGAGAGAGAGCAAAAAATTCCGTGGGATGTTGGTCAAGACTTCAGATTTTCGTCTGAATTTTAAGTTGATTCCTCTAATCACTAATCATCTTAATCTTCACCTTAATCTTTTATTAATATTACTTAAAGTATCTTGATCACCTTCCATGAAGATTTTAAATAACCATTGCTCTTTCATTTGAATGATCATCATGATTTGTTGATCAATGTCATTGATTTTGTTTCTCATTTGATATTTTTCGTTATTTGTTTCACTTTATCCTGATTTTGTTGTTGTTGGCTGAGTTTGTTAAATTGTTAAGGTTTCTGATGAAGATGATTCTGCTGATGTGACTGTTAATTGTTGCCAACCTGCCAAAGGTTTGATCATCACAATTAAAGAGAGACTATGTTTTGTTTTGTTTCATATTTGCACTTGAGTTTGGTTGATTTTAAGATGAAGATGAAGATGAGGAAGACAGAAGAGATAATTGTTTAGCGTAGGCTAACATTTATTGAAGATGAAGAGATGAGAAGATGAGAAGATGAAGGGCAAGCCCATAAGCATTAATTCATTAAAGTAACATTAATGAAAAGGGAGATAATGATGACCGAATCGAAATAATCTTCATCTTCTCTGTCACGGTTAAGGTCATATTTTGGTTATAAATGATACTAAACTTATCATCATCATCATCTTATCATTATTACTTTTGTTTTGTTTTTCTTTTGCTCGATTTAATCAAATTAACGGTCCCACGAATGTGATGTTCTTATGGAGAGATTATGATGATGAAGATAAAGGTGATTAAAAGGGATAAAGATTTGTGATTAAGAAGAAAAAAGAAAAGTACAATTAAATTATTATTCTTAACATAATTGTCTCTCCCTCTCAACCCAATCAGTTAATTTGCTTCTCGAAACATTAACCCAATTGACCGTGAGATGAATTCTCATGTATTATTGTTTCGTTGTTGTTGTTTACACTTTTGTAAACCGTTACACTAATTGTTGCTTGTAACTTGTGTCATTTCAATTGTACCATTAATTAGACTAATTTCTGATTGTATTGTTGTTTCATTGACCATAAAAACACACAGATCTTTATACGATGAGACTGGAATCGATTTGGAAAATATCTGTTATTATAAAGACGATACCCATTATTTTGTGATGACCGCCAAGAAAAGTTCACTACTTCAACGAGGTGTATTGATTAACGATTATTCAGATACTCGAGCTCTTTTGGCCTCAACCAATATTGATCGAAGTCAGTTACTGGCCTACGCCCGAGATGCTGCCAAATGGACTACCGGTAATGGTTGATTACAATTAGAGATAACAAATGATTAGCACAACAACTAATCCATGAAATTTAATTGATCACAACAACAAAGAGAAAAAGCAATCAATCAGTTTTGTAAGATTTCATTTAAAAACAGAACAAAACTTAAAATGAATCAGGTCATTGTTTTAGTGTTGATTAGATGAATTGATCTGTTGATTGGTTTATTATTACAATTTGAGAGTAAATTAAGCAATTTATTTATCCATCAAGTGTTTGTGCAATGATTTGGACAATCTTTTTTTTCCTGGTCAATTCTCAATGTTATTGGTAACAATCAATTCTGATGAAAATGTTAATTTGTCTCTTTTCAGGCTTGGATACTCCTAATTTTGCTCTTAATCATTATGGAGAAGCTGATGTAGCCATGTTTGATTTCACCTCAATGTACGCTGCCGATAATGCTTGTCGAGCTATGAGAATAGTTCGTAGCGGGTACGCTAATCATCAACATAATTGTTCACGATGTAACTGTGATAATGAACCTTGTAAAAAGTCAAAAAGTGATACAATTAACGATGGCAATGATTTTGCTCCCTTTAACAAATCGTCAAATGTTGACAATGTATCTGATTATATGGACATGGAAGGAGTTGAAGGAGACATGGCAGATTTTGGTCACAATGAAGGATTATTATTAATTAGTCTTGTCGGTGATTCGCTTTTGGAACCTTTTTGGCCCACTGGGTCGGGTTGTGGCCGTGGATTCCTTTCAGCTATGGACTCTGCTTGGTTAGCGCGTCAATGGGCTGTTAAACGATGTAAATCTATTCGAGATGAAGAGAGAATACTTGAAGTTCTCTCTGAACGGGAATCAATTTATCGACTTTTGGCTCAAACAAAATCAGAAAATTTAAGTCAAAACTGTGCCTCTTACACAATCAACCCTGTCACTCGTTATCCTAATCTCAACTCATCGACTCTCTTGCCCCACCAGTGTCAACATCTTCTTTATGATCATTTACCTTTACCATTAATTGAACCTCGGTCTAAATTGACTATGGCTGAGAAACGAGCTCGTCGAGCAACTATTGCGACAACTGTACCATTTTCTGGTGGAAATGGTGCTACAGGTGCATGTGGAGAAGGTGAAATAATCATGGAATCACGAGCTCGAGTTGAAAGGGAATTCATGGCAATTTCACGTGAACGTGAACGAAATCAACGTAACAATGAATCAAACACTAACAATGGTGAGAGATTTGTCGGCTTTAGTGGTCGCTCTTATGGTACAGCATCGACGGCAGTTACTATGGAAGACGATGAAAATAATCTTGCAACTCATCGAGAATTTGAAGATTCTCTTGCAGCTTTCGAGGAAAATTATCGTGGACTAATGACCGCTGAAAATGATTTATCGGGTTTAGGATTAGTTGAAGGGAATGGAAGCCAATTATCAACCTCAGTTCCTAATCGATCCCACGTTCACAATGCAACCAATTTCGCTCTTGATTTGTCACCTTCAGCATCCAATTTAATCACAATGGCCAAATCAAGAGCTCGGGACATTGAAAGTGCTTTTCGTCATCGTCGACAACGTCAATCTCAATTTAAACGATCTGAAACCAATTCGGATGATTTACCACCTGTTGAAGGCGGAGGTAAAGTCCACCAAAAAGCTCAACAACAATGTATTAATCACCTTAGATCGCAGCTTCGGTCCAAAGCGGCCTGGTTTTTAGACCAAAAAGCATCAGAGGCCGCCAGCAATAACGATAAAGAGTCAACATCATCACTAATCAAACGAGGATCATTCAATGAACGAATCAAAGATTTAGAAGCTAAATTGTATGCAGCATCAGGCCTTTCCTACCTTTCCGACGATTCTGATAAAGATGACCCTAGTCCACCGGTCAGACTTCCGTCTACCAAAACTGGAATTAATGTAATGATGACCGCGAGCCAATTGCAACAATTATTCAATCCTAAATTTCAGGAGGAAAAGTTAAAGCAAGAAGCCAAATTAAAATCCACTAAAGACATTAAATATGTTGGTAAAATAACTAAATCAGATTGGAATGTGAAACCATTTGAAGAAGGAACAATTAACAATGAATCAAGTAAAGGTAAATTTAATTGTCCTGTTGTTAATAATAATATAAAATCATCAAGAAAATTTAATAATCATTTTAGTCAAGACAATAATGGTAATCATATAAATGAACCAATTGTTAATAAGTCAAACTCATTTAAGCTCAATAATAATTGTGATAAATTTACATACAATTGGTTTGATTGTGATAATCAAAATTCACAATCTAAATCAATAATGACAAAGATAATTGATTATTTCAATTACATTATCCAATTGATTATCTTACCAATTGCATTTCTAATCACCTTCTTATACTATTCATATCAATTCTGTGATATAATTAATGAATAATCTAGACCTCAATTGCTCAAATGGCTTCCTTCAAATTACAATGACAATTAAAGACAATCAAGAAAGTCAATGTTTTTGTTTTGTTTTTCTCGTTTTTTATTTTTTTCTTTCGGTTTCGATAATACAAAATTTTGTACTTCGAGTGTACCTCAGATCCAATGCATGTTCAATACTCCAATTACTCAATGTCTCTGATGATTAATTATTAATTACTGAGTTTCTCTCTCACATTATTAACAGTTACCAATTCTAAACCTAAATCACCTCCACCACCCCAACGTGTTGAATTGTTTCGTAATAAATTGAATGATATACAAAACAAACTTGAACATATCGACGATCATCATCAACCCGAAAGACGATCTCGATTGGACTCACTGGAGAAAGGAGGTGTCGCTGGAGGTGAATGGATTTCGATGTTGAAAAATGAACTTAATGAAAAAGTGTCCAAAAAACCGGACATTCAAGGGGAACCCTCAGTTTTACGTCGATCACCATCGATTCTTGATAATCCATTCCGTAAAGAAGCGCGTAAAGAGGCCGCAGCTAAATCATTGAATAAATTATCTAAATCACCAACATCACCTTCACCATCAGCAGCATCATTTAAGGAAAGGATAACAATCGTTGAGCGGTCTGGGTCAATTGTGTCCAAAGTTTGTGCTAAATGTGGCCTTATTGTGGCGACAGTTGACAAGATTTTAATCTCGGGAACTTTATTTCATCGAAGTTGCTTGAAATGTATTTCTTGTGGTGTTACCTTGCGAATGTCAGAGGTTCGTAATACAAATGGATCATCGGGTGTTGGTAGTTTAGCCTCACTTATCACCGGAACTGTGACCGTACTTAATACCAGTAAACGAGATCGTCCATTATCAGGTCATCACGAGAATGGTGGATTTAATTATAAGTGTACTAATTGTAGTAGTGGTAAATCACCTCGATCTACTTCAACCTCGACTTCAGTGATTGGTAAATTAATGGGAAATCGTTATGATGTCAATAATATTAAATCAAGTATCACCTCATTATCATCAGTAGCATCTTCATCATCAACCTCTTCAGGTGTAACACCAACAACAACAATTGATAATCGGATGACTAGTTCATTTGATGGTAATTTAGAGCCATTGGCTAAAAGTATGTCCGCTCGATTGGTTAATAAAATGGCCTCAACAACAGATGATTATGAAGCTCGATTAAAGGAAAGGATGAAGTGGAAAGAAATGTTTCTATTAAATAATGATAATAATGATTTAACCGGTGGGTCTAATATGCCGTCAGGTGAAAGTGGTGTTGGTCAAACTAAAACGGACGGTGTGGCCTCATGTGTGGACAATAATCTTAATGGTTCTAATAAGAAAAAGGTCAATTTATCTCCGGCATCAGGAGGAAGACGGGAAAGTGGATCAGCATCTAAAGCAGCAGAAATGTCTGAAAGTTTCAGGAACAGATTAAATGAACGAATTGAATATGAAAATATCTCCATGTCCTCAGAGATGGTCGATGATGATGAATTAACCAAATTGTTGAATCTCGGCTCTGATCATTGGGATTCTGCTGGTGAAGTAGATGATGATGATGAAGACGAAGACGATGAAGATGAGGATGAAAGTGATAAAGATGATTCTGATTCTGATGACGAAGATGATGAAGACGACGATGATAATAAAATCCGAGCTAGAGGAATAGTAAGAGTCGAGAAAAGTCCAGTTAAAAGTAAAGATGATAAAAGTGTAAAGAAAAGTGATACAAAGGAAAAGGATGTTAATAATGATGATGATGAAGATGAAGAGGGAGATGTTGATGATGATGAAGATAGACAAACAACTTCGTCAGCATCTGATTCATGGGATTCAAGTGATTCAACTGATAATGATTTTGATTCAGATCAGTTTGATGAAAGCGGTGTTTCTGATGCTGCTGATTTAATTAATCAACGACATAAAAATTTAGCTTCATCTTCATCATCAATAGATATTGGTGAGAATGGGAAAAACAATCCTCTTAATCATCGTCGATCTCCACAACAATTACATTCAAAATCATCTTCAACAATTAACCATCATCATCGTAAATCAAGTAAAGAGGATAAATTAAAATTACCACAAATTGTTGTTCATAAGGAACCAAATGAATCATCAGCTGTTTCATCAACCTCAGCCATTGATACATCAACAATTGAATCAAAAGATACATTGATTAACAATACAACTGAATCAATTGAAACAAGTGATACAAGTTGTCAACCTGGTGAAAGTTTATCATCAACAACGATTACACCGAACTTACAATCAAGTGAATTGATTAGTTCGTCGGATAAGATTACACCGATTTCTGATTCAACTTTGAGGATTGGTGATGATGATAAAGAGGAAGATGATAGTGATAAGACAGAGAAAAATTCATCAGAAAATGCTGGTGGTTCAGATGATTCTGATACAATTAATAGTAAAATAAAGGATCTGGAGGATATTAATCAACCCAAACAAGAAGTTCCAACAGTTACACCAACACTTGACGAACGAGAGTTTCAATTGATTGTTGATGAAATGGAAAAGAAATCAAGTCCATCAAATGTTACCTCAAGTAATTATAACAATAATGTTGCCACCAAGGAGCCGATTCTTAAGACAATTAATAACAATATCGTCACTGGTGATCAGATTTCTTCGGACAATTTTGATTCTGATGATGATTCAAAGACGAGTCTTTCATCATTGAGTATAAATGTTAGTGATACTTATGATGATATTAATTTATTATCCGTTTGGGATGAATCAGGTAATTGTGATGATGACCTTGACGATTCACCAGTAAAACCAAAATCATTGACAAAAAAGTCAAAATTAGTTAATCGTAAGGATAATTCAAGTAAAAAGAAGCCAACAATCAATGAAGGCAAACGAGCAACAATTAGTGGCTTATTTAAGTCTAAAACCGATGCTTCGATTCTTGACAATCACCATCAACGTTATCAGAACAATTTAAATCTTAAACCCAATTACCTGGGAAGGAGAGAATTAGAATCAGGGAAAAGTAAGGTATTATTACCTAATTGTGATGCCAAAAAAGATGACAAATCATCATCCCGAATATCATCATCAGTGGATAGTAATTATGATTACAATGAAACCAATTATCAGGCCAAAATGTCACCAAAAGGTGAAACCTACTCAAAGATACCTGTTCTTGCTGCAAGGGTAATTGCTGCAAATGAAGGTTCAGCAATTACAAGTATTGATTATGATCAATCAGCTGGGATAACAACAATCAATGAGGTTCCACAATCAACAACGAAAATCGTCCCATCGAAATACAAACCAAGTTATTCAGGTTCATTCACTGAGAAATTGTTACAACGATGTCGGTCATCACCTTCGATACCTGGAATTGGTGATTCATTAACTCGTTGGTCAACATCAAAGTTACAATTATCATCACCAAACAAAGTACTCAATTTAACCAAAGCCTTAAATGCTCAGACTTCAAACAATAAAGCATCATCATCATCTCCACCATCCCAACATCGCCAACAACAAGCATCATTTAAAGAGACTCATCAATCACCAATTTGGTCCAAGTTGATTAAATCTCAACATAATCAAGTTAAACAACAAGAGTCTCAAAATGAACAACAACAACAACAATCAACTGGAACCAAGAGACAGCCAAGTCATTGCTCTTTACCTTTTGCTGATTCTTATGAAAACACCTCCACAATTCAACAACAATTTAAACAATCAAATCGTTCAACAATTAATCCTTCATCATCATCTAAAGATCATCATCAAGCTAAATCATCACCAAATCAATCTAAACAAAGTATCAACCCTACACTTCCCCGTATAACTGGTACAACCGCTAAAACTGTCAACCCAACCATTGATTCAATTAAATCATCTTCATCCAAACTCTCTCAAGCTCCTCGAGCAACACTTGATGAAGATATGTTTGATGATGATGAAACTCTTGAAAGAATATCATCTTCATCCTCATCATCATCTTCTCCCTCAAGAAAACAGCAAGTTCACCAATCTAATTACCGTCAATGCCATAAATCACCAAGTAAACCAGCAAATACTTCAATATCTCCAGCTTCAGATGGTAATCAAATTAAATTAAAACCAATCAAATTAAACTATAAAAATTAAGCACAAAAAATGCCTTCATTGTAAAACAACAAGAACCACAATTAGCAATTTTAATCAACAGCCAGAAATCACAATTTACATTTGTTAATAATAAGACATTTTAAAAAACTGTAACTTTATCCTCCTAATTACGATTATGATTATTACAATTACGCTAATTTTAATCAATACTGATAATTGTAATTAGTTAAACTGTTTCATTGTTGTCATCGTCATCATCTTACACTCCTCATCTTAAACATTATAATGATTATTATTTCCATAATTAATCAGTACCTTTTAATGACGTTTCTCATCTCGAGATTATTGTGAATTTGAAATGGAAATGAAATAATAACGATAAATAAATTTCTATTTAATTACAATTATAACTAAACAATTGAATTTATCCTAATTGAGAATTAGCCCTCGAGAATAAATTAATCGGCCAAAGTAAATCCCTCGAAATGCCCAAAAGGTAAACGGCTAATCGATTGAACGAATATCGAGTTTGCAGATAAACTATTTAGTTTTCGGTATAAAATAAAACAGAAAAATGGCCAATGGTCAGTCTAGTTTTCTCCTTCATCTTGTCAACTATTGATTCTTTCGTTTCTAATTAGTTGTTAGTCTTCACCGAATTAATTCAATTGTTAACCATGAAAATGAATTTCTCCTTCCTCTTGATTTTCTCAATCATCTTTACCATTTTCACTTCAGTGTCTTCAGCAAATGATCTTGAAGATCATTTTGACGACGATGCCGATGAATTTGATTCTCGCAACAGTGACATCGACTTCCATCCCTATGCTAATCCGATCTACAAGCCCACCAAAAAGGTCGCAGTTAAGCCCACCGTCTACAAGAAAACCACCACTACAACGACTCCATTGCCTCCTTCATATGCATCGACTGTTTTACCTCCTCGACCAATCGGTTATCCAAGTGCAGCGAAACCAACGAAGAAAGTGAAACCTTGTCGATTGGCGAAACTCTTGAAGAAACTCGGACTGAAGAGAAAGTTGAAGAACAAAAAAGTCGAAATCATGAATAAAATCAAGAAATTGAAGCAAATGAAAAAAGAGAAGAAGGAGAAAATGATGAAGAAAGTGAAGAAAATCAAGAAGACGAAGGAACCAGAACATCAAGTTTACTCGAAAAATCCCTCGAATTTGGTGTACGAATCGAACTACAAGGAAAAGGTCAAAGATTATGGTTACAATTCGAACGCAGTTAAACAAAGATCCATCGATCCAGAAGAAAATGAATCGGAAAATTAATTCTAATCATTTGGTTTCTAGTCCGATTCTCATCTTCATCTCATTAAAGCTAAAGAAACTTTTCCATAGTCCAAATTACTATTCAAATTATCATTTTTTCTAAATATTATCAATAAAATAATTCATCTCAAAACATTTCTTTTGATTTTTTTATTCGCGATTTTTTTTTTGATGAATTAATGTTCTAATTTAGATATTTAATATCTAATTAACTTTTAGATCGAACAATTAACAAAAATTGATTGAGCATGCGAAAGAAAAACCGAGAAGAGCCTGGTAAATGAATGAATGTTATGGAAACTTCTAGATTTTTGTAGTAAAAGTGAAGTTTGAGTATAAAAAGAGAAGGAGACACAATTCAAGTTCAGTAGAAGAATCAAAACAAAAGTCAAACTTCAAACTCTCAAACTCTCTAAACTCTTTAACTCTTTCAATTCCTTAAACTCTTTGTTTGTGACAATCAAAATCTCTTTTTCTTTGTGAATTTAATTTCCTTCTAATTTGTGAATTGATCAAAATGTCTCTTGTTCCTCGACTTGTTGAATCGATGCTTCGAGATCCTCTCGATGATTTCGTCCCTTTCATCGCTTATCGAGAACCAATTGTTGATTATCCTCGAAGATCATGGAACCAAATGAATCGAGCTCTTCGTCAACTCAATCAACTATCAGACAATTTCAATCAACAAATGGGACAAATTGTCGATTCAAAGGACAATTTCCAAGTGAATGTCGATTGTGGTCACTATAAACCAGAAGAAATCAACGTGAAATTGGTCGACAATAGTTTGGTGGTTGAAGCGAAACACGAAGAAAGATCAGATGAAACTGGCTTCATTTCGAGACAATTTAAGCGACGATATGTTCTTCCTGAGAATATCGAATTGGAGAAATTGGAATCGAAATTAAGTGTCGATGGAGTTCTATCAATCAAAGCTCCAAAGAAGGTGGTCAATGCTGTTACTGGAGAGAAAAATATTCCAATTTCTCTTACTAATCAAGTCTATCAACCAATTGAAGGAAAAGACAACAATCAACAAAAACAACAATCAAACTCTCAAACTGAGAAAATGGAAACCAAATAAATTGTCTCAATCAAATCTATTTCCAAATTGTAATAATGATCTCAAACCACCGAAGCTTTAAATTCTAGTATTAATTGTATTACATTTATTTCTGTTAATTGAATGTAATTCAATCATCAAATTTATGAGAACTTAAATAAAAATTTTTAAGATCATAATTATAAAAATTTTGTATTTTATTTAACTAATTTCGCGGAATAACAATTCGTTGATTCAAATAATCAGATAAAATCATCTAATCATCAATTAGATAACTAAATCCAATTCCTCAATAGTATTAACTCAAAACCAAATTTAAAAAATCAAATTTTTCTCTCCCTAAACTAATGATCATCACTGTTGACATTTAATATCTGTTAGAAAGAAGAGTCAAATCAGTTTAGACCAACTAATCAACTTATTATTTTAAGAGAGATTAAGTAAATCCGAAAGGTTTTACAGGTTTGTAGTCAGCAACAGTGGACGAATTTTCTGGTGACAAATTCAAATCGCAAGTAACCAAGAGGATTGTCGTTGGAAATTCAGTTCTAATTTCATCAATATTTATTGGGATTCTTTTAATTTTCATTGCTGTTGCTTTCATCATTTGGAGACACATAGATTATCCCGAATTACAAGGTTATGCTTATCCTATGGCTAAAAGTTAAATGATGATCATTTTTATCCTTCGTCGCCACTTCATTGTTTTACTACCTTCACATCTCAATCTCATCGCAAATCTACCTGTTCATTGAGACAATTTTCGAGATCAAAATCGTTATTTTATATAATGCAATCTCTATTTTTTATCAGAAGGAAATTTTTTCTATTTCTCTTTAAAATCCAGAGGAAAGTACCACATCTCTCTCTTACACACTAAAAACACTCAAACTTAAACATACACACAATCAATTCACTCGTTGACATAATTTGTGAAATTCATTTCCATACAATTCACCCAATTGAATTTCACCAATTAATATCTCATCCACTTTTCTTCCTATTATCATCCTCGGACTTGTGCCATTTTTATTTGTAAAATTTACATACTTTTCTGAATGTGCATTTTTTTTGTTCCAATCATGTGTGTAAATACATTTTGACAATTTTTTGGCAAATTTATTAATCAGTTTGTTACATTTATTTTTTTTCGAGGCCTTTCAGGTTGTCATTTAGTTAATTTAGTTGATTTATATTGCTATTATAATCTAATTTTTTTTGTTTTAATCAACCCAAGAGAAGAAAAAAATAATAATCATTTGGAAAACAGTGAAAGGGTTTACACTTAAAGGTGAACGCACACAAACACAGTGAGAGAGAGAGAGGAAAATGTTGAGTTGAATTTACATTGCAAAGTTTATTTTGTTTACTTTTTCACACTGTCAAGAAATTAAATTGATTCGATTAAAACTTGGTTAAAATTTAAAGACTGGATTGTCGATTTTGTTGTTTTTCTTTCAATTTGAACTCAAATTTTGTTTACATTTTGTTTTCATTTTCTTCTCTTACTCTTTCAAACAACAAGTTCGAACCAGAGCTTCGGACACTTCGTAGGATCAGCATTCGATGCTGGCGTCGATCTTCAAGATAACCACAATTCGCCTCAGCGACTGAAGTGTTGATTCGAGCAGTTCAATCACCAATACCAGAGGAAAATTTGTCAATTGATGAAGTTTCATTTGTACCAATTAAACGACGAGCGTTGTCAGCACCACCTCGAGGATCGTAAACAGCGATATGTTTCTGATGATTTTTGGCAAGAGACTCAACGTATTCATGAATCACTTTCATTCCACCGGGTTGATGGGTTTGCTTGGTGGAGAAGTTGATATGAGCACCAGATCCATTGTAACCAGGTACTGGTTTTGGATCGAAGGTAATTCGTAAATCTAATTTCTCAGCAATTCAGTCCAAAATGTACCTGGAAATCCAAACATCGTCACCAAACTTGATGCCTGTTGATGGGCCAACCTGATATTTTCTGGTGTACCAGAAATTGGTACACCAGCATATCTACAGGCGAAACTGTAGCCTTCAATAAGAGCTCGTTTTTCGAGATTAGCACCACAATAAGATGGATCATGGGGATCAGATAACCCTCGTTCTGGCCAACCAAGTGGTCGATCAGTTTTATTATCAAGGACAACAAATTCTTGCTCAAAGGCAAACTATGGTTCGTCTTTTGCGACTTTGGCCATGGATTGGGCACAAGAATTTCGGCAATTTCCTTTAGCAGATTGTTGCTTTTACAATGTTGTAATTCAAACATTCACAAAGAACCAACATATGATCACCTCGGAGAAAAGGATCTTTGTAAAGAGTCACAGGAACCAAAAGAACATCAGATGCGGAAGTTTCAGCTTGACCTTAAGATTCGAATCAAGAAGAATAAATATTACAGGTGATTCGAGAGAGAGAGAGAGAACAAGATAAAGTCATATGATAATGAAAGAAGAGACAAAGGAAAATGAGCCTAGAATTTTGGCAAGAACACAAATGGAAAATATGAAGAAATTAACAAGAGGGAAAAGGTTAGATTGTTACCTGTCGATGATCCATCAAAGTTCCAGATTGGATAATCACCAGGAGATGTTGGAATTTTATTGGAACTTCGTGATTTCGATCTCAAACTCTCCCCTGTCCCGTCAATCCAAACATAAGTGAGATTGACATTGTCTCCTTGAGGCAAAGAGATGAGAGATTGTAATACACCATGGATTCAACATCCATGGTTTGGACACAACAATAAACAAAAATGGAAGAGAAAAAAAATACAATAGATTTTAAAATGAAAATCGGAACATTAAAAATAGAATCAATTTAGAAGAAAACTAAAACAATTGTTAAGAAAACGTCATCAGAATATCAACAAAGAAAGTTCATCGTAAGAAGAATGATGAAACAGCGAAGTCGTTTCACGAAAAACTCTCTCATCTCTCATCTCTCATTTCTCTCTCTCTCACTCTCTGATTCATCTCTCTCACTTAACTGTGGCTCCCTCGGATTAAAATTATGATGTAAAGAGAAAAAACTGTTTTATTAATCAACAACTTCCACATAAATAGAGATTTGCTTTCTGATCTAACAAAAGATTGCGTCTAAAATGAACTAAAGCTTTTTGAAAAAAGAAACGACAAATATTTAAACGTAAAAGATGATTTATTGGACACTTTTAGTATTAATGAGAAAATTACACCGAATTAGAACAAAAAAGCTCGAAAGATTTTAACAAATACTTTGGTGGTTTAACTAGAATAAATAATGAGTAAATGACATTTAATTGGCTTGAGAATTTTGTTTTTGCTGATTGTTGTCTTTTCCTTCAATTGGTTGATAGACTTGATTAGTAAGAGAAATTGGAATATTTTTCTCTCCAGTAACAGCATTGACCACCTTCTTTGGAGCTTTGATTGATAGAACTCCATCGACACTTAATTTCGATTCCAATTTCTCCAATTCAATATTCTCAGGAAGAACATATCGTCGCTTAAATTGTCTCGAAATGAAGCCAGTTTCATCTGATCTTTCTTCGTGTTTCGCTTCAACCACCAAACTATTGTCGACCAATTTCACGTTGATTTCTTCTGGTTTAAAGTGACCACAATCGACATTCACTTGGAAATTGTCCTTTGAATCGACAATTTGTCCCATTTGTTGATTGAAATTGTCTGATAGTTGATTGAGTTGACGAAGAGCTCGATTCATTTGGTTCCATGATCTTCGAGGATAATCAACAATTGGTTCTCGATAAGCGATGAAAGGGACGAAATCATCGAGAGGATCTCGAAGCATCGATTCAACAAGTCGAGGAACAAGAGACATTTTGATCAATTCACAAATTAGAAGGAAATTAAATTCACAAAGAAAAAGAAAATTTGATTGATTGTCACAAACAAAGAGTTTAAGGAATTGAAAGAGTTAAAGAGTTTAGAGAGTTTGAAGTTTGAAGTTTGACTTTTGTTTTGATTCTTCTACTGAACTTGAATTGTGTCTCCTTCTCTTTTTATACTCAAACTTCACCTTCCAGAACTTTCTGGTTGTTTAGGTGAATGATTTTTCTTTGACTCAATCTTTTAATCTCAATTGTCGATGAACTTTCTCGAATTCTTCAGCTGTTTCAACTTTTCAATTTGTCTTTTCCTCTTCTCTACCGATCAACCGAAATTTCACCAATTCAACGTGTTTTTCAGGTTCATGATCAAAAGATTAGATTTCATCACTTTAAATTAATGACCTTTTTGTTTTGGTAGTTACTATTGATAAAAATGTCTCTTTTCTCGTATTCAATAGACCAATTAAATTATTTCATCTTGATCAGTGAACTTCACACAGATGATTCAATTCAATCACTAATTTCATTTACTGTTCAAGTTGTGATTCCGATATTTTGATTACTCATTTCAACAGTCTGATGAATAACTAGTCATGATTGATAAAAACCGGCATATTTATTAACAACCGTAATAAATTATATATGTGAAATTACAATCAATTCAAATTATCAACAATTAGTAATTTACAAAGAATAAATTTGTTTATACAAAAAAAGTTCACAGTCGATGAAGGTCAATAAGTCCTTTCAAGTTCTTCTTTAGATTTACCAAGTTTCTTCGGCATTTTCTTACAAAGTTCATCGATTTCTTCTGATTTATAGAAATGAGGAGCGACTTCTGTCAACCATTTAGGTTCGATTTCAATTAATTGTCTCATATATTCTTTGGTGGTGAGAACTAACTCATGATAAAGAACCCATCGAGGTTCCTCGTCGAATAGAGATGAATTAGGATGAATCGAAACTGGTTGATGAGTTTTTAGAGTTCTATATGAGCCTCCACCTCCGGCCAATCGAGCGACATGGTAAAAGAATCCCGTTAGAATGGCTTTACGGATCAAAGCGAATTCCGTTGGATTTGATTTGATTTCGATCTCAGCTCTTTCCATAAGTCCCTCTAATTGATCTCTTACATCGCGAGCTCGACACATTGAACGATATTGAATGAAATTTTCTGCGCACCATTGTTTCGTGTAGCCCATTTCAACCCATTGATTGTAAATATTTAACAACATCAAATGATCTCCTCCTGGTTGGAAAAAATTTTTCCTCGCTGTGTCAGCGTGAATGGCCTTGTCTTTGGGTCGATAAAAGATGTTGGCATTTACATTTAACATTGAACAAATTGTCATCATTTCTTCACTACATTTATACTTTTCCGAAGCAATCAAAGCTCGAGACATCATTGGATCTATCGGGAATTCTGCCATTTTTCTTCCAAGTCTTGTTAATTCACCCAAATGATTAAGAGCTCCAAGAGCATATAGTTGTTCCAGAGCAAGTACTAAAGTTTCATGAGGCGGTGGATCAAGAAAATCGAAATGAATAATATCATGAATACCAAGACTTTTCAACAAAAGAACAGCATTTCCAAGATGAACTCTCTGAATTTCTGGAACTGTATTATCTTCAAGCTCATTTTGATAAGCCCAAGCAGTGAACAATCTGAAACATTTACCAGCGGCCACTCGACCGGCTCTTCCTGCTCGTTGATTAGCACTTGCTTTGGAAACTGGTTGAACCACAAGTGATTCCATTCGTGATCTTGGATTATAAATATTTAATTTACAATAACCTGGATCGATCACATAAATGATTCCATCAATTGTCAAGGAAGTTTCTGCAATATTGGTCGCAATGACAACTTTTCGTGCTCCAGGAGGTGTTGGCTCGAAAACCTGAGCTTGTAAATCCGACGGCAGATTAGCATAAATTGGTCTAATTATAATCTCCTTAATTCTAGATCCTAATTTCCTTTGACGTTCCATTAACGTTTCAGAACATTGTTCAATCTCTTCTTGACCAGGGAGAAAGACAAGGATATCACCTAAAGGTTGGGTAATATGAATTTGCAGAATTGTAACTACACAGGCATCAATATAATCTGCTTCTGGTGCCGAAGTATAATAAATATCGACCGGAAATCGTCGTCCGGGTATTCGAAAGACGGGAGCTTCATCAAAGAAAACACTGAACTTTTCGGCATCCAGGGTGGCACTGGAGATGAGTAGTTTAAAGTCGGGTCGAAAACGAGCAATATCTTTGACCAGGCCGAAAAGAATATCAGTGTGGAGGGTTCGCTCATGGGCCTCGTCCACAATCAGTGCTGAATAAGAGGCCAGATCAGGTTCAGAAAGAAATTCTCGAAGTAACATACCATCGGTCATATATTTGATCTTCGTTCGTTCACTTGTACAATCTTCAAATCTGATACTGTAACCGACATCATGTCCAAGTTTAACATTCATTTCTTGAGCGACTCTTGCAGCAACACTCATGGCCGCGACTCGACGAGGTTGAGTACAACCAATTTTTTTACCGCCTTTAGTATATCCTGCTTCATGTAGATATTGAGGTATTTGTGTTGTCTTTCCTGATCCAGTTTCTCCTTCAATGATTAGCACTTGATACTCGTCTATTGCTTTAATAAGATCATCTCGATAAGCGTAAATTGGAAGGGATCTTCTTGTCTCTTTAATTGTCATTTTTCTTGCTGTTTCTGCGTCAATTTTATTTTTCTCATCAGTATTTTGTCCTCCCACAGTTAACGCTTTAATAAAATCAATGGATATATCAAACATCATATCTTCGTCTTTGGGTTTATGTCTTTTATCTTTATCTTTGGCACCAACAGATAATTTAGCGGCTTTCAAACGATCTTCTTCCCATTTTCTGGCCTCCGAATTGGGACCTTTTTCTTTCTCGTCGATCTCTTCGTAATATTTACTTGGTTTTTCGTCTCCTTTAGGCATATGGTATCGCTGAACTGTTGCGAGCTCTTTGGCTTGTTCATGTTCCTTCGCCAAAGAGTAAACTTTTTCATCGTATTCTAATTTGTCTTTTTCAGCTTTGGTCAATTTAACATCACTGAAAAGCTCTTTATTGTCTTTGATTGACTTTCCCAATAAGTCCAACTGATCGGCTTTACGTCTGAGTAGGTAGTCTATTCTTGATTCTTCTCGCAACTTGGGGATGGCTGATTTTCTATCTTCATTCTCCATTTTTAATCTTTTCGTCGCTTCTTCATATGATTTTTTATCCGATTTAGTGACAACATTTCGAGTTCTTTTTTTGTCCTTTTCCTTTAATCTTTCAGCAAAAGCATCTCGTTCTTCGATATCTTTAAGTCTCTCAACATCATCATTCTTAGATGAATTGGATGGTTTATCTGAAGACATGTTCCTTAATGATTAAAATAAAAACAGAAGTAGAACCAATTTGTTATGATCAATCTTATCGTAACTATTTTTTGTCTTTAGTTTGAGATCACAAATTTGTAGACCGTTAACCAACCCAACCAATCGCAATTAGATAATCTATTGTCGATTCTGTAGTTAAACACAAAAGAAATGGATATTTTTCCAATTTGAAATTGTCAATTGACAAAATTGTTTTGTTGATTTTTAGGCGAAAACAAATTCCACAATACTTTCTAAATCTGACAACAGATGGCGAAGGTAAAAGAAAAACCGCGAAACTCAAAAAAAACCGAATTGTTTGATTATAATTCAAATGATGATCATTGATTTTGATTTGTGTTTTTTGAATAAATTAACACTATTGAGAAATTGGATTTAGTTAGCTAATTGATGATTGGATGATTTTATATGATTATTTGAATCAACAAATTGTTATTGCGCGAAATTAGTTAAATAAAATACAAAATTTTTATAATTGTGATCTTAAAATTTTTTATTTAAGTTCTCATAAATTTGATGATTGAATTACATTCAATTAACAGAAATAAATGTAATACAATTAATACTAGAATTTAAAGCTTCGGTGGTTTGAGATCATTATTACAATTTGGAAATAGATTTGATTGAGACAATTTATTTGGTTTCCATTTTCTCAGTTTGAGAGTTTGATTGTTGTTTTGTTGATTGTTGTCTTTTCCTTCAATTGGTTGATAGACTTGATTAGTAAGAGAAATTGGAATATTTTTCTCCAGCAACAGCATTGACCACCTTCTTTGGAGCTTTGATTGATAGAACTCCATCGACACTTAATTTCGATTCCAATTTCTCCAATTCGATATTCTCAGGAAGAACATATCGTCGCTTAAATTGTCTCGAAATGAAGCCAGTTTCATCTGATCTTTCTTCGTGTTTCGCTTCAACCACCAAACTATTGTCAACCAATTTCACGTTGATTTCTTCTGGTTTATAGTGACCACAATCGACATTCACTTGGAAATTGTCCTTTGAATCGACAATTTGTCCCATTTGTTGATTGAAATTGTCTGATAGTTGATTGAGTTGACGAAGAGCTCGATTCATTTGGTTCCATGATCTTCGAGGATAATCAACAATTGGTTCTCGATAAGCGATGAAAGGGACGAAATCATCGAGAGGATCTCGAAGCATCGATTCAACAAGTCGAGGAACAAGAGACATTTTGATCAATTCACAAATTAGAAGAAAATTAAATTCACAAAGAAAAAGAAAATTTGATTAATTATCACAAAAAAGAGTTTAAGGAATTGAAAGAATTGAATGAAATGAGAGAGTTTAAAGAGTTGAGAGAGTTGAGAGAGTTTGAAGTTTGACTTTTGTTTTGATTCTTCTACTGAACTTGAATTGTGTCTCCTTCTCTTTTATACTCAAACTTCACTTTTACTACAAAAATCTAGAAGTTTCCATAACATTCATTCAGTTACCAGATTCTTCTCACTTTTCTTTCTTTTAATTAGCATTTTGCTTTTTAAATTACTTAATTAAAAATAAGGTTTCAATAAAGAATTTAATTAGGAAAATGATCATCATAAGGTTATAAAATTGCAAAGAAACTAAATTAAAAGAAAGAAAACCGAGAAGAATCTGGTTTATGAATGAATGTTATGGAAACTTCTAGATTTTTGTAGTAAAAGTGAAGTTTGAGTATAAAAAGAGAAGGAGACACAATTCAAGTTCAGTAGAAGAATCAAAACAAAAGTCAAACTTCAAACTCTCTCAACTCTTTAAACTCTCTCATTTCATTCAATTCTTTCAATTCCTTAAACTCTTTTTTGTGATAATTAATCAAATTTTCTTTTTCTTTGTGAATTTAATTTTCTTCTAAATTGTGAATTGATCAAAATGTCTCTTGTTCCTCGACTTGTTGAATCGATGCTTCGAGATCCTCTCGATGATTTCGTCCCTTTCATCGCTTATCGAGAACCAATTGTTGATTATCCTCGAAGATCATGGAACCAAATGAATCGAGCTCTTCGTCAACTCAATCAACTATCAGACAATTTCAATCAACAAATGGGACAAATTGTCGATTCAAAGGACAATTTCCAAGTGAATGTCGATTGTGGTCACTATAAACCAGAAGAAATCAACGAAATTGGTTGACAATAGTTTGGTGGTTGAAGGAAACACGAAGAAAGATCAGATGAAACTGGCTTCATTTCGAGACAATTTAAGCGACGATATGTTCTTCCTGAGAATATCGAATTGGAGAAATTGGAATCGAAATTAAGTGTCGATGGAGTTCTATCAATCAAAGCTCCAAAGAAGGTGGTCAATGCTGTTGCTGGAGAGAAAAATATTCCAATTTCTCTTACTAATCAAGTCTATCAACCAATTGAAGGAAAAGACAACAATCAACAAAAACAACAATCAAACTCTCAAACTGAGAAAATGGAAACCAAATAAATTGTTTCAATCAAATCTGATTCCAAATTGTTATAATGATCTCAAACCACCGAAGCTTTAAATTCTAGTATTAATTGTATTACAATGATTTCTGTTAATTGAATGTAATTCAATCATCAAATTTATGAGACCTTAAATAAAAATTTCTAAGATCATAATTATAAAAATTTTGTATTTTATTTAACTAATTTCGCGGAATAACAATTCGTTGATTCAAATAATCAGATAAAATCATCTAATCATCAATTAGCTAACTAAATCCAATTTCTCATTAGTGTTATTACCTTTAACTTATTAAAAAAAACAATTCAAAATCAATGATCATAAAATGATCATTTGAATTAATCAAACAATTCGGTTCTTTTTTGAGTTTCGCGGTTTTTCTTTTACCTTCGCCATCTGTTGTCAGATTTAGAAAATATTGTGGAATTTGTTTTCGCCTAAAAATCAACAAAACAATTTTGTCAATTGACAATTTCAAATTGGAAAAATATCCATTTCTTTTGTGTTTAACTACAGAATCGACAATAGATTATCTAATTGCGATTGGTTGGTTGGTTAACGTCTACAAATTTGTGATCTCAAACTAAAGACAAAAAATAGTTACGATAAGATTGATCCTAAAAAAATTGATTCTAATGTCACAAATATTATCAAGAGGTTGTTTCCTAAAAATACCATATGGATCTTCATTGGCCACTTTATTGGCTCTTTGTGGTGTTTCAATTGTTCTTGGCTCTTTTCTGGAAACAATCACCTTAATCGATGGATTACTTTATGAACTGTTAAACTTAAAGTATTTATGGTTTAATGATGTGAAAGTGGTTTACATAATTTTCTGTACTTTACTGACTGTAGTTATATTGATTAATTTGATGATTGGTTGTATGACCACTGGTCGAAAAGCATCACAATACATGGGATCACCAGGATGCTCTCTTTGTGGATCAGCAACAAGCTGCCTTGTGAAATGTGTCTTCATTGCCAATTACATTCTATTCTACCTGATCTTGGCTTTAACGATCGCATTTACTGTTGTCCTGTTTATTTGTTACATTATGTCAAGATTATGCTCAGAGGGTCGAACCTACGATGAACCAAGTGGATCTAATCATTTACCTGCCAGTGAAGTGACTGACAGTTCACAACAATTGAACCTTAAATTGTTTGCACCCTTGCTCAATGTCCGACCCAATGAGACTGGTCATCTTCTTGTATTTGAAGGATACAAATTGAAAAAATTGTGTATTGATTATCTTTCAAATCTTTACCTTTATGTTATACTTTGTTTCACTGGATTCATTTTATTATGTTCTGGTTTCCTTAACTACCTGATTAATTTAAGTGTTAATTGGGCGAGAATATCAACATCACAAAAATGTGCTGAATTAATTTATCTCAATTCAGCTGAAATGACAGCATTTGGAGGTGAATCATTAGATGTTGGTGGACGTTTTTAATGATTAATTTGTTTTTTATTTATTTTAAACAATTAATTGATTAATTAAGTATTATAAGTATAACCAAATCAACATCTCATGTCAATATTATGGCATTTCTCATATCCAGTCCATCACATTCAACAGCCTTCATCATCTCATTCCATTCATCATTCCAGCAACAACTTGACACTCACTCTTTTTCTGCACGTTCATAACTTCATACTCATCCACCTTAAAGATTTTTACGAATACCAAAATTATCTATTGTTCATTGGAACCAAAATTAAGATTCACCTTTACGAACAACACTCAAACCTTATCAAATTTACTCTCTTTTTCACCTTTCAATTAACTCAATTACAATTTCTATCCACTCTGGTTCTTGATTATCATGTTTGTGAACTCACAACTTGGAACTGATTTTAAAGTTAAGGTTAGTAAACTATTTTCATGATAATTTTATCTCAATTTGATCAATTTTTAATCATTTGTTTTTTGTTTGTTTCCTTAACAGGTAATATTCATATCAAGCCAGCCAACGTATTTAAATAAACATTAATTCCTATCCGTCCATTAATAGCAATTAAGCCTACAATCAGTCTACCACTCAGGAAAAATAAACAAACATCAATTCACATCAAAGTAACATTAACAATCGTATTTGCCAATAAATAAACAATTGATACCTCACTTGGACCAATTTAAACTAATCAAGGAGAATCATCATCATCTTCATCAGCCAAGAATCATGAAGTATCAACTATCATCAAATTAGAATACTTATCACCAAAATAATCAAAGTATTTCTATCAACCAAATTTAAGTTATATCACATTTGCAATACTGTAATTGTTTTTCTCTCTCTTCTTCATAATCTTTCTTGTCTTCTTTTCGTTTTTCCCTCACCTTTTTGCTGATTTTTCTAATGCAAAAATAAACAAAGTTCAACAGATTATCTTTATTGGATCATCAACGCGATCATCAACCGCCAATCAACTTTAATTGTGATAATATTTGTTGTTTCATATGTCACAATAATCTTTTAATTAGGTTGATTGTGTTTCAAATTGTGTTTACAATTAGTCTTATTTTTATCCAATTTTTCTTTCACTGATTATCACAAACCAAATAACAATAATGAAGACAAATATTGTTGATTCTCACAAACCAAGTTACGAATCAAATCTTAATTGTTTGATTGATTAGAAAAAAAGAGAAACTATTTTTAAGATTGAAAAGAAAAGAAAACCATTTTCTCAGTTCAATAGATACAAAGTGAAATCACAACTTTTTTCTCGATTATGTTACTATTAACATCATTTTCAATTCAATTGTCCCAACAATTAAGTTCTGATGAAACTCTAATCACAGTGACACTTTTATCGAAATGAGTAAACACCAACTTTTCAAATTAGTCCAAAAAGGTCCGATAATTAACCTAAAAACAACTGTAAACTTTGAAACTTTTTTACTCTTTTTCGCATTTTTTTTTTATAATTATGATGAGTAAATTGTGATAATCTAATTGCGAGTAGTTAATAACAGGAAATTCAGATGGAAAGTCTCAATTTAGATTATCATTTCTTTTTTACCTTTCCGTTGATAGAATTGCTTGTTGTCAATGATTAGTTTACATCTTAAAATGTAGCTATTGTTAATCTTAAATTATCCTCTTGTTAATGGTAATAAGATTAAGAAGCTGAGTGATTATTGGTTGAGATGATCATTAAATCAACCAAATGGAACCACAATTAAAGGAAAGGTGATAATTCAATGTTAGAACTGATTGGAAAACGTTGATAATATTGTGAAAATATCCAACGTAATTTTGGTAATAAAAGTTCACCGTAAATTCATGGGTTGATAATCATTATCATCGTCATCTCATCGTAATGTTGTTTTTGTTAATGGACTTGAAAGAGAAGAGAAAAAGAAGATGAAGAAGATGAAGAAGATGAAGAAGATAATGATGATGACGATGATGGAACAGGTAAAAAATGTTGATCTTCCATCAGGTTCTCAATGGGTTTGTCTCTTTACCTTGAAGATAATCCATTCACCTTAATTCATTCAAATTTACATTTTCTCACAAACTTGATTATCTTAATCATTCGCATTTAATTTGGTTCTTTCCTTTTTGCTTAATTTAATCAAAGAAGATTCGAAGTGGATTTGGTTTTGATTGATTGAATCTCTGGATTTTGTTGATTAAATTCCGATGATAATCAATTAGTTTATTCTGTTAATCACCAATGAAAACAATTAAAGAATAGTTTTGCCAATTGATTAATAAGATAAAATAACAATACAAATTATTCTCATATTTTAGCTAATCACATCTAAATTGATGATCAAATAATTCACAGTTATTGATATAATTATCAGGTAAATTGTTATTAGTGTCAAGTTAATCAACGGACTTTAAGTGTAAAAGTTATTTCGTTTATGAGTATTAATTGAAATGATTGCATAACAACCAAAACTCATTAAACTTATTCTCATAATTTCAAATTATCGTTTTTTTGACAGCAAGTTAATGAAATTAATTAGAAAAAAATTGATACAATTTAACAGACAATCAGTTATAATGAATTTTATTAATACTCTTTTCGAAAATTAATTGATTTTAATCAAGTTTACAAGCAAAACCCTTGAAATGAGTTAATTGGTTTGATTAATTCTTTCAAATATAATATCAGGTAAAGTTGTAGGTCGTCTTGAAATGCCGAAGCTGATTTCAGGATTTAATTCAGTTCCAGTTTCTAATTTGATTCTAAACTTTTGTAAAATCGAAACGAGATAAAGAAAAGCTTCAACATTAGCTAATCCTTCACCAGGACAGATCCTTTTACCGCCCGAAAATGGGACTAAATAAGGAGGTTTAACGGCTTTAGTACCATTTTCGACTAAAAATCGCGATGGATCAAATTTCTCAGGCTCAGTCCATAAACTGGGATCATAATGAACAGACCAGAAATTGAATAAAATGGAAGTACCTTTGGGTATTTTATGAGTACCAATGGTTATATCACGAAAAGCTCTTCTGAACAAATTAACAGGAACAATCGACGAGTGTCTGTGTACCTCATAGAGAAAGGCCAAAGTAAAAGGCATTCGACTGTGATCTGAATAATCGGGGTTCCGTTCGTGTCCAATCACCTCTTCTATTTCTGATTGTATTTTATCCTGAAATTCAGGGGTTTTCAGGAGGTAATATACCGCCCATGTCATTGTCGAATGGAGAGTCTCCAAGCCAGCGGCGAAAAATGTGAAGCAATTTCGACGTAAAATATCATAACTAAAATTATTCGAACCTTGATCCGAATTTGGTTCATTTTCGTTGTTTTTTTCTCGTTTCTGTTTCTCTCTCAGATAACCATCAATATAATCAGTCATTTCCTCAGATTTTTTCTTCTCATGAGAATCTATTTCACTTTGTACATATGATTCGATATATAAAAGACTTTTTTTAATTAGATCCATTTTAAACGCACCGAATGTCACTAAAAGACGAGCCAACCAAGGTAAAAAGATGAAAATATCAGCAAATGAAAACTGTCGTCCAATGATATCGATACTATTGTCGAGATTCATTTTAACACTGTCATCATAATTGAATTTGTGACCAAACAGCAGGAGCGATATGTTGTTTGACACTGATGGGGCCAATTTCTTTAAGAAATTGACTGGTTTGCCGTCGGCATCAAGGGCATTCAGGAAACATTGTATCTCCTCCTTGATGGCATTTTCGAGGACACTTTTACCCAAGCCAACATCTCGAAGTATATGAAGGGAAAGTCGACGATGTTCACGCCAAATGTCACCCGACATTTCAGTAAGCGAAGGCACTTCGATAATACCAGGGAAAAAGACGGTATCAGGTCGAGCTAATAGAGCCTCATTCGTAAAGGCTTCTTTTATGTGAGGCCAATCGCAAATGACCACAATGTTTTCTTGACCCAATTTAATACTAAAAACGGGACCAAATTTGGCTGATAATTTGTCAAACTCCAGGTAAAGATGTTGTTTAATCATCGGTAAATAGCCAACGATTGGAAATCCCCATGGTCCTGATGGTAATGATCTGATCGATTTGATTGTCTCAAGAATCCATTTAATTAACATCAACTCCAATCGTCAAATGGTTAAAATGTGGTTGAACATTTTAATTACAAAACAATTATTAAGTACTGGGTGACATTTCACTACATGGTTGTCAATGTCAGATCAAAGTCGCTGATTATCAAGTCATCAGTAATTCCGTCATCAGGCAGGAGTCGGCAACGCAGGGCCAAGATGCACGTACGCAATGAAAATACAATTGATAGTGCGCACATGTATGAAGAGTGAGATAGGGACCGAACTCGAATAAAAACCAAATGTTTGTATTGACGAGTATTCACTTTCATTTCAAAATTCTTAAGAGTCACATCTGAAGTTTCTTTCTTTTTCTACTAAAATGAATACAGACTCAAGCAACAATGCAAGTACTTATGCCGAGCAAGCTCGATATGAAAGCTTTTCCAATCAGCGTGGGGCACGGAGATTTCATACCGAACGGAGCTAGCGCGATGGTTTTACTTTACAGGAATATCGCGACAGGTTAAATGTTTTTCTGTGGATACCTCTACCACGCCTCAATCTGGCAAGATTTACACTGGATTGAACATCGTCTTCATTCATCAGATTGTCCTTTCATCCAAGGTCTTCCTTGTGGTAATATACCAAGATCTATTTCAACTGTTTTTCTACAGGAAAACACGCCTCTAAGAGTCATGGTTAATTATGAAAATGAAGAATCAAGGATAGTACAGAATAATAATCCTTCACATTCTAATAACACTGCAGAGGATCGAGTGATTATAATTAACCAAATTGAGGGAGAAGATGTAGTTGACGACTACCCAAGACCACAAAACAATGATAATGTCACTGGTATCTCTAACATCCTAACAGAAAATGAAAATTCTAACAATCTTCCAGGAATCGAAAGAACTAACCGACGTTTTCCTAGAGTATCTAGGCGTATAACAAGAAATAGGCTGGTATCATTTTCAGAATCATCCAATCGACGACGATACTTTAAGCCGCTGAACCTTCAGTTCAGAACACTACAAAGTCGGATTGAAACTTTCTCAAATTGGCCGATCAATGAGATAATAACACCCAAAGAACTTGCAGAGGCCGGATTCTTTTACACTAGAGTATACGATCACACCAGATGTTTCAACTGCAATGGAACAATCTCAAATTGGGAGAGAGATAATGCTTGGGCTGTCCATGCATACTTCCCTAAATGTAGTTATCTATATTTGAAGCGAGGACAGATGTTCGTAGATGATATCAACTCCCCAACAGATACAGTTACTCCCTTACAGAGCTACAACCCACTGATGATAAGGACAGATACACTTGCAAGATATGTCTCGACAAAGAAATCGGTACAGTATTCGCACCATGTGATCACGCTATCTCTTGCATCGATTGTGCGACACAGCTTGATGAATGTCCAATTTGTAAATCAAGTATCTCTCATATATGTAGAATGAAATTAATTAATTAAATAAACTGTTTTCATATAAAATATCAAATCATTTTTATTAGCAAATGAACTTCATCAAAAGAATTCACAATATCTGTAAAATCTGAAAAGCCAGTGAAAATTATTTTCCTGTATGAAAACCGATATTTTAGCTTTACCGATATTATAGTAAGCAGCTGGGTATATTTCAGGTTATATTCAAAGTCTCCATTGTTTGCTAGATCATTCAACACAATTGGATGACCTAATGCACAAGTAGCAACGATATTAACTATTCTTCTTGTATATTCTTTTTTCTTATGCAATTTTAAACACAATTCATCAACAGCATCTTCAGCATCCTCAATTCTCTTATTTCCGACGACATTAATCTTTCCATTTCGGAATACTAGTAAACAATTTATTTTCGTCTTAATGATAGCACCATTGAATCGTTTAGGTCGGTAATCAGTTTGAGGATAAATATTTATCAGTTGATTTAGATCTATCTCAAAAGGTAGAGAGAAGGCGACCACCATGTTTGTAACCCGTGGGCAAGTGTACTCATCCATTTTTGTTATGCAACTGAAAACTTGTATTCCATTCCTCCGAACTTATACTTTTTACTGTTTTATCATTAGATTTTGTATCAGCAGAAAAATACTTGATAAATTTTATGAATGAAAATTTCAGAGAGCGAAACTTTACAAATGCTATACAAAACTCTCCACATGTTCGTGAAGAAGGGTGTTGTAAACAACGGCCATTCCACAACATTTTACGTGACCCGATAGCATTAATTATTTCCTGATGCAATGGAGGTAAACCAAATGAGTCAAAATATTCACATTCATTCGATGTAAATCTCATAGCAACCCAATGCGTTCCAGGAGCAGATGACTTGTCAGTATTGACGATAATAAATGATGGATACTCAACTATTGAAGGTATTTTATCTCGCGCAAAACATCCTATGAATTTATCGTAAGAACAAAGAGCTTTCTTTATTTCATAATCAAACATTACTTTTATTTGAAATCAGTTACAGCATTACGTTCTAAATCTATTTCAATAATATTGTCAAACTCGCAATAAAGTACAGTTATTGTTTCTCTTAATGGTTCAGAAAATCTCAATTGAACTCTCAACGAGCCTCTTTAATAGGGTTAATATGTCCAGTCATACCAGGTCCATGTGACAGGTCTGGTGCAAAGTTAAAGGCGAAAATTGTTTTTCCTCCCATGAAATCTTCCCTAGTAATATTTACTGTTGTATCAGTTGAGTTCATATTCATTGCTTGAAATAGGCCAGAGTACTCTCGTACACATAATTGATTTTTGAAGTCGGGTTGATACGCATTTGTCGGGAATTGAACACCATCAACGTAACAAGCTGCATGTGAAACATTAAAATGGTCAAAGTGGAATGGATCTTGAGACTTAGAACCATTAAATGCTGTAAACCATCTCACGGAAGTTGTCCTGTTATAATATATCTAGAACCGCATCAAGAGAGTTTGCATGGATAGAGGCTTGTCGCAAATCAACCCTTGAAATAGGGTAACATGCAGGCGCAATAGCCAGAGCTTTTAGTGTGCGTTTGTTAATTGGGTGTAGCCTTCATTTTATGCACGTATAGACATGCATCTTTAATCACCATTGCAATATCGCTTACTCTATCCTCATTGCATGAAGAATGAAGGATCGTGTAAGGATTCTTACTTTAATATCTTTACCTCCAAGTATAGCCTTGCCTTGAAATGTCATATCAAAATGTAGCCGTCCATAAAGATCAACTTCTTTACTACCATCTGCAAAACTTCTCAGGTGAAAATGATCGTCTCCTTATTGCATTCTCCATCCACAAACAACTCGACAAGTGCGAGTTTTAGCATCAGCGGAGAAGCCTAGCATGTTTTCAATATAGGCTCGGTAAGCGTATGTTGAATTAGACATGGTAACCTCTTTCCTTCCAATTTCAAGCTCAACTTGTTTTATCATAGAATGAAGTAAATTATTTACTGGTGTTACAGTTTCCCAGTCTTGAATAGTTAACGCAGAATCGTCTGCTTTTCGGATTTTAAGTTGAATTTTCACATAAAAATATGTTTCATGAAGAAGAATATACTCATCCTTAGATGTAGGAATTGAAAACTCTATTATTTTTGTAGAGTCGAGAGATGATATTGGTCTGTATTGTACTTCATAGCTTCTCTCAATAGATTTCTGAACAGGTGGTATCGTAAAAAGATCCAATTCAGAAAGGACAGCTTCTTTCGAATATTTGCTTTGAGTGGTCATTTTAAAAAACTATAATCAGCTATGTAAGATCTTTTTGTCAACTTTCTCCTTTTTATACCTGAGCCGGACTGACCATCTTCATTTCCCACTTTTCTTTTTATAGCCTCTTGAGCTACTTCTTGAACAGTATCAATGATTCTATTGGTCGCAGAAGTTTTGACATCATTCAAAATAGCCTTTCCAGTATCCAGGGCTTTGTCTCCAAGATAACGCAATATAGGTAAAACCTTACTAGTAAAAAGTCTACTGAAAAAGCCACCGCCTCGTTGATAACGTACTCCTGAGAAAGATTGAATTGCAGTTCCATTACCTGCTTGTTCTAAATAATAGCTTTCCATGTTTTTCTAAAGTGTAAAGTCACCGAAACTCTTCCAAATTGAAATTCTATAGGATTTCCTGTATCATCCTTTATATTAATTCTTATTTTATCAATGAAATTTGAATTAACAGGAAAATAATATGGTTTTTGAAAGATTAAATTTATGTCAGATCCGAATTCGTCACGATCGTCTATCCTGGCAGATCGTAAAAATTAGCTTGTATTTCCAACGATTGAATGTGATACAATATCACTATAAACCATTAAAGAATGAATTCCTCCCTTCATATCAAATAGTCTTTCAGGGCTTTTACTCTGCAATCTTATGTATTTATCGCCTATTAATGGCACGATAGAAACATTCTCATCCAACATATTCATTGAGTTTTCATTAGAAAAACCGAGCATTTCCTCTAATTCATTTCCTAAATAAACTAGCATCGGTACTCCGTCACTAGTACGGCCAAATTTCATTTCCACCTTTCGACTGTGTTCATCTAGAACTAATTTAGGTTGTAAGTATTTATCTTGTTCGAATAAAAACTCAATTTTATCGTTGATAGCTTTTATCAAATCATGGATGTTCTTATACCACCCTGGAGCTATACCCGGTTTTTGTAAAATGATTGATCTAGTGTCATGAAGTGTAAATAATGAGTTTTGTTGAACATTATACCAACTTTTAGTGTACGATAACTCTGTTAGAGCCACATGATAGTCATCAGACAAATTCAATGGTTTAGGAAGATATGTTATATAATCAGAAATTTTATTTTTTTCATAAGTAAAGACATTACTAGGAAGTGAAACATAAAACGAATTAGGCATTTTCTTTAAACAAAAAAATTTAATTGATCAAATATTTATTGAGCGCTTTATATCACTTTCACTTGCATTACGGCTTATCAAGGAATTTTTTTTGGAGAACTTTGGAGTTGGAAGTATACATCCTAGAGACATTGTAAGCAAAGTCAGCCATAACTTTTGATCTCCCATCCCAAGAGAAAGATTGAGAAGTGAGGCAATAACAACACAAAAAAGCGTTACAATTTGCATGGTAAACGTAAACATTTCAGCATTCATCATTGTGATATTGTTGTTATCGCTTGTGCATCTATCCATGAATTGTAAGTTGCAGAATATCCTAACCATTTAACAAAGTATTGTGGCTTTCCTTTATATAATCGTCTTTTCAATATTTTCTCAATACGATGTACCTCTGCATGGACTTTCTGTAACTCTTCCTCATAAAATTTTCTATTCTCTATTTTGGTTCCATCATAACCATCTAGTGTGAAAATTGCTTTTTTATTTGTTCTATCCACCGATGAAATTTTGTATACATGATCACTCCAATTCGGGTAGAATCCCTTTTCAAACGGTCCTAACTTATACTTCATTCGCACTTCATCTCCAACATCAATCTTATGTATGAGGGGTGTTCCCTGATAAATTTCTCGTAATGATTTTTTTCCATAAAGTTTTTCAAAAATGGAGTTCGAGTTTTCATCATTTACATCTTTCGGTGCCATACCAATTGATCTATGCAAACTTCCATTATAGGCAATCATTAGCTCATGTAATACATCAATAAATTTTCTCGTCCCTTTCGAAGTGAAATATCGAAACATTCGAGTTTTCAGTGTTCTATTAAATCGTTCAACTATAGCACATTTTATATCAGGATTGTTTGATGAATAATATCTTATATTTTTTGATGAAAGAAGATCTTGAAATGTTTTGTTAATAAATTCCTTTCCCTTATCAGTTCGTAAAGCAGCAGGTGTTCGTGTAGATAGAATATCTTTGAAAGCATCCGAAACGGACTTTGCTGATTTATTAGAAAGTGCCCGCGCCCAAGCATATTTGCTGAAACAGTCAATTACTGTTAAGATATATTTCTGGCCATTATTCTGGCGTGAAAATTCTTGCATTTCAACAAGATCAGCCTCCCATTGTTCATCTATTTTGCTAACGATAATAGGGTTTCTTACGAACTTTCTTCTAGCTTGAGCGTGTAGAGTGTAAGTAAGTTGACTTTTTAACCATCTCTTAACCTGCTCATGTGTTAGACTAGGAATCTCTTTCTTAGCGGCATTGAAAAGTTTTAATGACGAAAAACCCTGCTGGATTATTCGGTTGGTAATAGATGTTGGAAAGTATTTCCTTTTGGGATTGTCCAATTTCCATATGATCTGAGGTTGTATATTCTTTTCTATATTGTTTATCAGCTGGAGTAATAACTTCAGGTTCAGCTTTAGCTTTGGCTTTTTGTTCGGAGTTTTTGTAGTTTTTCCTCGGTTTTTTTTTGAGGTTTTCTTCCAACTTCTTTACATAGAAATCACTATTTCTTTGTATGTCTGTTAACACAATTGGTTCGAAAATTTGATCAGGAGGATAATCAGTTTTACTAATTGCCATATGCTTGAGTTTTCTTCTGATTTTATCATTTTTTATCAGCGAAGAATCAACATCACATTTTTTAAGTAAAAATAAAAATTCATTTATGTATTTAGGAAGTTTACTCTGGTTTGTGAGGGACCCTAAAAGATCAATTAAATCACTATCAGCAATGACCTTATCGTTGAATAACAACCTATTATTGGCGTCATAATAATTACGTAATGCAAATTTCAAAGCTATATGAGTAATCAATTTTATTTTATCACTCGAAGTTTTAGCTGTTACAATTCCTGAACCTTTCATTGGTAATTGAGAGGTCTCAGTATCATTCATTTGGTAAGTTTTCTTTATTACTTCCATTGGATATTATTGTGTTTATCAATTGTATAGCAGCAGGAATAAATAGTGTAGATATCCACCAGATTGTATCAGATGTTTTTATGTCTCTTTTATTTTTATCGTGGATGAAATCAACTATTGCGCGCTTGTGTCTTCGTAACTTTGGTTTAACGTCATCAGGAAGAGGTAGATTCTGGTGTACAACATTCATAACGATCTCATGGATTGCTTTATATATTTTTCCTGTTTGAATTGGTCTGCTAGAAAGTCCTGTCGTAGCTTTTTCCCTTTCAACTTCATGTAGAGGTGAATAATGGGTAAACAGTCGGATAATTCTTGTGAAATCATATTTCATAAATGATGATGTTATGTTTGGCTTCCTTTCGAACTATGTTGGTCTGAACTCGCAAATGATCTGGAGTTCTTGGTGTAAGATCAATCTTTAAATAGCTGAATGGTTGCTTAGTTGCATCTTCATACGCTTTTATCAGTCTTGCGCTCTTGGTTGGATATATTTGTCTAGCTAAGCAGTGTATTTGTGATTTGTCTCTAGGATTTTTCATCAGTACCAAGTATTGACAATTCAAGCTTATTCCGCGCATGTGTTTACCCTGGTGGAAAATGTTTTGTACTATGAATATAACACTTATGTGGAGATGATGACTACCTTTAGTAAATAAATTTAGAAGTCTATTATCTCCTCCTAGTTCATTCATAAGATCATCAACAACAATCAAATCATAATTACTAGGATCTTCAATCAAACCTTCGTGATATTCAATTATACTGTCGCTCTCACTATAGCTTTCCTGCATTTGCCCATGACACCATACAATCTTAGGGTTTGACTTAAGTTTCGAAAATGTGAATCTATGATTATCAATTAAAGACTTAACAAGCACAGTCTTCCCACTTGATGTTGGGCCTGCAATCATACACGTGAAAGGGTGAATAAAAGTAAAATAAGAGTTATTTTCTGAAACCATTTTTAGTTTAATTGAATAATTTTTAAATGAAAGTTGTTACATCAAAACATTTTTTTTTGTTATTCTTTATATATATTATGAAAATTATTCATTGGTTTTTTTTTCGTTTGATGACGTTACCATCTCCAGACAGATTTTCTACCTTCCAGTCCTCCTTGAGTTCACATCTTAATTGCATCAAAACGTATCCAAGAAGGTTTTTACCTGTCCAGTTGTGTGGCATATCAGCATTTGTGTCATCTTGATCAAATCCACAAGATAATGTTTTATCTTCTGCATCGCAATATATTAGGATAGTGTTACCTGTAGCAATTAATAGTCGTTTCAATTCCCAACATGCCCGAAACTTGGCTAAGTAAGCAGTGAGGATATCATTGAATTCGATCTTTTTAAGATCCTTGTTAGCAGCGAGATAAGCAATGATTGAGTTGTACCATTTTTCGTCAATTTTGAACCTGAACGAGGTATCAGTTAAGGTGAATCTTGTGTAGTCACCTGACTTTGAGTTTATTTTAACAAATGGGGTTGGCTTTCTGATGTATTTTTCAGAAGCTTCACCATTAGTTTTTGAGACAGGTACTGAAAATTTTGAGAAATCCATTTCGATGATGTAGTTTTTTTGTTTGTTGTTTTTTCTAGAAAAAATTGATGTTATCAGTTGGAGAGTTAGACTGAAAATAAAAATACTGTGACAAGACTCTTCTTTTATACCACTTGATGGAAATAATTTCAAACATGCGCAAAAATAGATGTAAAACCAGTTTTCTTTAGCAATGAAAACGCCCTTTTCAATCTTTAGTTGTGCTTTCTTATACTTTTTCAACGCCTCTTTTTCCCTCTCATCTGCCTTTTGTGAAACAAAGACACGCCTCATTATACATGTTAAACCTATCTAAATACATGCATATGAATCCTAATTTGACCTTTTATCTTGCTTTTTCAGACAGATTATAGTCTTTCTATAAATAAAAGTTTAACGCAAATAATAATTTTTATTCTTTTTTATTTAGAGTTTTTAAAAAATCAATCTACATAGCCAAAAGGGCGTGTATCATTACCAATTATTCGTCTTTTTTCGGAGACTGCCCTGTAGATTTTCTCAAAATTCCGTGTTTCAACTGTATGTGTAAACTTGTCTGATACGATGTTACTTTGTGTTATGTTAACTCTTTGTTGGTCACCTCCTATGTAAGAATGCGCCATTTCAAGAAGTTTCTGTGTAGTTATGATGTCTAATGCCTTGGATGTGAGTCGTATCCCTTTTACTTTTATTATACTTTTAGTATCTTCTTGAGAGTTTATGACTTGGTATGCATAGTTTTTTGGGCCTAATGAAACAAAAAGATTACATTTCCAGCCAGGTTCAATCTCATCTGTCAATTGACCAAGATAGTCTCCGCATTGAATTTTCGGATCACCAGTTTTCTCTACAAACACAACTGAATCGGTGTCAAAATAGAGAACTCTACCTTGTCGATGTGACTCGATACGTTGTATCAAACGAAAAAGCTCTCTACGTGCGTATGCTGTGACAAAACTAGCGACTGCAATATTAGTCTTTCCAGGCGAAATTTTCTCCTTAGCTGACTCAATAAAACGATGTTGCAGCATAATAACTTCTTCAGAAGGTTCATGCATACCCAGAATCTCATTTTGCTCATCAGAAACGATACCCCATAGATCAGCGTAGTTTCTTACAAAGCTTGTTTTCGGTAAATTTGCAGTTTGCGCTAGTTTACCCCAAAAACTGTTCAACATAAGCTTTGCGATGCTTCGCCTTCCAGGATTCTTCTCGATAGAATTTGGATCCAACTCAACACCTTCAGCTGCTTTGTAGTCATTGATGTATTTTTGTTTATCGAATTCATTGGTAACCCATGAAGGCCAATCACTAGACTCTTGTTTTATTTTGAGCCACATTTTTACATACTCTGAAAAAAGTGTACCTGAATGTGGAGTCTTCCGATAATTGAGAACTTGATAGATCTTCATGATTTTATAGCCATATTTAACAGCTTCTTGGAGTTCGATGCTAGTCCAAGTGCTTGTCATAACTCTCTCCTCAGGTGAATGTGTGCATGATGTTTGAATGTTTTCGACTGCACACTTCATACACAAGGGAAATAATAACTTCTTGGATATTCTCATCGGCAGGACCCCAATGTTTAGCTTGGTAGGTGGAAGTACTTTACATTTGATGAATCCAAAGTAACTCCCGATATCTCGAAAATCTTCTTGGATGAGGAAAGGATGTCCGAGTGGATAGTCATATTCACGCAAGACGAATGGATATAATGATGTGAAATCTAAATATCTGATTACTTCATCTGAACTGCATTGATGAAAGAACTTGATGTTATTTGTTCTACCCCCATAAAAGCTTTCGCGGATATTTATTGACCCTACTTGTTTTATCTGATTGTAGTATGAGATACGAGAGCTGGTATATCTTTCTCTCTCATCAAACTCGTGTTCCCAGATCTCATGAAGAAGATAACCTCTATGCTGATAATATTCTTTTTTGAGCAAGACTCTTTGGTATAATGATTCAACCGTTAGTTCTTCGTCATTCATTGTAACTATCGTTGACCTATCCGGGTAGCATGCAGGACATCCATGGTAATAACATCCCCAAAATTCAAATACAGTATTATTACTTGGAATAAATCCGTCTGCGTAAAAAGGTCCAAGCCTCCATTCTCTTCTGATTTTTGTTCGAAGATCTTTTTGCATTAAATCTAACCACGCAGCGCCTTTAGTCGACTGTTTTCTCTCAGCATATCCTGAAAGAGGAGTGACTCCAAGGGTAAATGCTGGAAGCATGCGAGCTCTAAAGACCTCCATCGCTACTGAAGCTAACGTGAAACTTCTAGTTATTGGGTTAAGTCCAGTGATCGATTTAAACAAGTCAATGAAACGCATAATTGCTGTTTGAAGTATGAGGACATCTGATCTGCAGTATTCAATAATCTCAGTCTTAAAATTGAATACTGGGTCAGTCTTTATAGTCTCATAATACCATTTTTCAAGCTCAGCCTTCTGTGCCGGTTTGAGTGAGAGTGGGTCATAAAAATCGATAGCTGGAAACACTCCAACATAATGCTGATTTTCTGGTGTGTTGAACTTGTGTGGAAAATACCCCTTCTTCATTTCTTTGATGTTAAAGGATTTGCAGAGGGATGAAAGAGGCTGCATAAACAAACTCAAAGAGTCAATGAACTTTATATTCTCCATCTGTGAGTAAAGAATTTTTGACCCAGACATGATGACATTTGGGACTAGTAAAAATTTCCTTTTAAAAAAGTCTTGCATGATGAAATGACCATCATAACCTCTTTGATTGTGTGCAATAACCTTTATCTGGATGGCGGTTCTTGAGTCATCTTCAGCTGCAGTTCGAGGAAGCATCTTATCATAGAGATAATTACAAAATTCTTCGACACAGTCTGTTCCATACCATACGTGTTCTTCATCACCACACATTTCACAGTCTCGTAGGTTTCTTACTAAAGTTTTTTCATCAGTACATGTTGTGCACATTGTCCTGCTTATCAACAAATTCGGCTGATGTGTCAAGACATTTGTATTGTCTGTCTGGGTGATCTGCATTGACTCTATGTCATAACAAATTAATATCCATGGTTTAACGTCATCATCGATGAGATGTTCGAGGTTTCCAGGTTTGATATGACAGTAGTGTGGACTTGCACGGTATCCTACATCACATAAATTGCAAGTATAAACATCGCAAACATGATCGCCTGCTGTTGTGTCATATTGTACCCAACACGTAAGACATTTTCTAATGCGCCCACAAACACCATTCTTCTTATGTTGATCAAAGCAGTGTTGAGAATTCAAATCAACATTACAGTCACTGCAAGTAATTCTTTGGATGAATACGCATGCCTTGACTGAACGACATTTTTTACATGATCCTTTACAATAATGTGTATCTTTGCTGGTTTTAGCCCAACAATTGAAACAAAAATAGTCACAGTCCATGTACCCAGTTATTGATGTTATGAGGTTGAAGTGTGGTGGTTCGCTGTATTCTAAAATAATTTTATGTTCAACATCAGCACCGGAATACAGTTTCAATTGTGTCTTTTGATCAATAACCACAATTTGATAAGATGGTAGTAAGGCTTGAACCTCTGAAATTTTCTGTATGTCTAATGGTGAGCTGACATCTACTTGTATGCTCATGAATAAATTTGCAGCTAAAGCGACTTGTTTATTTTTCGATCGTCTCAAGCTATCCCAGAATTGCTTATTGTATTATTGCTTTACACATAACTTCATCGACGTAAGCTTTCCCTGCAGCGATTGCCATGTATCCGCACTTATAGTCATCGTTCGTAATCTGGAAAACACTTCTCTTCTTTTTCGCTCTCTCAGAGCCTGATAAGAGTTTGGATACCCTCGCTCTTGCTCCTCCTGAAATGCATTTGACTATTTGAATTTTTATTTCAAAAACTCCATCATCTAGGAAATTTCCTGCTGATTGTGCTAGTGCATAGGCTCTATCAAGAAACTCCTGTGGATTGAAGTTTTTCTTGAGGAATGAGACATAAAGTTCACGGTTTTCTTGCGGATTACGAAATGTTATAAAGATCCTGTCATTTGAATTGGCATCTTCTATCAGTTTGGAAACAAATCTTTCATAGGCTGTATCTATTGCGTGCGATAAGCGTGCAATATCAACACCGGACGAGCAGTTGTTGTTGAGTCTAGCGCGAAGAAGTTTGGTCATTGAATGGAAGTTTGCATTTGTTCTCCATGGCTGTTCATCTACAATCTCAAACTCTATTTCTCTTTCCCTTGGTCTTGATTGAAGAATAGAATCATCAGCTTGACCACCTCCCTGTTGAGAAAAATCTTGTTTAGATGTGGAAGTGGTGTCTTGAGCGCAAGTTGAACATGAGCTTAAAGAGGAAGAGGAAGACGAAGACTGTGAAGAGTTGCAGGTTGAACATGTATCGCAAGTTGAACATGAGCTTGAAGAGGAAGAGGAAGACGAAGACTGTGAAGAGTTGCAGGTTGAACATGTATCGCAAGTTGAACATGAGCTTGAAGAGGAAGAGGAAGACGAAGACTGTGAAGAGTTGCAGGTTGAACATGTATCGCAAGTTGAACATGAGCTTGAAGAGAATGACGAAGACTGTGAAGAGGGATGAGTTGATTGCCCTATATCTTGAGTTGAAAGACCGACATCATATTGTTCATCGGAAGTAAAATAGTGTACAAGAGGTGTAAAACCAAAATGGCTAGAATGGTTATCAGTATAATAAATAGTATCCACTTGTTTCTGAATTGATTGAGAAAGGATTTTTCCTGTCGCTATTTCATTAGTCACACCAGTAGCTGATAAATCTAACATACTAACCTCCTCTGCTTCTGTTTCACCTTCTATCCCTAAGTTGATACATATGTAATCATCATCTTGATTCTCCATATACATATCTAGTTCTTCTTCATCGTTTTTAACATAGAAGTTTTTACATATCTCGTCATCTTCGTCACATTCCATACAAGCATCAAGTCCATGGTTTATCGAATCATCGCTATTTTGGTTATCTGGAATCACAAATCTTCTGCAGATTTCATCGTATTCTTGCTCCATTTCTTCATTTAGAATTTGGAAGGCTCGTGTTAAGTCCATGTTAACTGGTGATAAAGAAAAGGGTTATTAAAAAAAACCTTCTATGATTCTCATCGTTGAAAGCTTTCCCCATAGAGAATACATGTAAAATTCCCCATAGAGAATACATGTAAAATTCCCCATAGAGAATACATGTAAAATTCCCCATAGAGAATACATGGTAAATTTCCAAGTTAAAAACTAAGTCGCTTGAAAAAAAAGTTTCATTATAACTTTGCTAGCCTATATTAATCAGCGCAGTGAGTTGGACTTGCAGCCGAAAATTTTTTGAGATAGTTTATAAAAAAAGGCGGGAAAATTAAACCCATAGAACCTCAATGGTAACTTAAATAGAGTAAAATAGAAAAAAGAAAGGGGGGTGGAGACTTTTTTTACCTTTTAAATGTTGATATGGTTGCTATGGTTACGGGTTACTATGGTTACTATTGTGTTGATTGTTAATTGTTGTTGATTGTTAATTGTTGTTGATTGTTGTTGATTGTTAATTGTTGTTGATTGTTAATTGTTGTTGATTGTTGATTGTTGATTGTTGTGATTGTTGTGATTGTTGAAAGTAAACTGAACGTACTTTCTTTATGGTAAATAGCATATAGTAAATGGTGAAGGATGATAAAGATGAGTGTTGCTATGACTTCAGTACATTTCAATAGAAAAGATTAACTCCCATTCACTTTCATTAGCTTCAATACATTTCACTGCTTTTCAATAGACTTGGTTTAAAAAGATTAACTTTGAAGAGATTAACTTGCAGAAGATTAACTTCGAGAAGATTAAGTTTCTTAAAAAGATTATTTTTAAAAAGTTTATCTCTTCCAATTTTCTCTTTTTTCATTCTTATAGTAAAGAGATTAACTTAAAACAGATTATAAGATGAAGATGATACTTCAGCTTCCAGTGTACTAACAAGTGAGAGAGAGTCTTTTGCTTTACTATGGGAGATGAGGAAGGAGCTCTACAGTGAGATGGAAGACAAGAGGTGGAGTTTAACGAGTGAGCATTTCTGAGTATAAAACCCAAGATCTTGAACAGTAAAGATTGTCAGTATTCATCTATCTCTTGCTCTTGCTCTTGCTCTTGCTCTTACTCTTACTCTCTCTCTCTCTTACTCTCTCTTACTCTCTTACTCTCTTACTCTCTTACTCTCTTACTCTCTTACTCTCTTACTCTCTTACTCTCTTACTCTTTTACACTCTCTTTCATTATGTCTTCTCTGCCTCCATCACCCTCCAATCTTGCTTCCCTCATCATGTCTTCGGCTACCTTTGCCGACCTCTTTGGCCCGATAGCCCCTGCTGCTGCTCCAGTCTCTCCTTCACCACCACTAAGCCACCATTATGATCCTTCGGTCGTGGCTCTTCGATCCCTCGACGCCAGTAGAAGGGCAGCCCTTGCAGACCCATACAGTCTGCAAGGGTCTGTTCCCTTGGCCGAGGTGATCAACCTCCTCAACTCTCTCCGTGTCTCTATTGATGAGAGTGGGGACCCTGCAGCAGCCTCATCTTATTTGGTGGTAGCAGCCGATCAAATGATCGACTACTATGGTGAGGAATCAGCCCCAGAACCTGAACCTGAACCAGAACCTGAACCTGAACCAGCATCGGCCACCATCACCCTCGACTCGACCAGCACCCTCGACTCGACCAGCACCCTCGACTCGACCATCACCCTTGACTCGACCGTCACCGATCCCAACTACTCCACCATCACTGATCCCTCTGTCTCCATCACCCTTGACTCCATCTCTTCTACTTCCCTTGGTCCAATGTCCTCCTTCTCTTCCATCTCTGACCATGAAAGTGACTGGTCTACAGTCACTGATCGGTCAGAGATTGGCTTTGAATCATCAGCATCATCATCATATTCACCAGCTTCTCCTGTTCCACTCCACTCCACTCCCATTAAGAAAACCCCAACCCGAACTCTCCCTATCATCCCTCAAGTTATTCACTTTTCCCCTTTCAAGAAGCGACCACATAATGACTCTTTCGAGCTCATTCAGTGTCCGAAGCGTATTCGCGTCATCACTTTGCTTCCTTCAAATAAAAATTAAATTTAAAACTTAAAACTTTAATTGTCTCTTCTTTTTTTTTTTCGGGTTTTTTTTTAACTTACCTTAATTGATTATAATCCTTTGGAACTTAATCACTTTTCTTTATTTCAGCTTTTTCCATTGGCTTTACTTAATCTTTAACTTTTCTTTTGAATCTTAGCCTTTAGCAATACTTTAGCTTTTTTCCTTCATCGACATTTGGTATTCACCTATACTTTCATTCACCACCCCTAACAACATTAAGCTCCTCCCTTTTTAACGTTTAGACACATCTTACTACTACTAAGCATTCAGATTCAACTCTATTCTTAATCAGCAATTAACTTAAATTGATCACAATTATAAGAGTTAACTTTTCTTTTAATTTCCTAAGTGTTTATTATTGATATTTTCTCAATTATTTAGTCGAAATCAAAGTCAATTGTTTGAATTTAAACATTATCTTGAAACTGAATCAACTGTTAATTGTGATGATCTTATTGTACTTTGTTTCTAGTGGTTTATTTTGATTGTTTAAATAGAGTAATAAATATTAAGTACGATAAAGAATCAATTGTGACAATGAATGGATAGATTTTCAAAGGGAACAATTAATTTTATCATTTCGAGGTATGAATTTAACAATTAGTGGTACTTTTGGTCTGATTGTGACTTCAAATTCATAAGGAATCTCATCTAGAGGTTTGGTTGAGACAATATGATAAGAATTAATCAGAAACGATAATATAATTTTCATCTCAATGTATGCGAATCGTTGACCGATACAAACTCTTGGTCCAGCGCTAAAAGGTATATAAGCATAGGCGGGAATCGATGAGATATTATCGATATCGAAACGATTAGGATTGAATTCATCAGGTTTAGGATAAATTGATGAATCTCGGTGAATCGTATAAATCATGATGGCGATGGTTGTACCATTTGGAACTTTATATCCATCGATGATTACATCTTCCTCCAATTCTCGAGCAATCATTGGTACCGGTGGAAATAATCTTAATCCCTCCTTAATACATTGTTCCAGGTAAGTTAATCGTTGAATTTGATCATAAGTAGGATTGAAAATATCATCACCAAAGATTGAAGTGATTTCAGAATAAATTTTATCCTGAACATTTGAATGAAATCCTAGAGAAATGAAAATAAAACATAAAACTTAAAGTAACTTACTTTACAAAGTTTAATTGTGATTACCTAATAGATACAGTGTCCACATAATTGCCGTTCCCGTTGTTTCATAACCAGCAAATAAGAAAGTATTAATCTCCTCATGGACACCATTCAAATCGATTATTGGTTTACCGCTTATTGCCTCAGGCTGAAGATGTTTTTCTAACAATAAATCAAGAAAAGCTTTTCTACCTTTATCCAGGTTCAGCTTGTGATCTTCACGATTTCTTTCAAATCCATTGCAATTAATGTAATTGTTGATTTTTCTTCGTTATTTATACCTTCGAGATTTGGTTGATGTTCATTGGCGTTAGAACGAGATTCTGGGAAATGGTCACTTTTAAGGCGATTGTTGGAGAGTTTTGAATTGATGATGGAATTGGTAAAGTTTTCAAAATTAGCGAAATGTTGAATGAAACTTTGACCCATTGGTGATTCTTTGAAAATCAGATCAGCCCAAAGAAAAGGATTATAAATACGTTGAGCCAATTCCTTGGTCATCCAAGTGACCGCTTGAACTATTAATGAACTTGGTTTTATTTGAGCCTCAGGCGATATTCCCATTGCTGTTTGACAGATAATGTCCATTGATGTTAAATGAATACAATCAACGATATTAACCCCTGATGAACTTTTTCCAACTGATTTAACCAAAATAGATGCATTGTTGACCATCAAAGGGATAAATTGTGATATAATTGTCGTGGTAAATGCTGGACCAATCAGTCGTCTTCTTTGTCTCCATTTTTCACCTTTCGAAGTGATCAAACCATCTCTCATAAATGGAGCAATTAACTTATAAAATCGACCCTTGTTAATATGCCGTCGACTCGACAAAATGACCTATGAAAAAAAAACAATATCGAAATCACGATCAACCTAAATATTAATAAATTGTTGATAACAATTAACTTTCTCTCCGAGAAAACAGAAACAAATCAATTTCTACATATCATTGTGATAGCTAATCAATTCAAGAGAAAACAAGTTGAATAATATTTAATTGTTTCGTTATCAGTTGATTAGTGTTAATCACCATTTTATAATCTACATTGCTATTAATAGTTAATCACCTCCGAGTTTCTTAACTTTGTTACTTTGTTTTTGATTGTAAACAAATTGAAAGCTACACAAGAATTTAGATTGTAATCATTAAAACGACCGTGACACTATCATTAGAATCATTTTAATCATGATAACATTAATTGCTGATTATTTGATCCTAATCACTGGTTTCAAAACTAAATCACAACCATTTGAATGATTAAATTACAATATTAAGAAATAAAAATCTCTCATAGGAAGATGATTGTCTTTCCCTCTCTGAATTTAATTGTAACCATTGTGAATTTGATTGATTTATAATATTATTTAATCAGCTAATCATGGAAGGCGAGATGATGATTTGTTATCGTATTCATTTCAGAATTGAAACTCATGAGAACCTCGGACTTTATCAATGATATCAAATGATATTTTTTCATGTTTAACATTCAAATTAAATTTGGTTTCGGGCGAGATCAAGATTAGTTAAGGTAAATACGATTTATAGAAGTTTAATTTTTTCCGTAATTTTGTTAACTGTTTAATAAAATATTAGTTACGATTGATGATTAATTTGTTTCTCGAACAAAATAATTTCCAATTTCCAATTAAAATTTAAATTTTCCAAATCAGATAAATGATCGCAAACTTTAAATTGTTATTCAATCGATTACGATTATTATTATTATTACATTATCGATACTAACAAAAGTCCAAGTGAACCTTAATCATGATTGGTTACCATAATTATCGTTTCATTGAATTATCTTAATTATATTGATTCAGTTCAGAGAGAAATTAAATGATTAATTATTATGAAATTCATTTATTCAATATATTTAAATTCAATGAGCAGTAACTTATCATAATTAACTGTGTAATCGTATTGAGAAATTTAATTTTACCGTTATCTTGATCTTTATCAAGTTAATTATAATTTTGTTTTGATTGTTATGAGATAACCACTGAACGTGTTTACAATTAAAGGTGAATATTAATTGAATATCAACAAGTTTTATTAAATCATCAATTGAAATTAATCGTAAGTTAATTTGTTGATTGTTACTTTTTTTACTTTGATTTTTATTGTTTTTCAATCTGAAAATTAACCATTGGCTTTGATTGTAAACAATTATCGATAATCAATGGTTTCCTATAATTTTTAAACTCATTAGTGATTAAAGTTAATTTGATTTCTAATATATTATTGTTCACCTTGTAATTTATTATTTATCATTATTGTTAATACAATTAAATTCAACTATAATCGCCTCGGGTTAATTGTTTGTCTGCTAAATTCAAATTAGAAGCGGAAAACTAATTTTAAATGTTTTAATGATTTTAAATTATCTTAAACTGATATTTAGCTTCTCAAAATTAAGTTAATCATCGCAATCATCATCATTAATTGGTTATAATGATAATTAACTAATCATCAACAATAATTGAAATTGTTAACAAGCTTGATGATGCAAATTTAAAGTAATTGCAATGTTTCAACGGCTTGTGCTTTGAAAATGATAAATGACAACAATTTAATCAATGATGATCTCAGTAATTAAGGATTGGTTGACTTTTAACTATCGAGATTAGTTGATTCATTAATTATCCATTGATACAATGTTATTATCATCTAATTACAACAAAATCCACTTTAATCATGATAAAATCAATGTTATTGATGAAAAATATGATTACTAACTAGTATTAGATTAGATTAAAGTTTTGAATAATTTTCGTGAAAAACAACAATTAACTGTTGATTGAATATAGAATCATATTTTTAAATTGATTAATTTGATTAACTAAAAGTTTCCATTGGAATCGTTTGTTAGTTTTGATTGATCATCAGAGTTTGATTGAGGTTTTAGTAAGTGAATTGTATTCAACAATTATGATTATATTGTTGATATTGAGGATAAATTGACTGAGAAAATGGTCAGATTTGATGAACAATTAGTTAATTTCACCACTTCAATTGACAGTTTAATTGTGTGTTTCACCTCGAGGGTTTAAAATTTAGGGAAACAATTAATTGCCTAATCAATGATATGTTTTACTAATTAGTCTAAATTAGCTTGAATGTGATACGATAAAATAATTTTCTGTCAAATTAATCACTCACAATTAAGCTCGTACAATAATTTATTAACTAACAAACATGTCAATTGATTTGATGATAGTAAATAATAAAATTTAGTTACCCCAATGACTTAAATAAATCATAACTCATTTGATTTAAGTAACTGTGAGGATCGTACATCATGAATTAAGTTAATTGTGGTTATAATTACCTGAGCTGATTTATAATCAAGACACCAAACAATTGGAAACCAACCGAGCCATAAGACTCCGATGCCGCTTTTGGCTCGATTGCGACGGGAAATAAAATAATCAGTTGTATCTTTAAGAGGAGCTAAGGTGAGGTTAATTTGATTAGAATGATGATTAAGGTTGATTGTGATCAATATAACGTTTTCTTACTTGATTTACTTTGATTAGTTGATTTGGTGGTAAAAGGTGAAAAGTTTTTCCAAGATGAACGCAGCACGAGACGGTAAAGGTCACCAAGGAAAAAATTGGTTCGTTCTTGAGGTAAATGTTTAAATTGATACACAAATCGGAAGAAATTAATTATCTTGGTTAAACTAATTGTAATCAGTACGATGATCGCTCCTTGGCTGATTAATGTAACTGTATTGGTTAACAGAGCAATTAGATCGGTGAAATTAATTGGCCTTTTCGAGCACATTTGTGAATTCATTTAGAAATCATAAATAAGAAACACTTTTGATACTTTCGATGAGGTCAATGATGATTACGAAGTCACTAATTAATTTGGATAATAATGAAAGTTAATACACAGAAGCACAATTAACTTAGATTATTATAAGATGGGTTCAATTGTTGTTTAATTGTTAAGAATTATCATGATCATTAGATGATGAAGTTTGGTATCAATTGACCATAAGTTGATTAGCCGATAGGTTAATGAATCATAATCTCTTGAAGTTGATTAATTAAGTGGTTAAAACAAAGGTAATCAATGTAAATTGATATAAACTAATCATAGAAAGAAATTAATTAGTTAATCAGGATGATCCAATTGAAAAGGTAAGTTAATCGTGAAAAATTAAAGGAGGAGTAACTCTGATTGTCCTTGTGAGTGTTAATTTTTTTTCATTGTCATGATGATTACTGATTAAATCTAAATTGCTTCCAGTAAATGTGTCAAAGACATGAAACTGATGATAACCTGGTGCTTAATCATGAAAGAGAGAAAGATAATTAACCCAACAGTATCAACAATTAACATCTTTTCGTTTCTTAATTTCTGTAAATTCAAGATTCGGGCAAATGGAAACTGTTTATGGTCACTAATTTGGCTCAAGTTCATCGACGCTGATTCAGTTAATGGTCACTCTTTTCCTGGACAAACACATCGCTGGACAAGATGAAAACGTAGGTAACCAAGGGAGTGACCAGTTAGATTAGCTGATTCTTTCAATTTCCGTCTTTGATTAAGATTAGACACTTAATCAATTAGATCTTTCGTTTTCTTCAATCAATCATTTAGAATCAACTATTTACATGTAGAGTCTATTAACCCATAGGAAAGTATTCAATGGAGTTTAATTGGTAGAAAAAGAAAAGGATCTTAATTTATATTGAAGTTCAATTTAGTTAATTACATCAATTAACTTTTTATTGGGCGATTATTTTTTTTTTCTAACCTCATGTTATAATCATATCTACGATAATGGATATAAGGCCTGAGGGCAATTTTTCATTTGTTTTTATATTTTCTTTTTACTCTATATCATAAATTAGGTAATCGATAATGAAAATAACTCGAGGCATGAAATTAATTTTAATCATGGAATCAAAAATCACCTAATTAAGAAGATAAATCAACTCGAACCAATGAGCAAATATAAATTAAACAAAATCGCACATTAGATTAATCCTTTGATCAATAGGCTGAAATTCAAATGATTTATTGGCTCTTTTATTACTTATGATAATTAAGACATTAAGTTAATTGTCTTAATACCTTTTTTTTTTACTTTAAACAATTTTATTGAGCGAGAAAATTAATCAAACTTTTACTCTTTGTTTCTGATGCTTTTTTATATGGTTAGATTAAATTTCTGATAATCTCACGATTAGATTAAGTAAACATAAGTCGATTCCCAACAATTAGTCAGCGATTAGCTTTTCCATTTGATGATTTTTCAATATTTCTCCATGAATGAAGATCCGATGGACATTCAAGTGTACTAATAACGGTTTCAGTGGTGATTCAAGTAATAATTATCATACTCATCACCATTTACGAGCCTCACTATCCATTAATCTATTAATAATATTAATCATCATTTGATCATCATTACAATCACTCAAACAATTAAATAAAAGTAGTGGTCAACTGCTTGACCAGGATTTAGATGAAGATTGAGATGATAAAGAATAGCCAATGAAAACTGAGCCAATTGATTCAGTAGATAACTCAACTGATCAACAATTAACGCCCAAAGGATTAAAATCATTCCTAATTGAAGATATTTTAAACTTTAATACAAAGAAAGACAATTTATCATCATCACTACAGTCATCAAATTGAACTTCATCTTGATCACCAATCATGCGAATAACATAATTAATCAAATTAAATCAAATTCTATTAATGATAATCATCATAATTGTGACATTTCCTCAGTAATCCAAGGGATTATACGTACATGGGGCACAAGTCCCGTTCCAACTCAGTCGATCTCATCCAAGACTCTAACACTAAATCTAAGATTTTAAATCTTAAACTTTTTCACCCGAATTTCGTCTCCATCTAGTGTCCGAAAATCGAAGCTTCATTAAAAGTTTTTCTGTTTCCAAGTGAACCACATGTTCATCGCTTCAGTTTTTTGTTTACATTTTTCTTTCTAATTTAAATTTAATTTCTTCTCATTATAATTAAAAATGCCTAAAGTTAAAGAGAAATCGAGTTCAGGTCGATTCGCAAGCCAACAGAGACAAAGTATCGTTTTCAATAAGGATCTTGGGCAACATATTCTTAAAAATCCTTTGGTGATTGATAATATGATTGAGAAGGTAAGTGTTTGTTTATATTTCTATTTCTTTTGATTGATATGTTTAAATTGTTCTTTATTTGTTTTATTCTTTATTAGGCTGCTCTTAGGCCTACTGATGTTGTTCTGGAAATTGGTCCTGGTACTGGTAACATGACAGTGAAAATATTACCAAACGTGAAGAAATTGGTAGTTTGTGAGATCGATATAAGATTGGTCGGTGAATTGGAGAAACGTGTACAAGGGACACCTTACAAATCCAAGTTGGACATTTTAATCGGCGATGCTTTGGTCACCAAGTTTCCCTTTTTCGATGTCTGTCTTGCCAATATTCCTTATCAAATTTCATCTCCTTTAGTTTTCAAATTACTTGCTCACAGGCCATACTTTCGCTGTGCTATATTGATGTTTCAACGGGAATTTGCTCAACGAATGGTAGCAAAGCCTGGAGATAAATTATACTGTCGACTATCTGTTAATACTCAACTTTTATCTCGTGTAGATATTATCATGAAAGTGAGTAAGAACAATTTCAAACCACCTCCAAAGGTAGAGTCTAGTGTTGTCCGAATCGAACCAATTAATCCACCTCCGGCTATTGATCTAAAAGAATGGGATGGAATGTTAAGACTTGCCTTCCTTCGTAAAAACAAAACTATCGGTGCAATTTTCCATCAGAAAAGTGTCCTCGAGTTAATGGAAACTAATTACAAAGTCTATTGTAGCTTAAAGAATATCAAAATTGAGGACAAATTCGACATCAAAGAGAAAATCGAAAGCATCTTGAATGAAAGTGGATTCGCAGATTCTCGAGCTCGAACCATGGATATCGATTCTTTCCTAACCCTTTTATGTGCCTTCAATTCAAAGGGATTTCATTTTGTCAAATAACTTTCATTATCCTTTCAATACAATCCAATACAATCCAGTTTATTAATTGTAAATACAAATATAATATCTTTCATTTTCTGTCCAAAAAAGGACAAGAAAAAGAGACGAACCAGATAATTTTGATTCTCTGATCCATTTACATGTATTGTACTGGATCAATTTGGATTAAATTAACCAATTGATGTAAAATTGTCCTAATTTTATCAATCATAACAATCCTTGCATTAGCCAAAGGTAAACTTCGATCATTAATTTCGGTAATCACTCTAGTATAATTGTAATAAATGCTAATATAATTAACGAAAGTTTTCACAAAATAGGGAATCTTGTGAATCGCAATTGGATTTGATTGTAAAATCTCATTTAAAAGAACTGGAACTTTGGCAAGAAAGTTATAAATCAAGTTCCATTCTTGATTACTTTTCAATAGACGAACATCAACTCTAACTTCGGGCAATGGTGTAGTTAATTGTTGAAATTTCCTTGTAATACCAACCAAACGAGCGTAATTATATTGGATAAAAAGAGCCTCCTTATATTTAGATAGATCTAAATTGTGAAAAGCTTTCGGAGAGATCGAGGTAATTGTGTATCTAAGACATGTTTCAATTAGACAATTAACTTGATCATCTGTATATTGTGTCTCTGATTGTTTGACAATAATTGATCTCCAATGATTTTTAATTTCATCGAGAGTTAAATCACTAATTATATCAGCGATTGGAATGAAATTAATCCATTTAAGTTGATCAATGGAAGTTGATGTTAATACACTCCAAGAGGTTATTGCTTTTTCTCCAATTTTCCAATCATTAATATGAATTAAAATGACAATTCTACTCTTTGAGCTTAATTGTAATTCACTTGGAATTAATAGTTGACTGAATAGACGGAGAAAAGACATTAATCTTGATCCTGGTTCAATGGTAAATTGTGATTCCTCTAAATCGTATGGAAGATTAGATTTGAAGGGGTCAATGTTAATTTCTAGAGGTGAACAATCATCAAATTGTAGTCCCTTTTCAATATCATTAGTATTCAATTTTTCATCATCACAGTAATTAAATTTTCCACACTCAGTAATTGTTTGCGTTGAATTAATGGTCTTTGTTGAAGCTCCAATGGTTTTCAACAGAGAGACAAGAGTTTCCTCAATATATTGGAATCGAAGGCAAGTTAATTGTCTTAAATTGTCTCTCATTGTATTCACAATTAAAACGGTTGATTGTTGACAATCATTTTTACTGTTAGATGGTTGATCAAGTTGAATATTGTTTGAAAGTATCAAAGGAATGGCAACTTCACGATTTACATTGAACAGAATTGATTTACCAGAGATACTGAATGAGGTCAAAGGTAATTCCCAAGTTTGACTGACCTTAACCAGAGTTGATCCAATTTGGTCAAGATAACCATGCCAAGGAGAGAAGACCGGATTAGATAGATTAAGAGTTAAATCATTTTTATCCTTAAATCCATCGGAAACAATTGACGAAACACCAACACAATCAAATTGTTTAATCAATTCACCAGCAAATGGTAAATCAAGAATTGACTTTGAGACTAACCATAGATTAGAAACAAGATTATCTTTCAACTGATTAATAAACATCTCAGGCCTTTGAAATTAATCAAAAATCTAGACAATTGATTTCGCAATTTTAAAATCAAAATAAAACAACAATTAAAAACCAAATCATCAGGATAATCAAACAAAACATTGACAACAATAAGACAAAAACAAATCCAAACATATGATTAACTTTTGTTTGGGTGAATCCATGGTAACCAAACTTGATTACATTCAATTTAAATTGACATTAATCAGAATTAAAAATCGAGTCTGAAACTAATTAAGTGTCAACCTTAAAATTCAAATAATCTGTTAATCAGTAACCATTTGAAATTTGTATCTATTGTCAATCATTATGCTTGAATGGAAATGGATGTGCTTTGATTAGTTTAAATTGTGATTAGTTGCAATTGATTATTCAGTTATCAAGAAATCAAGGTTAGAATTGTTGATTTTTTTAGTTCACTCAAAAGTACAGGTTTGGAAAACCTGATAGATGAAAATTTGATTAAATTAAAACTCGATTATTGTGATTAATCAACAGGTAGATTATTTTATTAGTTGATTTAGATAATTTAATGTCTCAGAATTTAAGATTCATTGATTACTAGAAGGAAAATATCACTTGGGGTTTAATCAAATTTCCAAGAAAAGTTTTTGAATTGATTTCTCTCTGTAATTATCATGATTATATTTTTTTGTTCATTAAAAATTATCAAAATCAATTAATTTACGTCAATCTTATTTGATTTTGTTGATTAGGTAAATACCCTTTGAGCTGATTCAGAGAGATTTAATTATTAACTATTTAAGGATAGAAACATGATTATTCAGTAGATACAATTGGCTGAGTTTCTTGAAGCAAAATTTCAGAACCACTTTTATTGAACGTCAATGGTCATAATCAGGAAAATTACCCATTAATCGGATGGTATTTTAATCGTTGATTGGTTTCTTGATGGTGATTAAATTGAAATTTTAAAATGAGAGAGAGAGAGAGAGAGTGAGAAATGATTCTCATTTGTTATAAATTGTCACAAAAAATGTAAACAATCAACAGTCAGTTTCTGTTGATGATCGTTGGAAGGTGTTTGTTGACCAATTCATCTGAGTGATTAACTATTTGTCTTTTAATTGTTTCAACCTAATTTGGTTTTATTATATAATCTTAATAAAGATTTACTTGTTGAAAAAATGGCTCCTAATAGTAATACCGACAACAATAATAGAATCGGAAGTGATCAGAGTATTGTTTATGAAAAAGATCCAAGTGAAGTGATTAATCAATTTCGATGCCTAATTGGAGAGAGCTCAATTCTGAATGTTTATAAATATGAAGATGAATTGTTACTCAAATTTTTACGATCTCGTGATTATAATTTACAAAAGACACTGATAACTCTTGAAGGTTACGTGAGTAAATTACACGATAGATCAGATCTGTTTACTTGGCAGCCGAAAGAGGCTGAGATCGCATTGAAGACTAACGTATTCAACTATTTACTTGACGGATCGACCAATGGTCAGCAGATTTTTTTCCTCCATCCAGGCCGTTGGAATCCGAGAGAGGTCACATTGGAAACAATCATTGCCATGGTTGTACTTTGCCAGGAAATAACCTTGTTAGATGAGAAAGTTCAAAGATCGGGAGTAGTGGTCATCATTGATATGACTGGACTTTCTCTTAATCATCTCTACAAATGTGGCATTACAAATGCCAAGTTAATCTCCGATTTGACAGAAAGATGTATCCCTGTAAATATCGTCAATATCCATGTAGTGTTTCAGAATTGGTTAACTGAAATGGCCTACAATTTGTTCAAACCATTTATCGATGAAGAATTGAAGAGGAAAATAATTTTCCATGGTTATAATACCGGTTCGATTCATCAATATTGTCCAAAATCCGTTTTACCAATTAAATATGGTGGAACTCACGAAGAACCTGATCTTGATAAAATGTACCAAATTTTGGTTAATGACAATCACAAAATCCAAGAGATTTGGAATAAATATAAAACAAAATTAATCGACGATTAGGAAAAAAAATGTAAATCAATTTGTAAAATTTTGTAATACAATTAAAAACAATTTCCAGTGAAATTGAAATATTAATAAATTTGCTAGAAGTTGTAATGATACGAGAAAAAATCTTCTCATAAACAAGAAAGTAGAAAAATAATTAGAATATACAATTAACTGGCAATCAAATCGAGATCCATTAACTAATAATTAAAAGAGAATTCAATTGAAATCATCCAAATGAATTAATTTACCAGGAAAAGTTAATCACCTGTTGATTTCCTCAATCGACAAAATTATATTCATACAGGTAAATGAATCTTTGATGGAAGGGAAAACCATAAAAATAGAGAAGAAAAAAAAGTTTTTCTGTGAGAGAAATTATAAAATCACTATTTATATTAGTAAATCACTTTGATTAGTGTAATTAACAGTCATCGAAGAAAATTCTGGTTCGAATATAAAATTCCAAGGTTAACATTAACTCGGTGTATTTTCTTATAACTGTACATCGAAAGGGTAGAGAAACTGGAAAATTTTATCATCATTCGAGTGGAAAGAGAAGATAAAAATGTTCAACTAACCTGTTTAGATGAATACCCTTGAATCAATCATTGATTTTATCATCTTCTTCATTATCATCATCATTATCTTCAGCGTTTACTACTAATTAATCCAAATGGTGGCAGTTTAGTTGATTGTTAATAGTTCAGGTTTGCGTTACTCAAGACGAATCTTTCACTCTTTGAATATCTTTGTTGATCCATCAGTTACTATAAATATTATCATCTCCTAATTGTGAACAATTAATCCAGTGATTGAAGCCAATAAACCAATTTGACTGAGTGAAAATGAAAGATCAGGTAGTAACTTCAACATGTGAAACAATTAATCCAAAGTCTTCATCTGAAAGTTTAAAACAACCAAGTGACGAGGAATTGAATGGATTAACTGAATTACGATCTCTTGTTGATTCTTCGGTAAAATTGAAACGATACAATTTATCTGATTCGATATTGTTGAAATTTCTTCGTTCTCGTAATTCAGTTAAAGAAGCTTGTGGCCTTTTAAAATCGTACTTTGGTCATATCACCAGTAAATTAGATCTATTTTCATGGGATGATCAAGTAGCCGATGTGATCCAGTCGCTCATTTATTATCCATATCAAAATCGTGGACCCAATGGTGAGGTAATAATTGGAATGGAGATTGGTAAATGGGATTATGGTAAAATTAAGTTCGAGACAATCATTCAGGCAAGTTTGTTCATTCAGGAATTTCTTTTACACGAGGAAGAATCTTGTCAACGATCGGGATTCATTTTCTTAGTTGACATGAGAAATGTTTCTCTTCGTCACATCTACCAAATGGGTGTGACCAACGCCATGTTACTGGCCACTTTAACCGATCACTGTATGCCCATTAAGCCGATCAATATTCACATTTGTTTCGAGAATCGTTTCACCAGTTTGGCCTATTCCATGTTCCGACCTTTTTTGTCCGAGGAGCTTAAACGACGAGTTGTTTTCCATGGAAATGACATGACAACTCTTTTCAAGTATCTACCAGCTGATTACGTTCCTCCGAATTGGGATGGAGCCAATGAAGAGCCAAAATTAACTGAAATAGTTGATAAAATAAAAAACGAATCAAATCAAATTGTTAAAACTTGGGACACTTATAGGAGCCAAAATTGATCACATTGGATAAGAAAACAATAGATGATAATTTTATCTCTGATTATCATCAGAAATTAAATTTACCTTTTTGTTCATTGTTCCAACATCAAAGTAACGAAAAGTTTAATGGTAAAAACAAATGTAACTCTTACAATATCTTCAAATCATTTTCCACTTACTTATCGTTAATCAAAAATTCTACTATTGAATCTCCAACAATTTATACTCCAGCCAATTTATTGCTCAAAATAAACTAAGATTGTCACAAAAAGATTAAAATTGAATCAACTCATCACAATTTATTTCCTTAGTCCAAATAAGAAAACAATAAAAGACAACAAATCACTAATTTAAATTCGAAATAAATACATTTTAAATTAAATAAGAACTAAATTTAATTTTAATTTAATGAAGAAAAAAGTGAAAAGAATTGTTTTGAAAGTTTGATTTTCGCCATTTCTTTTTTTTCCACCAGATGACGTTACTTTTTGTTCTTTTCTGCGCTGAGGGCATCTGGTGGTTTGTGCGAAAACAAATTTAAGAAGAAAATAATTTCATCTCAGGACCGTATTCAACAACCGTAATTAAATTTGAGTCTAGGTTTAAATCAGCTGATCACAGCTTTTGTGTTTGACCAACTATAATCAAGTCTTGATCTCGTATCAGATTTAAGTTTAGGTCAATTTAATTAGAGGATTAAAAAATCTTGTTTCACCAACCGAAATCATCTTCAATTGATCTCGGAAGTCTTGGTCAAAATTTAATCTTGGTAATTACCACGATTAACTTTTGATTATGACTTTGTTTTCTCATTTTCCATTCGAACTCATTTTTTTTGAATTTTTTTACATAAAAGTAGTTTAAAAAATGGGAGCTCTGGCACATAAAGAGAAAATAAAAAGAAAGAAAAGAACGAGAAAAGGAAAGAGAACCAGAACCAGAACCTACACTAGAACAAAAGTTCGAAAGAACAATTTAAGTTTAAAAACTTTTATTAAAGTTTAAATTTTTGTTCGATTTTGTCGAACAACTCGACAAAATTTTTAATAAGTAATTTGGCCTCAACCAAATGGTTTTTTAAAACCGAAATTTCATCAATTGATGAAAGTGATGGTGATGATTGTGATGAAGAAGAAGATGACGATGATTCTGATGGAGTTGAAGATGGAGATTTTTTTGGTGATGATGATGATGATGAAAATAGTTTTTTATTTTCATCCAACAGGATAAAAATCTCATCCAAATCACTGGATGAAAGCTCGAAATCCATAAGATTTCGAGCCTCTTCACAATCAATTTTATCGAAGAGATGCGATGGATAAACAAGTTTATCCACCTGGTACCGTCATCAGCATCAACCAAATTTTTCCCTCTTTCTCTCTCCATTCTTCCTCGCTCCCTCGACCTTATCTTCATCTTCATCCTCCATTTTTTCTTTGGTGAAAAAAAAGGCCAGTTGGCAACTGAATCTTAAAAATGTAACCTCAGTTTTATATTTATTACAATTGTAATAATTGTAAGGTCGAGGGAGCGAGGAAGAATGGAGAGAGAAAGAGGGAAAAATTTGGTTGATGCTGATGACGGTACCAGGTGGATAAACTTGTTTATCCATCGCATCTCTTCGATAAAATTGATTGTGAAGAGGCTCGAAATCTTATGGATTTCGAGCTTTCATCCAGTGATTTGGATGAGATTTTTATCCTGTTGGATGAAAATAAAAAACTATTTTCATCATCATCATCATCACCAAAAAAATCTCCATCTTCAACTCCATCAGAATCATCGTCATCTTCTTCTTCTTCATCACAATCATCACCATCACTTCCATCAATTGATGAAATTTCGGTTTTAAAAAACCATTTGGTTGAGGCCAAATTACTTATTAAAAATTTTGTCGAGTTGTTCGACAAAATCGAACAAAAATTTAAACTTTAATAAAAGTTTTTAAACTTAAATTGTTCTTTCGAACTTTTGTTCTAGTGTAGGTTCTGGTTCTGGTTCTCTTTCTTTTTATTTTCACATTCTCTTTCCTTTTCTCGTTCTTTTCTTTCTTCTCTTTCTGTGTCAGCGCCTCCATTTTTTAACCGCTCGTAAATTGATTACTATCGTTATGTCCTATTAATCTTCTACAATTTTCGCTTGCGTAAAAAAGATTTTTTTCTTAAAAAGTTATTAAACAAAGATATTAAGAAAACTTGATCAGTGTAATCATATGACTTGTTAATTGTTTGGAAATCAATCTAAATTTCAAGTCTTTTCATAAACAATTGCTTATTTTATCCCCTTCAAAGCAACCCCTTTTGTTATAATCGATGATCGGTTGGTTAAAAAAATTAATTAAAAATTAGGGGTGAAAAGGAAAAAATAGGGCAAAAAGTCAAATTTATTGTTAGTGATGCTGCATCACAAAGTAACAAAGGCGTGGCTTTGGTACTGGGTAGTGCAGAAACTACCCAAGGCTTCTTAGCCTTCGTGTTACAACAAAATCAAATAATAATAATTCAAATATTTTGAAAATTTCAAATTATTAACAAATAATAAATAATAAATTAATTTAGAAGTTAGTCAAATACAGCAAGAAATAATGATTCTGCAATGATAAATGAGAAAAATAAAAACAAGAATTAGAAAGAAATTCATTGAAAATAAACTTAATTTGTTCAGTTTAAATTGATCAGAGGTTAGTGAACCTCTGATTAATAAACTGAATAAACTAAACGAATTAAAGTGGGAACACAATTAGAAAAACTTTAACTAAGACAAATTAACTGTACTTTTCATTTATCACTCATCAAATAACTTTTCACGTTACATAGGCAGACACTGAATGTCAGTCAATCAGCTACAATTAGTCAGCCACTGTTACTTTTATTATTACCCAGTCCCTATGCCTTTTTATGTTTCCATCTCCATTTACCCATTGAACTTTATTCAACATCATAGCCTGCCTGTAACTTGCAAGATCACTATTTATCATTAAGCTGATCCCCAACATGGTTCAACGTAACCATGTTAATCTATACATTGATGATTATCTATTATCTTCATGATTTTATCTCATTCTTATTAATTGTTTATTTTCGCATTTTTCATTTTATCTTCTCAGGAAGAAGGAATGATACCGCCAATGGAATAACAATAATCATTATGATGGAACAATTTAATTATTCGTAAAGAATGACGAAAACATTTCCTTTTCTTATTAATTGAGACAAACACTCGACTGATAGCTGTCAATAACAGAAGTATCAACAGAGCTGGGCTTCATCCTTCAAGAAGGATGAGAAAAATTCTATTTAAAAGTCACAAGCATCATTATGTTCAAATGCGTTCTATTTATTTATTTAAATCTCTCTCTCTCTATGTTATCTTCATCTTCTTTCTTTCTTCAATGTCTTCCGTGGGGCATAAACTCTTATGTAAGAAAAATTTTCACTTGATTCAATCTCTTAACAACAACAACTTGTTAGCTGTTTTCTCTTTTATATTTGATTTAGACAATGATCTTCATCATTGTTGAACTTAAGCATTATCATCTTTATCTTTATGATCCTCAAAGCGAGTCTCATCAAAACCACAAAGGTAACGCAGGTAAACAAAACTATCAATTGTTTATACAATAATCGTATCTATGATTTTATTAATTATCCTGATGATCGTCAAAGATTAATGCCATTATTAATCCGCGGATTAATCCTGTCAATCACTGCTTCCCGTCATTATACATTAAAAACCATCCTGCTTTTCATCTTTTAGTGCCTTTTTTATAAAAAAAATCATCATTTTCATATGAGATTAGAGTAATCAAATGTTTAAACATTTTCAAAGTAATAAACACAATCATCAATGAATTTAAAACAATTGTTAGCAATTTTATCAACACAAATTGACCATCAAACATCAACTACTGTTATCAAAGTATGTTTAAATCAGTCTGTTGATGATCACATATTGATGCACCCAATAGTTAAACAACTAAAATTAGAGTTTGAATTAATCAGTGAAAGAAACGGAAAAAAATTTAAAACCAAATAAATAGTCAATTAAAGTTGATCATCAATATTTCATCATCAACAAATTGTTGACAATCATCTACATGGGCTCACGAGCTATATTAATAACGCATCTATCTAATATCAACTTATTGTTATCGCTGAAATCAATCTAAGGTATTACAACTACCCAACAATTGAGATAAATTGTTCACTGATCGTAATGCTTTTGATTGTTCAATCATTTGTGAGGGCAATCAAGTAATTTAGGGACACAAATTAATTTTATCCGCTTTGTCTGATTATTTTCCAACCACTTTTCATTTGAAGGTAATTCTGATGGTGACAGCAGTTTAACCTCTCACTTATTTTCAAATACTGCGGTAGTTACAGGAATTTAGTGATAATTTCTAGTAAGAGGGTCTAGATTCAAACTTTCTTGACTTGGAATCTTCGATTGCTTTTATGAGCTGAAGTGTTAGATGATGAGTTGAAAGCTGATGGCTTTTATTATTGTATTTTTCTGATTGGTTTCATTACAATGTCTTGACTTCTGATATGTCCATGGCATGGCTTGACTCAGTACCAAGTACATCTTCACTCACTGGATTTAGCATTGGATTGGCATGACCAGTTGTTGTATTTTGTTCACTTGCATTCGCAACTGGTTGAGGATTAGGAAGTAGATAGACCTGAAAGAATAGCTTGTTGCGCTGGATTAGCTTTTTCCACTATTTTTGTCTTTTAACAACAAGCTCCTTCGCAATAGAATTTAATTTAGAATCTTTGATATTTCGAGAGGTCCTTTGGTTAGAATATGATCAATTTTTGCTCTCTTCCTCTCATCTAGCCCATCAAGTTGATAATTTGAGAATCAAACATTCCACTAGTTTGGATTGAAAAGAGATTAATTGGTATAGAATTGAGATGGCCATGAGTAGTAACAAACTGTTAGCTTTTTCTTTCATGAGCCAAAAACTGTTGCCACAGAGGTTTTTATCGACGCTGCATCATCCAGAACATAACCAGTTCGTCTCCACTTCTCCCAGCAGCTTCAATATTGAAAAAAAGTTTAAAATCAAAAATACACAAAAAGCTAAATTTTCCCTTACCTTAACGCAATTTTTACAATGGAACTTTTCCTGTTTTTAACTCTTTAGAATAGTTTCTCAGCACTACTACAACGTTTCCGTCACACTTCACTATTTGCTTAACACAAAAAATCGGAGAAAACAATTACTTTTCAACCTTGTTACACAAGAAAACTCATCATGTGTAGATTGATAGACCGAAACCGTTACAATTAAAAGTCCCACCTTAAAGATTAAAAAAGTAGAATTAGTCCAAACAACAAATTAATTAAAAACAAATTGCTCACTGAACTTACAGTTGAAGATACAAATTCACCTTTCACTAAGAAAACCAATGCTTCCCCATTATGGGTCATCTCGCTCCTAATATACGAAAAAGCATCATCCTTTAGAATCATGTTATAACAGAGATTTCTTATTGTAGCTTCATCTGAGACTGTTACACGAGGTTTATAGATGAAAAACTGTGGATCCAAAGGCTCGATAGCCTCAATGCTACCAATGTAATCAACATGGCCTAAGGAAATAAAGGAAAGTTGGAAATGTTTCTTTTTGAGATTAGCAGGATAACGATATCATGTAGCTCGAATGAAAATATAATAATCAAGTGTGATGTTGAAAAAGATAAATTTGTTGTCGAAAATCAACGGAACATATGGACCAGACTCGAAGGAGATGATGTCTCGGTTCTGATGATACTGGAGGAAATTGCTTTCGAAGGACAATTAGAGACACTGATATCGATAATAAACGAGGGAGGAAAAGTGGAAAAAATTTAATTCAAAGTCTTCGTCATCATCTGAAAGTTTAAAACAACCAAGTGACGAGGAATTGAATGGATTAACTGAATTACGATCTCTTGTTGATTCTTCGGTAAAATTGAAACGATACAATTTATCTGATTCGATATTGTTGAAATTTCTTCGTTCTCGTAATTCAGTTAAAGAAGCTTGTGGCCTTTTAAAATCGTACTTTGGTCATATCACCAGTAAATTAGATCTATTTTCATGGGATGATCAAGTAGCCGATGTGATCCAGTCGCTCATTTATTATCCATATCAAAATCGTGGACCCAATGGTGAGGTAATAATTGGAATGGAGATTGGTAAATGGGATTATGGTAAAATTAAGTTCGAGACAATCATTCAGGCAAGTTTGTTCATTCAGGAATTTCTTTTACACGAGGAAGAATCTTGTCAACGATCGGGATTCATTTTCTTAGTTGACATGAGAAATGTTTCTCTTCGTCACATCTACCAAATGGGTGTGACCAACGCCATGTTACTGGCCACTTTAACCGATCACTGTATGCCCATTAAGCCGATCAATATTCACATTTGTTTCGAGAATCGTTTCACCAGTTTGGCCTATTCCATGTTCCGACCTTTTTTGTCCGAGGAGCTTAAACGACGAGTTGTTTTCCATGGAAATGACATGACAACTCTTTTCAAGTATCTACCAGCTGATTACGTTCCTCCGAATTGGGATGGAGCCAATGAAGAGCCAAAATTAACTGAAATAGTTGATAAAATAAAAAACGAATCAAATCAAATTGTTAAAACTTGGGACACTTATAGGAGCCAAAATTGATCACATTGGATAAGAAAACAATAGATGATAATTTTATCTCTGATTATCATCAGAAATTAAATTTACCTTTTTGTTCATTGTTCCAACATCAAAGTAACGAAAAGTTTAATGGTAAAAACAAATGTAACTCTTACAATATCTTCAAATCATTTTCCACTTACTTATCGTTAATCAAAAATTCTACTATTGAATCTCCAACAATTTATACTCCAGCCAATTTATTGCTCAAAATAAACTAAGATTGTCACAAAAAGATTAAAATTGAATCAACTCATCACAATTTATTTCCTTAGTCCAAATAAGAAAACAATAAAAGACAACAAATCAAAGCTCCGGAAAAATTAGTATAAAGTATAACCAAATCACTAGAACAAAATCAAATCACTAATTTAAATTCGAAATAAATACATTTTAAATTAAATAAGAACTAAATTTAATTTTAATTTAATGAAGAAAAAAGTGAAAAGAATTGTTTTGAAAGTTTGATTTTCGCCATTTCTTTTTTTTCCACCAGATGACGTTACTTTTTGTTCTTTTCTGCGCTGAGGGCATCTGGTGGTTTGTGCGAAAACAAATTTAAGAAGAAAATAATTTTGAAAATTTTTAGAATCATCAATTTTTTTGTTGTTTTTCTTTGAGGTTAATTAAACTCTAAATTATAAATTATAATCTAATTAACTGTTGGTAATAATTTTTTAATTTTGTTCCGTTACTATGAACTATGGTTGACAATACGCCAAATATTCGACCATTACCACATTTTTTCAATGAAAACGTTTTCCTTTCCAAAAAAGTAAGTAAATTGGAGACAAGAAAAAGAGAAGAGAATTTACCTTTGCTTTATAAACAAATGTGTTCTCTCTCTTTTCTTTCCTTTTCTCTTTCTTTTTTTTTCTTTTCTCTTTTGTGTTTTTGTTTTGGTCAACTTTTTTTTCATCATCTGCTTCACCATCTCTCTCTTCATCACCATCATTACCAGCATCATGTTTAACCAACTTTATTCCTTTGTGATCATCTTATACATCTGTTCAGAGAAATTTCCTCTTTGACAATTTTCTCATTTTTATTCATTGACATTTTTATGATGATCATGGTGATGGCGGTGAATTTTATCAGCTTCTGGTTTCATGTTGAAACTTTTTGAATTTTATTCTCCTAGTTTTCACCTTTTAACCATAATAGTTTTAATGTCTTCTCTAATATAATTATTCTTTCATCTTTTTTATTCTTTCAACAGGCTCGCAGTTCAACACCATGTAAGAAAAAGATTCCTCCTCGGCCACCCTGCAAGAGTTTACCACCTAAAGGAAGACTCTTCTCAGACACCAGACACAGTCGTGCTCAAGCTGTTAGTTTTAAGGAGAGCGACTTCTGTAAGTGATGTTTTCGGCCTTTTCCTGTCTATTTTTCCATTGTCCTAAAAAATTTTCGCTTCGATGGGTTTGCTGAGATAAATTATCTTATTTTCTTCCTGTTTGTTTTGTTTGTGTATTTTTGTATATTTTTCAAATACCTCTTATCCCTTTTATTTATCGTTTACATCTCAGCTCAGAAACATCTTTTCAAATTTCATCAGATTTTCTCTCTGATTTTCATTCTCAGATTATCTTATCAGATCAGTTGCTTTAACTAGTTGTAACTTTCTGTTATTAATTATTAACTCTTTCAATATTTTCTTTTCATCTTATTAACAGCTACACTAAGTAAAGATTATGATGTAACTCGAAGCGAATCATATTTTCAACAATGTTTCAAAATTGAGAAGAAAATTGGAGCAGGATCTTTGGTAATGTTTATAAATGTATAAGTAAAGATGACGGTAAATACTATGCAATCAAAAAGTCTCGTGAAAGGTATAAAGGTAAATCAGACCGAGATCGTCGTTTACAAGAAGTGGCCAAACATGAGCAATTCTCAGGGCATCCGAATCTGGTCAAATTTTACAAAGCTTGGGAAGAAAATGGCTACTTGTACATTCAAACTGAACTTTGTGATTGTTCTTTGAGTGAATTTCTTGAAAATAATCATGATATTTCCGAACCAATGGTTTGGAATTTTCTCACCGACCTTTTATCTGCCTTAAAACATCTTCACGATCGTGATCTAATACATCTTGATATCAAACCGGACAACATTTTTATATCTAAAGATGGCCTTTTCAAATTGGGTGATTTCGGTCTGGTCGTGGAAGCCTCAGAAATTGATATCGATGAGGTAACCGAAGGTGATCCCAAATATCTTGCTAAAGAGTTGATGCAGGGAAAATTCACCAAAGCAGCTGATATATTCAGTCTTGGTATTACCACATTAGAATTAGCCTGTGATCTTGAAGTGCCTAGTAATGGAAATGGTTGGCACCAACTAAGAGAAGGAAAAATGCCAGAACATTTCTTTAACAATTTGACTCCTGAATTAAGAAAAGTAATATTAAATATGATGCATCCCGACTATAAACGTCGTTGGACAGCTGATGAATTGTTGAAACATAAACCGATTTCCAGGGTTGCCCGTCGTCGACATATTTGGATAAAATGGTGTTCAAGTCTTAACTTTATCAGTGATTGTTTCCAATGGTTTATAATTTTCCTCATGAGAATATTGCTCATTTCATTTCTTTACTCTATTATTAAGAAAAAGATTCGTTATCGGAGAAACTCAGGATCTCGAACACCACCTCGACAAGCATTATCACCCGATTGGGATCAAAGTTTCTCGGATGATGATGTATTTGAAAGCAGCTTTTTAGTGTCTCCTGTTTCTGATGAAATTAACTCTTCCTTTATGAGTGCTAGAAACCATTTACTTAACGATTCAATGACTAGTGCCCACAGGTAAGGCTTAATGTCGCTTCTCTTTTTCAACAATATCTAATCTGTTTCTCTCTCTTTCTTTTTTCAGCATCAGTAGGTATACATCAACAGCGAATAAAATTAAAAGACAGTCCAATATGTCATCATCATCGTACATGCCCTTAACACCAATAAGAAGATCATTATTTAATAACGAGAGACCTTCCCTGCTCGCCAGAACACCAGGATTACAGGATAGTTTCAATGAAAGGATAAGTTTTTGTGATCTTTCAGACGATGATGATGAACTCAACGTTACAAATCAAATGTGTCCTAAAAATCTCGAGAAAGTAAGTTGATTCTTTTCCTACAAAAATCAGCGTAAAAAAACTTGATACTAATTGATTTTTCTTCTCCCTCTTATTTCTAGTTATTTGACAAAATGGATAGTGATGAAGACTTTGCAACTTGAATTCAAATTTGAATCGAAAAGTGAAGGAGCAAAAACAAAACTTATCTATTGCCATAATCGTCATAATCATTAGAAATCATCATCAACATCATCACCATACTCGAATACAAATGATCAATGACTTCTACTAAAGGAAAAATAATATTAATTATAACGATTAACATAAAAAAAATAAGATTAATATTAATACCAATACGAGATACCAAAGAGAAGATTTTTTTTTCTGGAGTAATAATTGTGCGTTCATAGATGAAAATCTAAAAATCATTGAAATAATTATCCAAATTCTCCAAAGTAAAAACAAAAAGTCCTAGCAAACGAACCTAAATAAAATGACTACCGAAAAGTGTCAACCGAAGAAGGAGAAAACGAGAAGGACATAAAAAAACAACTTCCACTTCCTCTTTCATTTCATAGAAAAAGATATTTTTTTAATTCCCAATTTTTATCTGTTCATAAAATAATTAATACAAAAAAAAACGTAAACAACAACAACAACAAACAATATCCACTCAAAATATGCAAACATTTATTTCCTTTATTCACCAAATTTTTTTCTCATCAAGAACTTTATGCTTGATTAATAATAAATGATCATGTTCTCAAGCCCCGAAATCCAAAATAAAGGCCATTCAAACATCTCACAGGAATTATCGGGAAAACAATGAATTGAGCGAAGAAAAAAACAAACAAACAATCGATTTCATTGCAAATCAAAAAGACCACAAATTTTTAGATTGCAAATAAAAACATTGAACAACCGAGAAAACGAATGTGATGGTTAATTATCAAAATTAGAATAAAACAATCTACTTGATTGATAGATTTTCTCTCCCGTTTTTCTTTGTCTAATTCATTCCAACGCCTTTTCCATCAACATTGAAGATCAGAACTCTCGCCATTGAATAGAATTGAATCCGAACAGATGGAGACACTGAGAAGAAGAAGAAGGTTGCAAGTTGGTCGAGCCCTTTTGTTGTTTTTTCTTCCAATTTTGGTGATCATTCTCGCAGAGCATTTAATTGTTGATACTTGTCTTTTTTTCGGTCATTTTTTTCCTTCGTTTATATTTATTGTTCGATCAACAATTAACTATAAATTGTTACAGTTATTATTGTTTCGTGTCTTCGGAAAACAAAAAGAATCAATTTTTTTCTCCTCTTCACATTTTCATCTCTCTGTTTCTCTGTTTTTTTTTGTTCTTCTTCTATCTTTGCCTTTCTCTTTTTTTCTCTTAACCTTCCCTTTCTCTTTCTTTCCTCTGTCTTTCTGTGTTCTATTTAATTTTCTATTAGTCAATTTTTGTGTGGAACATTAAAACAAAAGAGAAATACTATTTGTGTATCATGGCAAATCGTAAGGAAGAATCAACAACACTTCGCGATGTGGACATAATGATGGCTAATTCTAATCAAAATTTACGTGACATCTTGAAGAAGAAGATGAGAACTCTAAAAGATGAATTGGTGGCTGCCAATGAGCTGAATGAGACCACCTTGATTAAATACAAGGAGGAGGTTAGGAAACGTGAAGAGGCTGAATTGGAAACGGCTTCGCTTAGTCGGAGGATACAATTGTTGGAACAGAGTCTGGAAAAGGCAGAGGATCGTATTCGTGAGGTAACACTGAAAATGGAAGAGGCAACACAGGCCGCTGATGAGAGTGAACGTATACGAAAAGCCCTTGAAAACCGGACGAACATGGAAGATGATAGGATTACATTGTTAGAAACTCAACTATCTCAAGCTCGGATTATTGCTGAAGAATCGGATAAGAAGTACGAAGAGATGGCTCGTCGTATTGCAATGTTGGAAGTTGACCTGGAACGTGCTGAAGAACGTGCATCCCAAGGTGAACGTAGAGCTATTGATTTGGAAGAAGAGCTTCGTTCCATTGGTAATAACCTAAAATCACTTGAAATCAGCGAAGAAAAGGTAAATTAACACATTTTTCTTCATTTTTTTCCATTTTTTCTTTTTCTCTTTTTTTCTTTTCTCTTTTACCATCACCAACACGAGAAAGATGAAGATAGAAAATCATTGAAAGAAGAAAAACCTTAACAGTAGATAATTAAAAGAATAAACAAATTGATGGTTGAAGGATGAGGAGAGAGAGAGTGAGTGTAGGATGATTATTAGAATGATAAAGATGTATCATCATTTGATTTTCTTTTTAACCATGAAAATAATTTTCTCTTCTAACTGCAACCAAATCATCTTCAACCCATTTACCAACTAATTTCCAATCTAATCTATCTAATTGTTATTCTAATTTAACTTTCTCTTTTTTAGGCTCAAAAAAGAGAAGAAAAATATGAAAATCAGATTGAAGTGTTGAAGAACAAATTGAAAGAGGTAAGTTATATTCTTTTATTGGAAATTCTAATTCGTAACATGAATCAATCGATTCTTTTGATTATCAACCTCAACAATATTTCCCATGATACCTTTTGTGTAAACATGAAAAGGTAGAAGAGCAAAGTAAAAAAAAAACTCTTTAGGTCAATAGCATTTTAAACATAAACTTAAATGGTTAATCATGATACTTTTTTAATGATCAGCAATTTCACTGTTTACAACATTTTGTCATTGTAACAATCAAAACTAATTTGATTGAAATCATAAACAAATGATTATCATGATGATGATCAATAGGGAAGTGCTGATGAATCTATTGATATATATTTGGAAGTTGTTTTTGTCTCTTTACATTGTTATAAATAATGATGTTTATGATAATGATGATGATGACAATTAACTAATGAATGGCCTTAAAAAAATTCACAGAACTATAATTTATTAATGTTATTACTATTTCCAAATGACAAGTTTATCGAGCCATGAAAATTATAATTTATTACGATTATAATTAACTTTAATATTTTTATCATTTGATCTCAAGCTAATATTAAATGTCACTTTACCTGTAGAAATGATTTCCTTTCTTATTGGTGATGATTTAATTTCATCGAGAACCCGAAACATTATGATTAACATTCATTCAGTTAATCATAATTTCCAGCATGATTGTTATCGGAATAGTAACTGATTGAAAGCGAAAGTAGCAAAAAACAAACGATATACACTTCAAATTGTCACAATTTAATTTAATTTTTTCCGATTACTTATTATTATGGATTAAACTTCCTGTATCTTAATTATTTAAGATGCACAATTAGTTGATTGTGTATGTGTTTGTGCTTGAAAGATACAACAAACAAAATTAATTTTATCGATTCTAATTATCTTCTCCTTAATTTTTTTTCTCAATTCAATTGTTGATTTAGTTATATATAATTGATGATGATAATTTAAATTGTTCATCATTGAAAAATCATTTAAATCTACAATGTTTACTTTGAACAATCAAATACAATGATTACTATGTGAGATTTTTTTCTCAACTTGATTCATCTAAAATCAACTTTTAACACTTGATTGTAACAATCATTAAATTATGTTAATCACAATGATTAACTATTGAAGGGAAACATTAATTGCTGGTAAAATTAACATCAACATTAACTATTAAACTTAATCACCTTGATGATATTACCTATTATTTATCATTATTTATTAATTTATAAGACTGGATGTTTAAAAAAAATAGTTAATTTTTTTGTTTAACTTGATCACAATTAATTTTTGATTGTTTTAAAGTTTTAAAGTTACTCATTTACTTATGATTAACTACAAGAGCAAGTAAATTGTCAACCATTGTTATAATTATGTGCTTATTTAACAATTGGTAGATCACAATTAGCAACACTTTTTAGATTTGATTGATTATGTCAAGTTTAAATTGCATTGAAACGATTAATTGTAACACTGATAATTCCTGATTAGCTTGATTGTTACTGTTTAAAATCATCATCAAGGTTGCAAGTTTTTTATTTCACTTCTTCTCAAATCAACATTTAATTGTTGATAAGCTTTTAATTTTGAATTAACCAAACTAACTGCGTAGACATTATTAAATAATCAACGACAATTAACTGATGATCAAAATTAACTTTGTTTAGTTTTCATCAGAATCGCATTGAGGTCAAACAATCAACACAAATTGTTTAAACTTACCTTTAAATGATATAATTAATCTAATTGAATTTTTGTTCTTCTTCAATTGTTTCCTATTATTAATTAATTCACACAATTAGATTTTGATTTCAACAAATCAATAAGAAAGTAGACTAATTGATTAAAATGATTAAAAATATACTAAACCAATAATCTCAATCCAGGATATTAGTTATCTACTATCTTTTGTTAATATTTAATATACTTTTCCATGCAATCATAATTATCATCACCAATTTAATGTTAATCATCCTCATCAATTTTCATCATCAACCCAATCATCATCTTGATTGATTGATTGTCTTAAGTTGTGTATCATAACTGTTTATCTTGATTGTCCCATATCGTTAAATCAATTGACGACAATCAATTTCCCCGAAACAATGTAAAATATTTAAACGATCAACGATTACAATTACATCACCAATAAGAGTAATCACAATCAACTAATTTCCTTCAATATTTGTAATTGGAAATAGTTAATACAATTAAGATCAAGTTTCTTCAACAATCAAAATCATTTAATTTCTTCCCTATTCTTATTCCAATTCTTTTTACAATTAAACCTTATCCATCCGATTGTATTCAAACAATTTAGATTAAATTTTCTCTCCTCTTTTAATCACAATTTGACATTGAAACAATTTAACCAAATGAACAGTTGGTAACATCAATTTAATCGACCTCGTTCTGAATGTTCATTTTTCGTTACTTTGAACAATCAAACCAAAGAAAACGATTTTTTTTTCTTCTTCGTTGATTGTTATTTCACTAAATTAATCATTTTTCTAAACAATCAGAATAAATTATCATCGAAATTTGCATTGATTGTATTCCTTTCTCTTAGAATCACCATGGTTGATTTCCCATTCAATGCTAATCAAATCCTAACCTGTTAACCATTTTACTATGTTGAACATGTGTTTAATTGTTAGGGGTTCCATTGCTAATTAGTAATCAAATTAATACCATAAAAAGTCATTGATTTTATTACACTCAACAACAATTAATAACTCGATTAGATTGAGCATTTCCCTTTTAACCAAAATTAGTAATCAATTAATTTTAATACTATAATATTATCAATAGTTTTCTCAACTACCAATCAACTTTTTTTTTTAATTTATCATCATCACCATCAATCCCTCCGAGCAATTAAGATAATTATAAAAAAAAATCTCTTCACCTAGACAATAATTAACGTTTTTTGTTTATTTAATGAACAGCAATTACAACCTTATATGAGTTATTATACAACTTTAACAATGTTTTGATTAGCTTTAATTGTTGGTTTTGTTATTTCAATCAATATATTAACAATTATGATGAAAAATACTAGTTTTTTTGTTTCCAATCAAGTCAATCACCAAATAACAATCAAAGTTTCAAACAGAATTAACAAACAATTAACTTTTTTTGTTAACCATTATGATTTTACCTAAATTGTTGCTACACTTTTTTGTTGCTTTCTCAATTTGATATATTAAATTGAATTAGGTTGTTGTCTCTAAATTGTTTCTAAAATGCTTGAGGCTCATAATCACTGTTTTCATATTATTATAATTTCTTGATGATTTCTATCAAATATTTAATAGGATGAACAATTTCATATTGATGGAAACTATAATTTATCATGTTATCCTGTTCATTTTTTTATTTTAAAATCTTTTACCGTTATATCATCTTGATAATGATTAAAATCATGCTTACACATCACTTTGCATTATTAAAAGTTAATCAAGTTGAGACAAAAAGCAAACTATCATAATATTACAATTTGTAAATCATTTGACAAGCTTAATTGCATTAGTGTAACAATTACAATCCATTGTATGAGTAAAAATATGATTTAACTTTATTGAAATTTAATAAGATTTAATATATTATTGCTCATATCAATTTGACACAATTTAAAGGTCTTTCTGTTAATATGTTATTGTAAAAATTAATCAAACGATCGATGATCCCAATAATCAATATGATCCATGTATGATTTCATTGTGAAAATTGAATTCTAATTGTTTATATTTCTTATTCCATTCACAGGCTGAATCAAGAGCTGAATTTGCTGAACGAACTGTTGCCAAACTGCAAAAGGAAGTAGATCTATTGGAACGTACGTTTTGCTTTACAATTAACATTTTCCATCTTCCCTTTGTCACTCTAAATGCCAAGTACTTTGATTAATGGTCACTTTGAATTTGATTGGTGTTCGTTGATGCTTCATTGTTATCATAATTTTAATTCTACCTCTTAAACATCCTGGACAATAGTAATTTAATTTCATAATCTTCATGCTCATTAATCAACCATGAGAGTTTTCATAATCGTTTAGTATACAAATTACACTTGACAAGATACTTTTTTCATTCTATTTAATGGGTTGGATGTTCACTTGATTTAGTTTCTACTGATTCTCTCACACTCTAGTCACCATTTGAAAATAACAATTTGTTAATTGTTACCATTTGCAAACAGTACTTTCTTTCAATTCTCTCGAAAAGCAATATTAGCTAATGAAAAGTTTATATGAAGAAAGTTCATCTCGATTCTGGTAACTCAATTTTTCCTTCGACCTTGATCATTGTCATTTGATGTTCAACATTTAGTTTTCTCAGAAGAGAAAAGTTTCTTCTCCTCTCTTCCTCTCTTTCTGCATCATCTTCTCCATCTTATTCATTTCGTTTCTCATTCTTCTCTTCCCCGTTGTCTTCCAAATCCTCATTGTTTCAGAATAATTCTTAGTTTCCACTTATTCAATCTCACCATTTTTCATGATCCTGTTATCAGAGTTTGTTTGTTTTCTCTAAGCCTTTGTTGACAGTTGCATCAATGATGTATTTTCTTTTCTCTCTCTCTTCTTCTCATCATTATCTTCATCTTCATCTTCATCTTCTTATGTGGTTATTTGCAAACTACATGTAGAAACACATGCAAACCTGTTAGTTAACCACTACAATGATATTATCATAAATTGTCAGATTTACCTTTTGTTTCTTAAAGACTAGTTTCATGACTGAATAATTAATCTTAACAATTGTCAATTAACTTGTTTCCCATTGAAAAAATTTTCTTAACCTGATCTAGTTTCATAATTGATTTAAATCACAGTACTTGGACTTTTCTTTGATCATCTTTTTCCTTAAACTAATCCATCTTTCATTTGTTTATCCCTACAGAGGATTTACTCCAAGAGCGAGAAAAAAATCATCACTTACAAGAAGAAGTAGAAACAACTCTAAAAGATTTACAATCAATGTGACACCGTTTATACTGAACCACCACCGCAACAACAACAAAACACCAACAGCAACTTCATAGCACATATAACCAATTCCAATGTTTAGAGAGCACATTTAATTTTTTTCTCTTACCCTCTTCTAAACATTTCTAGTTTTCATCATTCAATTTCTATCTTTCTGTTCCTCATCTTTACCTAATTTTCCTCCTTTCTCTTGATCATTTATTTCCGCTGGAGCGGTCATCCTCCTCTTCCTCTGTGTTCGTCTCACCCTTTCACCAGCCTTATTGCTCTTGTCTTATCCATGCCTTTAACATACTTGATATCTATTAATCAATTTCTGGCTTAAAGCTACTCCAACATGACGCTTAATTAACTGATGATCCTTGTGGATTGATTAGTTGCTTGCCTTCGTCCATATTGCTCTCTTTCCCTCTATTTACACTTTGCCTCTTCTTCTTCCATATAACTTTTTCCTCTCTTCTTTTCCTCTAACAATTTATTCCAAATTAAGCTAAAAAGCCAAAAGGATTTCCTTTTTTCCTCAAAGAGTTGTTTTCATCAATTAATGCCTGATAATTGCAGAATCATTCCTGTGACAAGTGAATTTTTTTTGTTGGCTCAATCGATATGCCTACACACAAACAACATTCAGACTAAATCAACAACAAAAACCAAAACATTGCCATTGAAAGCCCAAAATTTCAAGAAACATCGTCATTACCATTCACACAAATACCATTACAAAACTGAAACTAATTTTTTCCGAATCACTTAATGAGATCTACGAGGAAAACCATTTTTTGTGACAATCCAATTCATTTATCTTGTTTTTTTTTCACTTCTCTTGTGGATTATCAATCTGGAATACACCACAACAACATCATTCATGGAATAACCAAAAAATATGATCAATTGGATATCAAATCATAAATTCAGATCTCTACGTTATGTAGAAGGCAATCAATCATTGAAAGGAGAAATTCACATTCCAAGAGTTACTTTATTCCGTCTATCATCATCATTCTATCTTCGGCTTTACCCTCTCTCTTTCTCTCTAACGATTACCTAAACAATTAAGCGACCCATCGATTGCTAAAATTATTTTATTCTAATTGCAGTATTTTCACGGGATGAAAACATTCAATAGTCTATATATACACACTCGATGTGACAAATTTTGATTACAAACTTGATGCAATCTCTCATATGGATCGTTAATAATAATAACTATCATCGATAATTGAATGGAAAGATAAATCTAATCAATTTTGATGATAATTAGATGAAATTAATGTTAAGTGAAAGAATATAAATTGAAATTTCCCGAGAAAAGACTAAAATATTAGCTTATAATTAACTAATTACCAAGGAAAAGTTTTATTTTACCGTCAATTCGCCTGATTATTTGGAAAGATTAACAAAATTATATTTCGATGGCTTATCAATTATCGATAAATTTTTTTTTGGATTAAAGTGAATCTCGACTGAACCAAAACTACAATCGTCACAATTAAATGAACCAACAATTTAAAGGGTCTAAATCCCTTGTCATTGGTACACAATTTTGAATAAAAAGCGCCCGAGACCAAATCTAAACGGACCAACATGATGTACGCAACAAATGACGACCTTTTTTTCAGCCGGAAATTTCAATTCAGGAACATCAGCAAATCACTATCATCATCATGATCACTTTCGTCTTTTTTTTTTCTCCCAACAATTAAGTTGTCAAAACGACTTGAGAAGCAAAGTAAATGGAAGGAGTGACAGAATCGAAAAAATCAATCGAATCAACAATTTTCAAGAATCAATTTTAATTCTCGGTCAATTGAACATCTCAATAGACTCGTAACTTCCTTCCGAGTTAATCATTGTAATCAAATTAACTATTAAATCTCAACATATTGACAAGAAAAAAATCTACTGTCTTTTGTTTACTTCAACTCTGTTTATTTGATTGATATTGTTTACCTTTGACCAACAATCTTTATGATCAAATTAAATCAAAATCGAATCAACATTTAATTCAAACTTACACAATTAAGAAAGAAAAAATATTTAGAATAACAATTAATCCGATTTCTAAGAAATCAAACCACTTTTAGTATCAATAGAACACATAATTAACTCGGTTAAAAGTCTAATTACTAAATTAGCACAAAAGATCAAAATTAGTTGATCACAATTAAATTTGATTCATTAGATAAAGATAGACAAGTGACACTTAATTGCTAGTAAAATTAAACTACTATCTAAATAGTAGACTTTTTTTATATTATAACAAACACTTAGCAGAATAGGTGTTTATTGTAATTAATTAGTGAAAGTGTGTGTTAATCAAATGGTAACAATTAAAATATCAAATGGACAAAAAAAGTGTCAACAAGTAGATATAAAAAAAAGTATTGAATTGAAGTGAATGAAAATTGAGGTTAATCAAAAAGAAACCAAATCAAATTAACAATCGGCAAGTTGGTTGATAAACTTTTTTTTGCATCGAAAGTTAAATCACATAATTTAATTTAGATGTGAAAAAATTACAACCATTTAAACGACTGAACATTTAATTCGTATATCGATTCAATCATTTTCATTGTTTTTAATCATTTAGTTGATTTTTTTTCTCTCTCTTTCTCTCTCTCTTTCTCTCTCTCACACAATTTCTCTCTTTCTCTCTTTCTATCTCTTTCTTAATATGTACAATTAAGAAAGACACAAGATGACAATTTAATTGTGAAAGTTTATCGTAGTATATAAACTGATCGTATTGATTGTAAACATCAGATCATCCAACGATTTCAAAGTGTAAACAACAACAATAAACAACAAATCTAAAAGTTTTATTAAAGTGAAAGTGATTTGATTGAATTCAATTGAATTTCTCAAACTAGAATTAATCATGAGGAGCTTTAGTTTCATCTGTTTAGTTATATTTTTATCCAGTTCTTCATGGGCCGATCCACTTGGTAATTTAGTGAATTCAATCAGTCCAGAGATTGATTCTCGCAATGGATTAGTACACATTTCAGCTATTCAAAGAGCAATTCAACCAATTCCAGCCGCTGGTTGGGGTGATCATGGTCATGGTCATGGTTGTAAAAACGAAGGTAAAAAGCTAATTAATCAAACTTCAAATAGGTTGATCACTTTGATCATTTTTATTCATTTTGATCACTTTGATCACTTTTATTCATTCTAGTTGTACAATATTAACATTGATTCATTAATAATAATAATATTAACAGAGGTTCATCATCACCATCATCATCATCATCATGCTAAAATGGTTGCCACTCATCACCACGATCATGGACATAAACACGGTCATGATCACGGTCACAAACATGGACATGATCATGGACACAAACACGAGGCTTGGCATCATCATGGTCACAAACATGGTCACCACCATGGACACAAACACAGCCACGGTCACCATCATGGTCATGGACATAAACACGATCATCATCATGGTCACAAGCACGGTCATGATCATAAACACGGCCATGGACACAAACATGACCATTGGCATGGACACAAACACGGACATGACCACAAACATGGCCACGGACACAAGCACGATCACTGGCACGGACACAAACACGGTCATGGTCACAAACACGACAACTGGCATCAACATGGACACAAACATGGACATGACCACAAACACGGTCACAAACACGATCACGGACACAAACACGTAAGCTCATAATCAACACTTTCCATCCCAATTCAATCAAATCCTCAAATCTAACCAATACTTTTCCCTTTGCTCTTTACCCTTTCACCTTTCTAGGAACACGGATGGCACGGACATCACGGTCACCATGGTCATGGGTGGCATTAAATGGTCAAACTATTCCGTAAATAAACAAAGTAAATTAAAAGACAATCAAGTCAATTATACAAACATATCTATTCCATTGGTTTATAATTGGTACAACAATCAACTAATTAGAAACCTGATTTTGGTAACCATGTTCACAACATCTCATCATTAGCATCGTAGGACTTTCACAATCAGTATTGTAATTAGATAAAGATTTCAACTTAATATTAATTTGCTTTTTTTATCAATGTATATATTGTACATTAATCATTTGGTTATGGGTTAAATAAAACAATTTGCAATTTAAATCATCAAGTCTCATCTAATTAACTTGGACAATGAGCTATCAAGTTATTATTAATATCATATCAACGATCAACATAATCTTAATGGTTTATCATCACTCTAATTGAATTGGATCTTCAAACTAAGCAACAATCAAAAGTAGACAAAGATGACAATGAGCTTCGATATCCTTACATTATAACTATTACTAATACTTTTCTAATATCTTAAAGATTTGTGACAATCAATAATAAGAGTAGAAAACTATTATTGAACAAAGGAGGACATCAAAAAGAATAGGAAAATTGCCCATCGCGAAAATTTGACAAAGTCAATTTTTCTGCACTAAACTCAACACGCTGATTTCAAAAATGCAATTTTTTTTTCGTTCTGACTTTTACTTTTTGAGATATTGAACTTTAATTAAGGATGAAGCGAGGCGTGTACTTGAAGCAATTAAAGGTCTTAAAGCAGTGAGATAAGATAAGAAATCGATTCAATTTTTTTTGCTGATTAAGAATCTATCGAGATAATTGGCTGATTTGCCCGCGAAATTGATGAATAAATTGATTGAATATCTCGACTATTTGGTTGCTATGAAGGAGGTCTTAAAGCAGTGAGATAAGATAAGAAATCGATTCAATTTTTTTTGCTGATTAAGAATCTATCGAGATAATTGGCTGATTTGCCCGCGAAATTGATGAATAAATTGATTGAATATCTCGACTATTTAGTTGCTATGAAGGAGGTCTTAAAGCAGTGAGATAAGATAAGAAATCGATTCAATTTTTTTTGCTGATTAAGAATCTATCGAGATAATTGGCTGATTTGCCCGCGAAATTGATGAATAAATTGATTGAATATCTCGACTATTTGGTTGCTATGAAGGAGGTCTTAAAGCAGTGAGATAAGATAAGAGTATTATAAGAAATTAAAATATTTTAATCTTCCGTTTCTGAATTTTCAGGTGTAGCGAAACGTATTCTTTTAGCAAAGTTTTGAAGATGTTGAGCTGGTACTCGGATATCTGATGTGCATCCTAATACAGCGTACCAAATAACGGTCATGATATGACTACAACATCCTACTGTTCTTTTACCAGCAATACAATTACAATAGTGCTCTATTATTCTTTCGACACCAGTCTTACGATAATCAAGTAAAATATATACAATATATGTTTTGTTTTCCGAGTGTCGTGATGGAATTTTGGCTCGTAATAACAAAGGCTCATCAACATCGATATCAAATTGGTCAAACTCAAGTTCTGCTGTCTCATCATGACATTGAAAAGTGATACCAGAATCATTTAAACGCCTGGCATCAGTTGCGTAACTTGCAACATGTTTCAGTTGGTATGAACCTTGTGCATAAAAGTAAAGATCGTCAAGTGTGAGACTAGGAAACCATTGATGTACTTGTTGCAAAGTATTCACGTTTGGGAAAACGACACGGAGATTATTGGCATTAATGCTGGCAATCATATCAGCTAGCCGGTTAGTCTTGTTTTCCAATGATAACATTTTAGTTATAATCTCAGTTTGACAGCCACGATCAGAGATAAGTCTTGGGTAATAAGCATTTAGCAGAGCTCCACAGACACGAACAATCTCCGGTGATTTATCGACAATTGTGTTTTGCCAGATCTCACGACAAATTTTGAATTGACCTAGTAACAGTTATTAGAAGAAAAAAAAGATATAATGTGATTAATAATTAATAGATCTGATAATTGTTCGAAACTACCTTTGAGCATTCCATTTATTGCTTCAATAACCCATCGTACTTTTGAAACTTTTCTTGAATAATTAGCTTCTTCAGTAGTAAGTTGTCTCTGACCACTTTGTCTGGTTTTAGGCATGTGAGAAACATATCCTTTGCTTGTAAGGAATGGAATCACGTCACGAAAACCACGATCCAAGATGAATACATCTCCTTGTCGGAAAAACTGTATTGCGCGATTGTTCGATGTTAAAATCTTCTTAAGAATGATTGCATCATTGTCGGCAGCACAATTCTCACTATCAATGTCGATTATGTAACCATCTGGTAGACAAGTGATGAATGGCTTAACAAGGTTGGCAGCTTTGAACCCAGAGAATGACCTACGCTGATATGGAAAGTTGCTGCTTTTTTGGTGATAAAAATAGGTCGCGTCGGATACAACAATGACTTTATCTTGGGGAACATTGAACAAGTCTCTCGCTATAGGTGTATGGTGGGTAATGGCTTGTTCCCTGCTGAGATGAGCAAATCCTAAGTTCAATGGAACAAACTTTTCATCCAGAATTTGAATGAGCCTGTGGAATGCATTATTGACATTTGTGTAGCTTAGACCAGAAAGAGAAGCTAAATCTTCGAATGTAAGATTCTTTCTCAACTTCATAAGAGTTAGTGCAAGCGAAACTCTATTTCTTGGGTCTTTTGGAAGCTGTAATGTAGCCAATAAGTTGAGAAACTGCTGAGGCTCTAAGCCTGTCCAAGTTTTATAAAAGTCATGTGTTGCAGAACTTGGTTCAGGGAAAGATGTACCAAAAAACCTTGCTCTCATTGGATCTCTCAACAGCTGAATACCTTCTTGATATTGCTCGATTGTTAATGACGAGTTAGGAGCGCGTTGGACTGATCTCCAATTGTCTAATGACTCTTCTAAGTGATGTTTACAACATCGTGCACCTGGTGGAACATATAAATTCGAGATAGCAAGACAAAACTGACGATATAATAGCGGTACATTAGTAAGGCTTCTGGCTTGCTGGCAGCGAAAAATACAAATACTGTGAGATGATAATGATTTAGCTACTTGTTCTGAAGTAGAATTTTGAGAAGGTTGTGCTGGTGGAACATAATCACTATCATCTACCATAACTGTATCTTGTTCAACTTCACGATTGGAATCTTCATTCTCTTGTTCTGGTTGTGCTGGTTCATTGCTTAGTTCATCTTGTCTTAGAGAAGCAATTGGCTCGTCTGTATCAAGTACATTATCATCATACTCAGAAAATTCTAATGTGAACTCACAAACACTGCCTGGATTATCACTAGCTACTGACGGTGCAATGTGGTAAGGATTTGGAACTGAGTAGCTTGAACAAGTTGGATTTTCTGATTGTTCTAATGGAGGTTGGACTTGTTCAGCTCTTTCATCATTATCATCTTCAGAGGAGCTACTGCTTTCACTTTCTGCTGTAGAATCTTCTGTTTCGTCAGCTTCATCGTCACTGATTTCAATTTCTGACTCGTCCGAAGTACAAGACATATCAGAGCTTGAAGATGCTGTAGTTGGAAGTGGCTTGTCCTTGTTATTGTTCCAAGAAGAGAAACAAGTATTACAAATCTGGTCACCGATCTCAAGAGTATGTTCAAAGAAAACCACCTTCTTTCTGTCTGCATTGAGTTGTCGTCTATAGATTTGTAAATACTGGACCTGTGAGCTTTCAGTTAGCTTATACTTTCTGTAGTATTTCTTTTTCCTGAGAGTCTCAAACTGGACACAACAACTCATGCAATTACCTTCCATATTGTTTCTGTATTGATGTTTTGTAAAAAAACAGTTTAATTCATTAATGTATTCAGCTGAGATTATCTTTTAATCTTATTATTACTATACCTTTAATATTGTGATAATATGATTTGATTATAATGATCTAGATGGTAGTTGGTTTGTTTGATATCTATTGATTATCCAAAAAAAGTCTGATTAGTTCTTGTAATTCAGTTCATACAGTTGTTTTCATTTATACTCTACCTTTGCTGAATTTGATTACTGATATCTTTATAAATAAATTGAATATAAATGACTGGATTGATTGATGATCTATTGCAAATTGAAAAAAGATTATCAATTAACGACATCTAATTTCATTTAATTCATACTCTACCTTGCTATATTGAACTTATGCGTGAGTTAAGAAAGATCTGGATATTAAAAATTATCGGGCTTCTGCTAAAGAGGAAAAAACTGATTGATTGAAAAATATACGTTAATACGGTAATAATAAGATAATAGGATAATAAAATGATGCGATAATACGATATTTAAAAAACTAAAACTAATGACATCAAAAGTACAAGTTTTTTAAAGAATATATTACGAAATTACAGATAACTTTTTCTGTAAGATTATCTACGAATAATTTCGTAAGATATTCTTTATAAAACTTGTACTTTTGATGTCCCCTAATACTCCAAGCACTGCTGACCGCACAGGGTTCCCCCGTCTCGGTAGCAGTGCTTGGAGCCTTGTTTTCAGCATGTTTTCTACTTACATTTTTGATGTTGTCTCCTTGGCGTCCAAAATACAAATGAGCATTCCCACAGTCTTATTCATATATTCAAAATTTGCACATGCGCAGTTTCGAGTGGGTGTGGCCAGAGAATATAGGGCGTTCATCCATATTCGTCTGCATGTTATCTCAATATTTGTTTACGATCATAATCAATCTTTCAAAATGGCAAAGCAATGGCGAAAAAATAATAAAACGAAATCAAAAGCGCGAACATCTGAAATTGGAATACAAATGCAAGATAAAGGGCAAACAAAAAAGGAATATATGGAATACCCGAATTTATTTTGAATATTGGAAAATTGCTCCATTTTTAAAAGAATGTACTGGATATCCTCATCCGAGGTCTTTTGAATTATTATTAAAGAAATACGATTTATTGGTTTAAACTGCATTAAGTGATACAAATTTATTCAACATTTCAACATGGGCATATCCATATAATTTTTCAACGTTAATCCTTGATTGAGAACCTTCAACATTAACTCCATAAGGATCAAATAATCTATTATAAGCCAATTGGAATCCAGGGTGAATATAATTGAAATGAGTTTCCACGTGTAATTCACAATCTATTTGCCATTGAACGACCGCATTAGCAAATGTAGTATCATTAGATAAGACAGCGTTAGATTGAACGGGCATACATCCAAAATGGACCAACGGTGGGACATCAGTAGAATTATGAGTGTAAATATTTCGTTGAAGCCAGTGACATTTTTCTATTCGATTTGTAT